AGCGGCAAATGCTGCAACCCCACAAAGGTCTACACATGCCGCTCCAAACCTGGTTACACGCCAGAGATAAACGCCTTAAGCAGCTCACACGAAGGGCCCGCCGCAGGGCCAAGCGCAAGGGCAGGAAGCAGACTGGGAACTTCGCAAGGCACGGCACAAACTAACGCGCGAAACGGCCAAGCTGAACAGGAGCATGCACAGGGAAAGGATAGAGGAAGCCACCACCTCTATAGATGGATTCTGGAAGCTCGCTCGGTGGGCACGCACCCGGATAACCCCCGACCCACGTTCACACCGGCACTACGGTCACCCACAGGAACGCTGATTGACGACCCCGAAGAGAAGGCGCATGCCTTTAGACAGACGCTTTTTCCAGAAGTTAACGACGCCAACGCTGACTACAGTAATATCCGCGGTGGCTATCCAACACCGCTCGCAACCCCAAGGATTACTACCATAGGTTCGCCGAGCGGTGCACCACCCGCACCCCGAAAGGCCCCCGGGCCGGACGGGATTCCTAACCTGGTCCTACAGCGGAACCTGGCCCACATCGAAACATGGCTGGAGGGCATTTTCAACGCCTGCATAGATACAGGTTACTGCCCAAACCACTTTAGAGCATCAAAGACTGTCGTCCTGCGCAAGCCAGGGAAGGACGACTATTCCAACCCCAAGAACTACCGTCCAATCGCGCTTTTAAGCACTATCGGCAAAGCACTGGAAGCTATCATTGCGTCGCGGATTAGCTACCTTGTAATGTTACGGGCTCCTACCAGAGCACCATATTGGTGGTCGCAGGGGCCGTCCTGTGAATAGCGCTGCACCTACTCCTAGAGCAGGTACATGCGGCGTGGAGAAACGGAGACATCGTGGCCACCCTACTAACCTGGATGTCTCCGGGGCATATGACAATGTATCCCATAGGACTACTACACAATCTACGCAAGCGCAGAGTGCCTGAAGCCATAGTGCAATGGATCTCCAGCTTTCTAACAGAAAGACGAACCATTATCTGCCTCCAAGAGGGCCCTAGCAAGGAGTGCGAGGTCTCAACCGGCATCCCTCAAGGGTCACCACTGTCCCCTATCCTCTACCTCTTTTATAACGCCGACCTTATTGACACCCTCCCAACGTACAAGAGCATGACGCTGGGTTACGTGGACGACATCTGCATCCTGGTCTGGGGCACGACGGTTCGCGAGAATTATCTGTCTTGTCGGCTCCACACCCACGCGGAACACTGGGAACGCACGCATGCGTCGAATTCTCACTGTCCAAGTATGGCCTAATTAATATGGTACGCCAGATCGGGCCACGAGATAGACACCATGCCACCTCCGCTATGGAATTGGACCGTCCCTTGAATATAAATGGCACCGCGATACAGCCAACGTCTGAGCTGCGGTATCTAGGGGTCTTCTTGGACCCCAACCTAGCGGCAAAGCACACTTAAGCACTGCAAGCCAAAGCCGTGAAGCTAACGCCCCTCTCGTCGATCGCAGGGTCAACATGGGGCGTACCGACCCGATACCTCCGACGCATGTACACCGCAGTCCTTATGCCACAGATTCTCTACGGCTGCTCAGCGTGGTTCATTCGAGGCGCCAAAGGCTATCAATCAAGCGCCACACAAATCACCAAAGCGCTGGAGAGCGTTCAACACCGCGCATTATGCTGCGTGGCGGGCGCTTTCCGCACGACCGCACGGGTTGCCCTAGAGGTATGCCTACACGTACCGCCACCAAGCGTAGCGCTGCGCATGGCTACCGACAGGGCCTGCCTGCAAATCATGTCTTCCCCATTCCACCAAACCTTGCGCACCATACGAAACAACGCCCCCACCACACGCAGAACCCATATAGAACGCGACCCGGCACTGTCACCGCTGCATCGGCTCGAACGACGCGTTGCCCAGGCCCTCGAGGAGGACCCGGAGCAATTCAGCGTGGAAACGATCCAGCCGGTGGTCGTGCCCCCATGGTAGGATCCACCGGAAATCACCATAGCCGACACACGTGAAAAAGCAATCCAGCAACATAACCGCCTTCCCCGAGACGCCACGAGGGCCTATACCGATGGTAGCGGTTACAAGGGCGGTATCGGGGCCTCGGCGGTTATTACTGCGCGACAGGAATCTTTATACCAACCAGTTGGACAAGAGACAACGCATACGGTCTATACAGGAGAACTTATAGGAATTGACATGGCACTTGCACTGGCGACCCCTACCAACAGCGACGCAGCCAGTAATGATATTATGATCTTATCTGACAACCAAGCCGCCATCCGTGCCTGCGCTGAGCCTGCACGACAGTCAGGTCAATACATTCTTCGCAGTATCCTCCAACGACTGAATCAAGTCACCGCACATCGCCGCGTACGCCTCCAGTGGCTCCCGGGCCACGAAGGCATCGCCGGCAATGAGCACGCTGACTACTTAGCCAAGCTCGCCGCCGAGCAGGCCGCCAACGACACGGTAGTACGGACCCAGGACTCTCCTGGTCTCTGCGTGTCGCCGGCGCCTGCGCGAGCTTGCCCACAAAGCTGGGAAAAACAGTGGGCACCTCCACCACGGCCAACACACAAAAAGATACTGCCCGAGCCCACAAAGCGCGTGTTGACCTCCACGAGGCCCTCCCCGCCGCACAGCTCGGTGCTTATAAGATCAGACCGGTAAGATTGCACTCGCATCCTACCTAGGACCTTAGTGCCATGGACACGACCGCATGCCCTGCGGGTACGGACGCAGTGGTTCAACATGTCCTATCTCATGCCACCGGCATGCAGATCTGCGGTCAAAGACATTGTGGAAAGACCGCCGAACAACTGATTATCGGCGGTACCTAGACGTCTCGTCGGCAGCAGCCGGCCTGACATAGCGGGCAGTCACATTTATGCTGCAGACACGACTCCTCGGCCAATTCAGGAGTGCTAACGACACAGTCCCCACGCCGCACAACCCGTAGGCGGGTACCCTCCGACATGCAATCGGAATTCTATTCAAAAAGTGACCATTATTCCTTAAAAGGCCCTTCGAAGGCCGTAGGCGTATGACACGGACGAATGACACAGGGCACGGAACCAACAACCAACGAGGCGGTTGTTAGCGACGAAACACTGCAGAGAGGTTGGATATAGGGGCGAGATCGGGGATAAGGTTGAATCAGCGTTTTCGATCATATGATATAGTATCATGTGCCTGTATCTAACTGCCCCGACGGTTGGCCCAGCCGTCGGAACGGGACCTTTTCCGGCACTCGGCGTAGAGCTGACAGATCCGAGTATGAATACTACTACTACTACAGCGCCTTGCTGGTTCGGCTTTACCTGATTTTACACTCTTCAACTCTTTCTAAACGCCACTCCCGCGGCCTAATCTATCCTAGATTTAGACCTGAATTGGAGTAATTTATGGCTTGTATGGAACGTAACATTACCGGTATTTCCGATGCTAGAACATGGTTTTGTACAGTACATACCCAAATTTAATGACCCAGTTCGTTAAGTGGTTCGACTTAAGTTAACTACTGTACTAGTGGTTGACCACCTAGTGATCCTAACTAAGCAGCTAACTCGCTTAAATAGGTGATTCATAAATTGAAGGTTGGCTCTTTCAAAGTTTAGTAGCGCACTTTCTCCTTCCATGCAAGGATACTTTACAATATTCTGTACATGCTATACTGGATTATGTTGAATAATTGAGACTAAACTACTCCTACAGCTCAATTCATCCGTTGCCCAGCTTAATGGCGCAGACTACGGTGGCGCCAAATTAATCAATTTCTTGTAAGTCTTGACCTCCCGGCGTGGGGAGGGTGTTCTGGAAGCGATAAGAAGGGGTGATTTCCAATAAATAAGTTTGCAGCTGACAGTCTCTGGGTGTAAGGTAGATTAATGAGCTCTTCACGGGGCGACTGAGCGATCATTACACTGTAGGCCCCGTGAAATTTCCTGTATATGTTGCAAACGTTCTATTTCAGTGGGCGCTGCTGGGGGTGTATGGTTTGGGGATGAATTATACTTATCCATCCAGTCGCCAAGAGCACAAGAGGAGGATCTGGTATCTGGGTGATTAGGCCCTAATACTTTGCTGCGCAACTCAGAACATTTTTCCATTAGAGCCAAAGCATAATGAAGCTTCCCTTGGGATTCCAAGGTATAGGCGAGGTTATTCATGCTGGTCAGAGTGTCAGGATGCTCAGCTCCCAGAACTGTCTTCCTTGTCTCCATGACTTGCACCTCCAGCTTCTCAGCTTCATTCCATCGTCCCTGATTCCGGAAGGTTGATGCCAGGTTCGCCATGCTGGTCAGAGTGTCAGGATGCTCAGCTCCCAGCACTGTTTTCCTTGTCTCCATGACTTGCAGGTCCAGCTTCTCAGCTTCATTCCATCGTCCCTGATTCCGGTAGGTCGATGTCAGGTTCGCCATGCTGGTCAGAGTGTCAGGATGCTCGGCTCCCAGCACTGTCTTGCTTGTCTCCATAACTTGCACCTCCAGCTTCTCAGCTTCATTCCATCGTCCCTGCTTCCGGTAGGTTGATGCCAGGTTCGCCATGCTGGTCAGATTGTCAGGATGCTCAGCTCCCAGTGCTGTTTTCCTTGTCTCCATGACTTGCAGGTCCAGCTTCTCAGCTTCATTCCATCGTCCCTGATTCCGGTAGGTTGATGCCAGGTTCGCCATGCTGGTCAGAGTGTCAGGATGCTCAGCTCCCAGCACTGTTTTCCTTGTCTCCATAACTTGCACCTCCAGCTTCTCAGCTTTATTCCATCGTCCCTGATTCCAAAAGGTTGATGCCAGGTTCCCCATGCTGGTCAGAGTGTCAGGATGCTCAGCTCCCAGAACTATCTTCCTTGTCTCCATGACTTGCACCTCCAGCTTCTCAGCTTTATTCCATCGTCCCTGATTCCCAAAGGTTGATGCCAGGTTCGCCATGCTGGTCAGAGTGTTAGGATGCTCGGCTCCCAGCACTGTCTTGCTTGTCTCCATAACTTGCACCTCCAGCTTCTCAGCTTCATTCCATCGTCCCTGCCTCCGGTAGGTTGATGCCAGGTTCGCCATGCTGGTCAGAGTGTCAGGATGCTCAGCTCCCAGCGCTGTCTTCCTTGTCTCCATGACTTGCAGGTCCAGCTTCTCAGCTTCATTCCATCGTCCCTGCTTCCGGTAGGTTGATGCCAGGTTCACCATGCTGGTCAAAGTAGAGGGATGCTCAGCTCCCAGCACTGTCTTTCTTGTCTCCATAACTTGCACCTCCAGCTTCTCAGCTTCATTCCATCGTCCCTGCTTCCGGTAGGTTGATGCCAGGTTCGCCATGCTGGTTAGAGTGTCAGGATGCTCGGCTCCCAGAACTGTCTTCCTTGTCTCCATGACTTGCACCTCCAGCTTCTCAGCTTCATTCCATCGTCCCTGATTCCAAAAGGTTGATGCCAGGTTCGCCATGCTGGTCAGAGTGTCAGGATGCTCAGCTCCCAGTGCTGTTTTCCTTGTCTCCATGACTTGCAGGTCCAGCTTCTCAGCTTCATTCCATCGTCCCTGATTCCCAAAGGTTGATGCCAGGTTCGCCATGCTGGTCAGAGTGTCAGGATGCTCGGCTCCCAGCACTGTCTTGCTTGTCTCCATAACTTGCACCTCCAGCTTCTCAGCTTCATTCCATCGTCCCTGTCCAGGTAGCAGGTTCATGCTGGTCAAGTGGATGCTCAGCTCCCAGACTGTCTTCTTGTCTCCATACTTGCACCTCCAGCTTCTCAGCTTCATTCCATCGTCCCTGATTCCGGTAGGTTGATGCCAGGTTCGCCATGCTGGTCAGAGTGTCAGGATGCTCAGCTCCCAGCACTGTCTTGCTTGTCTCCATAACTTGCACCTCCAGCTTCTCAGCTTCATTCCATCGTCCCTGATTCAGGTTGATGCCAGTTCGCCATGCTGGTAGAGTGGAAGGGTGTTCTGAACCATTTTCTCCTGATTAATCCTCATCAGCTCGTTGTATAGTACCTCTGCTTCGTGATATCTTCCATCACTAGCAAGGCAATCTGCAATCTTCTTAACCAAATCGATGTATTGTTCCTGTTGTATAATAAATTCATTTTCATGCACAAGTGCCAAAGCATGAGGAAGGTATTCTCGCCAAAGTCCTCGATTAGTATGGTGATTATGTGGAAATATCTTCTGTATATAGATCAGCCACTCTTTGGATCCAGTGACCAAACAGTCCATTCTTTCTAAGCCAGTTCCGGGTTGCAATATGCACAAGTCTGTGCATATTTATATCCATGTTCTGGCTGTTGGTGAATGAGTACGCATTCAGAAGCCCCAAAGCGTCAAGTCTTTGTTTCCTGGATGCTTGGAGAGGAAGAAGGGACTGGGGAATATTTTTTGGATTAATACAGGCCATAAAAGATAGATAGTCTGCTGCTAATTGATCTTGATGCTGAATCTGTCTAAATGATACTAACCAGGTACTGATCACAGGGTTCTGGATATCCTTATAGCGTCCTGGATCCCTAAAGTCTTCACTAAGGAGTTCCACAGTATCTTGTTCCTGCTCTTGGAGAAGTGCAAGATAGGTAGACAAATTTATACCGTTTTCGATAATATATGCTGCTGCCTGTGTAATTGCCAAAGGTAGAAAGGCCAGTTGCTCTAGAAGAGTAGCTGATATCGTACTATCTTTATGCAAGTCTTCATTTTCCAATGTTCTTTCCAGAATTTTTAGTGCGGTTTCTCTATCCACGTCTGGAATTGGAACGGTGTTGAAAGGTGCCAGCTTCATGGCGAGTTTTCGGTTTCGGGTAGTGAATAGAATACGGCCTTGTCCACCCTCAGGTAGAAGATCCTCAAGGGCCAGAGCTGTGTCACTAGCTGTTAACCACATCTCGGTATCATCCGCATTATCAAAAATTAAAAGCCACTTTCCTGCACGCTTGGAGGTGAGGTATATCTTGATCTGTTTTTAACCTCTGATGCCTTCACGTCACCAAGTTCGAGTGTCTGTGCAATGTTTAAGAATGTCTGCTCAATAATTGCATGGCTTGTACATGGAATCCAGAAAATTGAGCACTCCTTATCTTGGTCGCGTATGCGGTGTGCTATCTCTAGGGCCACTTGTGTCTTTCCGACCCCTCCTAAACCAGTGATTGCAATCCTTCTGGGCCCATCTTGCACTGTGATTAATCCTTCTAGCTTCCTAATTTCATTCTGGCGACCAACAAAGTTCGGGTTCCTTCCTAGTGTAACCACCCAGTGCCGCGCTCTACTGCACTTTATCAAGCCGCAGTCTGTGCGGGGACAGGCACGACTGATAACAACATTTTTTTGTATATGCAGCGGCTGTCAAAGCTGCGTATCCTTGCCACTGTTTCTGCTTATGGGAGTCGCAATAGTCGCATATCCCTCGGATTACAAGCGTCGGAAGCCCGTCCATAAGGCCTGCTGCCTCCATCTCAAAGCAGAGTATCCCATGCTTTTGAGCTAGATAGTCTCGTTTTTCCGAGTCCTTTATCACCTGATCTCCCGATGCAATCAGCCCATAATGGATATAAGGTGACCTGGTACCACGCATTTGTCGTTTAACTAATTGTTCTTTATCACACTTTTCACAGCTATCTTCCTTGTCTGCATGGTGGTAGGAGGAATGAAAAAAAAAATCTGTCTGCTCTTGTGGAGGCGAAAATCTTTCCTTTAAACTAGGGTTTTGTTCCAGTACTTCTTGCACTATTATTAAAATAGTATCCTCTCTTCTCGTTATTCGGGTTGCTTCAAGTTGAGCCATATGCGTTAAGAGGGTCTGTGGTGGTTTGTTTAAGGTGCCGGTTGGCTCAAATTGCCAACCTTGAATCGCCTTGCCATAATCATATTGTATCACACCACTATACTTTCCATCCGGCTTGCTGATCACCACATCACCTAACCGAATATCATTACTTGTGCTTGGGACACCTCCTCCAATTCCTACCATCAGTCCAAATTGGATCCGCGGAAAAGTTGAAACCACATGAGACACGACAGTTGCAGCGGATATTGTTCCATATACACCTGTTGGTAGGCAAAGCAATGACAATATAATGGCCATTTAATTCACCAAGCACATACGCGTTCGGATCAGTGGGTGGTTTAGGTAAGGGTTTATGGATTCTATCCAGCATGACCCTCGCTGCTGCCATCTCCAGCGGCAAGGCGCATATCCACGCGATTGCGTAGTCATCGTTCGTTAAAGAGGTCATGGTGGATCAAAACAAGCAACATGAGAAAGCAAGTCAAGTCCAGGTATGGCGATAATGACTTTTAAAATGTGAAAACAATTTTATTGTGGGCAGGAGAATGCAAAGCACTGATTATCAGGCTGGGGAAAGAGGGTAACAGCTACGTGTTCCTGCAAGGCTGTGCACTCAACCCACAGTCGCCTAGCTACGGACATACACGTTATAATCAATTGGAGTCAATAGGAATCCATACCAAGAGTATATCTATATATTTTTTTTGGACATACAACTTCATTCAGAACTTGATTTCTTATTCCAACAAAACTTTCTTGGGAGAATGTCTTCAAGTCTTGTATTAATTCTTGACTCACGTGCCGTAACAGGAATTACTATTATCCGAACGTTTCCTATTCCTGCCAGCTGGCTTGCTAATTCCATGGATTCTCATCCAACATCTGGCCCGCCAGGCACCTATTCCCTGCGAGTGTTAGGGCCTTTGAGGATTATCTATTCTTCTACTTTTCCTATGGCACCAAATCTTCCACCATGGAAACGAAAACTTATTCAGGATATGATAAATAATACGTCACTGACCACGAATGAGATAGCATATGAAGCCAAATGCACCAGGCAAACTGTGAGTAGCATTCGCTCGAATTTAGAATGCTTTAGCGAAGTTGAAGCCCCGCCAAAACAGGTAGGCCCGCAGCGAAGCATCACCCCTTTGATGCTAGAATATCTCTGTAGACACCTGCGCGAACGACCCCACCTCTATTTGGATGAAATGGCATCCTTTCTTCAGCAACATTTTAATGTATCTGTCTCACCGAGCACCATCAGCAGAGCGCTTACTGAGAAAGGCTGGTCAAAAAGGTAATTCGACAGATATCAAACCGACGCAATGCGGATTTGCGAGATTTCTACCTCTATAAATTGTCTCAATTTCAGTCGTATCACCTTGTATATGTGGACGAGTCTGGATGTGACAAGCGGGCGGACGTCGGCGGACTGGTTGGTCTCCACTTGGGGTAACACCGGTCCAACTCTCCGAGTTCCAGCGAGGGCAACGGTATCATATCTTACCGGCATATGCTCAGGATGGCATTGTCCTCTCCAGGATCTACCAGGGGTCAACCGATGCCGCCGTGTTCGAGGACTTTATCGAACAATTGCTCCATCATTGTGGTAGATGGCCAGCTGCAAAGTCTGTCTTAGTAATGGATAATGCCTCTTTTCATCATTCTGAGAGGATCAGACAATTGTGTCGGGATGCAGGAGTAAAGTTGTGTACCTGCCACCCTACTCGCCTGATTTGAACCCGATTGAGGAGTTTTTCTTGAGCTCAAGAGCTTTATTAAGCGAAGCTGGCAGCTCTACGTGGACAGCCCTGGCCGAAATTTCCAGGGCTTTCTTCAGTGGTGTGTTGGCGTTGTAGGTGCACGGGAGCAAAGTGCCGCAGGTCATTTCCGGCATGCTGGCTTAACAATTAGCAAGATGCAACATCTGCTATAGCTGTCTAGTTGGCTTAGTGACGAAAACACTCATGTGGCATAGGAGGCATGCTCAACTAAGTACAACTTATAATGAAATAGATTTATAACGAGAAGACGCAACTTTGATTCGAATCCAAATAAGATAAATTTGAACGTAAAACCAGCCAAATAATAAACCTAGCAAGAAAGAAAATGATGCTTGAAATGTACAGTATTATATAAGCCGGAGATATCAATCAAACTCGGAGTAATCCATCTGCTCTTTGCAAATTTCAGCCCATTCAATAATGTCATCAACGAAGCGATGGGCCGTGCCTATTTTCACCTCTCTCTCTATGAAAAAGTTTGGATCTGGGCGATTAAGGATCTGTTGCAAATCAAGGCAATTCTTAAGTGCCACTTGACACGCTTTTCGGTAATCATTCTTGAGGTCATAGTCATTCACTTTTGACGCATGCCACTCGCTGTAGTTCCTGACCGCTACATCTCGAGGCCCAGCAATATCAAGACGTTTGCACCGTGATGTGCTTGAAGGTGGTGTATCTGGAACTACAGCCGGCGTCGTAGCTGGAGTGGATAATGATAGCGCTTGCGCAGGCAAAACAATGTTAATTGGAGAGCAAGTGCCCCATGTGCTGACGAACCTTTATCCTTAGATTTTGTCTTCAAGATCTTTTCCTCTGCCTTCAGCTGTTCATGGAACCAATCAGGAATGTCATTTTCGGTACGCAAGATACCACCACCATTAACAAAATCAATGAGACTTGAGAGGTGATGCTGAGTCAGCGGGAAGTGCTTTTGGGACACAGGGTCCTCAAAGCAGTGCACTCCTTGCTTACAGGCCTTATCACGACAACGCATTAGTTGATAGACCTGCCGCCAAGAACTAGACAAGCCAGAGGTGTGTTCAGCATTTAGCTGGTTCTCCATCTCCACTTGCATCCTTTGGGTCGCTGATGATCCTCTTTTATCTCCCTTTTTTTGACATGATCGACTGTCCCCAAGATAATAGAATGTAATAATCAGCCTAAGTTTCTTCCCAGCACGGAACAAGTCGCCCCAGTCCAGCAGCTGATCCTCTACGAGGGACCAATTAATATTGGTCTTCTCAAACCGCTTAGTAAGATTATGTTCGGAACGGTCGTTGATTGCAACAGTTATTGCAGTGTCATCAGGACGAACACGCTGGTCACGAGAAAATTTCTGCCCAACAACCCTTTCTAGTTTTGGGTTGAGGAATTTGTCCCAGTAGGCACTGGGAGCTAACACCAAGTTTTGCTCCGTATCGCTTACTACAACCCGCTTATTTAATGCAAGCTTCCACTCAATAGAGTAGTGAATACAGATGGGTGGCTGCTCATCATATGCTCTTTCCTCCTCCCAGTCATCCAACCCTAGCAAGGGAAGCCTAGCCTGTATTTGGGATGGGGTGGAGTAGCGCACATATGGGCCGCCGTGGTGAGAGCTAATGTAGCTAAAGTTCGAAGGTAAGGCTGGTGTTCCGTGGAAACTCCCGGGGGTGGGGGCATCCCACTGTTGGAACGTGTCATATGGAGAGATTGGCCATGATCGCCTGTGAACCACGGTACGCTATTGAGCCTCATCATATTAGCATCTCCACATTCTTTCGGGTGGCACCAGCAACCAGTTACATTACGAGGATTGCCAGTAGAGTGTAGGATCTCGGTGTATATGCAGCCTAAGCGCCTTGTACGACGGAACATTCAGCGGACGGAATGCACTAGACAAGCAAGCCTAATATCGTATTCATCAAGGCAGCAATTCCTTCCAAAATGAATACGAGAAAAATCAAGAAAATTAGCTCCGATTTTGAAGGTGCCAAAGGTCTTGGTTATCACACCTATTCCAGAGGTGTTTGAAGAGACAAGATGACACCTGGCCAGTCTGTGCGGGCACACTCTTTGTCTCTTTGTTGATGTTTTGTCTGGTTTGCAGGGAACATTCTAGAAACATCTGCATATTTACAATACAAGAAGCAACACCTGGTTTCGTATACTTACGTTCAATACTAATCGTAAATTACTAAATTAACAGACTAAACCTAATCTGGATTAGATTGCGGGAATGGCGCTGAGGAGGAGTCAAAGAGTTGTAGACCATGTAAAGCCGAACTTGCAAGGCTCTGTACTACTACTACTACTACATTTGGTAGTCTATGATGGTTATCACGTGACTGCTTATTTGCATTGTTTGTACGTACTTATTTACTTCTCTGCATCCCCCCCACTACATTCTTCCTTTCTCCAAGCTTGAAATTCTTGTTAAGATAGCACCAATTTAATCTAGTTGTTCGGCCATCACATCTACGGTTGCTCAGCGTGGTTCGTTCGAGGCGCCAAAGGCTATCAATCGAGCGCCACACAAATCACCAATGTGCTGGAAAGCATCCAACACCGCGCAGTATGCCGCGTGGTGGGTGCTTTCCGCACGGCCGCACCGGTCGCCCTGGAAGTATGATTATACGCACCGCCACGCGAGCGTGGCGCTGCGCATGGCTACCGACAGGGCCTGCCTACAAATCATGTCTTCCCCGTTCCACTAAACCTTGCGCACCATACGCAACGATGCCCCAACGCGACCCGGCACTATCACAGCTGCATCGGCTTGAACGACGCGTTGCCCAGGCTCTCGAGGAGGACCCGGAGCAATTCAGCGTGGAAACAATCCAGCCTATGTTCGTGCCCCCATGGTGGGATCCACCGGAAATCACCATTGCCGACACACGCGAAGAAGCAATCCAGCAACATAACAGCCTCCCCCGAGACGCCACGAGGGTCTGTACCGATGGTAGCAGTTACTAGGGCGGCATCGGAGCCTCGGCAGTTATCACTGCGCGACAGGAATCCTTATACCTTCCAGTTGGACAAGAGACAGCTCATACGGTCTACCATGCGGATTGGACTAGCGCGCTTTCTGTATAAGATCAAGGCACCGAAAGCGACCGGTGTGGCTGCGGGGAGGGCTCGCAGACTCCAAAGCACGTCCTCCAGTGCTCGCTGCACTCATGACGCAGAGCTACGACACAGCTGTGACGTGGCAGGATGGGGAGGAAGAAAGTGCTTTTGGGTTACCTTTCGGATTAGTTGTGTGTTTTTATATTTAGCGATCTGCTGACTTTCCTTTTACGCGTTTTATGCAAGCGTTCGCTACTGTCTGTCTTATGTGGGATTTTATAGGGCGTTTAGACCTCAGGTTCTTGCTTCATTAGGGAAGCACCTGCATAGCTAGACGCTTCAATAGTCGGGCTGCAACAGGTCAATAGAACCTTGAATTGAATTGGATTGGATTGGATTGGTAGGTCAAAGATACATACATAGAATCCAAAAAGAAGGGAAAGAATGTGGAATATGAGTAGGCGGATGGTGTCATAGAGCCAGTCCAGTGCCCTTTCGAGTCCATCGATAGAGAGCCAAGACGGCCTTGCGGCGATGGCGGATCTCGCTGTGGTTAACGGGTCGTCCGCGTGCCTGAGCCACGGCACTGCGCATGACCTGGCGGAAATTACGCTGGTATTCGGTGTTGAGGGTGACGACGCACGATTCGGTGGCGCGAATCATCACTTCGCAGGCGTTCAGGATGCCCTCGCCGGCTTCCTTCTGCAGCCGTTCGACGATCAAGAGCAGGAGAAAGCTGCCTTGCAGAAGCTGGATGCCGAAGAAATACGGTATGAAACTGATGTCAGGGTCAAAGCGCAGGATCTGGTGGACAGAGTCGGCTGCGTCTAGCGCATGCGAGATGGTGGAGGCGAAGGCTGGAGAAGAGGTCCAGAAGTCCTTATCTTCGATGAGGGATACGGGATCCCATTTACCCACGAGCAGAATATGGAGAACGTGCACGAGATAGGAAGCATACGAGATGACAGTTTGCGTGTGCCAGGAGTTTGCCTGAGAGAGGCTGGGTTCGACCACTGGCGGCGGGTCCGGCTGGGATGGAGTGAAAGTGGACGACAACGATGGCTCCGAGTCAGACGTGGCGGCCCCAAAAGTGGTAAGACTGGCCTTGTAAATTTCGAGTTGGCGCAAGACTTCACTGACCTGGGTCTCCCAGACATCCTTTCCCAGCAAACGCAAACCGAGGATAGGATGGTTGCGGCTCTGGTTGAGATCAATCAGTTCACCAGTTATGGTCATCAGCGGCAAGAAAAAGCCAAAGATGGAGTGGTCGTGGCAGATGAAGTTCGGGAATATGCGGCGTTTGTTCTTGTCACCCGAGAGTGGACACTGGGGCCCGTCGGGTTTGGGGCTGTTGCTATGGACGTTGCCGGACTGCCACGAGCCTTCGTCCAGCGGCAGCAGAAGATCCTCGCTCTCGGCATCCAACAAGGCCAGTGGCCGGTTGTAACATAGGGCGAGATGGCGGTCCATGATATACAGCAGCCACCATGCCCGGCGCCGCTCCTCCCGATGTTCTTCGGTGATAGTGCTCTGTGCATCACGGCCACGCTCGCAAACGCAATTGAGGCTCGGTCGAGTTGGGTTGGAATAATCGAACAAAGACCCCGTATCCACCCCATTCCAACCTGGTAGAGAATACTCAAAGGATGGGCTCGATTCTTCCGTAGGGTTGTTGGCGTTGGGCATCACCTCAATTTCCTGATTCAATTTGAGTTCACGCGCCAGTGTAAACGCGGCATGCCACCTATGAACCCGTTAGTGAGGGACCCGCTAAACCGCACCAGAAAAGTATTCCAACCAACCATCGCATACTGGCCGCCTTTTGCTCACTGGCCGAGATGATCGAGGCGACATGGATGTATGTGATTACATCATCCAGAGAGCCGACGGGGCCCACCAAGCCTCGATCGTCCCCCTCACCTTCAAAGGGATGATGGGTGGTGGTCGGGGGTAATTCCTGACCCACAGGAGCACAAGTTGAGTCATTCGCCGCAGAACGTTTCTGCTCCTTGAACGAAACGTGGATTAACGGCCGCAGCAAACGAATGGTCAGCGCACAGAGAAACTGGCAAATCTTTTTCCGCTGGGGCGGAGAGATGGGTAGTGCAAAGGCATGGTTATCAAGAGCCGCCACCCAGAGCATACTGGCCAGCAGAGCAGGGCTGCTGGGACGAGGGAAATCCCGACGTAAGAAGGACGATTTACGGAGGATATAACAGTGGATGTGGTGACACACGGGGTGCATATGAGTGGAGAAGGCGCTGGTGAAGTACAACTCCAACAGGTCGAACACCAGCGGCCGAGGTATGTTCGCATCCAGGAAAGGCATTAGGGGTTCCAGCGCGGGATACTTCAGAGTTGTGGACGACACGCCCGAGGTTAGGCCCATTGTGTTCCTTGCCTGCCGTGTCGCCCCATTATGACCGGCCAGGTCGACTCCGTTCCACATATCAAACATACACGGAAAGGGACCATCATCCACCCCAGCACCTGCACCCCCCAAGATATCATAGGAGCCCGGTGATACGTGCGCAGCTGACAGCCATTCCTCCGTCACATTGGTTCCAGGCCCGGGACTGGATCTCCGAGGCTGTGCTGAGACGTTGGCTTGTGACCGCCGCTCGTCGATACTCAGAGCAGATGTGGTATGGTCATTTGTCACCGGGGAACGGTGGTGGAAGCTGGACGACGGAGAGGCATTCGGCAGTGGGGTGGTCGCAGCGAGGGCGGGGGCGGCTGGAGGGTCCGTCTGGCGGGAGCGAGCGATGCGACCTCGTTTGCGACGCTCTCGAGTGAACTCGCAGTGGATATCACTGCGCAGGCAGCGGGAACAGGGAAAGGCGCGGTCACATCGCACCCGACGAGCGTGGCAGGAGTCGCAGGCGATGCGGTTACGCCTCCATCGGCGTTTCGCAGGACCGTTGTGCGGATTGTCGGTCCCTGCGGTATTACCTGACGGTGCCTCCACCAACTGAGCTGGATCCATTTCACGCCGACATTTGCGATGCAGGACTTAATGGACAGATGAACAGGAAAGAGAGAGGGAAGAAAGGAAGGAACGGAGTCGTCTCCACGCTTAGTCATAGGATGCCTGCATCGTCAGGCACATCACTTTGCGCGGGAAGCGAGGAAACATGGGACTCGTTTCGAGATTAGAGCAATCAATGCCCCATTCTGGCATCTAGTCAGTTTGTGATGCCCTGTTTGATCTCCTCCCAGCATGATCAGCCTGCGTCGGCTTGCTTCATCGCGAAAATACATCTGCGAGCGATATTCCTCACGGGGTTCCCTATCTCCCGCGGTAGAGGGAACAGGTCGATCATGTCCCATTGAGCCTGCATCCTAGCTGGACCGGATATTTCCGCAGTATTCTTGATCTGGGATTATTTATGCCATTGGAAGGCACCGCAGTCACCTTTTATCCAGCAGTACGATCGGGATCAACTGGGTCGACAATCTCGACCCGCCCAGCAGTTCCGCCGATGAGAAAGATGGGAAAACAGGAAAGAAGTAACGAAATTGCATGGATGAGAAGGAACACACTTTGATTGAGCGTGGTACATGTGCTTTCCCGAGTCCTATTCCGATCAACTTCATCCTATCCCAGTTCAGCATTGCAAACCCTCCCTGAATCCAAATCCAGCGCGAGTCGTGATGGCTTCAGGAGAAGTTGAGACCGGGGACCCGTGTGAATCATGTCCAAAGCAAGTCATGCCTGACATGACGTGTCTAATGCCTCTCTGCCGTGTTACACCTGAACTTCTCCCCATTGGCGGTCCTTTCCTCCACGCCAACGCTTGAGAATCTCCGTCACTTCAAGTTGGATGGTGCACCTCGAGCTGCAATTCACACCCCAGTTTGCTGCGAGACAAAGAAAAGAAATTCTGAGGCGTCCATTGTCGACGTGGGATTGTATACGTACTTAGGTAGGATATACGGAGTACTCTCCTCGGGTTCGGCCTCCCAGCACTACTAATGTCCTTCTCTCCCTCCCAATTGTCCGGGCCATACAAATAATCCTGGAAGCATGCTTTCATTGACCCATGGCTCAATTTTCATACATCTTCGATGGTCGATTTCAGCCGTGAAGGCCCTCCCGAGCTGCCTTACTACACCGTGGCGTTTGCCGGCGTTACCTGGTACAGTGCGCTGGAATTGCTCGTGCTGTGCATCTGCACCTTCCAGCATCGGAGCTGTTATTTTTGGTCCTTGCTTTGAGCAACCACGGGCATCATTCCATACTCTTTGGGATACCTGCTCATTTACCGCTATCCGCAGGTGTCTCCGCACGTGCCCCTCACCTTGGTCTTGGTCAGCTTCTGTGCGATGACGACGGGCCATTCTTTGGTGCTGTGGATGCATCTGCACTTGGTCTATCCCAATCCAACCGTTCTGCGAGTGATCCTCCGGGTTATTCTGATCAATGCCATCCTCCTGCACATCCCCAGCGCCCTCCTCCTATGCCTGCACCTTTCCGTCCTGTGGGAGCGTGCAACTGGTTGTACAGCATCCTGAGTATCATCAACGGCACGATTCTGTGTTTGCAGGAGGGCCTGCTGTCCAGCATTTGTTTGTGGGAGGCCATCAAACTGCTCCGGCCTATATCCATGGCCGGCGTATTCTCGCCCATGTGTTCCTCGCCAACGTAACCATCCTCGCTCTTGGCATTCTTTCAGCCACGCTCAAATTTGCCGCCGTGTACAATATCCATTTCCTGCTCAGTGCCTTCATATACAGCGTGAAACTGAAGCTTGAGTATGCCATTCTGGGCCAGCTGGTCCACATTGCCAAGGCAGGGGCCCAAGGTCCTCAGGCTTCGTCTGCATTGCCTTCTTGGCACGAGACGTTGAGCGAGTTCCGATATCGGAGACGAGGGGGGATTCAGAGCATTTCAGACGGTGATTCAGGTCCTATAGGTGGGCACTTGTTGCGTATACTCTGACGGTTTTCAATCGTGGGTGATGCCTTGGAGACCAGGATTACGTTGCCTAGTATATAAATAATATTTATACCCGTGAATCAATGATTTTCCCTTGTCCCGATCCGTGTAAACTATCAGGTATTGTGTATAATCGTGGATGAAACACGGAAAGACTTTGGTGTGTTATGAAGGAGCAAGAAGCAGTGCCGAAATAGGCTAGCGCCATGCGTCATCTGCCCAGCTCGAGAACATTATATTATTTGGAGCCCAATGACTCCTCCCAATTCCATTCCGGAGCAAAAGATTTATCTTCATCCACCCCACCACGACATATTCAATAACTCATGGCATCCTCCAGTTTCCCTCCAGCTCCCACGGAGTCCATTACCTGGTCCAATGTGGGCTTCAAAGTCCGCGACGGCAGGTATTCCCTCCTTCATTCTCTATATGCTGTTAACTAACGTGCGTGCGTTCCCTCTCCGCTCTGCAGTCAACGGCCATGTCGAATGCCACTTCTCGCGCAGCAACGGCAGCAACCAATGGAGCGCACCGAAGTTTGTGCGATCCCCTCACCTCCCCATCCACGGCATGGCTCCGGGCCTGAACTACGGCCAACAAGCCTACGAAGGCCTCAAAGCTTTCCGCCATTCGAACGGCTCCATCTCCATCTTCCGCCCCGATCGCAACGCCCAGCGCATGCGTCGCTCCGCCGAGTTCGTCTCCATGCCGCCTGTTCCCGAGGACCTGTTCGTGAAATGCGTGACCCTCGCAGTCGCCGCCAACGCCGAATTCGTGCCCCCACACGAGACCGGTGCCGCCATGTACATCCGGCCGTTATTGTTCGGCTCATCCGCCCAATTGGGTCTCAGTCCACCCGATGAGTACACCTTCGTCGTGTTTGTCATGCCCACTGGCGTATACCACGGCGTTCATGCCGTGGATGCCTTGATCCTCGAGGATTTTGATCGTGCCGCCCCGGAAGGCACCGGGTCCGCCAAGGTGGGCGGAAACTATGCCCCCGTGCTGCGACATAGTGGACGAGCCGCGGCTGAAGGGTTCGGCATTACGCTGCACCTGGATAGTCGGACGCGATCGGAGATCGATGAGTTCTCAACCTCGGCGTTCATCGGTGTCCGCAAGGACCCGGCGTCTGGTGCGGTGACTCTCGTGCAGCCGGATAGTAACAACGTGATCGATTCGGTCACTGCCGCATCGGTCTGTGAAATTGGCCAACGCATTTTTGGCTTCGCGGTCGAGAAGCGTCGTATCCCGTACGAGGAGATCAAGGAGTTTACCGAGGTTATAGCCGCTGGGACGGCGGCCGCGTTGGTACCCATTCGCAGTATCACGGTGCGCTCGCGCGATGACAAATTCTCCTTTGAGTGTGGTGCAGATGGTCAGAGTGGAGGTGACATTTGCGTAAAGCTTCTGCAGACGCTCAAGGGCATACAGACCGGAAAACTCGAGGATCGGTTCGGTTGGAACTTACCTGTGCAGAGACCGCCGCAGGACTGGGTCGAGGGTAAAGTGTAGGTGAAAACTGAGTTGGAAAAGAAAAATAGAAAGATAGAACAGGAACATACGTTTAGTTACTTTTTCGGGACTGTGATGTAAGGGGATTAACCCAATTTCTGGTTAATAAATACACAACTGTTAAACCCAAGCGATTCTGATGGAGGTATCCATGCATACTATCCAGTCAAAATGGTACATGAATCCCTGCTCGAACGAGGCAAATAAGGAACACAATCAAATGTACATCGAAAAAGGGTATCAGGTTCTCGACCGGCGTCGCACATTCCGTAGTTTCCCTACCTTCCCACTCGAATGGATATCGCCGTCATCAGAGCTGCCGCTCTCGCTGTCACTCCCACTCTCACTTTCGCTTTCGCTTTCCTCCGAGTCGCTGTCCGAGGGCCCGTCAAAAATGTCTCCATGCCGGCGCTGTGCGGAGGTAGCCCGCTTGGGCTGTGTTTTCGCCAGTTGCTCCTTTTTCTGGTCCACCTTCAGCGACTTCAAGCTGGGACGGATCTGCGAACTAGCCGAGGGGCGTGACCATGTCTGCAGTGGCGCAGGTCGAGAAGATGTTGGGGGTTTGGCACTAGATTGAGAAGTCGAAATATTGCTTCGTCGGATCAAATCGGCTTTGCTTAGCGGAGGTTGGTTCTCTTCCTCGGAGTCAGTTTCTTCTTCGCATTCGGATTCCGACTCTTCGGATTCAGAAGACGATGAAAGTTCTACCGACTTCGAAGGAGTCGGTTTCTTGGACGCTGGCCGTTCCGCGGTCTTGGCTGTGCGCCTAGACGCTACATCGACACGATGGACGGTTCCCATGGGGGGGTGGTAGCTCTAGATCGTCTGTCATCTGGGAACTCTGAGAGACTTTGGCGTCAATCGAAGTAGTTGCCCGCGTGGCACGCGTTATGCCAGAGGAGGTCGGCGTCACTGTTTTGGTTACTTCGCTGGTATCTCGAGGATTGCGTGGGCTTTTCCTAGCGGTGGATGCAGTCTGGTCCTTCGACCCAGGCATCATCTCCACACTGTTGACTGCTTTCCATGAAGTTGATCGCGGCGCCGGACTGTTGCTGACCGCCACATTGTTCGTAGTGTCATCGATGATAGGAGTAGTGGTACCTCTCTTCGGCGGTGGCGCGGTCAGTATTGGGGTCTTGTCCATAGCTTCTTCTATTTTGGCAATTTCCTGTCGTAAGCTCTGGAGCTTGGGCCGGAGAGTTGACAAAGCCTTCTCCCTGTGGCGAGTCTCATGCATTCGTATTGTCGTCAGAATCTTGTACGCCTCATTCAACTTACGAGTGTACTGAGGGCTCAATTTTTGTTCTTCGGCAATCTTGATTTTCTCCTCCAGCTCTTCCTTCTCCCTAATTTTCTCTTCCGCCTCTCTCTGCATCTTCTCCAGCCTTTCTTTCGACACATTGTCAGGATAGATGATAGTGCCGGTGTTTGGCCTTCTCCTCTCAGAGGGAGCACTTGTGGATGGCTTGGCGGTACTCTGAGGAGCTGACATGGGGGCCGGTCCAGAACCGGTAATGAAAACATCGTCTCCTTCAGCAAAGGATACCGACCGGCGTTCCGACGACCTCTCAACTGGTGAATCCTTACGCATCGCTGACTGTAACTGTTTAGCCTTGTTCGCTGGAGTAGAAGCTTGCGACTTGGAAGGACTCGAGCGGTTCTGGAAACCCCAACGAGGGATGGGTGCACTGTTTGGGATTGAGAATACGCTATCGCTGGGCCCCGGCGAATCCTGAGATAAATCGAGCATGACTGGTTCCTTCTTTGGTGGGCTTTTGGTAATACCCAGCCCGAGACCCGGCTTGGAAAACTCCTGTGGCCGCTCAGAAAAGCTCAAGCGCCTTGCGAGGCCAGAAAAGGATGGTGCTCTCTCTCTTCTGCGCGTTGCCGATGGGCTGGTACTAGGCGATTTCGAGGATTTCCCCGTAGTAACCTGTTCGCCGTGGCTTGCTTGAGTTGAGACAGCAGGGGTTCCGGCCTGATCTATGCGCTGTTGTTTATTCGGCTGGAGGTCTTCAGTGCTCTTCTTCCTCTTGAGCAAACCACTTTCGGAAGCGTGACGCTCCGGTGCTGCCATTTTGCCTGGCGCTGGATCTTCGATCGAGCTGCCCCGGGGTTCGGCTAGCTGGTCCGCCGTGGCACTGCCATTCATGGTGATATTGCCGTCCATATCGTGATGCTCTTTTGCCTCACGCCCTTTCTCTTCTTCGCCACTTTCATCTTCATCACTACCCTGCTCGCTTGACCCTTCCTCTTCTTCCTCACTTGGCGCTTCACGCTGAGAGGGAAGGCGTGGTTCTGCAGGTTCGATGATGTGCCGATTCGAAGAGGCCTGGCCATGGGATGAGCTAGATTTGGATGTAGACCGCTGCATGTTCGGTGTGTGCTTGGGAGATGATGGTGGGGAATCGCCTAGTTCTTGGCTCTCCAAACGTTTATGCTGGGGGTTCGCAGCGACCGTGCTGCCATGACGATCCTGCGAATGCTCATCCCAAATGGACTTGCTACCCCACTGCGGGGGTGACCCCGGGATTTCGGCTCTATCTGTAGACGACAGGGGACGTTCTCGAGCAGGATTTATGTCCACAGCGGTGGTTGCTTGCTCATCGTAAATGTAGGGTTCAGACTCAGAAGAAGTCCTCCGCGGTTCCTCAGGAATAGGCGAGAACCGAAACTTCTCAACTACTTCTTTCTTCATCTTTGCCTGGCGCTCATAGTCCTGCGCCGCAGCATCCCAGTCCTGGGTCACAGATGGGAAGCGAACCGGAGCGTAGGGGGCCGGTTTTTGGATAACTCGCACCGTACCGCGCTGGTCACTTCCGTCAGTGCGAGCTTTCCCGTTGTCAACGAAAACTTGAGCGACGGTCATTTCTGCATCGAGATCGTCGGACTCGTAGGAATCGTCGAGTAGTTTTTTGATATCTAGAGGTCTAACCATTCCTAATTAGCAATCTGACCAGGAAGATCTGAAGACCAGTCCCTCTTCAGCAGTACCCGCCATGTAGAGAAGAAAGGGAAGGTAAGAAGATCCTCGCTTTGCACTCACTCAGCATTAGGCCTAAGCTTTGCCCATTTCTCTTGGATCATGCCAGATAGTCCCCCCAGGGTCACCTCCTCCGGGTTCTCCAAGGCCAACAGGAAGCTGGCGGGCTTCCCATTCCCCGGGGCGGACGAGCTTCGATTGGACTCATCACGATCACGGTCACCGAGGAAGGAGCGGATAAAAGACGAGGAGGACTGGAGCTGCTCGCGAGGGTAGACCTTTACAGTGAGGCGTAGAAACACCATAGTTGAAGGCGTGTAATTCCAGATATCAGGAAATAATGGGGAGGGTATCACTCATTATTTAACTGCAGTAGTAAGAGGGAGAGATCTTGAAAAAGAAGAGAGAGGTAGAGCGCAACGGAAGGACAAACACGACAGGAGAGTGAGCAGAATTTGCACGGGAGTACAGTGGAAAAGTGCGAGAGGGGCCAATGCTAGGATCAGGTGAATGCAGCAAAAACAGACAGCCCAGCCACCCACAATGGATGTCCTGCTTGAGTGAAGACGACGACGACCTGTCAACTGAGGCTGGGAGCTCGCAGGAGCCAGGAGAAACAGTGTAGGATGATGCGTGGAGGCAGAAATGATTGGCCCGACCAGACGCGAACCCAGGCTCTTCACCGCCGGAAGGTTCCCGGCTCGGCCCATTTCGACTCTACAGGTCCTGACAGGCCAGGCTCCGCGTTGCGGACTATGTATGCAGTGACTACGGACTTCTGCCTACATATATACGATGGTGGCTGGAAGTGGGACTCCCAACAGGGTAATCTATTCACCACTTATTTATCGACTGTAGATGTATCGAACGCGCTAGATCCAAAAAATTACATGCGAGTTATTCAGGAACGGTAAAATACCGCTTGAACCGATCACTCCGTGTCAACCGCAACTCCACAATAACTGAGTGACAGCTCATTAACAGGCTCGGAAACCGAACCGTCCAGAAGTTCAGGTATCCCTCCGGTAGCCCGCCAATATGAGCCTTGAGATGCTCCGGCATGTCGTTGTAATGGTTACGCTTGTTCCGCAACGCCCGTAGCAGATCCAGCATCTTTGAGCCCGTGTACTTGCGTTGTTTGCCCAGATTATCCTTGAAATCCTTCGGAAGGAGGCGCAGAAAGTCGATGTCTGGACCCATCACCTGTAAAGCCACCGATTCCAGGCACATAAGTGCATCGGAAGGAGGTTCCCGCGGCTCAAACTCGAAGTGATCAGACACGTCGCAAAGGAAGCTAAGCCGCTCGGATGGGGGCCAGAAGAATGGATGTGTCAAGACAGCACTCGCATCCGGTCTGCGAAACATTAGTCAGAGCTGACAAGGGGAGAGGGATGACGGGGGAAAAGAGACATACCGCTTCCGAGGATCCAGCGACAGCATCGATCGTATAAGGTCGTGAGCTTCGAAGGCGTAGTCCCCAAGATGCTGTAGCTCATCAAGATTGAAATTACCCTTAACAATATTGGCTTCACGCATAAACTTGCCGTTCTTGTCAAACGGATGGCTACCCCTGGTCAGGACGTAGTAGAACACGCATCCCAAGGAGAAGATGTCGATGGCACGAGTAGCCCGTCGATTCGTTTGTGGATCCACTACAGCGGGCTCGGAGGATTCGGTGTGCTGAGACTCAACCCCCTGAATAGCTGGGCTCTTGTCATCATCGACCAGCAGCTCAGGAGCTCGCCAGCCAGACGTGCCCGCAGCATGCGCCGTGGTTGCTCGGAACGAGCTCTGGTTGTCTTCGAGTTTCTTACATAGACCAAAATCCGAGATCAGCAGCCGAAGAGAACGCGAGCCCGTGCGTCCGCGAGGCATCGAGACAAGAATATTCTGCGGCTTCAAATCGCGATGGACGATCTTCAGGGAATGAAGGTAGCGGACACCGTAGACGATCTGACGCAGGACATCAGGCATGTCCAACCCGCCCTGAACCAGCTGCGGATAATCAAACGGGCGCTCGATTACTTCCTGCAGGGACGCAGGACATAGCTCCAGGGCAATGTAGAGAAAACCAGCTGCTTGTTCGCGACAAAAGTAGCGGATGACGTTGTTGTGATCATCACTTTCCTGTAGCAATCCAACTTCATGGGAGGCAATGTCATAAAATTCGACCAACATTCGTTTGACCGCAACATCACGTCCATCAAACGAGCCGCGATACACCACGGTTCCATGACTACCGTGGCCCAAGACGACATCGGTGAGCACCCTTAGTCGGCCAATTTGGAGTACGCCGTCCACCTCAACGATTTCATTGGACACCGTGCGTGTCAACGGAACGTCTGACTCCAGCCTAGATTGAGGTTGAAGGCTATTCACCTCCACAACTCGGTCCTCCTGTTCCTTTCCATCCCCCTCGGCAGCGGGTTTCTTCCCACGACGGTGATTTTTGCCGCCGCGATGACCGCGCTGGCGCTTCTTTTTGGGTTTCTCCGTGCCATCGAGAGTTAAGGCATCCACATCCTCATCGCCGCTCGGACCACGAGAAGGCTCTCGGATCCGCACTCGTGGGGTGACATCAGGTGCAAGGGAATTGTCACGTTTATTCGCCTTCGGGGTGGCATCGCCGCCATTCCGTTGCTCCTCAAGAACACTCACATCGACAGTTACATCGGGCACTGGTCGGGAAGGACTATTTTCCCTTTTGAAGGGATTGCTGCCAACAACAGGGGTCGACGGGGTTGACAGTGATGGCTGTCCATAGGCAGAGATGATGTTCTTCAGATCGAGTTTTTGCTTGGCCAACTCTTGGATGTGATGGGAGTTGAAGTAGATAAACGTGCAGAAGAACAGTAGTAACAGAGTCACAAAGATGTCCACAGCGTTGTCCCAGCCTTTGCGAATAATTGCGCTATGTCGCAAGGCTGGTGGCAGGGCCAATTCGGAAGAACTACGGATCAGATCTTGGGGTGTGTCATTAGAACGGTCTGCAGTCGATCCCGATATACTGGGAATGTGAGGGCGGTCAATGCGAGGGCCGTTGAGAGAGTGGACACCAGCCAGTGCATCACGTTGTTGAGTAGTCGTCAGACTCATCAGGGATTGACCGTGACGGAAGTAATCCTTCTCGTAGCATTGCGCCATCTTGGCCCGACCCGTAACAAGGGGGTAGGTCTCTTCGGACATGGCATACCATCCGCCTGCATCCGTGCAATCAATAAAGACCCGCGTGTCTCGGTCATCCAAAGGGCCGTAGTCAGGATCTGGGGGCTGCAAGGGCTGTGACAGGAGCACCAGGGGGGTGGGTGCGTCGGGTAGATCGATATTGGCCGGGCGAGCTACGTCGAATACCCGGACGACTGGGGAGGAGAACCGTTGTGTATACCGGGGACGTTCCATGCGAGAATGATCGAACCCCAGTACGACGCCATCATGCATGCTGTAGATATGGCTCTGGTCCATTGTCTGGAAGTATTGACTCTGGAGATCCATGTCCCGATTGTTGGCCGACCACTCCGAGTACTTCAATGTGCAGATCGGATCCCCCGTTTCAGTATTTTGGATGGCCACTGCGTATTCGATCCGACCAAGAACCAACGTGCCTGAAGGGGATTCGCATTCTTCGGCATCCACGTCGAGGTCATCCACTTTGCGACACTCCTGACCTGCGGGGATCGGCCCTCTGGAGCTAAAGACTTGCAAGATCGTACCGGTGCGGGCATCGATGGTGTAGAGAGTTGTTTCTTTCCGAGCGGTATACGTGACTGCGGGATCGTTCCCCGAGTACGGGGTCTCATCCACCAGCTCCTTGACTGTCAGCCCCAGTTTCTGAAGGCCGGCATCAGGGCCGGGGCTGTAGATGTAGATGCTGCCCCCCTGGCTTGGCTCAACGATCCATAGGAAATCATCTTGGGGTTGTGTACGGTCGAAACTCGACCGGTTGGCTCGATGATAGATGCTCTCGACCATGGGACTACTCGGCACCTCAAGGGCCCAACGAGCTGTGCCGGTCTTGCGGTCTCGTGCGTGAATGGAACCGTCGACGGTCGCCAGCAGAACAAAATCCTCAACCTCCCAGTCCTGCAAGGACCGCGCATGAAGCTGCGGAGCCAGACCAGCAGAGGGGCTACTGGCCTGGGCAGGAGGGGCTCGAACGGCGCGGCCGGAACCCGCCAGAGCCAGAGTTGCTAGGGCGCTCGCATCGTTGGACTTCACGTTCAACGTCGGAGGGGTATGGCTTTCCAGGACCTTTCCGGTCGGATCGAGCGGAACGGACACGGTGGAAGGACGGTCATGATGTTCATGCAGCTGCTGCGGAGCGACAAGAACAGGGAGCAGAAGGAGTGCGACGCTGGCGGGGAGGGTCGTACGGGCGCCAGGCAGCCGCCACCGCATCCTCAAACACGACAACGCGGGCGAGACAATGAGGGTAGAAAATTGTTCGAGGACTGTGGGATAATGACCAACGTCCCATCAGTTTGGGGAGGGGAGGAGGGAGGAGATGAAGGAGAGGTCTGTATCCGTTTGCGAGGGCCGGTGTGTGTGCGTGCGGACAGGGCTGTCAATAAGACGCAGGTCAAGATGCGTGTGTCCGTTTGTGTGGGTGGTGCCAGCAAAGTGCGGAGAGTTGAACCAACGGTACGACCAGTCCAACAATGAGGATTATCCTGGAGCCAATCAGTGGACGGACCATAGTGAAGATTAGTGGAAAGGACAGGGGAATACACACCAGACAGTAAGTATATTTGGGGATGAAGAGCGAAAGGAATAAATAGGAAAGAGAGCGAAGGTTCGAGGAAGAAATAAGGAAATCCAAGCACGTGTGTGCGAAGGGAGGGAAAATTGAAAGGCCCGAGCGAAGGGTGAAACGAGAATGATTACCTGTTGAGACTTGTGCTTGTCTGACTGTCTGACTCTGACTGAGTAACTGATTATTGATTGACTGACCGAAGGTGTGCCCAGGGGCCAAGCCAAGGCACTTCAATTCAGTCAAAGGTGGCAGGGCAAGTTGAGGGAATCTGGGCTCGATGGAAGGCAAAAGAATCCCCTCAATACGTCTTAATACCGTTCTAATACCGTTTTAATACCGTTTGGGCCTGAGGCCAGCCCACTCGGAGTAATGAGTTTCATCCCCATTGGGTTTAGCGACTCCTATTGCTTACGCGCCACCGTTTCTACCATGTTAGTTACCGTATAAATGAACCGGTTCGGCAGACTCCTCCCTGCTGTGGGAAATTGATAGGCTATGCATGCATGCATGGTAATCCACCTGGTCGGTCTCTATTAGCCCCCGATGGCCGTCGTAGAGGTCAGCGGCGCTCTTCTTCCATAGTATATCCATTGTGGGTATTACAAGCGTCTGAATATAGTGATTCCGGAACAATACGGGCGGATCTCCCGTTGTTTCAGTCTGTCAATTTGTGGAAGAAGAGCCCACTACGGAAACATCCGCGACGCAGAGAATGTGTGTGTACAGTGCAGATCATAGGCACGGCACATGTGCGTCCTCCATGATGCGTCCATCGAGTCGATCAACTCAATTAGGAGGCGAATGACCGGTTGTCACAGCTCTGGCAGTGGTTGCTCTCTTTCCTCTCTCGCCGCCGTCTTTTTGCCTCGATACTCGTTTACAAAGCTCTGTGTAGTTCGAATATATTTGCCATGGGGATTTTCATGAAATAGTTAGCCGAGCAAAGGCCGTTCGCTCAGCGAGGGATAATTCAATCACAATCAGAATCAAGAGCACAATATCATTTCGAAAACCCCTGTGGAATGAAACCATCCAACGCCACAACCCCAGATCCGTACTAACCGACCCTGCCAAAGTGATATCCAAGCCCTACACATGACAAATTACAATCTCGAATATTATAGCATACAGCCGCAAACAAAGGACCGTCAAAAACGAAGGGGGAAATAAAAGAAGAGAAAAGGAAAAATCACGGAGAAAACCAGACTGCAGACAGGGAGTTGAAACTCTGCTGATCCTCGAACGCCGCTGTAACCTTCTGCACCTGAACTCGCTGAATATCAGATGTGCTCCCCCAACGCGGCGTGGGCATTTCACCCACCATAAACCATCCAGGACACGGCCGCAATCCAGCCACCGGCAACAACGACGGTCAGGATCGACGCACCAACATGGTCGCCGACGGTGATCGGCCTCGGCGTATTTGGCTGCTTCTGGGGCCCGGAGCCTGCACTGGGATCACTTTTACTGGTACCACCGGTATCCGATGTCAACGGAGACAGGCTTTGATTCTTATGGGCGATCATGGTGGAGGAAAAGACACTGAGGGCGCTCATATCCTGCTCTAGCCCCTTCGAACCATCCCAATTGTCCTGATGCCAGCGTCGTCCGCACTGGGTCTTCGTGTTTCCTCCGGAGCATTGTTTCGCTGCCGCCAGGGCCGATGCTTGGATCTTGGGGATGATCTGGTCGGCCGTGTACGGCACGATGGTCGTCATGAACGTCAACCAGGACGACAGAAATCCCTTGAAGCAATCCTGGTTACGATCGCACATCATATTCGGCTCGCAGGAAATCTCGGACATAACTTTCCCTCCGAATTCTTTGGGAAAGAACTTGTCCAGCGTAGTCCCAAGGTAGCCATCAATGGCTTTCTTCCATTTCTCTCCGCCGTTGGTCTAAACCTTGTCAGCCAGATTCACCACTGGTTACGCTGACCCAGCACATACCAAATTATACATGTACGCGGCCCCACTTAGATAGGTTCCATAGTTGTAAGTCCACTGGAGATCGCCGTGATCTGTGCAATTGGTTTCCATGGTCGTCGTGTCTGCGATCGTCCATTCATCCAGTCTCAACAACGGGGTTATGGCACTCCAGTCCCAAATCTTCTCTGCCCAGTCCATGTATGTTTGGTTCCCAGTATACCGACCCAGTCGCGCTGCCAACTGAAACAGACCACCGTTAGAGATGGCGTTCTTCGTGGTGTACCCTGCCTGGTAGGGGAATATCTGCCATCGCAATCCGCCCCCACAGGAAGTCATATCCCAGCGAGGCACCTGCGTGTTGAAGACCCCTTGGGCCAGCGACAACCACGAGGGTTCCCCATCCTGCTCGGGGAAGTTCAGCTCCGCTGCCGTGATAGCGGCCAAACCCCAGAAGACCTGATCGTCGTTGCCGAGGAAGTTGCTGTCGTTGGCGGGGAAGTAATCATTGTTGCCTTTCTGCCAGAGCATGCCTTGGGTGGTGACCTCATTGTAGGACGTGTCGCCCGTCCAGAACCAGTACTGGATCAAGGTCATAAACATCGCCCCGCCTTCCCACCAAGTATCGGGGAGTTTTCCGGGGATCTGGCCGGATTCGTTGCCGTGGTAGTTACTCATCATATTGAATGCCGCCGTCGCGGCCGCATTTTCGATGGATTCTGCAGGAGACAGTGCAATCAGGACGCGCCCAGGGGACGAAGACCCCGTGAGGGAAGCTTACTAGGGTCGTTGACATCTAGTTGAATCTGGGAGACTACTCCCTGGCCAGCCAGGAAGACGGACAGAAGTCGTGGCCACAGCCAGTTCCGCATCATGGATGATAGCAATCGAGTGTATGATGCAAAATGGAGCAAAAACTAGCAGGAGGATGGGTCGCATGGGCATGGGATGACGAGGGAGCACAGGAATGTGGGAGAAAGGCGGGCAGTTGCTGGCAGAAAACGGAAGTGCCTGTGGAATGGACGGAAATGACAAGGGCGCTCCCCACGTCAAATGGTGATTGATACTGACAGACAGACGAGGGATGGACCAAGTGAAGGAAGGGAGGAGGTTATTCATCAGTAGTTCTTGAAGATCGTCGAGTGTGAAGGGATAGGCATGAAGACGGGGCGTTTAGGAACATCCCCGCGGTACCTTGCCGGGTACCTGAACCAAGGGGTAGTTCATAGTAACCTCATATGATTTGGAGTGATTCAGTGCTTAACCCTACTCAGAAAACCTCAGCCTACTACCTAGCAGGTAACTACCAGGTATCTCTTTCATGATCTTCCGCAACCGGCCACTAGGGCTGAACAAGCACTCTTAAGCTCCACTTGTCCCCCACAGTCCTGGCCAATCATGAGGAGTAACAAACAAAGCCTTTGCAAGGCTTGGCCCTCTTCCCAACAACTCATTATGTATAGTATATTCCATACTGCAGGCATCACCATCGGTATTCTTCCTACACGTGATGTGCATACTGCTCTGATATCATGTGATGGGAGACCCCTACATGGAATTCCCCTTCTATGCTGATAGTCAAGCCACATGGACTTCAGCCCAGTTAAGTTGTATAAAGTGTGTGTGCTGTAAGGTCATTTATACAAGCCGTTTCAAGAATCCTGAGTGGTTTCTACAGTAAAAAGCGATCTCTGTAGCAGAAGACCTGGACCATTAGTTACTAGCTTGGTTTTGGGAAAGAACAAAAAAATTTGCCTGACGTTTTGCGACCGTATCATTCACTAACTTGGTGTCAATAGACTGGCTGAACTGCATCAACTTTGAAGGTGATAACGGAGATAGATGAGTACGAGATGGACCAGAGAGCCAAGATCACTGCTGTATACATTTATAATATGAGTTTTAGGAATGGGGCTGGGGAACAAGGAGTTGGGAGAAAGGTGAAGTTGGAGGGAAGGCATGGTATGGGATATGAGGGACTGACAAGTGGTATCTTCAGGACGTTTATCCCGATTCAATTCCAAGACGACGACTAGTGATCTGTACCTCAGGAGTCAATCAACCTTGAATTGCTTATATTCTAGTAGGTGATCTACCCTCAGGACTGACTTTTCTACGCATTTGCTTGGACCACCGCTGGATATGATTGTAGACATCTTAGTAGTCCAATTTATAACCGCAAGTCATGTCAACAAACGGAACAGCTCATAACACGCTTTTTATTTCATCAGTGGGTCTATCGACGATTATTACACTCCAAACAGAGCACGGCATTCACATCCAACCAGCACGATGAACCGTGTGCTATTGTCCCGGCTCCAGATAGAACAGTTTGCAGGTTCATCTCTCGCACCACAATCTCGTTTGGCCGGCTCACATGCGCTCGCGTCGGCGAGGAGCAGCCCGGATGATGTTATCGACCCGCAGAAGAAGCTATTATTTGAATCCATCTTTGTCAGTTATGTCACTTGAAAGGGTAGTGTTCAAGTCCTTACCTCTGCCGCTTCCGACGCTGAAGAGACCACCGCCTTCTTCAGCTTGTAGCTTTCCACCACGCCCAACTCGCGCATGTCGGCAATGCCGCCGCCCAGGGACAGGTCCAGTCCGGAGCTAGTCATGCCGTTGTTGATCGCCTGCCGTAGTCGCGTCACCAGGTCACTGGAGTCCAAACCAGCATTGTCAGCCAGAATCGTAGGCAACTGCTTCAGGGCATGCGAAAACGAATCGACAGCCAGCTGTTTCTTGCCCGTGGTGTTCTGCGCGGCCTGCTCCACGGCCTTGGACATAACCATCTCCGCAGAGCCGCCACCCAGCGTCACGCGGGGGTCTTTCACAGTCTGCGAGAGCACGGCGAGGGCGTCATGGAGAGAGCGCTCGGCCTCATCAAGAAGCTGCTCCGTGGCACCGCGCAGGACGATGGTACATGCCTGACCGGCAGCCACGCCCGAGAACTTAATAAGGGTGTCTTCACCCACGATGACCTCCTCGATGACATCACACTGGCCCAGCTTCACCTGTTCGGGGTCGTCGAAAGTCGAGGTTATCTCACCGCCGGTGACCAGGGCCAGTCGCTCGACTCCGTCGAAATCGGCGTGTTCGATAGACATGATGCCGGCCTCCGTGAACAGTTGCTCCGGCCAGTTGTAGATCAACTGACGGTTCACGAAGCAGTTGATTCCATGGGCCTTGATCCGCTCAACCTTGGCCTTCATCTTTTCACGCTCTGCCTTCTCCAGTTCCGCCAGCTTGCCCGTCGACTCAACCTTCACCCGAGCACCGAAGATCTTCACCTTATCTGTATCCATAGCGGTGTTGGCCACCAGAATCTTGGCATTTTCAAGGCGCTTCGGCTGATTCACGCCAATCTTCTTATCCAAGATAAAGCCTTCATCCAAATAGGAGTCGCTGAGCTTCCCACCCGCCTTCTTAATAATCTGGATGTGGCTGAGGTCGGTCGAGCCTTTCATACGCAGCACGGCATCACAGGCAAGGGTGGCAAAATGTTCACGGTCCTGGGACAGAACCTTCGAGCTTAGGGTGGTTCGGGCAATGGCGTGGAGGTCTTTGCGAAAGGCCTCCGGGTCGGCACTACGGTCGACAGCAGCCTTCTCCAGGGCCTCCAGAGCGGCTCGGCTGGCTATACGATAACCCTCGATGATGGTCTGAGGATGGATCTTGCGGCTCACCAACTTCTCCGCCTCACGCAGCAGCTCTGCCGCCAACACCGTGACAGATGTCGTGCCGTCACCGACTTCGTCGTCCTGGACTTTGGAGATATTCACCAGCACCTTGGCCGCAGCGTTATCGAGAGCGATCCCTTTGAGGATCGTCGCCCCGTCGTTTGTTACGAGGATTTCTCCGGTCGACCTGCATTGTTTCTCAATCAGTATCTTGCCCACCATGGGAGCCCCGCACTCTGTCACTCTAAACATCGACCATCCACGTACGCTGATTGTAGAATCTTATCCATTCCCTTCGGCCCCAGAGTACTCTTCACAAGGTCACCAACGGCGATGGCACCAACGAAGGCAGAAAGACGGGCATTCTCGCCTTTCTCTTCGGTGACATCGTCCGCAAAGATCTGCGTGGGATTGGCGAAAGATGCCTGGAGGGGTGTCAGTCAGAGGACCAGCTCGATGTCAACAGTATCAAACACCTTACCATGATAAATAGCAATCAAAAATAAGGATAGCTACCGTCGGTTGGAGGACTGGTAGCTCAGGGGAGTTGGACCGAACAGACGAGGATTCGGGACGTCCAGAAAAGTTCGCGATGTGGCCCGAGCTCCTGCAGACCGCCTGCGCGGCTTCATTTATTCATTGAAATCCATTCTCAACCTCCCTTCGGCCACCGTTCAAATATCCTTGGTTTCCGCCCCTCGTGCGGGATCATTTCATCATGGCCGCTGAAGACGACCAATCTCAGCCTCTCTCGACGAAGAGACGGCATTCCGCCGTCGAGGGTGACGACGACAATGGTACCCGACGCTCCAACTCCCCCAAGGCCGTACAAGGAGGAACTGACAACTCTCATGCCAGGAAATGAGTCGTCCTCGGATGATGACTTCGGACCTGCCCTGCCCTCTGCCGATGCGCCAAAGAAAAAACGGCGAAAGCTCCCCTTCGAGAAGGTCTACGTAAATGCGCTGCCCACCTCGTCGAGATACTCCAAATCCCTTATGCACAAGGACCAATTATCCTTTGTGACCATGTCTCCACACACCGATTTCCTGATCACCTCGTCAATTGATGGTTTTGTTAAGTTCTGGAAAAAGATGGCGGTCGGCATCGAGTTCGTCAAGGAGTTCCGCGCTCACAGCACCGAGATTAGGAGCGTCAGTGTAAGCGCCGATGGAAGGAGCTTTGCGACAGCGGGAGCCGACAAAACGGTCAAAATCTTTGATGTCATCACGTTTGGTACTCCAGTGCAGTATATCCTATGGAGGGTCGGGAGTGCTAACAGCATCTTATCGCAGATTTACTGGCCATGATCACACTCGACTTGACTCCGCGCTATGTTTGCTGGGTGCATCGACGAGGCGCATCATTGCCATTGCTGGCGGTAACGGACGAAGAGAGCAGTGCGATTCAGGTCTTCGATGGGCGCGGTGAGAATGTCACTCCCTTACACACGGTCAAGTCGATCCACCGCAACCCCGTCGCTGCCATTGCGTTCAACGACGCCTACGATTGTGTCATCTCGGCCGACGAATCCGGGATGATCGAATACTGGCGAGCAGGCGATGGCTCCTTTGAGAAGCCCGACAACGTCTTCGAACTGAAGTCATCTACCAACCTCTTCGAATTCAAAAAGGCCAAGTCGGTCCCAACATCCCTGACCATCTCACCGTCGGGCAAGCAATTCGCCACATTCTCCTTTCCAGATCGCCAAGTGCGAGTTTTTGACTTCCCCACGGGCAAGCTGCACCGCAAATACGATGAATCACTGTCCACTCTGACCGACATGCAACAAGCCGGCACGGCCATCTACCAGCTAGACGAACTGGAATTTGGCCGTCGGCTGGCAGTGGAGCGAGAACTCGAAAACCCAATAACTAAGCCCCGGGTAAATGTCATCTTCGACGAGTCGGGGCATTTCATTCTCTACGGCTCTTTATACGGCGTCAAATGCATCAACACGTACACGAACCGCGTGGTTCGCGTTTACGCGAAAGACGAACCGTTCCGGGCGCTTAACCTTGCCATGTATCAGGGCCAACCGCAGAAGAAGGGTGTAGTGACCGTATCCATGGCCGCCAGTTCGAACCCTCTCCTCCAGGAAGCCGAAGAGCGAGACCCGATCCTGATCAGCACCGGGTTTGCGAAGATCCGATTCTACCTGTTCACCAACGAGACCGAGATTTCTAAATCCTCGCGCGACGTCCAGAACGAACGTCCCACACAATCTACCGGCGGCCACGAGACAGCTACCCAGAAGACTAAAGAACTCGGCACGTCCGCCATCCTCCACACAACAATGGGCGACATCCATTTACGTCTCTTCCCATCCGCCGCGCCCAAAGCCGTCGAGAATTTCGTGACCCATGCGCGCGATGGCTACTACAACAATACCATCTTCCATCGGGTGATCCGCAAATTCATGATACAGGGCGGTGATCCTATGGGCGACGGAACGGGCGGCGAGTCCATCTGGGGTGGGGAGTTCGAGGATGAATTCTCCAGTTTGAAGCACGACAAGCCTTACACCTTGTCCATGGCGAATGCGGGACCGAATACCAACGGCAGCCAGTTTTTCATCACGACGGAAAAGACGCCCTGGTTGGACAACAAACACACTGTGTTTGGTCGGGCTGTCCAGGGTCTCGATGTGGTGCATAAGATCGAAAATACCAAGACTTACAAGGAAAAGCCCGAGCAAGATATTAAAATCGTCAGTATTACTATGTCATGATGTTTCTCGTTCTAACCTATGCTGGGCGAGAATGACAATGGAAGTTTGGACGTTTTTCATATTGGCGTACTCTGACTTTTGACATATGTAGAGTGTATTATATAGTAAAACCTAAACTTTTCGTTTTAATTACGAAGACAGGTCAAAATATAAGTAAATAAATGATCGCAGGAGGGCGATTCTGCCTCCAAGAATTCATTATCTTTTTTTGCCCTTGTTGGTCAATATCATCCATCATGTCAGCAGAACATGTCCAATCTGCAGGGCGCCGAGCAATCGAACGGCCCAGCGAAAATAAAATACTACCAGTTTCAAATAGGACCTAAAGACAGGAAACAAAAAATAAATATTCACCCACACACACGCCATGCGGTGGAATTGCACAGAAAAAAATTAACTGTATGTGATAGATCTTTCAAAAGAGAACCATGAACACACAACGCCCAGTATATGCAATATTAGCAGGTGATTTAGAGAAAGAGCCAGCAATAGCAGCCATGAGAGGCATAATCATCAGTGCCACTCTGTGCTTCGACGAGCCGTTCCACCTGAATTGTCCTCGTGTGGATGGTGTCCGTATACCGTGGTTGAAAAAAAAGAACCCCAAAAAAAAAAAAAAAAAAAAACCTTTTTCAATCAAGAAAGAAAACAAATAATAGGAACTCATCATCACCGGGTCACTTCTCGGATCTCAACGTTGCCTTCATCCGTGGGCTGCGAGGATATCTGCAAACGCGACGGCGTTCGACTGGGCCGATTTGGAGCCGCAATATCGGTGCGAGAACTGCTGGCAGCCGAGTCCGGATTAGCGTAACCAATAGGCATAAATTGGCCTGGGGCCAGGGGTGCCGGTTGACCAGGAGCGGGACTAGGGGTGGCGGCGTTTGACTGGCGATTGAAAAGCAGTCCACTGTCGGTGCTGCCCGTGCCTGCGGCGTGATAGAGGCTGGGATATTTTGCATCGTGCCGGCGCTTCAGCCACACGCTCAGCACTGCGATAAGGCTGAATCCGATGATGAGGACGATCACCATGATCACCCATTGGTAGTGAGATGACCACCTGCAAGACTACTAGTCAATGACGCGAGACTCCAATAACCCACGGAATCATCACATATATCAATCACCTACCATGATGGAGGAGCAGGATCCGCCTCCTGAGCCTGTGCGTTGGCCGTAGTCGTCGAGGTGGCAGAGTCCTTCTGGGCGGGCGTGGACGCTGTCTCTGCCTTTGATTGTCCGCCAGAGGAACAAAAGTCGTTATACCATTTCTGCAGCAAGGAGCGGTCGGGAGGGCTGGAACAGGAGTCGTCGCAGGTTCGGTCGCCAGAATTATGGAGCTGGGAAAGTAGGCCGGACTGACAAAAGCACGAGACATAGGTCGCGTGACCATATGCCGGGGCCTTCGGAGGGATGCAGCCATCCTGGGCTTGCTTAAGATTCGAGCATGAGAGACCGCACTGGGGGAAAGAAGCGGAGGCGGCGGAAGGCAGAAGGGAAGTATCCGAATCGGAGTCTGCAGCGAGAATGGTCGTGGACAAAATAAGGAAGACGGAGATTAAGAAGAAGCGAGAGAGGAATTGTGAAGTCGACTGGACGGCGGCCAATCGCGGGGCGCAAGCCATAAAAGGCCAACGCACCATGACAACGAGGAGGACGACTGTCTAAGAACGTCTGGGAGAGACTGATGGACAAGTGGAGAACAAGCTCACAGAAGGCCCACCATTATCCAGGGACAGGCGAGGTGGGAACAAGGAGAGCGAGGGATATAAACGAGCGACCGGAGGGGTATTGAATCAATCGCGCAGACAAGGTTCAGGAGACGAAAGAGATGGCGGATAAAAAGCGAGCGTAACCCCGTAGTTTTAAGACGGACGACGAAATGAAGAAGAGGGGAGAAAAAGAAGGACCGAAACGAACGAAGAGGGTCTCGGGCACGGTCGAGACAGCCAACGGTGAACGTTTAGTTCCTTTAGTTTAGGCCGCTAGCTAATTAGTCAGGCGTACTTGGCTGGTGGTGTGCATGGCCATACAATGGGAGGTCCCCGGTACATCCCTGCTACTAGCACCAGTTTCAGTTCCGCTTGCGGCCGCAAGGGGAAACGGGGGACTCTTGGGGTTGCATCAATGCAGTGCCTCAGGACGCTACTCATCACATGTCGTCTCTCACTCAAGATGGAAGTCATTCCTTTCATTCTACCATCCCTGACAGCAATTGCCATATTCTATCATCATTCTCGACATCACCACATGGCGAGCATTCCTGGCTGTCCTGCACAGATCTTGATCATTCTCCGATCTCAGGAATGCGCCGGGTATTCCCATCATGGCTCCTGTCTCAGCCATGATGAAACCTACCCCTCCGTTGTAGTTAACCCGTTATCCGCTTGCGGTGTTCCGCATGCATGGCACTTGCCATGTCAGAATGACCCATCGACCAAGCAACAATAGCCATTACTATCTACTAATCCGATCGCCTGAATTCTACTGTGGGCTTAGATAGTATTCTTCTTGGTCCTGAAGGCCTTTACTACGACTCTTATAGCTGTACAGTACAACAGTCTGGCAGGACGACCCTTTGTTTCCTTCCCCAGCGCTGATTCTATCTGAACCTCTCGCTCGTGCCTGTCGAGTCAGCCTGTTACCGGGACAGGATCCACGGACCGGCCCTATCCTGATCTTCGATGCATGGTTGATCAATCCAGGAGTGTGTCGCCAACTTTATCAACCTTCTCCCGTGGGCTATTTTATCAGCCGCATGAGCTGTTCACTCACTTGGCGGGTCTGAATGCGACCTATCCAAACTCTGTCCGTCCGTCACCGAGGGTTTCTTTTCATCCTAACGGCAGGATGCACCATTAAACTCTAGAACAATGGTTTATTGCATGATAGGTCAAATTTTACAGGCTATATTGGACATGGTGTGAGGACCCCCAGATTACGAGATTACCTTGCTTTCATACGGCAGGTTCCGGTTTATGTCACGCAGGCCTCTTGTCTTCTCAATCATCTTCAAACCTCGACTTCCTGACTAGCTGTGGCTTTAATCAATTTGCAGCCGTCAGACTAGACACACCTTAGCCTCTATCCAGACATGCGATCAGATCGCCGCCCTCGATACAATTGGTCAATTCTACACCAGCCGATCAATCGTACTCCCGTTTTCTGTATAACATCTACCTACCCGTGTACTTGCTCGTCAATCTTTTCCCAACTGCCCCATCACTTACCAGGCTTATCAGGTCGATAATTTGAAGGGAACTACTATTGCTTGGTCCAATGGAGAAGCTGCCCCTCCGCGTTCAGCCAGTGTGTTGCTGGGGAGGATATGGCGAATGTGTGACGCATCACCAATGAATGTTGGAATCATAGTAAAAACAGTGGCTAAATTCCAATGAAACAACTGCATACAGCAGGTAAATCCTCCCATTTCCTCAGCATTTCCTCCCTATGGACTACCCTTTCGGACCCATGCACCACCTTCTAATTTCGTCCAAGTCGATCGGGTCCCAGGGAGGAGACGAAGCAGTTGATCATCGACATCATCATCTTCTTCATCATCATCAAGTACGAGAGCCATCTGGCCTGATAGAACGTGTCATATTTTCCGCCTATATCCGGAGTATCGTCAGCGAGCTTCCTGCTGGACCTGATCCTGTGTATACGTACCGGCCTTCTTCTTTGCAGTAGTTAAATGTAGCGGTGTCGGTGGGCTTTGTTCGGCATTCTCAAAGGCAGTGCAAAGCTCAAGGTAAGCCGTCGAAGCCGGGATGGTAAGTTTGACATACTAAATCCTTGTCGTTAGTATCACTGGGTTCCAAAAACCAGCCGTCCACAATAGGTCATTAGCATCCCCAGTATGCCCATTGCAGTCTCACCAGCCCATTAGTATGACGTGGTTTAATCACTTTTCGGATACATACCGTCTCACAAGACGAGTTCTTCCTAGGGCACTATCGACACGAGACCGACGCTATTTATCGAAGGTGCAATCGACCACGGACGACTTATCTCTGTAGACATTATTGTTTTGGATCCATGTCCGAAGACATTCCATGCACCAAAGGTATGTAGGGCGAATAGGGTTCACAAGATCGGCGATGATGATACTATATGGAAAAAGATAGCAGATGGTAGACAGAACTACAGTAAACAAATAAGGATGGATTCGAGGAAGAGATGAGGAGAGAGCGACAGAGAGTTGGGAGAGGGGATAAATCTGACGCAAGGTAAGTGAATAAATCACTGATCACTGTTGAGAAGCGCCAACCACGACAAAGCAGCGGTATGTATCTACAGTTAAGGCCTACGCCTAATTGCCTACACTTGCTACTGGATCAGTTTTGCTTCCCTCCTAGATATGGTGGTTGTAAGCTATATAGTATCATAACCAGGATAGAGTAGATAGTGTGCTAATAGTAATGCACTGCATTGTCTCTAATAGAAGATATTTAGCTTTTTATAAGTAAAAAAAGAGAAAAGTCTTCAGTTACCCTAGTATGACCTAATTATTATGAAAGGCTCAATCTATACACTAACGGGTAATGCATTACATATTTTAGACATTGACAGAAGCACACAATATTAAATATATCTTGCATATAACTAAACACAAGTATTCCAAGCATCTTCTATTATATTTATTATCCAATTAACCAAATTGCATTTATACAACAGTTCGGTGTCTAGAAAAATGCAGAAATGTGATGGTCCAAGTGGACCCTCCCGATCTCCATCCAAATTACAATAATCCACCTCATTCCCGCCTCACGCCTCCCCACTACATGATGACAAACCCTTTTTCTATCCACCGCCACAATGTCAATCTAATAACTACCTCCAAAATGCCAGACCACCACCAAGAACAACTGATAATGTGCCCCCTAGCGCAGATCTTCGCCTCTCTCTGCCGCACCCCCCAACGATGGACTCTCCACCGCATTCTGAAAAGCGCCAATACGCAAGACATCCAAGGCAACCTCCACGGTACGGCGACATTTACGCCGTTGCGCACACAGACCTCTAATGCACACTCAAAACGTCACCCGGATCCAGAGCCAGACCCAGACGTCGATAGATCCGCAGACATGGTCTATCGCGAGGAAGGCACCATGCCCTCAACGGTAGGCGTGGGAGTCGGGGTGGGACTCCGCTTCACGAAGAAATATATCTGGCGGATGAGCGACACCGGAGGGATAAGTGTTTGGTTTGCAAAGGTGCAGGGGACAAAGATACAGGATGATGAAGAACCGGAACCGGAGCCGGATTATTTGTTTCATGAGTTTGTGCTGGATGAGCCCTCCTCTTCTTCTTCCCGAGAAAAATGGAAAGATAATGAGAAGGAGCCTCTGATCGTCGAGGCGCCTATTCCACCGCGGGAGAATAGTAATAATGATAGGTTGTCAACGTCGTCGTCGACGACGGTGGTCAGAGCGCGCGGGAACCATCTCTGCATTAATGATATGTATCATACGGCGTATGCGTTTCGGATCCGGCGGGAGTCAGGCGAGGTGGTGAGTTGGTCGAGTCGACATGTCGTCAAAGGGCCTAAGAAGGATCAGGATATTGTGAATTTGTATTGGCTAGGGGAGTGAATAGACTGGATAGACTTGGATATTATTGATGACTGCATGAAGCATGACTACAGTTTTCTCCGTGTGTTTGGCTCGGCTGTACATAAAGGCGGAAACACTGCATTGGATTTGTCTATAAACTATACAGGTAATGCTGATTATACTCTACAACTTGTCTCCTAACAAGATCACAGTGTATATATAAAATCCGGCCTCTCGTCTCCCAGAAGCTCGATTTCACTCTGGCTCAGCCCCTCCACCCAATGATTGCGGTCGCCACGTCGACGCTTCGCATTCTCCCGTCGCAGGAGAACGTATTGCACCAACGACCCACCGAACAGGAAGACCACCAGGTATCCAAGCACCGTGCCATGCCCTGGATAGTACTTGGGCTTATCCTTGTCACGGTATATGTTGGAGGAGACGATACCGTTCAGATTACCCCAGCCAATGACGATGCCCAGAGTGACTCCTCGCTTGTAGACTCCTATTAACAAATCAATTATTAGCAATCTCTTGCCACGCTAGGTACCTAGGAGTGCAATATCGTGGGCAGCGTCCTACCTTCAGTGTTGTTACTAGCCCAGGAAATCGTATTGGAAATTGCAGGGTAGATCCCCATGGCACCCAAGAATGTCCCAGCGTATCGCGCTCCTGGTGATGGGGCCCCAATCAGCATCGAGAAGCCAACGATGCCGACAATAGACACCAGAATATTAGCGATCCCGCGCTGTCGCGTGCGATCGGCAATAAAGCCCACTGTCACGGTCACAACAGCGGCGGCAGCGTACGGAGGCACACTAAGGAGCTGGGCCTTGATTGATTTGTATCCTGTTGTTTAGATTAGCATGTGTCGTGGAAGTGAACCAGAAGCCCATTGATCCTACCCTGGGTGACCGTCAGTATGATAGATATTAGATTCACTTCGAGATCGACTTACTAGCTCCTTGATAATGGTGGGAACAAATAGCGAAAACGCATACAAGCTAGCATCTGCACCCATATAGATCATGGCGCCAGTGTAAGTTTTCCAGTCCTTGAGAGCGCTCCAGAAATATGCCATCTTGAACTGTTCGTATCCTGCACTGGCTTGTTGGTCCGCTGCAAGACGGCGAAGGACCCGCTTACGGTCTGCGTCGGACAGGAATTTGGCTTCGTCTGGGAAGTCATAGACCATCCAGAACGACAGAACTCCGACAATGATTGTTGCAAGCCCTTCCAAGATAAAGATCCAGGACCAACCGGCCTTTCCTCCGACTCCATCCATCAAGGCGATGGCGGCCGCAAGAAGGCCGCCAAAGGAGCCCGCTAGGGCCGCAGCAGAAAAGAAGATGGCCATGCGAACTCCAAATTCAGATCGTTTGTACCAACACGACAAGAAGTAGCCCACGCCGGGGAAAAGACCCGCTTCGGTCAGGCCCAGGAACCATCGCACCTATGTTGACTGTCAGAACGAGGATCGAAAGGTCGGTTTGGAAGCCGAGTGATAAATAGAAGGAACGCGCGCTACGTACCGCCATGAGACCGGCGTAGTTATGCACTAGTCCCATACATGTCATGCAGATTCCCTACATGATCGAAGTGCACAGTTAGGATCAGAGCAGAAGGTAGCAGAAACAGGATTGCATTACACACCCAGAGCATCATGATGATGGGGATAAAAACGCTGGGTCGCATTCGCTTGAGCAACACATTGGTCAAAGGCTCAAAGACCGAATAGGAGACGAAAAAGATGGTCAGAGAGGCATTGTATTGGTTGTTAGACATATGTAAGTCCTCCTGCAGGCCTGCGAGTTTCGCATTGCCGATGTTGGTTCTGTTGGCGGGCTGTCAGCAGCGGGGTTATTTATGAGACATTCATGTCGCCGATCAGAAATAAGCACCTATCCAAGAAAGATATGAGATAAAGTAAACTGAGCCAAGGGATCAATCGTAGATCGAGCTTCCAGAGTAAGGCACGGTCCTGACGATGACATCAGCATTTGTTAGCCAAAGGAATTAACACAGCCATAGTTGTACAATTTTGGCCTTTTCCTCCTCACTTAGGCCCTCATCCGGGTCTTCAAATAGATCGAGTTTAGAATTGGGAGGGAACTCAGGAGAATGAGAGACCCTCTCCACGTCGGAAGGCTTCGATAAACTCTCCGCAGTTGGCTTTTCGTCCGCCATGATACGTTTTGAAGAAGAGGTTCGGTTGACGTTGAGAATAACGAGCAGACCCAGCGGAGGGCAAGAGCTCAATTTATGGAAGTTCTTAGATCATCATGGATCACCGGAGCATCGGCAAATGGGCGACCGTAGACACGAAGTCGAACCCAAACTCTTTCGAGGAAATTGCAGAGATGATCCTCGCCTATTCCGGAGAACAATACAGGGATCATAGAAGAAAGGCCGCAGTGATTGGCTGGTCGCATTGCAGACCAAAGCATCCCTGCTAGAAATGCCAAGACCAACCCCGCGGGGGTGGGTGTCCCGCCGAAAGAGGAAGGGCAAGGGCTCATTTTGCTTTGTAATTGATCTGGCTGTGAATAATAGCGTCTCCTATTTGGCAATTCCAAATGCCATCGATGGATCATTAACTTAGTACCTAATGGATTCCACGGGGGCCAGGATTCCCGCTTGCCATTCCCGAATGGGTTACAAGCACGAAGATCTTCAGCGGGGAAATTTTTTTATTGGCTGTAGCGCCGGTGGAATTGAAATTAAGTTTGTCATACTACAGTGGGACGAAAAATATTTGAACCCCTGATCTGCCCCCATACTCCGCCTGCCTAATTAGTTAAAAATTGACAGTCAAAACAAGAATAAGAATGGTTTAGTATTAGCTCATGCACAATTGGCCCATGTGTACCTACCAGACTGCAAAGGAGAACTAGGTATTATGTAGACTAGCTGTTATAATTGCAGATGGTGAATATCTTCTGTACTTGTAAAATATGAAGCAACTGCAGAAATGTAAGTCTAGATATTAAATTATCTTCTGATTGAGTACAGCTTCACGTACTTAGTATTTGAAATGCCTAGGCTGCCTTAGTAAACAGCTTATGGAGATGTATAGGAATTTGTTTAGGGAGCCAATATACTATGTTAAAGAAACCAGTAATCCTGTTTGTATTGATCACTCTCCAATATCTACCCTCTGGCGTTGAATTTCATTGATGACAACTACCTAGGTAAAAACATTCCATGCATCTGGCTCATGTCCAACAACAATTCAAAAGAGGATTGAAAAGAACCGGATTACACCCCTGACCGGAGCCATTAGAACACAAGACTCTCTTGGGGGAAAAAATAAAAAATAAAAATAAAAATAAAAAAACCCAAGACCTAATCTCAAATCCCGATCCGAGGGTTTTTTCTGGGCTGTCCAGCTGGAGATTGGCTCCGAAGTGGTGCTGGCTTCAACAAGCGAAGTGGTCTCAAAAATCGAAATTTGTAGTCAAAGAAGATCGGGTGGCCTTTCAGAAGAGTGTAGGCTGCCGCTGCGGTTTTAACCGAATGGAAATGAATGTGAACTTCGTCAGAGACGTGGCCATTCTGAACACTTTCGATGAAATTGGCATGCGGAGAGTTCATCAGAAATTGGGAGATGACCTCCTTGCGAATTCCACGCTCACCAGAAACGCAGAGGCAGCGTCTATACCCCTCCTTAAAGATCATACGCTCCATATCTGCAGGTATTGGATAGGTTGGGGTGTGCACAGGAATCACCTTGGCTGCAACAAGTCCCAATTGCAGACCCTGCTTCGATGCCTTCAGGAATCGGATAGCCTCTACCTGGAAAATGAACGTGATGATCGCAGTGTTAGAGCCAGTGATGGGCTGAGTGTTCAGGAGACGAGCGCAATAAATCTCTCCCTGGATGGCAGCCAGTACCTGGTTGAGTGTCATACTGGCAGGGAGGTCTTCGATGCGTACCGTCCGGTAGCAGTTGGTCTCTCTGACGGACGGGATGTATCGCACACCATACTGGAACATCCAGAGGCCATTCACGGGCTGCTGCGAAAGGATGTTGGGGCGATAGGTAAAGGCTTGGCGCTCCTCCATATAGTTATCAAAGACACTGCACCCTTTCAGTGCCCAGTGGATTGTCCCATCCCATGGAATGACCTTCGGGAGTCCGCTACCATCTGAACTGACGACTGCTCTGGCCATTTTCTTTCCGAGGGGAAGACAAAACGCGTTAGCCAAGTCTTTCGGGGATAATTTGGTAGGTGAAGCAATAAACATGACGGGACTTACTCGTTTGGGCTCCAGGACCGGAATCATGAGGTTATCGAGTGCGTCGTCCAGCAGCGCAGCAGAATTTGCCATCTGAAGCTTACCAGCACAATCCTCTAACTCCTTTGTCTTCCTGCCAACGGGCACTCGTTTTGTAGGCTCCGGCTGCAGGATAGGCACGTCGATGTCGTCCAGATGGCTGTCCAGAATATTCGAAACGTGGCGTGGCTTTGGGGTAGGAGACACAACACTCTTCGATGAAGTCAGCGTGCCCATCTCAGAGCGAAGGGTGCTGTCGGACTCAGACAGGGACTCGGACAGCTTTGGGGCTCCATCCATAGTGATGAAACGAACCTCGATACGGGGGGCGACAAGGTAAATAATCAAGATAATGAGTGCAGGAAGAAGCAAGACAGGAAGAGCATTTGCAATGACAAAATCACCGGCGGGGCCAGAAGCACGCCCTTCCATATTGGGAAACCAGACGACGTGATCACTGACAGTTGAGAGACAGCCAATATTATGAAAGAGTGAGCAAAGCCACTCTGAGAGATCGTTGAAAAGCAGAGCGATATGAAAGTGAACTCAAAGGTTACGAGCTGTCTACTTATAGGCTTTGAAGCTCTAAGAAAAGCCTGTGGCAGGGAATGCTTTTGTATACGCGGGTCCAAGCCGCACAGAGTAGTGGCAGCCCCACGATAGAGAGGTCATGGTGAGCGAAAGCTTCCTGATCTTATTGGACACTGATAGTGGGCAATGTGAATCAAAATAACTGGTTGCTGAAAGGAAGACTGTTACTGGAAACAATGAGGTAATATATACCACTGGTGGCTACGTACTAAGAAGTTTCACTTTTCCTAGGTGTAGAGAGTTACGTCTGTCTTAGTAGGTAAAAAGAATATAATAACTACATACCAAGAAAGATACACTTCAGTGAGTGCTTCTGATTGTGCAATGTTTTAGCGTGATACAGAAGGACATTTTAACCAGAATGTAGAAGCCATTTGGATTACTTAAAGTACAACAAATAATGGATGAGCCAATTAAAAACATTATAACTGGCTTGAGGAGCTCTGCTAGTATGTTGTTGTTTTTGCCATATGTCTGTAGGGTATTTACTCTCACGTTATTTAATGTGGAGTGAGGGGAGGCGTCTCAAGAAAAATGACATGCAGTGTCTTTTGACCTACCCCAAAAACTCTCCCTGGGCTAAGGCAATCCATGGCAAGTTTTCAGTCCAACATCGCTGCATTAGTGTGCGTGCATTTTGGATCTGTTCCAACAGGTCAGCCATCCAGTCTTTTGGGGGACGCACCGTATTACTCACCTGTTTCAAGCCTGTACGTTCCAAAACCTCAAAGTGCGTCTGCGCCTCCACCCTTTGCTCCAAATCTTGAGACTCACATCCTGCCGTAAACAGCGGAAACAGGGCTCCGACCTCCGCGGACGATCCTGATCGGATTAGAACCAATGCTCTCCATAGTTCGTCCATGGCCCTCTTAACCAACGTTGAAAATGGGGATGTCCTGAGCACTCGGCGATGGAGGTGTACCAGCCCTGCGTAGCGGAAGGCCTGATCCATCGCAATGATATCCATAGACATTGAGTTGCGAAAATGTTTCCCGTTCGCATGTACATGCATGTGAAGGACATCAAGGTCTGCAAGCAATGTCTCTGCCTCAAAGATGATGTCTGCTGAGGGTGCCCACCCGGGAACAAAAGCGCCCGTCTCATCAAATTGTTCGTTGTCACATCGGTGCACCAATTTTCCAAGTCGTGTTAGAAACAAACCGGTGCGAGGCGTAAATCCTGTAAAGCAGTCGACACAGAATTCGTCGTAGTCATCCCCCATGCAGCATGTGTTCAGCGAATAATGATATTCAAGTAATGGAGGTTCACTGTGTCGGCACGACAAAGTCCCCATGATGTCCAGATACCCTAGCCAGCGTATAAGAAATGCGCCAACACGGTTTCCAGAGTATGTCATCTGGTCTCGACGTGCTAGGAAGAGGTCACGAGCCAACTTAAGATGGCTTTGCCAGGGGATGGGCACTTCGAAAGTGCTGGGTGAAACAATCTTTAGGGAGAGCAGCATAATGGCCGCCGCAAGATGATTGTCAGTTACTTTCTTGTCCGGATCTTCCAGTGCCAAACGCAAGGTTGGAAAGACGCTGCTAACCCAGTGGGCAATTCGATTGGCAGGTTCAGGGTGTTCCAAATATCTGGCACGATGACTGGCGGAGTATGCTAGCATTAGGTTCAAAAGATTGGAGTCCCCAATCGCCACTGAGCTGTTAGCAGGATAGAAAGATGGAGATGGAAATGGAAGCTTACTACTTGGCAGCACCGACACAAAAGGGTTTTTCCCACAGTCGTGCGGAAACAGCATTCTAGCTGTGTGGTTGAGAAAGTGGTGGAAATACATCAGGTTAATGGGATTCTGAACTAGAGTCGACGGCAATGGTGACAGATACCGCGGGATGTTTATAGGCACAGGGAATTTATAGTAAGCACAACTGGTGCAATCCAAACTATTCTGTTTCACGTCCTTTTCTTGTGATCCGCTTAAATTGGAGGCAGGAAGACATGCCCCTTCAGGGTGAATCAGATCCAGCGCATAATTGATGTCAATAGCAGAGTGATCGTCATTCTGATTTAAGTCCCAGTCTGGGCGACCACAATCTAGACCATAGTTATCTGTAACACTGGTAAGGTAGGTGTGCCATTTTCTTTGAGAAGAAGTGGGGCAATTGGGCTCATTGGGCTTCATGTGAACACAGGCGTATTCAAGATAGGGAGAGGTGTCTTCTCCAACATGGTCATAGGAGGAATTGTCCGAGGCTTGGAGAGGATCGTTCATGATCTTAGAGAGGAAGTCTTCTGTTGAAGTAATCGGGTGGTCTGCGAGATTACCCTCTACGCCGGACGGCGGAAAGATCCGCTGTTTGCCTAGATAGGGGCTGAAAACCTCAAGGAGATTCGACGGGCTTTGGGTACTGTAACTGGCATAGCTGTCTGCCGTATCGATAGTGGATGAAGACTGCGCACAAACATCATGGTGGCTGGATAATTCCCCACCATCCGACAGAGAATGGCGAACAAGCTGTTTGGAGACGCCTGTCGGTTCTCGAAGAAAGGAAATTGGTTGCGATATCGCTGCGGGTGAGAAGCAAAGGGTAGCAAAAGAACCAATGCTTGAGCCAGTGTCCGTCGGTGACGGGTAAGGAACGTTGTCTAGGGACTGTGGCATAGATGACGAGTAGTCGGGGACTGCTTCGCTGGACAATGGGCTCATTTCTACTGAAGTCTTGTCATGTGTACAGTGGGGAGTTTTAAAAGTCTTGTCAGGAACAGCCGGGTATTCTTGAATATCATGTAGCCCTCTAGGATAAGAAGATTCCCTCGGCATTTCCTTTGCGAATCCCGATTCCCAGAACAAGTTCTCTGTATTCTGACCTTGTCCATTGCTTCCTTCCAAAGCACCGGGGGAATCGGACAGCTGAGCGGCGTCGACGGAGTCCAGTTGTGTATCTGGCGGCGACAGAGCGAAGGAAAACGGTGCAGACTGGCCACTGGATTGGGAGCCGGGGGAATCCACCGAAGATCTTCTCCTCGTTCTCCCTCCCCAATTCAGGCGAATACTATAGTCGCACTGTTCATTTTGACGCCGACAATTCAGACAGAACGGCTTCTCTTCCCCACTGCAATCGAGTATCAGTGACTGAAAGGAATAGTAGTAGTAGTAGTAGTAGTAGTAGTAGTAGTAGTAGTAGTAGTAGTAGTTGTTGTTGTTGTTGTCCAGCTCAGAGACCAGACAGGACGGCGGAGATGCACGTACCATTTTATTTTACGCGCCTTACACGGCCTGGATCTCGATCAGCATACTGGGTTCCATGCTGCAGATACTTGAGACAGAGAGGTACTTACCAGCATCCTTTACGAGATCTCCGTTTAGGCTCAGGAGCACCTGGCCGTCGGGGACGCGGCATTGGAACTAGGGATTGGCCAAATACAGGGACGACGAAAAGCAGATATAGCGATAAGCCGAACCACTCGTTCGGTACATGAGGGGATTCCGATGGACCTTGCAATAGGAGATCGCCATGCAGACGGAGGACGACGGTCTCTTACGGGGTTGGCGGAATTTCCCTTGATGCTGATTGTTTTTTCCGTCGGGTCGAAGGCTTGACCCAAGAAGACAGAAAACGATAATCAACGAGACACCCACACCTGGTATTCGTATTCATCGAGGTGTGGAATCCCACGGGAGAGGATTTAGTTGGTTTCAACTTCAGGCAAGCGAGATCGTAGGGGAGTAGGCAGTACAACGTATCTAGTTAGTCAGTTGTTGGTTTGTCGTTAGGAAATAAGGTCTTAAACTAGTAGTTACTCGACATGGTAAGTGGAGAGACCAGATCGGACTCGGGAAATGGTTCGTTACCGGGATATTAAGTGATCGGTGACCAGGGACGAGGCGCAAGTGCAAGGGGTATCACAGCGTCCGTCAGTCCGTCCGTTCGATCGATCGATCGATTGTAGGTAGCAAGTTGAACCTCAACCAACAGCAGACGAGGCAGTCCAGTTTAGTTAAAACCCACGGCGAAACACGAGAAGCGGCGGAGAAGAACCACTCGATCACGGCGCCGATAAGCTAGCGTCCGATTCGGCCGTCTCGCTCAATCGCTGTCGTGCCACGTGTGGAGCGGTTATGTCAGCCGATAAGCCGGGCTGAAGTTGTTCCGGCGGGTCGGCGGCCGAAATGCTTTCCTGTCTGGTTACATTAATTACTGCGATGGGAATCTTTTCTTTCTGTTCGAGGTTCGCTTAACATCGCCTCCACTATGGCCCAGTGTCTGCTCGGAAAGCACCCGCTCCAACAAGTCTCGAGTCCTTCCAGAGGATTCTCGGCCCTGGTTCATGTATATTCCTTGCTTACAGGCTTTGCCTCGCTTAGATACCTGAACGGACGAACTGACTTTTCTTAGTTCGTGGGCCTAAGTTGCTTCATCTGGTCTTTCAAATTGTACGTTTCACCATTTTTTATTTTATTTTTAAAATTTTTTTTTTTTCTCTTATGTTTGGCTTTATCCATTTTGCCTATATAGAAAGAATGTTCAGAATATTCGGCTCTTACCCTTTCTGGCCATCTTGCTGGACTCTTGGACTAAAAGAATAATCTAATGTAGTATGCATGACAACCCTAACCGCGCGTAAGCTTTCCCCCTAATCCTGTGGGCTTCTTTTGCCTAATGATTTGGCACCTAGTAATGAGGCATATGGCTGGCATTTCCAATACCTGACGGTCATTGGATTATCCCTGTCGACTCTGACCTTTGCTGTTGGCCTGTTGGCAGATGTAACCTTATCGACTCGCCTATTCCTGGTCAAAAACCTTTTCTCTATTTGCAGTACTCCCATGGAAGTGCTCATCAGCATTCTTTATTGGAGTCTTCACATAGTCAGTGACCCAGAGATTGTTTGGTAGCTGAATTTCTTGGGTTGACTGTTCAATAGATTGATAGGCGTCTGGTTGTTCCTAGTTGGGCTGTGCTCCCTGTGCATGCTGGTGAGTTGAACCATCGAAGCGACATCAGTCTCCACCGGTACTTACTTATGAAATGGTGCGAACTGAAGATGTCAGCTTCCATGCCATCCCCTCCGTGGTTCTCCTGATCGATCTCCTTCTTCTGTCTCCTCCATGGACTATAACCGTCTTGCCTGCTCTAGGATTGTCCGGCACAATTGCATTTGGTTATTGGATCTGGATTGAACGATGCTTTGCTTTTAATGGGTGGTACGTTGTAGTCCTTCATAGCTCTCTACTTTCTTTTATTTTGTCTTACATGCCTAGGTATCCTTATCCCATTTTTGAACAGGTTCCATTTGAAGGCCGCATTGGACTCTTTGTGCTGAGCGCCTTAGTAATGGCTCTGAGCACTATAATGCTCAAGTGGGTCTACGGTCGCGTGAATGGCTTTGAAACCTCTATTTCTCCAAAGGCACGCTCTGGGGCTGTCAGGCAGAACGGCAGCCTTTAGGTCGGCTAGCTGCATTATAGATATTGGTGGATATTCTTCCAGCTTGATGGACTCTTGATCATCATGGATTCTCGTGTCCCAGACAATCATGCAATAGACACCTGACGATAGAATCAACAGTCATTCCAGTATACGTAGAGTTGGATACGTACATACATTGTCTAAATATACAAATAATATTTTCCTCTTCTAGTTCGATCGTTCATCAATTGTTTCGTAAAGCGAATACCTTCACGCTGACCGATTGAATCCCCTTGGACTTCCCCGCATTTTTCTCACCAATAGCAACGAGTAGGATCAGTGAGCGAAAGCACCATCCAAATAACGGAAATAGAATGGATGTTTCATACAGGGTTTTGAACAGGAAATAGCCGGCGACCGAGTTTCTACCATGGAAAAGACACTACATATTCTCGTCAGCCAACGAAGAGTCGAAGCTTCCCCCCGCAATTTTGGATTCCACTATATTAGTTTCTACATTGCAGTAGATAAGGCGATAAGCATTGGCGTTGTCCTAAAAACTTGCTAACATTATTATTATAGAGCACAGACCCGAGTTAAACATGTTATACAAACCGGAGAAAGATATTGATTTGCCCAACGTCGATCTGTAATCGTTGATATTCGGCAAGTATATACCACGACAGACACCCTGCTGGCGTTCGCTAATTTGACTGCAGTTTCACCTCTATCGTTGACCACGGAAACTTCGATCCTGCACACAGAAGCGGCGGATCCGACAAACTACGTCACCAAAGCCCATGCTCGAGCCATTATGAAGCGACTCGCATAGGTCTTTCGCACGGAGTTTAGGATTGGTGAATCTACCATTGGATAAGATACTACTGTTCTCTGTATCTCGTCCAACCAGATATTGCTGCCGATCGTATTTTTTTCGGATCATTGCCGCGGGCGGCGTGTATACTGTTGCATCGACGGCATGACCACTTTGGAACTAACAAAGCAATTTCAACTGTGTAAAAGTCGGTTGATAGTAACCAGTCTGGAGAACCATGAGAAAGTGCTGCTGGCGGCGCGCGAATGCGGAATCTCAGAGAACAGGGTCATTGTCCTGGAGAGCATGGGGCATAAGCGTATTCTGAGGGATACAGCTCACGCTGAGCGGAACTATTTGCTTGGATTGGGAGTGCGTCACTGATACAAAGACGCTGGAAGATAGACTCATGTCTTCTTTATTCCAGCAGCACGACCGGGAACCCAAAGTGAGTGATGCTCTCCCATAGGAACCTTGTCTACGAGGCACTGCTGCCCCAGTTCGTGCTGCGAGAATCTAGAAAAGGAAAGCCGCATCTGGACGTTCCATATCGGACCATTGGCCATTTATCTACTGCGCATATTGCAGGATACCAAGGGTATTTCATTACTCCGGCTGTTGCGGGGGGTTCGGTCTTCTGGATGCTTCGAAAGCAATTGAGGAAGCATGCCAAAAACCCTATACAGCCACGAGCAAAGCTTTAGGAGCCAACAAGTAAGAGCTTCGGAAACAGTGATATAGAAGAGAGTGCCACAATGGTGTTTTATTAGTATAGAACTTATGCATGGAAAAGGGGTTGTCTATAATGATACGTCAAATGTCAATCCTGATTAAATCCTCTACCCAAGAAAAATAAAAGATGATAGAATCAAGACTCAGCTTTCTGAGTTGGTTTCAACTGTAGGCACTCAGTACCGAGGCTCCTAGGACGGTGCAAAATTACAACACTGCACCTCCTCATCCTTAACATTAGACGTACTCAAACATACTTCGACAAATCTTTGGCAGAAATCTATATCAGTAGGAAGTCTAAATGGAGAGAGTTTACAACTTCTATGCCCCCAAAACAATGAGCGCTGAACAGGTATGATGAATATCCATACGTCGCACGTCACACCAGGAGTATTCTTCATGATACTCCTTAGGGCTTAGCAAATTCCAGTTGTAATCTTCATCACAAGATTCTTTTGAATAGAAGCCATACATTAAACCAAAAAAATACAGAATTATATTGTACTCCGTAGAGCTGCCAAATTCGTCTTAGTGATTGATAAGGCATCAACAAGGCCACTATAGCTTACATAATCCGAACATCGATCCTCCCGCCGCTTGTTCATCGGGTGCCAGCTCGCCGTGGTCTAAAAAAACCTCGGCGTGGGCTAAAATTCTGCCACCTCCGCCACCGCCTTTTTAGACCACGGTGAGCCTTTTCTTTGGCATGGGCTCAGCGTGGTCTAAAATTAAATTTTCCGTACCTTTTAGACCATGTTGAATCCCTTCAGCGTAGCTTGACCACGCTGACCTTTTGGCCTAGCGTCAGTCCCCGGTCGGTGCATATGCTGAGCATATGCTCAAAATATTAAACTGCGTGAGATTATTCATTGCATCATCAATATATATAATCAACATATTCACTATATCAAACAATAGAGGCAGATTTTGCAACACACTGTGAATGATCCTACACCCAAATTGGGTAATAAAAATGTTGGCCGCGTTTGCATTTATTTTGGAACTAGAAGACCTAATTTTTTTTTTCTCTTCATTCTTTCTCTCTTCTTCTCTTTTAAACTCCCCTTCTTAAGTGAGTATCGCATGTCCCTTCTTGGCATATACCGCGCGTATATACCTTGACCGGAAGACTTGAAACCTCTCCTTCTCCCCTTTCCTTTCTGTATGCCCAGAGTATATAATTACAACCATTTGTGTGACCCTTTCTTTTCTGCATACCCAGTGCATATACTACCAATCTGTGACCCAATTTCTCTTTTTTTTTTGCATGTCAGAATACACTGATGATTTTAGTTCTTGTTTAGGGGCCTTGTTCTCAGCATATACCATCAATATGCAGAGAATGCAGCTTTCGCGTGAAGACTTTGACAATCCAGAGGTCGCTGGGGCGGTGAACCCCACCCCGACTACGGTTACTTCACGGTGAGTATCTACTTAATATATTCACAACATGTGCTTAACATATGCAGGTCCCATCCCGAACCCAAACCCCACTTGCGCGCCCACACCCGACCCCCGCACACCTGTGACCACCGCGGACAACGAGAGTATGGGGCCCCACAGATGTGCAGCATATGCTAATTATTTACAGATGCCCCAACTCCTGGTTCAAGACTGTCAGGTATTAATAGCATGGTGTAAGTAATTAACATGCCTGGCACATGCTAAGCATGGGCTGACAACCTCGCAGATGCGACATCGCAGTCAATGGCAACCAAATGTGTGGCCAGCCCGTCTTCTAGATTCTGTAGGTCGTTTTTAGCACATCGTTGTTATGCGTTACCTATTCCATAGCTTCGCCGCCACATCCGGAACGCCCATCCCGGTGCCAGTGAGTTGTCTATTCCTTGTATAGGTCTAGCAGATGCTAAGGATTCATAGCTCTTAATCCCTTCCGCACCAACATTCCCCAGGCTGAGCGCATTGCGGGCGAAAAGTTAGTGGATACGTAGCTTCTCTTGGCATATGCTAATAATTGACAGCGCTTTAAAGCGATGGATCCTTAGCAGAGGATGGAGAACTGCCCGTTACGTGAAGGAGCCTGGGTATGTCCTCCCCTCCGCACATATATATGTGTACGTTGGGCGTAGGGCTAACGTATGCTAGTGAGGGTCCTATGTACAGTATTATTCAGGATTACTGTAACTTCACTCGTGCAGCTGGCGTGAGTAGAGCATATCTGTATTATATGCATAGTATATAACTAAGAACCACTAGCCAGGAAGATAACGACTTTGCTCAGCAGTTTGGGACTGAGTTCCATCGTCCTGTATGTGATCCGGGTATTTACTCTACGTATTCCCTGCGTATGCTAATATTTCCTAGAGGCTGGGTAAGGTCTCTGGTCACAAGGCATGTGCCCCTGGAACCTAAGCTCTTTATAATATACTGAGTATATGCAGCGCAAATCTCCCCCACTACCCTCTAAGCCACCTACCCCACCGTCTGCCCCCAAGCGCAAGCGTGCTCCACCGAAGAAGGGTCACAAGGGTAAGTATAGCACATCCCCTTATACTAAACATCTGCTGAGAACTTGTAGCCACCGGTAGCCGGAAGCAGCCGGCGCGCGCCAAGAAGGATGCTGCCGAGTCGGTGCCGGAGACGCGTAGGGCATATGCACGGTTGGTTTTAGAGATAAATTATGGAGTCTAGGAATAAGTAGAGCAAATACTAGTCTAGCCATCGTTTAGGGAATTGAAATGGCTTTTTAACATACTATACATCTACTAGGTGTATGCTCTGCACTTGCAGGGGTTTCCCTTTTCTTCTTCTTTCCCCCCTCTACCTCTTCCTCAAGCTCCTCAATTCGCTCAACCATATCTCTTCGTCGCTTAAGTCCCTCAAGCTCCTTTAAACGCTCTTCTAAAGGGTCTATGTTTGGCATATACACAGCGGGTGATCTAACAGGGGTCTCGATAACGCTATCTTTACCAACACTCTGTACAGTGCTAAGTGGGTGTGTTCGTTGACTTGCAGGTACATGCCCGGCATAAGACGAGCATGTGTTAAGGCTAGATACTGATAGGGAATCAGTGTCCTGCATGGCCACCCGTCTGTATTTTGAAGAGGTGTATCATATGGATTCCCTGATTCCATGGCAAGTGTGGCTTCTTCTGCCGGCGGTTCGCTGCCTTTTTTGCTGTTGATCTATGCATAGTATTAGCCTGGTATGTAAACAGCATATACACTGTTCATGTTGAACCATAGGGGCAATAGGGACAATAGGGACAATAGGGACAATAGGGACAATAGGGACAGTAGGGACAATAAGGGCAATAGGGATAATATAGTAATTAGCTAGAGAAATTAAACAGGCTCCAGCCCTTTAGTTTAACATACTTTGCTTTCGAATAATCTTAGTGCGCCTTTGAACGTTCGTTTGGATTTTCCATGAAGGTGGAATACCCTCCTTAATCTGTATCTTATTCTGAGTAAAGGCCTCAAATGTAAACCTTCGCAATCTAAGTATATAGTTAGTATATTATTAACTATGCTCCGCATCTACCTTGGATATACTTTTACTTTAAAACAGCTGCCAGGAGTGACTGCTTCCGGCCAACACCTTGATTATCTTGAAAATGACTACTTTCACTAATTCCGGTATGTTTCCGAGCATATGTCCAGTGTTCAATCTGTATCTTTGATTGTTCCGGGGTCAGTGCACTTAAGATCCACGGCCGTTTCTTTCCCTCTAGCCAGGATTTAGTCTCAGGATATGTATTGCATATGTAGTCCATACGCTCAAGCAAATCAGGTTTGGACGGTGCTTCTAAAAGGCTGTTAAGTAGGTGCTCTGCAGGGTGGTCCTTATACTTTAAGCGAAAATTACGCTTTAAGTGAGTTTGGCAGAATATAATCACATAGGGAAGGTGCTCAGACCACTCTCGGGATGTGTCTAGCGTATGCAAATAATCTCCAAGACCTAATATACTTAACAGGGTGCAAATACCGGGCATATATTCTGTTTATTACATACCTGGTGCTTGCTTCTTACACATATCGATAGTTATAGTCCAGATCTCATTCTCACCATGTTGAATATGGGGAAACCGTATAGGTGAGCGAGCCACATTTCCAAGTATCTTAAATAGCTTTGAGAACATTACAGCATATGCATCGCGTGTTTCGAGATTAAGAAAAGCATATGCAAAGGTATTGATTCCTAGTAACTTGCAAGTTAGTGAGCAATATTAAAAAAAATATACTAGATACATACTTCGCACATATGGATTCCACCCAGAAATTGAGAAGACATTCGTCTTGCCATTAACCATTTTGAATGAGAGGTCCATCTCAATATGCTTGATATTAATAAACGCCTTCGCCTGAGCATATGTACAGCATATAATAAGAAAATGCCGTGGATCAAAGAAATGGACATCACGTATCCATTGCTGGTCGTCCTCTTTTAATTGGTCGAAGGCGTATTCACGTAATACCCCTAGTATCAGCTGAGCATATACCTAAAAGCAGTAGCTATTGTCATACCAGCAATATCAGTTCCTTCAGGATAAGTTAAGAGTCTCTGTTTTCGGATCAAAGCTTGAACCCTATCTTGAATATTAAGACTTTGATGTAATACACGTAGTGTTGAGGGACCAAATCGATCATATATATCAGTGAACTGTGGAGAGATCATGAACCGTCCTAAATAGAGTAGATACTTAGTATATGCTGTATATATAGAGTAAATATACTTACTTGCAGTTAGGTCAAGGATATTATGCTGGGAGATCATTTGGACCACCTCATCTGCAATATCTTTAGGTAATCGTGTTGGAGGTGGTGGAAAATGAATATGATTTAATCGACAAATCAAAATTAAGAAAGGAAACCGTTGCCAGGATGTTGGAATGTACAAGTCAAATTTAACCTTACACTTTGGAATGTAAAGCCTGCCGGTATGGTGAGTATGTGCTCGAGCTAGATTAATCCTATACTTAGCATATATATATATATATATAAAACTAGAAATATACTTACTACACCATCTTCTTCGGGATGTTGGCTGAGCAATGAAATCACATTCTTCTATTTTTGGGCCTGTTCCATGTTCCATAAGAACTTGAAGATAAGTCTTATCAATCTGAGCAAATCGTCGAACTGGATGAGCATAATGCCAAGGTTCAATATCTGAATTCTTGGGGCAACCAAGAAAATGATTCTGGGTTAATTAGTATATATAATATATGAGTAATGTACCTAAAGCATACCTGATTTCGATAAAACATTACCGGTGGTGTTTCACCACATGTCTTGATACCTTGATATTCACAAGGACCTCCATCCTGCCACCAACATTTCATAAAAGCATAGAAGACATCTTCAGTTTCTTTTTTGATTAGTTGATCAATTGCTTGAGGATAAAAGGGTTCGGCGTAACGTAAGCGCTGTTCATTAAGTAAATCAAGATTAACCCGGTCATATGCCCGTGATATACTTAGCATATGATCATAGACCCGCTCACAGGCCTTTACCGAACCACATATATAAGATCTATGCCAAGCCTTGTGTTGTCCGTTATCATCAAGCTTGTTTAGAAGATCCATTTTGACGAGCTTTGCAGCCCCTGTATGGTTTTTTGCAAACTGAATCTATTTAAAGTATTAGTATAGTATAGAACAGATATATACTCTACATACCTTTGACATAAGCCGTGTAAAAATATTATTTATTTCTTCCTCAGAGAAATCATTTGGATTCCTTGAGGATGGAAATGGATTGCAGTCATGAATAAAATGAAGAATACCACGAGTAGTGCTGCTGTTGCTGGATATTCAGACGAATTAAAAGATGTTCTTAATCTCTTTAACCTTAATTTATACTGGCATTTCGCGCAACGACAACACCATCTGAAGTAGCTGCTTCCTAACATAGACTTAGTATATATTATGTATATATTAGATATACACTAACCCGCTGTAGGCCCATTACTATTGGTGTAAAAGATTCTTGTTCCTGTATATCATCTCCTGGATCTGACGGAGTAGACCTAGTACTAATTATACTACTAGAATCATCTCTATGAGATTCCTGCACCTCGTTCTGATAATTGGGTATATTAGTATAGGGTTTGTATATACCCAGTATATAATAAACATATATACACATACCTGGATTGGGATATTGTTGATCCATTCTACCACTCTTTCCCGAACTTCGGTACCAGCCATTGTTGTGGTTTGGTCAACCTATACAGAGTATATGCAGAGTGGATACTCTGTATTGTGTAGTACAAAATATCCTTAGGGCTACACCTTACCAATTATAGTAATTAAGCCCTAGTGCATATGCTCAGCGTGGTCTAAAAATCTTTTGAAAATCTCATCGTGGCCTAAGAATACTGACTAATCATTTAGACCATGATGAGTTTATTCTTGGCATAAGCTCAGCGTGGTCTAAAAAGAGCGGTGAGTCTCGGGGCAGAATTTTAGCCCACGCCGAGGTTTTTTTAGACCACGCCGAGCTACAAGCCCCTTGTTCATTAATAGTTCAATCTCATCAGAATCGCAACCTTCCAGCAACCAACTGCCTGCATTTCGGAGCCAGCCTTCATTCACCATGCATATTACCTCTCTCAGCGCCCCCGCACGTACCACCGTACTGGGATGCCGGTTTTCGTCGACCACTTTGGGTCCCTATGTCTGCCCTATAGGCTCTAAATCGTTGTATCATGCACTTTCGGTGCAGTCCCAGGCTCGCACCGCGAGTGCATCGGCATCCCCAATCCATGCTCTCCGATCTCAAATAACTACCCTGAAGACATCTACTCGGCCTCAGATTGCATCCGCTGTTTCGATAACCTGCCGGGCCGCTTCCCTACGTGCAAACTCCACAGCCTCCACAGCCTCTACAGCATCTCGCAGTGAGGCCGCCAAACTTGATTGGAATTCTTTCTTCAAGCTTCGCGCTTCCCGCCGGAGATACACCCTAGCGTCTTCTGTCCTTTCGTCGTTGGCCACCACTACTATCGGGGTCCAGGTTCTTTCCGGACAGGATTTGGAGCATCTGGGGGCGCAGGTTATGGGCTTGGATCCCTTCGTGGTCCTGGGAATGGCGACGGCGGCATGTGGCGCTGCAGGTTGGCTCGTTGGGCCATTCCTTGGCAATGCTGTGTGGGGGCTGGTTTACCGGAGATATAAGCCTGCGGTTACTATCGTAAGTACCTGGTGTTCTTGGAGCATCGAAATGGTTGCTTACATTATATGGCATGATAGAAAGAGAAGGAGTTCTTCGACCGGATCAAGCGCTTCCGTGTTGACCCCTCATCGAATTCGATCGCAAACCCCGTCCCTGATTACTACGGAGAGAAGATCGGTAGCGTCCAGGGCTATCGGCAGTGGCTGAAGGACCAAAGGGCATACAACCGCAAGAGGCGCAGCTTCATTCTCTAAATCCAACTTTCCTTGCATGGTGTTCGAGGATGTGCCTCACATATGGGTATCCATTCGTCTTTACGTATTCCCGTCTCAACTGTTCTCTTTTGTCCATCTCCCCTGTATGAGTATTTTCAACTTGAGCGATTGCACGTGACTTTTAAATAAAAATTGATTTTATTAACCCTAGGTTCTTCTTATCTACCGTACTATTCAACGGATTGGTTACAGAACTACAGCTTAGATGGCTCCTTGGTAGCCTTTGGTTTCTTATCTATGTTCACTTCATGCCACCAAGGGTAGTTCGCGGGTCCGTTCTCTTCGAGTGTAGCTTTGAAATTTGGCTTGCGCTTTTCGAAAAACGCCGCCACGCCTTCTTTTTCATCACTATCATTGTGTGAGAGTTGTCATGGTGAAGTCAAAGAGTTCCAGATGGGAATGTGAAGAACGTACATTGAACCAAACATATGAGATATGATGCTAGAATCCAACATATGAGATATGATGCTAGAATCCAACAGATGCGATTCTTCGGCCGAGTTTGGCCCGCGCCACATCAGCGCGCGGTTCAGAGTAGAGGCCATGGGGCTGACATTCTCTGCCATTTCCACTGCCAACCCCAGAGCTCGTGGCAGGACCTGTGACTGTTCTGGTAGAGATTCGGCGAACAGACCGTTGAAATGGGGGGACGTAGAGGGAAACACTCCACCCGTGGAGACCAGGTACATGGCTCGGGAATACCCGATCAAACGGGGGAGAAAATAAGAAGAGCAAGCTTCCATAGTGACGCCGCGTCGGGCGAAGACGAACCCGTATTTACTTTTGTCGTGGGCGATTCTACATGCTCATGAATTAGCGCCAGGTTGAGATCTTCGAAAGAGGGATTGCAAAAAAAAAAAAAAAAAAAAACGGAACCAGCCGTAATCCCGCGAGCGTTACTGTACCTGATAACAGCGGGGAGAGTCATCGTCATGCCTATGCCGACCGCAGACCCCTGCATAGCGGCGATGGTGGGCTTGCGGCATCGATGGATGGCGAGAGAAACGCGCCCGCCGCTATCCAGACAGAGAATTTGATTAGCATGCAACACTCCCTTCACCCGGTAATTACTGGGGAAGGCGATTCACTTGTCTCGATGTTCACTGGGTTTCTCTTTTCCACCACCAAATCCAATCTCGAGATCTGCACCGGCGCAGAAGGTATCTCCCGCGCCGGTTAGCACAATGGTCTTGACGCGGTCGTCATGGTCAAACAATGTGAAGGCCTTTACCAGGTCTTCAGCCATGGTAGAGGTAAAAGCATTGCGCTTCTCGGGACGATTCAATGTAACGATTACGATGGGAGTGGCGGTTGCGGTTCCAGCTGGATGGTGCGAGAGCTTGATGTGCGTTGTAGGCAGAGTCTCGTACGAGGTGGGTATTGTGATGGAAGGATTAGATGGCATTTTCTAAATAACAGGCGGGTATAGTCAAAATAGGATCTGATAGAGATATACAGATATTAATCTACTTGAATAAATGTAGAATGCAACGGGAGGTTCTATATAAAGCATGTCGGTTGTCGGATAACTACTCTGTATGCTAGAGATGGTTGCCATCCCAATGTGGAAGCAGCCTCGGTATATGCGACAGACCCCGCAGGGGGGGACGAATCAGCACGGCCTCTAATTGCATACAGAGTAGTCTGGGCACTATGAGGAGTAGTTAGTCAAAACTGTGCTATTAGTCAACCATGTGGAGAACTGGTGAACCTACCTATCGAATACTCTCCCACTCGACCCAGTTTGATTTGGTAGACATTCTAAGATAGGCGCCGTTGAAGCCACAATAGAACCTCGCCAAGCCGATAATTTCTTCGAGATGAATTCCAACCCATATAATTCAACCTCGCCTCCCTACCTAACCCCGATCCTCGATATATTGGAGACCATATCAACTATCTGAAAAGCTCATCATAGGGAAACCTTATTATCTGTCCAATCGGAATGCCGCGAGGCAGGGCTCTACTCTAGAGGAAGCAGAGAAAGAGATGAAGGCTATACAAACTATTGCAGGCCAATATAAAGAGGAGGATATTTATAATATAGATGAATCTGTGCCATTTCGGCGTATGCCTCCATCACAGAGCCTATCTTCTGTTAGTAGGACCGGGATTAAGAAAGATAAGTCCCGGGTCTCTATAGTATGTTGTGTCAATGCCTCTGGAACGGATCGATTACCAGTATGGATTATTGGCAAGGCACGTACACCACGGACCCTTCGCAATATTAATATATCTACAATTAAAGCTATATGGTGACACAAATAATAATACATGAATAGCTATTAGCATTTTATAGCCATATTAGCCAACGACCCATGCTTCTTACCTCGGATAACTTCTCTGCACATCTATCCGGGCTAGAATTAGCTCCTCCTCCACCACCAGACATACGTATTTGCTGGCTTCCAAAAAATTCAACAAGTCAATGTCAACCGCTTGACCAAGGAATCGTCCAGAATCTGGAGGCATACTATCGAAAACAGTGGTTAAAATATATTCTTTTCCACTATAAAAGCGGCTTAAACTCACTGGAATCGGTGACACTTTTAGACTGCATTCGAAGGCTTGTACGGGCTTGGAATCATGATATTCTAAACTCTACAGTTCTTGCCTGCTTCTACAAAAGCACAGTTGTTTTTAATCCCGTACAGATTCCAATAGAGACACCTGATTTAAAGCCACTTTATAACCAGGTGCAGCAGAAAGGGCAGTTAAACTGTATGGATATTTCATACTTTTTAAACCCTGCAGAGGAATCTTTAGAGCTACTACTGAGATACCATCTGCATTATTGCTTGCTCAGCTAATTGCTGGAGCTTCAGATACTTCAGCTATTGGAGAATCAAGAAGATGATTCTCCAGAGCCAATACCACTTCCAAAGCGTCAAGAAGCTCTAGATGTTGTACGGCTTCTAATATTCTATAGTACAGAAGGTCAGGGTAAATCAAAAACACTACTCCTTGATCTCTGGAGCGGTATGAGCGAGACCTGGAGAGCGAGATTTTTGCATCAAGGGCTCAGGGGACTCTCGATAGCTGGCTAGGTAGTGCTTAGTAATTTCAAAAACTTGATCTTGGCGATACGTCGGATAGGCGATATTTTTTAAGGGATGGCTTCACTAAGCAGGGCCGCACTGTAAGCTGTATCCCTTCCCGTTCTGGTCCCTAACTAAGATGCCTCCGGACTCCCGGAGAACTACTCCGCAGACTATCTTGGCCGACATCATTTGGATACTCTTTTTTAGAAATTGTAGATATTAGATCTATAGCTATTCATTGCCCTCCAGTAGCCTGATATCTTGCAGGTCCAAGGAAATGACACATTGAAAAATCAATTCCACTCCGTACTACCTATCAGTACGACACAAATCAAGGAACTAATGGCAGGGGCAGGTTGGCAGGTTGAACTAGTGTTATTGTACTCAGGGAAGAGCCTCCTATATCCCTAGGTATTCAGAATTGACAGCTTTGGGTCAACAGCAGTTCTTGGGCACCTCTTGGTTGTGGGTATGTGACTGACACATGATGATCCTGCATCGTGTTGGGTGTACTGTATAAATAGGAATGATAGGCAGTGTTAGGTTGACAATCGATACGAGCCACCGACATTGATTGACCACAAAAGCTGGGCCAATGATGTGGCGCAGGCTTCCTCCGTGAAACGCCGGTGGACCAATTGATACGGACAATCCCTGCTGAAGCCCCACTCTGGGAGGGTGTTGAAGGAGCTATCTGGCCGGTCTAGGCCCAAACAAGCAGGCCAGTGGACCGCTGGAAGACACAGACAAGCATTTATTACTGTGTATTATTAGAGCAGGAATTGTCCTTGGCAGACTAGTGACGAGGTGGGATCAACACAAAAAATCATGATTCACTGCATACGAAGCAGCTGCCTCTGCCTGATCTTGCATTCCCGTATTGGGGCTTTCTTCATCATTCGTTTCTCCTTGCTCCCTGCCAGCATTTCCAGCATGATCAGAACCAGATGGCGCTCTTTAATAAGAAGCAAAGGCTCACATTAGCCTCGTTTACAGTCATCTATATCCTCCTCCTTCTCTTCTGCCGATTTAACTCCGCTCGCGACCCAGGATCCGCTTTCTTTCAGCCAAGAGCAGGTTATCGGCCGCAGTACAGTCTCAAACGCATCGACGAATCGCTGCAGTTCCTCTCTACATTGAATCAATCTGCCGCACTCACGCAGGATTATTATCCCCGAAACCGAAGCGCCCCGATTCGCAATGTGGATGTCTGTGTGGGCATTGTCACAGTGAAGCGCCCGCTACGTCAAAATCTGGACACAACCATTGGTTCTATCCTGGACAACCTGACAAAGGAGCAGCGCTCTACTCTGGCCGTTCAGGTGTTATTCGCCCTCACTAATGCTACAGACCACCCCAACTACCAACACTCATGGGTCCCCAACGCCATAGACCGTATTCTTACGTACGAGGATTTCCGCAAACATAAGACCGTCTTGCGTCGTTTGGAGACGTTGAAGAATATCAAGAAGAAGTCGCTCATTGACTATCGACTTTCACTCCAATCATGCTACGAAGACACGGACGCCCCCTGGTTCATGATGCTGGAAGACGATGTGCTGGCACACAGAGCATGGTACAAGCATACTATGGAGAGTATCCGGAAGATTGATGGCTGGAAGAAAAGCGGGCTCATCAACGACTGGCTGTATCTGCGGCTATTTTATACAGAGAAGTTTCTGGGATGGAACAAGCAGCATTGGCCTATTTATTTGAGCTGGAGCGTGGTTATTGTCTCCCTGATCGCCTCCATGGGTCTCTACGGACGACGGAGATTCCATCCACTGCGTCAGATCCTAACGAACCAGTTCCTCGCCGTCATTTGCTTCATCTGCGTGCCACTGCTGATTGGCCTCTTTTTCATGTCCGGTCGAGTGACAGTCCGTCCGATGAAGCCGGGTATCCATTTAATGAACCGAAACGGCTGCTGCTCGCAAGCTCTTGTTTTCCCGCGAGAGACAATTCCCGACCTGGTGGATCGCCTGGAGGACATGGAAGATGAGCGGCGTCCCAAGGCCGTGGATACTGTCATTGAACGATTGGGCAACGAATTAAATTACGATCGCCTAGCAATTTCACCTCCGTTGATGCAACATGTTGGCGCCGCCTCATATAAGCAAGATAAAAAGAAATGGAACGGAGAATACCCCGTGCGTGGAGCCCATGGAGTATGGAGTATGGAGTTCGAAAGAGCACATGATCAAGGGATAATAATGGACGGCCTTACGGATGCCTTTTGGTCCAGTGATTGAATAGGAGTATATTATAACGCTAAACGACTCAAGTTAAGAGTTATAGTAGCTCTGCGATGGTCTTATTTACAGCATTTCCATGCCAACCTGTCAATGCGAGACGCAGAACCCCGGAGTTTGTGATGAATTATGATAGAAGAAGCGTGGCTTTAATGTGCTTTCAGCGTATATTTATATAGTTGCCTCGAGGCCAGTCATACAAATGGTGCTACTCTACTTCATAGTCTATATTTATCCTTTTTTCAAATGGCCGATTTGAATCACGGGCGACGAACTCATGTTCAATCAAATAGCAAGCTGTCCGTCTTTGGTGCGTGCGGATCCTGAATAGCAGCGTTGTGTATCCTTAACTATATCGAGAAAATAAGCTAGAATCAGTCGAGACCATGTTGTGATTGGGACAATGATTGCGTCTGTCCATAGTCCCTAATAGGTATGTATATAATACTGCCGTGGTGTTATCCCAACACAATCGTCGCTCCCTACTCAAGCAACCATTAACGCCCTAAATCGTTGCAAATGGCGCGAAACCTGAATCCCTGGCAGCGTAAGATGATTGTACACATAATAAGCAGCACCAACTACGTCATAAATGGCCAAGCTGGCAAAGTGTAGCGAGCGAGCGTTCTATCACTAACATACGTATGAAGATGCGGTCGTTTAGCAGTTCCAATTCTTGTACCTTAATGCCAGAGGTTTTTGACAACCCTCAGGCAAAATTAGGCACCAAATTCAGGCCAAAAAGCCCTCATTCCGGGGTCTATTCGGACCCAATTTCTCTTTCCTCCCTCTCCTCAACTCCTCTATCTTGCACTCAGTGCCGCCTCCTTTCTTCCAGTCGCTACTACCCCCATCCCACCGATGATTGTGCCCTAGCTTTTAGCCTGACGCACTAGCCCTTTCTTAATAGCGATGCCGCTCGATCCGACACCGAGTTTGTAATGCATGTCATCTAGGAGCAGAACCACTAGGGTGATTCAGGCCACCAGCAGCATCCTAGCTATTTCGTGTCAGTACTCTTGCTTTCGTCCAAAGGCCCGCCAGCCTCCTTCGTATCTATAACGTGCCGATATTCCTTCGATGCCGCATGTCCCGCTCCGTCCACCCCTTTAGAGGTTAGATTGCACAGCCCCGGCGTCGCAAAATGGCTCTCAGTTGCCTAGTCGCGAATAAGGCGTCCAGTTGTCGCCATCATCGGTCTCTCCAGTTTCTATATACCTAGTCGATGAATCTTCGAAAACACAGTGCGATAATATAGGCCAATAGCGGAAAATTACATACCAAGCGGTAACTACTAGTATATATACAGGATGGTTTGCCGCTGGACTCCGCTGATAATTCCATCTTATAATACATGTGTCTTTTTCATCTTCATTGTTAGAGAGCGGCCAAAATGATTCGGGCCATCCTACGCTCAATTAGTTTTCTTCTTATCAGCCTCGGGCAAACGGCAATCGTTCCTCTCCCTTCAAGCACCGGACCATGCGATATCACGCTTCATGCAAGTGAACTAGTTGACATGTCTCGAACTGATCCCTATGACCCAAAGGGAGATAAACGTTCTATCATGGTCACCACCTTTACACCCGTCAATTGCGGAAGCGTACCCTCTACATCTTACATCCCGAATTCAACAGCCAGGTATGAAGATAAGAGTTTCCAGTCTTTTGGACTACCTCTAGGAACGTTCGAGTCCCTTCGTATCCAGTCTCAGACACAGCAGCAGCCACCGCCTTTCAGACTTCACGGAGATTACCCAGTAGTGCTTTTCTCACCGGCACTGGCAACCTCAAGATTGATGTACACATTGCTGCTTCAAGAAATTACCAGTAACGGATTTGCTGTTGTCTCCGTCGACCACCCGTATGATGCCGACATCGTAGAATATCCCGATGGCCGCACGGTTCTCGGAATACTCACAAACATCAGTACCGAAACAGAATTCGTTTCAGCACTAAACGTTCGTGTTAAGGACATGTTATTTTTACTTGATCAAATGAACGACGAAAAAGTGATCAGAAACCTATTCCCTTTGTCGCAGGGAAATTTGCATCTACTCTCTCTTGATCAAGTAACGATCCTTGGTCATTCCCTCGGCGGAGCAACAGCAGCGCAGACAATACTAGTTAACAATCGGTTTGTCGGGGGTATCAATCTAGATGGTAAATTATGGGGGTCTGTCGTGGACAAAGGACTGTCGAGTCCGTTCCTACTTTTTGGTAACACAAACCACACCCGGGCAACAGATCCCAGCTGGGCAAGATTTTGGTCACATTTACAAGGATGGAAACTTGAGCTACAACTCGCACAGTCTGAACACTATACTTTTTCTGACTTTCCAGTGCTTGTTGATGCTCTGAGTGTTTCGGACGAAGTTCGACAAATTATTCAGGCCGATTATATTGGGACAATAGGTGGTTTGCGGGCTAAGGATGTGATTACTTCATACACCATTGCCACACTGCAGTACTTTGTTTATGGGCACACGTCAGAATTGCTGAGCGGCCCTTCGGTAGCATACCCTGATGTGAAATTTGTGTCTTGATAACTAGTTAAATGATTGGTAAATATCTGAAATATTGACTCAATAGATATGGGTATCCGCACCTGCGAAACTTTTGCATTTGCAATATCGCTGCGCGAGAAGTTTGCCATAAGGGGCTAATCAAGTAGGTCATTGCTCATAGTTGGCGGTGGTCGGGACTTTTTGGCTTGGTGAGAGAAGTGAGTTGCTGGGCTCTCGCTAGGGCCGACTGCTGTGGCGGAGACCGCCGCAAACGTGCGCCAAGACCCAGACATCTGATTCAATTTGAATCTGGGCACTGCCAAGTCTCTTCCTTGATTTCCCGCCCTTAAAAGTCTTTTTTGCTTGATCTCGATACTCGCCCGTGCGATCTTCTTCTGCAAATACACAGATACCCGTGTGATCGTAGCTCTGCCACGTTCTTCCCACCAAGGTCTGTCTCTTGTCATACCCGGCAAAGATGGGTGGCCCTCGAAATGTTTCGCATGGTCGGGGAGGCGCAGGTAAGGCACCAAACTCACTGTGATATACTGTAAATAGGGACTGACATGCATTTTTTATGGCTTGTAGGAAACATTTATTCTGCGGAAACTCGCACTACCCCTAAAGACCTCGTCACGCCAACGATCAAACAAGAAGTTTTCACCACCGGTCGCGGTGGCTCAGGCAACATGATGGTCAACGATCCCCGACACCCAGAGATTGCGCGCGAGAGTCAGGACGTGGAGTCGCCACCACTTCGTATGGAAGATGCTCCACATCACATCGGGCGCGGTATGTATTATTCTCGGGTTCCGTTTGTTAGCGTTCTCGCGCTGACCGTACGACCTTTTCAATGATAGGTGGCGCCGCCAATGCATACGTTCCTTCTCCCGAGGAGGAAAGGCGCATAGTCCGCGAGCAAGAGGAACAGCTGCGACAGGTTCGCTCCGATGCTGAACGTCGTGACGAGAACGAGAAGCGCGACGACAGTGAGAAGCATGCAGAGTCGTCTTTGAGCTGATTGAAATCGCGTGGCTCACTTGATTTTGGACGTGTCCCGTCAGTTCAAGGTTGGCAGTTTGGTCCATGACACTGGGCCGATATTTTATTCCATGGGCCAAAGTGCCGCTGGCGGTACTTGATGTTGTTTATCTCTATTACTTTTTCTAATGCATCGCGGTGTCGGCCGATGTCTTCCTTTTTCTTCCCGTGTTTTCGATTGTCGCTTTTATGAGTGAGATAAATGATTGATGAATACCCATGTGTAGTAGGTAATGGGAAAGGATGAGGAATAATGCATAGTTGAATCCCACAGTTTTTTAACTCTCTTTTGCTCAGTTTCTTATCAAAAGGGGTAGATGACTACTACATAATAGTAGGCGTTAGCATAGATTTACTTACTGGCTTCAATCCAATGCACATCGCCTCGATCTAGATGCCAGATTGGTCGAATGAAATGTCTCCGCCTTATCAAGATGCATTCGCATTTCTTTTTGTTGACTTCCCAAATTCGGTATCTATGTTCTAGTACGTAAAGCAGTTTCATTCCAGTAGTCATGAGATGACTGAAGTATTATACTTAGTTAACTAAATCAAACTCCATGTACCATTAATGCTCTTTCGGCGCGAAGAACATGCCAGCGGCAAAGTATCCAACAATTAGCATGTCGTGGCATTCTTATCCGGATTTGCCACAGTACCCAGCCCATGCGACGGGCGATAAACGGGGGAAGGAGCGATCCTACTCAGTAGATACTATCATTTTGTCAACTATGTCACGACTTGACACGGGTCGACAAGTCTGAGATTGTTAACGCCCATCCTCCGTTTATTAGGACAGGAGGACTCGGAGGGCTGTAGATATTGGAGGGAGCTTATTGTCCATGTCGATGTGGATAGTAGAAAAGTGGCATGGCTACCGCAGATAGCCGAATTCGATGTCTCCTTCGTACCGCAAATCAACCGCGGTAGTCTGGCCGAAGGCGAGATTTTTGGCGGGAGGTGAAACGCTAAACGTCGTTCAGTCACCAGGAGCACCACTGGTCTTTAAGGCCAGACGCAAGCAAAACATGACCAACTAGCAAGAGTCTCAGATTGGAGGAATATAACAGCCAGTTGCATCAAGCACCCAGTCGATTGAAGGCCTCCATTCTGCGCTCAGGCGTTGACCGATATACTCAATAATGCGGGCTCCCAGATCACCCATCCACCAGTTTCCTCTGAGCGAATGGATTACCACCGCATAGTGGGCCAAGATAACCAGCGCCAAAGGACGATGCTCCTTTAACAACTCCTGGAACCGAGTTGGGACATTGAATATCCAGTAGAATAGAATAACCAAGGCCTCTCCACCTCTGGCGAGTTTGTCCAGCGAGTGGCCCAGGTGCTCAATGATTATATCGTACATGGCCTTTTCATGCCCTGGATCTCGAGCGGCGAGGCTCATATTTAGTCGTGACAGTGTCATAATAGCCATTCTCGAGGTGTTGGGCATTTTCGGGTGGCAGTTGTCGCATTCCAGCAGTGGTCGCAGCTCTCCCTGACTTACCCTCTCGACCAGAACTGCTAACACATTTGCCGACTCTTGGGCACGTTGGAAGGCTGCACATAGTTCCTGTAGGGGTGGGGAGCCTTCTTTTGCTGGCCTTCGGATCCGGGCAATGCCAAAACAATACACCATCATGATGCTGGATAAGGCAAATGTCGCATTACAATCGGACAAATTGGGACTTCCCGCCGCCTTAGGTGAAACTCCAACAATAGCCCGACTGTGATGAACCTGCGCCACCGTCAGGTAAGCATCTTTCGCACTCCCACTACTGCTATTTGACAGATGCAACGCGGAGAGAGCTAGAATGCCATGCATCAAAGATGGGTAATGCATCGCCTCACGCGGGACGACGGCATGCCAAATCCATTCCACGGTGCTATTTTGGGCGATGGAACGATACGTCGCAGTGCACCATTGAACCATGAGTTCCAGATCACGGGTATTAAGGTCCGAAGAAAGCGTGCAAGAACTGGCAGAAGTCATCGAGTCTCTGTTGTCCGCAAAGAGATAAGAGCTGGAGAGTGATTGCGGTGTTATAGGAGGTGATGCATGTGAATCCCAGGCTGTGGATGACGAGTACTGGCAAACTATGTCGTTTCGGAGGCAACCAGAGCATTTGGTTTGCTCGTTGGTGCACTGGATTCACACTGTCAGCAAACACGCCCGAGACAAGAAGCGCGGGGGAGATATAGAGAGGCAATCAGAGCTCTTATTAAGTACATGACTAGTATCAGATATGATTCGGCCACGGTCCCAGTAACAGCTAGGCAAGATTACCTGCCACTATCTACTCAGGTGCCTTCCAGCGTGTTCGGTAGCAAGGCATTCAGGCATGCGAGCTTGGCCTGAAGAGAAATAGTAGAGCAGAAGATGAAACAACCTCGTCGAGCCTGGTACATACCTTCGTTCGCCAATTACTACCGTCCAAACAGCCGTTCCACGACGCGGCCTTGCAACTAGGCCGCAGAGGCATTCCTGGGGGCAAGCTCCCTTCGGTTCGTCAAGTCCAGCGGGTTCTTTTCATTGCAATCAAGCAGGAACGAACCGGTGCGTTATGTAGCGTCTGAGTATGCTGCGGCCCGGTCAGATACTGTATCCGGGATTTGGTCCAGGGAATCGGTATTTATATATTCCTATTTTTATTTTTATTTTATTTTTATTTTTAATTTTATTATTATTCATTTTTTTCCCCTTTCAATTGTTGTGACTGACCATACGTCCGGAGAGAGCACCCCGTCAGCCTCCATGTAACCGACAGACAGATCAGTGCTTTTTTCCCTCCGTGGTGGGTCTCTAAATCCATTATTTCTTCAACGTCATAACAAAACTAGTAAATGCGTACAAACCTCGGGGAGGCAAAACAATGCTGACTGCATTGCCGTCGTGGCCACCAGCCACTTGGGACCGAATGCCCCTACAACACGCATATGACAATGCAGTATGGGCTGGGGGGCGCTGATTGGTATTATTTTCAGCCGAAAGAAATAGGTAATAGAACAGTTCTCCTTTCTCGGAAGGTCTGAGCTCTTTACTATCGTTCATCGTTGGTCCACATACGGGGTAGTAACTAGTATACAGGGCTCGGTTTACCCAAGTTTTTGGGCCCTTGCCGCTCAGTCCCGGTGATATCTTTACGAAATCGGCGAATGATGGTCTCCACAGCGCGCTTAACTCATTCTCAATGGAGGCGACGACTGTACAGCCCCCCTTATTATGAACACTCTAAGTAAACCTGCCAGTTTGGCGAGGACCAGATGAAGGGGAAATAGGAACAGTTAGAAAATGTTTCAGCAAAGACCAGACCAGCGGTACACTCATCTTGGGCCTCCAGCTAGTTATTGGCCACCAGCGCATGTCTCTCGTCATGCCGTCTTGGGATAAACGACAGTCACAGCTACTTCTTAGTGCAGTCCACCTTTATTCCCACTTGTCCTGGTTGGTGAGCCGTAGAGTTTTAAGTCCAAGAATCTACTGCCCTAGACCTATCTTGGCAAGGGCGCAAGGCGTCAACGAACCCTGCTTTTGCCGTTTCAGGGAAAATCTGGTCTTGGGCCTGCCGCTGCCTGTTGATTGGATTGTCTCCTCAATGAGGTTGACAGTGACGGAGTACATCCAACACTTCGCAATAACAACGAAGTCGATGATCGGACTCCCCACGCGGGGTTCCGTAGTCTACTATCAGTTACAGAATATATTTTTTTTCGAGGATCCTACTAGGTCGATGAATTGATAGAAGCTTTTGAGCAGTTTCGCTGATGAGTATGCGAGCTCTGACCTTTTTTCTTTTATTTTCTTTTGGTTGAAGATCATCCCAGTATCAGTGAGCTCACGCTGCCAGCGCAAGGACTCAACCAAGTTTTCACAAAGAAACTGGTCACTCATGCGCCGTCGGACTTGGAATTCCGCAAAAATCGCCCACAAGGCCACAATGTTACGAACCTCGTCGCTTTCGAGCATTCAGTATCGACAACTGAGTATACTGGGCTGCGGCTGTGGGCTATAGGGCCAGCCAGCAATGTTCGTGGGCCGCATGATTGTAGCAGGCTATCGGTGAAGCCGGTTTGAGTATGAAAACCTGAGGGGATATATGCAGACCGATGGACATGCTACCAACGGCCGTAGCAGGAAACACTCCCGCTTGCACCTTGCTTCAGTGAAAGATAAAAAGATGGCATTCAACCATAGCATAGGTATCTATAGGCATCTGGGATTACTCCGTATGGATCCCCCACGAGACGATCCTTACCGCAAAACCTACGAAGTGCGGAGCCATTCCCAGGAGGGTAATCGCTGAGCTTGTCGCATCAGCGATGGAGTGTATTAAGCGGCACAGTTGGCAGCATGATTTGGGGGCCAGGTCATCCCGTCTACTCCAGAGTAGCTCCATGCACTGACTCGCCCCAATCATTGGGGCTCAAGGTAATATCTTGGCAGGTCTTTTTACGAATTGCTCCTTATTATTGATTCCCCCGGAAAAGATACCGATGTACAAGCTGAATCTTGACGGGGACAGGCCCAGCGAAGTTCTGCCGGGAGTCTAGAAGGAGTTAGAATTGCGCGAGAAAATCGAGGATTTTATGTTCGGGACGATCAGCCTATGAAAATGAAGGGCCAATCTGTTAGTCTCCAAAAAAAAAAAAACCTAGCCGTATGGCCCCATCCACTCATACTTACTACCAAACCGAGGGCGACAGCTGCAAGTCATGGAGAACAGGTATTAATATCTGACCGTTATAACCGATGGAGGATGATTGGAGAGCGACTTCGGTTGCATGATTTCAAGTAATCACGGAGTACTCCCCATGTTGACGTGACGTTGTTTTAGGTGCCCCTGTGTTGGAGACAAAAAAGGGAGACAGGAATGGACAGCGGGTGTCATACCATCCAAATATAGCTCCAGGTATACCCAATCAAGCGGGTCCACCATCATGAACACGACATTTCCAATCCAACCGCGCCGAAACAGAAACGACAATGAGAAGCTCCATGCCTGTCCTTTTTTAGGCCCAAGCAGTACCAGTACAACACGGACTAGACTGCATCCCCAAGTGGCCCCTCAAAGGAAGAAGGAGGATTCAGTCTAGCCTGTGGGATGGATCCTGGCGGGACCGGGCCGGATAGGGATTTGGGACCGAGACAGGGTTCGCCTTGTGCTCAGGATTTGGTTTCCCAACTTTGGTGTCTGTGCTCATTTACCCTGAAGGGGATTGTGGATTGCATTTGAGGCTTTTAATACGGTTGTTCCTCCTGAGTGGTCTTGGCTTGAGTAGGGTTGCTCTGGGCCTCCTCGTGTGCTCCGTACATGGTCTAATTAAAGTCCACAGCAGTAGGCATTACAAAGTAGATGCTTTTTCTTCCAGAACGTGGACAAATGATCTGAGTCATCCGAGCAAGTCCCTGGATTCTGCCGAATTTGAGCCGGAGTAGTATTGCGAGTTGAAAACGTCATACTCAGCATTTTTTTCCACACATACGTACTATCCCGTTGCGGTTTATGCAGCCTTCAATCAAGAAGCATGATGGCTCTGCATCTATGTTCTGACAGATCCTTCAGATCCCTCCAGGAGACCTTCTAATAATACTAATTATACACAGCATAGATCTATACCAATCCAACACAAATAACCCTTTCCCTTACCAACTATCCAACTACCAACTTACATATCTGTCTATCAATAGGTGGCCTAGCAAGCTCTTCAAAACAACCGAAAATCAGAACAACAGACTTGAGTTGACCAATGGGCTACTCTTCGTAACCAAATTACTTGCTCTGTAGGTTCTGTCGGGATATGGCCTTGGCAACCATTTTATGTACTGAGGCATTAGTTGTTTAAACAAAAAGAAGATGATGGGGAATGAAATGCAACTAATGTCCCCTATGTGAAACCTGTATATCCAGTATTTGTTGGTTAATTAATTAATGAGATCGTGTGATTTGGATACGTGGATAGAGTACATGGTATATCAATACTGGATTGGGATTCTGGTTGATTGGGGCCGGATTGAGTTGCTCAAGGGTTTTAAGGTAAATAGACAGATTCCTAGAATGGAATGGTTCCCTAGACGAGGCTATGTGGTAGGGTATTTATAGCTATCTATCGCTATGGATATGGATATGTTTGGATTTATATCACATCAGGTTTTGCGTACATGAAAGGGACTGATGGATGTACAGGATCATCTTCATATCCGTCCTATCTTGGCTATTTTACATTGCAAAGCAATGAGTACCCCAGGCAGTCCATGCAATCAATAATTCCCCTACCTTCCCTTGTAGACTCTTCATCATTGTCTGGCCTAATAACGTTGGTCCGTTGCCATCATCCAGATTGTAAGAATGTCCCGTGCCGGACCCTGCATAGTGGCACCCATAAAGTCCTCCAGTTGGTTCGGGCCCCGTCAGTCTCATCATGAGTACTACGTACGCTGGTCGGCTTGCGCACACTGGGGAGAAATCTGATGTTAAATTGTAGATCTTCTGGGGGAAAACGCCCAGATCGAATTGCTAGCTGGTCAGCATAGTGGCTGTAGATCAGGTCTCAGGTCTCGTTGTTGTATGGTGAAATTTTGTCTCTGGGTCGGTGTCTTGCCTGTCTGAGTAAGAGAGCTTATGCAACTGACTGCCATAGCTCGTATAACTGTCCTGAGAAGTCAACGTGCCAGTAGTAGACAGTCCACTCGTAGCTTATACTGCCAACTGATCTGACTGGCCGTTTCTGCTGAACCGTTGTTCAATGTCAGCTGCTTCTTTTTTTACCATGTTCTTGTAGTTACTGGGTTCTGTTCAAGTACGGTCTTGTAAACCGTCTGTGTTTCCTGATGCGAGCCAGTATGCGTAGATTATGATGATACTACAATATGCATAGCTTGTCCCTTTGGGGTAGCACGTTCAGAGGTCATCGGCTACATATTGCTGGTAGGGGCTTTACTTTCTATATATGACATACCGGGTTTGAGGAGCAGTCGGAAGTAATGTGGGCTCAACACGTGGACAGACAACCGAAAATGTGGCATAAATGACATCCACGTATTGCCGTTCCTGGGGGCTTCCTTGAAGAAAGCTCGTATGTCCCCTGTGGTCCTGCGAGCTGCCGGTATCACCAGTTCATCAGATAGAGAGTGTGAGAATATCGGAATAGATAGCTCCATTAGATGACACTCTACGCTTCTAGATCAGTCATCTAGTTTGTCGGTTCCTCATTGCATTGGCCGTCATCGCGGAAATGTGTCACCACAGAGACCTGCGCGATAGTAACCAGTCTTAGCCGTGTCAAATAGTCGAAACTTCCTCTCATACATGTCCAATGGCAAACTACGGAAGCCTTGTCTGATATCCAAATCATATGCTAACTGACCATGCATGTCGGTAATTTAAACCGCCTGAGAGATGTTTAGAGCACTGGTGTTAATAAATTTAATGCAGATGCCACAGGCGCCTCGGGAACATTTAATAGACTATAGGCATCTACAGGAACAATTACTGACCATGCAAGTCAATAAACTTAGAAGCTCAGTGGTAGATTGGCCACAAGGTCTTCCGGGAGTCAGACTTCAGGTAGTCGGTACAAAGCCACATTATGGACACGTAGTTTGCCGGATAAACAAACCAGAAGATAAATAGCATGTAGAGGGCCCGAAGGTCACTTCAGATGCTTTCGAGCATCCAGGCGCTCCAGTGCAGCTTGTCTCCCCATTCGTCTCAACCACACCTGCAGATCAAACTCTCCCTCGCTCAAATCATCGGCATTGCCAACGAATTGAAATGTGTGACCCCAGTCCTGCGCGGGCTCTCTTCCATCTGTATACAAGATCCGACAGGGTACAGGATGATAATTGCTCGTTTCATAGTCAGCTAATTTCCTGCCGTCCTCTCGACCACGGACGAGATACACCGATCCCTCTACCACTGTGTCGGTGATGGTAGGCAATAAGGCTGGATATTGGCCCCACATTTTACATTTGTAGCCGACAATCGTTGCAGGCCGAAGGATAGGCTCCGTATCAAGGTTGAGGATTTCGGAAACCATAGAGGAGTCGGTTAGTGTGCCGTAGAAGAAATATGGGCCGGTTGGAGCGGGGGACAGTTCGATCGAGGGCTTTGGTGGCTGGTATACTGTTGGCGTAACACTCCTTAGCTTCTTGACGATAGGGGAAATTTTTGACAGATGTTTCTCTGGAGGGGGTGGAGGTGGAGGAGCTGCCATGGTGGGGGTAATAGGATGAACAGAAAGCACAAGACGATGGAGGGCAAGTCGGCAGTTTGCTGCCATCAGACCCCTCACATGATTGATTAGTGTAGCTATCAACCGACAGCTCGGTCTCAATTTTTATAATGCAGGAACAGACATTGCTTTATGGTTTACATTACTATTGCTACAATCACTAATGTTCTGTCAAATATCATTGGTACCAGTGCACCACGTGGTATAGTTCGTAGCCATAGCCAAGCTCGTACTGTGGCTCGAGTTTATCAAAATCAAGTTGCTGTATGCAATATGGGAAGAGTTTGTATCGGCAAGTTGATCTGGGAGCAGCAAGCATGCAACACGATATTCTGTCCACAGTTTAATGTATTCTCGTTTGAATTGTGGAGGGGACGATAGAAATGAAATTGCTGACCATACAAAGCTTCACCACTCCTATTTCTTGTCCATCTATTGCCTCCCAAAACACCCACCTGTTATTACTGCGGTATAGCAGTCATAGTAACGGGGGTGTTGACAACATCGGCTCCGAGATGCAAATGTCAGGCAGACGATGATGGGAGAGATTACACCGACGAATGTACTGTATGAGACCACCGACGCTGGAACAAAAACTAGCCTAAAACAGAACGATCCCGGATCAATACCAAAATAAATAAGGATATTCCCACTGTACTTCATACTTCGTACGCCGACAGTAGAACCTACCCACGTATCCGGTGCCAGGAATCCACTACTACGGTCAAGTTGACTTGTTCCTTGGCTCGATGTGCTACGAAGTAGACGGGTGATGGACCAAGGTGCTTTTGGTAAGGACATAAGTAAAAAAGATCGCTGGTCTGCGTCTCGGAGCAGACCGGTGAGTGCATGTTGGGCCATATCTACAGCTTAACCATGGTGGCCATTCTATCTAACTACAGCTTTCTTTCGGATTAGTACCTCATCAAGCTCGCAGGATTGGGGAGAACGTACAGAGTAGCCCAGATTGTCCAACGGTGCATTTCCTCCGGTTCCTTTCTTTTTCTTCTTTTATTAATATCCCAGGACAGGCGGAGGGGCCATCCGGCCAAGAAAGCTAGCAATAGGTCTTTAGTACGTCACTAGATAGACAACAACTTCCCGCCAGTCAGTCGGACACTTAGATTAGTTCGCTTAGTTTGACCGTACTCTGTGGTTACTCCGAAGGAGTTAGTCAATCCTCAGTCATTGTTGAGACGAATCCAAGATTCGCTTTACTTTTTTCCCTTCATGTGTTCTTATTGCTCTCTGGCCGAAAACGGCAGTGTCGGGACTAACCCAAAGCGGAAACGACCCAACCTGGAGGATCCGCCAGACCCGGCAAGTTGGCTGGTTGGTTGAGAATGATGGGGTTGCCACTGTTGGGCTGCTTCCACCCATAGATAGGGCGATTTCGGTCGCAAGTCCCCTCTTCCGTTGCATCCTGGCGGGTCCTGAACCCCCCCAAAAAAAGACACCAATGGAGTTCACTAGAAGCTACTCGGTAAATATTGACCCTACCGGTCCTATCTGAGGGAATGATCATTGGATTTTGCAAAATAATAGAACTGGAGGTTGGGAGGACCCTAAAAAATCCTCATTGCAATCAGTTTAATCCCAGGAGAAGACAAAGGGATCAATGCTAAAGAAACAAGAATAAGAATCCCGGTTTTCCCTTGGACGGGGATTGGAAAGGTGGGCACCAAAGGTCAATCCAATGAGAGGATTGATTCATCCTGCTGGACTGAACCCGACCGTCTGGGTCGTGAGGTTCCTGCGCCTAGCTGATCGCCTCCTGATCCGTGAGGCTGCACATCTTCCTTCCCATTCAAAGTTGGTCTGGTCTAGTTTATGGGGAGGAGACACTTTTCATCCGAATGGCATGGTGAGAGAAACAGTAGCTCTGGTTTATAAGTAGATAAATCAAAGGCGAGGAGGATTAAATGGATCTAACCGATACAGGAAAGTAGTAGCAGATATTCGGAGCACAACACCGTCCACAGAGAACGAAAAGAAAGAAAGAGGAAAAAAAAAAAAAAAAAAGATGAACTCATCGGGTACTGCTCTCTCCAGTCTTGGTCTGGGCCTCCCCAGCTCCTACTGCCCGACTCTGTCCCCTCCTCCTTCCCACTTTCTCTTATTCTTTCCCCTTATCCCGACTTCTTTCGCCTCTCGCCATCGGCTTCCCCTTCAACCTCTGGCTCTTTTCGTATTCTCCATTGATCATCCGTCTCCCCAGGTAATGATCTTGGTCCCACTAGGAAAAGGAACAGCACTCAAGGAGAAAAATTAAAGAGTGGCTGCTTTGCGCCGACCCTCGGTTCTGAAGGCGACCCGTGGAAAGGCTTAGTGAATCTCCCGCAGTTTGACAGCTTCTCGCTACGGCTCACCCAGAGGCGATCCTCATTTTCCCCTTAGACCCTCTTCTACCTTTCTATCGAACATACTGCATCTTTAGCTTCGTGTAGGTGGTTGTTCTGTTCCATCAAATCTGCCGTGGTTTTTCTGACCGCTGTCCCGCTTCGATTCAGATCAACGACGACTCCGGCGATATCCACCCCTCTTTCGCCACTTTCCCTCAGCTCTTCAACCCAAAAAGAAATTGCGCCCGGCCACCAGCTCCCGACAACTTTTCTCATCCGTCCGTCATATAAAACCACAAACTTGAACCATCCATTTCGACAGCCTGACTGATCCCGTACGGCCGTGCGGAAGCTCTTGAGAGAGAGACTGTCGTCACTCCGGTCGCGGCAGAAAGCACCCCTCATTGTCGCTTAAGAGTTGACGCTCCGACGGTGACGTCGATCTTGCTCTACTAGCTTTAGCATCACCTCAACGTCCCGTATTTTTCGGCTCTGAATCCTGCACTTCGCGAAAAAGTTATAACAAGTCAACACCAACATCAACGTCGGGGCAAAAAAAAAAATAAAAGTAAAAATAAAAATAAAAAAAAAAGGAAGCAAGATAAAAAGAAGCATCCTCTGGATCAAGTACCATGGCCATGTATACTACTATCGAGGAAAGAACTCACGCGGCGCCACCCCCACCGCCACCTCTCTCCATGGATCGAATCCCTCCCCCGTCCTCAGCATATCCAACCCCTGGGTCTGCGGGTCCGGTACAATCGTCAAGTCACTTGGTGCCGTTTTCCGGCATTGATGAGAACAACCGCACCTGGTCCCTTCAAGTGGTGCAGCAGCCTGTTCGTGCTCGAATGTGTGGCTTTGGCGACAAGGTGGGTTCTTATATGTCGAGCTTTGATGGATTGCCTGGCTGACATAGAGACTTCTATTTAGGACCGGAGACCTATTACACCTCCTCCTTGCATTCGTCTAATTGTACGAGACGCGCAGACCGAAAAAGAAATCGATATAAAGTACGCGGCTTCCACTGGCTAGGAGATACTAGAAGCTAAACTGCATCACAGTGAACTTGATACTTCCTTCTATGTTCTGATGGTAGACCTATGGAATTCAGATGGGACCAGCGAGGTGAATCTGGTGAAGCATTCGGCTACGTCACCCTCAATATCCACGGCCATGTCTTCGTCATACCCACCACCTCCTCAAAATCCCTATCCGCAGTATGCTCAAAACGCCTATGGCCAGACGGTCCCTTTTCCACCTATGAACAATTACTATGGGGGGAACCCCCAGCTCCAATACCCCAACGCCTACAGCGCCAACCCACAAGCCCCATACTACCAGTCATACTACCCCCCTGGCGGCCATATGCCGCCCACGAACATTTCCCCTGCACAGCCAGTGAGCGCTGGACCGGGAGGCATGTTCACGCGCAATCTCATTGGAAGCTTGAGCGCCAGCGCATTTCGACTGACGGATCCGGAGAACAAGATCGGCGTCTGGTTTATTCTGCAGGATTTGAGCGTACGAACAGAAGGAGTTTTTCGGTAAGTTTTAAGACGGTCCTCGCGGTGACCAATGTCTCAGTCTGGCGCTGACCCCCGCTGCAGTCTTAAAATGAGTTTTGTCAACGTCGGCACGGAGTCCTCGAATGGAGTGACCGTGATCAATCACGGCTCCCCCAAAATCCTAGCCTCTGTCTTCTCTGAGCCCTTCCAAGTGTTTTCCGCCAAGAAATTTCCCGGTGTGATTGAGAGTACGGCGCTGAGTAAATGCTTCGCTCTTCAAGGCATCAAAATCCCGATTCGCAAAGATGGCGTGAAGGGCTCACGAGGGCGTAATAACGACGATGATGACGGGGACGATTACGACTAATGCTATTGGATGACTCGGGTGAATTGGAAAGAAAAAACGGGATGCTATTCATATCAGGATGGGACTTCTTTTTGCGCCTACCTGGTTTAAGGGGTCAGGGCTTTTTTTTTGTTGGCTTTGGTTGGCGGTGTTATTGGACGGGCGATTGATTTGCTTTCTTCTTCCCAACGGCTGGGCTGTATTGCTATAATTGGAATTGGTACTATGGGGTTCTTGGCTGCTTCTTTCTTTCGTTTGATATCTCTTTTTTTTACCCCGGCTTTGCTATCCATATTTCCCTTGTATTTCATTTTGGAACTTGTTGACGTCAAGTGTGCGCACATGACGGAAGGCTGGCTATCTGGTCTGGCTAGAATTAGAAAACGGATCCAAACAAAACAAAAAATTAATTCTGAACCAAAAAAAAAAAAAGAGAGAGAGAAAAAAGAGAAACAAAGGTGGTTATCTCGCTGCAAGGTGTTCTTCAGGTGGCCAATGTCTAAGAATAGAGCGTGGATTCGATTCTTCAGGGTCTGGTATCCACCGATGATGATATTGACTTTGGGGGTAACTAACGAATTCCACCAAGTTAATAGTTTCCATTGAACAGCTTCCACTCGTCGGCTTCCACTGGATCGTCGCGTGTTCACTTCCATGAACTACTCTCAGCCAGTAAAAACATCTTCGCACCTTTCCAACCCTCCTAGTTGTCTGGTGCAGCCCGCGGCAAAAATTGGGGCCCGAACCAGTGACTGTTGAATTGAATGTCTCAGAGAGTGAGACAACGCGATGCTGATCCATCCACTTCATAGCCATTCTGCACCCCCACAACAATATACGTCATAATTCTCCGCACGGGGAATTTTTTTTGCTCCCGTATCGGGCCTGCTCGCTACGATGCGGTTTCAGTTTAGCGGTCGATGGTGGCTCTCCTGATGCTCACCTGATAGGCCATGATCCACATCCTATAGAGCATCCCCGCCGGGTCCTTCCCGCAGCAGCTGCTCAAAGTGATGAGATGATTGTATGCTATAACTCATTGCTATCCCGTGTGGCCTTACCGATGTAACCTATTTCTCCCGTCGCAAGCTCCAGTCTCTTCGCGCTTGTGAATATAAATACGGGAGGATCGCTTCGTCAACACGATTGTTTCTCCCATTACTCTCAATACCATCGGTTCTATTATTATTGTCACCACAAATCCTTCAGTCAACCATGAAATTCTCCTTTGCTTCTCTCGCCCTCCCTCTGTTGGCGGCTGCCGCTCCCACCAAGGATGATAACCCAGCCTTTGGTGTGATGTCCTCCCGTTCGGCCTCGCCCATCCACCTCCTGCCCATGAACGCCGCAGGTCAGCACTTTTACCTTGGAGGAAAAGCCTCCACCTACTGTCCCCTTCCTGAAGGAAAGGGCTGTCCCCCGGGGACTTCGACCGTCTTTGCTCCGGGCGGAAGCGGCCTGGTACGTAACCTGTAGAGCCGACCAGCTCTCCGTGCATACATCCATACATCTCTCAAATACAGCACTAACCATATCAACAAAAACAGAACGTCATGGTCCCCGGTGGCCAACAAGTTTACGTCAACCCTGACGGTGCCCTGAGTTTCACCCAGGCTCACTCGGCGTACGTTCCTCCTGGCTCGGCCCTGGGTCCCTTCAGTTACGAGCCCGGCGAAAACTTCGGCCACTACACCTTCACCGGCTGGGGTGCTTCCGGTTTCATGGCCTGTCCTACGAAGGACCAACGGTGGCAGGTTTTCGCAAACCTGCAGAACGCCACCGTCCCCACTGGCAATGTTGAGGATTGTTTGGGTTTCTCCGCCATGGCTCCCAAGGCGGACAGCGGGGCTGCTGCTTGGCAATATATCTAGACTAGACTGTATAGTTTGACATGCCTGTTTGGGAGAGGGATGGATGAGATTGAGGGAAGACGTGTGCCTCTGTATTGTATACACGAGTCGTCTGTGTTTTTATATATAGCATCCGTGATGAAATAAGATCAGTTGAAGAACGTTTTGCTTTGTCAAACCACTGCTACTAACTACGGGTTAAAGATGCTAGTATCAGGGTATCGCAATTGTATTGCTTACTTCATATCTACATTAATTCCTCCATATCCGAACGGCCTTATCCTTCCCACCACTGCCAACCTTCTGTCCATCCGGGCTCCAGTCCACCGCATACACTTCGTCTTTGTGACCCGGGAGATCCATGGAGAGTTTACCCGTGCGCAGATTCCATACCTTCAATGTAGTGTCCTTTGACGAAGACACCAACAGCCGCGAATCAGCCGAGAAGCAACACTGGTAGACGGCCCCAACATGGCCTCGGAAAGTGGTAATGAATCTGTCAGGACACCTATGTTAGCGGACGAACAGATACATACCACCGATTTTTATACAGGATCGACTCACTTTCCATCACGGGCGTTCCACAGTTTGACGTGGTTATCGAACCCCGCCGATGCAATATATGCCATGTCCGGCGAAAACGTTACGTGATTGACCTCTTTCTGGTGGCCCAGCAGTCGTGCCACCGGTTTACCGGAGCTTTCCGGTTCCCATAGATACATGGTGAAGTCATCGCTGGCCGAGACCAGCTTCTCGACGATCTTTTTGTTGATCGTGGCCGCCTGTTCGAATCGCTTCTTAGCGGCAGCCACCTTTTCTGACTCGCTATGGGGCACTTGGCCTGTGTGGTCATGGTAGGCGGTCCGAAGGACAAAGTCCGTCGATAGAGCGAGATGGTTGACTCGGTGAGCATGCGCAGAGAGCGTCTGAGCCAGGGTTCCATTCTGCGCATTCCACACTTTGATAGTTCGATCGTGGGAGGACGTGTAGATCTTCCCCGTTCCGCCCCATCGCACACAGGTGACGGATCCCTTATGGCCCGACAGAACCATGTCGATTCGCTTAGAGACCACATCCCAGATACGAACAGTCGAATCCTTGGACGCCGACGCAAGCCGCGGTCGGCCCGTCTCCTGCATATGGTACGGTTCCCACGCCAGACTGGTGATCCATTTCGCATGTCCCTTCAGCGGCCCGCCCAGTGCCTGGCCCTTCTTTGCATCCCACAGACGAATGGTGTTATCCATACTTCCTGTGGCAATTATCGCCCCGTTGGGCGAGTAGGCCACCGCCAGAACCCAGCTGGTGTGTCCCTTGAGCGTGTGCAGGGGAGTTCCGGTGTCGCAATCCCAGACACGGGCAGTCGCATCTCCGCTCCCTGTGACCATGGTGGACGACGAAGCGGGAGAGAACGATGTTGCTAGAATTGCTTCTCCATGACCGGCAATAGAGGCTGAACAGCGCGACACGGCTTTCACTCGGAAAACTGCCTGAGGAGTGTAGTAGAGATGGATGGTGTCTTCGGTCGTCTTAACGCCGGGCTGCAAGAGGGAGTGATATAGGTCTGCGAGGATGTCGATTGTCTGGTTGTCTTTGTCTTTGTTTTTGTCTTCGCATTGGTAGCTGAATCGGTACGGTACTCGTTCATCATCCTCCTGTCGGACAAGAATTCACATTAGCCCCGAAGAATAGGCTAGCTATTGGACCCCGTTGCGTACCTACATTGCCTTGTAATGTGTTCAGGAGCGTTTCAAGATTTTTGACGTTCGCATCGGCCACAGGAACTGACACCGCAGGGCCCGTTGCCGAGCCCGTCGCTTGGTCGAAGAATTGCACCCGGATGCTTCCAAGATTATCGGGGATGCTCTGGATTTCTTGCTGCTGACGGGCCTTCTCAGCTTGCTCCGTCTTTTGACGCTTTGTCGGAGGGGGTAGAAGAGTCGCCATCGTGCCAAAATTTTAGTGCAGTCCCGACAGTCCTTGAATATGCAGCTTTTCATTAAAAAAAATTCGATTATCAAAACTTATCGCGTAAGTGGGTCGGGGCTAAACCGCATTCGGTCTCCTAGATCTATACTCTTTTCCATCTCGTCGTCTTGTCACATACTTCATCTCCGCTGAATTGCATCAAGAGATCGCTAGTAGATACAATTTTCTCGGATATTCATGATGTTTTCATCGAGAGCATCATCTATCGCCACCAGCGACTCCTTCGCCCCTCTCTCTAGACAGACCAACGGGCTACCCAGGACTACCACTCGACCTACCACCACGGCGACAAGCGTTGCTTCCCAGGATATCATCTGTGCTGTTAGCGAATCCCGCGGTATTTTATCGACTGTTGGTCTTGCTTTTGTTAATCTGTCCACCGCCGAAACGGTCCTGTGTCAGATATGCGACAGCCAGACCTATGTCAAGACGGTGACGAAGATCGGAGTGTTTGAGCCGACGGAGATCCTATTCATGAATCCGGCCAAAGAATCCACGTTATGTTATATAATTCAAGAAAATATTTCGAATGCCACCATCACCTTCCTCGATCGCAAATTCTGGTCGGATAGAAGCGGTCACGATTATGTAGACCGGCTAGCTTTTCCAGCCGATGCTGAGTCGATCAAGATTACGTTTGGGGGGAATTATTTCGCTGCTTGCTGCTTTGCTGCCGTACGCGAAGGGAGTGTGAATCACATAGATACCGCTAACTCTTTGTAGGTCCTCAAGTATGTCGAGGTGGAACTGAACAAGACGTTCACTGCGCGCTCTCATCGCATCCGCTTTGGGCCCTCACAGGGGTCCATGTTGGTCGACTTATCCACTATAGTATCCATAGAGCTGGTCCAGAACCTTTATAGCAGAAAGTCCAAAAATAGCTTGTTTGGGCTACTGAATGAGACCCTGACCCCTATGGGGGCAAGACTCCTCCGAGCCAACATCTTGCAGCCTTCCACTGAAGAGTCGAAGCTATTGGCAAGATATGATGCAGTGGATGACCTATCTACGAAAGAGGAGATGTTAGTATCTGTCCGACAAGGTTTGTGAAAGACACGTCGGACCGCCTACACAACGATGCACTAATGTCTTCCGTACAGCTTTGAAGGGATCTGTTGATGCAGACAGGATTCTAACATCGGTGAGTTTTGCCGAGTGCCCAATGCACATTCCAACTGCAACTGACAGCTAAGCTTATTCTCGTTCCTACTAAACAAACCTTCCAATATATCGAGCAATCCGTCAACAATATCATCATGTTGAAAACATACGTTTCTTCGATCAAGAACGTGTACAAGGCGCTTGCTCCGGCACAGAGCAGTCTTTTACTGACCATCAGAAAGATTGCTTGCTTACTACTTAGTGAAGAATAAGACTAACTGAAGTGTCCATAGCTGTGTGCCCCAGCAGGCCATCAAGAGGTAGAACATTTGATTGAAGCTACAATCAACGAATATATAACATACCAGACCAAGCCGCTTGACCTGAGAAATCAGCGCATTTACTGTGTCAAGGTAACGACACTACTCCATCTGCTATACTCCAAGTAACCAAACCTCTGGTCAAAGGCGGGAGTCAATAGTCTTCTCGATGTAGCGAGACAAACCTACAAAGAAACAAACATAGACGCAGCAGAGTTGGTAGCAAAGCTCTCAGGTAGCTGAATATCAACCCAGAATCTCTTGGTAATAAACTAACTTCAAACAGAAGCCCATGGTCTTGGCCTAGATCTGCGGTTCGATAAGGCTCGCCAATTCTACATAAGCCTCCCAGCAGTAGATCTAGACTCACTCCCAGATGTGTTCATCAACATATACCGCAGAAAGAATCGCATCGAATGTCAAACACTTGATCTCGTCAAGCTGAACCAGAAAATCACCGACGCGCATAACCAAGTAGTCAGCATGAGCGACCAAGCCATCCAGGAACTGATCGGAGACCTCTGCACGGAAATTTCCAACCTCTTCAGAGTGAGCGAAGCCATTGCCATGCTCGACATGTTAGCTGCATTCGCCCAACTCACCACATGCAACGATTACATCCGTCCGGAATTGACCGATGTTCTGGCCATCAAATCCGGAAGCCATCCAATCCACGAGAAAATCCACCAGAAGAAATTCATTCCTAATGATGCTTACGCGACGCAGCAATCCCGCTTCCAGATCATCACGGGTTGCAACATGAGTGGGAAATCCACCTACATCCGCTCTCTAGCTCTAATGACCGTCATGGCGCAGATAGGCTGCTTCATCCCAGCAGAGTATGCTTCCTTTCGCATAGTCCACCAGCTTTTTGCTCGTGTCTCCACGTCCGACGACCTCAACGCCAATGTATCCACCTTTGCCGCCGAGATGAGCGAAATGGCAATCATTCTGCGCAACATCTCCCCGCGCAGCATGGTCATAGAAGATGAACTCGGCCGCGGTACGAGCACCACCGACGGTCTCGCCATCGCCATCGCCATTGCGGAAGCCCTAATCCAAAGCCAAGCGCTCGTCTGGTTCGTCACACGTTTCCACGACCTGGCCACGATTCTAGCCGAGCGGAGCGGCGTCCTCAATTTGCACCTAGCGGCGGAGATATCCTCCGATGCATCGAAGATGACAATGCTGTACAAGATCGCCGAAGGCCCCAATACGAAATCCTTTTATGGATTGACTCTTGCCAAACTGGTCGATTTACCACCCCTCATGCTTGAGACCGCGCGAAAAGTATCCGAGAAAATGAATGAGATTTCCCAGCGTCGACACAGCAAGTCGAGCGCGTTAGCCGTGTCTCTAAAACGGAACCTACTTCTTTCGCTCCGTGAGCAGCTCCTCCAAGCGCGTCAAGGGAGCCTCGAAGGTGAGGGCCTGAGAAAATGGTTGAAGAAACTACAAGATGATTTTGTATTGCATATGGCTGCTATAGATGGTGATGATGATGGTGACGATGACGAGTTCAGCGCCGAGCAGAATCACAGCACTAATGAGAGGGAAGACACCACAGAAGTGGAAACCATAGGTGAAGACCAGTCCGCTAGGCTGGTGGAGTCGTATGATACGTCAACGGATGAACAGAGATCTGAGTCTTCGGGACGACGCAGAGAGGATACACAGGGTGATATTCCGTCCTCTGCTACCTTGTCGCAAAGGAAAATACAAATGCCGGTTGTTGAAATATCTTCCGATATCTCAGAGAAAGATTATTTGTTGAATGCGTGATTTCTTCTCTTTTATAAAAGCAACTTGTGAACCAGAAGTAATATCGTTATAGTGTAGGTAGTTTATTAGTTCTATATCCATACCAAAGCTACCACTACCAAGGTAAATAGAAATATGTATATCTATTCTGATCGCTCAAAGCAAAAACTAATCCAACGTATAGCTCTATTGGTAATTTGTGAAGAAAGAAAGGCAAATAGATACATTACTATCCAAAATGGAAAAGTGTTTGTTTCCCCTTCTTCCCCTTTCCCTTCTTACCCCCGCCAGCAGAGGACTCTCCAGCTTCCATCTCCGCGCCGTCAGTCCCCGAGTCGCCCCGGGAGGACGAATCCCAGGCATTGGATGGTGCAGGATTCCGGCTGTCCCATCGCACCGTTCCGCGAGTGAGACCAGCCATAAGGACGTTGGGTTTTGCCGCAACAGGTAGAGCCGGAAAGGCCTCGGTGTTGCTTGGGTTCGCGAGTCGTGAGGATCCCGAGGAGGGTGCCAGTCGCGAAGAAGGACGGCTCGATGACGGGGTCGGGGCAGCGGCCGTACCCCAGGCGGTGGTGGCAGTCGAAGTGGTGGATCGAGGAGCAGAGCGAGCGGTAGACGATAAAGGAGGGAAAGGGTTGGCGGGGGAGGCAGATGAAGGCAGGGTACCACTTCGACCGACGGCGGAACGGGACGATTGGGCAGTTGATGATTTTAAACGAAGAACACGCTTGCCCCCAATACCACTTCCGGTAACGGTGCCGGGAGACATACCAGGGAGAACGCCTCCTGGCCCTGGAAGGGCTGGGTAATCTTCGTTGATGGCTCGCCAGTCGTTCCAAGCCTTCAGGAGTGCGTTCCGCTTGGCGCTATCCTCATAGATATCCGCCAGCTCCTTAATGAGTTTCCCCAGTTCGGTGGTCGACGTATCAAAAAGAGAAAAAAAAGCGTCAATAAGTTCGATTGGTGAGATGGTCGAGGCACGGTAGCTGGAAACCCGGCTGCGAAATTCCTTGAGCTTGTTTTGGTCGTTCCCCAAGAGATTGGAAGCTCGCTCAATGACGGACATATGGCGCAGCCGGCGAGCCTGTTCCTCAGGCGTGGCAGGTACTGAGTCGGCCGCAAGGCTGAGGGTCTGCATCTCAGCAACCGGCGTGGACGTAGCTGGGGGACCCCGGGATGGTGTAGGAGCCGCGGATCGCGCCGGAGCGTGCACGGTTTGAGTGTCGTTGCGCGAGAGTTGTCCCCCAAAGCTGCGGGTAGACACGGACTGGGCACTTTGGATGGCCATCTGTCGCTGGTAGGCCATCTCGTCTCTCCTCATGGGTTGGGCCGACGAGGCGGGCAGTGGCTCTGAATTGGGGTCACGCCCTCGACCAGCACCCCGACGCTGTCGCTGCTGGGGCTGGTACGGCGATCGGTAATCAAACGATGAGAGGTCTACGGTCCTGGCATCGCGTCTCGCATCTTTCGAGAGCCCATTGGGGTGGCATTCTAGCTGATGGGCTTTGAGGTCCATTTGCGACTCGAACACGACAAACTTTTTCTCCAAACACTCTTTATCCAAGCACAGAAAATGGTCCCGTTGGAAGTGCTCCTCGAGCGCATTATAGTCGATGTAATACTGTTGTTGGCGACTGCCAGATCGTCGGTCGCAGATGTGGCATCGTTCATGGCGGTCACGACAGTGAGCGTAGAGTTCATCAGCTCCGTAGAACCGTTGGCGACAGAATCCACATTCGGGGTGTCCCTTGAAGCCACTTTGATCCACCGCGCCCGGTACGTCGTCGCCGTGTTTCTCATGCCTGCGCAGATCCGCCATGGTGAAAAGTTCGTGCTCGTGAGTGAAGACCTTCTTGTTGCGAGTGCAAAGATCACTATATCACCCACCAGTAATGAGTGTTCCATCAAGCCACAGGTTGGTTTATAGATCGCATTACATACCACATCACTTTGCCATGCTTGCTTTTGACATGGCGATGCAGGTCCGGCCAACCCAAACAAGCCACATCGCAGCTGGTGTCGGGACAGTTGTATCGCAGCAAAAGGACTGTATCCTCGAATATCTCATCATTCTCATACTCAATTCCTAGGTTGTCATCCTTCCTGGAGAAATCCTTGTCCGTAAAATCCTCGAAGCGTTTCGCCGGGTCATCGGTAAAGATCACGTAATTGGACTCCGTCTGCGTGCAGGCTCAATACATTAGCATTGACTCGAAGGGCTTGGGGCTTATACAGGGGAAACTGGGGTCGCACCCGACAGTGAGCACAGGCCTTATTTTTATACAGAGCTCGTAGCCTCAGCGCGCAGATGTGACAAGTCCGATGATTGCACGGTGAGACGGAGATGTGCTCAACCGTGGACGCACAGATGAAGCAGACCTCGCCGTCATCCGCATCGTCGGTCGCGGCCACAGGCACCTGTTTGCCTTTCTCTTCACCTGCTGGTGTCGCAACAGCGTCTTCTTGAGGGATGTCCGGTTTGTTGGGATTGCGATTCTGCCTGTCGCGGCCTCCTCGGCGGGGACCTTTGGCCCTAGATCGAGCACCTCTTCCAGAGCCATCCGAAGGGTTCTCAGGATTATCGGGCTGTCTTGCTTGACGGGCCCCTCCTCGACCCCGTCGGCGGCCACCACGACTGGAACCTTGAGACCCAGAGGCTTGCGACTGTTGGGTGTCAGACATCGCGGGTGGAGACGGGAATAGATCGTAGCAATGGCAACGAATTGCAGAGGTGCACAAGAGGCAGAAGCCGAAAGACACACTCTCGGGGAGGGAGAAGGGCTCCGTACTTTCGTTTACTGTTAGGACCCAGACTAGAATCGGTGAAAGGGTTAATAGAACGAGGCGACGGGGTGGTCCGGGAGGCAGTCAAAGCGGGCAAAAAGTTGGGCTTAGCTTCCTCTTGCTTAGTTATCAATTCTGAACTAACTTAACTAACTAGTTAGTTAGGTAACTCGTTAGTTAACTACGTATTAAATATGAATGAACTGCACACAAAACCCCTCTTATTAGCGATTGGACTACACTCTCGTCCAAGAGTCATCGAATCTGACTCGCTCTGAGGGGTTCTGATCCATTCTCGTGGCTCAAACCAGCTCTATCGTACAACAGGAATTACGTAGCAGATACCATCGAGAGAAATACGATACAATGCTAGGGAAGATAGATCCCTTCTTGAACTATCTTTTCTAAATAGGAACACTGTCCATCGCCCTGTTTGGAAGGCAACACCAACTCCCGCTGGAGACAAAAAGAAAGTAGATGATGAAAGCAATGGAAACAAGTCACAATGAATGGTCGCGAGAGAAGGCAGGAGCAAAATGCAAGAAAATCATAGATCAAAAGAAGGCGCCAATTACCAAATGCGGTGCGGTATGGAGATATCGAAAAGAGAGATAAACAAAAAGATAAAGAAAATCGTCAACTGTAGGGCATACCTGAGAAGCCGTGCCTTTTCCTGAAGGCGGAGTATCATCGCAGCTCTCAATGCCAAAACACTGCGGGCTATTCATCCTGGTTATACAAGTTCTGACTGAGGATTTTGGTCATCGTAAACATGTGAATACGGTCTTGCTTGAAGACGGCACGCATCGCGTTGTCACACCGGATTTGACGCCGGTCACTAGGATCTTGAAGGTCGTGCTCATGAATATACTGCCAAAGTTTCTTGACCGTCTGAGGACGCGAAAGCTGCTCTGGTGTCAGTATGGAATGACCCCCTCCCAAACAACGTCAATCAATCCATCGTGGAAGTTTTGGAGGAAAGGGGCCATACTGTCTCCTCGCCACCCAGTAACGCGGATAGTGCAGGCGACAATGCGAGAGGTTTCTAAGAATACATCAGTATCGCGCGCGACGTCTCCTCCAATCCAGGCGGAATAGCCATACATGGAATCCGCCAGAGCGGTTAACTTTCTTGCCGGAGTCTGACCCTGATTCGAGGTCCGAATCGTCCTCCGCTTTGATTTTCTTGGATGTTTTGGTCTTGGTCTTCTTTTTCGTTGGTGGTGCCCTACGCGTGCTCGAACCTCGAGTAGTACGCGCACGCATGTTTTCCTCCGCCTGTAGCTTCGCCGCGAAGATAGCGTCCGCGTCGACGTCGTTGTCCTGCTTTTTCTTCTTGGCTGGGGGTGTCTTGCTGGATTGATCGGAACGTTCCTCGCTATCCGCCTGGCGTTTCTGCGACAGCGACGACTGCGCGGGAGACGAGGGTTCGGCGGGTGTCAGTGAGTCCTGATCATTTCCGTGGCCATTGGTCGACCGGGCGGTCGCTTCTTCTGGGGAAGCGCCTAACCCCCCCTGTTCGGCGAAGATGTCGAACCTTTCCATGATCAGCTGCTTGATCGCAGCCTAGAAGAGCGAAAAGAGAGATGCATGTTAGCTTATTTGTAATGGCCATCCACGAGTGGTACCGAGCAGATCGGTTTGCGACAGGACGGGCAGCGGCGAGCAGACCTTCTGCGGAGTAAGATCATAGCCGACCACTTCCTGTAGTCCTTTACGGATCCGTTTTTCGGAGATCGTATTGAGATCACTTTTCGACAGGATTGAGTCAATGATCGGGACATACTGATCGCGGGTATCGGGAGAGACTGGCGCCAAAACAATGATGTCAGTACAAAGCGACGCCGGACACCCCCCCGGAACTTACGCGACATCTTGGCCCAGGAGTCTTCTCCCTCTCTATCCTTTGATTCTGCGAGAACGCGAGGAAAAGTACAACCGCTGCAATTGTGTCAATTGCAACGACCAGTGGTTGTAGGGGTCGTTGCCAGCGGGAGTTCTGGTTACAGTGCTAGTTGCGTGCTGGTAGAAGGGTGATAAGTAAGAAGATCGTCTAGATCTGGGCGTAGCGTTGGCGCTTAGGACCGGCGGGGCATTAGAGAAGAGCAGTGGGAGTAGTAGTAGAGAGAGATACTCTCCAGATACAGGAGAGGAGGGAAGAAGAGAAAGGAGAGATATACGTGAGAGAAAACAAAGAACAGAGGGAAACAGCCGGTCCACAACGACCAGCCGCTGTGAAACGATGCGATGCGATGAGGATTGTTCTGAACTGCGTGAACGAACGACTTTCCGGGTTCTACTAAAAAGTGACCCTCCCATGCGGATTCCAGCCTGAGGTGTCGGCTGAGGTAAGGCGCTATTACCACGTGAGTGAATGCTGAGTCAGATGGCTGAGTCACCCCGGCGCACACAGAAGAAAGAGCCCGTTGTGGAGGATTTGTTCGTTGTGCCCTAAAAACAAGCCAAACCGGGGACGAGCAGCAGAAAATCAGAACGGATCTTTCCTCCTCGATAATCCACGTCCAGTCCAAGTCCACTCCTTCCCCCCTCATCGCCTCATCACCATGGCGCCCAGCTTCGATACTTTGACTGAACAGGATCTTCACGAAGAGGAGGAGGAGATTGACTTCTCCGGTGAGTGTCCACCATCTCGCTCGATCCGTGCCCCTCTTCGCTGACAAGGCTCGGTCGGCGCCGATTTCCAGATCTCAAGGAGCAATATGAAGTGAAGCTCGAGGAGGGTTTGGATACATTCGTTGTCATCGATGGACTCCCGGTAGTCCCGGAAGAGAGTAGACAGAAGCTCATCAAGTTCTTATTGAGGAAACTTAACACCATTGGCCACACCTCCGAAGATGCCGTTTTCATGCCTCTCAACGAGAAGAATATGTCCGAAGGGTACGTACTACGCCATGGAATGAGGGGGTAAAAAGAAGAGGAAGAAGAAAAGCAGAAGAAGATGGGGGGAGAGAGAATGGTAAGGGAAATTAACATATTGCCTAGTTTTGCCTTCGTTGAATACGAGACCCCCGAACAAGCCATCGCCGCAGTCAAGCACCTGCACGGAACGCCTCTCGACAAGAAACACACCCTAGCCGTGAACAAGTTGATGGACATCGATAGATATGGTCGGGAAGGTCGCGTTGACGAGGAATACAAGCCTCCTACTCTCGAGCCCTTCAAGGAGAAGGAACACTTGCGATCGTGGCTTGGGGACCCCAACGCTCGTGATCAGTTCGCCCTCTACCGGGGTGACAAGGTCGGAGTGTTCTGGAACAACAAGAACAATCCTCCCGAGAACGTCGTCGATCGCGCCCACTGGACGCAACTCTTCGTCCAGTGGTCTCCCAAGGGTACTTTTCTGGCATCTGTCCACCCTCAGGGTGTGCAGCTGTGGGGCGGCTCCGGCTTTTCGAAGCAGAAGCAGTTCCCTCACCCGTTCGTTCAGTTGGTCGAGTTCTCGCCAGCTGAGAACTACCTGACCACCTGGTCCTCCCGCCCTATCCAGGTGGAAGAGGGTAACACGTCTGTCTTGACTTATGAAGAGGATGGAAAGAACATCATTGTTTGGGACATTGTGTCGGGCAAGCCTCTACGCTCATTCGTTTCCCACGATCTCACTGCCGGCCCTGCTGGGGATGGCGAACCCAAGAAGAAGGTGCAATGGCCCGCTTTCAAGTGGTCCGCCGACGAGAAGTATGTCGCCAGGATGCTCCAGGGACAGTCGATTTCCATCTATGAACTTCCCCGGATGAACCTGCTGGGTCGCACTTCGGTCCGGATCGACGGCGTCATGGATTTCGAATGGTCGCCGGCTACCGTCAGTCGGGAGGGTGTCAAGCAATATGAGCAGCTGCTCTGTTTCTGGACCCCGGAAATCGGAAGCAGCCCCGCTCGTGTCGCCATGATGAGCGTGCCATCCAAAGAGATTGTCCGAACCCGTAATCTGTTCAACGTGTCGGACGTGAAGTTACACTGGCAGTCCCAAGGTACCTACGTCTGTGTTAAGGTGGACCGTCACTCCAAGTCGAAAAAGTCCATGGCCACCAACCTGGAAATCTTCCGGGTGCGCGAGAAGGGTGTTCCCGTCGAAGTGGTAGACAGTCTCAAGGATACCGTGATCAACTTTGCTTGGGAACCCAACGGCGGTCGTTTCGTACTCATCACCACCGGTGAGGCACCACAGGGCGCTGCTGTCCCGCCCAAGACGGCCGTCTCCTTCTTCGCCCCGGAAAAGAAAGGCGTTTCCGCTGGCAACTTCAAGCTGGTGCGTACGATTGAGAAGAAGACCAGCAATGCGATCTACTGGTCTCCTAAGGGTCGTTTCGTCGTCGTTGCCACCGTCCATTCGCAGAGCAACTTTGACCTGGACTTCTGGGACATGGACTTCGAAGGCGAGAAGGCTGAGGGGGAGAAGGATTTGGCTGCCAACCTCCAATTAATGAAGACCATTGAGCACTACGGTGTCACAGATGTCGACTGGGATCCCACGGGTCGTTACGTTGTCAGCAGTGCCAGTGTGTGGACACATTCGGTAAGTTTTTTTTAAAAAAATATATACTAGTTGATGGGATTTGCAGTGACTAATATTTTATCCCTAGATGGAAAACGGCTGGAATATCCACACATTCGCCGGCCAGACCCTCGCCGAGAACCCTACCGAGAAGTTCAAGCAGTTCATCTGGCGCCCTCGTCCCAAGACCCTCCTCAGCAAGGAGGAGCAGAAGCAAGTTCGCAAGAACCTCCGAGAATACTCCAAGGAGTTCGATGAGGAGGACAAGTACGCCGTCGACATCGCCAACACGGCCGTTGTCGAGAAGCGCAAGCGCGTCCTCAACGAATGGGTTGCCTGGCTTCGTCGGGAGAAAGAGCTCTTGGCCGAGGACAAGGATGCCTATGGCGTCCCCGAGGAAGTCGACGAACCCAAGTTGGCCAAGGACGCTCCTGCGGCTGGTGAGGAGCAGGGCGAGACCGTTGTCGAGGAGATTGTGGAAGAGATTGTCGAGGAGCACGAGGAAGTTATTGGTTGATGGGATGTTCCTTTTTCGTATCTAATGGTTCTACTCTCTATGTTCTTTTCTTTCCCTCTTCTTCTCCATCGTGTCTGTCGATATCCTCGCCCCCTTTTCTTTTTCGGCGGAGCAGGCCATTGCTTCTGCCCATGAGCCTTCTATTTGTGGTCCCATTGGCTTGGGTTTACCATCCACACAGCGTCTGGAACATACAAAAGTGAATAGATCTGTATTGCATAGTTCCCGCTGGGATTTTGATGTGCGCGACGTTGGTAGCATGAGAGATGACAGACAATGATGGGCTGGCATATATGTATATGCCACGGCCGACGACGTAGCATGTGAAATTCTATTAGCCATATCACATTTACCCTCCACCTCGTAAGCTAATACTGGTAGGCTGCCGATGATCCACGCTACGAAGTGTCATTTCATGATAGCACACCAACATAATATTGTTATATCCATAACTTCCCGGCCTCATAAATACCATAAGGACATCACAGCTAGCACCACCAGCCATCCAATCAACCTCTGAGAAACCCTATTCTGACCAGCCGCACCGCTTGCCGTCGTAGTCGTCTCGGTGGTACCATCGTCCGTTGTCGTCCACGGTCCAGAATACGTACTTGACGGCTGCACATTCACCTTGAAGAAACCCTTCTCCCCACCCATGGCTTTACTTCCTCCCAACACATTCCCCGGAGGCAAGTACTCACAAACCACATACCATCCCTGCGCCCTGCGATAGTACTGGCCCGATGCATTCTTCCTGCCGTCGTCTTCATCCGCACTGTATCCGCAGTCCACTGCCGCGCAGCCCACCTGTCTCGTGGCACGCCATACCAGCTGTGTGAAATGGCCCGTTTCTTCACTGAAGCCGGTAGGTTTTCGGAAATCGTAATGTTGGCCTTCGTCGCCCCAGCCTGCGATGGCTGCTGAGGCTTCGGGGTATCCGAAGGCGAGGTTTTCGCCGTATGGACCGTGCTTGATCATATCAATGATATTAGTATCTGGTTCTGGCTTTCTCATGTGCTATGCAATTGACTGTCAAGGGTGTTGACGTATGGGATAAACTGTCATTATATAGATAGTAACCCACCGAATGCTCCCATTTACATCCCTCTGCCCAATCCCGGGCATATTTACTCAACGTCTCGTTCCAGAGTAACTGTGTTGCATTGTGGGCTTTGCGATACCCATTACTGGTAGTGAGGACGTCGTCTCTGAATACCTCCGGGGAGGTATACGACGGGGGATGCGGGGCTGTCGGCGTGGCGGCTGATGAGACGGTGATGATGATGACTGTAGTTTTTATGCTCTTTTCGGCCTGTACGAAGGTGAGAAAGTGTAGCAGACCGAGGAGCCAAGATGATTTGTTGTGTGAAATCATGTTGGGTTTTTGTTACTCATCGGGAGCGGTTGGGATTGAGATTTGTCATAGTCGCGAAAGCGAAGGTTTGATTATTCTCATATGATAGATTGGTATGTATTAGATGATCTGCACTTGGAAAACAACAGACCAATAGATCTGATATCCGCTGGTCTTTATGATATGGTACCAAGAAGGTAGTAAGTAGGATGTTAATTGTAGAACTGCAACCACAGAGTCAATCTGGATCTGTCCAGATTTGTCGAGCTTCGCGGGCTAGAATAGTCTGTGAGACCCATGCAGGCGCTTTCCAACCAAACATCGCGAGCAGTCCGATGAACTAAGTGGGAGGATTGGATGGCAGATGGAGATGGGCTGTTCCAGTAGCCGCGCGTTGACGTCAGGCTGGAAAGCGGCCATGACGCACCAGTTCTTACTCTCCAAAACTAAGAGTTGGTACGGAATCCACGGAATAAAACATACGTAAATATTTTGTTATGACAATATACCAATCGAAAGACATACAGAGATTCACCGTTCAATATTGTAGCAGGCCAACAACATCAACAAGGGTATTTCTATATACAGGCATCCCTATATATATATAGCAGGATGCTGGCTAGAGATCCACGACTACATCACATTGCATCCAATACCATACATTGCTCGCTCAACATCCCGTTTCACTTGGTACCAGTCTTCTCGTCGCTCGGCGAATTCGTACACCTCCTCAACGCGCCAGATCCCGTTAAACCGCCCCGAATCAGCAATGATAGTGGCCAATTCCTTGGCATCAGAAGGATCGATCAGATAGATCTGGGACAGCTCTCGGAAAGCTTTAAAGTAGAGCAGAAGCTCGTTATTCTTGAGTGTCTGGACGAATTTGAAGTAGTAGTTCATATCGCTACGGCCTGTAAGTAAGGCGTAAACTATAGAGAAGTCGGAGAATTACCTAATGAGTTTCAAGGATCCCTCCACACTGATTCTCTGGCGCTTGAGGTGTTTGCAAAGAGCAGTAAACAGCCGCAGTCCAACCTCTTGGTTGAAGACGTCCAGCGTGCTTTTGTCCGTGCTCCCCACAAGCATTCGCGTATGCGATGAAGCAACGTCAACCACCGCCGTTGCGGCCTCGGTGACACTCACGTCCATGGTCTTCCGGTGAGGATCGGTGGATACGCTGGGGTTAAAGTCGGTGGCTAGTTGCCTGGTGGCCAGAATGTAGTCGACCTCTTCCATCAAGACATCGATTCCCTTGTTCAGTCCAGCGGCAACGCGCTCATCGAGGATCTGCTCGAACTTCTTCTTCTCCTTCACAGCTGGGTCCAGGAAGTCATTCCGATCCGTCAGCTTCGAGCCGATCAGTTCCTGTTCGTAAAACACATCAATCATTTGGAGGATGAGATCGCCAACATTCACCAGTTCCAAGAACGTTACCAGGGGTTCAACGCCAGACTGGTCGCGCTCGCCTTGCTCGCGGGGCCGGTAATTCGAGAGATGATCGACCGCTTTATTGAACCCAACAATAAGGTGGCGATGTCCCAATATGCGCACCAGAGCGACAAATATAGCTTCGCATTGCTGCTTCACGGCGGACCCCGTCTCACCACCCAGATTTACAAACTGCGCTGCTCGATCCAAGCCCGCTTTCGCCGTATGGACGAGGCTTAAAGCAACTTCGATGCTGAAGAGAGAGCTGATTCCCTCCAGTTTCGTCTTCATTATGGCCGCCTTCGCTGCAAGTTCAGTGGTTGGGGGCTCTGGTACAGGCGGTGTAGTTGGCGAGGCAATGGTCGAGTATCGATTTGGATTCTTGAGTGTCGAAGGAGGGTCGCTGGCAGCTGATTCTCGATCTGGCTTCATGTTGCCCGCTCTGGTACTTGAAAAGCTAGGGAGGATATTGACTGGCGCCATGATCACCTTCTTAAAAGAGGTCAGGAAATCTCGCTTATCGGCCTGTCGGTTGATGTTGGACATTAAGAAAGATTCAGTAGATGCCGCCTGCTCTGAAAGCTGTCTATCCCAATCGGTCACTGCGGCCTCCGAGATTTTTCGGAAATGATCCAGCTCTTCTGCAAGATACAGGTCCATGTGTGGCTCATATACTTTGCTGATGACATTGTTCAGAAAGTCATCGGAGTTATCGGCTGAATCCTGGATCGGTAACAAGTTATCCACGAAGTTCATGCACTGAGCGAAGGTACCGGAGATTGCCACCAAGTAGCATTCAATGTCTGTCCGATGCAGCTCGTCGAATATTGCAGTCAGGAACGGGTACAGCACTCCTTGGCCCACCTTTTCAATGAATGGAGAGGCCACCTCTATCGACGTAGGGAAAGCACGGTTGATGATCGAGACCTCTTCGTTGTAGGCGACACTCAGACGGGTGAAAAATGCCTGAGTTTGCTCAAGCTTCACCCGCGGCGACTGTAGATCTATACAATCTGATACCTTGCCAAAATCTGACTTGTGTATGACTAAATGATTGTGGTGGATGAAAAGCTCGACAGCCGAAACTCCGCCATTTAACTTATAGAGAACGTGGGCATAGTTTCGCATACGACCGTCAATATCTTCGGTTTCGTAGCCCTGCCGAAACTCTTTTATAGCCTCTGTCTCAAACATCGCTATGGCCGACTGGATTTGCTCCGTTCTTGCACGCCAACCCTCAGTGGAGTCGCATTTTGCGAAGGCCTGCAGCTGGGATAGAATCTGCGCTTGATGTAGAGGATCCGTATATTTCCTGAACACCAAATTGTCGAACGAGGCCCCCTCGGTGACAATATTATCGTAAAACGGCGCAAGGGCCGCATGTACCTTCCCATATTCCTGGCGCGCCTCCCCACGTACAGACTTGACCAACTTCAACGCCCCCAAGATCGGATCTTCTTCCGTTCCGTCGGGTATACCAGAGGGCCCAGTCGTAGTCAGGTCGATCTGGTCGAAGCCGTCGGAGAGTGAATTCACATTGATCGTAGGCCTCTGCTCAGTTCCTCTAACGGATCTCGAAGGGTCTTGGTTTTGTTCGGCCTCTTCATGGTGCTTAACACTATTCATGTCCGCTATCGTCCCAAACGCTTCTTCGATATGCTTCCTTGCTTTTAATTCATCCCAACAACCTATGCGTTTCATTTTCTGCACCCATCTCGTATCATCGTATGCCATTTCGCGCAGAAGCTTCGACGATCGCGCTACCCGAATGAGATCGACCGGAGAGAGGTAGTCGAGTATCAAAGACATAATTTCTAATTCTGGTCAGGTAAAACGAATACATCACAGCGTAGATACCAAACATACCTGCTGGAAGGGCGGCCCTGGAGACTTCCTCCATAGAGGCCATCCTGAGCGAAGCCAGCACATCTCTGCGCGGTTTCCCGCCAGTCCCTGGTCCATTCCTCACTTTTGACATGTTGTCGTCGCTGGGTCTGCATCGGGAGACAGATTCTTTATCAAAATTCAGCTTCAGTTTTTTGGAAGCTCAGTATGACCAAGCTTATCACCTCAACTGCGGTACCGACTACCTGGCTTCTAACCGCAGGACAGATATCTAGACCAATTAAGGATAAGTAGAATCAGTACAATCAGCCAAGGTTAAGGTAACTGTCATGAATTCATTTAAGCAAGTCGTATCCACATCATCAACACATAAAACACATGCTCCAAGTGCCGACCGCTGGTTTCTTTGGCGGCAAATGGCAAGCTGAAGTGACTGAAGATCACTGCCGACAAACGAATGATCGGCAGGCAGAATTCCCTTTCCGACCGAACGAATCCGAACAGCTGTAGCGACCTCAAAACACCCAACAATGTGGTGTCTAATGGGATGCACCACTATTTGGTACAGTGGCAAATTGCCTGCGGAGCTGTGTATAATCACTGATATATGTAGGTAGCTCTATCTTTTCTTTATAAGTATTTGTCAAGAATCATTGTATATATATGCAAAAAAAGGGGCGCCCTCGCTAAGCCGGTCCCATAACTCAGTTGGTTAGAGTGTGGTGCTAATAACGCCAAAGTCGAGGGTTCGACCCCCTCTGGGACCATACTTCTTTTTGCATATTATTCCCACATAACTAACTATATATAATTTTTCTATGTTTTGTGGTGGATAATATGAAAAATTTTGCTTTATGTATAGTATGTATCTCTGTTAAGTTAAGAGACGCCTTGGGTGCTGAGCTTTAACAGTACACCATACAGCCAAAAAGGCAAAAATCGACCATGTAGATATCTGGTCATCGAGCTCAGTATACTACCCGTGCACACCACGTTTTGCAAGATCCATGACAGAACTCTATTTTATATTTTGTTGCTCACAACCTTATATTGACTAAGCAGGTCCCATAACTCAGTTGGTTAGAGTGTGGTGCTAATAACGCCAAAGTCGAGGGTTCGACCCCCTCTGGGACCACAGTGTTTCATCTCTTTTTTGTATATGAGATATGCACTTTTCAGGATGCCACCCAAGGTTGAAGAGAAACTTTTTGCCAGTAATTCCCTACCTGCAACTGCATAGGAATTGTTTCCGCGCCCTGGTATCTCTAGGTCTAATGCTCATTCTTCCTTCATAACTATGAACATTTCTCCTTTATCATCATAGGTCGTCGCCACAGATAGACTAAGTAAGATAGAAGTAAGAATCACCGGTCTGGCAAATAAAGTCTATAATATATATATTTAGTCAAGGGAAAAGACCCCCTGGAGCGCCGTTTGCCACCACCGCTATTTAATCTAAAAACACTGCTGTTGGGGGGTTAATAAAGTAGGCCCGTTTAAATGACCATGGTACAAGCCACCATCTACAAAGTTTTGTTTGCCATTTAAATTAACTATATTATATCATCCATATCCCAGCCAGTCTCAACCTCTCACGACCATCTAAGTTCACTCAGCATATCATTCCATTGCTTCATTTTGTTGTTTTCTATGACAGACAACGGTGATCAATAGAATGATGAGACGTGGGCTACTTTAGGCAATAAGGAGTCTACCTAGTACACTAGACCGTTAAAATAAAGAAATAACATCTACGTCCGTGGCTTATGATGCCCCGTACGTCCAGTACAGCGACTTCTAGCATTCCTAGTTAGGAATTATATCTTGCAACTAGCACGCAAACCTTCCTCATAACCTGGTGGGATACAAAAACAAGTCTTCTTCCCGAGTTGGACTATTCCAGCAATTAGCTAGGCAAAAAGCATGGCAGGATTTTTTTTTACAGCTGGTAGTATTGATCACTCCCATAGTCAATAGTACAAATGGACAAAGTACTCGATACCAGATACAACCAAAATGGGGCTTTCTTTGACCAATCCCAAATCGTTGGTTTTCAATTATTGTTCAAATAACTTGGGGTAGGACAAGCAAGCTCTGCTTGGTGGGATTGTTAAAAAACTTCAATGATGGCAAAGCAGGAAGATAGTCATGTTTCTAGGATCTATCGTAGGACTGCTCGTATCATTCGGCACCTTAAGGCTTGAACGAAGGCAAAATTCCCTGGCTTCTAGCTAGGCGGGTGAAGTATCCCGAGGGCGGATTTTAAATAGCTTCAAGGCTTTAGTCTGAGCAATATACTGGATCCAACCCATGACAAAAGATCTACTATACAGGGTATAACTATCGTCCTGTCGATTAGGTAAGGAAATCACAATAAGCCTAAGAAAAGGTCAACGTAGGTGTAGGATTATTGGGAATTCCAAACAGATACCTATATAGCAAAGAGGAGACTAGAATACACCACTCTGTTGTAATCCATCACAGAAAGACCGTACGGGTCAAGATTCATCCGAAAATCTAAGGATAAGTAGCTGGATACTTCTGGGGTAGTTTTCTGGAACTCGAGGGGATTGTTATCCCGTCCGAGACTGAAACCCCATTAAATCCGACATATCTGGCCCTCGTCAACAAACGGGATTCTTCTTCAAGTATCAGTCTTGTTGGCGGTGGAGTCAAGGAGCTACTGGCCATGTGATTCACAGTAGTGTAGATAGATCTTCCGAAAGAGATAAGAATTTCGAGCTGAACAGTGAAGTCTGTAGAACAGGGTTAGATCGCACACACGGTGGGTGAAACCTCTATCGGAAGATCGGACGATAGGTAAAGAGAGTCAATATAGGGCCACGGAACCATGAAATATGAAACAGGGGTTGCGAGTGAACATTCTTGAGCGCTGAAAATAATACTCTGGGTGTCTCTTAACTTAAATAGAGAAAACCACTATAAACAAAGCAAAATTTAGATAGCAATAATTTAAAGGCACACCGTAAACATAAATAACTGGAAGACAACATTTTATAAAGTATTAAGCGGGGTTAATATATAAAAAAGTTTGGTCCCAGAGGGGGTCGAACCCTCGACTTTGGCGTTATTAGCACCACACTCTAACCAACTGAGTTATGGGACCCAATTGATGAATGTCGTTCAACTACAGTGCTATATGATCCTGTAATTATGTGTTTGGATAGCTCTATTCGAGTAACTTTTGAGTAGTCCATATAACATTTATGTTGGAGAGACAGAAGACGTACATTATATTAATTGTTACACAGGGGGCAAGATAAACAATCCCATAGGCTACCAAGGACTTTATTTCTTAAAAGACATGTATTACTCTGTACCATTGCAGCCTCCAAATGGTTATTCGTGATTTAAATCCCAGGCCCCAATTAAACAGTAAGTCTATCACTTTGCATGAATTCATCATGGTGGCTTCCCAAATCCAATGTGGCTCCCCATCTTAAATTTCCTCCAATCGCTGGTGATATACTTCTTCTATGTCTGGAACGCTATAGCAAAAGACCTAATGTCTTGATTAATCCTAATGTAAAAGGTGTGGGAACGCGTGGGCTGCAGTATTGCCATCCGGTTCATGAGAAGTTTTAATTCCCTGTTTGCTTAATCTATATTAGACATCCATGTCGCTAGAGAGGCTTTATAAATTGTAGAAATTCCCTATATATGTCTCACTATTATGGTTTTATTAGTAGCCCGGATTTTTAGCTAGCAGAATAGTTTTATCTTGTTATAAATCCTACATATCTTTAATCTACTTTTTCGATTGCTTTCACCGATAAGGGTCTCCTCTCCGCTTTGCTTAAGTAAGAAACTATTTCCTGCTCTCACTCTCTATTGCTTCGGAGATAATCTCTCTTGTGATGTATATTTGCGGAACCAACCGCTTACGAAACAACTGGCTTATCTTCAGGCCAGTATCTCAGGTTTTGTGCACGTGCTAGCACCTCTTGTGACTTAAACATTATTTGGTTCCTCCTTAATAAGAAACGCTTTAGATTCTTGGCACGACTTCGAATTGTCAGTAGTCACAATTAACATGGTCTCGTCAATATACTATTTCTTTCTTTTTTTTTTTTTTTTTTTTTTGCAAATTAAGCAAAGTGGTTTGGACACATTTACCGCAGTGTCCTGGTTTTGGCGACAGCCAGAAGGAAATGCTCTGTTATCGCAATCTTCTTGCTCATAAGTGTAGCAGGGCTTTCAAAACGTCTTTGTATCCTGACAGTGCACACTCCCGCGAGTCACCTTGTTTGAGTGACAGGAATTTGTATCCATGAAGTTCACTCAAATTGGCTTCTGCACATATGGGCATGGAGGGAGCGTCTGGACTTGAAGGGAGCATCTGGACGGATGTGTAGAAAAGTAGTCGAGCACTGACCTGAGCTCCCATTTTGCGACTATATGTGAGGTGGAAAATTCCCTGGAGGTTGGATAAAGGTAGTAAATGTGCGCTGTGTAAGGATACTAAGGAATTTATCTGGAGAACTTCTCGTGTCGCGGCCGAACTATAAACTTAGAGCTGCTAAATACAGATACACAAGCATAAAGCAGAAGAAATTCCACGAGCTCAAATGGGGGTTTCACCGCCTGGAAGGACTGTATAAGGTAATCGGGGCACCAATGGGTGAATTTGGCATGTGCCACCACCTAGAGGACAAGGCGTTTGTCCCTAAATCAAGCTCCTCGCGTGCTTATAATAGGAATATCATGTTACTCTAAGTAGCTGTGATAAGGCGATAGAGCTACCTTGTCCTGGGTGAATTGGATTCGTTCGTGTAGGTCGAATTCGTCATAGAACTCACAAGCTGGTGGGAACTCTGAAAGACATAAGATGCCGTTAGAGGTTGCATAGAATTTGACCTTTGATGTTCTATTAGGACTGGGTGTTGCTTGACTAGCTGGTAAAGCAACCCCATAGTAAACATTTTTCCTGGGCGAATTTAACAATTGTTGAGTTGCTGCTCCTGCCTTGGACTCGCCTGCGCCGAGCTCTTAGGCTGAGCGTCAAACTTATAGGACAGCAATGCCTGGCCAAGGGTTACTATTAGAAGTAAATAGATCCAAACTATCATACAAAACCAATGGATCTGATTGTCGCTGGTTAAAATAAGAGAGTGCGGAGATAAGTACATGAGGGTAGGGTGATAGGCACGATATTCCGATAAAAATTAGAGGAAAAGTGCGACAAAAAATATGGTCCCAGAGGGGGTCGAACCCTCGACTTTGGCGTTATTAGCACCACACTCTAACCAACTGAGTTATGGGACCTGATTGGTTGATCAAACAGCCAATAAATTACTTAATCAATACTTCCTGTTCTCTCTTGCCGACCACTCTAATCATATCAGAGGGAAAAGCGAAACTACGTGACCCGGACATTTCACTTGGTGTACTTGCGATTGTTATAGCATGACCATTAATCTCTTTGGTTTAGTCTTACCTACAGAGTACGGAATGGCTGCTGCCATTCTTCGTTGACGTCCAATCAATTTGGTATTCGTCCGATATCCCATAGAACATCTGTTCTCAGGGTCCTGCCTACCCACAATAGTGGCCTCTACTACTAGAAACAAAAATCCAGAAAACACATGGGACGCTATTTGATTAGAAAGCATATGATATCCCGATAACTGGCGAGTGCTCCGGTGGAGGCAGCTGCATTTAGTGTTGAGGAAAGCATAGAATTTCTACTTCCTCGGGGAGCAGGACAAGTCCGGATCATAGAAGTACTGCTCAGAGCGGCTACTGGAAAAATCAATTTCTCAAGCTTCTCCTTGGCCCAAGGGGGAGGAGCCTATATCCACACAGGAGATTCTGTGTCCCCTGAGTTATGAATGCACCGTAGACTGGCAATCTTATGTTGCTCTTATCACGAATGGAAAGCTAAGGATAGACTATGGATATCATCATAAATGCAGCTGTCTCCTGGTACGGAGCTCTAGAACATATGGCCCTTTTCAAGCAGCAATGCAATTTCACTCTTAAGAGCAAAACTTAAAGCTCATAGTTTGCAATTTACGGTGCTCGGAGATTCTAGGGTTGTTGAATTAAAGATTAGGGAACCAAGGCCATATCACAATGGAAGTTGTGGCTCTGCTGTGACTAAATTTAACAAAGAAAAGGGTCATTTTCCCGTACCAAACGTATAGTCAACTATTAGTTCTCTCGCAAGCATGTGAGAATCCCGAGGAAGTTTGTTGTAAAGTGGAAACTCCTTGTGGCTGCTGAGGGAGGTGTGAATGTTCTCGGTTATGGGCATTCATACACATTGAATGCGGTCCTGGACAGTCTGGAGGCTTCAACATAAACAAGGGAGATATCTATACGCCGAAGTATCATACATCAACACCCTTGAAGAACTTGGGAAATTCACTGCATCTGAAAATCTAATCTGGTTTAAACGCCTCTAATTAGATCTGTGTTATAGAATATGGAAATATGTTTTAATTTCCTCTAGTTCTCTCCATCCTGATATCAACCTAATGGGTGGCGTCACAAGTAAAAGCATCCTGTGATTAAACAAGCAATCAGTAGTGAATGAGTATACTTAACAAAAAGTGGTTCTAGATGGAACCCTTGGGTTTGATATTATGAGCATCACACTCTGGCTGACTAGTTTATTGGATCTTGCTTGCTATTGTTACTAAGAGCCACATGGAATGTGTTACTAAATTAATAATGATTTTGTATCATTTGTAAACTATATAGCCGCCTGAGTTAGAGATAAATTTATCTTTATTAGCAGTAAACAAAATAACTATTGCATAAGTAGCATCACCAGCTACAAAGCCTTATTTCTATAATTTGCGTTCTCTACCCTAGCCATCCATACTCCTAGATGGACCACACCTTCATACACTAGACTAGAGCCTCTGAGGGCCTCTGAGAGATATTTTATTACTCGAAGCTACTATATAGGGTGCTAGATGCGACTATCGAAAAATCAGTCGCCTTGTACCTTTTAAAGTCGAGTGGTTTACCTCTAGACTAGCGCCTAGAGACAGCCAAACCTTTGCATCTATCACGAGATACCTCTATTTCTGCAATGGCGTTTTGTAGACGGAGACAATGCCATGACTCGATGGGCCTCCCAAGCAGCTCTACTCTAGAATTTCTAACAAATTTCTGATAGACAAGGTCTATTTGGTCAGCTCCGCGCCAACAGAGACCGTGAGGCGATGCATGGTACAGCGCCTGGAAGAACTTTTTAATACGAAAATCACCCTTTTACGACCATACGCAATACTTCTATGTTGCATACTTGGTTGCTTGAGATATGTGGAAGACATGTTTATATTTATGGGTATTGCTTTACATTTTGCTTGTTCCTTTGGCTACCTAGGAGGGCATGATAACTTGGTCTACGTACTTGAGGCCGAATAACCATAATTAGCGGAGAGTTTGGCATGGCTATAGGGAGATGTCTATTTATAAAGACCCGTAGGGCTTGACAGGTAGTTGCTATGTTGCCTTGTAACAAGTTTCCGGCTGTTCATAGAAAGGCTGGTGCTAATTATCTTAACTATCCAAAGAGCTCTATGGGCAAGTTGTAAAGGAGTTGCATTCGACGTACCAAACTATTACAAGTTAAAGCCTTAAAATTTTGACCCACAATAGAAGCCTAATAAAACATCTATGATCAGAGCTTCTCATCAGACGGTCCCATAACTCAGTTGGTTAGAGTGTGGTGCTAATAACGCCAAAGTCGAGGGTTCGACCCCCTCTGGGACCAAGTACTTTTTTATTACATATCACTCATATATGTACTTCTTTTTTTTATTTTAGAACTTTTGGCTCTTTATCCAACTTTATATATATGCTCCTATGCCTGGATTTTCAAGAATAACTGTAACTTTCCACTTCTGGACACCGCTGCTAAGAACATCAAACCATCGCACTACCGCAATATAGAGATCCCACAGGGCAACTAGCTTCTCTCAAAAATCGTCTACTCTAGGTATAGTAAGTAATACCTGATGGGCATCTGGTCAAATCCAAATCCGGTCGGCTTATCCCAGTGCTTGGACCTGTGAGAACAGACACGTTGCCGTTTATTTTTGTGTGTTGAATGAAAGTTGGGCCATATCAGACATATTGAGGGAGCAGTGAGGACTAAGGGATGAAAACTATTAATGGAAGAACTGAAATCAGGGAAGTGAGTACGGAGTATGCACTCACTTGAGAGTCAAAGTGGCAAACAGCTAACTGAATGCACTGAATCAGTTGACTACATTAACACAAATTTTGCAATTCGGCTTAGCAACTTCAACTCACAGCCTAATATATCAAAATCTCGAACAAACACAGTACAAGCAGAACTGAGAACTCAAGGTGACGTAAATTATGCTATAAAGTATGCTCCTCAAGGATGTGGTTTCACGGCTGCATGATTCACTCCCTTGAGACCATTGTATACATAGTAGACGAAGGCAACCCACATAATTGAGCCAAATATACGAAGCGCACCTTTGCCTGCCAATTATGCCGCTTCGTACACTGAATTCTGTCTTCAATTGGCTAATGACAGCAGCGGCGTGGCTTATAAAATAGAGGTTCACGTACAGTTCCAATTTTGAACATGCTTTAAAAGTCGGCCCTGGACACGCCGGCAACTATCGCAGAAACGCAGAAGATTTTAGAACAATACATGGAAGTGTGCTAAATAACATGGGCTTCCTTAATTAATTCAATGAGTCTCAATGGCTGTTAAGAAACGTTCGCGGAAGCTGGACAAAAGCTACTGGCTACCTACAACGTGTCGTAAGGTTAAACCAACTTTGAAACTTCTCCGTAGAATGTCACATCCTCTCCTTCTCTCAAATCTAGCACCTCACACCCATCCTTTGTAATGGCAACAACATGCTCCCAATAGGCTGCCAAGGAGTTGTCTGTAGTAACTGCAGATCTGGTAACATTGTCTACACGGATGCCCTCTGATTTGCCGGCGCAGATAAATGGCTCAATAGTAATCACCATCCCTTCCTGAAGTACACGGCCCTCGTTCCGTGGGTCATGGTAAAAAGGAATGTGCCAACCATCAGCATGGACTCTGCCAATGGAGTGGCCAGTGGCACTCCCCACTCGGAGCATTGAAAATCCAAATGACTCAACATACTTCTGGACGGTGACAGCAATATCCTGAAGTTTAGCACCCGGTCGAACCAGTTTGATCCCGAGACACATGGCCTGGTACGCGACTGCAACCAGAAGACGAGCTTGAGCTGAGGTGTCATCTCCAACAATCCACTGCCGCGAGGTGTCGCCACACCAGCCTTCCTTTTTAAGGCTTACATCGACTCCGAATATATCACCCTTTTTTAAAGGAATATTGGTCGCTTCACCATTGAAGGCGATTTCGTTGTGGGAAAAAGAGACGCATGCATAAGCGCTGGAGTCGTACCCAGTTAAATCCTCCCGGTCAACTTCAGCTCCGTATTTGTTGACAATCAAATTATACGCAATGTCGTTCAACTCCTTCTTCGTCACTCCCGGTTGAACGTGTGGGGTCAGATCTTCAAGGATTTTTGCGGATATCTTGCCTGCCAGCCGTAGCATGGCAACTTCTTCGCGAGATTTGATAGGAATAGAATTGTAGTCAACAAAAGAGTCCCCCATTGTGAATGTTTCCTTTTCAGCTCCTGTCTTGCGAGTGAAAACTTTGTGCTTCTTGGAGTAGAGGTGGTTTGATGGTAATGAAGCAGGAAATGAAAGTGTCGGTTTAATAGCCTATTTATACCTGTTTATACATACCCCAGGACGCCCGCTCTATCCCAAACAGGAAGGAGTATAACTCCTCGGAAGACAGTCGTGAGGTGGCAAAAGCGGGCAAGCACATCATACAGTTACTGCAGCAGCATAGTCGTCCGGCTGTCTATATCCCGTATTGCGGTATTTTCAACCCCGCAGGCTAAATAGGGAGGTTGAGGAGAAATTTAGCCCCCAATACAACCTTGCTCAGTAGGAGTTAAGGATCGCTTAGCGAAAGCTTATGTAGAAATAAATATACACTGTGTGAGAGGGGATATGCATCTGGCGCAACAAGTACAGGACCTTGAAACTGAGTACCTTTATATGGAGTTAGTTCCTTGCAAATCAACTTGGTGTTTATCTTGTATACAAACTGTCAGTTTTCCAGATCATAGTAATACTGTCGCGTTAAAGGTACCTTCCGCTACAAAACATACTTTTACACCTAGTTGCAACGTTTTACGTATTATCAACTCATAGGCCGGGGTTGACACATGGGTCACTTTCTCCGTGAACAGTGACATTAAAACATCTTACCAGACAATAGACGCCGCTGGCGAAAGCATAACCTTTGCTGTATGCCCCCAAATAATGTGGGGTCTCTACCAATGAACAATTGTCACTTTTTGATTGCATGGAGTGTCCTGCCGTGGTCCCAAAGTTCAGATGTAATTGCACCCAATGTACTGTATATGAGATATGGATCCTTCTCGGCTATCCATCACTTCCAGTAGGGGAAATATCCAATGGTATATAGGCTTCACTAAATTATTCCCTCATGCATTGTAGAGCCGTATATGGTTGCCTAGGTTGCCGGTTATCCGGTTTCAAACTGGCACAGTTAGCAAACCAGTTTGCCTTTCCCTATCCTGTTTCTAATATAGCCGTGAGGTAACAATATGGGTCCTGAATATATGTACGCACAGAATTAGCAGGCATTGGATTTCGCTGCTTGTCTAATGGAAAGATGAAAAATGAAGAACGTTATGTAGCTAGGATAAAGGAAGAAGGAACGCTAGCATACCCATTCGACAGCGACAATATGTCAAGGCAGATAAAGTCTAGCCCTATTTTAGACATGCCGATTATATGTGCCTATTCCACTTCCTGCACGTTGAATGTAGAGGACCTGCTCCAAGTCCCTGCAAGTCCTGTCTGCGTCCATATATACTATGAATTAAACAAGTAAAATAGTATTAGTATTAGATAATTTATATATCGCAATAGTAATAGGAGCTGTATTCCCGACTAAACTAGGTTGCAACAGTCCCGAAGACGCGTATCCCGTTCTCTTGAGCACAATTTTACCCATATTACACTGTCAATCCTCCGTGCGGAGGCTAGCCTCTAGCGCATCCTACGTCGGCACTTGCACTATTACCCCGGCCTGGTGCATAATAAGGGAGTATTAGGCCACCAAGAGAGAGCAGCAATAAATGTAACTTCAACCGGCTCCCCCTAGCCGTGTACAACATGGGCGGCGCTAATATCTTTTGACCGTAGTTTGCGTCACTTATAAGCTGAACCCCACGGCCGCCGAGTGTGACCAGGATAGGACTTCCCCATATGGCTACTATTGATCTGGTCTGTGGACGTTGTCGCGAGAAGAAAATCCGTTGTGGGAGGGAGAAATACCAGTGTACAAACTGTAGGCGAGATGGAGGGGAGTGCAAGTACTCGGCCACAGGGAAGCGCGTGAATAATCTCAAATTGCTGTACGTGGCAAATTTCTTTCCTCTTCCGCCATATACCTACGTAAGGGAAAAAAAATATCAAGTCTAAACAGGGTTCCGTGCCGGCAGATGCGCCAATGTCTCCAAACTTGAAGATCGCCTGAGCACTATTGAAGAGAGCCTGACTATTCTCTCTCGATTGTGAAGACACACCAAGCCCCCTCTACCTCTCCAGAGGAGGGCTCAGGGGATACGATATTGTCCTCCAATACAGGTGATCCCCAGCTAGGAGAGGACGACCGGAGAGCAAGCAAGGAGGGAACATTACTGATGATGGATTGTCAAATCATCCGCGAACGTCTTGCGCAAACGAACCATTACCATGTACCGGGAACATTGCTGACTCTCTCCATCAGTTCCTGACAATGGTGATAGAACACCTGTCGGCACTGGCGGCGGACAGTGCTCAGGGAAGCAACGGCCAATCGGTGCGGGATGCCATAGAACAGCAGCTGAGCAGCCTGTGCTGGGAAGCGGGCAATGAAGAGCCTGACTTTGGTGAAAAATTTAGAGAGCACCTCCATTCGTCTGCCTCCGAAAACGTTGGTGCGGGTGGGAGAGTTGCAGTTCTTCCAGCGACGTACTTACACCGCCAATATATTCGTCCTATCACGATTCCGGAAGGTGGAAGAGCTGTATGCATCCACTACGGAGGACGAGGTATGGGCGATATGCCCGCATATCTCCTGGTCCTAGGCCCAGAGGTAATCCTCCAAGACAGCGCATTCAGTACTTCTGACGAATTTAAGGCTCGAAATTTCGCATTGTTCGGTCTATATCTCAAAGGGGATAGAGGAAGCTCTGCAACAAAGAGGCCGAGGACTAAATTTAAAACGCTACAAGCAGTGAACCGACGTCTAATGCGGATAGGGCAGCCATTATAGACGGCCTATGTTGTGATATCCCTCATGTGTAATAATTTTCCCGAGTTGCTGGTTTGGTAAAGACATTCTCTCTACTGTACAGCGGGACTGGGGTACAGTATTAAAGCGAATCTGATAGCAGTATTGTTTTTAGGACCTGTATGTGTATTAACTGCTATATTAAAGGCGAAGAAAAAATAGACAGATAAGATAATACGTATGTACAGGCTTAAAATGGGCTGTAAAGAGAAAGAAATAGTGCCATCACTGATAGACAGGGAGGTTTTTATAACACATCGCTGGTATAGAATCATTAACCATTGTTATCCTCAGCAGCAAACCTTCGCTGCCATTGGTACTATGGCCTTGGCATTTCCACGTGGTTTGCTTGCTCCTAGATTATCCAGACTCCTAGGAAGCCTAGCCTGCTCCTCAGATGGCCGAGCCCGTTCCTGAGAGCGTGGATCAAACTCCTTGTATATATAATTCGTAAGGCAGACTGAATATTTATAGAGCATACCTCCCCCCACCATATCTGTAGAGAAGTGGATATAGTAAGAAACAGAAAATATTAGCCTATCCGATGCTCTGAAAGGAAACAAGATACTAGTGCTTTTGCTTTGGTATACATGATTTATTATTTTGAAGCTTCACATTTCATCTAGGAATGCGGCTAATTGTGCGTAGCAGTTAATATCCTACTTATTAAACCAGTGTAGCAGTCCAGTATATTTCTATGCTTATTTTAGAAAGCCCACCCCGTTATCTATCTAGACAATAGCACAAAAGGCGTCCCATTGACATGCTACCTTAGCCAGTTGCCACATTGGTAAATTTATTAGGGCAGAGTCTAGAGCAGGCGCGACTAAGAGGTTAGCGCAGCCTTGCGCAGCCTTGATCCCGTATATTGTCCACAAGTGACATCAAGGGATAAATGCCCATATCCAATAAACTGGCTCGCCAGCTTGAACGTAGGCCAAAGGCGGGACGCTCTTCGAGTATAATAGGTTCTAACACGTAGGTTGCCGGGGCAGCGACATGAAAAGATAGAGAGTGGTATTATAAAGTGTCCGGCTAATACACCGGCCTTTTACCTCCGGTAGTAGTGAAGTGAAGTCGCCCATCGCGCACATCAGGAGGAAGCCCAGCAAATTTAAATGTCAACCCTTGGCACCTTTGTTTAGTAGAAGGAGTCCACCATATTGTCAGGTCACTTTAATTGGCTCGATTGGATAATTTGGGCTGATTCTAGTACACTGTCTGACTCTCCCATCGTAGTCGATGCGGGTCAAGGCGGATTCGTTAGAATTAATGGTAGTTAAGACTTGGAGGTTCAAGCAGCGGTACGACCGTTAGGAAGATACCAGACCGTAGAGGGAAGCAAAATATTTTCTTTTGGAAATGCGTACAGATTAGCCAAGATATCTTTGCTAGTGGAGGAAATCAACCTACCATACTTTATGTATTTAAAAGTTCCATGTCGTGGGCTCGTGGCTTAGATGGGTTTCTACCAGATGCTCATTGACTCACGAGTCTGCAATTATAAATGTAGATGCTGGAGAAAAAAAAGTCAGTCGGGCTACTCCCCACCTAGAGTTTTGCCTTGCAGGTGGAGTAGAAGGATTAATGACCCCAAGTGCCGGTTGCATTGATGATGGCATCGTTTATTTGAGCGGCTAAACGGGAGTGATGTTGAAAAGTATTACGAAGGAGTATGATCGATGAGAAATAACGTGGCACATTTTATTAAGGCTGCCTACTCAGGCTGCTCACCCCTGTGCTCAGTGATCAGCTCAGTGAGCAAAAAGCGCCTAGGGGTGACCACTAAAACGGAAGGGAAGCCTTGGAGCTGTGTAGGAAATCAAGTTTGTAAGTGCAAAAAACTTGCCCTTAGGTTATCTGGCTGTTAATCGAGTCGGATGTCAGGTTTTAGGTCCATTCCCGTATATTAGATATAGTTCTACTCGGGATGGTGAGCCATGATGCTAACCATGTTACTTCGCTAGACTATTGTCTACTGGTTATTTCCTGTAGATAGTGCTTTTCTTATGATTGCCAATTTGGCCCAACTAGGAGAATTTTAGTCTCATTTTACACCTAGGACGTATGAAGAAACAGATCCTACATACTCCATTCTCTTAAGAATCTTTAGGTCTATCTTATAGGGGCAGATAACTGAGTTCTGTATGGCTAGTGTACATGGTGTAAAATACCTACAATTGTCAGCCACCCCTAATTATATGTTAAACCTGGCAATGGATGTCACGGGGTCTCATCTCATTGCCAGATCTACTTTCGGCTTGGGCCTGTCGAGATCTCCTTGCCATACAAGAAAACAAGCTCCGTTCCTGTTGACAACAATTGCTGTTCTATAAAACTATTTTATCTTTGTTTTTCTTGACCCGAACAATGGACACGGCTAGCTGTGTTTCATGTCCGGATATCACCCATCAGCCAGTTCTTCACGTTGAAGCGCGTGTAAAGAGCAATGGAGATGGCATCATCATCCGCACTGATCTGGTACTTTGCTCCTCCCGCTTGATGCTTATTTGCAGTACAACTGAAGTGAGCCTCCTGGAAGGTTAGGGAAGAAGTTACAAAGTGGCTTGTCGACAATTTTGCTGTTCTCTCGCTCGGGCAGAAGATCTCCTCATTTGGTACTATCGCCCAGGTGTGATGTCCCGTTGATGGCTAATAAACAACCAGAGCACCTCCACGAGCCACACGCACAGTATATCGACTCTATTCTCGTCACCGAATGCACTGGGGGAGAGGTGGAATCCGGGGCGTATAGGCTTCAGCATGTCGAATTAGATGTTCAGGCATATCAGCTTCATACTCCATTCGAGCAAGAAAGTTCCCAGAATACACTTCATTCGGAGGAGGCACCAGATAGTAGCGAAGATACACCAAGAGCACAAGTGATGACATTGCCGAGTAAGGAGCTAGACGGGCTTTGGGAGTCGTACGGTCATCTTTTTATTCCAGTCGATGATACTTGTGGTTAATGACTTGATCTACGTGGACAGGCTGCAGTTTGATGAGCCACTCCAGTCTACACTTCTCCGCGCAATAACCCGAATGGGTAAGGAGTTTAACTCTGGTGCAGGCTTTATGACCTATCTGACTTTTGGTATCAGTGTCATTCTCATCTCGAAAGCTCAACAAATGGACTATTAACTGGAATCGACTGGTCCTTTTATGGGGTCCACCAGGAACAGGAAAGACAAGCTTCTGGCATGTTGTACAAAACTACCTCTGCAGTATAGTAGGACCTAGCTAACTATATCTAGTCGTGGTCTCTCCCAGAAACTTGCAATACGCCTCGGAAAGCAGTACCCCCGAAGCAAATTGGTTGAAATAAACGTCCACTCCCTCGGAAGTAGATTTTTTAGCGAAAGTGGCAAGCTGGTAAGTAAAGCCATCGAAAGCGTCGAGATCTTACTCGAGGAGGAAGAGGACACGTTCGTATACGTCTTCGTGGACGAGGTAGAGACGTTGGCTGCCCGGAGAGAGCGAGCGCTGGCGGGCAGTGAGCCCTTTGATGCTGTTCGCGCCGTAAATGCACTTCTTACGGGATTGGATAGACTAAAACATCATTGCAACGTAATTGTCGTCTGCACAAGCAACCTCATCACTGCCTTGGTAAGCACCCTGATGGGCATCCTATTCTGCGAACGTCCATTCTTGTGTATTGACTTTGTGGACGCCTGAGTAGGACCAGGCTTTTCTTGACCGTGTGGACATCAAACAATTCATACCGCATTTATCCAATCGGACTATCTATGGGGTCTACAAAGAATGTCTTGAGGAGTTGAGTCGCTGTGGGATCATTGGGGGTGCTTCGTTTGATGTGGTCCAGGTGAACCCGGACGATCCCTTTACGGCGTTGCAATATGTGGAAAGCCCTACGGAAAATCTCACCATCCCATCATTTGATGAAATGCTTCTCAATTACCAGATGTTCGCAGACGCGGTTCCTAAACAGCTGGCAGATGCAGCCTGCGAGAGTGTGGTAAGTGGCTACTAGATCCGGCTCGCAGTCGTCGACGGTTGGCATTTCCTGACAATTACTTCAGGGCCTCAGTGGTCGTACCATACGACGTCTTCCTGCAATGTCGCTGGTGATGTATGGTCCGAGCAGAGTTCGGTACGATGTTCGAACCGCGATTCAGGCGCTGCGGACGGGCATAGGATCGGAAAGGAAGGCTAAGGTGGAAGCACAGTAAAGCCGCATGCAGAGTTGGGGCCGGACAGAATCGAGGAGTGGTGGGACAACAAGTCACAGATGAGAACGGAGACAAGATACATATAAACAGGAAATGATCAGGGGAATAATAATGGTCAACGAGATAAACCCTGTTCCTCGTAGTCTATCGTCAGCATCATCGTTGGCTGGTCGCTGATCGATCGAAATTTGTTGTTCCGAAAAATCGCGGTTTTCACCGAAGGCAGTTAGAGCCGGGCCAACAGCCAATCAGCGCGAGGGTTTAGGCAATTCCAAACCAAGAGAAACTTGACCATTCGACTTCCATTGAACCTCGACTTCACCTCCAAAAGCACACTCTCCTGTGCGCAGCCCCCGTCCCCTCCCCTCCTCTCTCCACTTCCTCCGGCTTTTGTGCCTTCTTGATTATCCATTGATCGGAGGGTTCTTCATATTGTCAGTATGCTGGCACGTACTGTCTCGCGCAGTGTGCCCTTTCGGGCCATCGCACGCCAGACCTTGAGCAAGACCTCCTCGGTACGCAATGATCGGACTTCAACACCCTCCTCCAATTGGCCTCGGCTGATGAGCACATTTGTTCATCAATGGCTTGCGGATCGGGGATTCGAGTGCATAGTACTGACAAATTTTCTAGCGTGCGTCCTCCTCGACCGCCGGTGCCGAATCCGCCAGCTCCCCCTTCCACCTCACACTCACTGCTTCCGTCGCAACTGCTGCCGCCATTGGATCGGCCGCCTGGTACTATCACCTCTATGGACAGGAAGCGTTTGCTTCGACACCTGCTGAAGAGGGGTGAGTGCATTGATTGATCGCCCCTCGCGGATGGCCATCGGTTTGGCCTCTCCGTTGCCCCGACCGAAAGATCGTATTAGGGACTAGGACCATGAGAAAACTGACGTATTGATTTTCAAAGATTGCACCCTACTGCCTACCCTTGGGAGCACGCCAAGTGGACCAAGACCTTCGATCATGCTGCGTGAGTCTTCCAGAGTCGGGCCGGTTGCTCCCCTATTAGCTCGCTCAACCGTGGCATTCTTACTTACACCCTGTCTGTCAGCCTCCGCCGTGGTTTCCAGGTCTACCGTGAAGTCTGTGCCAGCTGCCACTCTCTGACCCGTGTCCCCTGGCGTTCCTTCGTCGGTGTCACGCACACCGTCGACGAGATGAAGGCTTTCGCTGAAGAGAACGAGTACGACACCGAGCCTAATGACCAAGGCGAGATCGAGAAGCGCCCCGGAAAGCTGTCGGACTATATCCCTGCCCCTTACAAGAACGAAGAGGCTGCCCGTGCCGCCAATGCCGGTGCTTATCCCCCTGATCTCAGCTTGATCGTCAAGGGCCGTCATGGCGGCTGCGACTACATCTTCAGTCTTCTGACTGGTTACCCCGATGAGCCCCCTGCTGGTGCCACCGTCCAGGAGGGCATGAACTTCAACCCCTACTTCCCTGGAACAGGTATGTCCCAACCATAGATCCGTTTGACTTTTGCGCTGTCTAATGTGTATCTTTATAGCCATTGCCATGGCTCGTGTCCTCTTCGACGGTGTCGTTGAGTACGAGGACGGCACCCCTGCCACCACTTCTCAGATGGCCAAGGACGTTGTGGAGTTCCTTAACTGGGCCGCTGAGCCCGAGATGGACGAGCGTAAGAAGATGGGTGTCAAAGCCCTCACTCTTCTCACTGGTCTGTTCGCCGTCAGCGTGTGGGTTAAGCGTTACAAGTGGTCCCCCATCAAGACACGGAAGATTGTGTACAGCCCCCCAGTCTCCCGCCGTTAAATGCCGCAGTGGACTACATGAATCGCGAAATTGGGTGGACGCAAAGGCGGCTAGACATTAACAACCCGGCCTCCTATTCGTAGGCTGGGTTCTGTCGCTATCCTTCGGTTGCCGGTTTTGTCGATGGTCTACTTGTTTTGTTAGATGTTATTCAGGACACCTGTATCTGTACCTTAGATTTATTCTCCTTGAAAATCTTGTTTTGAAGACCCAATATTACTATTTCCTTTGTCTCTACTCATGCTCTCTCCCCTCAGCGGTACCTATAGGGCCCATCTCTGTGAAGCAACAGTCTCAAAAAAGCCATTGCTCTACCGTTGCTGCATCCACAGTAAGGTCAATAACGGTAGGCTGAAAGAGGGGCAGGTGACAAAAATGTATTTATTCAGTTAAGTGTACTGGTATTGATGCTCTTTGGATTGAAGCTCTCTATTTTCTTGTTCTCTCTCTTCCCTCAAAGTGTAGGAGTTGGTCCTGCAGTATCGCTCTGCCCTCCGATCGTCCTTTCACCATCACCAAAGACCTTTACAAATACATTATCGTACGAGGCCCACATGGCGAATAGCATAAGATCATTTAACTTCATAACCCACGACGGGCTACGACCATCTGGGCCTGCCATAGCCTTCGACAATATAAGGAACAGGAGCATAAACGGTCCCCACAATGCCACAAATATGACCTGGCCGATCCGCTGCTGCACAGTCGTAATCTGGTAAGTCTGGACCTGGGAGAGGTAAGTCTGATAGGACAAGGGGAGATTATGTTCGGCGGCGCCGGTAGTGATGAGGTTCAGGTAGCGAGCGGACGGTTGCGCATAGCCACTGGGGTGAGGACGGCCAGGATATTTTGATCGCGAGAACAAAGAGCTCCATACCCGGACAAGGGGATATTGAGCAAGGGTGTCATCGTCGCCCTCTTTGACTGGCGAGAGAAGCGTGTGGGCTTTGAATGGAGTGGTAGCAGGACATTCGGGGACAGGATCCGCGGGATCATAGGATTGGGGAAAAGGGTAACAATCTGCCACGATATCCTTATATCCACCACCGCCGCCTTCCGTGGCGATTATGCGAGCATAATCGGAAAGGGTGACTTCATAAACCACTCCAACAAGGGGGCCATCAAATTGATAGTCCTTGTGTGTAGTCTTCTTCTCCGACATGTCTGTCCCTCTTCCCTCGATTTCATCTTCGTCGTCGAGGTTATCGTGCGCGACATGACGATACTGCGTTGCCGCAAAACAAGGCTCTATGTACGGAAGTCCGGGAAGATCAAAGGTCAATTGTAGATCCGGTACGACAACATTAATCTGGGAAAGTGGTCTGATCCCTCTCTTTCCCAGGAAAGTTTCTGCGCACAAGTTCGAGCCGTAGGCCAGATACAGCACGGTCTTTTCGATAGGGGTGGCCTTGTCTATTCTGGCGACATGTGGCTGAGAAAGGCGGACCTTTTCGGAGAGAGTCTCGTCTTTGTCGAGAGATGTTTCTGCAACGGAGGCTCGTCGCCTACCGGTTGTTGTCTTAGGGAGGTGACTTAGTGTTTCTCGGGCGTGAAGATCGTTGCAGTGGGATAAAGGGAGACCTTCCGCGTCATGATTATCTGAATACAATGCCGTCATTTTTCTCGGGGTCCAGTTGTTATAAACGAGGGACTGTGGAATACCCGATGCAAGGGGGTGAGAGACATCAGGACCAGATCAGGCCAGACTACGTCGGTCGGGCCTTTATATCTAGATCTTTGGACCAGCCAGTCACCGTGAGACATGCTCAGACGCAGATGCGGACACGTCTCTCTTGGTGCCTGCAGCTGATTCTAGGGAATCTCATGGAACAGGGCCACCGGAATTGCAGGAAGCCGCAGGCCGACACGGAGCGGAGCGGAAAAGCCACACCACGCAGCTTATGTCAGAACATTAATACCCACAGCAAATCCTCCATTCTCCTCTTTCTTGGATTGATTTATAAAATAGCAGCACAAGGTAATCAGTTATCTTATACGAGCTATACGGCGGATACGCCTTGTCGCCGGAACATTCCTTGGGGTTTTTTATGCTGATTGCCACCAACACAAAGTTGCTATACTATGCAGATAGGACGGATTTGGCGCAAATCCGATGAGATAGCATCAAGAAAGAAAATTGCAATATATGACGGATAGATAGATGATCCCGTCCGTGGGGATGCAGACTGAATACTTGATCCGAAATGCCATCAAGTCTCCCACACAGCCTTAGAAAGGTGAGGAGAAACTACGAAACTACGAAGGTTGGATCTTAGTTGACTGACTGGCTATTAGTTCGAGGGCTCTAACCCATATGTGCAGACGCCAATCCCCTTCTCCCGTCCGTTTCGTTCTGGGGTTCTTTTCGGTGTAGTTGAGCATCTAATCTTCCCCTTTACTGCCCCCTTGGGCTGAGCAGGAATAGAGCTTTAAGCTTAATGAGTCCTTTTCAAGTGGCCCATCATCCGTCGTATCTTTAAAAGGCGCATATCGATTAAACTATGGTGAGATGGCATATAGTGAGGACCTAGGATGGGTCTCTCAAATTTTTGTGAATACCTGGTGATCGGGTGATCCTGTGATCTGATATTTTAGTTTTAACCCCCATGATCTTGTGATGGAAAGAACAATTGCCTAGTCATATCTGGACACTTATCTATAGTGATTAATTATAGAAAAATGGAAATTCACGGAATAACCTCATAAAATCAATCCAGAACATGAAACTTAATCGAGCTGCTCCCTGAGATGTTTTAGAGGTCATCCTCTCTAGTAAAACAAGGAGAACGGAAGCCAGGAAGTACCTAGTCAAGCAACCTTATGGGGCCATCGATTGTTTCCTCAGGCTGTCTTCGGGCCACGACGAAAGCAGATTCCCTTTTCATCGACCGCCATGTGATGCTCCTACACTCCTCCCCGTTTTAGAAGCCGAATTGTTCTTTTTTCACTCCCACAGTATCATCAAAAGTGTGTCTTTACTCGCAACAACTTCCCAAGGCAGGATGTCTCATACGTCTGCGTCATCCACTCATGATGGACTGGAACAAGCCTGTATGACAGTGTTAGCTTCACATCTAAACGTTTCCATCGCAGAGGAGAGAGAAATCAGTCCCGAAGCTCCAGTCCTGTGTGTCTCAGATAATTTCCAATGTTGTTGTTTCGAAACTGACATGGTTATCTCCACAGCAAACTTGTTGATGCCGTCCTCCATTCCGAGTTACCGATCAAAGACCGAAACCCCATTGAGCTTATCGTGATCCTGCAACAAAAGAAAGAGAGCATTACGCCCGAGCTCAATCAGATCCTTTCGCGTTGTTTGGCTTACGTGCTACTCCGTTCAAATAGCCAGGCCGCTGAGGAAACTGCGCTCTTTTTTCTGCGGGTTTGGGCCTCACTGGTAGTATAAAGTCGCAGCCAGCTCTAACTTTGGCTAGGATACATCCCGGTTTGCCAAAAATACGGAATCCGAGGATTCTGGGTGCAGGCCCCCAAAAGAGGGACAATACTGGGGCTCACTCAATCGTCTAGCCCGAGATACTCCAGAATGGCGTTCGAAAGATCGTACGGAAATCTCTCAGCACAGAAGAGAGTTGGATCTACTCCAACATATGTTGAATGATGCACTTCACGGCCTGTTTGTTGATGAAAGGAAGGGCCTTCGACTTCGAGTTTTGGTAAAAATCAACAATCATCCTGTGAAGTCATAGAAAGCTAATGGAAGATGAATAGGCAGGGAAATGCCTAGCAGAGGCAGTTTTGGAAACGCAATTCGATCTGCCTGCGCCTATTTCTAATGAAGCGACTTTCACCGGGTATAATATACCTCTTATCTACTAGAAAGGTTCCTTAAAACTAATATCTCTAGCGTTGCCCCTATGTTGTCCTTTGGGACTGACGTCGTTCTAAGATTTTTCGCAAGTCTTATTGTTCAGATCCTCGCCGTAAATGATATTGTTGTGTGGCCGCTTGATAACACAAAGCACAGGAGCATGTTTTTCAAGCATTTATATGATAATACTGAAGATCCAGTACGATCCTTTTATTCCTATTCAAACGAGGTTGACAAACCTGGAATGAACAACGTTAATGTTACTGCACCTACTTGCTACCTCCTTCACTCTATCAATATCAATGACACTATCACTGCCAGAGGCAGCGCCCTTGCTGTCTTTAGGGGCACATATCTAATATTTGTGTGCTCTGTGGAGCACAGGTCAAAGAAGTCCTTCGAATACGTTGAAGTTCCCCTGGAGTTCGTGCAGCGGCCTACCTACACTGAAGACCAAGGTATTCGGCTGCAATTCAAAAAAGAAAGTTTGATATTCATAAATGCTAAAGGCCATCATTTGGACGGAGGAAGAATAGAGCTGTACTCCGACAATGATCTAACGGCACTACATTCAGAAATTGAGAATGTCTACAAAAAATTAAAGTCACTGAAGTTCGGTCCAGTCGTTCGAAGGTCATCATCGCTCGCGGTGTCTTTGGATACTGCAGAGGAATTAGGTCGACAGCACGATAAATACATCCAAACCAAGGCGCCTGTCCACGGCGATAATGCGATACAGGTACCAGAAAGTCCCGGTCCAAATGAAAGGATCGACTGTACTATGACACAGGGCAACCTAGAGATCGAGGATTCTGTCTCCGGAGTAGTCTCAAATGAACCTTTAAGTGAACCAACCGAGTCACGAGGAGTGCCGCTGTGCAGTCTGACTGGAACAGGGAGCCAACTTGAGCAGGCTATGTCTGGCCAAAATATACATAGCAAGTCGGCCGGCAGTGTCCAAGCCCGGGGAACTGACACACAAGAGTCATTGATATTTCCCCTGCGGCGGACAGGGAAGAAAGTATACTCAGCAGTTTCAAAAGCTGTCCTACACCAGTGTGAAAATCCTCGGTTAAGCGACGTTACCGACAAAGGCAGTCTCAAGTATATTGAACTTGCATCAACGTCCTTAGCAAATAATATAATGAAAAGAAAGCGGGGGATAAGTCTATCCCATTTGCCGTCTCCAAAAAGCAAAAAAATTTCAGAGAATAGTGATCCTACTATTGGTTTCCACGAGGCCAACGTCGAGTTGGTTCAAGGGGACAGCCGTGAAAGTCTTAAAGGAAGGGGGCGATTAATAGGGCAGAAGCTTGCTGCAGCTTTCCAGAAAGCCGACATCTCACAGGGTACCGAACGAGATAACCAAGGAACAGAGGAAGCAGACACCCCTGGCAGCCAAATGGGTAGTATTGGCGAGGGCGAAGACGAACATAGTCTTATCCGAGAAAGCTTAGGTCAAGAGAATTTAGACGAAATTAAGAGGGGAACCTTTGCGGCGTCGGGACTGCCGCCAGTTGATACACAGAAAGACACGGTCCAGGTTCCCGAGCGCCCCAAAATAACCCCCAAAACGTCTATAGTGGATACGAATGGAAGCCCGCGACTTGTGACTTGGACAAAGCATGATAATATAGTCTCGAGCAAGAACCAGCCGCGCATAGGTCAAAATCAGGGATCAGATATCGAACAGAATCAAACTTCCAGTGATCAAGACGAGTCTGGGTATGATGCTGGCACAGAGAACTCTGAAGGGGGTTCCGACGGAGAGAATATATCTTATCTGCCAGCTTCTGGCCAAAAGCATGGGACTTTTTCAAGCCGAGAATCCCCACGTATCAGTAAAGCACCATTGATTCGCTATGACGCTGAAAACACGAGCTGACAGAGTTTACAGACTCCGAAATGGACCCAGCGCTTACGAAACGATTTCCCAGGCCTGCGGGAGGCTCTTATTCTACACATTCCGATCCTCAACAGAGTGCCACCCATAAGGCTACCCTGAGGCGGACCCCTGGTCTAGGGAAGAACAGTAGCAAAGGAAACGAGAGGCAAAAGACACCAGGGCACCCATCAAGAGAATTGTCGGCTGGCTATAAGAGTGCAGGCTTGACAGACTCGAAGGTTCCTATCGATGAAGCCCCAGGAGATGTCCGTCAAGCCAGGCCAGTCCTGAATAATACAATGCAATTGTTGACGCAAGCCAATGAGGTAAGTAAATTCCACAAGAGGAACATGTCGATATTGATTGGTCGTTCCCGCTGAAGCTCTCCATAGAATCTGATCCAGCAATTGAAGAAAGAAAAGGATGCAGCAAACAAATTATTCGGAATGTGTTGCGAGGAATATAGTCGAGCCCTTGACGGACTCCTCAAGACGCAGGAAGAGCGAGTCCGGCAATTTGAAGAGCTCATAAATTCTATCAGTCAGCAGCATGTACGCATGTGTGAGGGGCTGATCCATCGGCTCCGAGAAAACGAGCAGCGCGTCCGACTGAGGGCATCCTTGTATCGGACACATGATTCGGAGCGACAGGGATAAAAGGAGGGTGTAGTTTACTCGGCGCCGGGCGAGTTCGGAGCTTATGTCCACCGCTCAGGTCCAGATCTCCGATAGATTGAAAAAGTATTCCCGTATGATGAATATCAAACACTATATTCTTACATCCTACTTCTGAAGGATGATGACGGACTTTGGTCTTCCACCGATGATGTACCGAGCAAGGTATTAGGCGTATCAATTCAGTAGGAGTATCTGCATACCTCAGCTCCTAGGTAGCTTGTAGTTGCATGAGCGAATAGGATTTGCGCCGATCGCCTGACCTGACTCAGGCACTCAGGCATTCATTGGCTCACCGCAATCACGTGCACACTCCGATGGGGCGATGACTCGACAGCGGCCGAAATAGGAGCCAAGGAATAGGAAAAAAAAAAAAAGAAAAAGAAAACGTCAGATAGAATTGCAGTGCGCGTTTTTAAATATCCATTCCAATAATTTCACTGTATCTCCCACCCATCTGAAGGAAATACGGACCTGGCAGTCCTCCCTGGCCTCTCTTCTCATCAGACGGAGAAAGCTCATTGTCTTTTTCTGCCCCTCTATCAACATTTCCGCTCATCTTCCCCGCCATGTCTTCTGTGAGTCAACGCCAACCACACACACATTGCACTCACTCTCTCGATCTGACCAATTGCACAGTTTTTCATTGAAAACCCCAATGTGGGCGACAAGACCCATATGGAAGACTCGAGAAGTGTGTTTCCCCTGGAATATCGATCCATTTTTTTTTTTTCCAATACTGATTGGTGACTCCCCGAACAGTTCGAGGATACAATCCCCTCACCCCTCCCAACCTCCTCCAACATGAGATAGCGTTGACGGAGAGGTCTCAGAAAACGGTCCTGGAGGGCCGCAAAGAGGCCGTCGCCATTGTTCACGGCACCGACACGGACAAACGCCGCCTGCTGGTGGTCGTTGGCCCCTGCTCTATCCACGACCCGGACATGGCCATAGAGTACTGCGACCGTCTATTGAAGATGAAGGAGAAATACAAGGACGAGCTGTTGATCATTATGCGCTCCTACCTGGAGAAGCCCCGCACCACAGTTGGATGGAAGGGTCTCATCAACGACCCGGACATCGACAACAGCTTCAAGATCAACAAAGGCCTGCGGACCTCCCGTCAGCTCTTCGTTGACCTGACTAATAAGGGAATGCCAATTGCGAGTGAGATGCTGGATACGATCTCGCCGCAGTTCCTGGCAGACTGTCTCTCCCTTGGCGCGGTTGGTGCTCGGACCACGGAGTCGCAGGTGCATCGGGAGCTGGCGTCGGGGCTTTCGTTCCCTGTGGGATTTAAGAACGGTACCGATGGCTCTCTGGATGTCGCTGTGGATGCAATTGGATCTGTCACGCACCCTCACCACTTCCTCTCCGTCACCAAGCCCGGTGTCGTCGCTATTGTCGGCACCGTAGGCAACCCTGACTGCTTCGTCATTCTGCGTGGAGGCAAGAAGGGCCCCAACTACGATGCTCAGAGCATCGCAGAAATCAAGACTAAGCTCTCCTCGCAGGGGATGACGCCCCGGCTGATGGTCGACTGCAGCCACGGCAATTCGCAAAAGAACCACAAGAACCAGCCCAAGGTGGCTGCTGTTCTTGCGGAGCAAATCGCTGCGGGTGAGACGGCGATCATGGGCGTTATGATTGAGAGCAATATCAACGAAGGTACGTTCATTGTCTATCCTCCTTCATGTGTAAGAACACAATATTAACAAGGTCTTAACAGGTAACCAAAAGGTGCCACCCGAGGGCAAGGCCGGCCTGAAATACGGAGTCAGTATCACAGATGCCTGCATCCACTGGGAAGACACGGAATCTGTGCTCGAGACCCTGGCACAGGCTGTGCGCACTCGGAGGGAAAAATTGGCGACGAATTGAGATTAAAGTGATTTTTTTTTTTTGTGATAACGCTTTTGATGAACACTTCCATTCTATTAATATTTCGGGCATATATTCTTTCTTTTTATGAATGAGATAAAAGTGCATTTTTATTTATTTTTTGAACTTGATAATCGATCTTCCCAAATGCCTAGTAGATAACTATCTGTTGACCATAAAAGATACGCGTATCCGCAAGTATCGATTCTCCATAGAATTAGGTCTCTGATTCTTCTAAACTACCAAAGCATCTCGCTATAAAGGCGACGTAAACAAACGAAGAATGTAAACTAACTAATAGGAAATATAAGCGATCCGATGAAGTTGTACATGAACAAAATTTGACTGAGAAAGGTGCTGAATAATCAATAATAGTTAACTTACTGTCAGTAACTAACCTAACCATAATTGTCAACACTATCACCTGTGGCCTGCCGAAAATCACTGTGCAGCCATTTGTAATAGTCACATGGCTAGTGGCCTAAGAGTCAGCCTCCTTACCGGTGAGGATAGGGTCTTGGTGAAACGGCTGCTCTACTGCTTCTGCCTGGAGTCTGTGGTGGTAGAAGATAGGAGGGCATTAAACTGCCTCTCGCATCGACTGAACGCCAGTCAGTAGGGTAATTCAATTAAATAGAAGGTATTTATTGGGCTTACCAGAGAATGTAACTGTGTTGGTGCTGGCTTATAAGCCACATCTCCATGTACCCCAAGTAAGTGATAGTGTGGCACTGCACATTTAATGTGAACCGTTTCGCCGGCTGATGTTCCAAGGCAAATGCTGCAATATAAAGCCCTAATGTCGCATACAGGGTGGATCGAGCAGATTGTTACGGTACCAAATTAGAGGTGGAGAGAAAAGTGATACATACCGGTTCGGCCAGGGAGACACCAAAGGGCACCTCGAGCTCCTTCAGTCGGTCGGGCATTATGCATGGATGTCCAGACGAGGTCAACTCGGATAGATTAGAGCCGCAGGGAAGTCCGGAGTATTTGGCCCTCGCCATAGCTGGGCCTTATTTATTTCTGCAGTTAATGGCAGTTGTCCCTGCACAATTAGCTTACAGCTGCTTTATACCACTCCTCCGTGATCACGGATTATAGGTCCTGATGCCGTCTTTTGCACAGCCGGAGGGTCGCGACCTCCCCCAGCTTTTGCCAGAGAGTATCGGGATCTTTTGGTTGCACTGCAAGGAGCCTAATTAGATAAAAAAGTCTGATCTTGACTCTTTTGTGAGATACAGTTTTTGCATGGTGCTTTATCTTTCCTAAATCCCACACATGTAAGGACCTCTTGAGGGTGGCTCATCCCGCAGGCAGCGATAGGGTCCCAATGCCATTGATTCATAATGAAGAGAAAGGGGTGCCTACAGTAAGCCGAAGGCAAATATTCTAGTTCTTTCCGGAAATATTATCGTTGAATGGTTCAACACAGGGGATCAAGTTAAGCTGATGATTGGGCGGTTAGAGTGCAGGAGGCTTTATATAAAAACTACTAGAGGCTGTGACAGCTACTTCATCACGACCTAACCCAACCCGAAGGCCCCATAATTATCACCTATAGATATTACTTGTTTTAGATAGAAGGAATGGGCTTCCAGGATAGCCATATCAGCTCCGCGGAGCAGCTGCGCTCCCACATAGGATGTTTCGCTTCCTAGGAGACAAGCCGTTGTTTGTAGGAGCCCCTGTTGTAGCTCTCAGCCGGCCGACTATTCTGAAGAAAACAAACCCGGCTCTCGACAGATCACTTTAACTCTGTGGGAGCATAACAAGATAGTGGGCATTTTTTTAGTTTATTATTACACCCTTTATAAATACCCTGCTGGGATCTGCTTATAATATATTAATTTTCCTTCCAACTTCTACCTTCAAACTAGATTGGTATCTTTCCCAATACCAGCTAGGTCTATAATTTTTAATTTATAATTTACTTAATTTAGATGCTATCTGTGCTCACAAAAAAATGTATTAGCCTGTTGGAAAGCAGGAACCGTGGCCCTTTATTGGTTTCGAGAGTTGCATCCGCACCGAAAACTCCTGTTGATTACAAAAGAGGTAAAAAAAAGATAAGGAGAAACAACACTACCCTTACTCAGCAGCAGAATATTTGTTAGGGACATTCCATTGCGACCGCTGCAAGGTTGTCCATGGTATTACCAAGAGCTGGATGGGAGGAATGCATACAACTGCGGAAACTATTTAATCTGCTAAGAACCAACCCTTCCACCACACTTAGCTTTCTCTAACGACATAATATGTTTATACCAGAACACAATTCATTTTTAGTTCGCTTGGAACTGGAGCTCTGGCTGTGGCGAGTCGTGTGGCTACTAAATCGCGCATGCTAGCTGCGCTCTAGTTAGTACAGTATTTAGCTCCACGCTGAGCCACAAAAACGAGCTACTGTACATGGCAAGTTCTCAAGTTAAAATGGCTAAGGATAAGCTATTCTATGTTAAAGTTTACCACTCTTAATTATTTACTTTTATTTTCCCCCATTCTTTTTCTTTCAGCTTGAATTTAGTTGCCTCGTGGCTAAGCCGTGATCCATTTGGGAAGGACTTATCTATGCCAAATACTTTGTTACTGTATATTTACCCGCAAGGGCTATTATCCCTAGTCAGGTACTAGAGACAAAAATTTATTTATTTAATTCGACCTAGTTGTTCGGCTTCGATCCTTTGGTAGTCATGCTCCGGTATGCTACAGGTAACCGCAAGAACCGGTAAACCCTCATGATAAAGTTGTGCTTATTCCGTACGGATATTCTTGTCGCCACCTTAAATAGGGTCTGTCGGTATTCAGTACCAGTGGGTGTTTCAGAAAACTTATAACTCTGGAACAGGCGTGCTGCAAGGTTAGTCCTAAGGTGGCGGGAGTACGTTTGCCATTGATAAAACAGGGTGCTTAATTAAGCCTGCCAGTAATAAAGCTCCTGCCCACATTGCTAATTACCTAGCCATACAGTGGCAAACTCGATGGCGGAGTGAAACTTCTGTAACAAACTGCGAAGGTTCTGGGATTCCCTATGCACCGCCGCATGACGAATATCTGCAATATTAATGCGTAGCTAGTGAAAGGGAGCCCGTAAGGCTAGTAAAGGCAAGAGCAAGAGAATTTGCTTGCCCCGGAATTCTTGCTCTAGAGCCCAGACTACTGTATGCAACTCCATTGCCTCGGTATAATCCCACTGTTTCGATTAACACAGCTTGGGATGCCAGACTCGAGCAAAATCAAAAGTGCAGCGCTCCAACCTTTTTTGCAATAATACCAGGAACCAGTGTGACACCTAAAATAAAAAATTAACCGGCTGGGAACAGGCATATTGTTTAGAAGCTTTGAAAGGGTATTTTTAGCAATATGGGCTGTTAAATTGTCGTAGAAAAAACTAAATATAAAAATAACAAGATGGAATACATACATTGTTGAAGCTGTCACTTAGGCATAGTCTTCCGTAGTAGAACGGCTTAGTTGCAGGTAGTATTAAAAGGGTACCAGGAAGACAACTAATACAGATTAGCCCTGGATATAGCCACAAGTTGTATTGCGAAACTACTATATAGTAACAGAAGAAGGGGCTGTCTATTTGTTGTCTTTATAATATAACTGCAGCCATATCTTTCAATCCTGTCGACCAAAGTGGGCCAATATTACCTATTATTCAGCATCTGCTCGGTCCGACTTTATTCCTTTGTTTTCACCTTTTTTCATCCAGCTCTCCCAGATAGATTCAGATAGCTAGAGACCTTAGAGACCTCATTTTCTTCAATGCATATCCATATTCTTATATAATCGGTGATACTAGCTCATACGCGTATTCAGCTGACCGACAAATCCTTTAGCTGAACACCTTAATGAGAATATAGGGAATAGCTTAGTAGGCTTAATTAGTTAAGATACTGTGATTCTTGGTGTTTCTATCGAATAATATCTACTTCCTATTTAGGCTAGTTGGCCTGTAGCAGATAGAATAGCACCCTGCGCGTCACTTCCCCTGATTCCATAACATTTTTTTTTTAACCATTTCTCTTTGGCCGGGCAAAGATAACTCAGGCCTAGCCGCCTGAGCAAAACTGCGACCGCTGGAGATGTTAGATTTCCCGAGCTTTTTTCGCCGCAATTAACCAGGCTGGGTATTTAACCAAAAAGTGGGCCGCCATCGCGAAATGCCTGACATGGTGAATTAAGATGCGGCTTTTATTCTTGACTTTGCCTAACTCAGATGTTCACCATCTTCGAAGTGTTTGCAATGGAGGGAATTCGGCCCTTCTCTAGACCAGCACAAGTTTACTTTGCTCTAGCTGATTCGCCCTCTGCTCCATTGCTTTTACTCGAATTTTACCAAGGACCGCTGATAACAAGCATGTCTTTTCACAAATCGGCGCTTTACGTCCAATATTTATAAAAAATTAGCTGACGTTGTTATTATGTATTGTGTTGTGACTTTTGCATCTCTATAAAGCCGAGTTTTTACTATCTATACAGTTTATCAGCCCTTCATTATACCTTTATTTTACTCTGAATGAAAATGTCGAAGCCCTATAAGCCGTGGACGTCCTCCGAGGAACGGTACCTACTTAAGTGTATTAGACAAAACGCGGATTCATTATGGAGTACAATAGCCGACAATTATCACGCAGGCGGTATGGCCGGTATGTCCCAGGAGTCTCTGCGGTCCAAATATCGGCAGCTGCTCCAAGGCCACGGGCGCCGACGCCGTATTCGAGCCCGCCGCACAATCCCAGTCCACTTGGGAGCTCGTCAACTGCGACAACAACGTCGGACACAGTACCGGATAGACTGTCACAGCCCTGGAGCCCGCACGCGACCTATTCTGCGGCACATTTTGTCAAAGGCCATTGGCAAACCAAAGATTTCGACTGATTAAATAGATACGGCAATTATCGGTGCGCACATGGCCCCGAAAATACAGTGCTCCCAAGGGAAATTAAAGCACTACATAAAAATGCTTCCCCGCCAATCGCTATATCGCGCTTTAAATACTCCTTGATTTTACAATGTTCTACCATATTCATGTACAGTAAAGCCCCTATTGCCTTCTGTCGACAATTATGGTAATATTGCTTATTCAGCACCTTTCTCGGTCGAATGTTGTTGATGATACAACATCATCGGGTCGCGTATATTTCCTATATTAGTTAGTTGGCATTCTTCATTTGTTTACCTCGCCTTTATAAACGCGAGATGTTTTGGTAGTTAGTTGAATCACAGACCTAAGTCTATCGAGGATCGATACTTTCGGATACACGTATTTTTATGGTCGACACCCCGTAGTTATGATACATGCATGGAAATTCTGTAATACGAGACTTCTGCTTTAGCCGTAGCGTTGTGGGTAGGTGTGCTACGGCTATATGACACCCTACTTCCAACCCTTCTGTCCCCGTTCACTGCAGAACATAAGGGGTATTCTATCAGCTACAGGCCAACTAGTCTAACTAGGAAGTAGATGTCATTCGGTGGAAGCACCAGGAATCGCAGTATCTCAATGTACACGTTCCTCCCCTTTCGTGATTCGAAAAGACCATTGCGTCCCCAACCGGGCCTGGGCAGGTGGCCCCGGTGTCCAGTTCGATGTATTACGCTGAAGATTCTGGCTTGGACTGGCAGAACAATGTGCAGCCCTCGTCGACTGTTGGGAAATGAGCCTTGATTTCTTTCTCTGCTGATACCTCTCCATTTTGGGAACTTGACGCGTTCGCCTTCGCTGAGCCTGTTGAACTATTGCTCGAACCTTCGTCTTCGTCCATTTCCATCGGTAGTCCAGCATGTGGCTCACCCTGGATGGGGTGTTCCAAACATTCAGGCTGAGCTATTCCAGTCTCGCTTCCGACGCTCTCGAGACCGTGACGTCGAGTGGTTGCGGCCCTTCCTCTAGTCTTGTAAAAGTCTATATTCCTCCCGTTTTTGCTCTCATGGCTGCCTCTATTTCTGATTATTACCTGAGCGGGCAAGCGTGGAGCTCCCGCATGTCGCTTGCAATGGAAGGCATGGTATTGTATCCAAGGATTCCAGACAGAGAAATGGAGATATGTATATATATATATCTATATCTATTATTTATGTTGTACTTTTTGATGAAATCCTTACACATACTCTATAGAAGTCCTCACATTAATTGTCCTTAGTTGTTGCCGCAAAAAGAGTTGCTCTGTCCCGAAAACAAGAGCTGCCCTCATTAAGGGCCGAAACAACAGACCTCGAAAAGGTGTGCCAAGAACCGGATACTTTCATGGCCTCTTTGGTATGTAGTAGTTACGGTATGAGTGGTTGTGTGTTTCGAGACGGCCAAGAAGTGTATGGAAAGGCATCATTTTTCCAACTCGCATAGCGCTACTAGGTACACTAAGGTTTTTTCTATATATTGCGCCCGTTACGTTGATATTAAAGGACTGGAGATGAAGCTACCCTCCATGTAAAGTAACTTTCCCTCCTGCAGCTTTGACTATTAGAGTCCAACTCGTCGGCAGTCATTAGCCCGGCCACAAGTCGGTTAGATCTGTCCTTTGATGTCTACGATATGCCAAATTGTGTAACTCCATAGAAGTACTCAACATAAAGTTACGAGATACGAGAATTTTGATCTCGGATGGCGACCCCATCTCTTCTTAAGAAGCCGTTTGGTAGACCTCGGATTCAGATCACAGACATTAGCTTCCATTTGGGAACATAAATGCGTACATTTTCCTTCACGGGTATGGCACAGGGTCACTCAGGGGGTCACTCGGCAAGCGAATTTGTGTATGTGACTTGGACCTTGTCGCCATTTCCATTTTCGGCTCAGTCCGTTCTATAATCTCACTATGATGCGAGAAAGCGTCTTTTAATCCTTAGTCCCGGTCCCAGCCTGGTTGAAATTAAACAATCCGCTAGCAGCTGCCAGGGGTGAGAACTGTCAGATAGTATAGGGCTAGACCTGTTTAGGCTCAAATCTCGATGACAGCTCATTAAAACCGGAATAGCTGAAACCAGACCGGGAGCTCCAACCGGATTCCATATACTGTTCGAATTTAACCTTTACTACTGTAACGCTCACACCCCGTCGCCAATAAAAAGTGGTAAACTGTCTGCCTGCCCATCAATGGATACTATAACCTTCTTACTGCAGTATGTATCCCAGTTTCCCAGCTGGTTATTGTTTATAGCGACAATGTAGTTGGAGCTCATCTGGTTGAGCGAAATATATATTTTTTAATGCCACATCCAACGGGGCCAGTGTTTTGGAATTCGAAAGTAGTCCTACAGGCGTTTACTTGATCGACATCGTAGAAGATAGCTCGTGCACCGTCGGTATATGTGAGTAGCTGTAGAGCAACCGCCCTTTTGATGGTAGAAGCGATTAACATGCTGGGCTCTGCACATGGCACAATTTATCGCCCATCAGCGGGACATTCTATAATCGATATAAAATAGCACTTTTTATAACCTTAGTATCTCAACAATAATGCAAGTATGTTTTTAAAATTTTTGTAGGTTATAACTAAATAATAATTTATTCTTGGGAATATTATTTTAACTATTGTTCTTATTATCCCTGCTATCCCATAGTATAAATAGCTTGTCCTTTAACCTAATACCAGCAAATGGATCTGATTCAAAGCTGGTTGGACAGATATCTAGCAGATGGTGCTTGGATAAAAATTGTTGTGGCTCCATATCTCGCTCGACGTTGCAGTTATTACAGGTTTGTTTGATTAGGCTAGCCACTCTTCAGCACCTTGAATCGATGACACTGAAGGCAGATACATCCACCTTCTCCAGTCGTGTCTTCAAATTGAATATACGTTACTGGAAGATAGCTGCCGGACTTAAAGCCACAGTAGATGCAGAAACGGTGTATTCTCTCCATAGCACCAGAAAAGGGACAGCTTTCCCCCTTTCCTTTCACTGTTTTATTAGAGAGTGTCCATCGGATCGGATTTGTAGACATATGACAGGCGAAAATTTTAAGCCGTGCTATTGGTTGACCCAGAGCAATGCTTTGCTGTCCCACTGAAAGGCATGGCTAGTGCTCGACGTCAGGTAAATCTATCGACAATATATTGTACGGTTGAATCAAACTCGGTGTTAAATGAAGTCAAGCCGCTTATAGCATTTCACAGAGAAAACCGTTTACAAGTCCATTGTAATACGACCTTTGAGGGATAATACTATTTCCCTTTATCCAAGTACGACCGCAGACACAAGAGCCGTTCCCAGCCTCTTTGCCGACCAGGCGTCCGAAACGAGATATTATATCGGGTCTATTTCACAGGGGTTAAAGGGGTCAACGTTGCGGCTCACATTATTGTGACTCAGGTGAAGAACGTGCTTCTTGGAGATTCCAGTATTCCACGCAGTGATATGAAGTCCTGGAGGTGGATCGTAATTCCACAGGTATTGCCCTGGACGTAAGAGAGCGAAATCCAGACGCTTAAGGTGGTTGGTGGTGGTAAAGCCTTTTATATGACGATAATATACCTGAACCGGCCCCCGTCGCGCTGTAACCGGGACAGGTACCCAAACCTATTTACAACCAAAACTATATGGATAGCCTTGGTTGTGTTCGCTACCGCCTGCGCAGGCACAACGATCTGTGTGTAACCCCGCATGTACCCGCCCTGATGCAGCTATTTAAATATTATGCCTACCCCAGTCTGCTCTACAGCCACCCACGAGGGCTTACTAAGGGTTTCTTCCGTCCTGTAACCATTCCACGTGAGTCAGTTAGTCGCCTCTGAAAGTAATCTGTCAAGTTCAATATCTAGAATAAATCGCTAAGTCTTTAAGCATCCCTGGCCAGCAGTGACAGGCTCGGATCTCACCCCATCACCAACACCACCCACTGCCTCGACAACCAAGGAGTCGCTACCAGAAAGTCCATCCACTAACATAGTAGTCTCGAACCCATTCCGCACTGCAGATTGCTCAATATTAGAGCCAGAGTATACCTTCCACGACTGTACGTCTGTCGCGCCATTCCAGCTCACGTACACAGCAGTCTTCGTGCTCTCACTAGATGGACACGCCAAGACATCCGGCTTGGTAGCTGGGCGCCCAACCCAGGGGTATCTGTAGGTGCGATAAGTCTGCATTGTATTATCGTAGCCGAAGTGAGCACGCATGACGATTGTGCCGTCCTCGTCGTACTCCTCAAACTTGGGCGTGGCGCCATGGTCCTGCAAAACATGTCTGTTGTTCAGGACCTGATAGCTACCCTGGGATTCAGCGTACACGGGCTCGTCGGCATCCCACATCCGGCTCTTCAGTGTCACTTGTTTCGAGCCCTGTAGCTCGACGTCTAGCACCATGCCTGTCGTGAGTGCTGCGTGGCCAGTAAAGTCGGTATTGTCGTTATTGTGCATGCTCAGTGTCACGCGCTCCGAGGTTTGGGACTCGAAACGGACGTCGTGCTGGTAGCAGAAGCTGGTGCCTAGGCCCAGTGTGAAATCACCACCAGTTCGGCCCTATGCCTTAGTATCAATACATTGTCACATGCCAGGCGTGGCAAATCGGGCTGAGGAGTTTACATGAAGATGCCAGATGACAGTGCCGTTAGGAGCAATGAAGAAGACACTGCACATGTACCGGGAGGACAGCAGGTAATTATCACCGTATTTGTGGATAGAATTGAGATGAGAATATCCGTACGGATCCGTCTTGTTGACACCGCTACCCTCAAGTGGAACGCGCACATCGCTCAAAGGAACCTGGTCGATGTGCTCGTGCGCACTCCAGCGGAAGAGGATTTCATTTGTTTTGATGTCGATCTCGTAGATCAGCCCATCCTGGATCCAGCCATTCTTGGGGCCGCCCACAGCGCTGAGATCGGCCTGCGTCACGTTGACTGCAGTGATCAGGATGGTGCCGTTGTCGGTGAACTGGCTCTCGTGGATATCGATGCACGAGTTAAAGGTCATTGGGTCGAAGACTGTGACAAAGTTTTCGGTCTTGCAGTCCAGCGTGACGCGGTGGATTTCGTCGTATGAGCTGTTCAGGATACTGATGTACCCGAATCCGAAGCCTATACCGGCGTACCCTGTCCAATATGAAATCACAGGCTCACCTTCTAGCATCTGCGGCTGGAGCGCCGAGTAGTTCCCATTGGCGCCCTGCCACACCAACTGACCATCGTCTGAATAAATGACGGGATGTCCGTCTCCTCGAATAATGTCCTGCGGTGTAAAGAACAGGAACCCAGGCTCCGTTTGGCCCATCTTGGTGACATTCATGAACGGCGTCTGAATCGACGAGCTCTTGTACTTCTGCAGCGGCCACAGTGCAGCATCGGAAGATTGCGCTGTGGTGACACTGAGGGAGCCCGCAAAGATGGCCAGCGCCTGAGGAAAGTGGCTCAGAATAGATCGTCTCATTGTGATGCAGGAATTTGGTGCTGAACTTTGCTTTTGTTTGCACCGGGGGCTTTGTCTTCCCCCACTGCATTGCTCGATGTCGAGCCTGCGGACGCCTCAATTTATAGTGCTTTGCCATAATTGTTGGTAATGAAGATGGAATCTATGGAACCTCACCCTTCCCATCTTAATCCCCGTATGGAAGGAGTGGATTTCCTCGGTAACTGGTATGTCCTCCACGACCCGGCTCCTTATATGCGGAGAAGATCTGATAATATGCCCCACATCGAAGCATTGCCAGTGCAGGAATTGGCAGTAACTAGGTCCTTGGCCTATCTGCATGGCGCGCTACCCCTCAGTCATTACGGTATAGCAAACAAGATGATCTGGAAAGCTTCAATTTCCTATTTACGAGTACACAACCTAGCTACGCTGATTTCAGCAATTTTTTTGGCCCATCCTTATGTTGTAGCGGTACTTGTACCAGTTACTATCCGATGTCGGTAGCGACAGCTTTTAATCTACCGTATGCCCCACTCTCCAAGTGGGTTGATCAGTGATCAACGGCCGTATCTACCTCATTGGCGAAGATAGAGCTGTTGACGTTATGATACCATCGGCAGGATTTGGACAAGTTATCAGTCGGCATAGCCAAACTCCAGTAGTTGCCGAAAATATCGGATATCGTATCGGCAGCCGGACTGTCTGCTGATATAATAAAGTCAAATTCGTCGATGATAACTATAACTTGTAATACAAGGCACTTGTAGCTAACGGAATCCATAAACGGGCTGCGCACCTCTTTATTCCTTAAGAAATTACTCTGTGCATGTCTTAGAATTCTGCCTGCCTAATATATATAAATATAGTAACATGACACCACTCTATATACTAAGTTTAATCTCTCAAGATTTTTGTTATTAAGATTCCATTTGGCTTTGTTTAACAATTGGCTGACTGGATTACGCTCAAAAGTTTGCTCTTGCCCTGGTTGGAGCCATAGTACTAGCAGCAGTAGCATTATTTATTATGCCTTTCGTAGCCGACAACCGCATGTAGCGAATAGCAAGTGTTTATATAAAATGCAATATCACATATATAACTCTCATGTACCAGGAAAACAGGCACTTTCAATTACGTGAACAGCCTAACAGCTCGTGGACCCTACAATGTCAATGGTCTAACTAGACCCTGGATTATACTATGAATTTTGAATTGCATTTGTGTCGGTAGTACCCAGGTCGCATGAGGATTGTTTCCCCGCATATCACATTTATAATGTAGAAGACGTTACTGCTAAGGCAACTCGAGTTGTCCCGTACTTTAATCTTTGTGTTATGTACATATAGATTTCACAGCAACAAGAGGAGGTATTCTGGTATTCCCAGATTGCCTGCTGTGTCCAATGGTCTGGAGATGGTACACAAAATGAAATGGAAATTAAAGTAAGTCATGCCAATGGTGTATTATATACTTTTATCACACCACCTTATCAAGGTTCATCAAGCGAACGCTGGGAAATGTGAATCAAGATAATAAAATCTATTAAGTGAGTAGTATAGCCGAATGATATACAAGCAAAATAATTTAACTTAATTTGCACCAAGCACTCTCAAGTGTTAGTTTCGGCCAGGTATTACAATCCTGTAACCTCCCTCACGTGTTAAAGAATGAGCGGTGAAAAATAAAAATGAGGAGAGTGGAAGACAAAGGAATTAAGATCGGGGAGGTATTGCTTCTCGGTTTGTTGAAGCACAGGTCCAGCTACTAGCCAAGTTCACATCACCACTCACATATGTGGCCTTCTGGGGGTAGGGGCAGATGGGGCGCTGACGCAAGACCGGTTTAGAGCCATTATTGTCTTCGAATTTTGTACCAACAAGATAGTCTGGGGGGGTTCTGTTTTCAGTCCAGGTAATTAGGGCTAATACAGCGTCATGGTAGCGGTTATTGTAACCAAAAACACAGGCAGGAATATTTTTCATGGCCTTCGCCTGGTAAGCAGCTCCTATATACCAAGGGGCGTAAGCACCGCCGGAGCAGTGTCCCATACCAGGAATATAGAAGAAGCGGTAGAAGTCGTTAATATTATAGTATGCACTATAAACAGAATTCTGCCTAAAATCCTCCACTATCTAGTATAATATTTTTCTGGCTCTGTTAATAATGCTGTAGGTCTTAGGAGTACCACTAGAGTAATTTTTTCTTATTACTAATTAATGGCGCCCATCTTATCCCACAACTTCAAGGAGAGCGCCGCTCCTATAATATCTGCATTTAAACGTGCCCGATTCGGCTGTATAAGCTGTCCAGCTATATTAAAAACCCGCTCAGGCTTAGAGCTTATTACTAGTATACCAAATATATCTAATGCAAAGCGTACTAGCCGTGGATAGTTATAGCGTTGGCTGCACTAGTATTTAATTAGATCTTTACACTTTCTCTCACGAGACAGGGCTATCTATTTATAATATTTATCTTGTATAGTATTGTCGTTAGAGTTACTGTCGCTTAGATTATTGTTAATAAATGTGTTAAGCCGAGTAGCTTCACAGTACTACTTTGGTGGAGGTGACTAGTTATCCTTAGTATCTAGATTAGCTATTTTATACTCCTCCCATAGGCGCCTAACACCTAATTTGGCCCCCTTAATCTAATTAGGTCTGTGTACCTACTTTTTCTTAATCCACTTCCACTTATAGCGGGGATAAAGGTAGATAAAAGCAATATAGGCAGGCGAATTATTTATTAATGTATAATATTTATCTAATTTCTCCCACCCAAGCTGTATACTTAGACTGCGGCAAAACCATGGACAACCGGGGATAACCAAAACCGCAACCGCAAATTTGCGGTTATCCATGGATATGTAAACATTACAAACATGCTAAAACTCGTGACTTTCCAGTAAATGCATAAATTGTGCACTTTTCGCAGTATTTTTGGAGTATCTAGTATGTAATAGATTACCTATGTCTTTTAATTTGAAACCTTTAGAATACACTTTTAGACCAAATTCGATTTCTCTTCTAAGTCTCTAATATTACAGCTTATCAATCTCAAATCCCTCAGGTAGCTTAGGCCTCTTCCGAACCCTCCCTGACCGCGCCTGCGTCTTCTCAATTGGCATATCCGGAAGTGGGAGACCATTATCAGCATTATCTATAGCCTCAGAGGTGTTACTTCGGCACCGCTTCCGTTGTACCTGCTTAGTTTGAGCTACAGGCTGCGTGGTAGATAACCCTTCTTCTGCCTTATTATCAGATTCGTCTGTATTATCCTCAGATAAATCCTCTACTTCGCAACCCTCTTCTTCATTATCACTAATTAGTTCGAGTTTATCAAGCGATGGAACAGGCTGTCTTGTCTGATCAAGCATAGCAGCCTCTCCGACAGAGAGATACTCTTTAATCATCTCTAGCTCACTTTGTTCAAGATCAAACTTAGATGAGAAGAGATGGAGCATTAGATCTTTAATTGTGCCTGGCTTTAACTGTCCCCGACGATAGTAACAGACATCACGAGCACAATTAAAAAGCCACTCAACACCAGCGCCACTCGCAGGAACTGAGAGGATATCTCGTGCAATCTTTGCAAGGACTGGATACTCGTGCTCATGCTCCTTCTAGAAGAGCCGAGGAAGTACCATTCTCCGCGATATAAGTAGCGTAGTTCAGAGTAGTATTACTAGGGATCAGGCTAGAAAAAACATTGGTGCGATATTTATAAGCTTAGTTCTAATTATTAGGGCAGTAATAGTAAGAAAGGTAGTTTTTATTTTCCTAAATATAGAAATTAAAGGGACAACAGAAATAAAGACACCATTAGCCCTTGGCTATAAGAAAAGAGGTGGAGAGAAAATTAACCTTAAGAGATAGGGAAGAAAAGAAAAACAAAAAATACAAAAATAAAGATATTTATAGCTGTATAGTAATAGTAATAGGATATAGGTTATTTAGTCTACTTTACTAGAGTCTTACCAAAAATATTCCATGGGGATCGGGCTAGAATTGAATGAAGATAAATTTAATGGCTTAGGTAACCTATGGTTTGTTATGTGGACCGAATAAGGAATTTGAGCGAGAAATTTCCTCGAACTTACAACTTCCCATGTTTTCAGTCAGAAAACCAAAATCTCTCTGGATAGCTAAAGCGCAGAGCTATTTTCTCTCATTGCCGAGAATCTTGAACATAATGATATTTTCAACCTTCTGCTGAGCAGTAGATACCTACCGGCTTGCTCCCTAGCATCTTTCGCTCAGCGCTATTTCCATTCTCGAATCCATATTTTAAACTACTACAGCCCTAAGGCTTTTTGCTTGATGTTTTACGCCATGCGGTCTTCAGGCCCACGCTACACACTTTGACTATTTCTACTGACCACCTGATAGTGAATCCACTGTTAAATTGACCTCATTTTGGACAGCCTCTGACTGAAGAAGACAGTTCTCTAGCAACGATTGATAGAATAGGGTACGGCGAACACCTGGCCGATGAAGTCTATTTTCGAGTGTTAGCCCAGGCCACAGCATTTTTAACACAAATCCTCCTGAACACCATACACTGCTGCGCTGTAATGCCTGATGAAAACGGTCAGCGGTGGGGTAGAGTACCTGAAGAGGCAAACTGGGGTCTATCTAACAACGGACATAGAACTGTATGAAAAAGAGGGAATTTGTGGGACAAACATTTCACGTGATCTTTGAACCTGTGGCTGTGGACATAATCCAATGGAAAGCTTTGTATTGAACGATATTCCAATTCTCCTGAGATATTACAACTCCTTGATCTCTGTTTGAATCGTGTCATGTACCACAACACTACCTACGCTGTAGTTAATGCTGGATGGAAATTGGGGGGATCCGCATCCCTGGGCCGAGTCTCAGCTGCTAGACTTATCATGTCCTTCCCAGGCTAGAGGTGCTTAATCTTTACTTGCGTACGTAAGTGGGGTATCTGGGATTCCGAGTCCTCAGAAGGGTCCTTTGCCTAAAGCATCTCCGTGTCCTTGAGCTCAGAGGTGCTGAGTGAATGCAACAGGACCTAGAGAGTATCCTTTCCCCACAGGGATAGCCTGAGAGAGATCTGCTTAGATGAAGTGACCATTTGTGAGGGATCTATAAGCGAATGGCAATGTCTGTTTAGTACAGTCAAGGAGCAGCTTCGGGCTGACAGACTAGAGTTCTGTATATGTAATGCAGAGCAACATCTCATTGCCATTTACCAGGGACAAAATATATCGGCGTCGCTTGCGGTCGGTTGTGAAGATCCGCAGCCGCCGGGTCGACTGATTCAAGGAGTAAGAGTGGGATTACAGAGACTATATGAGTAGGGACATACCCGAGACTCCATTGGTTGAAATTTCCTGAATGCAGTTTCTGTGCTGTTCATATGGATAGGTCGCAGGAGGATCCGAAATTAACTAGTTCATTGATGATGGAAGATATGAATCTACCAGTCGTAATATGATTCAAAATTCTATCTGATTCGTATTTATCGCTTAGTGATAGGGTTGATATCAAAACGCCATCTCAAAGCCAGCTTGCCATATATATAGGAAGTGAAAAAAAAAAGTGAATGCGAATATCAACATCCCGATACCTTCTATGAAACACTATCTTCCCATTGGTCTCTCCGCGTGCTTAATTCGGGGATATTGAAATCCACGATACACGCGGCGAACGAAGCACGCCGTCTCGCGGCGGCTGAGGCAGCGACTGCTTGAGCCGAGCTAGAAATGCCCGTCAAGTTGTATCTATCTAGGAAGTGCTGGTGTAGTCGACAAGCAGTCAAGTGTTTACCGCCGAATTCCTCTGGCTTTCGCTTTTGCGAGGACCGAGTGGATAATGACCCCGATTCGGATCGAGCAATCAACTGCGTGGAGGCAACTCGGCCATCGGAACCGATGGACAGCGACTTGCACGGAATACCCGCCACTGGTTGAGCATTTGACGTGAAGGTATCCACGTCGATGATGCTTGTTTCACCTGATGCGCAAAATGCCCACACACGAGCGCCTCCATGGGACGCCTGCAACGCCAATTCGACCACGTTGTCCATCTGTCCAATCTCCTTCCCGTAGATCTTGAGCGGCCACATCATAGCCGTTGGTCGGTAGCTGACACTGAGCAAAAATTCCCAGTCACCGTTTTGATTCGGAACAAGGCTCTCCCGTCGCTTTCGCGGCCTTTGGCTGTCGAGAAACCAGTCCCGAGCTAGATCGCTGTCGCCCATGACGTTGTCCCCCTGTCTCTCACGCTCCTTTCGGATCACGTTGAAGACATCCAGAGGCACCGAGTACAGAACAAGCCGGTCTCCGTAGGCGGCCACGACTCGCAGGCCCCAGCTCAAGTCCGAGCCGGCCGTAAAGACAGAGGGAACTGACCCTCCCTTAGCCGCATCCAAAGGGTCCTTTCCGAATGGCGGAACACAAATGAGCGCTCTTGTAAGGCTCGTGGGTCCCCCAATAGGCGCATCAGACCCTATACAGAGCGAATTCGTGCGCGGCTCAATGAACAACATGTGCAGTCCATCATTGACGGGAATGGCCCGATAATGATGGCAGTGCGTCGCCCTGATGAGACTGAGATTGCCACTTTCCCCCCGGGGCAGCTGCGTAAAAGATTGGATATCTGTCATGAGATGGAACGGGCAAGTGGGCCAGTCGTTGCCGCTCTGCAGGGGGTGGCATTTGCACCCAGCTGCTTCAGCCAGAGAGGATATGAGTCGTACTTCTGTCGAGGTTGCATCTCTGTTGGGTAGGAAATGTAAGATCTCTGATGGTTGTGACAATGGAAAGTGCTTTCGGCAAGACTGCTTGGTTTTATCATCAATCCAGTGTAGCTCGATGCCAGCACCAGAGCCATATGCCACACATCGACGACCGGGGCAAACTGATACACTACGTGGTGGATCTTCTGCACACCCTAGATCATGATAGTAGTGTACCGAGCCCAGCTTCATAGGCTTTGCTCCGCGGGTAGCAGAGCCATGAGAACCCGTTGGATCCGAGTCGGAGATACAGGGGACCAAGTCGCAGACTAAACCCAGTCTGTCACACAACAATGCAGCTACTACAAATGTCGGGGAACTCGTATCTATAGTAACCGATACAACCTCGACAGGGCAGGTAATAGTCGCAACAGGAACGATGTCTGTGTTTTGTAGGCCCCCAAAAGATGAAGACAAAGAGTTGCCGGCCACCCTGGTGAGGAGACGGTAGACATAGATATTGCAAGCAGAAGACACAAGTAAGTAATTGCCGCAATTGCTGACATGAAACATTGACATATTCAGAGCGTCGGTATTAGTGCCATCGATTTGCATCGCAACAGTGGATGGAGTACTTGTTTCTTCAGGACCCTTTTGCGAAAGCTGGGAGAAGTCAACGACGGTGGTTGTCAAGAAACCGGGCTTCTCCACGTTCATTTTTCGACCAGACAGAACGCATTCAGTGGCAAAACGCCGGCTCATTCTCCAAACTAGGCTTTCCACTCTGGCACCGATAGAGCTCGGACGCCGATTCCGACAGTCCCGCTGCCACGAGTCCCACCAGCCTGCCCTCTTGAGCATACTCTCTAAGAGGGCCTCGTTCAAACTAACCCGCATCCACTGGGAGCATGTTCGTCGAGCGTTGTCGAAATCGCGGGGGCTCAACAGTAAGAATATCTGAAGGAGGATTTCTGCGGGTATGGTATTCGCAGTGGGGCGAGAAAAAGGCATCACTCGGTCGATCTCTCGAGACCAAGCCTTGCAAGTCAGACGTAGGGAGCGACGGCTGTCGGCCGGCAGGAGCTCAAGGAGCCTCTTGGTCACACTCTGTGGAATCCCGGCGTCTTGGGATGTCGCATGAACACCAGCTGTCGACGCCGTAACATGGCTTGTGCATGATGTCGGCAAATGACCGGCAACCTGACGGAGATCCTCACTTGGATTTGACTCAGTATCATTCACTGTGTATCCATCCCAGCTGAAGCATTTCTTGGGGCCCACACCAAGTTCCGTTTCCGGAACAGTCAATACAGACGTCATTATGGACGTGCCTGTGGAGTAGAATAAGAATCAACGAACAAGGTTGGCTTTTGGTGGCCGATTGTTCGCGCCTCGCAAGAAGCCGAAGGAAATTTGCGACCGTGTGGTATAATATCGATAATGGAGTTATAGGCGATATGCAAAGTAATCGGAGCAAAATCAAAGAGCGAGAGTAAGAGTCGGCGAACGAGTGTAGACCTAGGTGACGAAAATGATAGAGTTGGGTCAAAAACCCGCAATGAATCACACATGCATCAGATCGGGCAACGGGCTTGTGGGAATAAGTCTCGCAACCGCTTCTTAAAATACACTTGCCAACAGTGATGCTTAATATTAGCTGCTGATCTACAGCAATCGAGCTCTCATCATATCTGAAATGTCTTTATCGGTGCAGGGATTGCGTTCAGCCTTTTCTTCCGGGGTGTCCGTCAAGTAAGGCAAACGAAGGCAATGCTTTTGGAGCGCTTTTCGCTCCAGGGAGAAGAGTGGATGTGAGGAGCACTCTAACTCCTAGACCTGGAGAGAGCGCGGGGAAAGTGATGATAAAATCGAAGAGCAGCCGAGGTAGATGAGGACTTGAAAAGCCAGCTACGGCTGCTTAAATTTGCCTCCCCAATAGCACGGGTGACATAAACGTCGCCCATGATAACCGTTCTGACGTCGGTGGTAACAGTCCCGAATGCATCCACCCGTTATGGACCAGAGATGGAATTGCCACGCCAAACCCGGCGAAGAAAAGTGGAGCCCCACTGTCACGATCCACATGGGCCACAATAGGTAAGACCAAGGCATCGATCCATGGTGGATAGGAGATAGAGGTGGAAAATTCTGCGGGACAATGGATTAACGACTCTCGAGACGGTGGCGCTGGTGATCCATTGTTGGATCAAGCGGAGACTAGCACGTCGCGATGGACGAGTGAGGTTGGGAGAGCTGGAGATCGAGGGCAGGTCACCTTGGAGAGAGGTACATACGTTAGTACATCATCACTCAGGACGGCAAGGGGATTGAATTCCGTTGCACTATATTGAATCTTGTAGAAGAAAAGTTCACAGGATGATTGATTGCTGGAGGAAGCGCGTGGTAGTCAAGGAATGCGGAGACGGGGGAGATAAGGGAGACGAGGCCGGAAGAAAAGAATCCAAACCGCGGAAGAGCCTCAGTCCTATCTACCTATCACATTTGGTGGAGATTGTTGTTGACAAGAAGTATTCTTTTATGTTCTAGCCTTGATAGAAACGAGATCCTATCCTTGTGTACTTAATAGCCATGTCAACTGCGTCTTCCGACAGCCCATACGTGGATAGCATGAATGCGTTTCGATATGGTGAATATCCTGCATCTGTGGCATGATATGCCATGCATATGCCTATAGTACACCAGAGTATTTTCAACGATGGCCGTCGGCTGCGAATCCCTATGACGTAAATTTCCTGCAAGTGGTGCAGCGTTCCATTTGAACTTCAAATCATCGTTGCACCCAATTCCTTAGTTCCTACGGAGTACTGCATATGAGGGAAGGGGGCTCAATGCAACAAGTGAAATCAATCCGAAAACGTGTTTCTTTACATATGAAGAGAATATTATAGTAATATATGGCCATCTATAGAATGGAGCTCGGGAATAAGAGATCAAACGATAAAATGCATCGCTCTGAAGAGAAACAGATAGCCTGGTCCCTGCAAACTACACGGGAGAAAGCATTCAGTAATATACAAGATATGGGACAATAGAGAGAAGGAAAGCACCATGGTATCACGGGAATCTCGAGAGCGACTGGTGTCGTATATCATTAGGAAGCAAGAAAAGTACAAATTCTATACCGAGAAATACCTATCCCTGCGATTGGAAATAACGGGGAGTATGCGATAGTGAAGCGAAATAGTGGGCTGCAATTTGAAGAGTTACGCAAGCGTGACCGCCGGGTGTGTTAGACACCGTTATTCAGAGATCCGTGATTCTGGGTATCACGGGTCACGGTGTGTCCTGGAAGCCAGACGTCATGAAGAGGTACAACGAGGCTCGGGTTGACGTATTTCTTCAACCTCAAGCCCAGCTCCTGTCCGCCGAAACGGATAGAGAGAACATCACGATCAAGACCCGAAGGTGGAGAGAATGTTGCAGACGGCGAAGGAGAGATATCCCCACTTCCTGGGCGATCGCGGTCAATACTCTTCAGGGCTATGAACTTCATGAGTGGCTCGTAGCTCCTTGCAAAGAAATAGCTAAACCACACGGTTGCACCGAGAAGTGGCACAAGAAGCAGCGACCATGTGATGGCTTTGCGCAAAGACAGAACCCCGATCATTGCCAGCTGAAAGAACATCATTCCGACTAGGACCCGATTGCAAATCATCGGCCAGGCGCGCCCAGTAGAATGCGGATGGTGGTTCATCGCATACAGCAGTTGATACTTGTAGATGAAACGGCCAACGGTAAAGTACACAAGCCCGAAGAGACAAATCAGCCAGGAGCTCGGGAACACACTGTAGACCACGCAAATTATCAGGATCAGAATCGTTTGTGGAATCGAGTACCCGTAGCTGAAAGTGGGAGGAGTCGATAATTCAGCGTAGTCTCGCGGCGTTGTCGCGGTCAAGAAATTAATGGGATATAATACGACACTTCCAAGCTCCAGCAGTCGGAAAGGGAACAGCCCAACGCCTTGCAGGATGATCAGGTTGATGTAGAATGGCGCAAATCCTTCCAATGTCTGGGCTAGCGCCAATGCAATCGTGGAAGCGTCCTTAAACACACCTCGAAGTTTGCCCAAGAAACCAATGAATGTCGTCGCGGTTCCAAAAACCGTGAAAACAAGGAAAAGGTTGAAGAACGAGAAGAAGAAATTCTTCGATATGACTGACAGCTCAACATCGGCCCGCGACATCATTCCTTGGTGGTTTGACAGCCCTGTAGCCACGGTCAGTATGGAACAGTCCAAAGAGGTCACAGTTATCTCAGCGGAGGGCCAACTCACAATTATACAAGTAAGGAACAGAAACATTCAACAGCGAGAGAACCAAAGTTGGAAGACTAGTCTGGACAAGCGACTTCAACACAGCATGTCGTAAAAGCATATCAGCTAACTGGGGGAAAACTTTATGCAGAGTCTCCAGATCCAGAAGATACGCGAAAGGAACCAATAGCGCAGACCAGAAGACAGTTAAAAAGCCAATAACTCCGGTAATAAACCATGATTGCATCATCCTTCTCGAACGGGGCAGGTATGTATTCTTCCACACGACGTCAGCCGGCGCAGGAGCAAGTCTAGCAAGAAGTCGCATAGGATGGGGATCAAGAATGGTTTGGACAACCATCTGGGAAGCGGCAATGGATTCCATGGTCACAAATGCAAGTTCTGTGGGCCGATATTCCTTCTCTCGTGCAGCATGGATATTCTCGTCGATTATTCGCAGCTTCTCCTCATAGTAGTCGATCGCATCGATGTTCTTGTACCGCAACTTAAATGGTCCATACCAGATGCGAACAGTTGGTCGCTTCGAAGCATAGTTAGACACATGTGCCCGTCCACTCTCTGAGAGCAGTTGGATCCGTTCACTGTCTCCATCTGATATCAAGCTAGAACTACGTGGCTGCGGCACTGCGAAGGGCAGAGAATTCATGTTTGATTTCACTTGCTCGGAACCCAAGTGTTTTGTCCAGGCTCTTTCCAACCTGTATAGTATATCGAGCCGCTCATCGATCAAATGGTCCAACTCACGCCAGTCGCGACACAGAGTGACGCTTTCAATCTTTCCAATTTGTAATCCTTCCACGAATTCTCTGATCTTCTCCTCGGATCCCATCTCTGGAGGGATTCCAGATAAGCGAATGGTTCGATCTGTGGTGCTAGTCTGGCTTCCAAGATACTTTTGCCTGATGCTGATGATCCTGTTTGTTTCCTGTAAAAGCAGGTAGACGGCTAGCCCACTGAACATGTATGGGAATACCATATACATCCAATGATAATTCGGATCAAAGATCAGTTTTTTCTTGTCCTTGTTGTCATCGCCAGAATCGCCGTCGTTGCCGTCCAATCCTGGAATCCCCGACTTGCCGACATATTTATAATGGACGGGAAGGATAACCACGAAAGCCACAATAAAAACTCCAGATAACAGTCGGATAGCGAATTTGAAAAAGGATAAGAACTAGTATATCCCCTTGGTCAGTCAATTTCTCCCTAACCAGCCCAATGTCGAAGATGTGGCACATACAACCAATGCATCCAAACCCGCAGACTGTAGCACCTCCTCATCAGTTATCTTATAGAGTACTGGTATCCACCCAAAAAAGCTCTCTGGAAGTTCTGGTAGATGTGAAGCTGCGGTGCATTTTCGTCTACGTGCGGCGTACAGTTCCGTCCAGTTTCGTCGTAGGATCTTTAAAGAGTCAAGACGTTAGCATAGAACTAGCACATTGGCCCTCATTTGGAGTAAACCGTACGCAAAATGATAGAAAAGCACTCATTCCAACTGCCAGACTGATTATCAGTTGCGTATATATATCGCGCTGGCCTCTCGCTTGGTCGTCCAACCTGGGTGTCCGATGCCCGCCACCTGGCGCGTCGCTCACCGAAGCCGCAAATGACAGCACAGCTGTGGCAGCAGATTCGGTGAGAGACATATCTCCCGTATTCATAAATCTTCTGCCGAGTAATAGCAAGTCCGTGCGGTCCTGATCAATGCATATGGCACGTCAGTATTTTCGTGTAATGATCAGCAGGCCAAAAAACAACTGACGTCAGAGGTTGATCTTGAATCCTGTTGTACCGCGTCGCGGGTGTACGGGAAAGACAGATATCTAGGTACGAAAGGACCTCAAAGAAGCCAATACACAGAGGAAGAAATTCTATATAATGAAAACTGAGTAACAAAGATTGCGAGCTTGACTGAGTTTGACGATTTCGACAAACTCGACGATCCCCAAAGTAGTAAAGAATGAGTTGTGCATTGTGCTGAGTCAGCTACCGTAACCAGTTGCGTGCGTCTAGACTGTCTACTTGTCAGAATAAAGCTAGTCCATATTTGGACATCATGTGAAACAATCATCATGACGTCGTCGATCCTGAAGACGGGATCAACACAACACACAACAATAATCATGAATATTCAAGCTCTCATAGAATTACACATATAATTCTGACACTATTAACATAATCGGACACTTGGTGTCCAATTTTTTTGTCGCAGCGTCACTAACAATTGTAAATTCCTCTATACTATCTACATTATCAAATGGAGGATAATCCTTATGATGGGAGAATTCTCCTGGCCCTTAATCGAGTCAGGGGGGAGCAGAACAAAAAATCGGGCACTCGGTGTTCGATTACGTTATATCTCATTGGCCACAATCCTGTATTCTCCCTCTAGCAGAGGTATTTCTAAAACGAATAGTGTGAAGCATCATAATAAAGATCAAGCAAACACCCAGCCGACCATGCCTGGGTGGGCGACTATCATGTACCCCAAATTAGTCAGCAATATAGAAATGTCAATGATGCTAATAGGGAGCAAGAAAACGTACCGAGTCCTGGCAATACGCACCACCCTTATTTGTTAGCTCTGTAAGGCCTTTCCATGGACTTTCTCTAAGAGCTCGTTTGCAGCCTTCCAACCGCCGAGTCACTTGCTGGTAGGCCTCCGTCCGCTGTTCGGGAGTCTTCCTGCGAGCCAGGTCGAAGTACAGGAAGGCCCGAAGAAAATAGCCCCGTAGCCAAACCCACTCGGGCCCTTGGTGGTAATTTCTTCCTTTGGAAGTTGCAAAATCAGTGGAATCCTCGGAGTTGTTATAGTTGGGATGGTAATTCATGTCAGACGGATCGAGGGTAGCCATTCCAACAGGACCGACAAGGATTGAGTCTGCGAGAGCAAGAGCAGCCAAGGCTCTGGAAGGAGTAAATAGATCTGGTGATACAGTCATGGCGATGGGAAAATTTGATCGAAGTTGGTAGTCCTCATACGGTTTCCCGGATCTATACAAATCCTTGTATATTCCACGGCGGTTGACAATGTTGGAATCGACCTCGTACTGGCTGTCCTCACTAGGGTCGATCGGAACATAATAGCACCGTTCGAAGCATCGCTTTATCTTGGCAGCCCAATCCTCGAAGGTAATTGATTTCCCATCCCCTATGAGGACCCTTTCATAGGGATAAAGCCCACGTTGATACAGACCTGCAACCCACTTCAAAGCACTATAGATAAGGCCTGTGATTTCAATGGCTGCACCATCTCGTGGTGTCCCAGGCCAGCCTTTGTTTCCAGCCTTTTCGCTTTCGCCCATCTTGTCTTGCCAAGTTCCGCAATTTAATTGACAACCCCCAAATATCAAACCTGTCTCCCAATCAACTGCAACGTCTATTTGAAACCCTTCCGGCTTCATTTGCATGTCTAAGCCTGGTCCAGCATTATACTCTCGGAATGATATTCTACTGGAATGGCGTTGAAATATCTCCTGGATAATCTCAGAAATTGTGGAATGCTGAGAATATGCTCGGGGATCATCAAATGGAAACCAGGTGTCATCATACGGCAGAAACCTCCGTGGGACTCTTTCCTTCAAAAGCTCCAGGCCATCTGGAACTATTTGGGCATAGTCTTGGATAGCCTGCAACAAAAACCACACTGAGTCTCGAGAGTTGTAACGTGGAAGCTTCCCGCTGCTTAAAAGGTTCGGAATCATGCCATGTTTGAGCACACTAGCAAAGGCAAGAATGTGTTCTTTTGCCTCATCATATCGACCAGTACATAAGAGTAGCCCCCGAAGTGAAATGAAGATATCTCTACCCCAGCATCTTGCCCAGTCTGTAGCAAAATGCGGCAGCCCTGCTGCAAGAGTTGGTACTCTTGTTGTTGGCCACAGAGATGCAGAGTTGACATAACCGATCTGTTGCACACTAACCATGCCCAGCTGATGAACAAACTCCTGTCCTTTTTGTATGTTGTCTCCGAGAAGTTCGATGCCCCTCTTCCAAGCGGCATTGTAGGCAACTTGTACGATAGCGGCAAAATATCTTGGAAGAAGAAAGCTGGGTAGCTTACGGACAGCATCAAACCTCTCTCGCAGCCATTGAGCAATGTCACACAGAGCGATATACCCCTCTTTCTGCGCGACTTTCTCCAATCGCCGTACAATATAGTCAAGAGCCCACTTGCCTTGCCGTAGATGGTCACAAAGAGGGTGCCCCAACTCGTTATATTTGATGATGTTTTCAAGGAGGCTCCACCATCCTTGGAGCCCTGCGTAGACCAAGGGCCCGTGGTTCGGAACTTTGTACACTCCATCCTGGCCATCGCTGGAGTCGTTCTCTTCAGCATCACATCGATAAAGTACGAAGTTCAAGTTAATTAAGCTGAGGCTTGAGAACGCTCGGTCAACACCCTCGACAATATAATTATCCAGACCGGTAGAATGTTCGACCTGTGGAATCGATGTTTTGAGCAATGCAATAGACCCAGCCACGAATGAATCCAATACGGAGATGATTGTGTCACTTCCTTCTTCCTTGATTTCAACACCCTCAATTTCACGAATTTTACTTGGCAGTCCCCGTAAATAAAATTTGTCCTCTATGACTTTGTTCTTGGTGCTGTCGCTCACGTCCACCTCCAAGAGCCATGTCCCAATGTGTTTTGCCTTGGTGCCAGCAAGACGTGTCGGTGATAAGGGAGGTTGGGCTTCATGGCCAGGAAACGAAGTATGAGCTATTAGGAAAATACCCTGCCGTGTTCTTGGGTGCACTCTGTGAACTGTGATGTATTCGCCGTCATGATGGATATGGGTCTCATCGTATCCGTCGACTCCCATCTTCGTATGGAGCTCATTTAAAATCCGTTTTACACGACCAATGCCTTGTTCAAAGGGTTGCAACTCTGACCCAGAGGAATCAGAGGCACTGTATGAATATAATCGTGTTTCGTGAACCAGATCTATTAAATTGGGGTAGAGTTCATCATAGCCCATAACACTTCCAATGGCCGAGGCACACATTGAAACGAGGGCAGCATTTGGCAGTGTATCCCTTGCAGTTCGCTTCTGCGATGGCATCTCGTTATCATGAGTACAGTCCATGAAGAGGGCTTGCACTGGACACGGGCGAATATGGCACATTTTCTGATTGGAATTCGCGGAGTTTGCGAAGATGGTTGCATGGCTACTACCACCCGATGGCAAATCAAGGTTGAAGCTCCCAATGGGACGGCCTCCATGACGGTGAACCAGCCGGCTCAGTTCGCCAGTACTCCACGCTTGCATAGCCTCTCGAATTAGGGCATTTATCCCAAGTCTCTTGACGAATACGTAGTCGACGTCTTCAGAGCCCGTGAAAAGTTCAGCGAAGACTATAAGAGTGGGTCGAACCTTCCGGGCCTCATCCAATAAATACTCCGCAACAACCAAGGGCGTTGAATGACAGTTATCGATACGAAAACCTGAAAAGTGTTTTGCCATTAGGCGCGTGTATTTGGCCATAAAATCCCACACGAATGGATTGTCTTCACGGCAGGACCCATATCTCAGCTTCACACAGTCACCCCAAACAATCACCTCCCGTCGTAAATATGCCCTAGAGTCTGGACCAGCATTGTCTCTCATTGCGTCGGCATTCCATATCCATCCATTGTTTACCAGGGAAAGCGCCTTGAGGCTATTTCCTTTGGTTACCTCATTGAGGGGCAACCTCGTAAAGTATGTTTCTATGAACGGGCTCTTCTCGGTGATAGGCCCGAGTTTTGGGCCGTGGTCATCGAGTCGAAGATATTTTATACGGTCGAAGAGTTGATTCATGATCTCCGAAACATCTTCATCGTATTCTCCATAAAATGGCAAGTTGACCTCGTCGAGTATCTCCGATAGTGTCCTTGCAACGAAATCATCAGGAACGGCATGATCTTTGAAACCGAAAAGAGCTGTCAAGATAGCAGCACCAATGTGGTCGTCGACTGTTCGATCGAACCTTCCAAGGAGCTGCTTAGATTTTGGGATTGCCTGATCCCGGATGAAACTTGCCTGCTTTTTAAGAGGCCAGTGTTTGAAATCTGCAATATTGAATTGTAACCATTGATCACTCCCCATGTCTATATTTTCGGAGTCTCTCCATTTCTTTATGATTCTCTGAGCGTTGGATTTCACATCAACCACGTAGAATTCCCATAGCCGTATTTCACGTATGACCCGATCTTTCACTACGTTCATGACGGACAGTAGATCGTCGACAGTTTTGAAATCCGTTGGCAGGCCCAAAGCGCCTAGATCTTGGCCAAATTTTAGCAAAGCATTATCCAGCTCCAATGCTGCCTCGAGCCATGGTGCATTCTCGACGTTATAGCCAGCTTCAGGGTGTTCTTCAAGCCATTTGCTATTATTTGCAGTATGGTTCCAGACAATGTCCGTTAGGGACAACAGCTGATAATCCTTCTCCATTTTCGAAACCAGAGAGGCGATATCGTCTTCTCCGTTCGGAAAACAGGTCTCGTCAAACGACAGCTGATCAAAGATGCTATAGGGTGAGTTTGAAATGCCTCGCTTCATCAAGGGCGTGAAATGGACCATGTTATAGTTGCGCTGACTGATACTATTGAGATGCCTGTCCCAGTCTGTGGGATACTTGCCTAAGTACTTTGAAATTACAGAGAAGATTGACAGACCATTGAGGGGGAGATCTCGACCATACAGAGTTAATCTCGGGGCAACGTCTATATAGTGGGTTGGCGTTCTCGCCGTTTTAGACACTGCAATGGTGGATACCGAGAAATCAGGAAGCGGAGAAAATGTGGTGTAAAAGGCGAATGACCCAGGCAAGGTAATGGGAATGTCAATAAGGATATTTTTGTTGAAGTCCGGACGCAATCTACTACTTGCTCAGTATCCCAATCTCCCAGCTATGAATGGCCCCCCCTCCCAAAAAAGAAGGAATAGAAAGCTCATACCTGAAACTCTGAAAAACCGAGCGATCGAAAGACATGCCATGTTCGGGGATGTTTATCCACAACAATCCTTCTCTGCAGATAGAGCTGCTGCCTTCGATTATGAATCGCAATAGATACGCGGGATCGGTAGGCGGAGGGAGGTAAATATAGCTCCCAGGAACATCCGGAGAACCATCATCTTTTAGAGGAAGCAGATAGACATGTTTCGGAGAGGACATTGTGAACTCAAACCAGGTTAGCCGATATGGTATTTCATGCGAAGTTCATCGAAATGGAGCCTCAGAGTGTGTATGTGTTGCTGGGAACAGATGAGACGGAAAATCGACTGGCACCAGTACTGGAATCTATGTAATCTCCATATATTTGGTTCCGCGTACCAAGCGGGGCGATTGAAAGAACGAACGCTGCCTGAGTTTCCGGAAAGTCGAGGAGATTGTTGTGGTTCTACGATTCTGAAACCCCGCAGGCAGACCTGACATCATGGCGGCCAATTTCACTGGTAGGCATGATGGCCTGGAACTCGGACCTCCGCACGTGTAACGAGCTGGACTATTTTTAGCGGAGAATGTTTAACATCCCTCAATATTGGGACTGAAGAGAACTGTCTGCTATTATAGCTTCTCTAGCTAGGTAACTCCATATACAATCTTTAGGTAAGGTGCCGTGACTCTATACTGATCCGTCTATGTAGGTATATATAACACTTGACCCAGAATACTGCCAAGGACCAAGTTCGAATAAGAAAGCAGGAAAACAAAGAATGCCAAATGTATGGACATTACCTCTCACTCTTTACAACCTGGCGCTCAAAACCGCCTGACTCGCCCCACCGCCGCTCACTCCGGATGATGCATCACATATGGTTGGTTTGCTGTTAAGAAAGGAAAGAAAAGAATTCCACCGAATTAATAACTGACAAAGAAAAAGCGGAGGGAATCAATAGGTCGTATTTACCGTTCAATGTAAGAAGGGATATCCTCAACAGACATAGTACCTTTCAGGATCCCTATATCCCGTTAGTGAGATCCTGAAGTATCCAGATACGGAAAGATACTCACGATAAACAGCAGTAAGCAAGGGGAATTCTTCCTCAAGACCTTGCTTCTTGAGGAAACTGTTGACTTCGATCGCTGTCAAAGTGCCCTGAAGCTTTTGGCCATTGAGAACGGTCTCCTCAATCTTTTCAATCGGCTGCTTTCTTTCAACGCTGAGCTTCGCGCAGCGGAAATTGCGTCCTCCGCTGCAACTGGTGATCAAATCGGCAACGCCAGCACTCTCTTCGGTGAAAGTCCGAGGTTCGAAGGTTGCACCAAAGAACCTCTCCCCAAACCTGACCATCTCCAATAAACCCACGCGCATGACGGCAGCTTTAGCATTGTCACCCCATCCCATGCCATCCACCCACCCAGCTGCAAGGGCAACAACGTTCTTGAGGGCACCTCCAAGGGAAACTCCCGCAACGTCACTCACCACTCGAATATGGAAGTACGGGCGATGGAAAAGGGACTTCAAAACCTCGTGATCAATGGGAGGATACTCAGATGGTAGCGCTTGCAACTTCACGCGCGAGAATTGGCCAGAAACATCACGATGTTCAAAGTGAACCACATCAACAGTAGATGAAGAAGGTGATCGATTAGGAGTGGGGGCTTTAGAATCTAGATGCGGAGGATCGTAAGCAATGCTCGACTCGGACCATTTCTCTTGCGCAACCTCGCTCGCAATATTGGCACCAGAGAGAGCACCGCAGTAAATCCCGAGGATCTTGCCGATGGTTTCCGAGAAAAGACTGATCCCTTCCTCCTGCACATCGACGCCCTTGATGCAGGAAATACCACGAGCATATGGAAGAATCTTCCCTTTGATCTGCTCACAAGTCTTGATGATAAACTGATGGGGGAGGTTAAACACAAGGATGGTGCTGTCCTTGACTGCATCTTCCAAGGAAGGGTTTGCATGCAAATTCGGGGGAAGAGCAATTCCCGGCAGGTATTTAATATTCTCATGGGTCGCATTGATCACACTTGTCAAATTTTGGGGACCCTGGCATAGGGAGGAAGAAGAGCTATAGTGAGGAGAATCCTTGGGGATTTCCACCTTCTCTTCGAATACCCACATCTGAACATCCTTCTCGAAAATTGCAGGGTTACTGGCGGTGTTTTCGGCGACGATTTTGGCAATAGCCGTGCCCCTTCATATCCGTAAATGTTAGCACAATCACCACCGGCCGGGAAGAGAACAAGAGCAGTGTCTTAGATAATTTACCAGTTTCCAGAGCCTATCACAGTAACCTTGTGCTTGCGCTGGTACGGTGTAAGAGAGTCCATGATGGCCACGTTGTCCATCAAATCGGGATGAGACCTTGGAAGTGAAGAAGAAAACAAACAGGATCCTGCGAAACTTGAGAGTTTAAGGGTGTTCGAGCTGCTTGATTCCGACCAGGATTTCCTTATGATTTGAGAAGAAACAAATCCTCGTAGTACGGGGAACCGAGGTAGAAACACAGCACGCGAGCAAGGGAGGCGGTTCGGGAGAGATAAAAGGCGCACTGGAGAAATCATCCACGGAGCACTGTAAATAGGACGGGTGAGCCCAGGTTCCGAGTGGTTCTCTGATGTAAAAGCAAGATAAAACAGTGGGTTTGATACCCGTGAATGTGGATCTTCTGGTCCCGAGAAGAAAACTAAAAGGATAGACGGCGGTGGAAGGAAGGCGATCAGGTTTTGGTCTGCAGGGATGAACCCCACTCTGGTTTTCGTCTAGTCTAGCGTCTCTCCCATGTAAGTAACCATTGGGAATGAATGTCTTATCTTCCGGCCCAAGAGGAACCAACGAACGGCGTTCCGAAGCCGAGAGATGGTAGAGGAGGAACTCAGCCCGGTCGGGGCGATCATGTGGGCGGTGAGCTGCAGGTACTTTGGCTATTCCAGGGCGGGTTTAGCGTCCCGAATCTCGTGCAATCCGAGGCAAAATTATTATCGTGAGCTCGGAATGTGTCTGCAGCGATCAAAAGTACCATTTTTTTGCCACCGTCAGAGAGACCAGTATGGTAAGTCGATTGTATCTTAGCTGGGTGTAATGTTCTGTATACACTTCTACCTTTTTTGGGCTTTTCTTTTTCTTTTTTAACCCATTTCCGAATAGGCACCTATCCGATCGATTAAGAAGCAGACCTCCGTAACGAAGTCTACAGCTGGGAAAGGCACTCTGCCCTCGACCCAGTCTGGCCTCTTTAAGGATCAATTTCAGACGACGAAAAAGGATAAGCGTCAAATCAAGCATAATAGTTTTATGTCAAGGATCGAGAAGAGCTCGCAAAAATCTGCCAAGCGTCGCAGGTCATCCAAAAAACTTGCTGCCAATCTTGAGTCGCTGGCCGACGCTCTACCAGAAGCCGATGAAATAGATGACCCTAAAAACCAAGTCAAAGTTATCAAGCAAACGACTCTTAAGCATAAACCCGGAGCCATGAAACGGAGGGAAAAATTAGAGAGGTTGGAAAGAGATCGTTTTGCAAAGAATATGGCACAGATGTCTGGCATTGAATCGGCTGCAGCAGCAAATGGGGGTTCAGAGAATGGGTCAGGCTCCATTTCAAACAGGTGGGCTGCACTGAGGAACTTCATTTCCCAGACAATGGAACAGCAGCCAGTATTCAAAGAAAATAAGTAAGGAAATTGGATTTCGATAAGCAATACGATACCCCGCTGGTCTCTCATGTCCTTGATGGAGAACACGCTATTATCAACTCGTTGCTGTATCTAGATATTAGTATCACAGCACGCGTGATAGTGGTGCCCACTTGGAGCCCAGGTTTTGGCAGCCCTGTGGTATTGTTGACAAAGCCAGTGGTGTCAGCAAAACCATGGCTATGCAATGCCGGGTATATTTGCCAATGAGACTTCAGAAGGTTGCAGTCATTCTAAGATGGCCGCCCTCCAGTGTTTTACAAGCCAAACATGATCTAGCAGTGACGGTGCGAGCTAGAAAGTGGTGAACATGTTCAATTCTCCAGTACAAGGAAGGCGGTCAGCACTTACATAGTGTTTATCTATCAACAGCTGGCTATGGGGCTGTATCATTTAATACAGACGACAGTTTCATTTACTCGGTTCCTCTCCCTCCTTCCCTCTCTCTATTTATTTAGTTTAATCAAGAATTCAATAGGCTATTATTCCTAGAGTTATCGTGCAGCTAGTTCAACCATATGGAGACTCTACATAAGATCCCCATCGAGATCATGAGAAAGCCCTAGTGATTGCCCGACTATCATGAACATAGCAGAAGGGACCTTATACTAGGAGTATTCTCCCTTTGTTGTTGCATGTACCCATGCGGATATCATCGGCCGATAAACATCACGTGCTGCGGGGAAAGCTACGCATCTTATCAGCTATCGATGATGATTGGGGCGATGCTCTGCTTCTCTAGTTTCTCTCTCTTTCCCAATCCCACCAGATCAAGTTACTTCTAAACTTTGTTTCTCCCCTTCTATCTAGCTTCATCAGTTGTAAATTTGCCGCTGGCCATGCTGCGGCTGCCTCCTTGGCCCCGTGCGCCCCGTTGCGCACCTCATTGTATCCTCCGCTATCGGCGCACGCCACACCCTCGTTTAGTCTATCGCAGCTTATCAAGCTCGTCTTCAGGTTTTCCAACTTCATCGCAGTTTAATCGATCCGATTTTACAAGTCAGCCATGGAGCGGTAGTTATGAGCCGGGTTTACCAACTGCCGGCCCCCTGGGATCTACACCGGCTTTCGGAGCTCCCCAGGTCACACCCAAGACCTTGAAACAGTATCTTGACCAGTTCGTGGTTGGACAAGATCGGGCTAAGAAAATATTGAGTGTCGCTGTATATAATCATTATCAACGTGTGCAGGAACTCCAACGGCGCGAGGAGGAAGCAGCAGAACTCCTGGCAAAACGTGCGCGGAGGGAAGCCATTGAACACCATCCTGTCGAGGGTAATGACAAATTTCCATTCCTCTGGCTCATTATTTACTGAGGATAGCAATAGATGAATTCCCGGGTCAACAGCGAACTACTAGTCTACCTCTCAACCCCCCTTCATCGTCGTCCACAGTTGACCAGCCTGAGCTGGATGCTAGCTCCCCACTCCAACTGGAGAAATCCAATATTCTTTTGCTGGGCCCGTCTGGCGTTGGAAAAACACTCATGGCTAAAACACTAGCTAAAGTGCTGTCGGTTCCTTTCAGCATTTCCGACTGCACGCCGTTTACCCAAGCTGGCTACATTGGAGAGGATGCAGAAGTATGCGTTCACAGGCTTTTGGCGGCATCAAACTACGACGTTGAACAGGCAGAGCGTGGTATCATCGTTTTGGATGAGATAGATAAAATCGCAGCTGCCAAAGTCAGCCATGGTAAAGATGTTAGTGGCGAAGGGGTTCAGCAGGCCCTCCTTAAGATTATCGAGGGTACCACAGTACAGGTACAAGCAAAACAAGAGAGAAACGCCCCCCGTGTGGGGAATGCACCTAATACATATCCCTCGAGTAGTCCGCTGGGGAACTCGCCATATTCACCGTCCAACAGCGGCGGCATGCCACAAAAGGGAGAGGTTTATAATGTGCGCACGGACAATATTTTATTCATATTATCGGGGGCATTTGTCGGGCTAAGCAAGATGATCATGGACCGGATATCGCGCGGGTCAATTGGTTTCGGCCAACCAGTTCGTTCACAATCGGGCCCGGGTGAGCGCTCCATCGAATCTAACCATGTGGACGAACCCGTTCCCATAATTCCCGGGTCGGAAGAAGAAGCTCTGTACAAAAAGCATCTTCCATTCTTCACACCATCCTCATCCGAATCGGTCGACGGGGAACCGACGTATTTCAATGCCCTAGACCTTCTCAACCCGACTGACCTACAAAACTATGGATTTATCCCAGAGCTAGTGGGTCGTGTGCCAGTCACCGCTGCTCTCTCCACGCTATCACAGCCTTTGCTTGTCCGGATTCTCACCGAGCCTCGCAACTCCCTCCAAGCTCAGTACACAACCTTGTTCTCTTTATCGGGCATTGAGCTACGATTCACCACTCCGGCCTTGCACAAAATTGCCGCGAATGCTTTCAAAATGGGAACCGGCGCGCGGGCTCTTCGAACAGAACTCGAGACTATTCTCAGCGACGCCATGTTCGAAACGCCCGGCTCAAGCGTGAAGTTTGTCCTGGTGACAGAAACAGTGGCCTCACGCAATGAAAAGCCCATCTATCTTGCCCGAGGACAAGGCGGACGATTTCACTCCATGATCGCAGCGGAGGAGAGCCAGTGGGAGGAAAGAGTACGTCGCGAAAAGAAGCAAAAAGCTAAAAAGGCCAAGGCTCAGTCTACCTCTGCGCAGGAGCATCCTCCGATCTTGAATTTTCGGGAATACCGAAAACGAGCAGTGGGGTCGTAAGAAGTCGATATATAGCGGGTCTATATCTATATCTTAGGTGTTTGCTTGAGTATGGATGAGCTTAATATCTCATCTTTTAGCACATTTCTCCGGATTATGTACATGAGCGATTGATTGATTTCCAGGCCCAAGTTTATTTGTTCATACCATGTTCAGGATCCTAGTCTAAGCACACTAGTATTATATCCAGTATTTATGTGAATCTACAGCCCCTCGGGCTACGTGACTGATTGTTCCATAATTTGACTTCTTTCTCGAGGAGTCGATACGTGATGTTGTTCCTCGTGTGTACTGAATAATATTTAGGCACGCCCTTGCTCCCATTTTGGTACACAACACCATAAAATACCTGGAAAACTAGGACCCAAGGCACCATTGAAACAGGACGCCATCACGACGATAATGTAATGCATAATCATAAACTTCGTATAGATGTATGAATCACTGATATGGTTGAGGATAGTTATGATTCACGGGGGAAGACACAGACGGTCTAGGCCGAGAACTTGCTTTGGGTGTCTGTGGGGTGTAGGGAGTGGGAGTGTGTTGAGCCTTTTCTTCTGCAGAAGATCCGGGTTTCTGACCCTTCAGTCTGGACCATTGTAGCTCGTAGTCGATTCTGTATGAGAAAATGGAGGATTTGTAGCCGTGCATGATCGCCACATGTTGCCACGTTGTCCATCGTGGCAGTGGCTCGATCCCCGTAATAATGGCAAAACGTCGAAATCGGTGGCGGTTGACAAGGACCCAGCCTGCGAAGAATTCGGCCAGGTTGTCTGCCCTTATTTGCTCACGGGTCAAATCTTTGTTGTGCTCCGTAGGCTTGTCATAAGACGGGAGATCGGGAGAAATGATACTGCTTCCCAGAAGCTCCTCCGTCGAGGCGCTCATATTCCCACTCTCAAGATTACTGAGTTCTGTGATCAATTGGTACATGGTGAACCACCTGGTTCACCCTTATTAGTGTCTGTAAACGAGAGTGACGCATATTGCATCCGTGACAGAGAAAAACTTACACGCCCCGTCTCGCCTCTTGCTTCGACATTTGCTCCTGTATCCATTTTAAGATATTTGGACGCAACATAAGTCGCCAAGTCCCAGGAAATCTCTCGCGAGATTTGTCCAGGAACCAGGAAAGAAAGGCGAGAGTTTTTTCTGGTTTTTGGAACATTAAATCTTCCGTGACCAAGAAAACAGTTCCGTGAGGGAATATGCGCTGAAAGTGTGCTGGGTGGTCGGAATATGCGTGAGGGTTGTCTAGAGAGAAACTCCAAAAGCTTGTATTACCTTTCTGCAGAAGGGTGTTAAGCGCCGGTATGGAGGAGTAATCGGTAAAGCTTTCGTGAAACTGCTCAATTGTTAATACTAGTAAAGCGAGCTCGGAACAAAAGGACCCACCAGCGCTACCCCTCGCTCCATCAATATGAGTGTCTCCCAATCTTTGGGTTGATGACTAGAATATGTTTGGGTGGTATGTTTTTGCAGAAACACCATCAAGATCTCACATTGTTCGTTACACTGTTTATCTGGGTTCCCAGAGTCACCTGGGTACATGACATAGAATCCTGCTGTTTTCTTTGAATCGAGCAATGTTTCAAAGGTCACTCCATATTGGACATCAAACCATGCATCCAAATCAAAATCTGAAGCAGACAGGCCAGGGGGGGTGCTCTCTTCATTGGTAGGGCCAGAAGTGGTCAGAGGGAGTTGAGCGGGCTGGTCTAGATCCATTGGTTCACCAATATCCACTGACGCGTTCTCAGCGGTTGGTAACGAAGGGCCTTCTATATGCGATGCTTCCTGTGCTTCATTTCGTTCGGTTTCGATGGTGGATTGGTTATGGGAGGTTTGTTCCTGGGGAAACGGCGGATTTGGAACTTCCACACTGATGGTATCATCATGATCATTGGCCCCATCTTGGGTAGTTCGAAAGCGTTCCACTCGGTTCCTGACATCAATGCGTTCCAGGCTTGCAGAACTGAGAGGCGGCCTTGCCGATGTGTTCGTATTAGTCCACTGTTTCCTTTGAGGATAAAAAGAGGGCCGCAAATGAGGCTTGAAAGCGCTCCTCACAGAGAGGTAGAGAAAGACATCAGATCTCCTTCTAAGGTTATCTTGGAGAAAACTAAAGTCCGCTGAGTCAGGGGGGTAAGCAAGCAGGATGTTTTGTGGTTCTCTCTCAGGAAAAGACACCGCCAAGAGCCTTCTTTGTCGAAGATCTCGCGCCATTCTGTAGATATTTGGTTCCGTGTCATCAAACCCTTCAATCCATCCGGAATCATAGTAAAAATTTTTCTGCTATATAATCGATCTCTATTAGCCACCAAGGCGACGGAAAAGCGGGGCTAAGTAGTTGGAAGAAGTAGTGCCTTGAGCATGTTACTTACGTTTTGGCATAGCTGCTCGTAATCGTTGCGGGTGCAAAGTTCTTGAAACCAGATATCTACTCGGTGATTTTTCTTAGATAAAAGGATTCGACCCTTGCTCTCGGCAGAGAGACCACATAATCTGGCTTGGCCGATTTCTTTCTTATCCGGCCCATAGTATATGACGACTAGTACCTCGTCAGGCTTCCAAAACCGCCCATTGCTTGCAAAACGACTTCTAAAACCAGGCTTTCTGGATGGTATACTAGTTTCATTATCCGATATATGGTCCCAGCTGGAGATGGAATTATCCAAGTCCTTGATGGGACTCCCATTCGTATGACTGGAGCTGCGAGTACCAGGCAAGGCGTGAGGAGACGGGTTAAATTCCATAGTCGCAGTCTTGGGGAGATGAATCGAGAGTGCATTAGAGACAGGCGTGTGACCATCTTTTCCCTTCATAGCTTCATCTAATTTCTTCGGCGCAGAAAAACTACTATCGGAACCCAACACTGCTGCGGTGACAGCAGGCGTATGAGCATCGTTTCCTTGCGGTACTTCGCCCAATTTCTCCACGCTGGGAGAGCTACTAACGCTGCCCTTTTTTGCTGCATTAACAACAGATGGACGGTAATCGGCAGGTGTAAACAGCTGCAGCTGGTTGATATCAGGGGCAGGTTCCCACGTCTTTGCCTTCTCATATCTCCGCTTTGTCGACAAGTTGAAAATTTTGTTAGAGTCAGTATTTTGGGTCGTCTTCTTGGCCCGAACTGGCGCCGAGCTGCTACCAAAAAGAACGGGAGGTGGCTTCAGAAGTAAAGGATTCGTCGGCGCCCTATTCGATGACACAGATTGGAAAGATGATTTCAAAGAGGGATTGGAGAGCGAGCTATGGCTTTTCGCCGGCATGGAAGGGTGTGGGTTACTTGAGGCTATTTCACCGCCGCTGGCATGACCGCGTTGGGAAATATTGTGGGAACCTCCGAATATCTTAGCATTGACGAGGCTGCTCAGTCGTATCCTTCTTCTTTGTGATTCTCGTTTGTTCCTCCTCTCGGCCTTGGCCTTTTCGCGATCATCCTGTTCACGCTGCCACTGGACGTGATCAAACGGGTCCAGTCTGCCTTCTTTAATCGCTTTTTTCTTTTCGGACCATTCCACTAGGGTCAGGTGAGTATTGAAGCACTCTTCTGGCTCCCAAGAACACCTGTCAAGAGGATAATTAGCCCATTTTACCAGGTATAGCATCCCATCGCGTGACTCCTTCTCGGCAAGAATCTCCTCCACTTCGTAATCCGACTGTGGTTCACTCGATAGAGTGGAGGTGGTGGAAATGTCATCATCATCGTCCGCTGCAGCTACCGCCACGGAGGCCATCGTCCTTTCCTACCATGGGCCTGGCATTCGCTGCTGCTGCTGCTGCTGCTGCTGCTGTTGCTCCTGCAGGCGGAGATGAAGGATGTTTTGGCTTTGTTGCGAATGGTGGGGTGGCACGTGACTGTGCTAGTCCAAAAAGGGGAGCCACTCGGGAATCGGTCCAGGAGAGGCGTCCATCCTATTATCTGGATATCCCTCCTATCCTCCCTCTCCGTGAACACCTGCTTGCGCTGTGAGTCCGTTCCCGTTGTTCCTCTTCCCCTCGGTACCGCCGCTGGACTTGACATGCTTCCTTCTCTCAGCATACTGATAATCCTGCGTTTCTCCTAGACCCGAGTTGAATGCACACTGTTGTTGGCTTTGCTTGAATCGCCGGTCTCTAATCAGCCACGTTGAAACACCCTCCAAGCCCCAATTTCTCGACCTTTATCTGGGCTTCCCAAGCTCTTCCCACTACCCCTCATGGCTAACGACGAGTATGATGTAAGTGAACCCCTTGGGCATTTCGTCGCTTGACTGGCAAGGCCTTACAAACTAATTCCATTATCTCGTAGTTTCTCTTCAAAGGTAAAGTCGCCACTTTTCCCCGGCGCAGTCGCCGCAAGGCTCGTCCGTTCGATAAGCCATACCATGATGAACGTGGCAACTAACTTGCGCTGGCTCTTCTCGCATACAGTGGTGCTTATTGGAGATTCTGGTGTTGGAAAATCCAACCTTTTGAGCCGATTTACCCGTAATGAATTCAACCTCGACTCCAAGTCGACCATTGGTGTTGAATTCGCAACCCGCTCCATCCAGGTTGATTCCAAGACGATCAAGGCACAGATCTGGGATACGGCCGGTCAGGAACGTTATCGCGCCATCACCTCGGCCTACTACCGTGGTGCTGTCGGCGCCCTTCTCGTCTACGACATTAGCAAGCATCAGACCTACGATAACGTCAATCGGTGGTTGAAGGAACTCCGCGATCACGCCGATTCCAACATCGTCATCATGCTGGTAGGAAACAAGAGTGATCTGAGACACCTGCGGGCTGTGCCCACAGAGGAAGCCAAGCAGTTTGCGAGTACGTTGCACTGTTTCGTGATGAGATGATCCCTGCATGCTAATGACCCCAGGCGAGAACAACCTTTCCTTTATCGAGACCTCTGCCCTTGATGCAAGCAACGTTGAACTCGCCTTTCAGAACATCCTCACAGGTTAGTTCATCCCTCCAATGTGTCTTCAAGTCGTTCCCGTATGGCTCACGTCTTCCAGAAATCTACCGTATTGTTTCCAGCAAAGCCATCGACGGTGGAGATTCGGGCCAGGCCGACGTCGGCGAGCGTCGTCCGGTGGTTATTAACCCATCGCAGGGTCCTGAGGCAAAGCAGGGTTGCTGTTAAACCGGAGATAAATCGAATAATAAAAAGAGTGATTGCTGTTAGAGGGGACGGCCATGCCCAATCGCAACGATTTTTATATTTGTGATGTGATACTTGAATGGTCTGGATCTTTCTTTTTGTCTGTTGCTTAGCCTCCACGGTGATGATACACAAGAGGGACGTTGTTGGGAACGGCATACAGGGAAATCGGGTGGCGATTCATGTTGGACATTACACCTTCCCGGATTCTTTATTTTGTCGGCTCATTTTTTTTTTTTTTTTCCTCCTTTTCTTTCTATAATTTGGTTTGTTTTCACCATTCTAGCTCATGAAATTGATTTCCCTTGATACTACCCCCTTTTACTCCCTTTTGCCCCCTCTTCTCTCTATTGATATCGAATATGCCCCTTCTTACCCCTGAAGTTCTGTTTTCTTCTCCCACTTGACAATTGTCCATACTAATCTCAAGCTGTAGCTTGGGTTGACTCCTTTGTGGCACGCATCCCGTTACAGTGGCTATGTGGTTCTTACGCCGTTAATGTTGACATGGTTATGATAAACGGACAGCTTTCATCATCAGAGTACTGTAGTTAATTAGTTCCAGTGGCCGAATGACAGTTTAGCCCCTGCATCATAAGTAGTCTTCTGACTAACATACTGCCCTCGATCCTTCGAACCTACGGAGTATCGTTATTGTTATTAAATTTGCATTTCCGGTACCAACGGCCTGGAAAATGGACTGACCCAACTCAGTGAAAAACCACTCCGTAGAAGGGTAGAAATACTCCGTACTAAGATGGGCATGAGTTCGAGCGGCCCACTTTCCCAAGCAGTGGGGAGCTTAGCCCCACGACATCACGTTTGTGAGCCGCGTACAGATTATTTCACGCACAGTAAGATCACATACGAAAGTCTAGATACCTAGTAGATAGTCAACCCGAGGAATAGGCAGGTAAGATGGGGTGGGACTGACAATTTTCTCAGATCCAAAGAGCACACCCCGTCTGGCAACAGACCCTATCTGACTACGTGCTGTAGAGGACATCACAAGAGTCAAGACCTCGTTGCCTACCTAGACCTTACCTAGGTAGGTACTTAAGGATATCTACTAATCTGTACGGTATCTGTACGGTAACATCAAGGTGTCCCCACAGCCCTAGACTCAGCACTAGAGAATCCACCAGGATAAGTTGAGCCCTCGAATTCTCGACTAGCAGTGCGGTTTAGCTCGGGGGATCGGGGTTTACTGCACAGTACCTTAAGGTAGTCCGTACGGAGGTAGGGGAAATAATACCAGTCCTTACAGGTAGGTATCCATCCATCCTCCGCTACGGTCCGTCCAATATGGCGGGATTTGCTGCGCTGTTGAAGTATTCTATGTCGCTGTCGCTGTTTATTCAATGTTTTCTCCGTACTCCTTAGTGTAGGGGAGTTATTATCAGGTTGCATGGGGCTACGGATCAGATTAATAGCACTCTTGACAGATAACTGCCACTAAATTAATCACTTTGGATTATTACTCTAATAGTATGCTCTTGACTAGACCCTAGTCACTCCTTGATACCGTTTTCATCCGGCGTCTCCATACTCCCATTCCATTACAGCTAATCCAACACAATTCCCAGATCTCGGTCTTCTATGGACGCTCTAAACTCTTCCACGTCATCCCCCCTCTCATTCATGACCCATTCGAGCGTATCCCCAAAAGTCTCGCCGTTGTCTCGGAACCACTCCCCAAGGGAATGAACATACATCTCCACGTGTTCCTTGAGCGGCGCATGTTTACGCAGCCACACGATTTGACCGGGGTCAAGCTTCATCATATCTTGCACAACGTAATAATGTGGGATTTCATCGCCCCAGCCTTCGAATCCAGGGTCATGGTAGAAGTCATTCCGGAACATGGATCGGTATTTAGCAGGCAATTCGCTGAAATTGCCCGGATGGGTGGTATGGAAATACTGATCAAAGGTAGTTACGCCATTGTCAAAGGCGGGAGGAGCATTGTTGGCAGGGTAATTCAGGTGGATATTGAAAGTCAACTGATGATTGCTTTCAGGAAACCGCTTGCGGAACTTGCGCTGGATTGTCCCATTGCTCGGGCATATATGATTCTGCACGACATCACGGATGATCATGCGCAGGTCCTCAATCTCAGCCAAATCCATCGTAGACCAGTTGTGTAGAAGTTGGGCACGTTCAGCAACAACATGCCGCAGGTTACGAACGAATCGGTCATGCAGGCGGTTGTGAAAAGCACGATGGTAAAGCCAGAAACGATAAACAGCACGGCGCAGCCGGAATCGTTCATCATCGGTCAGGGAACGTCGGTTCTCATAATCCGCCTTCCATTTCTTGACGGGATAAATTGTCTCCCATTTCTGCGCTACTCGCCCAATTGCAACGATCTGTTTAAAAAGTGAATCCGACATAGGAGGAGACCGGAAAAGGTGAGCTGGTTGGCTTGCATTCTGCGTCACGATCTGTAAAATCTCATGTAGAGGACCAAACTCGAGCTCGGCAATATGGGCGAGAATTGGTGGTTTGTTAGATAGGTTAAAAACATGGTGAAGTCGTCGACAGGTAGAAGACAAGTTCAATACATCCGATAGAGTATTACAAGAGCGAAATATGTGGAGCAACAGCTCCGTTGCCAGTAGATCGAAAGACATTATTGCTGTATGGTTCATACATTGATTAGCTAGGTATATCGATGAAACTGGCGCTTTTTTCGCAAAGACACGAACCTTAGAGGCGATGCTGTAGTAGGTTCAAGTGTTTAAAAGTTAAGATAGTCTGCCGTTAGATCGATGAGTCTAGACGAATATTACTCGAAGACAGCGTCGCTGACGCAGGGCATCAGCAGCGCGGCCACAGTGACAGATGGGTCTAAGTTGAGATCCCTCTTTTGGGGCTGCTCAGATCTCTAATCAATGCGAAAGGCATTTTGGAAGGAGCTTTACTGATCCCAAAGAGCCACAATAGGCGGGACAGCAATAATGGTGCCATGATAGATAGTTAATGGGATATGGAGAGCGCGCTCCGCGGCGGGATGACCCTTTAACTAACGAACGTTAACTTTAACTAAGTTAACTGTACAGTCTGCTTATGTAAGAATAATCATCCCTTGCTCGTTCTAAGGGGCCTTGTGCAGCGATTGCTCCACTGACGCCTTCAGATTGTAAGGAATGCCAGATGCATGCTGAGTTGAGGCTGGAGCCTTCAATTTTCTGGCCTACTTTATGTTCTTGTGTGGTCTTTGTCGCGTAAGATACCGGTATACCATGAAAAGGAAAATCAAGGAATCAAGGTGATTTTTTAAATATTTCTTTCTTCTACTTTGACTCTAATTTCTGCTCTACTTCCTTGCTTGCAGTTATGCTTATATCTAATAGCATTCGGTATGAGGATTTTTAAGTACCAACTATTTCATTCTGTCAATATATCAGAAGAGTTATCTGGCTATCTAGAGCCTTGGTCCCTTTTTAGTCCAGTGGAATTTTATCGATGAATTCTGAATAAAGACCAGCTACATATATAGCACCCGCAATATTGAAGTAAAGGAAATCCAACCTACCAACTTCGAGAATCCAGTCATTAGGATCGAAACTTAAGTGATTATTGGCCCCAAGAACGGCATACTGTGATGGTTTGGTTGTCTCTGTGCTAGTAGAGATAAAACCACTTGACCATATAAAAAGGTACAAGAGGTGACTGATCGACAGATCAGTCGCATCTAATTAGCGTCCTGTATAGTAGCGAAGGCCTTAGTCTGAGCACCATACTGGACTTAACATGTGACACATACAGGGGAAGAATGGGAACAAGAGCATCACAAGAAGAAACCCTACCCCAGGCTCGCTCGTTAGCGGTCATTAGGCTGACTGGTCAAGAACTTAAGCATCAGGCCTTCTTTGGACTGATCGCTTTCGAGGCACATTTTCCTGACCGGTTCTTTTGCTGGAGAGATATATTTCAATATAAATAATACCGTTCAGCCACAAAAAGTACCATTGGCTCTTTGTGAGCATTTTGGTATTATCATGTTTATCGCGCATATTTCCGACATTGTAATAATTATGACCCGCGGTTTGGAAGACGAGGCTGGGCAACTTGGATGCACAGGAGTTTGATAGAGCGAATTCTGGTGAGTTTCATGTATACAATGAGAAAGTATCATTAACCGAGTCAAAGGCTAGACCGATATGTCGCGGTACTCCACATACCCAAGTCATCAAGTTCATAAGTTCCTCTATTGAAAGAGGCTCATCAGTGATTTGACATATATCCATTAATTTATAAAGCCGGCCCAACAGTATATCTATATCGTGAACTGAGTGACTAAGGGTTGAGATAGTATCCCTGCATCAACCACATATACATTCTCCAGGATATCAAGTAGAATAACACCTAAGGCAGAAACAGACATAATAAAATAAAACACGCAGTGAAAGAACCCGGCTATGCGAAGAGTTTCTTGTTGTCTAGCGCATCTGGTTTACGTTCACCTTCGCCTAATCCCAACGTTGACCTCTTTGTCAAACGGTCTGTCTCCACGTCTCGACGCTTAGCGTAGCGTCCTGCCTTGCTCATGCGAATCTCACTGCGAACTTGGTTCGGGCTGACATATTCCTTGTTCTCGTAGATGACAGGACCACCGAAGCTGCCTTCCAGGATGACAATAGGTGTGAGGACGAAACGGGGGCCAATCTCGACAAGAGAAATCTCCGGTAGACCACCCTTACTCTTTGGGGCAGGGTTAGCTTCCTCACCATCCTTCGTTTTCTTGCCTTCACCCTCCGACTCTCTGATTTCGTAAACACGAATCCAAATCTTGCCGTCGACGCCGAACACACCGATGATGCGATCAACAAAAGGTTTCATTCCCTTGACACCACGCTTGGGCACGCAGAACACTCCGCGGAGCATCTCCCGGACCAACCCCCGGTACTCGTTCCCAGGCTTGCTCATTTCCGGACCATTCTCATCGAAGGACCGGTCGAAAACGACGATACCCCGGCCACCCTTCAAGCAGTTACCGCTGAATCCAGCATTCAATTCGCCCATTGTGTGCAAGTTGTTAACGTGGAATTTTAACGTCGGTCCGTTGGGAGGGCGAGAAAGCCAGAGGTAGAGATCTTGACCACGCTTGCGAGCCTCAAGGAAGAAGATCACGTTGCACGAGTGGAGATCGGCGAGGGAATTCAAGAGTAGATTATAACCAGTAGTCTTTTTCTTAGTATCCAATTTTGTTTCTTTGATAGTATGAGGGAGCAGAGAAGCAAGGTCCGCGAGCAAATGTCGATGGCTGTAAAAAAAAAAACAAAAAACCGAAGATAATTAGCAATGATCAATTTCAATTCCTTTCATAAGCCAGTTTAAGATAGATCATACCGATGGGTAACACCTCTGGAAGTCAGCATGAGTACACGAGTCTTCGGCATGAATCCGGCGGCCAGCTGCTTCTTAGCTACCTCCATGGTATGTTCCTCTTCGTCTTCGTCACTATCACTGGATTCGTCGGCACTTCCAAGAAAATCTCCCATTTCGACATCTTCTTCATCCTGCTCCTGCTCTTTGGCAAGTTGCCGAGCCTGCTTCTTGGACACTGATTTATATACCGCAGCCATTATGTATTGTGAGGTACGGCGGCTTCAGGGGAAGAGAATTTGTTGGTTATGGAATCGTCCAGCCGAGAGCTTCGATCAAGATAAAAAAAAGTTAAAGTTCTGGCAGAATAATTTTCTTGATACACACCGCCTTCCGCAATCAATTCCTGTCACCTGACTATATCTACACGTCGACACGTGAATTTCCTTGTAGGACCAGAATTGTTATTGTGGATGAATCCAGCACTCGAGTCACCACTAGTTATGTCGCAAATCCACCAGTGGTGCACCAAAATTCTGCTACACCTGTTCGTTTACTATAAATGACTATGTATCATTCAACAAGCCAGCATCAATGGCCCCTATTGACGACTTACATTATTACATATAAAAAAAGAAAAGCAAAAACGACGAAAAAGGGGAAGGGAAATGGTTTCATACGGCTCCAGAGATATGTAATACCCAACGTCTTGAAGAGCAATGATATACCCAGCAGTGATATTGTTTAAGGTAATTCTAAAGCCCTTCCAAGATTTGAGAAGCCTTCTTGTGCAACTTTCATTCCTGCTACCCTATTCGAGAACTTCAGTTTCTGTGAAATATCCCAGTCATCCCGACATATCAGTGCATATAGCATGCCTGCTATGAATGTGTCACCAGCTCCGATAGGGCTTATAAGCATTAGTCAATGAACTAAAAAGGAATGAGTTTCCCACTCACTCGACGACTTTGAAATCCTCCGTCGTATATGCTGGGCTATGAACAAGGCTACCAGTCCTGGTCTCTAGAGCAACAGCACCGTCCTGTCCCCATGTACAGAAGAGCAATGACCTGGAGCGAAATCAGTGTCGATAAATTGTAGAGGTGGGTCTGGGGCCATACGCGTTGCGTGTGAGTAAGGACTGTGTTCGAAGGCATTCTTCAGCCGACCCATATCTGTTCCCCTACATTGTTTCAGTAAATTTTATATAATGGGTTCTTTAGACATGGGAGATTTCTGTACCTGAGCCCAGCTTTTAGAGTAAAAGACTGCATCAGCTTCTGCTGCCAGCTCTTGTAAGCCTGGTCTCCCTGGCTTCTCTACCTCAACGCTGACTCGGACCGATGGGTAGCATTTTCTGAGATAATAGATACAAGCGAGAATCACATCGGGTATACGACCCTACATATAGAACGTCTAGATTAGGAGACCGTAGGAAAAGGTACATGGTTAGTAGCACACCTCAAAATGGAACCATCCAGTCTTTGGTCCTACAACATCTGCAATACGAGCAAATTCATCCACCGTCATTTCCGGTAGCTTGTTATAATTCACAATCGTCCTGCTACCGGAAGACAGGCTTTTGATGATGTAGCTCGAAGCGGGTTCACTGAACTCCTCTCTGTAGATACAATGTTGAAGCCCAACACGGGGTTCAAACGCTGACCGGATCTGCTGAGAAGCAACGGATGATTTCGCTGGCAGCACAGCAACAAGATTTAACGATGTTCCCGTTGTTAACGCATCTTGTCCCGTCAACTGCTGGAGGACCTCGAGACTATTGGGACAATTCCCCCCACGCCGACGTGAGACACTGGAAGCCCGTAGCTTCTCATCTTCGCCTGGATAATGGGAGGTTCTGAAGACGGACGCAATGAGCTAGTGTAGATGAATGACGTTGATAGGGACTGCCACAGACGTTAAGATTGTATCAACATAACATGCCCCGACCGCAACAAAAGACATTGCTACCAGAGAGTACTTCGGTCAAAGTCTGCTGCAGAGATTCAGGTATTAGGAAGTGTTAAATGTTAAAGTGGGAGTAAATTTAATGCTTTTCCATATTGCGCAGAGAGGGGTGATCGGGATTAGTCAGGCCCACATGAGCAATCGACGCGAAAACCAAAATTGAAAATACGGATGGAATAATATTACTGGTGAAGTGTACGGAGTAGTTTATTTCTTACCATCTGGAGCTGCACAACGCATGGCAGGGAGACACCCCACAAAACTATACAAGGCAAGCCTCTGTTCATCCAGCTTGTACACTGAAGGTATGCCAGTCAGGCCTCGTTTTTACGGTTATTGGAATGTCGACGAAGACTTTGATACCAACGCCCTACATTTTTATAAACGAAAGGCTTATGATAACAAACCCGAAAACCGAACCTCCATAAACTTTCATCACCGCTTACATGGAGGACTCCTTTGGTTGACCTCGACAGCAAATGTCTGTAGTCGATCATGAAAGTGATAATTAATAGCATGGCCTTTCTCCCTGCTTCTTCCCCGTCCTGAAAATACCCGTCCAGAATCCCTTCCTCTATATGTGGAAAGGGTTCGGTCTCTATCATTCCGACCCCTCCAGGCAGCATCGTGTCAGCGAGGTTCGGTTCTAGTGGGCCATGGGCTGTCAGTTACTGGAAAAAGTATACCGTTTTTTGACTGACCTAAATCTCCTGCAGGAACAGCTCTAGTTGAATCGTGATGCTGGATAGATGGCGTTCCCGGCTCACAGTGATGCCGGATAACTGGGGTTATGGGAGAAACATCACTAAAATCCGGGGGAGTCATATTCACCCCAGTGATAGTGACTGAATCATAAGAGGCAGAGTCCGATTCAGATTCAGACTCCGACTTAACGCCATTCAGCTGCGCCATCTCTTAGCGGTCTTTCAGAACAGTAGCAGACCGGCTCTTGAGAATGTCGTACCGATCCCTGGACGGAAAAAAAAGCACCTTCGTTAGCTCTTTATAACGACTCGGGGGTATAGACGAGAGCAACCGTACTTAAGCATTTTCACTGTGTGTTTATCGCTCCCCATTATCTCGACAAGTTTATTGAAATCCGGCGACACGTTCATCAGTGAAAAGGCAGCCAATAGGAACTGGTTATCCATGTGCTCGCTCCAATCTGGAGAGGTGCGTTTTAGTTTTCTCCCGTTTTAGGAGTCGAGATCGAGTGTTTCGTCTCGGCATAGCGTATGTTTGACCAGGATCAGGGGTTGTGGAAATATGGAAGAAGGATAATGAGGAAGGATGGATGAGAAAGTGACCTGCGGATCATGAAGAGTTTTATACCAGACAAACGCGAGAGAGTCCACAACCTACGCGTAGAGAAGCGCGTGTAAAACACCAGAATGGAGTGGAGAGGGGAAAAGATAAGACCGTCACTGAGAACTATCGAGGGAAACCAGTAAATAGAGGAAGAAAATACTGAATTGGATCTGTGATTCGTTAAGAACACACCATATTCAGTGTGGCAGAGAGTCTGTACCTTTATCGGGAAGAGGCTGCTGGACTGGGGAGCTCCTGCAGCTATGGTAAGAGAAGCCAATGACCCTGTCTAATGGGAAATTAGGCTCTTGTTCATAAGGGGCATTTTGTGAGAAATCTGTTGCCTTGTGTACTGCAAGGTATGGAGCCATCGCTTTCACTCGCGCGTATCTAGCCGCATAGGCCTAGCTGTGAAAAATGATAGATCCACAGTACAGAAAACGCGGTCTAAAGTATAGAGTACAAAGTACGAGGCAGCTTGTCAAATAAAATATTATGCGGAGTATGGAGTAGACTTAGCGTTCTCTGAAGGGAAACCATGTACTTTCAGCCGGTGGGCCTTTGTTTCTGTGTCTCTCTGTATTCCATATTGTCTCCGCCTGCATAACGCTAGATTTCTGAAATCACTATGCAGCCATTCGCAATTTGTTAGGTACCCACCAGCCAGTAGCTAAATTAGCATTTATTAGACATAGGGTATAGAACATCTATAGATATTTGTTAAGTACTGTAAAATCTTATCAAATACAGTCGGTATCAAATTTGATTGAAAATGGCAGCAGCACATCTGTGTATTGGAAATTTATCAGTATGCGAAGAGGCTGTAGTACAATTACTCCTGAGTACCTAGAAGAAAGAGAGAAGGAAACCATTTGCGTACATCTGTAAGTTTCTTATGTCTCATTCTCTGGTCCAAACAATCTGGGCTTACAATCCCACGTGATGGGGCTAAACCTGAATATTTGGAAAGCAAAGAGAGCTGGATTCCAGATTATTGGCAATGCTCCACAGTGTGTATGCAATAGGGATCCTTGCCGTGCCTCTAAGAAAAATTACACCTTTGTTCTCTTATCCCGTGGATACAAAATGCCATACCAACAACATCCACAGTCTCAAGACAATGCGGCAAGACGATGAGGTTCGTTTGTCTCTCTTTTAGCACGGGCTGAATGCAGTTTCTTTATCTCCGCAAGATTCTGTCTGATTAGGCTGTTATGGCTGTCTCTGTTGCTGGCCGTGGGCTGGATTATATATTGGTGCATTTGTGCAGCAGAGTGCATACTTCTCCATCAACCTTTAGATCCCAGTCGTCCTGGCACTACATTCTCTCTACTCCAGTGCATTTGCTGTATCCTCCCTGAGTTTCTTGCGTTGCAGCCATGAGTACTGTCCGACGCAGTAGGGCCATGCCAACGGACAGCCCGACGGCCAAATTCCTATACACCATCATCAAGCAGCTGGACCTAAAATCCGTACGTCCTATAGTCCCTTGATCCTCCTACCACTAGGTAGCTAACGGAGTCTCTCCTCCAAGATCGACTGGAATCTGGTGGCATCGCAGCTGGACATCTCCAATGGACACGCAGCTCGTATGCGATATTCTCGCTTCAGACAACAGATGGAAGGCATCACGTCCACACCGCGAGCCCCCCGCCCCAAAAAGACCGCGAACAAGTCCAAAGACAGCTCATGGAAGATGGACACTCACAAGGATACGGAGCCAACCGCCTCGCAGCCCAAACCGGAGGTGAAGCAGGAACCTAGGATTGCACCCTACTCGTCGGACCCATACATCAAGGCCGACCCATCCATGCAGCGCATTCCGACCTTAGCGGAGATTCCCCATTTCTCCTCCCCGATGATGATTCCAAATCAGCCACGTCCGCCGTCGTCCGCTTTCCCATATTCGTCGTCTACCGTGGCTCCAGTAGAGCTGAGTAAGTATTCGCCTGCCCAGAGTTTTCCTGGCCGGTCTCCATTAGAATATGAGAATTGTCCTGCTTCTCAGCCGGCGTGGAGCCCTATCAAGACCGAACCGAGGGATCAAATGGGAGTAGGCGATGTGTTGTTCAAGGTGGAGCAGCCTGAGGAGCAGGTGGTGGCCGCACAAGGAAATGAAGTGGAGTATCAAGGGACGAATGTTGCTGGGGTGGATGGGAAAGGAGTGGAGAATCGCGATTAATTAGTTGGTTTCCTCTGTGCTTGCTACATCGACAATAGTACTACTTACAGGTATGCAATTCCACGTCTACTTAGGTATATCAAGCCCACAAACGCATTGATCTTCCTTCCGAGTGTGGTTGTATTTGCTTCATGGGCCATAGCCGACATGGATGGAAGGGGCAATATGACCACTCTATAGATCTCTACTCAAGTAGTCTCTGATTAAATCCATGAGAGAGTGTTCAGAGCAGGCCCCCTTACCAGAATCAGCGTCTCATCCATAGCTCATCGCCCGCGACGACCATCACTGGTAATCACCTGCCCATGTTGACGACATAATCAAGCTGAAAGTAACGTAAACATAAAGCCCTTGGAGTGGTGAAATCTTCCTACATGTTTTTTGTTATTCATTCCCTTGCCCTTCTCTCTCCTCTCACCGTCCTCACACTCTTCTTCTCACTGTGTGACTCCACACCCATCTATTTTGTTTTTGCTTAGCTTGGCTCTTTACTCCATATTTCAAATTTGCTGCTTAACTAGTCATTAATTCCCCTATTTTCCCTATTTTCTTACATGCTACATCATATTTGCTTCAGACTTCCTTCAGTTTCAGCAATTGACCATGTCTTCTAACGGAAAAACTACCACCACCGATGGCGATATCAGCCAGCAAGATGCCAAGTTCATCATGGAATGTGTCAAGAACCTTGACCAGAACAAACAGGTAAAGCATCCTCACTACATATTCCACTATCTCCTCGTAACCCACTGAACTTCCCAGGTCGATCTGGCCAAGGTTGGCGAAGCCCTGGGTTACACCAATGTAGCGTCCGTGGGAAATCGCTTCCGTGTTCTGAGAAAAAGATACGGATTCGCCAACCTGGACTGCATCAACACTAGCCCAGCTCCGAAGATTGGTGTGGCCAAGGGCGAATCCCCCGCGACACCAACCAAACCGGCGGGCAAGTCCACCCGGAGCAAGAGTGCCAAAGCCATCAACGCTATGGCTGACGAGACTGTCACCATCAAGGCCGAGGATAAAGGTTCTGACGTCTCGATGGATGACGAGCCGGTGTCCCCCGTTAAGGCTAAGACTGTGTCTCCCAGGAAGGCTCCGCGGAAGGGCGCCAAAGTGTCTTCGAAGCCGATCCCGGCCACTGGACCCGTCACTTCGGACGCTGGCACTTCCAATACTGGTGCGAAAATTAAGAAAGAAGACGGAATTAGCACTGCTCTGTTGGAGGCCGTTGAAGTGGTTGTTAAGAAGGAAGTGGAGACTGTTGATAGTGTTCCCGATACTCCCAACCAGGCTTGAAGCGTTGTGGATGTATCCATCTATAGATGATACTCGGGAGGTTGGATGTCTTTCTGGGTCCGAATTTTACTGATTTGACCCTCAGCCGTTCCAGAGATCCTCGTGGTTGTTGTTGTTTCATTTTCTTCTGTTGGTAATTCGGACTCTGGACATAGTGGTACAATGTAATTAATTGACTCTTTTTCCGTAATGGATAAAAGAAATGGATAATCATTTGATCTCAACTGTTGGATCGTGGACTCGCATGAATAGATGTTAGGGTCGTAATCGTAGTTTTCCTAAAACAATTTGATTGATGTGTGCCAACTAATCCATACAATATGGTTTGATCACTCCAGAAATGAATACAGCCTGGAGGTAGAGAGTCCACCATCAACTCCTTGGGATGTTTAACCAGCAATTAAGCAAAGAAAGAATGCCAGGCCTCATCGATGTCCATCGCAATCTTATCTATCCTTCCATGCTCCCTTGTGATCCAAATATCACTCACAGACCTCTATGCTTTCCCTCTTGTCCTACGATCTTCTCCATGGCGGGCCCAGCTTATATGGCATTAATGGGGACTGGTTGGGAAGTTGCCCACAACTACGAAACAGGGGCAGTGAATCTGTCTCATCAATATTGCGAGTACCACTGGATGTACCAATGGGTAGTTCAAGAGCTAGCAGTTGGTTATCCTTGGTCAGTGGATTCAATGGTGGATTGGAGCGTCCAGCTAGTATGATCGGTTCCAGCTGCTAAGGGACTGGAAAGCTGTACAGCGTACTAGAGAGCTCGAGGGGTTGATTGAATGCATGCACCATGGAGGTTTCGGATTAGATACTAGTTATCTGAGTTTGATCCTAAGGTTGGTAGTTGAACCAATGTGAGGGATCCAGGTAAAGACAGATATGATATATTTGCTTTTCTTTGTAAACTAAGTGAAGACGATTTCATCCCTGAAACTATCACTATTTATAGATATTTGGATTGGAAATCTAGACAATATAGATAGTCCTAGTAAATATTCTTGACAGCTGTATCTATCCACTGGAAAAACACATCATCCAGCTTTCATTCCCCCTAGTTGTCCTTCACTACCACCTCCCAGCCTCCTCTACTCTCTCCTCTCTCTGGTGATTCCGTCTCACTCATGACCTTCCGTTATCTCTTTTACCTATTCACCTGACCCTCTCCACTATTCTATCCAGACAGCTCTCATTCTCATAATCTCTCAGTTATCCTAATCGCCATACGCAATTTCCAACTATCTCCATAGAATCAACACGTCACTATGGCCCCAGTCACCATGGAAGAGCAGTTTCAGTTCCTCCTGAGCTGCATTCGGTTCTCAAACAGCGGCAAGGTATGGGTCCACCCGACTATTCTCTCATTCCTATCTCATCCTGTCTTTCGCACATCACTCACCATCTATGCGAAATAGATTGATTTCAACCAAGTCGCCAAAGAATGCAGCATCATTAGCAAGGGTGCTGCGTAAGTCATCCATCCCTCTTATCCATCCTTTCACATCTCTATACCCATTCAGAAGAAAAGAAAGTATCTTAAATAACAAATAAACAATCAAGTGCAAAACGCTACGAACGTCTCATGAAAGCACACGGTATCAACCCATCTGGAGGCACTGTATCTACTCCTGCTGGAAATAAATCCGGGAAGAATAGCGGCGTTGGCGATGGCAATGAAAATGCCTCTCCAGGAAAGAATAAACACTCTGAGGCAAAACGCAAAGCAACCACGACCCCGTCCCCAATCAACTCTTCGCCCAAGAAGGCCAGACTGATGAAGAAATCGGCGGTGATGTGTGCGCAGGATCTAGTAGAACAGATGGCTGGCTCTGAGAAGGAGACTAAATCCCATGGTGAGAGCGAGGATGATTTGCCTTTGGTGAGTACCTACCTATATCTTACCATTTCGTTTTGCTTGTAGTATTTCTGTATATATATACGAGTATGATGAGAATGCTGATTCTTGTGATAGTTCGATGTGTAAATGGAGGCTTGGGATCCTCAGTAGGATGCGCTGAGGATGCTGCTCTTTGTATGGAATGGAACTACTACTTTCTTTATTTCCTGGGGATTCCTTTACGGACCTAGATTGGAGCTATCCTTGTCTTGGTCACATTTCCATTTCCATCGCGATTATGAAAGCAGAGGATCTACTGGTACTTGGAGCAGGCTTAGCAGATGGCAATCATCGAATACAGATTGACCTCAAAGTAAACATTCAAATTAATCAACTAAATCAGGAAAAGGCTCTATGGCGTACATTTAATCCCAATAGCAAGATCAACGTCGCTCAAAGGGTATCCAAGAAAAGAAAACGGATGCAAAGAAAATATTTCCGGTGCATACAGCGAGCTCAGTGATGAAGCACGTCCACATGCACATCACTTATATAGAATCACGTCGCAACAATATACAGGCAAGGGGGTATTTATGACTAGTTGTGCAGGCAATCACAACGACTTCTACCAAGGAAAAGCAAACCTTGCCTTGCTTTTGTTCTGATAAGCTGTCCGTTAAATATCCGTCATGACCGACTCGAGAATCTTGCGCTTGTACAGGGACAACGAGCGCTCCTTCTTCTGCAACTGAGCCCGGGCCTTCATGTACCGTTGTTTCCAGGTCATTTCGGACACATTACCATCCGCTCCGTCTACTTCGAATTCTGCATCATCCAGACTATCCACCTCGGTAATGTTATTATCAAGCTCCTCAGTGGCCCTGGATATGCTTTCACGCTTGTTGCTATCGCCTTTTCCGAGAGCGAAATCTCCGTACGTCACTCTGGTTTTAAAACGAAGCCCATGCTTGTATTCATGGGCTACGCTGTATATGAAATTTGACTGCGTCCCATCAGGGCCCGGAGCCCCCTGCACGAGAGCGGATGGGACAGGGGCCAGTTCGACGTGGACGATCATGGTACTCTCCGTGACCCCTGGGTAACCGAAATGGTGTCCTAGCCCAAGATGAAGCGCGGACATTAGAACTGGAAACCCAAATGGGGTTTGGGAATATGACGCCGTTAGGGTCGTCAATATGGTCACTGCCAAGCTCCGTGCCTCCTCAGCACCGAGAGGCGCTGGGCGGCCGGTGACTTTGGCTCGCAGCAAGTCACTCGTTAATACCCGCACAGCGTCTTCGGTGATTATATCTGCATTTACAGGATGACCGTTTCGAGCCGTAGGAATTGGAGGATTAGGAGCAATTGTGGTATTCATTTGATGGGGTGCTAAAGCCCCGTTTCGCTGGTTTTCCTCGACCTTCAAAGAGTTCGATGGGTTGTTGACGCCATTGACCATCAGTGTTGGCGGGGTGGCAAGGCGCACAGGCGCGCCCGAGTGATGCGGTACCTGCAATTGCAGCTTGTTTGGCCGACCGCCAGGGAGCGGGGTGGGGGATTGTTGGTACTGAGATTGAGAGAATCTCCTAGAAGAGTCATGGTCGACAACGAAGGTAGGCGAAGGCCTAACATTGGAATGTTGCACATGAGGAGGATCAGTGCGATTGGGGTTAACCGGGAACGAAGAAAAGGGCCCAGAGACGGTCCCTCTATTTGGTGGCCTTCCGCGAGTCTTGCCAGTGGATGATCCGGTATTGTTAGGCCATGCGGATGACACTGCAGGGCCATGTCGTCTTTTGGGACGTGGCTTATCACCCGATGAGGGCGTGACTGCAGATCGTGGTTCGATGGGATGCATGTAGACCTCGGGTGGATGATGACCTCGAGGCATAATGGCTGACTGTGGATAACCGGCGGGAGATGCAATGCGATCAAGTGGCTTCCAACGACCATCTTGCCCCTGTTGGCTGGTCGCTGGCTCCGAAGACCCAGCGGTAAACGTTGACGAAGCAGCTACCCACGGATCATTAGGTTCCATTTCATCGGGGAAAGCGCTAAATGGAATAGCACTGTGAGGGAATGTGGCGGAGTGCGAGGGAAACGAGCCGGGATGTAGGATGCCAACGGAAGTGTCTAAGGATGGTCGCTTGGATATTCTGTCAAGCCCAAAATCTCTTTCATCGGCCCTTTTCCTGCCCCGTTTTGGTTTCCACTGGGGCACAAGAGCTCTCAGCGCTAGATCCTCCTCTAATGGGACACCGTCGCGGCTGTCGCTGACAACTGCATTGTTCGCAGGAAGCTGTGTGTAGTAGGGGTGCGGGTGACCTAGACAAAATTCAAAGAACGCATCGACGTGCATCGCTCGCATCCACCGCTAAAAAAAAAAAAAAAATCAAGAGTGCGTATTAGACAAGCTAAGTCAAACTGAAGGTAAGCTAAGAGCCTCGACGCACCTTTAGACGGACCGCATATTGTTGAACCTTTTGCGTACTCTGTCCCTTTTCCATTACAGGCGGCTCGACCCCAAGCTCAGTGGCGAGAGAGATCCAAGTCTTCAGTTCTTTGTTGTCAAGTTTCCGAATGAGTTCCCAGAGGGTGAAAATACTGAAGCTCTTGCCATCGCTTCGGGGAGGCGATCGGAATGTCTTTCGTAGCTCGCTAGTATCTACCGAAAGAGGAACATTGGGGTTGCAGTAAAAGATAAAATTCACATAGGCATCGTCGATGGTATCATCCTTAATATCGCGAGATGGCAGCGACCGAGATTCTGGCTGGTCAGCAATCGACTCTCTGGGTGCCCTTTGGCGAAGAGGGTCGAACATAGGGGGCGACATGGAGGGACCTGAGCGCGTGGTGGGTGCTGATGCTGGGGGAACTCCCGATCGCACGCCTGTCGGTGATGCCTGCAAACTGCGAGGCGTCTCCTTGCGGTTGAGCGGGGGTGATTTGGAGGCTGGTAGCCGACTGGGGGCGCTTCCCAGTGAGGATGCGCTTTGCAACCCAGGCTCCAGAGCGGGCGGGTATCTCGCATACTGCTGGATAACCATCGGGGGATTGCCTAGGTCGTTCCGGTCGGTGTGGTTCATGACATTGGAAAACGAACCTTCCATCGTGGAGGGAGCAAGGACGCAAAGGAACTTCGCTCCTTGAACACGAAGCAATCAACGTCGAAAAGAAATAAATATATATGAAAGGCAAAGCAAAGCGTAGAACAATATAAGCGCTCTGACGATAAGCTGGGTATCATAAATAGCAGCGAATCCAGGTCCAATTTCGAATGCGTATCAATAGCGCCGTACTACTAAACTGAAGGAAGACAAGCAAATTAGGGACCAGCCCAATGGAGCACATGTGCTAACACAGTAGTCAAATATTTATATCGGGAAAGACAGCAAACATCGACTTTTAGAATCGGGAGACACAGCCCGCGACGAGATATGTCTAGGATGGGAAAACCCGATCGCCATGATCACCGGCAGAAGAAATGGGGGAGAGAAAGAGGAGAAGGTGGCTGGACGACGGCGGCGCTTTAACAAGGCCGATGATAGACTGAGAGGAGCTGACTGTTTCTATTTCGGGACGCTCCTCGATGCCTGTCGCGGTCTAGCGTCGAGGCCTCAGGGCGGGGGAATTGATGCCTAGGGCCTTGGCCGTGATCACATGTGACGCTAGCCTCATATAGTTAGGACCGACCTCTAGGGCCGTAAGGCGGGCTAGTGGTCCAGAGACTCAGAAGAATCAGGCAATCAATCCCTTCAAAGTTCTTATCGATAAACTCGTGCCTCCCTTCAAAGCGTCATCATCGCCATCGTCACCTTCCTCCTCCCACCGTCGCCTCGAGACCATTCCATTCCTCAATCCGCTCTCTACCATCGCGTGTCTCAAGATAACCTATTTCTGCTTACTTTGGAACGGGAAACTCTTTGGCGTCACATTAAAAGACCATGTGTTATCCATCTCTCACTTGGTCTCCTCTCCACTAGCAGGAGAGAACAGACCTAGACCCCATCATGGCTCAATCTTCTCAGCAACGTGATTCCCGACATCCTCGCCCTGTCCGTTCTAGTCGCACAAAGGTCCGTTCCTACCATGAAGACAGTAGCTCGGAGGACCGTCATGATGAAAACACTGTATCCGACGAGGACGGACTGGCACGCCTATCACTCTCGTTACGCCCGCGCGATTCAAATCGCATGCCCACTTCATATCGGGAGGAATCTACGGATACATCAGATGGATCCCTGACTGATGATCCAGAGGCTGTGATTCCCGTCGAAGCCCCAACCCACCACACATATCCATTTCCTGAACCAGCAGGCCGCAGTACGCAGACGAAAGCCCCACGCAAGCGAACCGTGAAGACAAGATCCCAAACAAAAGGGACAAAAAGAACGTCGGGGAAACGTCACTTGGAATTGGGTAGATCACTCCACAAAAGGAGAAAAGTTGAGGCGGATGACGCTTTATTTGTAGGCTCTGGTGTTGTTCCACCCTGGCAGACCCTACCTTACCATATTTTGTTCGACATATTACTATATGCCTCGTATCCTTTAGTGGATGAAAAATCTATGACCAGAAATAACTCTGTGCAATGGCTAGTGAATATGTCTCTTCTCTGCCGTGCTTTCCATGAGCCTGCCTTGGCGGCCCTTTACCAATGCCCACCACTACTACCAGCTGCCAAGTCCCACGGCTTGCTTAATCTGCTCTCCTGGCCGCAAGAGAATCTCTCCACTAACTACGTGAACAAAGTCAGGGAACTACATGTGGATGTAGAGACTCTCTTACTTTATAAAAGCGGACCAACTCTGGGGTATTTCGAATTACCCAAGCTGATTGAGAAAACCCCCCGTGCGAAAAGACTGCGACTATACCACAGCGATGATTATGTGATCGGTCTTCCTTCGTGGCAGATAAGCCGTTCGAAATGGACTTACCCAGAAAGCCTTTTCTTGGCCATCGAGTCAGGGTCTATGAGATTGCGCAGCTGGGACTGGAATAGCCGTTTCATGGAAACCAAGCGTCTGCTGCCACTCATGATAATGAAGCACCTCCAGCCTGCGTTTCAATCCCTCACGGAACTTAGACTGCTACATATTGCGTCCGAAGAATCGGACGACGATGACTGTGCTGACGGGTCGGATGCAAGAGAAGTTGTCCTGGCTACGGCATTGAAGGGGCTTCCATATCTGCATCACCTGCAGTTTATAGAGTGCTCGATTGTAAATGAATATCTTTTGCCCAATTTACCGACAACGCTGTCGTCTCTCACCATCAATAACTGCGATGAGGTGACTACAGTAAATTTCAATTCGTTTCTTGCCACTCATGGTCATCATCTGCGGGAGTTGAATCTCTGCCATAATCGCCATTTGAGTCTGTCTTTCATTGTGAGCCTGGCGCAATCATGTCAAAATCTTGAGAGGTTTAAAATGGATGTCTCCATGCACGACTGGTCGAGTTATCACGATGTTGAACCTCATTTCAAGGAGTTGCTTAGTCCTTCTGAAATCCCGACTTGGCCAGCTTCGCTGCAAGACATTGAGTTGGTTCAATTGCGTAAATGGGACGACCGTACAGCGGGGATATTCTTTACCTCCCTAATTGACGCCGCTTCTGAATTGAGAGACCTACGGCGGCTCGTGATCAGTGCGATCTTGAAGATTGGCTGGCGTGATCGCGCATCGTTCCGAGAAAAGTGGATTGGGAAGCTGGAGAAGGTGTTCCTAAGGCGGAGTTCACCTCCAGACTCGACTCTTCGCACAATTGTGCATACTCCAATTGCCGTCAGCCTCGACCGGGCTAAAACTAGTGACGATGGTGCTGCTCAGTCTGATGCCGCAGACAGCGGACTTTTAACCCCATCTAAACGCAAAAGTGCACGACTGGCCCGGCGAAAGCTCTCTGAGATCGAAGATAACGCAAACAAGAGCCCACCAGGTCAAGCAGCAAACGAAGGGGACGACGACCAGAATAAGCTGTTTATGCAGGGAATGTGTGATATTGTCTCAGTCCGGATTGACAATCAACGTCCAACTGAAACTCAGTTTAATGAGCAAGATTTCCTTGATGATGAGTTAAGTGGCGACGAAGACTGGAACGGGCATGACCTAGATGTGGGGGATACGAGTCATGCATGGTGACAATTGCTATCCTCTGGATTTTTCTATCTTGATGTTGCAGTTTTATTCATTCGATGCTATTTTGCAATACTCTTCCTATTCGGCTGCCGATTTTTTTTTAATGCACCTACTACGCGGGCAGGGATTTGCTGCTTTGCTCACCCTCTCATATTTATCAAATTTATGAAACCATACACTTGGGTGGTTCGGGGTGCTTGTGAGGAGTTGAGGCTTCAAAAACAATACTATTTTGGGAGGGATTATGGTCTGGAACAGGTTGGGGGTTTGTTATCTCGTTCTTCACATCTTTTTGTGCTGGCTGGCGTCTGGATTGGCTGGCTCCTGAGCATTACTCAGATAGAATGGCTTTGCCTTGAATGAAAGCTCACAAGGGTGGGTGGCCTAACAGATGGAATAGCCTGAATAATTGGCAAGGATCATAAGTATCCATATCATGCATGATTTCCTAAATACGGGTTTGTGATGTCCAATAAAGCTTGGAACAGGAAATATCTACCATCCACCACGATAGATACAAAAGTGCAACGCTGCAATACAGGAAATTTGGTCACAACTCACTATCAAACTTAATTTAGCAAAGTTCTCCATGTCAACGTGGTGAGGACTCTCACCAACTTCTGAAACACAAGGTCCCCTTTATCATTCACAATACGCTCTGCCAGATTGATGTCCGCATCGACTAGCTCATCCTCTATGTTGATCAGCATAGCACGTAGAACAGGAACATCTGCCCCTCCCTCAATCTCGAATCTGACATCTGAGGCGCTGTTTGAGAAGTTTTGTCCGTCCCACTCGAAGGAACCTAATAGATAGGATTTAGTTAGGGCGGGGCATAGCTTCGTTAGGTTAGGAGCCATATGAAGTACCATTGTTGTTACCAATAAAGTTGTCCAGGTCGATGAAAGATTCTCGCATTTCACCATCTTCAGCCATAAGCTGGGCAACCAAGATATGGTTGTCCTCGATCCTGATGTCCTCTGCGCTGTGGTGGAAGCTCATTTTGGCGGGTGTAGGTAGTCTGGGGATTTCTCTCTGCTGGACACTGGATGATAAGTTAAGAGCAATTGAAAAACACAGAACAGATCAGCTCACCTTTATATCTGCACCCTCCTACTTCTGAGGGACATGATCTCTAGTCTTCTCTCCAGTCTCCACATTATGGGTGCTATACACATGGCTTGGAATCATTTGTCTGAATGTCGCGCAGTGTCGAGGATAGTGGGCCCCTGCAGTGAGGGTACAAGAATAACAATTCCGATGGTGTTGTGTCGCTAACTTGTTTAGTATGTGCTCCAGGCAGCAGCAATAATGCGCCACTGAGGGTCAGGAAACACGGCCACAGATTGGATGCTCTGCGGCTGGTGAGAGAATCCCCCACTCAGTCTATATCCATGGAGTCTCTTGGCAGCCGCTTCAGCAGTGGATCTTGGAGGGGCATCTGTCAGACCTCCGTTGACGGCATCCTTATTTCGATTGTTTGTATCGCTTTAGATGGGTTTTCTTGACAGATGTTCTTTCCCTTATCATGTGCAATTGCATCGTATCAGCCATTTTTGGAAATGTTCTGTGGCTCGCAATTGTGGGCAGTCAATAACCACCAGGGGTTATATAGACTACGTAGCCTGTCATATTGAACGCCAAGAATATTGACACGGGCATAAGGCTGACAGCAAACAGTCCGACAGTCCGACAGTTGTCTGCTCGGTTATTGCTTGGATCCAGTCCCAACCCGTGTCCTATTATCTTCAGCGTATGCTGTGAACTATGTATGACTCTTATTTCATACCATGATGGGTTGGGATCAGATGGAAGCACAATCTCTTGTCCATAGAGGGTCGCAAAAAAAAAAAAAAAAAAAAAAAAAGCTCATAAGTTCAATGATAGGATCGAGTGACAATGTCCACCACCGGGATGATATAGTATGTTGTGCTATTATTCGGCTATTTTCCCCGTAGTATTCTTGTTGTAGGTTATTGTAGCGGAGTAGTTAGGCTATTCCAAGGGTGGCATTGACAAAGTGACTAAAAAATATTAGGTAAATGGAATGAAAATAAGACCCCCCGAGTTTCTCTCTCACTGAAGCCTACATGGATATATGTATAGCACATGCAAATTATTCGCTGTCGGGAAGCTGGAATGCACGAACTACCTCCACTGAGAATCTGGATGCCTCAGCTGTGACTAGAAGACCCATGGCATTACCTGTCATTCTACCAACACTGCACGTCTGTCCGTTACCGATGGCCGGGCGCATGATTGCTAGAACTTGGTTGCGACTATTGGTCCTCCTCGGAATCAGCTCGAAAAGTCGTACAGAGCAGTTGCACAGGCGCTACAGGAATGCAGAATACGTCATTTGTATACCAAGAGACTCCCACATATTCTAGGCAAGCCGGAAGATAATGAGACAGCGGTACTCAGTCTTCCGGTCACTTCCCACGCGCCATAGGTCCGGTGTTTGGCTGGCTTGTTCCATGGCAAAGTGTCTGGATCCCACAGGCTGGAAGACGTCTGGATCATATAAATGCCTGCTTTTTTTTTTTTTGTTGTTGTTGTTGTTGTCTCCTAGGATAGCATGTCTCAACCAAGACACTGTATCCGTCCCAGCGAGAGATCGTCGTACGATTTGGATCAAGGTGTTGTGGAAACTTGTCGAACCAGAAATAAGGATCAATCAACATCCTAGAACGTCGAGGTTTGTAGTTTCTTAATTTCTTCGTCTGTTCCATGCCGGCAAAACCCAGAATTCTGTTACTTGTTTTCTGTAGACATGAGAGTAGCTCGCATCTTCTCTGCAGGTATTGCCATTGTCGATTAAAGTCGAAGACTCACTTTAGTTAATAGTATTGAACTAGGAACCGATTAAGGGCAAAAAAAAATAAAAAAAATAAAAAAATTTATGTCTCGGTATCTGCAGATGGGACAAGAACGTGTGAGGAGAAGAATGAAAGGGAAAATTCCTCCTACAAAATCTTTCGCTTGTGGGCAAGGTGTGAGAGGGCCCCAAAAATATCAAGATCTGCAGCTATATTGCGCAAGTTGGGACCTCAGTGTCTTTCTCTGGAAGGCATTTGACAGTTTTCATAACTGGATAAGTAGAGTGGTGGTACAAGATCAATAAAGCATGAAGCAAGTGAAAAGATCCTGGATCAGGTTGTCACATGCATTCCCAACACTTTGCATTCTGAACCATATTCATTATTGTTTTCAGATTCGTTGGGGGTAACTATATTACACACCATCTTAGTGGTGGATATTGATGAGTCGTCAAAAAGCACCTTGTGTCGTTCATTGAAAGTATTGCAGCATGCAATTATTAAATCTGAGGCAAGAGATGCTGATTGTTAACAGACCAAATCTTTACTTCCACATCACGTCACCTAAGTTTCACGATTCCTGTAGTTATGTAAAGAACACAGTCAGCATGACTGTCATGCAACCCAGAACGCAAAAGTACTGGATCCACTTTGAAGTGGATCGATCCTTGACGAAGTTCAGACTATGGCACGCCCGTTAGATCCGATTCCCCCCCGAGAATGACCCAGTATTCCGTATCGAGGACTGGAATGCCGTTAAGTTTTGTGGAATGAATGGCAAGGGATATCATCTCCGAGGTATAAGAGTTGGGCTTTAGGTAAGAAGTCAGAAATGCCCCCTTCACAGTGGCTATTATTCTGAGCCGCTGTGTCGCGGCGGTTACATTGTTAAGCCTTTCACTCTTCCGGATCTATTACTCATTCTGGACTCTTGAGTACGCCAGACTGTTGCTCAAAACTCAGACGCGAATCCGACCGGGCTCGTTTTCCCTGTGGGCCTCGTTTTCGTTCGTGGACAATGCCATGGCGGTGGCTGCCAACAGGACTGCATTCCCCCCCTCCCCGCATGGATTGCCGAATCTTACTGATTGCGCCTGCGTTTGAATGGTCGAACACCTCTTTTAACTCCATCACAACCGTTGTGTGCAGGCAAAGTGTTAGGCCCAAAAGGAATCGACACTAGCCCACCCGTCCTCAAGTGGGAGCTGAAAGTAGCGAGAACTGCGGGAAACACAACTCACCCAACAAAAAATCTCGAGTATTTCATCGAGTGACCATCTCGCATCCCGAAATTGCCCAATATCTTTAACCACCAGCAGTGTATCCGTTGATAGTGGCATATTTCCTCGGCTATCAGGATTACTGATTTCAGATCAAGCCCTCAACACTTTGGCTCGCACCCATGGCTTCGCCGCCCAGATCGCAAGGGGCGGCCGCCGATCCTTCAACAGCCTCTCACTTGGCTCCGCAGCCTGCTATCCCAGAAGCTTTTGATAACGATGATGCTTCAGATTCTGTATGAGCATCCCTAGCAATTATCTTGTCTTGTCTATCCATAGATGAGCAGCTAAATTCAGATACCCCTCAGGCCGAGGATGAAGATGACACCTTTTCCGATTATGCCGAGGACTTGTGAGTAAATCTCCCGGTCAGACACGGCAGCGACTCCAGCTAAATAAATGGGGGTGATCATAGTGCAAGTGACACCACAACAATCAATTCGATGATCACGTCGTATCGCTTTGAGAATGGGCGGCGATACCACGCTTACAAGGACGGAGCTTACTGGTATATGACTTGTTCTTCGACTTGACATTCCTATCGTAGATGGCCTAATTCTTGCCCAGGGGTCCGAATGATGATAAACAGAACGAGCAACTCGATATTGCGTAAGCTATGCGTATAATGAATACTTTCCTTGATTGCGCTAATGTTCTATCGAGTCACCACATGTTTACTATGCTGCTCGACAACAAACTGCTACTGGCACCCATAGACAAGAACATACAGGTCGGTACCTATGATATACAAACTTATTTCTGTTCTTGTATACTTATTCAATGAGCGGGTAGAGGGCGCTTGATGTGGGTACTGGCACGGGTATCTGGGCGATGTGAGCGCCGCTTGTTCTTTACCGCGAACCATAGCTGACATTTTTCAGAGACTTCGCCGACGAGTATCCATCAGCCCAGGTAATTGGCACGGATTTGTCACCAATCCAGCCCAGTTTTGTACCGCCCAACTTGCGATTCGAGATTGACGATGCATCTGAGCCATGGGTGTACCCGGAAAACCACTTCGACCTGATTCATGTGCGGTCATTATACGGGGCCATATCGGACTGGCCCGAATTTTATCGCAGTGCTCTTAAGTAGGTTATCTGTCCTGGGGACGAATGCAACAATACTTATACTGGAATTTCAGACACCTGCGGCCTGGTGGTTGGTTTGATCAGCTGGAAATGTCCATTCAGTTTACTTCGGACGATGGCACTGTGACTGACGATCATGTGCTGGCTGTCTGGTCCAAAACTTTTATTGATGCTGGAGAGAAATTCGGGAAGACCTTCCGTATTGCTGATCTCGCCAAGGGTTACATGCAGGATGTCGGCTTTCAGAACGTGACGGAACGTCGATTCAAACTGCCAATTGGGGCGTGGGGTAAAGACAAAAAGCTGAAGACATTGGGCCGATGGAACCAAGTCCACTGCGAACAGGGGATCGAGGGATGGGCCATGGCACTGTTGACGCGAGTGATGGGCGTAAGTTTTTTTTTTGTTTTTGCTTTTTAAGGGTCCCCTTTCAGGGTTGACTTAAACCCGCCCCCTTTTTTTTGTTTTTAGCTTTTTCCCCCTATACCACTCACCACGAAGATGCAGAGATGTATGCTAACATATCATCCTCACTGGACTTCTGAACTAGTGGTCCTATACAGAAGTACAGGTCTTTTTGGCTCAAATGCGCAAAGGTCTCCGAGACCCCGAAACCCATTCTTATTTTCATGTGTAAGTTGCAAGTATTCGCGGGACGGGATGACAGTCTAAGTGTCTGACCTCTCATAGGGTTGGAGTATACGGGCAGAAACCAGCCGTTACTATCTGAAGGCCTGAGCCCTCTTGGTGTACCAGGGAAGGCGAAAATCCAGGTGTCGGTGTAGGGATATTGCGATCTCCCCATCAGTTAGACAGGGATTGAGGGCACTTGCATCCGACTAGCTGCTGGATGCTAGCAATAGCCCAATCTACCCATGCTTTAGGGTCGGGGATTACGGGAAGGAGGCGTTTTAGCTCCATTTAGCTCGGGGTAAATACCTGCAAGGGAATTAAGGCTGTTGGTGGCTGGATTGTATTACGGTGGCTGCTGCACAAATACATTTCCGGATATGACCTCGTAACATGATTTGGTTTTACTTTTCTGACTTTTTGGTCTCTCTGTTTCACACCCCGCCATGATGATGTACCGGAATTGTCAGGTTGATAGTGAATAATGCAAGTGACCGAGAACTTTCTTATTATTGGCAATACTAATTAATAGTTCCCTAGTTTGTCTACGCCTTCTATCTCCCCACTTTCCGCCAAGCCGATCGGGACCTCCATAGGACATTTTTTGTCCTTCCACTTCGTCATCACTTCGGCCAATCCACAACTCCACATTCCTTCACTGTCTAGGACCACTGGTTTAATTGGGACCTCCAGATGAGAAATGCTAAGTACAAGCGCCAATAGACTCCACTAATTCCAACTGCCCGATATGGACCACTGCAGGCATCTCGGCATCTGTGCGGCGATTCTGCACCTTGCTCCAAGCCACTGGGCCTAGTTTCTTCAGCAAGACGGGTTAAAAGTGGGTTGCATGGAGTACTGCACACCATGACATCGAAGGCAGAAAAAGGCGATACGAAGCCGCTATAGTTACATAGTGGATGCTAGTGTTGGGTTCTTGGGATGCTGCTCATAAAATTCATCTGTGCCGTCAACCGCTAATCAGTATAATGGCATTCTTCTGTTGACCTGACCTGAGCCGGGTCGATGTATCAACGGTCTCTCACGAACGTGGGGGATCTCCCTCGACAGACGGTCTGGTCGGAAATCCGTGGTCCAATTAGGAAGAACCCAATGTGACTAATTCAAACCCTATTGTCTTCGTCTAATGGCATCCTTTGCCTAGGAGTACAGTGTACCGTCGCTATCATGTCGTAATAGGCTGTGGGGCCGCATCTTCCGAGCACCAGCCTTAGAGTGCTCGTGTCGTAATCATGGCTACTAGTTATTCATGGGAACAGTCTTCAATGTACTTTTAACCGGGCAAGTAGCTCCTCTATTAGCCTTCGATGCCCCCAGCACTGATACTGAGTTTGTCCGTCTTGATATCTTCTGGTCCTAGCCAGACACTTGAAAATGGCGTTCACCACGACCTTGTTAAGTATGGCCATGACAGATACCATCTGGCTACTAGCAGTCTCCTTGACCATTGCGACCGTGCTACGTAGTTTTGGTGTTGTAGTTTATCGTATATTTTTTCACCCCCTGGCCAAGATCCCTGGGCCACTTTTTGGCAGGGCTACTTTTCTCTATTCCTTCTGGTATAACATGCGCGGAGGCCGCATGTATCTGCAGATTCAGAAGCTGCATGAACAATATGGTTCGTGGGTATACACACCCAAGAATGTTATTTTCAACTTGTTCCTCCATTCTAACTCCAAACCCCAGGCCCAGTAGTTCGCATTACCCCGAATGAAATCCATCTCAGCGACCCAGATGAGTGCGATAAAATCTACCAGGTAGGGTCACGATACGGCAAAGACGCCAACTTCTATAGCGCCTTCGGCACGGATAAGTCGACATTCACGACGCCTAGCCCGGAGCTACACCGCATCAAGCGCTCCGCACTGAACCCGTTCTTTTCACGCAAAAGGGTCCTGGATCTCGAGGAGGTCGTGCAGCAGGCGGCAAGTAAGCTGACGAAGCGCATTCGAGAAGCATTGCAATCCATGGGCCGGATCGATTTACACCATGGATTCCGGGCTATCTCTATCGATGTGATCACCGACTATGCTTTTGATCAGTGTTACAACTTCCTAGATGATGAGAATTTTGGGGCCAAGTTCTTCAATATGATGCGGGATCTTGGTCCCGCGTTCTGGTTTCTCCAGCAGTTCCCTTGGATGCAGCCGATTGCGTTAAAGATGCCATACTGGTTGGCAAGATTGTTGAACAAGTCGTTGACTAGGAGGATCCTGCATCGTCAAGTAAGTGGAACCCTGCACAGGTCAGGCGCTGCTCAAATTCTCTAAATCTAACGACCCCAGGCTGCCGGTCGCCATGTTCAAGGGGTCAAGGATGCAGTGGATAGAAATGACAAGGTGTCTCGCATGACTATTTTTCACCAGCTTCTCTCCCCCGATGCCGCTGATGGCCACGTGGTGCCGACGGTGGAGGAGCTCACGGATGAAGCTTATATTATCCTTGCGGCAGCAGCAGACACTACCGGCAATGCATTGACCATTGCAGCATACAATGTTGTGCGCAATCCAATCATCTATGGGCAACTAACGACTGAGTTGAAAGAGGCGTTCCCAGAGCCAGGAGCAGCGATGAACTTTCTGGTCTTAGAAAAGCTGCCGTACCTAGTGAGTGACGGTCCGCCATTTCAAAGAAAATACTGACCTGTCAGACCGCTGTCATCAAAGAAGCTCTTCGGTAATACCCATTACCCTCGTTTTCATGGGATACACTAATTAGGGTCAGACTGTCTTTTGGAGTCGTGGGAAGACTTCCGCGAGTTGTCCCTGAGGCTGGCGCGGAATTTGGAGGCTATAAGGTTCCAGCTGGAGTATGTCTGTAAGCTGCAGCATATCAAGCCAGACACTGACATGTTGTAGACGGTGGTTAGCATGAGCCCGTGGACCATGCATCATAATGAACAGCTTTACCCGAATCCCGAGAAGTTCGACCCGAGTCGCTGGATACGTTCTGATGAGAGCCAGGCATTGGAGAAATACCTGTTTGCGTTTGGAAAGGGATCAAGGCAGTGTGTAGGAATGCCGTAGGTGTCTGCATTGTATATCATGCTTCTTCACTGACCATGGTGATAGACTTGCTTACTGCGAGCTGTACACCACTCTGGGCTATGTGTTCCGGGAGTTCGATGACTTGAAGATAGCTCAGAAGAGCCGGGAGGAGCTCCTCTACAACGATTACTTTTCTTCATATCACCCTGAAAAGAACAACAGGTTTATTTTTGAAAGAGCTACTTAATAACAAGGACTCAATTCTATTTTACTTTGTACCTTTGTTCGGCGACTTTGCTTATAATCCTCTCACGCCTTCTCCCACCCAGCCATTGCCTTATCTACTGCATAATAATAGCAATAGCGGGTCTCATGGATCGTTGCATGATATCCAATTCAGCGCCTATTTTTTAGGCGCAAGCTTCGTCAAGCCAGTGACGAGAACATCCCTCCCGTAACCTTACTCTATGTAGATAAACAATGACTCTCTCTCCAACGCTTGTCCTTCTAATTTCCTTTTCTCTCCAAACTCTCCCCACTCGGGGTCACTTCCACTCTGTCCACTCTCAACACCCCCCAAACATATCCAACGCTACGTTCCAAAATCTTCCACCTCGACCGTTAAAATGCCTATGGCTTGGAATGATACTGCCGACGCGAGAGTAAGCCCCATCCATCTCTTGACGGACACAACTGAAAGGGACTAACAAGCCAGCTCCTCGTCACCATTCTCCAAACCATCAACACCAAGCTGGACTTCCCAGCCATCGCATCCTACTTCTGCTGTTGCTGCTGAGGGCAGTTCTAGCTCGCCTACTCCATCTGCCACTCCTTCTCCCGAGAAGAAAAGGAGAAGAAGGGGAAGACCCGCTGGTTCGAAGAACAACTCCCCCACTAAGAAGACTGAGGAGGATGCGAAGGAGTCTGAGAATGACAGTGACTAGATGGTGGCTATTGACTTGGTTTTTTCCTTATGGCTTGGTGTGTCTTTCTTCTTAATGTAGGGGGATTAGTGTTTTTTTTTTCTTGAGTTATGGAAATTTGACGGTAGGATCGGAGAGGTGGAGTGGTTGGTTTGTTCTCTTCCATTGAATTCTATCGTGGAGAGGTCAGTATTCTTACAGAAATGCAACGAGAATTTCCACTCCGCGTTTGAGCTGATATGTAACTATCCGGAGTATTCCACCATTCTCCTAGATCATGCTGAAATACTACCTTTGGCCACAATCCTCAAAAGAACAACGAAGAACGAGAAAGAAAATCAATCGTATTTCATGCATAAAGCATCTCATCGTCCTTATCCTCCTCTGCCCCAACATTCTCAGGAACATATTCCGAAACCGAACTCTCCACCTCCGCCACCGTATTATCATCGTCTTCATCATCCTCGTAGTAACTGGCCATCCCAGGAGGAAGGACGCTCTCCCTGCAAGCTCTCTTGGACGGAGACTCCTCAAAAAGAATCAAATCCTCTTGGGGTTCGGTTTTCAAAGTCACGCCGACCTGATCTAGATCCTGGCCCCCGGTGTGATTCTGATTCATACCCTCGACGGTAGGATGTAGCTGTTTCTTCTTCGTTGGGCTATCCTCGTCTTCCATTTTGACGGGAACGTTCTGGCCCAGGTGGGGATGATCGCCACCATTCTCGACGAGCTTACGCTTTCCGGACGCAGGGGTTTTTTTGCTTGGGGTTTTGGCAGCACCGGCACGAGGCTTCCGGGGCGTCGATGGGCCAGAACTGTTTCCCTTACCGATGCTGAAATGCGCGTCTCCGCCGTTGGTGGACTTAACTATCTGGCGCATGCGGACGAGACGCTCGGTTATAGCCCTTGGGGTGGGACGGTCAGCTGTTTTTCCATTCTCTTCTATGGTAGCTGGTGGGATGTCAGTTTGGGGTTGTTTTTGAGTATTTTTGTTGATATATGGGGGATTATGGATGGGGAGGAGGGGAGGGGGGAGGAAGTAGAACTTACGCCAGGCTTCGGCAACACGCTTGGTGTCCACAGAGAGGTCATGGGTTTCGAGGATTTTAAGAAGAAGCTGGGGAAGAGTCAGTATTTCGATTGTAGAGTGAAGGATGGTGAACACTGACGAGCTGGTCCTTTTCTGGGGACCAGCGGACGGGCATTGTTGTGGTTGTCGAAGTTCACGAGGGCGTGAAGAGAAGGATACCGGAAGAGGACAGAGGACGATGTAAGGGAAGGAAAGTGAGAGGAAGGTAATAGAGAGAAGTGAGAGCAAGCGATGGTGAATGGCGCAGTTTTGACTCCCAACACTTTATAGATATGGGCTGTGACAGGGTTTCCATGGATTTCCCAGGATCCCTGGGAGCAACGGAGAGAGACTTTCCAGGCAGAATCCATGGGGCGCGGAGACCGGCACGTAACTTTGTGACTTTGTACAGCTTTGACAAGCCAAATTGTATGGGGATTCTGTACTCTCTGCCAGCCGGATGGACAACCCTGCAGCCTACTGGGAACAACGAGCAGCGGTGTAAGGATGTTGAACATCCTGGCCTCGACGTTCCTGCGTCGGAAGAGCGTCTGGCCACTCACATCTTTTTCCAACCTCCCAGGATGCTGCATCGGATGTTTGATTGCGCATTCCGTTTGCCATTCACTTCTTGGACAGATCGAATCCATCCAGTGAATCCAATGATTGGTAGCTGTCCCGGATCTTGCCATCCTGTGAGAGTTTCATGGGACGCTGCTCTTGACTCGAAGGGATCGGACTGAGCATTTTAAGGACAAGAGGTCGGCTCCCCCTTGTCCCTGGGATATTTCTGTTGGTTCCTACACTAGGATAGGCGGAGCTGGTCCTGCTGTTTCACCATATAAGGCCTCTGGTTCTCTACTCTATTCTCCCACTACGAGACGTCTCTCTGTCTTGAACGAGCTTGTCTCTACTCCCACATCTTCTCACTTCTCAGTCTGTTTCTGTCCTACCTCTCTATACTTGCTCATAGTATTTCTCTCTTCTTTGTCATAATGGTGAACTGGAAGAACCCCGAATCGACGGATCGCCTCATCGCGGCGTTGATCGCTGCCCATCCTGCCGTGAAGGTAATGTGCTCATCTCTCCTGGATTCCTTCCAACCCAACTAATATTTTTCCAGCTAGAGTACCAAGCTATGGCGACATACTTCGGCCAAGGAGCCACCTACGACTCCATCGAAGGCCGATTCCGTCGTTATCGAAAACTCGCTGAAGACCTGCGAACTGAAGCTCGCAACCGCGGCATCACAGACATCCCTCGCAGTGCTCGATCGGGTGCATCGACACCACGAACTCCACGTGGACCTCGAGGCGTGACCAAGGTGTCGTCAGCGTCGTCAGGCAGAGGCAAAGACGCCGGTCGGACGGCCCTGTCGTCGCCTACGAGACGCGGCAGCGGTCGCCGCTCTGCCAATGGTGGGGGAATGAGTATCATGGATGCAATATTCCTGGATGACGAGACGCCCGAGGAAGATACCAAAATCAAGACGGAAGCGGCACAAATCCTATCGGGAATAGGAGGTGTCGTCGCGACCGGTCATATCCCGGACTTGGAGATCATCAGTGAGTCGACTGTCACTGCATCTGCATCTACTACTACCACCGAACCTGTCACTCCCAAAGTTGAGGACTCGAACCCGTCGACGAATAATTTTTCGTCCACATACGGCACCATCAAGCATGAAGACCAGGCCAACAGCTTTATGGGTGACTCGACCGGGGTGGCGTCGTCTATCGGTTCGAACGGATGCGGTGCGACTCTGGACCATGTTGCGATGGAGGACGATCCATTTAGTATCTCGGGAATGTATTTTCCCCATGGACATGCAGGCTACGACATGGATGATATCTATGGTGGCGCGGCATGAGACAAGGCTACTTGCGGGGTTTAATTTGTTTCGTTATCTCTTTTCTTTTTTTTTTTTGTTTTCTTTGTTCTCCCCCCTTAATACACAACAAACAAGATCCTGGAATCATAAATATGATGGACGGCTAGATATGCGTTGTGTCTCATGGATGGCGCTAGCGGTGCTGGGAATATGTGAGTGGCTGTTGCAATTGGCGGACACCATTGGTGACATGTCATGTAAGGTGGGGGAGGATGTGATCTATATTGGAGGATGGAACAGGAAGAAAGTAACAATTGGTAGGGACAGGTTTGAGTGGCAATTTAGATGCATCAAAGAAAGAATGCGGCAGAAACAGTTCATATTTTGGCTTGGACATGTAGATGCTGATATGGCTGGCCCTAGCCCTGTGCCCTAAACCCTACGATCTCTTTGTGTACAACTCTCCTCTTCCTAGGTATCTTTATAAGATATCAATTTGATTATTTGATGCAGCTCTTCTATCAACATAATTTAACTATAAACTAGATGTTTTTTTGGTTGTTGAGTGGCAGAACTCAATACGAGCCTTGGCTCCTTGCAGCTCAAACACAAACAGTATGGTGACTCAATGCAAGCAGGTCGCCATTCCCAGCCAGAATCTGTACGTGAATATCATTGTGATGGTTTGGTTGTCTCTGCGCAAGTAGAGATAAAACCACTTACCATATAAAAAGGTACAAGACGACTGATCGAAAATCAGTCGCATCTAGCGCCCTATATAGTATGTTACAGGTTCAGCCTGTGACAATCATAACGACATTGTACACCATATCGGAGCTTCATCTCTGAATATCTCCATCTCAATCAGAGTGAGAATGACATTGTATCTGACACCATTTTGAATGATAGCTACACTTCTCGCTGGTGACATCCTAGCCGATGGCCTCAGCTGATCGTGCTACAATCCAGTGCAATTTCTGAGCTAAGGGTGTCTCATTGACGATAGTGTCATCAATTGAGAAGACCATGTGGGACAATTAGCTCATTGCCTGCGTTAGTCTTCGCTCCTTCGATATGTCGCCGTAGGTCGCTGTGGCTAATGCCACGTGCTGCGGGCAGAAGCAGGAGTCGGAATCGCTTTCTGCGCTCGCTCAACCCTCACCACGCAATGCCGCGGGGATACCCAGAGACAATTACAGGTGATGGATGCCTGTCTTGGAGAAATATTAGCAGGAGCTGTACACCGATGGACGGAATAGGGGAAGTGGGTGGAGGTGTATTCATGTGTGAGGAACCTGCTTGTCGTGGAGAGTACAACGCTCAGGAATCCTCCCAGGATGGAACTGCGACAGTTTGGTTGCTCTAGGCGGCGCTTGTTATTGTAGAGAGTGGATGAAAGCATACTGCTGTGTTGTCCATCTCGTCGGCTACAATATGATGGCGTGTGCCTTGTTCTTGTATAACGCAGGGCCCTTCTGAAGAAGATGACCGATGATTGATAGATACTCTTGGATGGGTCACAGAGGGTGAAGAGTAACGGGAATATTGTGTCTGTATATCCCATAGCGGTCGTCAGTCCAGCAGACTAAAAGAGGAATAGGTACTCCATACATACAAGAACGCATCATCAATCTAGCTAACCTATTGGCTTGATTTGACCTCCAAGAAAGAATGGGTATCTGGTTTGCGAACAATAAACGCTCGGTAATGCAGCGAGTTGCAGAGGAGTGGCGATGTCGTTGGCATGATGCCTATAAAAAGAGGAAACTGAGAAGAGATGGACAAACAGGTGGAGGCCCGATTAACAGAGAAGAGTTCTCGGCGCAGTGCCACACCAGAATTATCTGGGTATGAAACACCTACTGGTGATCCTTATAAGGCACTATAACTGAGGTCCCACCACTAGGAACAGACGTCGTAATCATTGATAAATTAGATGAATTTAGCGAGGGTATGCTTAAAAACAGCTGGGCTTGGAATGGTCTTGGGACTGCTTATTAGGGCCAAGTAGTACTTTTTGTTTACTGTAGTATATGTATTATACTCTTCGTGTAGCTCATATGGTCCATTACTGTCAACCTGAAATCGCCACTACGAAGTAATCGCCACACCTCCGAAACAGCCACTATACTTAATACAGCCATCAAAGCTACGATCATTCAAGCTACGGTTCTAACTGGAGAAACACCTCAGCTGAGAGGCCCATATTCAGCTATGAGATGCCTGATGAACGGCATGATCATCGCCTGAGTAGCAATGAGCTCTATCGGCGACTCCGAACTGATCTGTACATAAATATGACTTCGTTTCTGCTTAGTTTAGTTAACTAGACCTTTCGTTCCACATCATCTTGATCCATAGCTCATGAACGGTATATCTGAAAGTCAACAATTACTCTGGAATTATTGCTGTAAGTAGATGGGCTACCATCGATTATATTTACTGCAGATAATCACCACTAAATCTCAAAGGTACCATATTATCTCAAAGGATGTTTGGCTGGGTTGTAATTGGTGCCCACATCTTCACAGGAACAAAACAACTACATTAGGCGTCCAACAGAAGTAGTGGTAGTCATACGCCTGCATAGAACGCCTAAGGAAAATTGCGATGATCTATGCCCAGATTGTTTCTACGGCGCGCTCTGATATTTATTAGCTAATCATTGTGGAAGAACCGTGTCTGACATACATGATCAAGAATGATCGACGGACAGCCAAGTACGAATAATTGGATATAAGATAGAAAGGAACGGACTCATAAAAATAACCAACCTATTGAAAGAACTTAAGAAGGGTTATTATTTATATAGTTACCTAGTACAGTATATACTTGGCATAAGATTATACGAGCGTTGATCTTCGACAATCATGTACAGCTCCTGTTGCATACCCATCTTCACTATTCAATCAATGAATGTCTTTTCGTGAACCTCTGCGTCCCTCTGCCTAGTCTCAGTATCATACACAGCAACACAACTCAGACAATCCAACGTCAGCAACCTTTGGGCAAAGATATAAATTCAGCGTCAAATCCCTCGTTACTTAGATATCAATCACTCAATCAAACCCCCATTCAGAATTCTACAACCAAAGTTCAAATCCCAAATATTCGTACCTCAATCAACAAACCATTACCATGAAGTTCTCTGTCACCATCCTCCCCATTATCCTTGGTCTAGCATACGCGATGCCATCCCTCGAGGAGCGAGACCAACCCGCTCACTACTGTGCCGGGGATGGGACTCTGGACGACCTTCACAAATGCTGCAAAGTAGGTCAATCCTATCAAGACTTTTTATATTAGCTACCTAACTTTGATCCTTTAATAGTGTTCCGGAGGCAAGGGTTACTGTTCTGGTGATGCATGCTATTGCACAAAGGATGGAAAGCACTGGTGCTAGGGTATTAGACACTCTGGTTTGAAAGGCTTTCCAAAGGCATATAAGAGGAGGAATCAGAATTGGCTACAGGGGAAACATCACTCTTTTTTAGTCCCTTTGTACTTAGTTGGCCGAGTTTGGCTTAGGTATTAGTGGAATCAACACCCATTAACAACTACAATTCATGAACCTATCTATCCCCATACTGGGCTATGGCAGACTTCAAGGGGTTTAGCTACCCATTTCCCAGTCGGTTAGGGGTTACTTTATACTTCCTGCAATCACAATATATTTGGAGCCGTGCCACGCGCATTTCGCGGTAGGGTACGTCCCAGGCCAACGGAAGATGTCAGGCCAACGCAAAATTTGAAGCTATTTCTATCCATTATATACGAGCACCAGTAGAATAAACAAAATATAGGCTATCTGCGGCATCTTCAAGCACCTTTCTAGGTGCTTCATGTACTTTCCCTCCCCGACATGTTCTCTGGCATATAATTCCCTTTAAAGCGCGTGTTTGTCTCACCCGCTTGACCTCTGCCCGGCGCTCATACTCTTGCTGCTTTATAACCTTCTGGTTAGCATCCTCTATATTAAGAGGCTTGTAAGTCTTGATTTGCTGCTTTTATTTGCTGGTATTTGAAGCTGACAGGTCTGGCAGTTGGTGATTAAGTATACAAGATACTAATATTTCTTCTTTATAAGTAATAATTATCCTATTCGTCGTGGTACCTCTCATAAGGTTGGTTGAGCCTTGTACGCATTGCCGCACCGTACAGGGTGGATTCCTATCCCCTGAATATTGCCATGTCCCAGGCGCGTTTGGCGGAGCATGGCCAACTGCAAATGGCCTGACAGAGCCAGTCGGTGTTCCATACATGATGAGCTGTGGCAGAATACTTAAGGTATGTAGTGAAACGAAGTTGAACTGGAATTCAAGTGAAAGTTGAGTAAAGTCAGAACGACGAATACAGCATAGTGGGAACGGTGAAGTAAGGTAAAATATCGTGCTAGGATGGGCAAAGGTGGCGAAGCAGAGGAGCATTACTGTTGCAAGAAGGCCATGACAGCTTGTCCGGAAAGCTCCAAATGACGGTTTACAATTTCTTGTTCTGAAAATTTCCACGATAGAACTTTCCATCGTGCGTCCGTTTTCCATTTGTTGTGGCGGTAGTCCCTCCAAATCTTGTGCCAATATTGACCAGGTATTGCAGGATACCTCTGCAGCATCAGTTCAACAGTATAGCTTGTGTCGGGAGATTCCCTTGAATCAACCATCCCAACCCGCCCAGGAAACCCGTAAGCGAAGAATAGACATTGTTTTAGATAGTCGGATTTCTTCTCGGGGTCCCAAGCCAGCTTCCTTTTGGAAGCCTGTTTCCAGTGGCACGTAAAAATTAAAAGCTCGATCACATCGGCCGAAGTCGACGCAACACGCATATCGTGAAAACGGATCCAGCCAAACTCGGTGGTGTTGTTCGGCCAAAGACATACTTCGCCCCCACCCACTGGGTAAATGTTTCGAGTTTCGCACATTGCAGTTGTGTCATCAGGTAATCGTCGACAAAATCATATACTTCCAAGATATGGGCTTCTAGCAGTGACTTCCGATTGTGATACAGTGTATCTATTGTATCTTGTCCCATGCCATGTTTTCTTCCGTCCGGCGCGGATAATGGCAAATTTTAGCGAACTGCAGCGCCTCGCATATTAGCCAATGAGCGGTCAACGCCATATAGAAGACTGCTTCGCCCCGTTTGTGAGACTATGATGGGCCTTCGGTGCTATCCGCAGCCTTCACTAGACCAGCGTTTGAGAATTCCTCATGCACATTCAGGTCCGGATGTTGCTGTAAGAGCTTTTGCAGTCGAATCGGTCCCTCCGGGAGATGCTCATACTCGTGTAAATCACAAATGGGAGATTGGCAGTAGGACTGGTGTATGAAAGGACTCCGATACGTTCTTGCAAAAATATTAGCCCTTGCCAGCGAACTACAATATCCCAAACCTGTCGATCGCTCAACATGTCTGCATTCAAGTACACTAGAAACTCTGAGGGTAGAGGATGAAAATCTAGATTCAACATAGTAGTGACGGGTTGGTAGATGCTGAGATGACCATGTCCAGTAAGCATCTATAAAGTGGCACAACTGGATATCGTACTAGTGAAGGTCCGATTGGACCTGATCGGGGGTTAATGAGCAATGGGCATTCAACGACTACAATCAAATCTATACGGTAGAAATCACGAACAATCACGCATTTCATAATGGTCAGCTGATGTGCATCGAAGAATGAATACAAAAGTCGGCAGCACCGACTGAGGTGAAGGCACTCATTAATATTGTCGAGGGCTTTGTACAGTTCAAATATAATATCATCAGGAAGGGTGGCCATTCCAGTTATGCCCCCCTTCAAAATATTATTATATCGGGACCTTAAAACACCATTTTTAGTTGAATCACCGGTGAGACTATGTCGGCATTCAGCTTGCAGCCTGACACCAAATGCGTCAACCATTTTAAGCCACGTGATCAAGACCCGTCACCCGTCTCGTTAAACGAGTAGACAGATTCTAGTTGTTTAGATAAATGGTTAATATTGAGGTGACTGATAACCAGTAGGCTTACAGTGAGCATTGAGGCAGAAATAGGCACATATTGTTAAAATTCAGTATTCCACCACTTATAGAGTCGCATCATGGAACACAAGAATTTCGACTGATTGGAGGAATTTTCGCTGAGACGCACTCATTTGGTCACTATGGAGCTTGCAAGTAGAGAGGACAAAGCCCAGTCAGCGTGGATCAACGCCTCAAGAGTTTAGCCTGCTAATAAATTCACCGCAATTACCTGTAGGGTTCTTCTTTCTACTGGTATAAACAAATACTGCCTCTTCCTGTGGCACTTGTCTACACCCCCTGTCTGCTCAGCTCTGGCTTTTGCTTGGGTTATACGCCCCTTAGAGGTGGATAAAGTTTGATGGGGATCTTTGATGAATAGCGCACCCTGAACACTGTCCGCGAGGGAATAATCAGATGGTTTATTTCCTGAATCTTGGTTGTGACAGCTTGAATAGGCTTCACCGTGAGCTGCAGCGGTATTTGTAGGTGTTGTATCTACAGTGACCGCGGACCTTTTGTGCCCAAGTCGATGACTGTTAATATGGAGTGCATCAAACTGGAGGATGGTCTGGTTATCTGTTAGTCCCTCGTGGATGCCCGTATCGCCAGAGTCAGCGCAGGCAGCCGACCCGGACTCATCACGTGTCCCGTCGATGGGAGGCGGGCCATCATTCCCTGGACAAAGCAGATCAAGGATTCTGGGATCAATAAGTTCAAGACCAGGAGTCGTACAGAGAGAACTCAAAGAAGAAGAGGGGGCTGAAATATCAGCTGTGCTGCTCTTACTAACCAGGCTGTCTGGTGTACTACTGCTGGAGTAGGAGGGAGGACATGGATGTTCACAGGTGAAAATAGCTGGCTCTGAGACCAAGGCATGCATCTTGGTTAACATGGACCATTCAAGAGAACCAGCTGTCTGCAGGTGCTGATTTGGGGGTTAATAGTGTTAGAATTAGAGTTTCTTTAGTATTAGTTCTTAGGTTTTCTCCTCTACACAGGCTGGTTCTGTTTTGGTATCTCTTTTTTTTTTCAAAGTTGACTTCCTGGGCTTCCAAATTCCATTAGTCAGACTGTGTACATTGTGTAGATAGTACCAAAAATCTTGCTCTAATAGAAAAGACTGGGAGCAGCCACAAATAGGATTAGTTGTTGGCTATTTTGTCTTCTTAATATATTTTTGTTCCACATGCCTCCTCAAGTTCGCACTATACAACCAATATTTCAACCTCTCCTTGGCTGGGAGCTCTTGATTCCACAGGCAACAAGAGTAGTAGCCAGGGCGAATAACAGTATAATAATAAACAACAACTTTACAGTGGCAATCACTCCATAATTGCAGATAGTAACTGCAATGGTCGCGCTACTTTGTTTGTAAACACCAAGTTATACACTTGTAATAATACTATAAATCTAACTTGCTAACATGCAGGCGTCCAGCCATGTCCCTACAAGTACAGCCATAGATGTAAGCGCTTCTTTTACTACGCTTAAATCTGTGATAGTTAGCAATTAATTCCAATCTATAGTCAACTTCAGTGCTTACTTCTAAATATCTACCTGGTAATTATTCACTGGGTATTTCCCGTCGCTGGTCGGGGCTTTGTTGGGGAGATAGATTATGTTGTAATCACAGCAGCACTGTGTTAATAACTGTTCTACAAAGAGCAGTCTTTTATCAAAGGAGAGTAGCTCTGAGGTGGATAAAGCTGCTGCCAAGTAGTCTAATTCCAGCATAATAAGGGCCAATGCACGCGTATATATATTATTCTTAGGGCATTCTGGGTTGTTCCTTCCTCTGTTAAGAATCTGCCAATCTCTCCTTTCTTAGAACTACTTAGATTGGTAGCAATAGAGTTTGGAAAGTTGAATATGGCAAAGTAGCTTCCTATAGTCTGATTGCGCAAGATAAGCTTCTGTAATATCTCTTATAAAGAGGAATTTTTAGATACAGTCCCTAGCCTTAACAAGCTTAAGCTGTGCTAGAATAGTATCTTCCATCTCTGCAGGTAGCTTGGTGGGGAGCCTGACTTCCTGAAATTATCTATAGCCCTGGAAGTATATTATATAATATGTCTCCTCCTCCTTGTCTAGAATATTACTAACGGTATCTATTGATAAACAGTGCGCCTAATAGTGTTCTGGGTAGGTTGACTCGGACCGATAAGTATATATTTGGGATACAGATGCGGAGCCATGTCTTGCTGTAAGATATTTTAGCTCTTAATTTGCAGTGGAGCTGATCCAAAGTATAATATACCTTCAATCTTCTTGCCCAGTGACAATAGATATTGTGGATAGTAGTGTACTTAGGGTAACCAGCTGTAGTAAGAAGTAAACAGAGAAAGGAACAAAACCTCTCTTTATTAAGGGGCATATCTTATAGGCCTTTGGCAGTAATATTTCTAAAGACTGGCTTGTTCAAAATATCTGTGTTCCAGTATAGCAGAACCTCAGTGGTCTACCCATCACAAAGGTCAAATTGAATCAAGTTATCTAATGAACTGATGCCAAAGATAGCCCCATGTATAAGGGCAATAACAAGAAGCAGGATACTAGATGCAAACTACAGTCTATTATAGTCACAAATACTGATACTAAATCTAATAAGCTAATTAGTAACAATGCATTTAATGCGGCAAGAAAAACATGCATGTTATTTTAATTATACTTATACTATATAGTTTGGATTCTAATTCTTTTTTAGCTATTACTGGTTGATCCGCCAGCCTACCTTCCAAGGTTGTCACAATTCGGACTACAGAACAGCACTAGCTTGATATGCTATGGATAGTTAGAAAGAGAATACCTGTAGAAAAAGGACCTTACCTTATATTAGAGGCCTCTTTTATTCCTGTATTTTATATCCAGAATAAAAGCACCAATTCTTGCTCCTGTGAATAGAAAAACTTGTAGTGCAAGTAGAATAAATACCTTGAGAAGTCCATGCATTAATACAGGGCTATTACAGGTCTATATTAATGATACAAGATCAATGAAATCATCCCTAGTAAAATTAAACTTTTGTTTTTTAATATCCTTAACTTTACCCTCTTCTGTCAAGATTTTTTTAATCCACTTCAACTAAATTAGTACACTGGCTCTCAGGTAAATAGGATCTGTATACTAAATAAATCTCCAAATAATTATCTTGCACAATCTTGCTGCCTATTACCTTCTTAAAGCTACTAAAGAATTATTCAGCACATGACAAGGCAGTCCTTACTGTAGCTGTTTTATTTTTACTGAGCTGTCCTGTGCCTTTGACAGTGTGGATATAAGATTGGATAAAATCTTTAATAATGTTGAAAACCAGGATGCCTAAGGCACCTTCGGGTATCCTAGTCCTGAAGCCATCTGACATATCACACGCAAGGGGCTAAAGGACACGTAGACATAAGGAAGCGTTTATCTACGCTTCCTCTCCTAGATAGACAAAATATACTCACCATGCGATACTAGATCGCACTGATAGTTCAATATACTATCCAGTCACCGCTATCCTAGCACCTCACGACATAGCTTCTTCCCCGAGATTCTCAACAAATAATAACAATATCTGGAGCTAGGCAGCCAGGCTTTATCTCATATCCAGGTGGCTTGTATTCTTCTTCTATTATAAACCTGGTGCATTGATACTAGTAGACCTATGTGTCACGGCGTGAGCATGGTGGAACAACTGGATTCTATTTTGACGAAGACATCGCTTGAAGAACTTGTAAACAGGGCGACGCGAGGTCAGAACTAAACTATCTACAGGCGGTGGAGGGAGGCAGAACCCGAATCCTGACACTATGTAATAAGATTATTCTTCTAGAGACAACTTACTCCAGGTAAGAGGTCATGTAATCCTGATATAGCTTTTTTATTTTATTAGTCTGGTCATGCTTTTTTCTTATAGCATCTTCCTCTTGGTAAGCTTTTGAAATATAGCTATTTACTGCCTGTTGCTTGTAGTGCTTTCTTTTTATATCTTTATCCTGGAAGAAACTTCTTTTTCCCATTGTCTTGTCAGCGAGCAGCAAAAGAAACGCTTGCAGAAGATTAATAGATATAAGATAATTAAAGAAAGCAAAGTAAGAAGATTAGAGGAAATAGAAATAGCTAATAGGATCTTGCCTCCATAGTATTAACTGCCCTGAAGGGAGGAGTTGACCTGCCTTTATAGCTTTGTTGGAAACCATCTTTATCTTAAAGTTGCCCTAAATGTACACTCCACCTTGTTATCGTCACATGGAGCTTAATTACTCTCCATCAACTTTCTATTTGCGTCATTGTGTATGGTAGTTTGATGACCTGGGCAATCTTGAGGGCTGTTCATCCGACATAGCCGTCGAACTACCCGTGCAAAATAAAGGGGGTGAGTAGATCAGGGCTCACGTGACTGATCACTAAGTACTGACTGAGCGCTCACTGAGTGCTCACTGAGCAGTCAGCCGTGATAGGAAATACTCACTGAGCAAGCCCCTGAGTACCCTCACTAAAGCAGCGGGTTCTAAAACAGGAAATTTACGAGATTATAGAAAAACAGGTACGTGTAGGAGCCTATATACTAAATTTTAGATAGCCTAATATAGTAGCTATTACAGTACTATAAATTACAGAGTATATTATTATATACGATGTATTTAAGAGTGTTGCTTCTTTATTTTGCACAAAGGTCTATATATATATATTGGTATACCAGATCCACCTATATAATGTAATGCTAAATAATTAACTGCGTGTTGGGATATAGGGGACTGAAATATAACCTTTTATGTAGAACTACAATATCGGGGGTCGGCAGTTGAATACGTTGGTTAGCACTGTTGTGATTACCTGATAATAAGTCCAGCTAATTCTCTATCTGCGAAGCCGTCTAACGGAGGGAGGGAGATAGAAGATGGTCATTACTCGAGGAGAGGGAGAAAGTAGAGCTGCCGGACCCAGAATCACTTTCCCTTCCGACGAAGTCTTTCAGGGATGATGAAGACAGGAATGTTTAGATTAGACTTGTTCTAGAATAGTTTACTCAGTTCCCGGTAGTCGACATTAGAAGAAGCGCCCATCATTGAGTTGAAAATAGTAGTCCTGAAATGCCTCTGGATGTATTTACTCACATCCTGCACAAACTCCATCTCCACAGAACCCGGAACAAAGGTGCCATGAGCCATGAGCAAAGGAAACAGCAACCGATAAATCAAATTCCGTGGAGCGGTATAAATAAAGTAGCGGGTACTGCGACATATATTGCAGGCAATGGCATATCGTTCACGCGGCTTCAAGGAGCGAAGAGGAACCGGCGTGGGTTCCGATATTACCAAGAGTAGTGCCCAATAGTAGCACATCGCGATGGCAAGAAGAACGTCGTGATACTCATAATGTGTTGCGAACACGATCCCCATGTCGGGATTATGGCATTGAAACATTGGAAAATCGTCCCTATATGGTGTTGGAGACTCCGTGATACTTCCGGATGAGTAGGCAGAGACAACAGATTCCTTCCAAACGTCTAGCTGCTTGAAAATATTGGCTGCCCTTCCGCTGAGTTTCTCCTGTTGAGACTGTATCTCCAGCGGTGAAAGACAGTTCTCGCTGACCATTGACATAATATAATCCAACTCCGCAAGGAAGGAAGGTATTCGGGATGCAATATCTAGGAGCTGTTGTAAAATATCCTTGTGCCTTTCGTCGTTAACCCATGGTACTGTTAACCATTCCTTCGTGCCTAAAAACGTATGACGGCGACGAAGAATTGCAAAGGTTACCTGTCAATCAGCCAAAGTTAGACTCTCTGGTTACAATTAAGAAAAGAATTTACGGTGCTACATAAGCGAGCCTGACCCAATATATTCGTACTTCTAAGAATAGTGATTTCCCAAGCCCCGTTTGATGGCGCTGCGGCGATCGACGTTGGAATAGGCGAAGAGCCCAACCCGCATGCTTAAGGAGTGTCTTATAAGACGAAGTTGACATCTGCACCATCCAGTAGTGGATTAATGTTAACACAGTTAATAGGCGAACTAGGAAGAAATCATGTACTAACTTCAATGACCCCGAAAAGGTAGGTTACCGTAAGTGCTTCCAGTGAGAGTTGTTCGTTGAGCTGAGGCAGTGATCTGCCTAGTAGCCTAATAGCCTTGTTATAGTGTTGGTATCCTGCTGACACGAGGCCTCCATTAGAGTCAAATCGACCGATGATCAGGAGCGACGCAGCATGAAGTGCTTCGCATATCAAGGGCGATGTATGTTTTAACGATGCAACCTGTGGAAGTACAGTGAACTGTATCTCGCCGTTTTCCATCTTAGGGCTGTACGCATCAATTAAACGCTGTAAAACGTTTTCTGTAACCATGGAAGTGGTTAAATTGGAGGGCGATGGGCTGATACCACTCTCTGTCGGCGTTGTATTAGCTCATAAACAAGATAATGCCATGATTGAACGAACGGCCAGTACCGTGGTCTGTTAGACTAGTTGAACATGCAACGCAACGGGCTGGTTTGATATCTGCCAGTTTCCGCTCAAGTTTCTGGCATTTCACCCTAGATTGTTTTCCTGTGCCAATCGACTCGCTAGTAATGTCGCCCTTGGTAGTACAGGTGCATTTACACTGGGAAAACACTCTTCCTGAACAGCAAGGAGTACAAGACTTCAGGTGGTCACACTGATAGGAACATGAGCAATTCTGGTTACAAGATGTCAATGCGGTCCTTCTTTAGCACATGCAAAAGATATATATACCTCATGGTTCCGTGCATCGCAGGTCAAGCATGAACCGACGGGCAGTTGTCTGACGGTTGTCGGTCCAGAGTACGGTACAATGATCATATTCATTGTAATTCAAATAAACCTGAATTCTCTTTCATAGTCCGACTTGAACATGACTGTGAGATCCTAATACAGGATTTCCGAAGCAAGGCAGATGCGCCTATCGGACAATTTAAGCTACCCCTCTCGGTGGCAAATTATCTCTATGACATTCAACGGAGCCCTTTGCTGGTTCCAACCCTATTTCTGAAGGACTTAACCAGAACCAGATATTCTAGAAGCTGTCGATTAACGTTAAAATGTGGGTAACGGAAGTAACGATCTCCAAAGTTTTCTTCCCGAAGATAATTAAAGGTTGTGCAGTGTACAGTATATTATGATATAGTTGGGACCCAACTCTTCCACCCACCGTTTAAGCAGAGTCCCCTATTGTAGGAATTTAGTCAAACCTATCTATCCAAAAGAGAGAGAGAGGTATTGAGTTTCATTCATGACTGAAATAAAAGGTAAGCAAAAACATACAACAGTCAGGATTCGCTGGTGGTCACCCACCCAACTACTAACTGACCGGCGTGTGGTTTGAGTACGGCTGAGCGGACGGGAAGCCCTATTTTCCACACCCTATGGTCGTATGTACTTTAAATATATTAAGTATAACTTAAATTGTTTAGTAGAAATGTTTACCTTGCTACAGCTCTACCATCCAACTAGACCAAAGCCCTAGCTCTGTCTGATAGTCGATACGGAGGGAATCTATGCATGTACACAGCCATTTAGCAATATAGTATGTTGACCGTTGCGACAACTTCAATCCTGGATTTTATAGATGCAGTCACTGGTATAGTCTAGAATACTCTCTATGCCCGGACTGGCGGGAATTGGATTCGCCTGCAGATAGAGAGTTATGTTAATGTCTCCGTTACCAAGGTCACTATCTACACCACATGGAAAAAAAAAATACATTTTTAGATCAATAAAATAATTCTAAACTATAATTAAGAATATTTCTAGTAATAATGTATATGTAAAGTAGTTGGGATTAAGAATAATATTACAAACCAGCCGCTATTTTCACGATGTTTTTGAACGACGCATAAGATTATAATTGAGTTAATCATACCCAGCCTGGCTTCTCTACATGACAGTAGTACCTGCGAGATCTTCAATATACTAAACTCTGTTGCCAGTGAGAGTATGTTTCCCAAAGATATCAAGGTCTTAATTTCTAGATACAGCTGGATATTATTCCGGCGAAAAAAATTATAAATAGCTACTTTTTTAGTCGGAAGGGTCTTGGTCTAGTTACTTGGACGATTGTTGCTCAGATGCTATCCGTCAACTCCAACAAATCTGGAATGGTGATGAACTGCTTGACTGGGGAATACCAGGCGATATTTTGTTGGACTGTTCCTTGACTCTTCTACCAGTTCAAGAACTGTTAGAACTCTTGGTGGCAGAGAAATATGGTGATATATTTTCTCTGAAGCAATCGAAGCGGCCAGCCTCTTCACTGAGTCATGTTACATCATTAAACTCAAGCAGGAAAAGATCGTTTGGGAAGCGACGCTCAGCCGGTTGACAAAACCCAGCGAACCGACCTCCTGAAGAATGGAATATTGTTCCGGAATAATTAGACCTTTGAGAAATTTAGCCCTCGACCCTTATTGTCGATAACTCATGAGCTGGCACTACGAAGATATAAAAGTCCTGGCTCGCCCCAATTGGTTGACAGTAGTGGACATGAAAACATCAGGGAAATACTATGCCATCACCAAAACCGGTTGAATGTGCTGAGTAATCTAGCCACAGAAGACGCTTAGTGTTGGCAGATAAGCAAACTGAGTCCCTCTAGTCTAAGCTTAAAAAGTGCTAGAAACATATTTTTCTAGGGCCGCGGCTCCATAGGACTTATGTAACTCTCTCCACCGTTAGATGATCAAGGCTCCCAACAAAGAACAGGTAAGCCCTAACACTCTGTATTGAGAACTCCTTAGCGGGGAGACGAGCGTCCTGGTTTGAGCTTCGAAAGGCTTTATTCTCTCTCGCTGAACCCGTCATGCTCAGTGTTTCTTGAGTCGAGACACGCCTGGCTGCTGCCCAAATCACGTGCCCTACGCGCACGCGCCGCGAACCATTGGAAGAGGCGAATTCCTACCATTTTCTCTCTCATTTTTTTCCCTCTTCACTCCCCTCTCCTATCATCAATTCATCCGTCAATCGATTCCGGTCGGCTATCACGGAGTCCAGTCTATCAATGGATCTCCATCGCCTCTAATTCCATGCATCTACTCCACTATGAGCCAACCTTTTTCCTCCTTCCGCCACTCCACACAATGGCCGACCAGCCGCTGTCCGCCAGGCCGTGATGATACATGGCCCGATCCCACACCGCAATCTCACGAGACCTCCCCCTCAAAGTCCAATCCTCTTCCACTTGCCGCCTCCCAACTCCCCGATCTCACGGAGGGTTCCCCCGTCGTCTCACGTCCCTATTATGGCCGTGGTCTCAAATTGAATCTCACCGAGCAGGTTCGGCTGGTCGAAATCTGTCGAGATGCAATGGGTCATTGCAATGCTAAAGCGTACCCCAAAAGTTTCTGGATTCGGATTTCGACGGCTCTTGAGGAGGACACCGGTCGCCGCTACTCTTGGCAGTCTTGTCGGCGACGTATGGAGACCATGATCGCGAAACGGACGCAATTTTGGGAAGCTTTCGAGGATTATGCGTATCGCAAGGATCACCGACCGTGTGATATCGAAAATGAGCAGGTGGCCGATAAGCTAGATTTATGGCTGGAGCAGGAAGGCATAGCCCCCAAAAATTCCCTGGAGAAGAAAAATGCGGCGGTCCTGAAGCGTATGCAAAATTTGTGCCCTCCCAACTTCCAGATGATCAGGGAAACTCTCACCCCGAATACACATCAATATCGAATGGTTCCTGTGGGCCGTACCCCCGAAGTCCCGCAAAGCACTAAGATTCAGCGGGTCGCCAATTGGGTCCGAAGCTTGCCTTCCTCGGAGGAGATGGAAGATTTGCCATTACACTGGGGTGAATCCCAGATGGAATTCCACCTTCGTTGCTGTCCACTCAGGAACAATATTCATCCTTCGCCCCCATCTCACTCCCATTCCCATTCTGGGTCCCGGTCCCGGTTACCTCGTCGTGATGAGATTGCTACTTCCCGGCAGCGGTCTCGGTCACCACATAGTGACCGGCCAGGACGAGCCACTAACCCCATCACAGCTTTGGATAGGGTTGGTCAGAGATTCCATGCTGCAGCGGTGGCTATACATCCGCCTATTGGAAGTCGTGAAAACCCGACTGCCGCGGATGATTTGAGTCCCACTCAGAGCCGCCTACCCGACGCTCAGAACGCCAATACCAACAACAAAAGACCTCGGGACAATGATGACACGGGGAATGATCGGCCCGTACGACGCCTGCGTCACACCCCTCGCAGTCATCCTTCCGAAAGCCAAACTCCAGAGCAAGAGAACGGCCCCGAGCTATCTCAAAATCAAATGAGCACCGTCGACAAGTCGGTGGATCTCGCATTTGGCAATTTCTGGGGCGGACTGGCTCCATTATTTGGGGATCGGGATTTGAAGCAGCAGTTACCGGCTACGAAATCCGAATCCGTGATGCGTGACATGCTGAGAGACATTGCAACCGCCATTACCAAGGCCGTCATGAAGATGAGAGAAGCGGACGGCGACTCGTGAAAAGCTTTTGTTGCTGCACAGCCATTGTTGAGTTTGCATACCATCCAGCGCGTTTCCTTAATCTCCTTCGCTCGTTCCCTTGCATATTGCTTTCCTTTGAGCCTTTTCTCATTGTGCATCAGATTGCCTCGAGATACCCCCTTCTTTTCTATCAGATTTGCTGCATTTCATTGCATTGTCTGTTGTCGTTTTTGAATTGCTTTGAGTTTCTCGTATAGAATGGAGATTTGGATGGGATAATAAATTGTTTTATAACTCCCTTAGTAAATATTTCACAATACTATGTACGTACATGCCACAGATACCAATTTCATAGACGGCAAGGACCTATGTAGCATAAACAGCTGTCGCAGACAACTATTAAATCAAATTATATATACTCGCTACCGTTCATTTTCTACCTCAGTGGACTCTGTTCTACAGCCATAAGAATGGGTCTTGGAAGGTCTTATAATTCCTTAAAGATTAAGGGATATAGCTAGTTGCCTATTTCTACCCCCTCCTCACCCCAACAGTTAAGATTTGGCTACCAAACACAGACTTTGCCAGGGTCTTGGCTGATGAGTTTGTACTTAATAGATCTCAAGAGGATCCAAGCACTGGCAGGTGCGCATACCACAGCGACGAAGATGATAATAGACTAGGCACTATGTCCGCGAGGAATCAGACAGAACCCAGCAAATGTCTTTCTGGGTTAGCTCAAGAAGAAATTGAGAAGTGGATTTCTGGTGTCTCTGCGATTAGTATTTGATCTTCCTCTTCTTTTGGCTGGATGAGAGACAGAATGTCTCACCTTGTCGTTCAGAGCATCGAGTGCGGCTTTTACACCTGCCGTGTTCAACCCAACAGAGCCCTCGCTAATGCTCAAGTATTTAGTGGCAATACATAGGAGGCCAGCTGGCACCATTTGGATACGCGTATCTTCTGGATACTATTAAATGGGATTTCTTCGTATCCTTCAACTGTATTGAACGAGTCAATGCGCTCTGGCTCCCAGATATTGCTTCCCTGAAACAGGGGCCACTGGCACTTCTGGCAGTGGTGTGTCAGCGAGTTGCAGAGTCTTTCACACATCCTGGAAGCAGCCTCGTTTGGGGATTTGGCGCAGTTTTCTGTAAGAAACTTCTGGGCTCCATTGTGAACAGCGCAGTCTCGAAAGTATGTTTCTGGCATGGAGAAATACTCTGATGACAAGCTTACCACCCGGCAAACCCTGACATACTCGGTTTTCTTCTCTGGGCGTCGAATTTCCGCCTCTTAGGCAGCCTGTACCGCACCGAATCTCTCCCATGCATTGTATGCATTTCCTTATTTCACTGGGAGGGGCTACAGCCCCTCCTTCTATAACTTAGCCTAGTATACATCTGAAATTAATATAGCATAGTCAGATGTGATTAAATCACCTGAATTTGTTGCCACATAAGCCTTAGGTTGCCAAATTGCTTGGTCACTCCGGCAGGTAATTGCTTCTTCGGTACCCTTGGCCAGTCGAATCTGCCATCCCTACCTTTCCACCTCCAAGCGGATAAGCCTCGCTGCGAAAAGAAGTGCAGAGTTGGTTTGGATGCTATCGGCATTCTCCCGAGGATGAGGAACTTCCGAGTCCAGGTTCTCGTTCGCCCAATGACTAGCGCTGAACTACGCCAGAAATAAAAAGGCATCCCAACTCTCGTGACTCGAACGATGCCGTGGAGAACCGCTGCATGCACCCATAATCCGTACTCCGTATTCTGTATGGCAATTCCTCCCAACTCTAGCCTGTGGTGACTCGACTCCGTCAATGTCTGGAAATACTCTGGTGTGAGAGTCACTCCAGGGTGCATGATAGGCCAAGATAGGCCAACTGCCTTTGCCGTCTAGTCCACGTGGGCCTGGTCCATCCTTTAATCACATAGAGAGATTTGTGTGCATATGGAGTACTCCATGGGAAAATAATATCTTATCCTCCTGATGAATCGCGTTGAGCCTTCTTCGCCTGCTCCCCCTCCACCCTCCAGACTTTGTTGTTCAACAAATAGCAGTATACAAGGTGACGAAAACATTGAGAATTAACGCCACTGCTTTTTTCTAACCCAGTCCATTCACTAGGGTTCTGTTCAGAATATGCTTGCACCCATTGAGAGGCAGAGGTCTGGACAGGTTGACGATGACTCGGATGCTTCTCAGTCAGGGAAGGCTCGCATTGACTTTATAGAGGGCACGGAGACTGGGATGCCTATGAATTACGCCAATATCGTGGCCTCGCGTATTCCAAAATCACATCGGAGCATCATGGCACACTGAGCTTGATTCTATCTCGAGCATGGACTCTACAGATCCCTACAACTGGCTCTCGTGGAAGGTTGATGTTTCACAACAATAAATATATCATGAGCCATTGGATTTCTATTGCTGACCTATAATATTGGCCTCTTAGAAACTGGCCAACCTCATCTTAGTAGCGTTTCACGCATGCATGGGAACTTTTACTGCGGCTGGCATCATCTCTGCCTATTCAACGTAAGTTGAGCCCTTCATAGTCAATCTCATTTTCGGTGGTGCTCCGTTGCTTTGGAGAACTTTGTCTAACGGATATGGCCGCCGACCTATCTTCCTTATTTCCTTGATATGCAGTCTTTTGTGTAATGTCGGATACGCTAAAAGCAACCTTTACGCATCGATTGCCGCTTGTAGAGCCTAACAAGTATTCTTTATCTCCCCAGCCTCCGGTAAGATACGAGATCACCCTATTACGAACAGATTGGAGCTGATACGATGATGCGATCTATTGGGAGTGCTGTGGTGACGGAGACGTATTTTAAGAAAGATCGCGCACGGTACATTGGTGTATGGACTTTGTTGGTCACTCTAGAGGTCCCATGCGGACCATTCATCTTCGGACTCGTCGCGTGCCGCGCTGGGTACGTGTGGATCTATTGGGTTCTCGCAATAGTCAGTTCTTCCTCATCTATACCCCCCGCATTAGAATGGTTACGCTTTGCTGAGACATTCCTCGCTGCGACTACGTGAATAAGGTCCAGATCATTCAGTATCTCTTCTTCAGACCAGAAACCTGGTATATCGGCAGTAATGTCGATCCAAACCAATATATCTGGATGAGGAAATATGGGTTGTTTCAACGCATTAATCCGCACCATTCTCCTGGTTCGAGTTTATCAAACCGCTGACAATGGTTATGTATCCTCCTGTTATCATTCCAGGCGCAGCGTACGCTATGGCCTTCTCTCTGAGCAACGTGTTGACGACTGTGGAAGTGCCCCAGCTTCTCCTGGAAAAATTCGGACTGAATACAGAGCAGCTGGGACTGGACTTCAATTTTTGTAGGCCCAATTATAGTATCTCTCATTGGCGAGCGGTTGGGGGCACATTACCTGACGTTTGGATAAACCGGCGTGCCAAAAAGATCCAAGGAAGGCCAGAGGCTGAATATCACCTCTGGCTCAGCTACATAGGCTCCGCCCTATCAATTGTGGGCCTAACTGTTTCCTGTGTCTGCACCTAAGAGGTCAAGCAAGGCCACTGGAACGTTGCCCCCATCGTTGGCATTGCTATTGGGACTGGAGGCAACCAAGTGGTAGCCACAGTGCTTATCACTATGCGGTGGATTGTTATCCCCAAGAAGCCGCTAGCGTTGGGGTGTTCATCATCATCACGTTTGTCCAGCAAATCTGGGGCTTCCTGGGTCCCTCCTGGTGAGTCGGGCCCACAACTTGTTGTGTTGAGGTCGGAGTGTCCAGTGCTAATGGCGGGTTAGGTTTCCACCCATGTTCGAAAATGTCGTGGTAGCCGCCAGTTCTGGCGTTGGCTGCGCTCTCATCGTGGGCGTCCGGGTAATTCCAACACTCATCCTGCATTTTATGGGGCGGGCATGGCGTCCAGCGATCGAGTAAACAACGGATTGTTTGGTCCGGTAGGACGGCGTTGGCGTGGGTTAGAATAGACATAGATTGGGTACATAGTGGCTGTGGGATATTAGACTGTACTACAGAGTATGTAAGAAAGTGCAAAATATGAGGTCAAGTGGATAAATCCATGCATTCAGGAGACACAAGAAGGGTGAAACCAAACATACCAACCAAGAAGGAAAAATGATTTTGATGGCTACCTAAATCACTTATATAGCTCCCATATAAAGCCACTACGATCCTATTACCCACCAAGTTTTACCATCTGATATGAACCTATCGGGAACAGGACACAGGTCGGATGAACATGGGTCCGCCAAGGCTCGGAACGGGGAGCCTGTGGTCTCTATCGGGAAAGCAAGCAATCAGGCTACCCGAAATAGGAAGTTTAGGCCGGTCTCTCGGCATTGCAGTGGATGAAGTTATCGGCAATCTAGATAGTACACTTTCTGACTTTTGCCAGTATTGATGATTGATGCTATCTCTATTGTAGAACCTACCATCGTCAGGTTTACGGACTAGATTTACTCCGTTCTGGATAAATTCATACCAATGCCCATGCCGACGTGTGAGTTGCATCGTGCAGATGTATGTAGGCTGTAGGTAGGTATGCAAGTATGTGCATGTACTAACGTACTAAGTACTAAGTGTAAAGGCTCAGCTTTAATATATATAATAATTCCTCGACTCGATTCGTATATAAGCGACTGGAAATTCAGTACGGCTACAATCAGCAGCTCACGCGTTTTCAATAATTAATATTAACGAAACTTATTATGATTAATTGCGTCATCTGCACATGATCTGCCGCCTCCCCCCTTCGGTGTTTGGTTTTGTAAGCCAGTTTGTGGGGAACTGTGGAGATCGCAAATCAGTTTGGCTTTGGTCTGAGAGGTGTGACTGACTCTCAAAGCATGTTCTTGCTTGTGCTGAAGTGGTCACGAATCATGGTCACGAATCATATTGGGCAATTTCATATCAGAAGTCGAGTCAGCGACTAGCTATACACGAGTCATGCCGTACTACTCTATATCCCACATAATAGACGTCGCTCCAATCAAAACACGGCCTCTACTAATATCTCTCATATTTGGTTCTCGATCTTGTTAATGAGAGTTCCAACATACGGGCTTAACTCGACCGCAAACTCGTCTCCCGCTTGTAGGAACTCCTTCGGGATCTTCGCTGCTCCCACACCTGGAGGAGTACCGGTCAAGATAATGGTTCCGGCAGGCAAGGTCGTACCTTGCGACAGGAAGCTAACTAATTTAGGCACATTGAAGATCAGATCGCTGTTCGATATGGTCAGTTTTCAGTAGCATTGTGCCTATCAACAAGGGTAGTTTCATACGTAAGAGGGCAGTTCTGAAGGACCTTTCCATTCTTTAGCCCGCGGATCTGAAATTGGCAGGCATCGGGCATCAGTGCAGCGGAAACAAGGACCGGACCTAGCGCGTTTTCGTCATGTCAGCATTCACCCAGGAAACAGGCGATTGTCATGACTTACCAATCGGACAAGCAGTATCGAATCCCTTGGAGAAGCACCACTGGCTTTGATTCATCTGCGATGTCCGACTGGAGACATCGTTCGCAGCTGTATATCCAAGGACGTAATCTAGAGCTTCCTCCTCGCTGACATCTTTTGCGTCGCGACCAATCACAATCACCATCTCCGACTCATAGTCCCCGGTGCTGTCGACCTGCGTGATCCTGGGGAGAATAGTAGGAGCGGGCCAAGGATCGGCGAGAGCTGTCGACGGCTTAATGAACAAGGTTGGAAGGTTTGGAATAGCTAGCTTCATCTCCTCCGCATGCGACGCATACTATTATTATTATTTTAATGATCAGTGGGGGGTGTCCTGCTGCTGCGTAGCACTGGCTAGTGAAACTCACGTTAAGACCAATGCAGCGAATGGACCCAACTTCACTCTGCGACAATGGCGATAGAATCCGTCCGATCGTTTCGGTCGACTCAACCTTCTGCCCCGGGTTGAGAACTGACGTCCCTGAAAATGGCCGGACAGTGACCTCCTTCCCCTGATAAACAGCCAATCCCACATCGATCGTGTGATCTATAGGTTCACCAATCAAGATCTTCGATAGATTGGACTTGGGGTGAAAGCGCACGAGGCCTGCACTATGTCAATGGGAGATGCATGTGAAATGCAAGGGACAGGTCACCTACGCGAGAAAGTGGATGCGATTTTGGACATAGTGGCGAGGTGTGTCAAATGGATCGATAAGAATTAGATGCAGGATGCGCGGAATACCATGGATTCGAAATTTATCTTTAACTTGACTCACCTATTGCCGTCAATCGAGGTTTGTGGGGTGAAGTGGGAGTTCGGATGAAGTCCGGCACGTTTCCCCACGTTGAGATCCTGGGATGTCGCCATCGGAGTAGAAAGGACATGCTCTCCACTTAAAAGCACAACAGTTAGCAGATGTACTCCGTATTTCTTGAGACAAATTCACGCCATCCGTTTCTTCTACCACCCGCCATCATGACATCTCCCAAAGTTCCATACCGTGTCGTCACCGTCAACACCGCTCCCGGCAGAGCCTGACAGTTTATCGGCCGAGTAATCGAGGTACTGAAGGACCAGTGCATCATTATTCATGTGGACAACTGTGAGAGTATAGGACTCTTTCAGACCGTATGAAATGAGGCATGTAGACGCTACCATAATCTAGAAATCAAAGAAGGTACTCCCAAAGTGAAGGAGCCTAAGCCGATATGCTAGTATATCGACCAATATCATACCTTTATCCTGCCTTTTGCCATTCTGTCAACATGATTTGGAAATACCAGCCATCATCGCATCTATTATATAGAGTTGGACTAATTCCCTCCTAGTTCAACACCTGCATGTGGTCCATCAAACCCATGAGATACATTCCATTGCTCAGGAAACTAAGCCAGACAGCACGCTTCATGCTCCGCCTCCTGGATTGCAGGTTGAACAAAGCCCCGATGCAGTCGTGGAATATCTGTGCGAGAAAATGCCAATTCTTTTTCGTTAAGATGGGGGGATTTCCTGGATTCGGTGCCATGATCATGCATGGTGTTGACGGTATTCTCTTTGCAATTAGATAAACTGATGAGATAGCATTAGGATATATATGTGCCATGATAGACGCTAATGGTTTTCCACATGGGACACTTAATCAAGTTCTAGGTCGTGGTATACGTTGAGGGAAATCGATCGGAATGTGGGCGATCGGCTTGACCCCTAAAATCCTGAAGCCTCTGAATCACCATATTCACGTCCGGTTACCCAAAACACCAAACGAAAGGCTTCATAGCGTGAAATCGGTCATTTGTATGTTTGCATGGCTTCCGAATCAGGAATGTGGCTTTTGGATTCTACGAGGTTCTGTATAGTCTGCAGGAGCTCTGGAATGGCTATAAATATGGATCAAAATCACCTAAAGACAGTGATAGCTTCTCTAATCATCGAACCAAGCAGTTGAATCCTCAATGTTCAGCTTTGTAGTTGAATATAGTGACTTAGTCGATCTTAATATCTCTTCTCATAGTCTGTCTACTTCAATAGTATATATATCGTGTGATATAGTAGCATATTCAGCACTTTGAGGCTCGACCGCAGAGTATAAAAGCGCCACAGTTCCAATAAATATAAACCAGAAATAATCAGTTGCACAGCAAACTGCGTATAAGATACTCCTAATTTATCTCTCCACAGATCCTTTAAAGCAGCAGACCTACTACGTAGTCAGGCGGGATAGGCGATGCTTAGTCATTAGGTCGGTGTTTGGAGCCACCGATTCTAGAAGCCCGTTGGAACGGAACTCTCCAACAGACCATTCTTCACTCAATATCCGTACCATTATTGCACACAGCATGCAATCCATAAGGCTGACCCTTCGGGGCACTTCCAGTATCCGCGCATTCTCTACCTCCCGGATGCTGCGGTCAGACTTGTCATTCCAAGTCTACGGCCCGGAGAAAGAGGAAGCCGTCCGCAGCCCGATAGTTTTCCTGCATGGTCTGTTCGGCTCAAAACAGAACAACCGCAGCATTAGCAAGTTGTATCTCTCTAAGCGGGAGTTTCTTGCTCCTCGCACGCATACAAGTGATTTAACAACCCATGATAGAGCCTTGGCACGTGACCTTAAACGTCAGGTTTTTACCTTGGTGCGTCCCTGCTTACATTGAACCCACAGCGCGTGTGGAGTGCTCATTCAAGTCTGTGGTCTTGCTCAGGATCTTCGCAACCATGGACATTCATTTCATGCGGAAGAGCACAACTACTCAGTGATGGCGGAAGACGTGACCAAGTTCATCCGTCAGCAGAATCTGGACCAGTGTGTCTTGATAGGCCATTCTATGTATGCCGAAGCTACTAGTAGCGCCGTTTAAGTCCGGACTTGGTATTAGGTGTTCACCGAATGACACTAATCTATCAAAAGGGGCGCCAAAACCGCCATGACCGTTGCTCTTGATTCCCCCAGTCTGGTCTCGGCACTCATTCCGGTCGACAACGCTCCAGTCAATGCTGTGCTCAAGAGTGACTTTGGCAAGTACATCCAAGGTATGCAGCATGTCGAAGCAGAGAGAGTCACCAAGCAATCCGACGCGGATAAGATTCTTCAGGATTACGAAGAGGTACGAAATAGACGCCAATGACTTCAAAGATGGGCATATTCACAAATTTCACCCCTAGTCACTCCCCATTCGTCAATTCCTCTTGACCAATCTTGTCCGCTCCGAAGAGGACAAAACAATGAAGTTCCGGGTGCCACTCGCGGTGTTAGGCTCCTCTCTCGGAAGCATGGCCGACTTCCCGTATCTAGAGCCTGGCTCTGTCAGATACGACGGACCAACGCTGTTCGTTAGAGGTACAAAGAGTCCATACGTCAGCGATGATGCCATCCCATCTATCAAGAAATTCTTCCCCAACTCTCAGATAGCCGATGTGGAGGCTGGACACTGGTTGATCTCCGAGAATCCCGAGGCTTTTAGACAAGGTAAGTTATTGTAGCGCCTGCGCCGTTTCCTCCTGTAGCATTCAGCTAAGAATTTTTATGTTTTCAGCGGTTGTAAAGTTTCTACAAAAGACACCTTAGAAGGCATATTCAATGGTGGTAGCAAGAGAACGACTTGGAGGTTGGTAGACAGTTGGGTATGTACAGAATCAGGCGCTAAATTATTACTTTGACCCGTCAGGAAATAGAACAGTGTACACCTTTAGACATAATAATAACAACAACAAATGAGTGCATACAGTGGTATTCCAAACTTGAAAATCCGGAAATTATGAGGTATTTGCAATCGGAGTATAGAAATAGATAACGCCGTAACTGAAATGAGACTGCCTAATCGATGGTAATTGGAGTAGTGTCTGTGAGCTTTCGCTTTTTCTTCTTTTTCTTCTTCGATCCCGGGGTTTCGTCTGTCCTTGGGGTGGACTCGTCTGGAGTCGAGCAAGATCTCGGGGACTCTAGTTGTCTTTCCTCGTTCATTATGCTAGACGGATGAGGTCGTTTCTTCTTCTTTTGTTGCCGTAAAGCAAGTGCCGGACTGGTGTTGGCAATATTCACCATAGCAGCACGATCGGAGGCGGGACTCTCTTGTTTTGGTGTCTGAAGTTGGTCCTCCAGTGAAGTTGAACGTTTCCCCTTTTTGAGGCGTGGTGCTGGCTCTTCAGATGAACTGGCTTCCATGGCTTCCAGGGCTTCCCAAATCTCATCAATCTGTTTGCACAAGAGTTGATACTTGTTGGTCGCAGAACCCTCAACCTTACGGAGAACCTCTTGCACTGACGCGATATCAGTCCCATGAGACGTGGCCATGTCGAGGCTACTTGTGTTGGCTGACCGCACTTCCGCAACATTACTGATCAGTTCATTAAGCTCGCTTGCTATGTCATTGATTCGACTTGTGAGGGCGTCTCGCTCAATGGCCACGTGCTCCATGATCACATCATTGTCCGCCTTTGTCTTCAGTTGCGTATCGAAGCTTGACGTGAAACCGGTGATTTTCTCATCCAGAGAATTAAGACTGGTCTGCAGTTTTTCAAGGACCTCTTTAGTAGGCAACTGTTCCAGGGAATTGTATCCCTTCCAAAGTGGCCCGAGCGATTCGCATAAGCTTGAATGGTCGTGCCTTAGGCGGTTGAGTTCTTTCAATTGTATGGCCTTATCTTCCAGAGCGCTATTCACGTGGGATTTTAGACTCTGGTCCAGTTCATCTGTTTTGGCCAGTAGAGGGGGGCAGCTCCTTTTCAATGGCTCCTTTGAGTCTTGAAATCTGGTCTGTTAATTGACTGACATTGGGGTACATTTCCTGCATGGCAACAACCATGTTCTTGACGACGTGTTCAGTCGATAGATTATTGTACCTGGTCTCCAAAGAGTGCATGCCCACCTTCACACTAGCAAGAGTTTTCTTCGCCTGCTCCAGTGATGCAGAAACTGTTGCGACCTGTTGAACGGCTGGGTTTTCTTCCCTTAAACTCTTGAGACCATTTGAAAGATGTGCAATTTCATTCCATACAATAATAGACTTGTCAGCTGCTTTTGCCATTTTGTCCTGTAGGTCTTCCGTTACAGATAATAGCAGGTCGTCCTTTGCAGACTGCAAGTTTTTTAGTTCATCAAACATATTCTCGATGTGCTGCACCTTTGATCTTGTAGCAGAGTTGTGCTCCAGCGCACCGAGGCGCCCTTTGATTTCCTCAAATTCATACTGAGATGCAGAATTGTCCACGGATGTAGAACGTCTCCTTACAACATCAGATGCGCTCAAACGTTTGCTGATTTCGTCCAGCCTTTTCTGCAACGGTTCTATGCCATGGTCTTTCGTAGCACTTATTGTTTCCAGCTGCGCCTCCAGTTTTTTGGCGTTTTCGAGAGAGGCTGAATAGTTTTTGTGTGAGTCCCACAGCTGATCAAGCCTGCCATTGATTGTCTTTTGATCTTGCTTGAGTTCGTTCACTTCCAAACCGAACTTGGACGATAATGTGTCTGCGTTGTAGGACGCCTGTAAATGGTCCACTCGTTGATTAATATCCCGATGTTGCTTTGTCTGTGTGCTGACATGCTCGTTTAACGCTTTCTCTAAAATGAGAAATCGGTCGTTGTATTTTTTGAGCATGTGTTCCAGAGACTGGTTCTGTTCACGGAGTTGTGAGGTCTCTGCCTTTGCCTCTCGCACCTCGCTTTCCAGCTTCTTAATTGTCGCTTCTGATGCTGAGGATGGTAGCTTAGATTTTAGTTCTCGCTCCAGCTGCTGGCGGGTTGATTTTTGTTCATCCAAAGCCCTGTCTATTCGCGCTAAATCTGCATCTTCGTTTTCTCGTGCCCTTTGATAGTATTCAATGGTGGAAGGAAAATTCGGATGGCCTTTGGCTCTCTTTAACATCCTTTCAGTTGCCTCCTTTTGTTTTTGTAGTTTTTCCTTCTCTGTCCTATTATGATAATCTTGGATTGTAGCTCGCACCAAGCCAGAGACCGTTCGTACGAAATCATGACTGAGAATATCATTTTGGCTGGTTGCTTGAAGGGGTATTGTTGTAGGTGAATGATATAGAGTACTACTAGGTAATGTACCTAGAGAGGTTCTCACTGGCGGTCTGTGGCGTGCGAGGCGTGGATCGCGAGAAGCTGGAGAGTCTGAGCTGTCAGGGTTCATTTTGTGGTTTTCCAGACATAACGCGGACACGTAATCTAGTTAGGTATCGGGTGATCATGAGACGAAGTAGGAGAGAGGTGAAGAGAAGTCTGGTCGCGTTTGCGCGTATCTCTGAGACGACTTTTATGTGGTAAAATTCGTCATATCACTGTCAAAATTTGCAAGCTAAGGTCACCCGTGAGGTATTCCTGTGTCTGGCCTGCTTGCTAAAGAATCCAATAAAACACAGAATATCACAGTATCGAAGAGAAACGCGCCAAAGTCGATGACCATTGACCTGCGATCCGCAAACACAACAAAAAAATGGCCCGATTCTGCCGGGCGGTAGGATAGGCGGCTGTCATTCTGCCCAGCAGCTCTTTTGTCTGAACGGAACAAGCAAGGCACGTAACGCACGCAGAATCGTTTTGCTGCTGTGGTGTACTTGGTGAGCACTGCATCTAGAGAGGCACCTTTCTGTCCTTTGCAATCAAAATGACTGCGGTGAGTCTCAGTGGTTTGCATTTCTGGCTAGATTGTCTTCTAATGTCTGGATCCAGCCAATCTCCACGGTCGCGGAGACCAACGAGCTTCGGGGCTTGAACCTCATTGCTGCCCATTCACATATCAGGGGGCTTGGTGTTGATGCAGACTCTTTGCAGCCAAGGACGTCCTCGCAGGGCCTGGTAGGCCAGGAGAAGGCGCGAAAGGCCGCTGCCGTGATCCTGCAGATGGTTAAAGAGGGCAAAATCGCCGGTCGCGCCGTGTTAATCGCTGGGCCCCCCAGCACTGGAAAAACAGCGATCGCCATGGGCATGGCACAGTCCCTAGGATCTGATGTTCCATTCACAATGCTCGCTTCCTCGGAGATCTTTTCTATGGAGATGTCGAAAACGGAGGCCCTTACGCAGGCTTTCCGAAAATCCATTGGTGTTCGCATTAAGGAGGAGAGTGAGATTATTGAGGGTGAAGTGGTGGAGATTCAGATTGACCGGAGCGTGACTGGTGTAAGTGTCTACATTTTACTACCATTGTGTTGTCCTCCCAACGCTGACCATCCCAGGGTAATAAACAAGGAAAACTCACAATCAAAACCACCGACATGGAGACGATTTACGACATGGGCACGAAAATGATCGACTCAATGACTAAGGAGCGTGTGATGGCTGGAGATATCATCTCCATCGATAAGTCGTCCGGCAAAATCACCAAACTGGGACGTTCCTACGCACGTTCGCGGGATTACGATGCCATGGGTGCCGATACCAAATTTGTGCAGTGCCCTGAGGGTGAACTCCAAATCCGCAAGGAAATCGTGCATACCGTGAGCCTGCATGAAATCGATGTAATTAACTCTCGGTCGCAAGGGTTTTTGGCTCTCTTTTCCGGTGATACGGGTGAAATCCGCAGCGAAGTTCGAGATCAAATCAACACGAAGGTTGCTGAATGGAAGGAAGAAGGCAAGGCAGAAATTATTCCCGGGGTTCTGTTCATCGATGAAGTGCACATGCTTGATATTGAATGTTTCTCCTATATTAATCGTGCCCTAGAGGCAGAGCTCGCACCCATCGTCATCATGGCTAGCAACCGCGGCAACGCCCGGATTCGGGGAACAACCTACACTTCGCCCCATGGGCTGCCTCTTGATTTCCTCGACCGCGTGGTTATCGTTAGCACGCAGCCCTACTCAGGCGACGAGATCAGACAAATCTTGGCCATCCGTGCTCAAGAAGAAGAGATTGACCTATCCCCAGACGCATTGGCACTTCTGACCAAGATTGGACAGGAATCTAACCTCCGATATGCTAGCCATATTATCACAACATCCCACCTCCTTAGTCAGAAGCGGAAGGCCAAGGAGGTGAGTATTGATGACGTGCAGCGCAGCTACCAATTGTTCTACGACCCTGCCCGAAGTGTCAAATTTGTCAACGCATACGAGCAACGCTTCATTAGTGACCAAGGTGTCGTGAATTTTACTGCAAATGGAGATGCCATGGAGATTTCGTGAGTTGTCTGTTGCATAGATATCTAGACGGTACGTGTCTTTGAAAGAACGGAGCATGCAGGGAGGTGACACGACATAAAAATGAAGACAGAAGAAGGGTCCCGGTTTCCACTTTTATTCCCTTGAGTTTCTTTACCACTTCGAGTGATGTATGATAATGCTGGCGCTTTGCTCAGAGCTCATCTGTATGGGTACTTCGATATTTGGTTTTTGAATTTGGATTTTGCTGGATTAAACCATAAAAGGAGCCTAGGCTCGAATGATTATAATGAAAGCAAATTTTCTAGCACGCGGAATGATACTGTACAAGTAGAGAGAGAATCGAAAGCAGAGGGACTTTAACTTTTGTTTCATGATATCACCTATACAAAACTGGCTTCCTTATTCCATTCGTCCATATCCACCGTCCGTCGGAACTCAACGCCTTCGCCAAAGTAACCGGCATTTTTCCATGATTCCATTGTTACTCTGTCATAGGGGCCATGTATAATTCCACCATCACGAGCATCCGACCAGCGAAATTCCCACATGGTAGGAGCGTGCTCGCTATCGTTAGGTCTCGTATCTTCTTCCGGCGGATCAATCCACTCCTCTCCAGTCTCCCGGCGATATTGTCGAGTGAGAAGTTCACGTTCGGTGTTGTAGATCTCGACCTGGCCCCTGGTCATAAGGATATCCGCTGCGCCGGTAATGTCGTCGATTGCCTTCTTCCGGGCAGCTTCCTTTGGGTCGTCTTCCATCATTTCTATATCTTCAGTGGAGGCTTCTTTCTGTTTGGATCGGTTCTTGTTGCGATTTTGCTGCCACTTGGGTTTCTTTGGAGCTCCCTTCCCGATGCGGGCCAGAGCTTCCAGTATCGTCTCCCCCTTTTGAAGATGCGTTATAAGGGTTTTTAGGATGTCCGACGTCAAGACACTATCATTCATTCGGTCTCTTTCCTTCCTTTCGGTTTCTCTTTTCTCAGCGGCTTCCTTTGCGCGTCGAATGTCCTTTTTCGAGACTCCTTCCAACCAAGTGTCATATACCGCATCCGGATCTGCTGCTTTCCGTATATAGTTGCCCTGATCGTCGAACTTGCCCTCTTCCTGCTCCGTCTTCATGTTGAAGGCATCCAACAGGGGCGCATGTTTTTTCTTGGAGCCAGCCCCTAGTTCCTCGTCCATATCGGCGTTCACTCTGGCCCGTTCCTCCTCTCCAATATCACTCTCGCTTTCAGCTTCGTCCGCGTCCACTGCATCGGCCCCTTGGCTCAGATCTGCGTGCAGTGTGCCCCCGCCCTTTGATGAGGAGACTTGTCCTTCGATTTCGTCATCTCGTAGAAAGCGCACGGTTTTCTTGTTCTTCCGTAGAGCCTCGTCCCCGTCGATACCCTCCACTCCGAAGTCCTCCTGCAGCTCGGCAAACATATCATCATCCTCCGCATCATTATTGGCGCGGCTGGCTTTGGCCTTGGCCTCCGCCCGTGCATCAAACCCTTCGTTGTCACTGTCCGAATCATACCCATCCAGGTTGACGGCTTTGCGGCGTACTTGTTGCCCGCGGCGACCGATTTCATCCGCATCTAGAACCACATCCTCATCTAGGATATCTGGAGCAAGTGTGGAAGGGTTTCGGAGGTCGAATCGAGGCTTTTTGGAAGACGGACTCTCCGTATCGACCTCCTCGTTGTGGTGGGTGCGGGTAAAGTCTTCCCCTGCCCGCTTGGGGCGTGGTAGAGAGGACATTGGAGGGCTGGATTTCGTTCGCGATAATTGAGAGAAGCTGGAGAGATGAGCGGAGAAGGAAAGAGCGATCTTTGTCTGGAATCTAAGACTTAGCACGACGTTTTTAGGAGAATGTCAAAATGCACGCTCCAGCTCGCAGTCTGGGGTCGGCTCGGAAAATCATCGCGGAGCCATTTGCGTCACCGATCGACGAGCTGAGGGCTCCTCGACTTTCCCTCCACTTATCTTTCTTTGATCAGCAGTGTCGATTTATTCAGCCTGGCCTTGTTCGTGTCGTGAAGCTGTTCATTCAACCGCCTCTTTACCGACATTACTACACTCAACTGCAAGCTCTCACAGCCCTCGCAGCCCTCACAGCTCCCAACATGGTGGGTTCTGCCCGGCTTCGGCCATTCCGGACTCATGGATTGATTGTATTCTGACGGCGGCAGTTCCGACCGGATTACTGGGGCGACGACCCTATGGAGGGGGTCTTTGGCTCCTCTATGCTTCGCCATGGTGCTTCGACCCGCCGCTTCGACGAGTACTACCGGTGTTACCCTGTCGCGATGATGCCCGGTCCCGAGAGAGAGAATGTCAATCACGGCGGCAAAGTGATCATGCCGCCTAGTGCTTTGGACAAGTTGACTCGTCTACATATCACATACCCTATGCTTTTTGAACTGCATAATGGTGCTCGGGAAAGGATGACCCATGCGGGTGTGTTGGAGTTTATCGCTGAAGAGGGAAAGATCTATCTTCCTTACTGGGTACGTCAGGTCGGCGGCTTCTCCTTGCTCTGCATGTACTGATGGTTTGCCGGATATGTTTACAGTTGATGCAAACCCTCCTTATCGAGCCGGGCGATCTCGTCCAGGTCAAATCAACCGATCTGCCACCTGGTCAATTCATCAAGCTTCAAGCCCAGTCGACTTCCTTCCTGGACATTAGCGACCCCAAGGCCGTGTTGGAGAATGCGTTCCGTAATTTCTCTTGTCTCACCAAGGGCGACGTTTTCACTTTTTCCTATAACGATCAAGTCTACGAGATGGCAGTCTTGGAGACAAAGCCGCCCACGGACTCGCAGGCGGTCTCCGTATTAGAAACCGACCTGGAGGTCGACTTTGCACCGCCCATGGGATACGAGGAACCCCAACGACAGAGCGGCACCAGCACACCCCGGAGTGGTGCAAGTGGGAAGCTCCCATCGGGTGGGTTGCTTCATTCGCACGGGACGATGGCTCAGGCGATCAACTATGCCGCCATTGCCCCAGATTCTACCGACGCGGCGACGGGAGCGAGAGCCGTGTCGTCCAACTTCCTTGTCGGTGGACACCGTCTGAATGCTAAAAAGGGCAGCAAGACGCCAACCCCGAAGGCCTCAACGCCGGCGCCAGGAACCAGCAATCCTCAACATCCTCCCCCAGTCCGAAGAACAAACGGCCCCCAGCCGTTACGACTACCGCCCAACCAGCTGTTCCTTGGCTATGCCATCAAACCCGTCCAGAAGCGCGATGAAAGCGGGCTAGTGATGGACAACGAGAAACAACGCTTTCAGGGAACCGGACAGACGCTTCGGGGGAAGAAGAAGGACACGGGAGGGTCATCGACTCCTACGTGAGCGAAGGACGATGGGGGTATTATGCTGATGTGATTGTTGATTCTTTCTTTTATTTCTCCCTTCATCAATACCACCCATTTTCTCCCTTCGTGGGCGCAGGATGAACATAGAGCATAGCGAGGACCAAATTGGCGTTTAATCGGGAGTTGTTTCGTTTCTTCATTTCCTCGTAGATTAATCGAATCCATGGGTTGTTAGCGGGATGCACCTCCGCTTCCGGAGCTCCTCATCTCTGCTTTATTTCTCCACTCTCCACCTCGGCACCTTCGACTGTCTTCACTGAAATGCAATGGCACCCAATATCCAGAATGACGATCCCCTTGGTGCATTTACTAAACTGTCCTCCTCCATCTACATCCATGAGCCTGAGGACAGCAAAAACAACATCAACAAATCCAAGAATGCCCCCACGATCGTCGTCGCCTTCTGGATGAACGCTCCCCTGCGCGCTCTAGCCAAATATGTGCTCGGATACCGTCGACTTGCACCGGCCGCACGCATCATTTTCATCCTCAGCTCGTCAATTGACATTCTACGCTCTTCCACCCGCGCGCAACATGCCCGTCTCTCTCCGGCCATCCACGTCCTGCGCGATTGGCTCCCCACTTGCGACGCCCCTATCCATTTACACATGTTCTCCAATGGCGGGTCTTCACCACCGTCAACCTCCTCGCCGCATATCACCAGGCAACGGGCCATCGACTGCGTCTCTCATCCATGATCTTCGACAGTGCCCCGGGCATCGTGACGGTGTCGTCCGCCGTGCGCGCATTCTCATTCATTTTACCGAGGTTGTGGGTTCTGCGCATACTCGGCCGGTTTCTCCTCTGGTCGTTCCTGACCTTGGGTGTGGGTATCCGTTCGATTCTACGACGACCTGATGTGATCACAGTGTGTCGACGGGCTATGAATGATCGGCAACTGGTCTGTGGGACGGACGGGGACGGGGACGGGGATGGGGACGGGGATGGGGATTCCAATCCCAATCCCCATCGCCATTCATATTCTCCCCCTCGATGCTATATCTATTCCGATGCTGATGAGCTGGTCAATTGGGTGGATGTGGAGACGCATGCTGCTGAGGCGGAATCAAAAGGTTGGAAAGTCCGAAGAGAGAAGTTTTTTGCTTCTTCGCATGTTTCGCATATGAAGATGGACCCAGAAAGATACTGGGGCATTGTGGCGGACTATCTACCCTGACCTGATCCGGTCTAGATTGTTGGGTATATACGAGTTAGGTACTTCTACTCTGGCTGTATATTTTGGTCACTCTTTCTTTGTATATATTAGGAAGGCTCTAGTCAACCAAAATCTCTATTCAAATCCGGATCACCTAGCGCTATGCAATAAATCATATGTACATTGACGATCACTAACGCCGCGCAGCTTTTCCCACCAACAGATCACTTTTCTTCTATTTTTTTTTTTTTTTTTTTTTTTTTATTATTAATCTTATTTCCCTTTCGTCTCGGGGAACTCGTCTTCCAGCTTCAACCGAGCCGTAACGTTCATACTCATCAATTCCTGAATTAGCAGCTTGGCCGCGTACGGGATCGCCATTTTGACCACGCTGCGCGAAGACTTGCACCGCTGGCACCAATTCAGATAGCCCATGAATCCGCACTGTTCGCACACGTCGATCTCATGCCGGTCCGACGAGATCATAAGTCGCTCGAGCAGGAGCTGGCTCGTTCCGTAGGCGATCAGACAATCACGTTCCATCTCCCCCAAACGCAGACCGCCGTCGCGGGAACGACCTTCGGTGGGCTGTCGGGTGAGGATGGCACGCGGCCCGCGGGCACGGGAATGCATCTTGTCCTGCACCATGTGCTTCAGTTTCTGGTAGTAGATGGGGCCGGTGAACACGTAGAATGGCAGAGCTTCCCCGGTGATACCGGAGGTGAGGTAGTCTTTGCCACCATAGCTGAAACCCTTGTCGATAAGGATCTGGGACATTTCCTCCACGGGACTACCGCCGAAGCAGGTTCCATAACCGTGTTGACCAGAGAGAACACCCGCTTTTCCAGCGACCAGTTCAAGCATTTTCCCGACCGTCATTCGGGAAGGGAAACCATGCGGGTTCATGATGATGTCCGGATTGATGCCTTGGTCGGTAAACGGCATGTCGGCCTGGTCGGCAATGATACCCACTACTCCCTTCTGTCCGTGACGGGAGGAGAACTTATCGCCGACTTCGGGTCGGCGCGTTTGACGGGTGAGCACCTTGACAAGCTGGTTCTCATTTTCCGTCACAGAGACCAAGACCTGATCAATGTACGAGGGGTCGGGAAGCTTGTAAGTCATGGGCGTGGGCATGTACTGGATTGGCCGGCCAGCATCGGAGCCGGTGATGCCAGAGCTATGGGATTGGTCGGGGGTAGCCTTGTTGATGTACACTTCACCAGCGTTCACTTGCTCGCCTACTGCGGCTAACCCATCACTTTCAAGTAGAGCATGCTTCCGGATAGGAGCATCATTCTCGTACTGTGGTGGACTCAGCCTGTCTTTGGTACCGTTGGAATAGCTCTTCAGATTCGTGACTTGCTTCCGGAACACTTGGCACCGCCCGAAACCACGGTCAACGGAGCCCTTGTTCAACACAAGTGCGTCCTCAATATCGTAGCCCGAGTAACTCATGACTGCAACGACTGCGTTCTGACCGGCAGGGAGTTGGTCATACTTGACCAGTTCGATCGTGCGGGATTTGACCATAGGCTTCTGCGGATACACCATGAGGTAAAGAATAGAATCAATGCGAAGGAACTGGTTCGATGCAATTGCGCCAATGGCTTGTTTACCCATAGCGCATTGGTAGGTATTTCGTGGTGACTGGTTGTGGTGGGGGTACGGAATCAGACCGGCAACGGCTCCAAGGACGGTGAACGGTTCAATCTCCAAATGAGTTGTCGTTTCGCTAATATCCTTTTCGTAGATGGCAATGAGTGAGTCGTTTTCCTCGTTGACATCAAGATACTCCACAAGCCCCTGCGCCAGAAAGTCATCGAATTCCATTGTCCCCTCGCGTAATTTACTTAAGTGGTGCGCATTCACACGAGACTTTCCGTTCTCGACGACAATAAGTGGCCTGCAAATTCGCCCATCGTCGGTGGCAACATGGACGGCACGCTGGTGATGGTTTATATAGATGCTGACAAACTCTGAAATCCGTCCCATTCGACGCAATCGTCGGAAAGAATTCAGGAAGAACTTAGGGCGGCGAGTGAGGGCTGTCGGTGTTCCATTGATGGAAATTGTATAACAACCAGGGCCATAAAGCTCCTTTCCACCGACTGTCTGGATGTCTTCTGCTCCCAACATGAAGATCAAATTCCGTACCGGGCCCTCTTCATCGTTCGTAGTGATATGGGTCATAAGTGCAAGGTTCTTCACGAGACCGCACGCTTCACCTTCGGGGGTATCCGCTGGACAGAGCATACCGAATTGCGATGGCTGTAAGGCTCTTGGACCGCTGACCTTTCTGGTCTTTTCAAACTGACTGCTGATACGCGTCATCATGCCCAGTGCCGCAATGTAACTCAGTCGACTGAGCACATGAGTAACACCAGCACGTTCCATACGGAAACGCTTCAGACTCCAGTTGCCCGTGGAAATGGCACGATTCATACCCTGAGTGATATGATTGCTATGCATGCTCATGACGCTCCAAGCATCGAAAGCCTCTGCTCGGTTACGTTTGTTTAAGACTTTGTCGACATTCATCTTGATGTCGAAACAAAATTTCTTGAACAGATCTTCAAAGAGGAGAGCCAAGAGCTGGCCTGCTAACTCCAAACGTTTGTTCCCAAGGTAGTCACGGTCATCTACCAGTGAGGGGTCGTTCTTAGCCATCAGAACACGCCGTGCCATGTGCGCAACATATACAGCCTTAGGCCGGAAGTCCATGTTCTTAACTTCGATATGAGAGATAATGACAGAGGCAATAGCCTCCACAGCTTCTTGCACATGAGTCCGACGGTAAGACAATTGCTTGCGATTGATCTTAATCCGGGCACCAATCCAGTCCAGAGCCTGCTGCTGTGTGTGGATACCAAGTTTAATGGCTTCTTCGAAGTTGATTGCAAAGTCTTCCTGGTATACTTTATCGATACCGGCGACGAGTAGCAGCATTTCTTTGTCAGTATGGATGCCCATGGCCTTTAGGAGAATGACGATGGGGATGTCTTCATTCAGCACGTTATGTTTCACATAGAGCTTCTCTTTCTTAAGGACGATATAACTCTTGGACTTTCGTTCGTTGGAAGAACTTGAGGGGGAGAAACAGTTAGCCAAGCACCCATCATATAGAAGCAAAGTGAAAATCGAGGGCCTTACCTGGTAACAGAAGCCTGGACAATTTCCTTCTTCGGGTCTGTTTCGACGATAATTCTGTTCTTACTCAATTGTTCCTGAACAAGAATGACCTTTTCTGTTCCGTTGACAATGAAGTAACCACCAGGATCCAAGGGACATTCATTTAGCACCGTCATCTCCGCGGGTGTCTTGTTGGACAGAAGGCATTTAGAACTCCTAAGCATGACCGGCATTCTCCCGATGCAAACACCTATTTTCTTCACCCTTTGACGGCCACGCAGATATTCAAAGTCAACCTGGATCGGTGCCGCATAAGTTGTATCCCGAAGTCGACATTCGTGGGGAGATACGGTTGACCCGGTAAAGGCAACCCCGACGTCCTGCAGTTCATCTGCACGTCGGGGAGCTCCAAGATAAATATCGGTAAATTTAATATAGAAGTTATGGTCAACGTCGCTGCGGATTGTCGAGCTTGATTCCACGATTTTCTTCAATTGCACTTCCACCAGATAATTGTATGAGTCAATGTGCTGCTTCACCAATCCTTTCACCTTGAGGAACGCCGGTAATAGATTCCATTTATCCTTGGCAGTGTTAATGGGATCCGTCAGGGATTTATTGTAGTAAAAAGGCTCGAGAAGCGCATCAAACGGATCACGGTGACGGTAAGTCGGATGCAAATGCTCCTCTTCTTCCTGCCGGTCGTTTCCGTCCGGCGCTGGCTGCTCAAGACTAGGCGGCAGCTTGGACTGAGAGGAGCGCTTTCTTTTCAACGGGTCAGCAGAGCCTGCCTTAGAACCTGCTGTAGACTGTAGAAATGAGCATGAAATGTTAGCATAGATCCGCAGCATAGTGTAAACCCAGTGCGGAGAACTTTGGCCTTACCTCTAACGCCTGTGCCGATCGCGCACCGGCTGCAGAAGCCTGAGGCCTCCTACGAGGAGGCATGGCTGATAAAATGGTACGGCCCACGTATATTCTACTTCCGGTTTCTTTTGCGTCAGAGGAAGAGCGCAAGGGACAAAGTCATGGTGCACAATTTCTTCGTTATCGGCGAGGGGAAAAGATCCGAAATAATTTCCTGTTTTGAGGGGTGGCTTAGGTAATCCACAGAGCTGTCCCTAAGAGGCTAGCGGATTTCAAATTACAAACTACAGTTACTAACTACAGTTGGACTAGCGTGGTGATAGCGACACTCGGACATTCTCAACTTCTCTATTATCTATATGCATTATCACGCCCCAATGATGGCCCTTACTTGGCTCCCCTTTCCAGAAGATGTTCAACTACCTGGAAATGGCCGTTACTAGCAGCCAAATCAAGTGGTCTACCTAGAGGTCCTTCGGAGTTGACGTCTGCTCCGTTGTCAATGAGCAGTCGCACAGTGTCATTATGTCCGGATAAAGATGCTGCAGCCAGTGCTGTCCCAGATGGCCCTTGGCTATCTACTGGAGCTCCACTCTGAAGAAGGTCTTGGGCCACGGAAGCCAGCCCATAGGACGAAGCGTAGTAGAGAGGATTTGGAGGTGGGGCCAGAGCATCCCCATCAATATTGTTGTGCTCATTAAATGGCTGATACCCATCTAAAAAGGCTGTCCAGTTGAGATACGCATTTTCAGCGGCGAATAACTCCCATATCAAGGGTTGGATTCTCGATATCCTTGAGCCTGCATGTCTAGCATGTACGGCCCAGTAGTTGGCGGCATAGCGTAGGAGAGAAGAGGACTGGACTACGTCCGGAACGGTAGTGTATGGCTGATTGAACTGGAGAAGGTACTTGAGACAGTCCTCGGAAATTGCGGCATGAGATTCTGTTTGATCGATGGCATAACGGCTCTCCGGTCCTGTTTGGATCTCCGACGATAGCAAGTATTCCTTGAAAGAGGGATGTACTAGATGCAACTGCTGCTGATGCTCTTTGAAATCGCTCGAATCGGACTCGTCACTGGTGTATGTCTTCGTCACCAGGGGGCTTGGGAGCAACTCCAGGACCCTGCGCGGGTCGGAGAATCGCTGACTAGAGTTGATTGTGGCTATCTCGGCGACTTCCTCGATATACAGTGGCCGTGTTGAATATGCCAGCCATTGCAAGATTTTGGACACCAGTCCAGCGTGCTCTTCGTCTATCTGCCTTAATACCCGAGAATACATGTTTGAAGCTTTGAATGTTGAGGTGAGATTCTAATATAACAAATTGATTGGATGTAGTACCGTTCTGAGATTCCCAACGGTGAGAGCCAAAAATAAGATGCATTTGTGAAGTTGAATCTCTTTAAGTGCGGGGAGAATCGCAAGGCTGACAAGACCCACCGATAATTAAATAATCACCATGCGAGACAAGGCTGAAGATAAAACAGCACCTGTCCTATGTATTGCAATTAGTGCAGGTATTCTTGCTCTTTGCTTGGCAGGTCATTAGATAATGGATCTATCCAGTCACTTTGATATGTACATGCAGAGATTTTCTCCCTTCCCACATAATAAATATAGATTCGTTCCTTGTTCGAGCTAATCTAAGAATCAACCCTACTCAGCGGACGGAGGACCTTGGCCAAAGTCTGTGACCCAAGGGACTTCGATTTGAATGCCTCTTCGATCTCATCCAGTGACCGTCCCTTGGTTTCTGGCATGATAAATGCACAGAAGAAAACCGTGACCAGTGAGCACCCCCCAAAAAGAAAATAAGCAGCGAAGCTGCTTTTAGACAGTAGAATTGGAGTTGTCAAAGCCACCAAAAAGTTGGTCACCCAGTTACTTCCATGAGCTAGACTGGTAGCTGATGCACGTGTTCGTTGCGGTTGAATTTCCGCTGCATAGACCTTAATACCGACAGCCCAGCTAAGAGAAAAGATCACCGCAAATAGGTAAATCGAAACGATCACCACCCAGCGACCTGCACCAGATGAGCTATGTACCACGTTACCTGCATAGAGGGCCCCCATCAAGAACATAGTTGCACTAAGTCCAATTCCGCCATAGATAATGCTATGCCGACGGCCCCATTTGTCGGCCCAGATGAGAGCCGGGATAGTCACGGCAAAGATCAAGATGGCTGAGACACCAGAGGCGAAGAAGCTGGCATCGGCGGATGCAAGTCCAGCCTGTTCAAATAGCAAAGGCGCGTACTGTGGAAGGGACTTGTCAGCCTTCATTTATAGACGGGCAGCATTGGCAAACTTGCGTAGAGGACCCCATCGATGCCGCTGAGTTGCTGCATCCCCATCAAAAATACAGCAATAGCTGTGCGTGCTCGAACATCCTTCGAGAATATGTCAAGAAGTTTGTCCTTGGTTGACTTCACATGTTGTCTCGTGGCCGAACCCATCCGTTCCACGCTCGCGCGGTCTTCTCGAGCATTTTGACTACAAAGATTAGTACTTCTGTCTTGCTCAATCTCGACCTTTTCCCGTTCTGCGTGGCTGACGCCTAGTAGATCCCATGCTGCGGTCGCTTCAGATCGACGGCCATGGACTGTCAGCCATCTTGGTGATGGGACCAGCCACATCCAAGCAGCGACCGAGAAAGCGGCCGATAGACACGCCAGGATCAAGAACGGAATACGCCATGAGAAGGAGTTCTCAATACGAGCAGTGCCGTAGCAGGTGAAAAAGCCCACCACCAAACCCAGCGTGATGAGCAATTGGGGCCCCGTCGATAGAGCGCCTCTGATACTGGTCGGCGATATCTCGCAGATGTAACTATTGACCGTCAGTCATGAATTCGGGAAAACACAATGAGTTGGCATACACGACTAATGTGCCCAGGTATAATCCTTCCCCTACACCCTCGACACACCTTCCCACCACAAACATGGAGATATGGAATGCCGCGGCTTCTAGTGCTGCACCCAGGGAAAATATTAAAGCCCCAATGCTAATCCCCTTCGGTCTCCCCAATTTATCTGCTAGATATCCCGCAAAGAAGGAGGAGAGAGCAGCGGGGATCAGAATAGAGGACACCAACAATCCATGAACGGTGGCTGACTGGCTCCCAAACTGCGAGGTAAACGTTTTCATAACGGTCACTGGCCCAATGATGCCGGTATCCATTCTGAGATTGAGCTGTTAGCTTGTCGAATTCTTTGGAGCTACAAATGACGCCTTATATCTGTGCTCGTAATCTTACCCAAACAGAAGCCCACCGCAGGAGCACAGTATGCTCGTGAGGACATATCGTGGGGGGTTGCGTATAAGCTCCATCTTGTCTGTAATGATAGTAATGATAGTAGGATAGCTGGAATTCGTGGGATAAATAGACCTGCACCAAAAGCCGGGACACAGTACTCCGTAAAAATGTGCTTGCCAGAGAACTCGATCTACCGCGCTCGCTAGACCAACATATATATACGGTACAGAGACCAGAGGAGATATCAGTAGCCGATGGACCCAATAACTTTCAATCTAAATTAGGGCCAATATGTTCCGCTCTGTCTCATCTGCATGCTTGAGTTTCAGTTTCTCCGCCCTCTGGACTCGAGATATCTGGCATTTAATTGATTTGATTCCTAGTGTGGGGACAGGATTCTTGTGTGCTTGTAGTTACGAAAGCAATCCTGATTACCAATCATCTCATCTGAGTCATACCTGGGGTCAGAGATAAGAGGCCTATTACCTATGGATAATAATCAGTAGACTCTTTGTTTTTTTTTTATCTTGTTATACAAATTCCGTCACGCATCTATCGTCGTATAACACAACTGCGTCCAGAACCTCTACTAGGACTGTTTGTAATCAGAAGTTAAACTAGTATAAGAGCTCAGCAGGAATAAAGTATTAGAGATTGCCTAATAGCAGCTAAGCTATGTTGTATTCCGCCCTAGATGTAGCTGCGAGAGAAGTCCTTTATGATATACTGTACGAACCGATGTGACATGTTTGAATTCCTCGCCGTTTCGCACTTGCCTATTATTGCAGTGGGACTACTCTCTCTCATACTTCAATTGCTCTGGGATTGCGGCTATTGCAAAGTACTGTATCTAGTGGACATGGTCGAGACATATCTCTTCCAGTTTTTCTTAGACTTCTATAAAAGGGAACTTGCTGATGAATATACAATTACTGGTCCTACATCATGACACTGGGAGCCCACATCGATGGGTCAGTATTAATATAGTTTATTATGTCCCGGGTTTCTTAATAATGCCCATATCCCATAGCTATCAAGACTTGACAAGCCTATCTTGGAAATGTGACTCTTCCTGTTCAGATAATCAGGAACAAAAGAGCAGAATAAGAACCTTTTCCAATCTTGCCGGTGTATCAAGTACAAAGATCGATATACCAGAGGTAACTTCACCTATGCAAATGTCAAGTGCGTGGCTTTATAATGCACTGGGAATTGTGTCTCACAGACTCTGAAATTGCTTCCTTTGGACTGTGATCATGGGAATAAAAAAAGTGTCGAGTCATACTTGGCATGTTCTCTGTTAAGATTCCATATGTCCGAACGACTCGACCAAAAAGGCCATGCATACCTTTCGGTGATCGTTCTTAAAATTATATTTCAACAAGATTTATATGCCAATCATAGGGCTGAAAAGGTAGAAAGATGTCTCTGACAATATAATACGATTGTCTTTCCTATATTACAATCACTACCGTTAGTATCTATCATCGATGGTAGAGTACTTGACCGGAACTACATCGCCATATAACGAACGCATTAAGTCAATCCTATAAACAAGTATTGAGTATTGGCACGTAATTGAATGTTCTGGTTTCTAAAATAGGCATACTTAAGTATGCAAATAAACACCGACATATCGCATCTAATGCAAGATAATGTAAATATTAGATAGGTAGATGATCAAAACATTCGAAAGTGATATATCACAACTGCATTACTGAACCGCCAGAGAGCAAAACTATCAAGGCAGTGCTGCTCAGCTTCGTCACCAGATACAATCTAGGTTGAAAGCACTTGCATACTGGACGGAACGTCCCATGACGAAACAGAAAACCTGGAGGAAGCCAACTGGGATAATATCGAGGCCATTAGCCATCGAGCCTAATAGTAAGTGATTCTCCCGATAGAGCTACTTGCAGAATGGGGCAAATTCCTGGAGTGAGAGCCTCGACCAGGTCCTGAAATGATGCCCAAGGAGCTTCAGCTCACCATACGCTAAGGCAACAAGACTCGACCACTGGTTTCTAGTCATGACTGGAATGCTTGGGAGTCTGGTATCCACTAGGATAATCCATGCCAGTGCCATCTCACCATGCTGAGGACCAATTGCCACGCGTCTGTCCCACAGGACAACTCACTCGAAGTGAATGCTTTGTAGATATCGCTGTCACAATGCATCCAAACACACACTAAGGTACGTGACCCTTCCGGAGTGGTTACGAGAGGACGCCCATAAGATAGGTATACCGACTAGGATATATGGGACATGAAAACAGCACTAGTTTAGCAAAGGAAAATCGGAAGGCGTCCCTAAATATGACCACCTCCACAAGAGTCTGAAATATTCCTGGCGCGATATTAGATAGCTGCACTAGCCGAAGCACCAGAAGCCCTGATCAACGGTTAGGTACCAGTGGGTACCCCACTGAAGCATATACAGCATACGTCCGTTCTCCCTCAAGGAAGCATTGACATTAGCCCCGAACACCGTGGCGTGATAATCAAAGACACAGAATCAGACAGTACCTGATGCAGAACGTCCGGGTTGCTCTATCTGAGAACACCACATCATCTTTCGCTATCATCGGAAACGTAAATCCCCAAACAGGCCAAGCTCATCCATTTTGCGGGGTTGGGCAACAAAACTGTTCAAATTCTCATGAAAAGTAAGTCATATTTCTGGCCAACTTGTAGGACAGGGATCCTTAGGACAGGGAGATAGAATGCACAGTTTTTACTAGCCTTAGGCGCATTTTGCGCCACCGTGAATGCTGAGATTCCTGTTTAGAGTGGTCGAAAAGGACTCAGTGCCAGTCGTTCATGCTACGGGGAATGTGGGGAGATTATTCCAACGGAGGACGAAGTGGTCCATGGCGGTGGGATTTCTTTGACCGCAACTTCAGGACTCCTTGCCACTTGGCATTCGAGACCGTTCGGAGAAACTTCCATTCGGCGAAATAGAAGATCGATACGATAGATCCTAGACAAAGCGGTCCAGATGAAGGCTACTAAATTAGTGTCAGGGGGAATACCGAGACCACTTGAAGTTTCAGTAAATAAATATCCGAGTTCCTCTCTGTGTATATATATAAGAACAGCGGAATCACGTGTGTCTTCATATATTAAAGTGTTTTATCGGAGACTGAGGCAGAGCCATGAGCCAATGAGGATAGCTGCAGTCATCAGGAGTGGAAGCTGCTTTTTCATCGTACTGCACATGTCAAAGTGACAGACATGAGTTCTTACAAAGTATGTGGATTGATTGGCATGTGGTTGATTGGATTCTTGCTTCGGCTGAAGATCATGTGCAATTCACATTGAAGTATTCGACCAGTCAACGATGCTCAATTAATACCAAGTATTTAGCATTTTGGGCTTAGCGAATGCCTGATCAAATCAGATCTCTGTAGTATTAAATCCGCTCTCCTGTCGGGCATGAAAGAAGAACTTTCCATTTTGTGATCTATCAATCTCTCCACAATAATCAATTTACTATGGAGGTAATTGTTGGAAGGCTTGTAGTTTCATCACTGTTTTTTTTTTTTTTTTTTTTTTTTTTCTATTCTCTTCCATTATACTATATAAGCATCTTCTAAATAGTTACGGTAAGGGAAGAATTACTTCCGAACCAAGTGGCAAACAAACATGAACAGGTTGACGTTGACAATAAAGGAATCCGTGAGGGGAAGGATTAGTCAGGTAAGATTGGTAAAAGTACCGAAATATCTAGTGGGTCCCATAATTGGCCTGGACAAGGCGTTGGACCCCTGAACCTTCTGCCCAATTAAACTCGCATCCTGAATTACGGGGCCATGGTAAGGTCTCTGCTAGTCGCTAGCTAATTCAAGATGGCGCATAACGAGCGTTGATATGGTTGTTTCGATATACCTTGACCTTGACAATGCTATCGATAGCATGGCCAGTCGGTAGTTTCGATGTGGTCAACCTGTCCAACCTGTTCGATTTGTAAGGACAGATACATAGAGGTCTTTGATTCGTTTCGTAGTCAACTAGGTACCTAAGATATGCACTGGCGATTGGGGCAGACTGCACTTGCCATACAGGTCACCATAGCATAAAAAATATCGATATTCCTATAAAAGAGTAAAAGATCGTGGAGACCTTGTGCCTCTGAAAAGCCTCGAGACTGGGTGTTTTTACACTCAAAGAGAGGAGAAAAATAAAAAGGTACCATGCCACTTTTGAGCACATTGTGAATAACGATTAGGATGATACTCCATACAAGAAACATCCTCTCCTTCCACCTGTTAATTTGTCAAGCATCCAGCTGGTATGGGCAGCATTTATTGACCATGCTAGGTCGCCGTCATTCTCGCCGAAGCCGGATGCCTAGGATATTGTCGAAGACGCCGCTGAAAACCGAACTTTTTGCAGTGGCTTGGGGAGACAGGAACCAATGTAGTTGTAACTTATCACTGGAATTAGGTCCTCTCTCTGAATGGGAGGGAGCTATAGTCTGCGAACAGACCCTATAGCTATTGCAGCACCATGCATCCAGGCAATGAGCTTTGCTCCAGCGATGACAACTCTGAAAAAAGTGAGGCAATCCCCGGCACGCTGCTTGGATATGCCAACTACTAGAGTCGGTATGCCCTGCTATTATAGGAAGGTAGTGTCACCCAGGACTGGGTGTCGGGAGTACAGTAGCAAGGCAAGCGTCCTACCTGCTGAGCAGGTAGTATATGTACTAGACAGTAGACACGTACAGCTCTTGCCTAGGTAACAGGTAGGTATATAAGAACTGGTATAAGCAGCTGTGTGTAATGTTAGTGGAAGCAGACATGGAGTCTATAGTGCCTTAGTATTGGACTTCCTACTGGCCCTATGCCTACCTGGAGTGTTGGCTCTGTTGCAGTTCGTTGCGCACGCTAGATCTTGCCCACAGACACATCCAAACTGCATGACAGCCATGTTTGATATCACTTGATAGACGTCGATCCGAGTACGGAGCTCAGTAGGGAGGGGGGACAAACCGGTAAAACACTCCTATTTTGACCAAGGAGGGGGATGGATCAACATTGCCAGTTGGTCTGGTGTCCTTTTGGTAAGATTGTACTACTCACCGCTTCTCTTCCGCCGCACCAATCAGTGGGTGCTTCGCAGGAACTCCGACAATGGAGGCAAATTACCAAATCGTTAGGGAATTAGGGCACGGAACGGAGGAGCTGTGTGATGATGGGACAATACCATCATTTGTACTCCGTACCTGGACAATCGAGATTTTTATTTAGTGTATTTATTTCATGGTTCAATTGCATGTACCTTTTTTATTTTTTTATTTTTAAGTATCAGGTGTTTTCTAGATGTGACCGCTTCCCAACTCAATTGGTTGAGATCATCCTTACCAGGGATGCTGGGCTGATTGATCCATGGAACGACCCTGGCCACACCGTACCGTACATTCATTATTGGGGTTATATTTTGAGAACCCTGGTACACACTGGCCGGCCGCATTTGATAAAATGAGACAAATGGGAAAATTCAAAATAAATGATGCGGTCCAGTTCAAATACAAGGGGTAAAAAAAAAAAAAAAAAAAAAAAAAAAAAAAAAAAAAAAAAAAAAATTAAACCTCTACAGTACTTCGAGAACCACGAGCCAGAATAGAGGCCAGTCACGAACCATTTGGAACGCGCGTGGTAGTCCGTAACGAGTATTAGTTTTGTGGTACATTTAGAGGTCGGTTACACTCGATTGCTCAAACAGGTAAATAAATAAATAAATAAATAACCATAATAAAGTAGCAATCATCATCACCATCATCATCATCATCATCATCGTCATAAATAATCATGACACGAATCATCTACGGAGTACACCATTCTTGGTCGGAAATCCTGTAAACATCATTATCAAATAGATGGAGCTGAAGGCATGTCGGAAAGAAGTTACAGTAAATTAGACCAACCCGCTCTCAGGTAAGTCAAATCAAGTCAAATAAACAAAAATAAAAAAAAATAAAAATACAAAAAAGAGGCCAAAGCTGTAGCTACTGGAGTACCTAGCCTTAGGTCCATGACTTGGACCGCAGCCGCTATTAGCCCGGAAATCTTACTCGTCTATGATGATGAGACGAAGGGATGATGGTTTCCCAGTTCCTTCGATTCCTATGGTCAGGTACGTGCGGTGGCTACGACGTGATCCGCCGTCACATCTTTTGAATCATCCCCACTCAATGCAGAAACACTTGCAGAGCCCACGCCCTCGAACAGAGTACCCAGCAGGTTAGTAAGTAATACCCCCTTGCACTGTCCCTTCCCAGATCAGATACTTGGTATCCTCATGAATAGGTGATTTTCTGACAGGATATTCCAACTAGAGCAGCACTATGACGATAACGATGACGATGATGATCTACGATGAAGATTAACCTACTCCTACTCTACGATGGTGCAGTAAATCCCCATGCCTCGAGCGCTGATTACTTTACCACTAGTATGGGCGTATAGGAATAATGAAGTGGTACTCCGTACCTTACAATAGGAAGCGAGGTTTAGCTGCCACTTGCTCCCAACAACTAAGTCTTGCAGTAGCATCTCCTGAATTCCACGGGGTTAAGCACTCCGCGACCCAATCATCGCTCGTGCTGGAAAGATTGATGATACAGAATCCGACCGAAAGTCAACGATCGTCCAGAACGGACTGTCATCAATTGAGACAGCTCACCTCCACTCCGGTTAGGTAGATTCTAGGCGATGGTACCAAACCACAATCCATTCTTCAGTACGAATTGATTGATATGGATTCAGCTTCATCCATAATCAAGTTATACCTTGCTTGAGAATGTAGGAAAGGTGAATCCCTCCGACACTTAAATCCGGTAGGTTCCTCGGGGCGTATCTACCCATATTCCATACAGGTACCGTCCGAATTAACTTACAGTACTGGATACTTGGCTCTTTCCAGGCACCTTACCTAAGTTAGTGCTACTAGTTAACTAACTACTATTATTGTAGGTACTACCTACCTACTTACATACCTTTTAAAAAATAGCATTACTGATGACAGCAAACCGAATGGATGCACCTGGAATTAGACTCGATGCCCAATCGATGATGATTTGATGTGGGTGGTAAACGACCGGGGTGGTGATGATGTCCACAGGTAGGTAGATCTTCAAATCTAAGCAAGTGATTAATAAAACCGCAGAAGAACAAAACACGCATAAAAAAAAAAAAAAAAAAAGGCCTGGGAGCTCAGAACTAGCTAGCACTGGCAGTTAGTAGTAGTAGTAATAGCAACAAATAGAAGTAATAATAATAAATCAGTAATAATACTTGCCATGACGCTGGGAACAGCTCCAACTTCCCAAACGAGTCGAGTCAAACTCCCTCCCCGCTCTGCCTTCTCCCAGCCGCCGCCTCGCCTTTCTTCCCCTCTCGCCTCCCACTCCCTCTCGCTTCTTCCCTCCGGTCACTCTTATTTATCTGTACAACAATTATCCTTCCTTCGTTGCTGTTTTCCTGGTCTATCTTTATTTCCTCTCCTTGCTGTTCACTCCTTTCCTTCTACAGTTGTGCCGGATTCCCTCCCTTCCCACTGTTCTCGATCGGAGAGCTTAGGGTTCGAGTTGCACCGCAGCCCTGGCCTCAGTCAACAACACCGATCGAGATCTCCGCATCTTCAGGAGCCCGCCGCTGGGTGTGTGAACCGCACCCAAGTACCTCCAGAAAACAATCCTTACTTTCGTGCGAGAATCATCGTCAGTCTGCAACTTCTAATTTCGACTCTAGAAATTAAAGCTCACGAGGCGTTCATTGTGTGTGAGTCGATGTTCCTTTCCCGAGATCTTCGCCGCCAAATCGCCCCTCAGCCCCTCTCCGACTCCTTACATTCATTGTATTTGAAGGAATACACCGCCAACCTGACAACCCGCCAACCCCTGGTTCCTGTGCCTCATTTTCAGCCACCCGGGCTTCTGGCAATTGCTTCCCAAGATACAAATACCTCTTTTTTTGAACCCACGCCGTTGCACATCCCATGCTATGAGATTGATCTCTAACTCGTTTTGGCCCCTGAATGGTTAAAGTCCAACGACTTTCGTCCTAGCCAGCCCGCCCGTCATGGCCTTCAAAAACGGACTTAGTGAACGCCTCGATGAGCTGCGATTCCCTTCTCCACGCTCGCCTCCATCCGAGTCGCCTTTTCCTGGCTATAGCTCGCTTTCCCCGGGTCACTCAAGCTTCGTATCCGCGTTTTCGCGTCCCTCGGGAGATGTTCGTGCCAACCTCCAACGTCGATTCACTACGGATTCCAGCAAGCTTTCGTCCTGGAGCTACTTGAATAATATCTCGGGTGCCCCCCAAATGCCGGATCCTCTCGATTTGTTGTCATCGGTAAGCTTTGATGACCTTTTCTATATTGCCCCTCTGAAGCCCACGTGAAACGCCGTCATTGTAGGCATGCGTTTTATCTTTCTGTTCCATGCTGGGGCTTGACTGTTGCCTTGATGGGCGGAACCCCTCATCTCCGCTTCGCCACTACTTGTAGCTGCACATCACACTTATTCCCAGCGAATATCCTACTTGTCCTTCAATGTCGTTGATTTTGAAAGATCGAATTTCAGTGAATTGTCTCTAATAGCTTCCCAGTTTGAGAAAAAGCGCCAGCACATTGAGTATATGCGTGAACAGAAACGGAGATTTGAGGAGGACATGAAACTTCTGGATCTCCAGCATGAGAAGGAAAAGCTTGAAATGGACCAGCTGGCCAAAGATCTTGCTAAGGCCGGCATATCTGGTCCAGTTAGTGAGCCCACGACCCCCCCGGAATATCGTGAGAATGGCTTCCCTGGTGGCTTCACACGTCCGACTCGCTTCTCTACTTCTAGTGTCACTTCATCTCCTGGTTTCTTCAATGTCTTTGCTCCGTCGCAGGTGACTAGCCCCCAGGGCCAAGCAAGCCATACTTCTCAGACCCCAACAACCCGTTTTTCAGTCCAATCTGTTCCTGGCTCTCGTAGGAACTCCGAAAAAGAAGACTTTAGCAGCCAGGAACCTGCTTCGCCTTTTCGTCCAGGGCCTTCGTAAGTGCCCTCCCCCCCATCTAGCCATTTCATTACCTTCATCCCTTTCACCCTGTCACATTTTTCTCATATTAATTTTTACTTTCTGTATTTCCACACTTTCACCTGTGCACTTATTTGTCTATTTATCCTTTATTCCCCTCTGCTATTGTTCTCCATTGCGGCTGAGTACAATATTCACTGGGCCTGTGAGTTGTGCCATTCGTTTTACCTCAATCAGAGTGCGTGGGGCGTGCACTGCAATGAGAGTAACGCTATATTTGTATTCTATGGTTCTAGCTATGACCATTGACTCCACATGAACCTATTGTGACCAATGGTTTATTTTTTTTGTCTCTCCCTTTTTTACCCCTTGATTGGCGTTGTCAACCTCAATATTGTCTCTGTCATGATTCACTGTTGGTTTATGGACATTACTAATTATATACGGCAGCATTCATCGCTATTCAATGCCGTCTACGGGTTTTGGACCTCAGATACGTCCCAACGTTTCTACCTTCAACACCTCCTCTAGTCTGGAATCTTTCAATGCTGCCAAGTATTTATTTCACAACGAAGACGACAGGGCTACTTTAAAAGACGAAGACAGGATTCCGACCCCAGATATCAAGAGCTACCTCAAACTCACGGATCCTGACGATAAATTTCCTACGCTGTCGCGCAGGGACGACTCGGGCTTGGTAAGGCTCCCCGTTTAATTTTGAAGGGAAACCTTTGATTTGCTGACGGGAATTCCAGCTGTCTGCTAACTCAGACGCTTTGGATCTTGCCAACTCACGCACTCCTAACCCGGAGACTTGGAACTCTCACAGCCGGCACCGTACTACCCACCAAAGCATGCCACAGAATGCCTTGAACATGTTTCGCCTCGACCAGATCGGACCTTCTACAAATGATACCAACTCAACCACGCCCAACCCGTCCAGGCATGCTAATCGACACTCCCTCGAGGCAAACATGCTTTACAATGTTGAAGGGAATCATGAGAATGTAGCTGCGAACGCGTCGTCAAATCATCCTACCTCTCTGCAGTCGTCTTACTCGACTAATGATCTTCCCACTGTCAAAGGTGATGGTTTCAATCCTGCCATCACCCCCCCAAAAACCCACGCCGAACAAATCCAGCAGCACAATACTAATCTGGGCCGAATTCCAACTACTGCTGCTACTCCTCGCCAACAGAGAGACTCCCCAGAACGTGATGAAGCAAACCTAAATGGCTCCAGAACCCAGCAAACCACTTTGCAGGCTAGCGCGACCCCTTTTGGCCCCCAGCTTACCACCACTGCGCCTGGTACAGGCACAGCTACGCCAACATCATTAGCCACTTTTCAGGCACCATTCTATGGTTATGGCATTCAGACATATATGGGAGCTCCAGTTCAAGTCAGTGGACAACTTTCGAACTACAGCCCCACCGCGTCCTATGGCGGATATCCTCCCTATGGAAACTTCCGACTCGGCGAGAATCCAGCCAAGGGAGTCGTGCCTCGCAGGGGGGGGGATAGCGACTCCGCTCAGTTGTCACGTTTTACCAACTTCCCACTTGAGCATTACCGGGGAGAGTTATATGGCCTTTGCAAAGATCAGCATGGGTGCAGGTACCTGCAACGGAAGTTGGAGGAGCGCAGCCCAGAACATGTTCAAATGATCTTTGAAGAAACTCATTTGCATGTTGTGGAGCTCATGACAGATCCTTTTGGTAACTATCTATGTCAGAAGTTACTCGAATATTCAAACGACGAACAGCGCACGGCGTTGATAAATAATGCAGCCCATCAGCTTGTCAAAATTGCTCTGAATCAACATGGAACCAGGGCTTTGCAGAAGATGATTGAGTTCATCTCCACTGCTGAACAAACGCAGACTGTAATCCATGCCCTGGAGGATCACGTTGTCGAGCTGGTCCAGGACCTGAATGGCAATCATGTCATTCAGAAATGCCTGAATCGCCTCTCGGCGGAAGATGCTCAATTCATCTATGATGCTGTGGGTGCTAATTGTGTGGTTGTTGGAACTCACCGCCATGGATGTTGTGTTCTCCAGCGCTGCATTGACCATGCTTCAGGTGAGCAGAGAGCTAGGCTCATTGCACAGATAACTTCCAATGCGTTTGCCCTAGTCCAGGATCCGTTTGGCAATTATGTGGTGCAATATATCCTGGATCTTGCAGAACCTCATTTCACTGAGCCACTTTGCCAAGCTTTCCGAGGAAATATCCCAGCGCTGTCCAAACAGAAGTTCAGCTCCAATGTGATTGAGAAGTGTCTCCGTACTGCCGAATTTCCAATTAGACGTCAAATGATTGAAGAAATGTTGGCTGGAAGTGAACTTGAAAAGATGCTCCGTGATTCTTTTGCAAACTATGTTGTTCAAACTGCCATGGACTTTGCGGATGCTGACACTCGCACTCGTATCGTTGAATCTGTTCGCCCCATTCTTCCATCCATTCGCCAGACCCCTCATGGCCGTCGTATTGCTGGTAAAATAATGGCCTCTGAGGGTTCCGGAAGGGGAAGTGCCTCAACAAGTGGACAGGTCACCCCTAATGAGATGAACTCAGCACAGCTTCCGGGCCCCCTACAAGGACCGCAGAAGCCATTCATGTATCAACACAATTCTTTCCCCATCGGAGCACAGTTTGGAGCCCAAAACTATGTACCTGCTTCCGGAAGCGGCTCCGCCTCGAACACTCCGTCTGGTGGACCTAGTGAAAATTCCTCAGGCATTTTTCCGCCTGCTGTCCAGCAATCCAACGGCAATCTTGGCGCGCAGGGTCAGTTGTATGCGTATTTCTGACCAGCTGACTTGCGCCCTGCGATTGTTGATTCTTGTTCATTGAATTGTACTCATATTCGAGATGACGCTACGATCTTCATGACTTACGGCCAACTTGACACATTGCCAGCCAATTAGGATACCATGTCAAGATCTCTATCTTCATGCAAATCTCTTTGCATCTTGAACGACGCTTTAGGGCTATATGATGTGGTTCATGATAAAGGGATCTAACTGCTATTACGTCTTGTATTCTTGCAACACTTTGAATGCTTTTGCTTTTCTTGCTTTTTCTACGCCTGAAACGCGATTAGTCCCGTTTCTCTTTCTTTTCATTTTGCAATGTTACTTTCCCCTATTACCTTTGTGATCCTCATCCTATCTCGTCCTAGGCAGGACGGATGCAAAGAATGTTGTCCCATAGCTGTTTTTTGCCCCCTACCCTCCTCACCCAGATAATTGACCCCCCAACTGTGCTTTTACCATTTATTCCTTATTGGTTATTTCATTGTACTGTTCTATGCCTTACGTCAACATAGGGAATTGCATATCCCTACGGCTGATAACACTGCCATTCTCGACTGTTGGACAAAACATTGGACTGTCAACTGAGAAGTGACTGCACCACTGATAGGGTCTCAGCCTGTCTCACAAGGTCAGACTTATCTGTGTCAGCTTTCCTTGCAATTCATGCATTTTAGGGTGACGATCGATGCATGGTTTACGATTCATTATCATTTTGAACATGGTCCCAACAGCATTCGGTAGAATAGATGTACCCATACATTTAGCAACTAAAATGAGCTATTCACAATTGTTCCCTGTCAATAAAGTTTCACAATTGTCTTACACTGATTTTGTAATCGTAGGGCTCAAAGAGTGTAGAGGACCCACCTTGTATAGCAATCAGTAACTGTAGGGCACGTGACCTCATTTGAAGGGCGCGTCGTTTTGCGATCCGCACCCATCGCGTCTTCTCGAGGTTGAACCTCTTCTTGCTGCCGCCTCGACTTCTAGGCTGTCCTTATGTTTCCGATCGAGGTAACTCGCACCCTCAGCCATCAATGGCCTTGTCGAGAGCTTCAAATTAAACAGCTCGGTAGCCTTCTTGGTGTATGTTTCCGTTATCGTAATGCTGTCCTTCGATGATGAAAGTGATGAGGGTGAATTTACTGACTTCTCGCTCTCTGTTTAGCCTAAGGTCCCTAGCCCATCAACGGTAGTTGTCCATGGCATATCCGAAACATGCAAGTCGACGATTGTCCGTGGCGTTGTCTCCTCCCTCGAAGTCCCTCACGCCATCGTTCGAAGTACAGAATGTATTACAGGCCGCCATTTGTTGACAAAGATACTGTGGGCTACGCTGGAGGCCCTGGGTCAAAAGGACGAATGGGAAAAATACGGGAAAGGACGGTGTGAGCATGTCAGTTCTCTTGCCGTGCTCCTGGGCGAATGCCTCACCTCAAAGCCGACGGGCGCAGTTGAGAAATTTGTCTTGGTTTTAGATGGAATCGATAAGCAACGAGAAGCACCTCAAACACTATTGGCTGCACTAGCAAGGTTGGGAGAAGTGGTAGGTCTCTTATCGACTGACTTGTGTAAACACCATGATAATAATTGCTGCCCGTCGGCAGATACCGTCTCTCTGCGTTGTCTTGATTCTCAGCTCAACTCCACGGCCTTTGTTTCTTCAGGCTGCCGGCGTCCCACATATCAGCTTTCCACCATATACGCGCAAGGAAGCAATTACTATCATGCTGAAATCAGGACCACCGCCGGTTGCCAATCTCTCGGACGAAGCATCGTCTAGATTATATCCACATTTTGTTTCGGCTATCTACGATTCTCTGATTGGACCAACCGCGGGCTCAATTCCCAATTTTCGGTCTCTATGTGTCAAGCTCTGGCCACAGTTTGTATCTCCTATTAGCAATGGCGAAGCACCGCCCGGAACCAGCTCAGAGTGGGACTTCTCCCGGCTTCTAGTCAGGAATCGAGCACTATTTCGGCGCCATGGCGAGGCGGCTCTTGTACATCATATAGTAACTGATGAAGAAACCCCATCTGTCAATGGGTCAATCTCAAAACCGTCTCTGGCGGCCATGTCCGGCCCTTCACCTCTTCCGTCATTACCATATTTCGCGACCTTGATCTTGACTTCCGCATACCTAGCTTCCCACATCCCTCAAAGACTCGACACAATCTTTTTCTCCAAATTCTCGTCCTCCTCCTTATCTGCACGAAACAAACGTGCTCATCATAGAAGACGCTTGAAAGTTTTGTCGCAGGCCCAAGCAGAAGACAGCCGGGTGACCACACAAGGTCCAGCAACACCAGGCAAAAAAGGCAAAAGACAAAAGACCCGAATCACAAAGTCGACCCTTGAATCCGCCTTTGCCACCTCCTCTGCTACCACCTCCGCCGCTGGTGGAGCTGCTGGCGTTACCGGCCCATCGACAATCCTAACAGCTCGCCCTTTTCCTTTAGAACGATTAATCGCTATCTATCATGCTATTGACCCCAACCCTCCTGCAAACCCCATCCGCCAGGGCGCTGCATCAGACGCAATATATGCGGAGCTTGCTACGCTGCGTCGATTACGGTTGGTTGTGCCCGCCTCCGGCCGCGATAGCGGGGGTCGCATTGGGCTGGGATCTGGTGGTGCAAGCAGTGGTAACACATCAGCTGATGCTGGAGAAAAATGGTGCGTCAATGTTGCGGGTGACTGGATTGGAGAATTGGCCAAAGGAGTCGGTGTTGAGGTTGGGGAATGGCTGGCGGGGGGGTTGGATTAGAACCCGCCCAACTAACACTAATCCCGTGTATTGTACATTATATGACGAAAAGTATGCTCTTCTGAGTCTTTCATTTTCCCTCTCTCTCTTTCCCCTTCTTTCTTTCTACTTTTTCTTTTTTCCGGATGACGTGGTACAAGATGTAATCACCATATCCATTGGTCCACTGTAGCTTGGGCGCAAACCAATATACTAGGAATTTGAGGGCCATGTATGGACCCATCTCCCGGCTCAAAGCAAATGGAATTGATGGGATGCTGGTATTGATATTTCGATAATGGCGAATAGACTTGCGCGCCGGTTTGAAGAGAAAACAATTGAATTCTTTGGTCGTCGGAAGCTACAACGCCAAGTAATATTAGTAAAAAGACTGGCGAATATCAGGTGGGAAAGTCAAGAGGGATCAAACCAACCGCTTGCAAGAAGTCCTAGTTCAGAACTGAGGTCAAAGTCAGGTATGAAGCCGGGGGTATAGTCTGGAAAGGTGAGGTAAGGCTTCGTCGACGTATGGTGCTTGTTATTGGGGTTTGGGTTGCGTTGGAGACCGTTCGGGGGGAAGCGAATATCGTACATTTTGAGCTGGATGTACACACATACATATCAGCAATCGCTTTCCTTTCCGCTTGAGATGTCTCCCCGTATGCCTAGAGATACGGGAGGTCAAAAGAGAAAGGACCCACCGAATTCAGCCCTCCAACGACAATGCGATACTGATCAACCTTTCTGAGCTTAGAAATGGAATGAGTATGTTGTAGTCGAGTTGCGGTTCCTCCGCTTCGAAGGTCATGAAGAAATATTGCGGAGTCTTGGAGACCTGCGGCGATTACATCGCAAGATAGCCATTCGACACTGGTGACTAGGGCGTGGGAGGAGTCTACTCGTCGGTGGAGAATTGGTTTCCCCGTGAATCGATCATTGGCGAATGGCTTCTTTGATAGGGCCCAATTACTCCCGTAGCCTTCAAGCGTGTGCAAACCGTCGGATGTTCCGATGGCGAAGACGGGTTTGGTTCCCTCTGGACATGCTGCAGAACACCAGAGTGAGGTCGCTGTGCGGATGCGGATGGGATGTGAGACTGGGATGGATAGCCAACAATCAGTTGGCGCTTTCTTTTGTTTTTTCCTTGCCAAGGTTGACATACAAGATGGCGGCCATCGATAATCTCCACATTCATCCGGATCGGGTAACATTCGGGGTGCCAGGAACGACTCTCCATTTGGCCCGCTATCCATAGTTGCTCTAAACTCCGGTCAGGCCCTGAAAGTGGGGTATTATGAAGTGGATTTGGTTCTCACAATAGGTACCCGGTATGACTTAATGAAATAGACGAAAGCTAAGGCAAGATATGTCAGTAGATATAGGTGCATTAGGTTGGTTGAAAATGTACCCTGTACGGCTCTTTAAAGAGCACACGTTCCATTGTGCGGTTATACGTCCAATCGTCCTGGTCACAATCGGGAAAGCATACACTAATGTAACGATAAGTAAAGGAAAGATATGGTTCGATTGCAAATTTACTCACGAAACTGACGATTCCCCACCACGATGGCCGCCTTTAATGGCAATCAGCAGTAGCCTCAAGAAGCAACAAAGGCAACCTACTCGCAACCAAGATTCCAGAGCGCTTATTGCGCAAAACGTGCCTAATTGAATATTCATCTGGCCAAGGCTCAAATTGATGTAACTGGTTCCGACGGAGCTGACTCGCATACAGCAAGCCTCGTTGCTCCTGTCGAGCACTATTTGAAACATTACAGGCTTCGACGTCCCTCATGATACTAAAGAGGGGATTTTCCAGAGAAGTTGCTTTTTTGATCTTCTCCCTGGCTATTTTCTTCGTCAGGTGAACCTTCTTTTGGCGCCTCTGTGATTAAATTAGCCACAATCAAAATAATAGGCGTCCAGGAACGCAGGCATCTTGGTGACAACCTCATGGTCCACACGCTTCCGCTTGACGGCATCCTTGGAGTACTGCGCTCCGGGCGCGGCTTTGTGATTTGCCTGGATTTTGAAATACTTCTTCTTTTCGGGATCTGCTGTACCATCAACATCTGGTCACCATGTAAGTAATACACAGTTGGCCTACCATAGTAAAACCCCGGAATCTCTCGATTCATGTTTCCTGACGGGGGATTTAGGGTAGACTCCGTAGACGATAAGGAGATGTGTTACTCGAAGAAAATATAATAATAATAACAAATCCCAACTTCTTCCAACCTGCAAGTTAAAGCTCAACTCATTGGCAAAGGGAGGCCAAATATTAATAGTTCTGCTCTTTTCCTCATAGTCTGGATACGTAACTCACTCTCAAGAGGACAGGGGGCATAGAGATCAACTTTCTTCGCTGGCTGGTAAGGGGGAATCTGCGCGAAGGGTTGAGAGAGCAACCACAATCGACGCCGATATTGAAAAAGTCCTTGGTGGCGATGACGTCCTCCGTATGGATTACGTCATCCGCCTCCATCACTAGTTAACTTTTTGTATACAAATCTGCATCTCGCTTCTTTTTCCCCCTCATCCTAAATTTCATTTTTCCATTATCATTTAACCCATTTTTCATCCTGTCCTCTTGCCTTACTCAATACCTCCAATGGTAATACTCTTCACATGAATAAACTCGTCAATGCCATATTTGCTCCCCTCCCGACCAAACCCGCTTTCCTTGACTCCGCCGAACCTGCCTCGGGATTATCAGCAAAACTATTCTAGATCCTAGGGAGTCATAGAGGAACTTACGGAGAAGCAACATCACTAATGATGCCAGTGTTAACACCTACCATACCCACTTCTAACGCTTCAGCCACGCGAAAGACGCGTCGGATGTTGCGACTATAAATATAGGCTGCTAATCCAACCTCGCAGCGGTTTGCAAGCTGGATAACCTCGTCCTCCGAGTCAAACGCAAACAGTGCAGCCACAGGACCAAAAGTCTCTTCGGATGCGACTCGCATCTCATGGGTCATACCTGTCAAAATCGTCGGCTGGATGAAATTCACTCCTAGATGATTCATGCGTTCACCACCCACCAGGACCCGCGCCCCTTTGGACTTGGCGTCTTCGATATGCGCTACTACTTTATCAGCAGCGGCTTGGTGGATGAGTGGCCCGTGGGTGACGCCAGGCGCGAAGCCAGGTCCCACCTGGAATTTGTTGATGGCAGTTGCAAGCTTCTCAGCATACACGTCATAGTGTGAGCGATGAACATAAATGCGATTGGCACAAACACATGTCTGTCCGGTTCCCCGAAACTTTGACTGGATTAGCCCTGTGACGGCAGTGTCCAAATCTTCTACATCGTCAAATACTATAAAAGGTGCATTCCCTCCCAATTCCCAGGATACTCGTTTCAACGTAGACGAGGCTTGGTTCATGAGAAGCTTGCCTACACGTGTGGACCCCGTGAAAGACACTTTTCGAATCTTAGGATGGGTTGTAAGTTTGTGGCCGACATTCACCGCATTTTCCTGCGCTGTGAGAATATTGATTACTCCGCGAGGGATACCTGCGCGGTGTGCTAGCTCAGCAAGGGCATTGGCGGTAAATGGTGTTTCCCCAGGACTTTTTGCGACAACTGTGCATCCTGCAGCTAGTGCCGGTCCGATTTTGCGAGTTATCATCGCAGCTGTAAAGTTCCAAGGCGTGATTAGGCCACAGACACCAACTGGCTCCTTGATAGTAACAACACGGTTACCATGGACAGAAACAGGGATGCTGTCGGCATACAATCTAGGGGCTTCTTCACTAAACCACTCGATAAAGGCGGCTGCGTAGTTGACTTCACCCTTGGCTTCTGCATATGCTTTGCCATTCTCCCAGGTGATCAAAGTAGCTATGTCGTCTTGGTTCTGCAAGATAAGCTCGAACCAGCATCGCAGCATCCGAGATCTTTCTCGAACCGGCGTCTTACGAAAGTATTCGAAGGCGTTTGCTGCCGCATTTATAGCTATCTCTGTATCGACGGAGCTGGACTCTGGACAGGTTCCAATCAGTTTTTGAGTGGCGGGATCTGTCCGTCACTGCAATGTCAGTAAAATGGACGCTGAGTGCAACGGGCCTGCAATAATCTCACCAAAGACCTGGAAAGTCTTGCCGGACTGGGCGTCAACCCATTGGCCATCAATATAACATTTGCCGATAAATAATGATTTATCTTTCAGCTAAGGATGAGTAGTCAGGAGGGTAGGCTATGGATTGAAGGGATACTTTGTTCAACACACCTCGGGTACAGTGTGATCCATGGAGACGTCCGATGCACCTACGATGCCTATAAACCTTAATGGAAGACGAACACAAATTGCCTTGAAAGAGAATTATGGCTATACAAAGTCAGTCAGAATCAATGGGTTTAATATTTGCCTGTGTCCTTTCACCCGGTCCGGTTGACCACTACTCGGGCCGAGTAATTTGGATGCTTTGCCGGGACTGTTTCAAAACTGTACCTAGGAGCTTGGGTTAATTCTCCTGATTTCTAAGGCTATTCATGCTTTGAAGCATGGCTTGTGAACAATCAAACAAGATAGCCACCTGACTTGTCAAAGTCAATATAAGGGTTCTCTTTTTAAGTCTATCTTCAGTATTATATATTGTGTACTGTATCTCTTTATATCTCACATCACCCAACTACTTCTGAACACCCAATCCGAACATACGGACACTGTTATTCCACGCTGCTTGAGCCACTTCTTCTACCGGTACCCCCTTTAGCCCAGCCACGACTAGAGCTACTCGTTCTATGGTACAGCTCTCATTCCGACTCTTGACCATCTGTCCGGCTATGAATTTGTTATGCTTTCTTGACGGAGGCAGAGGCCGAGCGGTTGCCAGGTATGGAGCAATTTTTTTATCGTTACTTAGTACCTCACACCACGGAGCATCTGTTTCTAAATGCAAGCTTGTAAGGGGAATATGGTGCACCATGTCCAGCTGTTCCTCTGTCCGGAAGCAAACACCATTGACACTAATATCAAGGCCGAGTTCCACCAGTTGCTGCATTTCTTCCCTGGAACCGGTAAAGGAATGCACCAATCCGCCCCGTGGCAGCTTGGGCAGATATGGCTGAATAATATCAATGAAATCCGAGCATGACTCGCGCACGTGTAGGAAGAGAGGAAGCTGCATCCGGACAGCTATATCTAGCTGATCGCGGAATGCCCGCTGCTGGGTGATCTTGTCGGCGCGGTCAAGGTACTCATAGTCAAGACCGATCTCTCCAAATGCTGCAAGCGGCGACGGCTGCTCTGCCAGAAGTTCCTGGCCAAGTTTCTCAAGGCTCTGCAGATGTTCGACCCCGTCCTGGCCTTCGTATATCTCTCCGGCGTGATACGGATGCACTCCTAATGTCATTGTGCATACGTCAGGAAGCTCCCTCACTACCTTGAGGTTCTCATGAGCTCCTGCAAGTGTCATTGTGGTAAGCATGACTTTCTCGCAACCATACTCCTGGGCCCTGTTCAGCACCGCGCCAAAATCAGGGTCATGGTACTTCTTGCCACGATAAATGCCCTGAAACTGGTCTGCTGTGAATGTCACGGCAACCTGCACAAAATGCAACATTAGTGTTTGCTCCCGGAAGCTAAAGGAGGCGGAGAACTTGCATCTGCAAATCGAAGAGACGATGATGTTGTCGTTTGGACCATGGTGCTACGACTATATGCTTCGAGTCCGATGCAAATCTGGGGGCGCTGAATATATCGCTTGGTAACCGATGCTTGGAGTGAAGCTTGAAGGTGGTTGAGACGTGCGCACGCCAGCACTGCCAGTCTACAGAATGTTCGCCACTATTGCGCCAATCCGTCCACCAGCTGTTCACAATGCGAAGTGGAGAGGCCAAAATTACTCGGGTACATACTCGGGTACATGTACCCGAGTAGCCGGAAGCCAGGGGACCACTTTACTGAAATAGGATCCAGCAAGTCCCCACACTCGATAGACAGACAGAATCGAGACTGTGCGGAGTCAACCATCTAGACGAGCAAAAAATACCTCATGGCGCGCGATAAATGCTGCCCAGAAACGGATAAGCTGAATGGTATGGGAATAGTCGCCTCGGCGAGGTATAAACCTTCTATCGTTTCTCAACCTTTCTCCCTGCCCGTAGATTGAGATGGAATGGATCCCCTAGCAAAGCATAGCTCAATACTGCTGCATTGGCACTGTCTCCATGCCTCGTCAGGGTCACAAGTATGTTCCACAAAGAGCTATCGATGCAATAAAATCTTTGTTAAAGCCTGGATTCTGTATATCAAGGACCCCGGGGCACTATTCTTAGCTATCGTCAGATCGAGTGAACTGGGCCTATACAAAACTGGGGGTTCCACACTGTTTACCTGGGCGACACACTTGACTCTGACAAGCACATGCTGGTGCATCTGTTCTTTACACTTGCGTACGGGTTGTTTTTGTTCTCTTATTTTCCCTATGTACAGTACACATCCCTCCTACAGGAGAGCTGTTGGAACAGTCCAATATAATGTTCTCTTAATGAGTGTCAATTCTGTTGTCTCAAGAATCGTGCTGGTCATTGTATGCTCTGCTAAAGTAGCAGTGGAGACTATTTTCTTCCTTTGAGTTCCCCTCCACCCTGTTTTCGCTTCTCCACTGCGTCAGCCATATCTCCTAAAGTATCAAACTTCCAATCGAAAACACTCTCAGAAAGATTCCCCATCACAGCTCCCGGTCTCTCAATCCAGACTGATTTGATTCCCATCTTCCGGGCTGGGTGATGATCATGAAACTGACTCTGAGCGGTCTGAAGCACCTCTGTTGCATTCACACTGAACTCCGCCTTGACAGCTTGCAGCATATGCTGAAAGTTGCGCAAGGACGGCTTATATGAACCGACATCCTGTGCCGTGATCACAAGATCAAACTTCACACCCTGCAAGCTACCCGCAGCTGTTTTCTCAAACGACTCCCGGTCAACATTCGACAGCACCACCAGCTTATAGTGCTTTCTCAGCCGTTTCAATGCATCGACTGTATCCGGGAAAGCAGGCCACTTTCCGACTGATGTACCAAACACATGACTTTCTTCCTCGCTTGGCGGGCTCAGACCCAGCCGTGCAGTCATCTGCGGGTGCACGGCAGCCAGCAGCTTGGAGTATGGCAGGTCCGGTGTTGCTGCTTGTTGCGTCCGCTCCAGTTCATGATATACGTGGAGGATGTGCTCACGAGAGAACTGAGCTCCGTTTTTCGTCAGGGTCGGTTTGAACGCCTCCAGCACGCCGTTTTCCCAGTCAATTAGGGTGCCGTAGACGTCGAAGCAGAGAAGGCGGTAGTCAGATAGTTGCGCCATCTTGCAGTTGATTGACTCTTAACTTAACTTTCGAGTTAGTTAAATGGTTTTCAGTGTAGAATGACCTCGTGTTTCACGCTCCTCATGGGCCTGCGTGGGGTTTATATCGAGACGTTGGCCGGTCGTCGTTCCGGGTACATGTACCCGGAAGGGCAGCCGGGAGGCAGATCTTCGATGGTCGGTCAACTCGGGCAAGCTTCTCCATTTCTCGGAAAATGGGCTCCATATTATCCCGGCTTCCTACAGGCCTAGGGATATACTATCCCGGTCCGGTGATTCGAAGCTGGTGGCAATGGCGGGTTGTATAAAACTCCCACTCCAACCATGAAAGCACCCGGGCATAAATCAATTCAACACCACTCGCTCTGGCTCAACAGCGTTTTGGATACTTGTTTAGTGGACAAAATAGAAAATAGAGACGTTATGCCTGAACTAGCGCCCTCCATGCGCACCGCTGTCCCCGGACCGCTCACTAATAGCACCAAGGAAGAGCTGGATACTGTCTTTGATGCTCGCACGGTACAGATGGTAATCGACTATGACAGAAGTTTTGGCAACTAGTAAGTTGTTCCATTCCTGCAAGACTTGAGAAACCGCTGACTTGAGTACTCCCAATCCAGCCTAGTTGACGTTGACGGAAATACGTACCTGGATGTGTACGCCCAGATTGCCTCGATCCCCGTAGGATATAACAATCCCACGTTAGTTAAGGCAGCACAGTCGCCTGCCATGGTGTCCGCTTTAGTCAACCGTCCAGCAATTGGCAATTTCCCCTCTCATCATTGGCTAAACCTCCTGCGTCAGGGTCTCATGCGCGTCGCTCCCAAAGGGTGCACACAAGTGGTCACTGCGCAGTCTGGATCTGAGGCCAATGAGCTTGCCTTCAAAGCCGCCTTCATGGCATACCGTCGGCAGCAGCGAGGCTCTGCAACATGGTCCGAACATGAGCTTGAATCTGTCATGAAAAACCAAAGCCCGGGAACCCCCGATTTGGCTATTCTAAGTTTCAAGAACTCCTTCCATGGTCGAGGATTCGCCAGTCTGTCCGCTACGCGCTCCAAGTCGGTGCATAAGATGGACATCCCTGCCTTCAAGTGGCCACAAGCTACCTTTCCCCAGCTTAAGTACCCATTAGAGGAGTATGAGCAAGAAAACCAACATGAAGAGGATCGCTGTCTTCAAGAAATCGAACACATTATCGATTCCTGGCATTGCCCTGTGGCAGGGATTATCGTGGAACCCATACAAAGTGAAGGTGGTGATAACCATGCCTCTGCACAGTTCTTCCAAGGCCTCCAAGTCATTACTAAGGCCCGTGCAATCTATCTTATTGTCGATGAAGTCCAAACTGGTTTCGGAGCAACGGGCAAATTTTGGGCTCACGAACATTGGGAGCTAGCCTCTGCCCCCGATATAGTCACATTTTCCAAGAAGGCGCAAACCGCGGGTTACTTTTTCAGTGATCGAAACCTCCGTCCAGATAAGGCGTACCGTCAATTCAATACGTATGCTCCAATCTACTAAGATTACGAGGACGAATATATTTGCTGACCATATGTTTCACGAACCAGCTGGATGGGCGATGCCGCACGAGTCATCATGTCCAATGCCGTGATTGATGAGATCCTCACCAAGAACCTGGTTACAGAAACTGTAAGTAGTTAGAATAAGAAAGTATATACGCCTATACAGTCTAACCAACCGTCGCAGGCGCGTATTGGCGACATTCTCTATGAGAGAATAGCTGACCTAGCCAATCGATATCCTAAATATATCAAAAATCTCCGTGGCAAGGGAGAAGGCACCTATATTGCCTTTGATACGGTTGATTCGAGCTCCCTGTTGAAGGAAATGCGGACTCTGGGGATAAACATTGGGAGTTGTGGCATATCGACCATTCGACTGCGGCCGATGCTCATTTTTGAAGAAGCCCACATTCGTCTGCTCTTGGAGGCGTTAGAAACAGCGTTTTTGAAGCTGGATGGGTCGGCGTAATGGTTATAAGAGTAGCCCAGTCCCAGCCTCGTCAATGTGTCTTGTTATTGCCCACATAAAGTTGTATGGCAAATTCTACATTAGAAGCGGAAAATAAATCAGATAATTACTAACTACTCTGTAAAGTTGATAAATGGCTTCAGCTCAGGTGGGCCACTCAGCAGGCAGATCAAAGTCATCCAAGGTAGGGATAGCCGCAAACGCATTCAACTCTTGGGGAAATGATGAAAGAAAGCCGTCGAATGAAGGCACACTGCTGTCCAGATCAGGGATCTCGATATTCTCGTGTCCAAGTTCAGGAAGAGGGGGCGAGGATAACGACTCCACACGCCAGAGTTGTGCCCATCGTCTAAACTGTTCATATCCAGTTTCCGAGACGGCGGGGCCTGGTTCGGTTTCGCTGGGGCTATCGAGTTGCAAGCGAGCTCGCTCTAGGGCCTCAATGACAGCGACTTCAGACCGAGCCGACTCGAGTCCAACACACATTTGTCGAATAAGTACCATGCCACGGGCCAAGGCATTGCATATTTCCTCTGAGGATCTGGTGAGCCTTTGAGCAATGAGGGCCAGCAGGGCCGCTCGACACGAGCTGAATTCTGTATACGATACTCGTGCCAGGCCCACAGAGTCATGCATGAGCTGGCAGAGGTCAATTATTCGGAGACAGGCCCGTACACAATCGCCTGATAACATTTTGACAGTCTCAGTACGGATGTCGTCGGTGGATTCCTGGGCAGGCGACTTTGGCTGCAAAAAGATAAAAGGACGGCCAATGTATATGGTAGCTGTACTGTAGGTGAGCTCCAGATGCACATTGCAGCGGAAAAGAGGTCCGTTCGGATTGAGATCACGGCAATGGACCTCAAAAGGCAAGGAGGCCCACCAGTCGCATAGCTCTTTTCGGACGGCTCTCAGCTCCCGGAGATGGTGGGTTTGGCGACTTGGTGAGCATTGTCTCAGCCGCAGGATAATCCGCGCTAATTCTCCCATTTGATCAGTCAAGTATATATTGGCAGTGATGTTTGGTAGACTGGAGATGCCGTTGGTGAACTGCAGGCCATTGACCTCGGTGGGCATGTCAGTGTCGAAGTCAACTCGTGATATGGATACAGGTCGCCCATGAAGTATACTAATCCGGCTAGAATGGAGGTCAGTGTGATTTCATTTGTTGGGTCACTTCTTTTCGTACCTTTCTAGTGAGTATGCGGACCACCAAAGGCGGTTGCGCAACTCGATAGTAAGAGGATCTAATGTAGCTCCCGAGTATTTGCGATGCATGCCATTTTGAATAGCCATTTTAATCGCAAGGCCGAAATATGTGTACGCCAACCCCGATGTATCAATGGGTAGGGTGTATACTCCGAGTAGCAAGAAAGCCTGCACGGTTTCTACGGATGCAATCGTAATCATATCTGGAATTAATCGACACGAAAATCGGTAGAGCTCCAAGCCAATGTGATCATCTGGAATCTCTTCCGAGAAGGGAGGATTAGACTGTCCTGGTTTAGTCTGCATGTAAGCAAACTGAGTTCCAATTGCAAATGCCATAAGAAGGGTGCAGATCCAGCCAGTGTCATCAATAGTTAGTGGCCCGTCGGTAGTGTAATAGAAATCCATCTTTTGGCGGAATGTGGCTATGTCAAAGTAGAAATAGTTGGTCTGCGCGAACTGAACGAATGTATCTGTAAGGAATTCAGCGACATTTCTAGGCGGGAAATACATCATCGATGATGTGACGAAGGAGCTGGACGATTGTAGGCCTGTAGCGCGGAAAAATCCATCAGTTGTCTCTGAGTCCTGCACATTTTTGTCAGTAGTAATTTAGGCTAGTTTCAATTTGTGGAGATATGCGTCCTGCTGTCCACGTACATGACCAAGGCTTTGCAACCTACGCCGAATCATCTTGGAAAAATTCCAGTGAGATAGTTCTCCTGAATAGTCTACACTAAGTTGTCAATTGTAGATCATAGAAAACAAGAAGCTTGCACATACGCATCGTATTCATGGACAATGGCTCCAAGGAATAGCTTTCTGACAGACTTTGGCCCCCTAAGTCACCGGCATCTTGGGACCTCGAGTCGTCACGGTCTTTCTCCAGCGCATCCGCGATTCCTTGCAGATCGCTGGTGGTAAATGAAATATCCCCCATGAAATGTCTAATGATCCGCCTCATATGCCTCTCCCTGCCTAGTGGGCCGGATTCACTAAGACAGGAAAATAAACTATGAGTCAATTGACTTTGGTTTATAGTCGAGACAAGTTGATAATCACCTCGATAGGGAGACACGTTCCGCCCGCTGGGGTTGAACACTCTCAAACCGACAGGTCCTCCTATACTGTTGGCAGCGTGCACAGGGCATGCCACCTTGGCCTACGACATCGTTAACAAATGAAATCAGCACTTGTAAAGGTCTAACCCATACACTTTTCTTTATGTTGGCGACAGGGAAGACATCTGTAAGAGCCACGTCAGGGCCACAATCAGCCAAGCCTGTCTTTGTAGAAATTCTTGGACAAAACCTACGCTTGAACGGCTCTCTTACGCTGCGCGTCGGGGACTCGCGGTCTTTTCTGTCGACCACCTCGCCGAGATTGTTCTTGATCCATGAAGCCCAATGGCCGGTTGATGGTTCATACCTCTGATTGACTAGGGACGAAGAGAAGAAGAATGAAGGGAAGATGAGACGGAGGGGAAATGATTGGAGGACGGCCTTTGGACGGTCCACCTGAGGCACCAAATCATGTGAGGAGCGCTGCCCTATTGAGGAAAAGTACTTTAATAATTGAATTAATTATACCGGTATGGATGGCAAAGGGAGGGACATAAAAGAGAAAAGAAGAAAAATAATAGCTAATACCTTTCGAGCAAGTTCTACTCTATGGCTCTTTCCATGAGTCCAGCTTTTCCCGACCCATCTTTCCTTCCTCACCCGCCGCTGCCTTCCCATAAGGATCACCTCTACTTTGGAGTTACTGTTGTTTACTCTCATGTTATTTCACCAGTATCATTTGTTCTGTGATATTGGATAACCTCTGTCTATACCTTATAGAGACAGATATATTCCTCCCATCCTTATCCGGAATCATCCTCTCACCATGCTCCTGCGAAGTAAGTCAGCCCCAATGAGGGTTTCTCAAGATCGCAGTAAAACCAAGAATCCTCCGGACGACTTGGTAATCGAAGAGATCAAAGATGAGATTACTGTTGGAACGTCGCTGCCCAATATTGAAGAGGAAGAGGAGGACGAGGGAGATGAGGACAAGAATATTGACACACTCATTGATGAACTTCAGTCCCTTGACGGCCACAGTGATACAGATGACCCGACTCTGGCGGATGCATGCCAGGCTCCTAGTGTATCCGAGGAAATGCTTGTGACAGACAACGTAACTGGACTTAGCGAATCGGAAGTTCTGCAGCGCCGGAAAAGATATGGCTTGAATCGGATGAAAGAAGAGAAGCACAATCTGATCCTGAAGTTTCTGTCCTATTTTGTAGGTCCTGTTCAGTTTGTCATGGAGGTATGTGTGCCGGATATCCTTTCGTGTTGCTACTCGTGCTTTGAACTGAACCACGCACGTCGCAGGCCGCGGCCATCCTGGCAGCTGGCCTGAGAGATTGGGTCGACTTCGGTGTCATCTGTGCCCTGCTCCTGCTCAATGCATCAGTAGGCTTCATTCAAGAATTTCAGGCTGGTTCTATCGTAGAAGAGTTGAAGAAGACACTAGCCCTCAAAGCAGTCGTTCTGCGGGATGGCCGCTTGACGGAAGTGGATGTAGCTGAGGTTGTACCCGGAGATATGTTGAAGATTGAGGAGGTATCGTGCCTAATGTACTTTTACTGGCTCAGTGACTAATTAGTTGCAGGGCACTATTATTGCCGCCGATGGTCGGGTGCAATCATGCTTTGCTCTTCAAGTGGACCAATCCGGAATCACTGGCGAGTCCCTCGCTGTCGACAAGCACAAAGGAGACACCTGCTATGCATCATCAGCTGTCAAGCATGGGAATGCATACCTTGTGGTTACGGCGACTGGCGATTATACTTATGTCGGGCGTGCCGCAGCGTTAGTTCAGGCGGCCTCGTCGGGCACAGGCCACTTCACCGAAGTTCTGAATGGCATCGGTGTTGTTTTGTTGGTATTGGTCATGTTAACTCTTCTCGTGGTGTGGGTATCGTCGTTCTACCGATCCAACGACATCATTACTATACTTGAATTCACTCTGGCCATTACCATCATCGGGGTACCTGTCGGTTTGCCAGCCGTGGTAACCACCACCATGGCGGTCGGTGCTGCGTATTTAGCGAAAAGGAAGGCCATTGTACAAAGATTATCTGCAATTGAGTCTCTTGCTGGTGTTGAGATTCTCTGCTCCGACAAGACCGGCACTCTGACTAAGAATAAACTCTCCTTGTCTGAGCCCTATACAGTGGCGGGTGTCGACCCTGAAGATCTAATGCTAACAGCATGTTTGGCGGCTTCACGCAAGAAGAAGGCCATGGATGCAATTGACAAGGCATTCCTCCGCGCGCTCTCCGATTATCCCAGAGCGAAGGCTTCTCTGACACAATACAAGAAGCTGGCTTTCCACCCGTTTGATCCGGTTTCCAAAAAAGTCACAGCGGTGGTCCGATCTCCCCAGGGAGAACGGATCAAATGCGTCAAAGGAGCACCACTCTTTGTCCTTAGGACCGTAGAGAAAGACCACCCCATCCCGAGTGAGGTTGAGTCCGCGTATAAGAACAAAGTATCCGAGTTTGCGTCTCGTGGCTTCCGATCGCTCGGAGTAGCCCGCAAGCGCGATCAGGGCCAGTGGGAAATCTTAGGTATCATGCCTTGCTCAGATCCCCCGCGACATGACACAGCCAAGACAATTCATGAGGCTAAAAGGCTGGGTCTGTCGATTAAGATGCTGACTGGTGATGCCGTGGGAATTGCCAAAGAAACGTCCCGGCAGCTGGGCCTGGGCACCAACGTGTACAATGCAGAGAGGCTGGGTCTTGGGGGAAAGGGCACCATGCCCGGATCAGAGGTCTATGACTTTGTCGAGGCTGCCGACGGTTTTGCAGAGGTTTTCCCCCAGCACAAGTACAACGCTGTTGACATCCTACAGCAACGTGGGTATCTGGTGGCTATGACTGGCGACGGAGTCAATGACGCTCCATCTCTCAAAAAGGCGGATGCGGGTATCGCCGTGGAGGGCGCCTCCGACGCAGCTCGGTCTGCAGCAGACATTGTTTTCCTGGCTCCAGGGCTTTCGGCAATCATTGACGCCTTGAAAATCTCCCGCCAGATTTTCCACCGGATGCATGCCTACGTAATATACCGCATCGCCCTGTCACTGCACCTGGAGATATTCCTGGGCCTCTGGATTGCTATCATGAACGAGAGCTTGAACCTGCAACTAGTTGTCTTCATTGCCATCTTTGCCGACATTGCAACATTGGCAATTGCCTATGACAATGCACCCTATTCGAAGACCCCGGTGAAATGGAACCTGCCCAAGCTCTGGGGGATGTCTGTCCTCTTGGGCATCGTCCTGGCCATCGGCACGTGGGTCGCGCTGTCCACCATGATATCAGGAGGCGAGGGAGGAGGAATTGTGCAAAACTATGGGAAGCGAGATGAGGTGCTGTTCCTAGAGATCTCTCTGACGGAGAACTGGCTCATCTTCATCACGCGTGCTGAGGGCCCATTCTGGTCATCAATTCCCTCGTGGCAGTTGACAGGGGCTATTGTGGTTGTCGATCTTGTGGCGACTTTTTTCTGCATTTTCGGCTGGTTTGTCGGGGGACAGACTTCAGTGGTTGCCGTGGTGCGCATCTGGGTGTTTTCCTTTGGCGTCTTTTGCATCATGGGAGGCCTCTACTACCTGCTGCAGGGCTCCACCAGTTTTGACCGGATTATGCACGGCCAAAGCCCTCGAGGCCATAGAATCAAACAGCGACAGCTGGAAGACTTCAGTAGGAAATCCCCTTGACCTGGATGGTTTGGCCCAAGCTAATATATCTGTTTACCAGTGGTAACGATGCAACGGATATCAACACAACACGAGAAGAGTTCGTTGATAGGTACGGAAAATGCACCCGTGTTTCGTGTGGAATGAATGGCCATTATCTCGTCTATCGATTGCAAACGAGGTAACGCCTGTATGATTAATATCGTATGTCATATTCCATTTCTTTGAGAGTTCTGTTTCCCCAGGCCGTTCAGTTTGGTCGATCTAGTCTGTCTCTATTATTTCTGAATCCGCTCCGGACTGAAGTTGTCGACGCGAGTCTCGCGACAGGCGAGAGAGTACGGGACAAGCGGTCACACGTTGCAGGGGGAAACAGAGGGAAGCCATGGATGGCTCTTGGTTAAGGAATTAAGGTAATGCATTATAGACTAGTTCAGAGACTAAATAGCTAGCAAGAAAATCCCCACGTACTTCCGTTAGCCGGAGTCCTTCCTTCTTTATCGCTGGGTTCATCGTTGGAAGTAGAGTACATGGCACAGCACGTCAGTCAATGAAAAGAGGTAGAGAAGAGATAGTACCGCAGGGGAATATACAGAGCAGCGACAGAGATCTGTAGGGTTCAAATCGAGTAAAGTATAAGTAGAGGAGGGGGAAAAAGGAAATGGTTTCAAGTGAGTGCAAGGCTCAAAGAAAAAAAAAAGAAAGAATTAAAGGAAAACCTATGTGCAAAGTAGTGAAATGGTAATGACAGTAAGGAGCATTAATTGCAGGAAATTATGACTTGGACGTCAGATGGTCCACTGCCTACATCAAGATGCCCATTAGTTTGACTCGCTTTTTTGAAAACCGGAGGCCTGCTTACCTTATCAAGATTGTAATCAAATTTCTCTAATGCAGCCAACGACTCCTCGCGAGGGAACCCCATGCCCGTCAATCGTTGGAGAAACTGGTCATCCTCAGTGCTGGTCTGGAGAGCCCATCCGGGTTCCTTGTGGTGCTCGTTTGAGCCGGGTTTAGCACCATTGGTACCAGTTCCGGGGGAGCTGACATTGTCTAGCGGTGCAAAGAGCGCCTCCCAGTCATGAGACTGCGCTGTCGTATTCGTATTGGCATTGGTTGACGATAAAGCGCCACCTGGGGATGAGGTAGCATGAGGGTCGAAATTGAAGAAATCAGAAGAAGCGGGATTCCCGGTGCTGGTGCCAACACCGGGAGAAGTGGGCTGCTGGTGGGATGGAGTATCGAAGGAAAAGTCGAAATCGGCGTGGTTCTTCTGGCTAGGCGTCTCGTCCTCGTCCTCGTCGTCCTCACTCTCCTTCGCCGGTGCGAGATTAAGGCCCGCAAAGGCCGCCTCGAAGTCCGGCGCATTGGACTTCTTGTCACCCACTGTGGGTGCATCCTTGGAAGTGTCCCGCTGTGACTCCCCCCCTATGATCGGTGCCCTCGTGCCCGATTCTACGGAACGGGAGGCGTCCGACACTGCGGTGGGATCCGCATGGTGCGGCAGGAGGCCGTCAACCTCATGCACCACGGTATCCAGCTGCTTATTCGTGCTTTGCTCATAACCCGGCGAACTCTTATACGAGTCCGCCGCAGGAGGCTGGGCGGAGCTGGCACCTGTACCGGGGGCTGGGAACGCTGCAAGCTGTGATGGCTCAATTGACTCAGGCTTGGGTGCCGCATTACTTTGTGGTGGGAAGACAGTCGTGAAGTTGTCGTCGAATCCCATCCGTGCCTCGCTGTCCGTGCTATCGTCGTCGTCGTCGTCTTCGAGCTCATGAATCGGGGGGAATTCCGAGCTGGCAGCTCCATTGGTCTTTTTCGCTTCGCCACCTTGTTTCAAGGAAGCAAAGGCTTCCTCGAAGTCATTTTCTTTTTGAGATTTGGATCGCTTATGCGCTGGTCCTCCAAATAGCTCATCGAAACTTGGATCTTTGGTCTCTTGCTGTTTAGGTTCCCCAGCTGAGGATGCTGCGCCTTCCGCTGTTGTCTCACTGGCTCCAGGAATTTCAGAAAGTTTGGACTTCAGTTCTTCCGTTTCATCGGATGTTGAGGCTGAGATCGGGGCGGCTTCGCCAGACGGAGTCCCGTAATCACTCATTCCAGCCTGTGAACCAGCTCCTATGCTAAAACTGTCCTGGGTACCAACCCTGCTGGCAGGAGGGGAAACTTTGGTGGAAGACGTCGCAGAGTGTGCGTCGCCAAACGGAAAACCGCTAGGAGTGAGTTGCCTTGACTGAGAAGGAGGCGGTGGCTCCAATACTCCCGCGGTAGATGGTGGGGGAGATACCGAGGGCGTTGGGGCGCCAGATGTAGACTTGACCGAAGCAGGCAGGGAATCAGCGCGGAACGAGGTTGGCGGAGGCGGAGTAGGAGCATTTGACGGAGACTGAGCCGCAAACGAAGGCCCAAACAAACTATCGAATGCACGCTGCTGATCATTTGAGATTTGAGGCGACAGTCCATGGCCGTCACTGGAGCCCGTTGCCGTGCGTTTGAAAAATGGATTGGTGTTCTGGCTCGCTGTTGAAGCAGCTGGGCTGCTAACACTGGCTGCCATGCTCGCTGGAGGAGTCTCATAGTTCTCCAGTTCTCTGGGTTGGTCTTTGGAGAGTTTATCCATCTCTTCCTGGATCTTACTCTTTTCGCCCTCCACCGTAGCGAGTTGTTTCTTGTTGATTGCTACTAACCCTTTCTGCTGTCGCGCCTCGGAGCGGGCCTTTTCCAGTGCGGGCTTCAGCTGGGCAACCGCAGCATTGGCTTGGCGAATCTTCTCTTTAAGGCTGGCATTTTCCTGCTGATCGGCGGTCAGCGCAGCCGACACTTGATCATGCTGATTCTGCAAATCTTGTCTGCTTCCATCGATCAATGCATATTCCTGCTGGAGTTTGCTGGTCTCCGCCCGGGATGCATTCAGACGTTCTTCGAGGGCCTTGAAGTTCTTCACCTCCTGCTCATACATCGTCCGAGCCTGTGCAAGCCGCGATTCAAAATCGCGTTTCTGCTGCGACGATTGCGAGAGTTCTTGTTCAGCAGACGTGCGTTTGGTCTGGACATTTTGCATCTCGTTTGCTAATGAGCCAATTTGATTGGACAAGTTGGCCAGTTCTGTTGTTTCCTGCGTCAATTTGCCCGATTCCTCTGGGTCGTTATCTCCAAGAAGGTCATCAGACGGTGGTGGAGGCGATCGGACCGTAGGGGGAGCAACAGCCGAAGCCCCTGTCACTTGGGGTTGAATGCTTTGGCCGAACGAGGATGTGGGAATAAAAGGCTTGAAAGTGGTCGAAGCGCTTGGCGGAGACGCCCTGGACGTCGGTGATGCCGGAGCTTGGAATGGCATGTTCGATCCTCCTGTAGACTGGGGTACTTGGGAAGGAGCTGCAGGTGCGGCGGGAGCCGACATCGAATCGAGGCCAAAAAGATCATCTGCGGCAGAACGAGGAGTGGGCGCTGGAGCTTGTGCGGGAGCAGGCGCCGGCGCAACGTATCCAGAACTGGGGCGACGCATACTAGGTGGGATCAGCGCAGGAGGTAGGGCTTGTGGAAGAGACTCCTTTCCACTGCGCTGCTGTCGGACCAGGTACATGGCCACCGCAAACTCATCTTTGGTCAATTGGCCATCGGCATCAATATCCGCGAGGTCCCATATCTGGGCAAGTGTCTCCTCGGGGAGCTGGGCCTTCATGAAGAATGCAACCGCCTGATCACCACTTATCATACCATTCTTTGACGAGTCGATGGTCGCAAAGACGCTGTCAAAATGAATTTTCTCCTGGGGTGTGATCAGCCAGTCCCCACCGGTCGACTGGGCCGAAAGAGGTGAGCTGAATTGTTGCCTGTTAATGGGACTCTGGGTCCGTTGTGGGCCTGTGAATTGTTTAGGAATCGCCGGCACGGGGGGTACGTCTAGTCCAGGGCGTGTGCCGATCGATGACCGTGTAGAACCCCGTCGTGCAGCAGCTTCGTATAGGCCAGGCGGGACGGTCTGAGGGATGCTCCTCATCGAGCCCGCCTTGTAAGAGGTCAGGAGATGCATCGCGATAATGAACTCCGTTGCATCGAGTGCTCCCCGTTGGTTGACATCCGCCAGGTTCCATATCCTACCCAGTATTTCATTCGGAAGCCTTGCGCGTTCGAAGATCTGCTTTGCAATGTCGCCTATAAAGATAACTCAGTCAGTCTAAAGTATGATTTCCCCCAGTAGGGTAGGGGACTGCACGTGCCAGCGATAACTCCACTCCGGGAAACGTCCGATTTCTCGAACAGCGACACAAACTTGTTAACGTCATCTGGGTTCAACGGTGGGACTCGAATTGGTGCCCCAGCAGCCGGGGGAGGGCTAGTGGTACCGGCATCGCGCGTAGGGGTGGGGGAATGATCGATTACGATGCCGTCGAATTTAGGTAGGGGGCCGGCTAGATTGGCGCACCCAAGTCAATCTCTCATAGTTCATCTCTTGGAGGCCCCTTCAAAGCGAAGGGATGGCGTCAGAGACATCACTCACGTTGTAGTGCCAGTTCATCAGTCGGTGCGCGGCCAGCTTGGGCATGTCCAATTAATCGCAACACAATACCAAACCCCGAAGGCGTTAGGAGACCCCTGTTCTCCTTGTCCGCAATTTGCCATATCTGCAGGTTCGTATCGGGCCCAGGGTTAGCCAGGATTGCTTCCGTATAGGGAGTAAATAAAGAAAGGTTCTCTGGGTGCCATAGGTCATGGACGTACCAAACCGAGAGTTTCCGGAGCCAGCTGGGTCTTCTCGAAGAAAGGGACGGCAACCTCGCCGGTGATGACACCCAGGTTGGTCGTATCGGCAGCCTGGAAGAGCTGGTAAAAAACTCGCTTTTCCTCCGGAGTCAGATTGAGATTCGGTTGTCGTGCTGTAAGGGCGCATCCGTCAGTCCCGTTGGCATTATAATCGGCATCTTCCATCATCCTTCCCCGACCGAGTAGGTAGTTCGTCTCCCCTGAGCTAACCCATCCGGTTCCCAGCATTGTCGGCGCTAGAACTCACCACTGTCAGCCATAATTGTAGTTCTACGGGAGCAGTCCTCCTCCCCTCCTTCCAGATAATGGTTTCTGGCCCAGAATATTCAAACAGCGACGGGCTGGTGTTTAACTGTAGCTAGAAGATGGCCACGGGTATAGATCGATGGCCAAAGCGCCAGTTCCTAGACGGGGAGGGTGGATAAAGAACGGGGCGGCGCAGGGGAGAAACAGAGCCCTGACGGATCAAACGGACGTCGTTGTAGAATTGATTAGGGGGTATGTGAGAAGTGGGAAGAAAGATGAGCAGGGGGGGCGATTGCCTGGCGCTCGCGACAAGCTGTTGGGTTGGAGGCTTTTGGGCGAGGGGAGCAGCGGATGGCTTGATTGGGGCCGTCATGCGGGCGGTGAGGCCGGCAGATTCCAACCACGCAAGACTTCCATGCCTCCACATGGCTAAATGGCTGTAGTAGGTGGGTGTTATGTACGCACATATTTATAGCGATTATTGACGCCTACACTATGAATCCATAGCCACCGCATCGTCATGTTCCTCTTGCTCAGCCACATTGATCATCGAACGAAATTGAATTACAATATCCTAGGTCCAAAAAAACTCGGGGTACGGCGAACGAGCGGTAAATTCATCGCTGCTTCAGGGATATTAAACATATATCAAAGAAAACATAGTCGTGCTAAGCCAAAGCATCTCTCCCCTATTTGCATGTCACCCCAGCTCCGTTAGCCTGGGTCACCGCCGATCCCAAACGCTCGAACAACCACTGGGAAACAGTTACTAACAACAACCATCGAGATGTTCTGTAGCCATGGTCCGGTGTCCAGCTAAGCCATGCCTCCTCTCTAGTACTCAGCTTCAACTTCCTCCTCCATCGAGTCGCTGGCAACCTCCTCATAGTCACGCTCAAGGGCAGCCAGATCCTCACGAGCCTCAGAGAATTCACCTTCCTCCATACCCTCACCCACGTACCAGTGGACGAACGCACGCTTCGAGTACATGAGGTCGAACTTGTGGTCAAGAGCAGACCAGGCCTCGGCGATGGCGGTGGTGTTGGACAGCATGCAACTATCAGGTGTTAGCTTCTCTCTATTCCATTTACTTTTTTGTCTTGCCCTTTCCATGCGAGGTTCAAGTAGGTGAAGGCAAAGCGAAGGAAACATACACAGCACGATCGAGGTTGGCGAGATCGCCGTTGGGCACCTGCTGGGGAGGCTGGTAGCAGATACCGATCTTGAAGCCAGTGGGGCACCAGTCGACGAACTGGATGGTGCGCTTGGTCTTAAGAGTGGCCACGGCAGCGTGAGTCTCCTTGGGCACAACGTCACCGCGGTATAGCAGGCAGGTTGCCATGTACTTGCCGTTGCGGGGATCGCACTTAACCATCTGGTTGTTGGGCTCGAAGCAGGACATAGTGATCTCGTTGACGGAGTTGGACTCGTGAGAGGCCTTGTCCGCGGAGACGACAGGGGCATAGGCAACCAGAGGGAAGTGGATACGGGGGTAGGGCACCAGGTTGGTCTGGAACTCGTTCAGGTCCACGTTCAGGGAGCCGTCGAACCGTAGGGAGGCGGTGATGGACGAGACGACCTGAGCAATCAGGCGGTTCAGGTTCTCGTAGCTAGGGCGCTCAATACCCAGGTTGCGGCGGCAGATGTCGTAGATGGCCTCATTGTCGACCATGAAGCTGCAGTCGGAGTGCTCCAGGGTAGTGTGGGTGGTGAGGATGGAGTTGTAGGGCTCAACAACCGAGGTGGCGTTCTGGGGGGCAGGGTAGACACAGAATTCCAGCTTAGACTTCTTGCCGTAGTCGACGGAGAGACGCTCCATCAGCAGAGCACCGAAACCAGAACCGGTACCACCACCGAAGGAGTGGAAGACCAAGAAACCCTGGAGACCGGCACAGTTGTCGGCCACCCGGCGGACCTTGTCAAGGACCTGGTCAATCATCTCCTTACCAACTGTGTAGTGACCACGAGCATAGTTGTTCGAGGCATCCTCCTTGCCGGTGATCATGTTCTCGGGGTGGAAAAGGCTCTTGTAGGTGCCGGTGCGGACCTCATCAACAACGTTGGGCTCCAGATCACAGTAGATGGTGCGAGGAACATATTTGCCCTGACCTACAGAGTGATAGCACCACGACGGTCAGAATGGTGTATTTAGGAAAGACATAGGGAACAGAACCAATCAAGTATTATGGGAATGTAAAGTGTGGCCAACATACCAGTCTCGGAGAAGAAGGTGCTGAAACCGTGGTCGGGATCAGCCTTCTTGCGCTCTTCGGTCAAGTATCCATCGGCCTAAGGATACCAGCGGTGAGTTCCTCTAATCGGATTTCATTGAATCGAGTACAAATCCAAAGTCACATACCTGGATGCCATGCTCGAGGCAGTAGAGCTGTATCACAACAGTTGGTTAGTCTCCATTTCTTCTTCACCTCGAGGTGATGTCCTCGCTCGGGCTTTCTATGGAATAGATATATTCGTTTTAGTTTCCCATACCTCCCAACAAGAATTGGCGATCTGGCAACCAGCCTGACCAACTGTTCCGGGGGAGAAAAAAACACGTTAGTTACGGGACACGAGGCAAAACAAGGTACAGTTTGGGCACCTACCGTTCAAACTAATAACTTCTCTCATGATGTCGAGTTGAATTGAGACTTAGGAAAAGGAATTAAAAAAATGGGAGAAGAGGTTGGAATGTGGGAAGGATGAAAGGAGGGGAGGCGGTGGGAAAATTCGTTGTGTACGTGCCTAAGACGATCTGTTGTACGAAGGTTCAGGGGTTGGTCTGGTCAGTTAGGGAGTTCTTAGTAAACAGCCAGCGGGAGAGGAAAATCAAAAACAAACGGGTCTGGAGAGAGAATGGGTGGGAATCGAGACGAGAGCAGAAATTGGGGACAACTCACCACGACGATGATGGACAACGAGAAAAAAAACACGACGGGCAGGATGAGATGATGAAATAGTCTGCGATGCCGTACTGGAAGCAGAATTCTCATTTGTTGTGGTCGCTTCAACAACAAAGCCTCCCATGCGCTGTCAACTCCCACCGTTCCCTTTTGGGTCGCGTCACTCGGGGACGCTCTCTGATTGGCGAATGCCCCCCCGTGACCGCCGGATGATTATCATTGATGACTCAGTATGTCTTGGCAATCACGTGTGGCAGCATGACGGCATCAGTTCGAGGTCTGGGTAAATCCTCAGATCGCGAGGGGATTTGAATTTCGTATCGTGGTTGCTGATGACCCTCGCCAGGTTTCTTCTGGTGTTCATCAGCTAGTCCCCTTAACCACCATGGTTGTATAGCTCATCAAACCAGCGCCATCTACCCACTACCGACGATGCAATTCCTCCAATCCCTCCTGCTTCTGCTACCTGTCGTCCTCAATGTCAGCGCCAATGTCGAGAAAACTATCTTCATCGCCCCCTCCCTCACGACCATTCCCACGGTTGACCCTTCCCTCGATGACCTTGGTCTGCAACGACTGTCGCCCCTGAACCCCATTCTCCGCACTCAATTGAACGCCTCCTTCCCCACTGATGATTCCCTCGGCACTGACTCGTGGTACTTCCTGGAGAACCTCACTCCTGGACGGCGATATGAGGCGCGAATCTGCTGGCTAGCGACGGTACGTATTCCCGATGGGGCTATTCTAAATACATATATAATGTCATCTAACAATTCCGCGCAGCAACCAACGGACTTCACTTTGACCACATATACCCTCCTCGATGCGATCGAGGATCCGGCCCTCTTCTCTTCCATTAGTGTCTACTCGGCCGCCCGTCTCGCCGATTACCCCCCGCAAGATATTCCGCCGGACTCAGCGTCGACCGATCCATCACCCACCACGGAGTCGGTGCTCTTCCTGCGCGTCCGAGCTGCGGCGGACTATTACTCGCTTGACCGGTCGCTGATGGAGAGCGTCCCTCCTGTCCGAGCGGATATCATTCTGGATCCGTTCCTAGGGAATGTGTTCCCGCTGTCGCTGGTGCCGACGGCATGCTACATGTGTGTCATTGGGTGTGTGGCAGCGTTGCTGGGATCGTGGGTTTGGGGACAGTTTGGCAAGGTCGCAGAACCATTGTCTGCTCGACAGGCGCTAGAAAAACGGAAGACGAAATGAGAAGAGTGAAATATATAATTAAGCTTCGTGGATACATCAACTGCGTCGCGCTCCTATAACCATATCTGTAATTATATTTGTATTGACGACGCAAAGGAACCGGGTGAAAATTAAAAAAAAAAATTATATCACATCTATGTCCAAATAGGCCATCATTGAACACATATCTGATAATAGAAGCCATGACGTATAGACTGCAGGCATGGCCACATACAAGTCGTCACACCATTAGAAGGGGGGAGGTAGATCTAACCAAAATTATAATATAGCGCGCAAAACAGCAAGGGGAATTCAAACGAAGCAGATGCAAAATAGCCATAGTACATGTCAGTCATCCAAATTTCTATATATACCAAAAATAAGGGTGGTGGTTGTCCTTTATATTTGCAACAGCGACCGAGAGAGATTCCAAAATCAGTCTTCGAAGAAGTGAAGAACGGCTCGGATCCCCTTCGAGCCCAGCCCTTTGGGAGGATAGGCAATATAGAGGGGTTCTTCCCGCGCACCCAGCTTTGCACGGAACTCGCTCTTGCGCACTAGATGGAACTGCTTGGCCAAGGTCTCGTACGTATGCTGCAACATCTTTACTTTGGCGCCCTGCATGTTGTGCCCCGGAGTCATAGAGGTAGTAGCTCCCGCACCGAACGTGAGAGACTTGACTCCGGACCGGGCTGCCGTTTGGATGGCGTGGGTCACGATATACTCAATGACACCGTTCGGGGAGCCAGGGAAATCGAGGCTGTACTTCACCTGCATACCTTGGGCGGGCGACAGCATGGCCAAGGCGACAAAGGCGCAGATGGTGCCTGACTTATCCACAGCATAGAAGTACCAGCGGTGGGCATGGTCGTACCAGGGGTGGATCTCGGACAGGTGCACCTGGGTGCCCTTGCGGTTGTCCAGCCAGTCGCGGATGCGCTTGTCAATCTTCTGGCGCACCTCGTCTGATACCATCTCCCCCTGGTTCAGGGCCACAAGTTTTACTCCGGTGCTCTCCGCGTGCCGAATCTTACGCGCAATCTCCCCATCAGACGCTGCCTGATTGCGCGACGGATCCACTCGTTCCTCGGCAATGCAGGACAGACTGCGCCAGCCGAGCTTTTCACCCAGAATCTTCTCCACGTCGAGCGAACAGAGCATCCAGATGGGTTTGTACTTGGTCTCGCGACGTAACCACTGTAGGAACTGGGTGATGACGCGCGTGTATTGGCGGGGGTCACACAGAGGATTACCGGGGATGATCACATGGCTGTTGCTGCTAGGCACGTAAGAAATCGCCGCGCCGGTGCCCCGGTCGCGCCAGATCTTGAACCGTTCATCCCCGAACGAGGTGGAGGTCGCATCGCCATAGTTGGCGATGAGATGCTCAAGGGGTTGGAACGCCTCGTCGTTCGGGGCCAGGTTGCCGACCTTCTCACGGACCCAAGGTGGGTCGATCGTCGAAGATTCGGGGTGGCGGAGCTGCACGTCTGCGGGCTTCGCGGGGAAGCTCTTGGGGTCGCGATAGAGGAGGGATGCCAGCCGGATGTTGCCCAGCTTCAGCAAAAGCATCAACAGACGCTCAAGACCAACGCCGGCGCCCGCATGAGGGGGTGCACCCCAACGGAAGCCTTCCATATACTCCTCCATGCTTTCCGGATCGATGCCCGCGCGGCGCATATTCTCCTCCAACATGTGGGGGTCGTGAATTCGCTGGCCTCCCGACACGATCTCCTGGCCGCGGATGAAGATATCAAACGAGTTCGTGAAGCGGCTGTCGTCCGGGTCGGGCATCGTATAGAACGGACGGGCGCCGACCGGGAACTTATCGAGGATGTAATAATCGGTGCCATACTTCTCCTTCACCAGCTCTCCCAGACGAATCTCGTCGCGCGTGTGCAGGTCCTCGTCCTCGGGCAAAGGGTTACCATCCTCATCGCGCCATCCCGAGTCGTTGAGCATCTTGATACCATCGGAGAAGCGCACGATGGGCGTTGTCTCCAGCCAAATCACATCCTCCGACGGGAACTGCTGCTTCACGATCTCGACCTCGCGCCGGTAGCGGCGATAGATCCCTTCCAATATGCCCTTGATCACGGCATCCAGCACATCTAGCATCTCGTGGTAATGCTCGTCGATCGCCATCTCAATATCCAGGCCCGTATACTCGGTCAGGTGACGATGCGTGTTGGAATTTTCCGCGCGGAACACGGCCCCGATCTCATAGACTCGACCAAAGTCGGCGGCAATCGCCATCTGCTTGGCCAGTTGGGGACTTTGGGCCAGGAACGCCGATCGTGCGAAGTAGTTGACCTCGAACACGCTGGCGCCGGATTCGGTGGCCGACCCCTGCAACTTGGGGGAGTGGATCTCGATAAATCCACGCTCATCCAGAGCATATCGGAACAGATTTCCAATGCCGGATTGGATGCGGAAAATCGATTGCGAGGTGGGGGTGCGCAAGTCCAACAGACGGTTGGTCAATCGCGTCCGGTCGGGGATGTGACTGCGACGGCCCTCGACACGGTCCTCCTCAGGCGTGCGGATCTCAGCCTCGTACACGCTGAAGGGAACGGGCTCCTCGCGGCGCACGACAACGTGAATGGCGTTGACGGCGATCTCGACATCGTGGATGGTGCAGCCGAGCACGGGCACCTCGGGGGCATGGATGGTGCCGCGTACCTGCACGATGTTCCCCAGGCGCAGGTGCTCGGCCCATTGGACCATGGCGATGGATTTGACGCCCGGTTCCTCATGCAAGACACCCTGGAAGGTGGACAGCTGTTGGCGGAAGACCAAGAAGACCAGCTTGGCACTCATGCGACGCACGATGTGCAACCGGGCCGTAAAGAGGATCTGCTTCCCCACCAGGTCAGCGGAGATGTCCTCGAATCTGGTCCGGTGCTCCTGCGAGCGAGTGCGGGACTGGATGAGGGGCAGATCGCCATAGCGCGCCTTCATCTCGGGCGTCTCGTTTCGGGCAGCCTCGGTGATCTCCTCCTTATGGCGCTCCGATTCCCCCGACTGGCGGTCCTCACTCAGCCGTGAGCGTTCTTGACGCCGTTGCTGACGCGCCAGACGTTTCTGTTGGTTCTTGCTCATGGCTCCTGTGGAGGAATCATCCGAGACATCTTCAGACGATGAGACATAGTCACGATCGCGCAAGAAGCCACTGAGGATACTGCGCCGGGGGGAGCCTTGGGAGTTCTTAGAAAGACCAGAGTCATCTTGTTCACCGAGTCTCGGTGTGAGTTTGGAGAGAGCCCGTTTAATGGACATGATGGTCGTAGAGAGACGGGAGCATATATAGGGAGTGTAGAAAGATATGGAGGGGTATAGAGAGGAATTGATAAAAATAGAGACAAATCCACAGAATTGAGAGATCAATGATAGACAATTCACAAAGCACAGGTAGATGGAGAGGAAAGAAAAAAAGGAGAGGAGAAGAGAACAGACGAAAAAGCTGGAAAAGAGCAGTCCTCGGAACGTGATGTCATGCTTCGTCCCTTTTCGGCGAAAGAGGCGAAACTGATTAATTATTCTCGTCGAGATTTTGGGCCCATTCATTCATTCCTTCCATTATATTCCTTCTACTTGCTTCATCATCCCTTTGTCTCGTCCGGTTCCTTTCCCGTCCGATCGGACGTCCGTCCGTCCCTTGATGTTGTCTGCTTAACTTTACTCACTCTTTGGATCATTCCATTCCCCCATGTCTCGGCGGACTGGCCATTTCCGCTATATAATCAATATCGCCTCTCGCTCGACTTCCTCGTATTCCCTCGTTTTGTTCCGTCCCATTATAGTTTCTTTCAGTCTCCGTCGAATTATTAAGTTCTCATCAAGTCTTCTATCTATCCACTAACTAATCCCCTCCCTCCCCCACAACATTCATTCCCATGGTTGCTTCCCCTTCCCCTCGCTGGTGGCTTCTGGTCCAAGCCGTTTTCTGGCGCTTCTGCATGCGCCTCGGCATGTCCATCCATGATTTTTCGCCCCCTCGGCCTCCCCGAAGGTCCTTTGTCCGAACCATCCCGGTAGGGAATTCACGCATCAACCTATATTTCTACTGTCCTCCAGAATACACTCAAGGCCGCAAGAAGGGTCGTCGTTGGCCCGTCGTGGTCAATTTCCACGGGGGTGGCTTCACCCTCGGGAGTCCCACCGATGACAGTCGCTGGTGTCACTGGGTGTTGGACGACGTGGGTGCCGTCGTGGTCAGCGTGGGATATCGCCGGGCACCCGAGCATCCCTTCCCAGCCGCCGTCGATGATGGAGTTCGAGCCTTACAGTATCTGTCCTCCCATGCGACCGAGCTGGGGATCGACGTCTCCCGCATCGTGCTCAGTGGGTTTTCGGCGGGGGGCAATCTGGCGGTCACCGTGCCGCTACGGCTGCGCAGCTTGATGTTGCAGGATGCCGTGAACCCCGTCCTGGATCGAGCGGAGTCGACCGAGCAACTGGTGGCCACCTCAACCAGCGACCTGAATATCGTCGGCCTCTTCTGCTGGTACCCCATCCTCGACTTCGAGGAGCCCCGCGACCACCGACGGGCGATGAGTATCATGCCAAACAAGACGCTTCCCAACTTTTTCACCGATCTCTTCGACGAGTCGTATCTCCCCGATCACTCGGACCGCCGCTCTCCCTTCGCGTCACCCGTCCGGGCCGGGGATAGCATTCTGGCCGAAGCCCTACCGCATGACATCTTCCTGTATATCTGTGAATGGGACATGCTGATGAACGAGGGCCAGCAGTTTGTGCGTCGGCTACAGGGCATCAACAAGCATGTGCGGTCCATGATGATCGAGAAAGCACCGCATGCCTGGGACAAGTCGTGCAATCCGTTCCGCGACCAGGACAAGGTGGATATTCTTTATCGTGACGCTTGTGCCGATATGAAGGCGATTTTCGATGCGTAGGTCTCGATTCTTTCTTTCTAGTTCGTTTTTGCATGGGTACGTGGCGTTCGGGTGGCATTGGCGTTCCCGTTTAAAGATGGGTCACTTTGCAGAAGCGATTCCTAAATTTTCTTTGGATGTATGTACATATCTTTCCTCTGGACTACCATCATAGAAGTGTGTTGTGGATGACGGTTGCTGTCTACTGGGCAGCAACCCTGCATTCGAGCAGCCAATGATGGCCATGATTTTAGCATCTCTAAATCACTTGCATGAATCCTAAGAATCTCTACTTCAACTACCTTAATACCCCTCAACAACCTGATCCCGGTCCTGATCTAGACGCAACCGGCTTCCTCCCCGTCACTGCCATGTACTTCCACCCTTGACGATAATTGACCATGACCGCAATCGTGTTGATGAAAAAAGCCTTCAAACCCAGCGCTACCACCTCCACACATGACACCCATAGCACGACGACCAACACCCGTTGCAACGCCGACACATTCCGCGTGAGATCCGCCTCACGCACATCCTGGAACCCCCTCTGGACGAGACTGTGCGCCAGACCTCGTTGCGCGGCCGACCCCGTCGTGAGGGCGCCGTACTCACGCACCTTCTGATCCTCCGGGGTGGTTGCTGCGTCGACGGCCCCCCGTAGAAGTCTACTGATCATACTCGTAGAAAGCCACGCAACCATCTGGCTTCAAGAACCGGTAGATTTCGCCCACCACGGTGGACAGATCCAAGGCATGGACCGGCGTCTTGATGGTATAGACGCCATCGGGCGAGTCAGACGACACAGTGTCGAGATGATGGTTATCGTGGCGGTGGACGGTCACTTTCAGGTCCTTCTTCCGGGCGCGACGAACCTAGTCGCACCACCTTCTGCGGAAGCACGTCGATGGCATGCATGCGCAGTCACTTGGCGCCCATGTTAATGACGGCCTGGCGATCTCCACAGCCGGCGTCGAGCACGTTCGTACCGCGATCCACTTGCAGAGAGACATAAAGGCGGTCTTCCACGGCTAGAAGGGCCCGATGAACGGGGAATGGACACCAGGTGTAAGCATAGTAAGGCAGATGGGCACGACCGCCGAAGGGCATCCAATTGGATACGGGTTTAAAGGGCGTTGTAGTATCGGTGGAGATCCGTGATGTATCGTCTGGTGGGCCATGATAATCTAGAGACTCTGATGGAGACGTATATAGATGTACGTGGGTGATGGTTCTTATTGTTCTTGGATTCGCATTGTTCTTTCTTTTCCATTGTCGAAGTGCCAAGTCCTCACCGAATACGATACTTGCCCGATCGGGTCATTCGTATTGCTTCACCTCTACTGCTGCGTCCTTCAGGATATTGGATCGGATGCAGAATCTTAGTATATAAACCAGTACATCCAGCATGAGTAGCCTCCTGTATCTAGCATATGAAGTTGCATGGGACTTGAACATACAGCAAAAAGTATCGGACTTCCACCATGAAATTTCTCTACAACTTTCTCTCCCTCCTCACCATTTCATCCGCTCAATTTCCCTCCCCTCCTTCTCTCACCCCGACTCCCTCCTATCCCGGCTGTCCTCCAGATGGTCCTCTTCTCCCCCGACCCTCCAACCTCGCCCAGTCCCCTGACTTCCAGTCCGCCGCGAAGAACCTCACTTCCGCCCTGGACGCAGCGGTCGGTGGCACTCTCAAGGCAGGCTGGAATGTTGACAACGTCTCCTTCTCTCTGGCAGTGGTGTCGCCGAACGGACCCCAATCTATCAACCAACCTCTGTGGGAGTATCACCACCACGCCAGGAACAACACCCAGGGCGTGAAAACCGTTACCCGCGACACCCAGTACCTGGTCGGTTCGATTTCCAAGGTCTTCTCAGCGCTGGTCCTGCTGAGGTCCGGTGTGGACCTGCAGTTGCGTGTGACGGATTTCTTCCCGGAGTTGAAACAGTCGAGGATTGCTTGGGATGAAATCACGCTGGATACGTTGGTGGAACATTCTGCTGGGATTTCTCCCAACTGTATGTCCATCTATCGATTATTCACTCTATGGATAGACTTGAGCTAATGAGGAGAGTACAATAGTGGTTTATGAATTCTTCTTCCTGGAACCGGTCTACAAGAGTCTGGGGTTCCCTGCGCTGAATGAATCGCAGTACCCGGACTGCGGCGTGACCGGTCTGAATAAATACTGCTCTAGAGAACGTATGGCATGTCCTAATTCTCCTTCTTAACAGTCAGAACTAACTTCAGTGGACCAGAAATCTTCCATGAGCTCCGTACCATGAACCCTGTGGTGCCTGTCAATTCGAAACCCATCTACTCGCAACTTTCGTTTCTAGTCTTCTCGCTCTGTCTGGAGAAAGCCACCGGCAAGAACTACACCCAACTCTTGCATGAGACGGTCATCCAGCCATTGAACCTGTCCAACACGGGTGTCTCACCGGGCGATAGCGCGAAAGCAGCAATCCCCAATGGGATGTCTTCATGGGGATCCGACTATGGTTACAATGCACCGTAAGATACTTCTATCCCCGTTCCATCACCAATATACTCTGTGCCCCAGCTGAACACTACAAATAAACAAAGAGGAGGCGGTCTGTACTCCTCCACTGCAGACCTGACCACCGTCCTGAATCACATCCTCAACCATACCATCCTGTCGACACCCTCCGCCGTGCGAAAATGGCTCAAACCATACTCCATGACCAGTTCTCCAAACAATCTGGTTGGCAAACCATGGGAGATCCTACGCACGACGCACCTCACTCCGGACCACCCCCACACCATCGACATCTATGGCAAATCCGGTGGTGCGGCGGGCTACGTCTCGCAGATCGGGGTCATCGATCAATATGGCGTCGGCGTAGTGGTGACGACGGCGGGACCGGTCGACTCGATGAATATCCTCTATCAATCTGTATTGGGGACTTTCATGCCTGCCATCGAAACGGAGACGCGACGACAGGCAAGACAGTACACGGGGGAGTGGAAAGCCCAGTCTCTCCCTCCCATCCACTCTCACTCTCAGACTCACTCTCAGTCCCAGAAAAAGCTAAATATCCGTGACGATGGGATCCACCTGACTCTTACACAAGATTCGCACGCAGGAATCAAGATCACGAATCTCACCCGCAATGGGACCTCCATCCTCCAGGCCATCGAAACCGTCTTCCTATCCACTTACACGTCGGTGGGGTTTGGAATTCTAGGGACGGAATTCCGCCTGTACCCAACGGAGCTGGAATACGCGGTACCGAAGGAGGAAACGCGCGCACTGCTGGCGCAGATGGGTCAGACGAGCAGCCGCACGAACGACGACGGCCAAAGTCTTGTGCGTCAAGAGTGGCGCGTGAATCTGGATATCATACCGCTGGACGGGGCGGCCATGTCGCAGTTGCCCGGACAGGGAAGTCTGGATGCGTATTGCGCATCGTGGCAGGTAGTGGATTGGATGCGGTATGGAGGCGAGGCGTTAGATCGGGTGGTGTTTGTTCTTGATGAAAATCAGACGGTGTTAGGGGTAGAGGTACCTGTTTTGAGGGGAGGGTTGCTGAAGAGATCTTAATCAGACATATATATGTAGCTGTAAATTGAGACACTGACTTTTTTTTTTTTTTTTTTTTTTTTTTTTTGAAACGGGAAATACTCTCATGGCTATTGATCACTAACCTACGAAATGCAATGAAGACCAAAAATATACAAAGAACTATATACCGAACCCTATGCCAGGAGTACGGATACTGTCTGTCCAAATCATGACTATCGCGCACATTTAGAGAGAGCCCGGTACATCCGCAGAATCATAGAGCACTTTCATCCATCCCACTTCGTCCAGCATACAGCCCTCGACTAGGTCGAACTCTACCTTCAGACCAACATAGTTCGGCTCATCTCCCTGAGGATTCAGATCCTCTTGTGTCCACCTCCCATTGATGAGAATCACGAACACATCATCATTGGGGGGTGCAAAGCTATCCTTCTTCTTGACCCACCTATAGTACTTTCTGAGCTCTTACCCTCATTTCTGAGACATAATTAACCCCCGCAAGTCTGTCACAAATTTCAATTAGGTAAAACTCGGAATTTGCCAAGCACAGTAAAGACGCTTGTTAGCCCAAACCATAACTTATGGTCCGGACGCACTTGGACAGAAACTCGCCATCAAACCAGAACCGAATGACATCCACGCGACATCGTTCAGCCTACTGCAGTACCCAGGAGGGTTAACACCCCAAATCAGATGCTTGCATCTGCGCGAGGCTCCAAACCGCATCGGTCTGCTCGATATGGATCTCAAATGACACACTACTCGAGACCATAACTCGACGCCCAGGACTATTCATGGGGGCACGACCGTACTTCAGAGCATTTGTTATGAAGCTAGCAAACCGAAAAATCATATCCTCTGGCCAGGAGAGACTAATGCATATCCTATCTGCCCCGCTGTTGTGCGCCGGAGAAGCATATATGGGACCAGAAGATAGCAGATGAATGCTTCAGCTTGGAAGGAGTTACAGGTGTAAAAGGGAGTATCTGCACGGTGCGACTGAACGAGGTTGACTCTCAAAAGTGCTGTTGCTCTTCGCTTGTCACTCATTTTTTTCTCTTAATCTTATTTTATCTTGCTTGTCACTTGCTTTTCTTTCTTACCCTCAAAACGAGGGCATTGGAACCGGACCATCCTCTTTGATATAGTGCTCAGTATCCTTTGGGCTATCTTTTGGCCGCACTCCGCTCCCATTCCATATTCGAAACATGTTACCCGAGACACAGCTTGAACACAAGCCTGGTCTGCCGTGGCTCTTATTCGTGTGGCCCTGACCCCTGTAGTAATGGTGTACGCTGTGCTGCTAGTGGCTATTGTGGTATGGTCTAACATATTGTGGTATTTGATGTTTTAAACCACGAAGCTACCGCGGAGTGCGGACAGCATGCAGCGACCCTGGCAAAACGTGTCCGCTCAATACGTGCTGCAGTCAATATGGATTCGTAAGCGGTCTTCCCTTACATGGAATTTTCCAGAGCGAGCTTGTGCTACACAGAGTACTGAATCATCATAGTGTCGTACCACAGAGGATTTCCGTGGAAGTAGTTAAGTGACTTAGACTCGCTATGGATGGAAACTAAACTAACAACTTACAGAGGGATGCCAAAGCAACTGTGTCTTGCACCCGAAGCCACCGGGTAGTAGTTCTTTGAGGGGGGTATTCCAAAACAAGGCCATCGGGTATTATGAAGCATGGATGGCTCGGAAGAGCTGCCAAAATGTCAAATCCAACGGACCTGCCTTTGGACGCGCGAACTCAGTGAGCACGTTGATGTTTAAGGGCAAGAAAGTAGTTGCTTACGGGTTCTTCAGTATCAACTTCTCTTTCGCATATATCGAGCCATCAGCCTATCAAGTGATGACCATGGACTCGGCCGCTCCAGTCAGTCTTTTCAAAGAGACTACCGCCAAGTCCATTAAACAAGGCCCTGTTTTTGCCCGTATCGGTGGCTGGTAAGTTCAGTTGTCTGAGAGAGGCATGGCAAAAACAATACTACGAAGATGGTAGGGCTTTCTTCGACTATCATACAGAGACCTAAACGTTATTTGGCGAAATCGCCGCCGGTGCGTCCAAGAGACAAATGGTCGCAGACAATGTCGTGCACATTATGAAGCAGGACGGTACGTATGACTTCATCAGGTCATCAGGGAATAGGAATCGTTTTTCCTGATCGATACTAACGTTTGTGCAATAGGGTTGGACGGTGTAGATCTTGATTGGGAATACCGTGGAGCTGGCTACGGAGGCGGAAAGCCCGAGGACACGGAGAATGATGTCTTGTAGCTTAAAACAAGTCTCTGCGAGAGACATTTGACGCTAGCGGGAGCAACTTCGGCTTGCCTTTCACAGATCCATCCTCATATTGGTACTTCCGTTTGTTCGACCTACCGAAGATGGTCAAGTACAAGAATTGGATCAATATGATGACCTATGACCTACATGGGGCCTGAATGCTGGCAACCCGATTGGTAGTATCGTTCAAGGGCACACTAATGTCACGGAGATCAAAACGGCTTTAAAGTTCTTTTAGAGGGCCGAAGTCCCTCCCGCCAAACTTGTGCTTGGCTTCGGTTTCTACGGTCGATCCTTCACTCTGCAGGACCTTAGCTGCATGAACCCAGGATGTTATTTCAGCGGCGCATCCACAGCTGGACCCTGTTCGAACATGGAGGGTATGCTTGCGAATACGAAACGAGTTCTTATACTCGTTGGGATAGAAGACCGCTATGGAGACTCAAACACCCTTGCGAAACGGGGTAAAACCGAAGAAGAAATAGTCAAATAGGGAACATGCTAACTGTGATGGTATTCGCTGCGTATCCCTCCATCGGCAGGACGTTCAGGAATCCACAAGGGTCACGAGTCCTCCGCCGAGCTTTTCAACAATGGCCAGGCATACGTTCCTGTGGCTCCTCTGTAAAGTTACCATGCTCCCAGAGAAGCCAGTTAAGGGTGAGCTAAAAGGATTGAATGCGGAGCATGTTATCGACGAAACTTGGCTCCAGATGCAATGTTTGAAGAGATAAGCACGATCATTTTACCAATGGCCAGTCTGCAGAAAAAATTACGAAACAGTTTGTTATAGACGCTGCCAGTGAGAAGATTTCCTCTAGCCCAGCGACCTAAAGTTGAGGCGCGCAACAGTGGCAGGCACCTACAAAATTGCGAGATGGTAATGGCCGAGTTACATAACTTCTCAGAACTAATCCCAACCATGAGGATGCCGCCAAACTACTCTATGAAGTACCCGCAAAATGATAATCGCGAAGGTCCTAGCGGGCCTCGAGACTCACGGTCTATGAAACCTGACAGTTTCATAGAAAAAAAAAGGGCGTCACTGCTAGTTATGTCCTACTGCAGAATCAGCGGTAGCTGGATCGCAACCACTGTACGCTTGCAGGAGGTACTGTCTCCGTGTTCTTATACATCTAGTAGACACTAAGAAAACAGTAGTAGTGTTAAAGATATAAATCTTAACAGAACGTCTCTTGCAGATATAGATAGAGAGATATCCTGGATGCAAGACTCGAATTGATCAATCCTATCCTTGGTGGTATACAACAAATCAAACCGCTAACTAGTAAAACCAAACGCCACGCTGAACCGAAATCAGTCACTTTTCTAAGCCCTTTTATGTGGATCAATCATAAATCAATCGTGGGTATTGAGCATGGCAAAAAGATCAGAAATATAAATTCAACCCCTCTCATTCCTCATCCGTTTCAGTCCCATCGCTCAACCCGTCCTCTGAACCGGTCTCATCCGCCTCACTGTTTGAGTCTTCGTGGTCGTCCAGTCCGGGAATCCCCCGCCATATGACGTAGTCGCCCTCCAGCCAGCGACGGCTACGAGGCAGCTGGTACGGATCAAACGGGAAGTATGCGTCCAGCTGGTACCCGAGATCCTCCCCCGCTCGCGTCTCCCGTTCGACTTGGCTGAAGCGAGGGTCGGCCAACGCCGAGAGGCTGCGGTACGACGACATACGCACCCGCTTGTTGGTCTCGAGGATGCTGAACACGTACATGAAGTTCAGGTGCTGTGACATGCGTGCAAACTCCGACACGATCGCCGGCGAGCACACCTTAAGCGGGTTGAGTTTGGAGAGGATCGCCTGGTGCAGCACCTCCTTGACCATGGGCGGGAAGGTGATGTCTTCCGGTTCGAGTTCATCCACCTGGTCGGGGTTGTCACCCTCCACCGCCGCCGCCGTCAGGTCCCGCCAGCGGAAGCAGAAGATGTACAGCAACGCCTGCGCCGTCGAGTAGAACGGTCCGTACCGACGCAGATCTGGGCCGCGGCACGTCGCCTCGTAGTCGACCCGGAGGTTGTTCAGATGCGTACCCAGCAGATCGAACACATCCCGCACGACTTCCCCCGAGACATGAGCGCCCCGCGCAACAAAGCTCGCCAGGTAGGCCGCGGCAGACTGTCGCGTGACCGCTGGCTGCATCTTGTTGAAGATAAGTTGGACGCACGTAGCGGCAAACCGGTCCACCAGGATCGGAGACGTCTGGGAGAAATGGAAGAGAAGGAACTGCGTGTGTCGCGACCGGTAGGTGGGGAGGATAATGGTCTGGAAATGACTGAGTAAAAGATCCAGCGCGTTCTCCTTGTCGTCGATCGTGCCCGTCGTGAATGGAGGTGCATAGTACTCAAAGAGGGAATCGATCATGCCGTCCAACTTCAGGATGTTGTCCTTGATCGTCTTGATCCGTTGCGACTCACCGTCAAGCGACTCGTCGCTCATGACTGACGCATTGTCATCGTCATCTTCCTCGTCCGCGAACATGGTAGCCTCGGGGGAGACTTCCTGCAGAACCCCTTCCTCGTCTTCGTCCTCGATATCCTCCAGGTCGACCTGGATCTGAACATCGATCTTGACAAGCTTCTCGGTAATGAGAGCGAGGATATCGGCTTGCAGCTCCGGAGCGTACCCGATCACTCGGATCAGGTTCCGCGTGTATGCGATATTCGCCTTGGCCGAGTCTGAGTCAGAGGGGAATTGGACAGAGAGGATCGGTGATAACGTTCCGCTACCAGAAGGAATTAGCCCGATCACATGTCGCAGAGCCATATGTATTCGCGTGTATATCTCCAGTCCATGTATGGGGGGGTAGCCAGGCAGTTTGCCGATGCCACTGGGCAGCTCGCCCATGTAATTGACGAGCATCTTGAGCACCGGTCCCAGATTACCACCCTGGGCCGCCGCAAGATTACCTAAGAAGCGAATATACAGCTTGACGTACGATTCATCGCGCCCGAGCCACTCGCTTTTCAATACCGCATTCACTAGCCCATTGCAGCTGCGGTCCAAAGATGACACATTTGACATCAGTCCCAGGAGGTGATGTCTTAGCGTCGTATGTGTAGGTACATCCAAGGAAAACTCGCCATCCTCGTCTCGGCGTCGCGGATCCGCAGAGAAGAGTTCCTTGATCCGGTCATACGCCTCGCTACCACTCCCAGAGACATGACGTTGAATGGCCCTGCGCACCTCTTCCCGCACCACGGCCGCACTCTTCTCCTGCGTTCCAGCACTTCCTGCCTCCATTAATTCGCAAGAAACCTCACGCGTCTGCACTTCCTTCTCAAACTGCACTCGGGCCCGTTTCCGGGGACTCGGGGTCGAGTCCGGTTCAGAAGAAACGGACGACGATGATAGCGAGAGATCCATCTCTTCCATTCTGTGTTTCAGCCTAGGGGTGGTACTATCTTTTTTAGGTGTCTTCAAGATGGATACTGGGGAAGACACCGGGATCATCTTGGAAGGGTTGGTCGGTCTGGCTGCCGTCGCTGGGCTGCGCAAGGCGGTGGCGAGGGCGACCATGACAGGATGGACGGTTTTATCAAGAGAAAGGTGGCTGGAGAGGATGGATACAGTGCCCAACGTCTCGTCATTTGTGGCTTTCCCACAACAGAAAATGTTTGTTCTAAGGATTCGATCACAAGGAGCAGTCGAGCACACGACACCACTGGAAGGGGGGCGAGTCGAGGTCGAATAATCTGCTGTGTAATGCTACAGCTAACGCTCACACGGGAAGCAAAAGGGGATGGTTGAAGGTCCGTGGCATCTATTTGTCGAACCCACAAACTGGTGGAAGACAGGCCGACGAGGAGGAAGAAGGGTAGACGCTCGAATGGAGCGACGAAGATTATCAAAGCGGAGAAATCGTGAAATTTTTGCAGTGGGGCCGTGGCGCCTGAGGCTTCCACACCCGTGACCAGCCCGTGACCGTGCACCATAGTGCCGCTTTTCCCATTTAAGCTAGAGAAGATTACGCAACTGTCTACAAATTGAGATCGGAGTTCTGTAGGATCTTTGGTCTTAGAGACGCTAGCTAACATGTGCAGATAAGTACAGGTCTGAAAAACCCACGTGCTCTTCCAGCAAATACACCCTAACATATCCCATTCAATCGAAAACAGAGAGCAAGGGACAAAAATAAAAAGTATAGGGAAATCACAATCCTCCCAATGGTATATAGCGATGTTCAAAACAAAAACGAAAAAAGAAAGAAAATAATACGTAAATAAATAAAACGGCAACCGATTTCGGAGTACATGACATCGTTAAAAGAGCGAATATTCGCGGGTCATGAAAGATCGACAACCAGGAATAGTCCAGGAAGAATGTCCAGTTCTTCCATCCATCCCGGCGCATCCCGGCGCGACATCAAACGGTTTTCGAGGCAACGCAAAGAATGAATCATTTCATAGCCATGAGCCAGAGCTGATGGGTCCAAGATGATCGTCGAAGATGCTACCGTAGAGGTCTTCAATTTCCACCAGGTACTCGTCCACCGTGAACTTCTTCAGTCCCTTATTCAGCAAAAGCAACTCCTCATCATCCAACACACATCTTTCCCCGCCAAACTCCTCCACGACCTCGTTGACCTGCTCCAACTCCTTCCCAAAGGGATGGGGTTCGGGTTGGAAAAGGTCCTGTGTCGGTGGAGGGGCAGGACGGCTGCGACTGGAGTTCAACGGAGGCGGCGACATTCGGGACAAGGAGCGTTGGCGAGCCAGTTCTTGATGCGACCGTTTCGTGTGAGACAGGGCTCGCTTGGGTACCAGCGGGGTCTCCGTAGAAGATGACGTTGTCGATGTTGATGAACGAAGGTGGCTCGTCACGGTAGCCGATCGCTTGGGGAAATATGACTGCATAGGGTGGGATTCGACGGGTGAATCATCGGGCGTAGTAATCGCAGAGCCAAAACTCTGGTGCGCAAAGGACATCTCCGACTCATCGGCAGATTGCAGCGAGGAATTTGACGACGAACTGGCCGAGTGGAGATCGGGTGCGTTGTAGGCCAACATGTTCGTCGTTGACAACAGTTCCACGGGTGCAGAGATATTTCCTCGTTTGATAGTGCCCGAGTTGAACTTGACTTGGCCCTCGCGATAGGGCATGGGCGCTGAAACCTCGGGACGCTTGTGGCGCTTGGTGAATGCGCGGGTGATGGTTGACATGACGGCAGAGATCTAAGATATAGCGTTCGACAGTTCGATCGGTCTCAAATGAAAGATTTCCAACGGTCGGCTTTGGCAAGATATAGAGTATTTGTATTGGAGATACTATTTTTAGGGACTACCAGATCCCTTCGTTTCCGAAAGCACCCGTCACCTTTTGGCGGAGACGTCGATAAAGAATGTGCGACTGACGATCGCGGGTGTGGAGGCAAAAGAAGGTATGGAAGATCGATGACCGGAATGTCTGATATCAGATATCAATCGAGTGCGGTACACCACACAAAAGTCCAGTGAGTGAAATTAAATGATAATGAACGTAGAGACAGGGGTCGACTGGTTCCCTGGTCTTTTATGTTTCTTGCCCAGCAGAAGAAAAAAAAAAAAAAAAAAAATAAGAAGGATGGGGAGTCTCGCCTCAGGCTGGTGGGCTACTTGACTCAAGGGGGGTGTTGCTGCTGGAGCGGAAGTACCGAAGCGGACAACCAGGACGCGCCACGGGGGAGAGGATAGGAATAATAAGTACGTTAAGGAATAACTCAGAGTCACTGGGTGAAAGGAAGGAATGCAGGATACTCTGATCCAGGAGAAGAGAATGGAGAGAAAGGAAGAAACCAGTCCGTGAAGAATCCCCCAGGGAGGAATGAAGTGGGAAAGAAAATGAGTGGGAGGAGCGAGAACAAAGAGGGGAAAGGGAAGGGAAGGGGCAGCAAATTCTGTCTGGTCAGGCCGGGTTCAGGTTGGGTTTGCTCACTTGCTATGGATCCAGTCTCTGTTCGTCCCGCAAGTCCTTCACGGTCGAATCAAAGTCGGTCCCCTTTGTCCTTGTGTTTTTTGGTTCTGCTTGGGTTTGCCCTCATCCGTGGTTTTCAAAGGTCGAAACTGATAGTACAAGTCAACCAGATGTCATGGATCCATGGTATGCTTCGTCAGGGTCTGACGATTGATTTAATTCCATTTACGAGTTTTTCAGACCTCTCACTGTAGTCAACTCCGGTGACATCCAGCCATGAATAAATTAATTATAAATTAGTTCGTTAATAAATCGATACCCTGCACACCCCGGTCCCCCGACGGCCAAGCCCTGGCACTCAACTTCACAGATGAGTGTACCACGCGGTTGCTTCTGATCGACTATTTGATGTAACACCATGGACGCGAACCATCCTACCTATCTCGGCGGAAAGGGCCTGGTGCACACATGCTTTGGCTTGTGACCTTCTTTCATACATACATGGTTCCCTCTAGGGATCAAGGAGAATACCACTGGTCCAAGATAAAGGCTCCTGCGCCCAGAACACACCAGGGGGGGGGGATACAGATAGCACTCCCGGAGAAAGCCCGAGATGGCGCATTGGAACCCCCAGGTGTACAGGTAATAAATGTCCAACAGGGTAACAGAGCAAATACAATAGCCTAATCATCCTCGCGGGCGCATGGTCAAGCGACGGCGGCCATATTGGCGTCAGGAACGGCAGGGCGGCAAGGCGACAGCCTGTAGAAAGCGCTGGTCAGGTGGGGATGAAACAATCATGCCGTACGATTTGTCTCAGGGTGTGATCACAGTTGCATGGATGGATCCGATGACATCGGTAAATGAGTCAACCTGCGTCGCAGTTTGGACAGGTGCAGTCCCAGGATGTATCGAACATGACACGGTCGCATTGTCAGAAAGGAAGCACTGCATTGCATTCCTTCTCCAGAATAGATAGATATCAGTACAAACATAGTAGATACTGCGGAGCATTCCATCGATTCCATCGACAATAAGGAGCCACCTACCGAAGTGGAGAATCACAACGACAAAGCATTTATGTCCATGCAGCCTCCACTAAGTGGGTCACAGGGTTCGGTCTAGACGAGGAATATGGAGTAGATCTTGGCGACAAGTTCAAGTCCAAGTTGAAAATGGATAGGTAAATCCGTCCCTTGGGTAGGTATTCAATCTTCCCTGCTAGCTAGGTAGTGTCTTAGTGTCGGATATTTCTCGATGGCCTCAGGCCCCTTTTTTTTTTTTTTTATTTTTGTGACCCTTCGAAGATCTTGGATTCCTCTACTGAGTAGACTGCTACCATTTTCTAGGGCTGAGGAGTTGATCGATCGAACAAAGTTTGTCCAGCCCACTGTTCGTACACTCGAGAACCCTTCATCCACTGTCAGTACATATATCCAAAATGATTTGGTCGCTGCATCCATTAGTTTGTTGAATCATCAAGTCAACCTTGGATCGAGGAAAACCCAATCCACTGGGTCCGACTTCTCATTGGCCGGTGCATATCTATTCACATGATGGCCATGTTCGGTAAGTATCTCGCTGATCATCACCTGAGCTGAGGGTATCAACATCTTCATTGCATGACACTGAGAGGCTGGGATAATATCCTAGCTACAGAGATATATAGAATCACCAAGAGTCTACATCCGTACACTAGGTTTTAATGTCCGCAAAAAAAGCTTCTCTATCGCTCCGCTTCCCGTCCATCCGCCGATCTTCAATCTTCGTCCATCGATTCCCAGCCATCCGCTCCGCCGGCAGCAGCAGCCCCAACCTCCGCGCCGCCTTCCTCGTCGTCCGACTCATTCTCATCCGCCTGCAGTCCCACGGTGCGCTCCTGCACCTCGCCTTCTAGTTCAGGCACCCGCGACGCAAACGCCCGGCGCACCGCGGCATTGGTCGACGTATCCCAGATCTGCACCACGCCCTTGCTACCAGCCACCGCCAATCGGAAGCTTGTCTCGGCATCCGGGGCAAAAGTGGTCGAGAAGACCTTGCCGACTTCCAGCTTGCGCGACACGACCATGCTGGGCTTCTCGTTCTCGACGTTCCACAGCTTGACCTGCTTATCGGTGGAGCCAGTCACCAGGAACCCGGGGATCGCATTGTTGATGTCGAAGGCGGACACCGAGGTATCGTGCGCCTGCAGGGACCACACCGGTTTGGACTCTTTCGGCGTGGCCGGGATGTTCCGCACATCGTAGCGATAGACCATACCGCCGTCCGTGGTCACGTAGAAGTAGTTGGGATCGTGCACGTCCCAGCGCACGTTTTCCACGTCCGTGTCTACCCCCCATCGGGCCTTGGCATCAGGGGCCCGCATGTCCGCCGCAACCACCGTGCGATCATAGCTACCGGTGAGCAAGACAGTCGACTCCTTGGGGTGCCAGTCCAGCGAGCACACCTTGTCCGTATGATGGGAGTAAGACTTGGCGCATTTGGTGGTGTTAAGATCCCAGAGCTTCACCGTTCGGTCCGCCGACGCAGAAGCCAGGAGATTGCGATGTTGCCGGTTTGCAGCCAGGGCCAGAACGGAGTCAACATGGAACTCGTCGTTGGCCTTAGTCTTCTTCTTTTTCTTAGATTTCTTGGCCGCTTCTTCGGCATCGGCAGCGCCCTGGCCCAGAATGGCGTTGGGGTACATGCAGTCGACAATGTCCAGATCCCAGATCTCAATATCAGGCTCCATAGTACCCACTGCCACGAAGTTGCCCGAGGTCCGTTCCTCGGTGGCTTTGCCGACTGGCATGTCCAACCATTCCAAACAGAGGGGAATCGCCGGCAACATGATGTCGTGGTGCACGTAGAGATTAGCATCCTGGTCTTCATAGACATAGACCTCTAGATGCGCAACCTCATCTTCCACCTTACCAGCCAGAAGCAAGTTATCTGTCGGCAGAATCTGCAGCTCTTCCCTCTCCTCGTCGTTATCTTCATCCTCCGGCATTGCCAGATACGGATCCTCCTCGTTGGGCTGATGGTATGCAAGCGATTTGACATTACCGAACATGGTGGTCTTCTCGCCATCTTCATCAACCTCATCGCTATCGTAATGGTCGAGGTCATATTCCTTCAGATCATCATCAACACTGCAATAGATGCTGTATTAGCCTCTCTTTTACTCCAAAGATATCCAATTGCACAACTTACGTAATGGTACTCGTTTCCTTAGTCGTCTTTTCCGTATCTTCCTCCATAGCATTGTCACCAGCTTCCTTTTTATCCTCATCCATCGATTCATCCTCCTCCTCTTCGTTTCCATCCTGGGCCGCCTTCAAATCATCCCGGGCTTCTTCAAGTTGCATCTTCGCCAACTTCGATATGCGACCCATTTCCTCCTCGTCAATTTCATATTTGGTAGGGAACTGAGCTGCGACACCTCGTCGCACCCAGGCAGAAGTAGTAATCATAGACATCGTGAGGACGTATTAAAAGAACAGAAAGAAATGAAAAAAATAGTCAATCCGTAACTTTTCAGCCCGATAAGTATATATCGAACTAGCGCAGAAAACACAATTATCAGATGGGATGAAAATTTAAACACGAAACAAGAAAAATATCTGACTCCCCTAGTGTAAGAACAAATCGGAGTCAGATCAAACCTCAACCACAGAGGCTCCGTTGAAATTGATTCTTCTCTGCGGAAGAAGTAGTTTTTTTTTTTTTTTTTTTTGGGGGGGGAAGTCGGTTCACCGCCTTGATTGGGTTTTCGGCGTTTTCAACTGACCGAAGTTCAAGAGGAGCAATTGAAACTTGAATTTCAAGAAATATACCGCCCAGACAGGTCGATTTGAAGTTTCAGAAAGAAAGAAATCAGGGAGGGAAAAAGAAGCCAAGAAAATAATCATGCATTCCCATCTTCACACCCCCCAAAATGCCAGTATGTCATTGCTCAACCTCCCTACCTGGCCCCAACTCATCAATTAACATCCATTGAACAAGATTGCGAAGAAATCATGACCGCCCTAGACGAATGCCATGCTCGTGGTTTCCTCCATAAAGCCCTGGGCAATTGCAATGATATCAAGCGTGACGTTAACAAATGCCTTTCGGAGGAACGATATGTGCGGGCAAAGCGGAATCGCGATCAGGCAAGAGAAAACCGCAGACGGATTGAGAAGATCTGGGCGGATGAGAAACTTCTTGAACAGGGAGAGAAATAGGTTTCCCTGCTGCTCTAGGGGGTTATTAATTGTATTCGAGTTGACGGAATGGTCGGTGTATGAGGGCTCTCTTCTCTTCTTTTTAAATCGAGAGGTCTGTTGTAAGTACGTAGCATGTGTATATAAATACGATTTCAGATTACAAATTGTGTGTTTGCATAGATTGATTGTTGGATTTTCGGGATATAAAATGTACAGTACATCGTTTGATAATGAAGACTTGTGTCTCTAGTCGCAGCCAAAAACGCCATGCAAAACAAGCAAATGGTTCCTTTTCTTTCATCGGATTGCCTCTTATCAATTCATATCCGCCGAAGCAGCACCCTCTGCCCCGGTCGACGGTGCGTGGTCGCCATCATCACCATCTTTCTTTGCACCTTTATTATGACGACGTCTCCTCTTCGGCTTCGGGGCCGCGGAATCACCACCTTCAGGCCTCTCCTGGCCCTCGTCGCCGCCGTCATTCGGGGGTTGTTTCGACAACTTTTCCTGTTTCGTGGGACCAGCTTTCTCCGCAACCCTCTTCTTGGGCTTCTTCACACTCAACGGGTTGGGTCCCTTGGCCTTCTTTAAAGGCTTCTTTTTCTTATTCGCATCCCCCGTAGCATCCCGCTTCTTCTTCAATGCCTCATCGTTCAGACCAACCCGGAACTTCCCCTTCTCAACGTCATCGCGAATATCCTCAGACGGCATACTCATCGGCTCCAGAACCATTACTGACCGCTTTACATAGATAATCGGGACACCGGGGATGGCCCGCGCCGCTCTCCGCAACGATCTTGACTGTTGCAGCGCCACTTCGCCCTCATCAACGCCGCGTTTCCTCTTCTTTCCGGCACTGCTGTTCGTATTTGCACTGGAATTCGCAGCTTTCTCTGCACCGGGTGGATCCGCCGTAGCAAGGATATAGTGCTCTTTGTTCCGTTTTACGTCGGTGCTCGGCGAAAGCAACGACAGCAGACAGGCTGTCTCGTCGATGGGCGTCGAGTCTTCGTTATGCGAACAATGACGCAGAGGCAATATCGTGGGAGGGGGAAGATGCTCCGGGCGGATGGGATTGTTAGTTCTAGGGTTCAGAGGTTGAGAGGTCATCATTGCCTCCAGGGAGCATTTTGTTAACACTGTAATTATAAAAATGACATGTTAGGAATCCCGGTTGCTTTGTCATGATAATGCAGAGGGCATGGGAGTCGTGGAACGAAACGTACGTGGCTTGACCTTTCCCTGGAGTGTGCGCTCAAGCGCTGGAATCAAGTCCATTTTAAAAGAATGCACTGCATGCAGGAAATTGGAATCCACTGCGATTTACTTCGTTAGCAAGTACGATTCATAGGCATGAAAAGGCGAGCAAATTGTACCTAAGACTTGGTACGGCTCGCGGAAGCCAAAGGTAAGCTCATACTGGTGCATGAGCTTACGATATTTCTTGGAGCGCTTTGCCCTCATTTCAGCTGCCAATCAATGGAGACCGAGGGTGGGATTATAACGCGGTGATGGTGAAGATGAAGGTTGGTTAATCGCTTGGATGGGAACTTTTTTTTTTCGTTCTGGTTTTGCCGGGCGGAGTTGCGGTGGTTTAGCTGTGGTCTGTGCGTTATCTACATCGCAGATGGTGTTTAAATCGGGACCCATGAAAGATGGTAGGGTAATTGAGAAGTGTAAGGATATGCTAGCCAGGAATCTTTTTCCTGCATGTTAGCAAAAGGAGCATTCTTGAAAATTCTGGATTTAGGAGTGTGCCGATTATCAATTAGAATACTGCTATGATTTCTAATACTAAAAAGGATATTGTATATCAAAGTATCAGTCACCCAGCGTAACATTAAAAAAAAAAATATAGGGTCCAGTTCCTATGTGTATGTTCATATCGTCACGGCTCCAAGATTATGTCCACATTGCATGCATGGTAATATTGAACCAGTGTACTATGGAGGGTTTTCGCCCTGCTCCGGATGATACCGAGATCATACCGAGGCATCTATCATAAGGCATACCTAGGGTTGGATCAGAGGCTCCGAGGAGACATAGATTAAGCACCCGGGAATTAAGTCTAGGTTAACTTCTCAGGCATCTTGATGCTCTCTCCTCTTGCATAACCCAATCACCACGCTAATATCGTCCATTTTCCCTGTTTGTTTGTCAGCTCACCAAGCTCTGGATATTTAACCCAAGATCTAAACACACTTACCCCCTTCGATAGCCAGCCCCTCCTCGATAGCCTTCTCCATATATGGGCTCTCCGCAAACGGGTCCTGGGCAATTGCTAGAGCAGCCTTGAGCAGCTCTCTAGCCACAAACACCATGCGCTCCTCCGCTAGAACAGCGGGAGGAGCCCAGTCTAACTCCGTATTATCATATCGTCCTTGATCCCATTTATTCATACTCTCTAGTGTAATCGTCAATACCTCATGCTCCCAGAGGTTATCCAAGACGCCATCCGAGACCGCTAACACGATATCGTTCTCCTCCAGGTCGATCAGATCCAGAACTGCATTTTTCTGCGGCGTGTCCAAGCTGTTGGTACCCAGCTGCATTGGACAGTCAAACCAATGCCATTGCTCCTGGGTTCGGAATAGAACTTTCTCCTCGCTCGGACGTATCACCAAGACCTTACAGTCTCCCACGTTGGTGACATAGAGTAACGGCTTGGTGTTTCCAGCGTCGTCGCACTTGCAATGTAGGAGAGCTGTGACCGACGTGGTCGTGCCAAACCATTCGCTTGGTGAAGTCGTTGCTTTGGTGGTTTCTTCGTAGGCACGTTGCAGATAATCGATGGGATTTAGCGGTGCACAAGTATCGGCTTCGTGCTCGACTTCCAAAGCCCAAAAGTGTAAGAGCAATCGGGACCAGAGACTACAAATCGCCACCCAGCCACAAAAAAAAATCAATGGTGTACTCTCGGGGGTGCAACGGAGAATGGGATAACTTACGCAGCATGGCCTCGCGGTCTGGTGCTCCATGCCCCTACACCATCATTCACAGCAAGGAAGTTTTCCGCAACAAGGACGGCGTCGTCGCCGTTGTTCAGACCCCGGATCAGTTCTCCCCGGACGGATAATCTCTTATCCTGACTCAGGTAGTGGGTGGTTAGGGGATCAGAAAAGGAGGAAGACGGCGGAGACAGAAACGGTGGGGGGAAGGGACGCGACGGACGTTTGGCGCAAAGAGCATAGCCCGTTTGGAAGCAGAAGGGAGATCTAGAAATGGGGAACTGTGGATGAGGATCGGGAACCGGCGTAGTGATGCCGTAGGAAGGCCAGACGGTGCGGTACCGACGGACCAGCGTCCTGGGTCCTCCGCAGCGTGCGATCCACTGTGGGCTGCAGGACAATAGTGGTGATGCTCTTATGGTAGATGAAGAGGATGGAGACCTGGTAACAGAAGCAGAAAAAGCAGGTAGTAATACAGTCGACGCAGAAGCAAAAGTCTTGGGCACCATGCCCACTAGTAGTAGGACCGTTATCGTCTCTCAGTCGCCTTGAGAAGACCCTCAAGGCAGGAATTGTCCCAACCTGATTTTGGCGGATTTGGGTTTACGATGTTCATGCTGAGATAAGTTGAGGCGGAACACAAGGGAGGGCCTGCCAGCCAGTCAACACGAGCGTTGACTCAGAAAATCTCCTAGAGGATACTATTATTAATTAATTTGCCATTTGGTGTGTATGATTGATCCCATCCGCCATCTCATGATGCAGACTAACGAGTAATGATGGTACGAATTGCACCACCACCCTACTTGAATTAATTCGAGCCTCCACAGTGGACTGGCATTCACATCACGTGCGACCATTTGCTGATTTGCTGAGCTAAGCAACCCGCACGGAACTTCCTTTTTAGTAGTCGGCGGAATGCTCGGAGAAAACTCGGGACTAGGCGGGTATCTATACAGCGTAAGGCAGTAATTATGTAGATCATCTAAGAAAAATGTGTGGGTCCATTTGTGGAGTCATTCACCTCTTGCAGCCAATAATCAGCAAATATATACAACTTGCATACTATATTGATACCTCATTACCTACTGCTAGTACCTACTACAAGTACCAGAACTTGATGAACACTCAGAGTGTTAAGAGCCTTGCTGTCGAGGCTGATTGAAGGGCTCTTCAAAAAGGAGCTCCTGATTTGGAAAGAGCCACAGGAGGTTGACTATTTCTGCTATGAACGTCCTGGCTTCAGGATGTCAAAATTGGAATTCAAGGTCACTCGACTACAAACGAAATGGACCTGGGGGGCCAGCCTCGCCCGAATATAAGAAAGAATTTTTAGAAACTGGCCCCATGCTCAAGATTCGCAATTCTTGATTGTCGCCAGCCAGGACCACATGCGTGATGCTTGATAATTTTGAGGTCGCTTTTTGTTCCTTTTCTTGTCTTAGCTAAAGAATCTTCTTATCTAGTTTATCCTTGCTTAACCTTAGCGAAGGGCTAAATTTAAAAACAATATAATGCCTGTATATAAATTGTTGGTTTCAATGTATAGGTAAAGGCAAATTTAATGATTCCGTTCAAGAAATAACTCGTCCTGGACGTGGCTTCGTGTCAACCCACAGCCCTGTAGATAAATCATTACACACCACCTCTAGCACCAACCCCTCTTTTTTCGCAAATTTCTCGAACTTCTGACCTTTTTTTCTCAAGCGCCCGTTTCTCACAGAATGGTTTCCACTTGCGTATGGGAATAAGCTCCAACTCCAGCAGATTCGTCCTCCACTTTACTACATTACTAGCTACGAGATCCAATATCGATCTTTCATGCCAGCCATTCTCCACAAGTGGCTCATAGTCACCCCGTAGACTGAGTCTCTCGATGGTCTTTGGTAGCGCGGGGCCGAGATTAGTGGACCACCGTGCCGGCAGCGTTATCGAAAATCCCACGTAGCGAAGATTGGGGAATTCGTTGAGTATTCCGTGGAAAGGTGTGCTGAGATCTTCTTCACTGTTTTGAAGCCAGCTCCGGAATTCATTTGGGGTGTAGTATTCCAAACCAAGGGAAAGGTTCGTTACAGTTCTACTGACTGACTTCAAAGCTTTGACAATGGCCGATCCATTTTGCAATGCAATCTCACGACGCCACTTGTATGCCATGCCCAAGCGTAGAACTTTAAGACTGGAGCATAAAGATAATAACTCAGGGAGCTCATCTTCCCGAAGAGTGGCTCGATTCAGTGCGAGGTGTCGAAGTTGGGAGAGATTTCGTCGGTTCTGTGGAACGTCCAGGATCTTCTTTGCTCGTGTCCACAGAGTGAGCGATTTCAGTGATGGGTGATGGAACCAGGGTAAAAACCGGCCAGGGTTACACAAGGGATAGCCCTTTTCCTCCAAGTTTTTATTCACATCTTCGACAATCGCAGCGCGTTGAACATTGCCACCGTAATCTACGTCAGTGACAAACTTGAATCTTGATAAAGCAGTTGTCTCAGGCGAAGACAGAGCGTGGTGGAGCATCAGTCCAGGGAAGCCGGACTGCCAGATAAAGGTGTAGTCTAAGTGTAAAGCGAAGATTGTGTAGCTGAGAGAGAAGGACCGATACAAAGGCGCAGGGATTGCCGCCCTCCAGCTCTTGAATCCAAACCCGCGCGTCCGGGAATTTTGCATCTTCAATAATTGTGGTTGCCCATTGTAGAACATCTTTGAAGCTGATGATATCATTTGTGCAATCTGTTGCACACCTGGTGGCTCCCAGAATTGAGTCGGTGTAGCCGTCCGGCCAGAAAGAAGATGGACCTGCTACACGTGGGATGCGCGCTTCGGTTGATTGAGAATAGCACGTATGAGACAGAAGAGCTCCGAACAGGTTATAGGGCGCCAAGGCTAGGAGATCACACGGTAGAGATAGGGTGTTGCAAGTGCGTTCCAACATTTTGAAACAAATAGACATTGCCAAAGATCACAGGCGGACAGAGATTCAAGTACAGTCATCCAGCATTCACTGAGAAAGGCAGCAAAAACGTCGGTCATCTCGCGCAGGATGAGAATTCAGGGTTGGTGTAGAATTGGTCTGTGGGCTGAACATTCGACGGTTTCCCACAACGCCGAACAGGCTCTCGAAGGCGTGCTATTATTTAGAATTGAGCTCCTCTGTAGCATAAGGCCGAGGTTTGTTTATAAATACAGCTTGATCATGAATGTCCCTCTGATACAAAAAAATCCCGACACGCTCTATTATCAACGTTCAATCATCAGACAAGGACTTGACCCCGTTAGCTTTTGCAGCCGCCACTCGCTGCTTCTGGACCTCCTCGGTAAACAGTAAGAGAGCTCGATCCAGTTCCACCGCAATCTCATAGTCGTCGACGTCACGACGGATGCAAGAGACGCCCTGAAAAATCGCTTTAGCGAGGCTACTGCATCGGACGCCGAAGTGGCGCGAACCAGGGCCCTTGCGACGTTTGGCCAGCATGATTCGCATTAGCCGTTCTGCGCAGGGACAACGACGCTCCGGATCCAACGTACAGTCCCAAGCGCAGCTGCAGCTCGAGCGACAGATGCATTTCTGCTCCTTCATATAGTCACTCAGTCGCCGACGGTCGTCGTCGCGTCGGACTTCTCCCAGACATTTGCCCTCTAATTTAGCCAGGGTCGCCTGTCGATGGTCCTTGATCAGCTCCTGCTCCCATATTTCTGGGTCTACCTTCTCCGGATTGACAAAGGGAAGCTCCGAGGTGGAAGGCTCATCCTGAAATACCATCTTCGACGCAATGGCGAGGTATTTCTCCGATAAAATTGCGAGAATCTCTTCTGGCGGCATTTCATACATCAAATCGGCGTCGGACCATTTCTGACGGAAGGCAGACGAATCGTTGGTGGCAACACCCAGAATATAACGACGATATCCAAGCAAATCATCTAGGCAGAATCCGATATTGCCCACTCTGTCGACGGAGTGGCGAACGTATTCATGCTGGTGCTGCTTCACAAGCGCACTATTGATATCGCGACAAACGGTGGGTAGCTCCAGTATTTCCTTGCAGAGACAAAGGATCCGAGACAGATGGCTCGGCTCGGGGAGAGCCGATGCGTCCTTGGAGGCCATGCGCTGAAGACTCAGGTGAAAGCAGGAAGACAGATCTACGTTGGCTATCTCCATGATCAGTCTAGAGTATATGGCATAGTAAAGACCCTCGACGGCGTCGATGAGCTCGACGAGCGAATCAGTAATGACCACCTCCTCGGCGTGTGCGACATGTGATAGAAGGCTGTCTGGCATATCTTCCAGCTATTGTGCGTAGAGGTCAATCAGTGTATACCACTATTGTAGCGAACAAAGATCCGGTACATACCTCGACCCCATAGTGCAAGAGGATGATGATGACGATTTTGGCGACAGTGTAGACCTTGGAAAAGACCGACAGCACACTATGAAGCCAATCGGCAGCGTCTTCATTAGGGCGTCCGTCGAGATATTTGATAGACTCCGAGAATATGTTCCAGTTTGGAGAACTGATAGTGTAGGGAAGCGTAGGACGCTCAATGGGATCCATGAGCTGTCACGCTGTCAGCTTAGAGTAAATGACAGTGGAAACAGTGTCAACGCACAGCAGAGGAATAAGAAACATCAGTGCTATCAGAAGAACGAAGTTGTGAAGCCACACATTTTTGGTTCTGTTCTTCTAGAGAATTAGAGTACATGTAGAAAGCATCTGTGTGCTCACTGGTGTTCGAGGACTGCAGAGAGACAAAAGTGTCACAAACTTGGTCTCTGGTTTGAGAGACGCGTCTGGGGAAGAGCTTTTTCATGGCAGTGTCCCAGAGCTGGGAGACAGACGGGCGGGGGCTTCCCATGGTTAAGAACAGTGATTGTTATTAAATCTTGTCAACAGCGTCGTAGTGGGATCCGCAGCGTAGGACGGAATGGAAAGTTTATGGGCAGATAGTAGAATGTCCTGGCCTTTGTGGAGGTGTAAGCTCCTGGAGGAGTGAATGCAGCTGGATGAGCATATTGTTTGAATGAATAAAGAAAAATAGTGAAGATAAGTTAGGTCCTGCACAGCTGATAAAAGAGAAGTTATTAAAAAGGTGAATATCTTCTTTGCATACTATCTTTAACATTACACATATACTAATCAAGGCTTTATTATTATTGGATTTATTTTATTGTTTATACTGTTCTTCAAGCCCTTTTATACAGATTGTAAACTTCCCTTATTATATGTAGTGCCTGTCCTGGAAGATCGCTGATGCTAGTTGTGAATGATTATTAGACAAAATACCACACTATATGCATGCTCTGACAAACAACAAAAGATACTAAATACTAGCAATTCTTTATAGTAAACTAGGATCAACCTCAATGGAGGTGTCCTGCATATTAAGAGTATATGGTAGGATAACCTCAGGGATCCTCCAAATAGTTTGGTTTGCTCTTTCAACAAAGACCGGGGTTATGCTTATACATTCACTAAAAGATAAGGACTGTACATTGTAACTCGTTAGCTATCTGTCATTGATGAAATAAGAAGGATAAAAGAACAATTCAACAGGAGGCAATTAAAGAAGACCTGCCTTCAAATTCGTCAGGCCTCTGACCCATTCAAGCCCAAGATCGCAGACCTCATCAGGCAAGTATCCAGACTCAACTGGATGAGTGAGCACGTCATGGCAATTCTCCAACCACAGTACCTCCAGCTTCCTACCAGGGACGACCAAATCACTGTCTACTACAGACTCATCTGTTGAATCTTTCTTGACACCTCCCAACCAGGTTAAGAAGTCCGGCTGTGCGCCGCGACATGTTCTCAGCTTCAGAACCTTCAATCGCCGGTTTTTCTTCACAAGCATTGTGAGCTGCCACGGAGTGATACCCGACCTCTCGAGAATCAAGGTCTCTAGGCCGGATATCCCAATGTGCTTGGACTCTCCCACCCCGATAAGCAAGTTCCAGGCAGCGCTACAAGGCGCAGGATGCAGCCAGACGCTTCGTCTCATCTCTCCGTCTCGGATATGCTGATGCTCGAAAAGTAGCGCTAAGTATCGTAACGAATGTCGGCATTTGGTACTCAGGGCCATTGCTCCCTCAGCATCAAGATCATATGCCATGAACTCGAGCTTTACGAAGGACGGTCCATATCGGTTTACGAGCTGGGCAAGGATCTTGTTTTGGGCCCGGGTCATTTCTTTTTGTGCCCGTTCTCGAACCATTCCTTTCAATCCTGGCATGCGCCTCCTCGAGTCTCTTGTTTCTACGGGTTCTGCAGATAGGTCGCGTTTTGCATGGCTCACTCCAGAGTGGATGACCGAGACGGTATAGTCACTCCCAGTTTTGTCTTCATCAGACCAACTTTCAACTTGACTCGGCGTTGCCCAACCCGCTTGGAGACAAGATATCATAGAATGGACTCTCTTTTCAAACACACCCAGGCGCAGACGTCGGAGACACAAGGTATGGGATCTGTAATTGAGACGAGAAGTTTCACCAAAGGCCAGAAATGACCCAAAGGGCAGGTAAGAAAGAATCTGAATAATTATTTCCAAGGGGAGACCGCTTAATCTGTCCGACATGGTGGATGCGCGCTAGTCACTTTGCTGCATTCCTGACATTTTCGAAGGATATTTAAACTAGGCTGAGGATGACTGTATATATTGAATACAATACAGTGTTTCCAATTTGGCGGTTTTATATCCCCAGATCTTGTGTCATTATCAGCCTCAGCCTTCCATCCACGCGTGGCATGGACAAATGAAAATTTGCATACGTCGTGGGACAGAGGTGCAAAAGTAGCGTGTTCTCGTCACGAAAGCCCCCCGAGTTTGAAACCAGTGATTGGGTACGAAGGACACCTGTTGGATGAGATGATGTGTCTTTTCTTTTAACAAACATCTACAAGGATGGACTCCAAGAATCCGTTATATCTATACAAAATAGAATGTTTTGGATCCCCCCTCTCTTTCTCGCGTCATTACCCATCCCTTTGGGACACCAATGCAGCCTAAATCCCGTCTCTCGGATTCACAGAGTTGTTGGCGCCGGCACGGTGGAGAGCGTATCTTCGTCGTAATCTCGCCCAACACCCAACCCCGCTAGGGGTCCCTTGATATCGAAAATTAAATTCGTCAGCCGGAGCGTGTTCTCGGAAGCCAAGAAGATACGGTGTGGTGAGTTATTTCATCCAGTATGTTGGTATAGTGAATGTCTTGTGGACGGTTACTCCTCACCATCGTCATCTCCCTCCCATTCATACAGTCCACGATACAGCCACAACGCCGAAATAAAATCGGAGAATTCTCTTTGCAGTGATTGTGTGACGTTGAACCAAACCCTTGGAAACGTCTGTCCAATGGAAACTGACGACGTGACATGGTGATGGACGGTCAGACGTCGATCATAGGCAACGACCAGCCGCTAAGGACTTGTCTTAGAGGGGTTCCCCATCCCACAACTCGAGAGACGTGCACTGGTTGGGCCGAACATCTCATTGCTTTTTTCAGCTTTGACCGAAAGGCTCCGGGGGACTGGTTCTGGCAGGATCACTTGATCGGACATAAGGCACTGAGGGCAACCACGTTGCAAAACATCTCCTTATGTATAGACTAGTCTAAAAGACTAGCATTTGAGACAAAACGGTCAAAAAGACAAAGAGAAAAAAAGCCGCAGTTGAGTAGAAAAGCATGAGAGTGAACATGAAAGAAAGGAAATCAAGGCGGCGGTGAAGTGGCGCTCTGTGGTGCTGTGATGCATCAGTAGCCAGATAGCCCGCATTCGCGACACGTCGCTGTGAGGGGGGAGGGAAAAAAAAAAAAAAAAAAAAAAAACGGGGAAGATCCCTTTCAAAATTCTATACATCCTAAAGAAAACCCATTCAGTTTGTGGACAATGTATACATGATTCTCCTTTTCCTTTCTCCCCCACAGTATACAGGAACCACGATTACACGATCTGTCAATCTATCCCTGAACCCTAAAAGTACGACCACTTGCAGTCTTCCTCTCCCGCTCTTCGTTCTCAGGCCGGGCTCGGTTAAGTACTGCAACATATTAGCATCTACCAACATTGTGGACAACTTATTTCCACACTCACCCTGGAGGAAGTCTGCCGTCCTTTTGCGCATACGAGTGTGGATGTAAGCCTAGACATGAGGTAAGCAGGATGCAACTCATCGCATACATTCAACCGCGCCAATGGAAAGATACCTTGGAGGCTTTGATGTGATAATGGAAGTAATCCCGGAAAATCTGAATGTGGGAGATGTTTTCGTATCGCCGTTGAGGGGTCAGGTGACGAGGGAACAGAACTGCACACCATTAGCCACGGCGACAGGAGACCGGAAGATATATGTCATAGTCATGAATTACCAAAAGTAACATAGCTGATCTTGCTGTCGCTGGCGTCCTGAAGGCCAGGGATGCCCTCAAGTTCAAGGGGAGGTTCGTTTCGGAAGAGCACTTGGGGAGCATTCTGCAGAGTTAAGACACGCCGTCTCGCGTCAACAAACTCCTGTAAAAAGACCTTTCCGAAGATGCGATCGGTCTCTTCACGGAAGACGGTGCTAAAGGTCACGGTGACTCGATCAGGACCCGCCTTGATATAAATGGCTTCTTCCTCCCGGTAGTGAATTGCCATCACTTCGCCTCCCTCATTTACTCCTTGAGGTGCCGACTCGGAAGTGTACCTCGAAGCTTCTTCGGAAAGCTTGGCGAACTCATCGAACGCTCTTTCGAACGGAGCAGCCATGGCATTGCGCTTCATCAGAGCCAGACGCATCACCAGTTCATCTCGGGCCTCTTGCTCTGCGGGGAGGTTCTCCAGATCGATGAGAACCGAAAAATCATATCCAGGCTCCGGAGCAACAATGTAGGATCCGTACTCTCTCTCCAGCACTTGTTGAGCTCCATATTGAACCAGCTCCCGGAAACATTTCACATTAATCGAGATGAGGATCTGGGTCTTGGATTCGGGTGTAGATAAATGAAACGTAACTCCGTCAAAATCTGAGACAACCTGATCAATCGACGTCGGCGGGGCTCTGTAGAAAGCAGTAGACAGTCAGTCGGCGCAGCTGGAGTGCATATCGCGGAGGCGGGGAGGGGAAGCTCTACCCAGAGAACCGCTCGGTCAGGAGAGAATGGATAAGAACATTGTGGTAGTCTAGAAGAAGCATGTTGGCTGTCACAACAACAAAGCGTGAGGGATACGCTTAGATTCGGTTGATTTAGAACCCCCCGTATTCGTCTTGCTTGCTGCGCTTGGTGAACCAGACGTGGCTGTAGTTTGGAGATGCAGGCAGAGTGTCATCTTACTGCCTTACGTTTATGTCCCGGATGTTGGAGAAAGGAAGGCGGTGAGAGCCAGCGGCTCTGGCGCTTGTTGCTTGCCGAACGTCCATTTTCGGACTATCGATAGGAGCTGGATTTTTTTTTTTTTTTTTTTTTTTGGAGCGCTTGTCGAGGATCAAACTGCCAACGATGGTGAAATCTTACTTGTTCGTATTATTCCGCTAGGTCCCTTGAAATTCTGTTTAGTTCCGCTGACAATTATTTCAACTCCAGAAAATTCGAGCACTCGAAGACATTCGGGCTCGTTACATCGGCATCCTCAAATGCGATATGGGCTCGGGACGACGAGCTAGCTGGTTCTACACGCCGGACAGGCTCTGGACGAGCTATTGTGGGTGCAGGTGAAGATGTGCTGTGCTGGGATATAAAAAAGGGGGAGTTGTTGGGTAGATGGCAGGATACCTCGTGCAGGGCTCAAGTTACGGTGATCACCCAGAGCAAGACAGATGAGGATATTTTTGCTGTTGGGTAGGTCGCTGAGATTCATACGGTTCATCATACGGACTGTCGCTCTGATGCTAATCCTCGTCTGTGCATAGATATGAAGACGGCAGCATCCGTGTCTGGGATTCGCGAACCGCTACTGTTATTATCTCGTTCAATGGCCACAAGTCCGCCATTACCCAACTAGCCTTCGATAGCGCCGGTGTCCGCCTTGCAAGTGGCTCGAGAGATACGGACATCATCCTGTGGGACTTGGTGGCAGAAGTGGGCCTCTTCAAGCTGCGTGGACATACTGATCAAGTCACTTCGCTGCGTTTCCTTGTTCCATCCATGGAGATGCTCAATGCCGCGGGCCTGAGCGACCATGCCGGGTTCTTGATCACCACCGGCAAAGATTCGCTGATCAAGGTCTGGGATTTGGCATCGCAACACTGTATCGAAACTCATGTAGCCCAATCCAACGGAGAGTGCTGGAGCTTGGGTCTGTCTCCCGATCAGAGTGGTTGCATCACCGCTGGAAACGATGGGGAGTTGAAAGTCTGGTCGATTGATGAGAGCGCTATGATTGAGATCTCGAAAGAGAAGGTCGGCGCCGAGGACCGCAAGATTCTGACGAACCGGGGGACATTTTATCGGAATGGAAAGGACCGCACTATCGGGATCAGCTTTCACCCACGAGCCGATTATGTTGCTTTCCATGGGTCAGAGAAGGCGGTTGAGATCTGGCGTATCCGTTCTCAGACGGAGGTCCAGAAGAGTTTAGCAAGAAAGCGCAAGAGGAGAAAGGAGAAGGACGCTCAGCGCGGCGCCACCGATCAGGATGGAGCCGCTGTGGAAGCTGGTGAGGATAAAACTGACGATATCTCTTCGGCACCGGTCACCGAAGTTTTTGTATCCCACGTTATTGTTCGAACCGGCGGAAAGGTCCGTTCTTTTGATTGGATTAGAACGAAGTCCAGCGGTAGCATTCAGCTCGTTGCTGCAATGACGAACAACCAGCTCGAAGCCTACAGCGTTGCTACGTCGCACAAGAAGAATAAGGATGAGGAAGAATCCGACTACAACCGAACTCTAGCTGTCGACATTCCAGGTCATCGCACCGATATTCGATCGGTTGCTCTAAGCTCGGATGATCGAATGCTGGCTTCTGCCTCCAACGGTAGCCTCAAAGTCTGGAACGTTCGAACCCAGAGTTGCCTCCGTACGTTGGAAAGCGGTTATGCGCTATGCTCTGCCTTTCTTCCGGGTGATAAGATCGTTGTTGTTGGGAACAAAGAAGGAGAGCTCGAAATCTTTGATATCGCGTCCTCAACTCTCCTCGACACAATCAAAGCCCATGATGGGCCAGTGTGGTCAATTCATGTTCATCCCGATGGAAAGTCCATCATCAGCGGCAGTGCCGATAAATCCGCCAAGTTCTGGAACTTCCAGGTGGTCCAGGAAGACATCCCTGGGACCAAGAGATCAACCCCACGACTGAAACTGGTCCACACGAGGACTCTGAAGGTCTCAGATGACATCCTCAGCCTTCGTTTCTCGCCCGACGCTCGATTGCTGGCCGTCGCTTTGCTAGACAACACGATCAAGGTCTTCTTCGTCGACTCGCTAAAACTCTTCCTCAATCTCTATGGCCACAAGCTTCCGGTTCTAAACATGGACATCTCCTACGACAGCAAGATGATCGTCACCTGTTCCGCGGACAAGACTGTTCGTCTATGGGGCTTGGACTTTGGTGATTGTCACAAGGCGTTCTTGGCGCACGAGGACAGTATCATGGGAGTTGCTTTCGTTCCAACGAATAAGGAAGGAAATGGACATAATTTCTTCAGCGCGAGCAAAGATCGTGTGGTTAAGTACTGGGATGGAGATAAATTCGAGCAGATTCAGAAACTGACAGGCCACCACGGTGAGATCTGGGCTTTGACTATCAGTCACGACGGCGAATTCATTGTCACTGCCAGTCATGACAAGAGTATCCGCACCTGGCAACAGACCGACGAACCGCTCTTCCTCGAAGAAGAGCGCGAGAAGGAGCTCGAGGAGATGCATGACAATACTCTTATGGAGTCCCTTGAAGAGGAGGAAAATGAAAACAGTGAGAAAGCCGAGGCCGTTGATGCAGGAAAACAAACCAGCGAGACTCTCATGGCCGGAGAAAAGATCATGGAAGCATTGGACCTGGGAATGGAGGATCTGGAAATCGTGCGAGAATGGCGCTCCATCAGGGCAGCGCAACCGAATGCAGCTCCCCCTACCCGAAACCCCTTGTACATGGCACTGGGCAATATCTCCGCTGAACAGCATGTTCTCAAAACGGTGCAGAAAATCCCCGCCGCTACGCTCCAAGACGCTTTGCTAGTTTTGCCGTTTTCGAAAATCCCCGCTCTGTTCACCTTCCTCGATATCTGGGCCAGTCGCGAATGGAACATCCCCCTTACCTGCCGCGTCCTTTTCTTTATGCTGAAGACGCACCATCGTCAAATCGTCGCCAGCAAGACGATGAGACCAATGCTGGATGGCATCCGCTCGTCCCTACGACGAGTCCTAACACGTCAAAAGAACGAGATGGGATTCAATCTATCTGCACTACAATTTGTCGGCAATCAGATTCGCGAGCACAGTACCAAGAGTTATGTCGACGAGAACTGGGAAGAGCAGCAGCAGCAGACAACAGGCACTGGTAAGAAGCGGCAGTTTATCAGCGTGGCTTGAACTTGACTGTCTGTCCGGATCTGCAGGAAAACTGTGAACATGCATGACTGGCGTTACGAATTTTATTTGGATGTCTACTACTGAAAAGTTCTATATCCTTGAGAGTTGGGCAAAAAAATTCCATCCTATTTGTATACCTATAGAAATTCAACAATGTATACAGTCATATAAGATTTAATTATCTAATATATACTACTCCGTGAAATACTCCACGACCAACATTTCACCTCAGATAACCCAAAAGCAAGATTCTATAGACAGGTCAGCATCAAGCCAAACCGAAGAAATGATCAATACAAGAATCTACCCCCAATGCCTTGGAATACAATCCAAGCAAAGGGAAAGAAACTTCGGGGTAAAATGACTAGATCAGAAGAAACCAATCAAGATCACATCTCCATAATCCAAAACCACCACTCAGCAGAACCATTATAAGCACCGACGACAAGGACCACCAATGGTGAAATATCCAGTCATACCTCTTCCGGCTCTTCCTAAATACCGGTTCTTGGAAAATGTTCTCATCATATTGGAGGTTTGGGGCAAATGGGATGTGATATGTAGTTTGGTTTCTTCTCTTCTTGTCTGTTCCCGTAGAGGGAAACTGGATGTGATGATCCCGGGCAGACAGGGGAATTGATATAAGGTACGGGGATTAATAGGCATACCTATTGTTTGTTAGTCGATGCGGAGGTTGGTTCAAGAGCAAGCCTAGAAATTGAGGCGGGTGTTGGAAAAAGTATTGATGGAGAGATAGCTCAAGATGCGGAAAGGAAAAGTGTGGGAGAAAATTGTTTGGTTGGATTTATGGTCGGTTGAATGGTCGGGCCGGCTCGGTTAGTCATTTCTTATTCATGTCGAGGTATAACAATTGTTGGGAGCTCTCCCAGCTTTCATTCAATGAATGATAATACCCAATTACATTTACCGCTCACTTAGAGCCCGTGGTGCTTTTTGTCGTATAATGGTATTAATTACGATATGTTAATAGCTCGGTTGCGTGACTTTGAAGAAGAAATCTCGAAGGTTAAGATGTCCCAGAACAAGCGTTGCCAGTAGTGACAGCAATCTAGAGCGGTCGTTATTTGATCGTTCCGTCGTTGTCCTTTCGATCATCTTTTTTTATCGTTTAATTAGTTGAATCCAGGCTGTTGGATTGAGAACATTTAAGCTGTTCATTGGATACCCCTATAGGGCAGTTTTTGATCGGTAAATTCAGCAGAACTAATCTTCATAGCCTCATAATCATATCAACTAATTAGCTAATTAGGTAATTCACCTTTAGGGGCCGCCGCATCTAATAATAGCCTTCCTTGGTATTTGTTAAGGCTACTACTAAAGTATTATCTATAAAAAAAAAAAAAAAAAAAAAAAATTAATACATAAAATCCAGCGATTTCATAGCTTTCTTTCAAACTCTGTTGATACTGAAATCTGGGATTTGAATAGTATTGCCATCAATGCTAACGAGCATTGTCTTCATCTTCCTCACAAAGTTGAAGGAGAGAAACTCCATTGACCTCAACCACATTCCATGTTCCGAGATTATTACTGTCATCATCACTAATACTACTGCTGCTGCATCCCTGGTCACCAAACATGTATGTTTTTCCGAGAGCTTGCTCAAATTGCTTGATTTTCTTGTTTCCAATCCTGACTCGTGTTGTATGAGGAGATGACTCGATTGCGTCTTGAAGAATATTGTCTAGAAATGAGACAATTAATTCTTTCTCCTCGAGCCAATCTAGCGCTTTTGACACAAATGCATTCCGATTCTCTTTGAGAATAGCAAAAATAAACTGATCAGAATCGGTCGCCACTCCGAAAACTGTCTTGTTGGTTTTCTTAGCCATAGAACGAGCATCTTGGATGCCCGCAAGATAAATTAAAAGCTGAGGAAGAGCTGCCACAATATTACCACGTGCCTTTGCCTCAATCACAACTAGCATTTCCTGAAGGTTGTCCTTCTCATCCATGTAGCCAAGTGTCCAATCAGCACGCCCGGAAATCCTTGTGTGGATAGAGCGGTACTCCGCCAAAACATCCATTTGAACTTCTGCTACGACCTTTAATTGTTTGGCAGCAGCAGTGTCATCTAGAAGCTCTAGACGGTCACAAACAAGGATATCAAATAAAGTTCGGACTAGGGATTCGGGTCCGAAGGTTCGTAGGTACTTTGATCGTCGAATATTCTGAATTGCCGATTCTATTGCATAATTAGTAAACTCGTCAGCCTGCTAATATCAAGACATACCAGTCCATTCAGATAGTTTTGTAGGTTGCTTTTGATGATCTTTCAAAGACCAACGATAATCAGGGTCCCCAGGCTCAAAGTTAATACCAACATATTTTTTTGCATCCTCTAGGCTGAGCATTCTTGCTTGAATGTGTTTGGAAACCTGAGCTTCTTCTATCAAAGACAGAGCCTGTTGTATTGACTTAATAACTGATATAGCAGCAGGGTGGAGGTTCTCAGTCAGCAAGAGTAGTTGATTAAAAGATAATTTAATGTGTTCGGCATCAGTATGGTGCTTTTGAAGCTCCCTTGTTAAGTCAAGATACCAATGGGACGGTATGATTTTCTGTTTCTTCTTTGGTGGTGCAGCCATCCTAATAAAGAGGTGTGAGGTTAAAGAAAAGGATCAAGAAGACGGTATAAAGAAGATTAACGATGAGGACGGGAAGTCAAAGGAAAAGGCATAAGATCGGGAGGGAGAAACGTGAGGACTTCGGTGGTCTAACCGCCCGAATGGGGCAACGGGGGCTTCCCAACAGGTTGTAGGTGAGGAAATCGTTCCCAGAATAAGCAAAGATTTCAGGCACTAAGAAGGATGGTTTTAGAGAGCAAAACAGGTAATAAACAAAGCAAATAGAGAAGATCGCGGGAACCCAACGATCGCATCAGCGGAGGGTAGCTAGAGAGGACTGCTCCAGGAGTAGGAGAATGGTTCCCTTGCAGCAGCACAGAAACGAAGCGACATAACCATCTAGAAAAACGACGATTTCAAGCAATCAAATAATTTAAAAAAGAACAGATAGGCGCTGTGGATATCCCACCAGACAAGCCACCATATGTCGCAGGAAGCTTCAAGGTAAAAGTGATGAAAAAGCAATGATGTCATTGATAAATATTGGCAGGTTGAAGATGTGGAACAGGGTTTAGCTCAATGGCTGGAGTACGTAAGCGAGAGGTACGGAGAACCGTGTAAGACAAAATGGCAGTTCCAACCTCCTACCACGTTAATTGGCTGTTTTCGTCTCTCCAGGCCCCTAAAGATAGATTTATGGTGTAATCTCTGGGAATAGGTATTGACACAAGGTATTACATCGAAAGTCCAATTTACAGGTATCCAGTCGATAGTAGGATTATTGGAAAATCCAACGTACATACATTATATTCATCAATCATAGTCATCAGTGCTAAAGTAAACTCATGATCATGTCAACAACCCTCTACGATGCTGATTTCATAGTGCCGCAATTCGAGCATGTCCACCACTGTGTCTCCATGAAGGTGCTGCAGAACTCGCAGACCCATCCCAGTGGCCGCTTGGGCGTATTCCGATCCAGTGCGGCGAGCGTCTCCACAGCACTGTTACGGTTCTTGAACGTAGTTAGACTGGCGGAATGGTTCATAGGGCGTTTTTTCTTGCGGTTACTCGAAGTCACAGGGTTCATTGTAGCTGGCCCCAATATCGACCTACTGTTCGATGGTCGCGGTCGCTCTGCAGCACAAGCGTCACAGCATAGGAAATTCGCCGGGTTCTCCAACGTGCAAGTGGGACATGACCACGGTTGTTCGTACAAATCGTCATCGTAAGTGATATCAACGGAGGCTTGTGGCTGTGATTGAGTGGGAGGTTTCGTATCTTGGGGGATAAGTGGAGGAGATGGAGTTGACCGAGACCCCGCCGGGTTCTCCTGGCTGGGCGGAATGTATGAAGGCCCATATCTTTCCCGCTCTTCTTGCTCGATTAGTTCAATATAGGCCTGCATAATTGCCCGTTCATTTGCGTCGTCTTCTGCGGCTTTGGTGCGGAATCCGTTTCTAGATGCTTCTTCCGCTAGCTCCGTGCTGTTCTCAGCTCCCGAAGCGCAGCCTTTTGTCACATCTATGCGATGTTGTGCGGCCTCGGCAATTATCCGGCGCATGTCGGCCCCGCGCTGTACCGGAGCGCCACCTAGTCGTTGCCCAGATCCGGCTGATAGGGTCCGTCTTTGTTCTGCGGCTGCTCTGGCTTGCCGCCGGGCTTCATCCACGGGCATCCGGCGACCTCCTAGTCGTTTACCTTCTGAAAGGAACCCCTCCCCGGTGTAGCCCTTGAAGGCGAGATCTTCATGCTCGTCACGTAGCTGGTTCCAGAGAGCATGAAATTGCTGGTGATGAGGACCATGGACGATATGGCAAAGCCTGTGCACATCAGTAATCAGTTATAACTCCCCGATAGAGGTGACGCACTCATGTAACATCGTGTCAACTATGTGCTCAATCGGGAGAAACTGTCGCTGATCAGAGGCATGGCGCAGCCGAAGGCATATCTTCTGGCCTCCATTAACATTGAGACCCAGAAGGTTCCGCTCCTGTGGATAAAATTCACAGAGCGTCCCTACTTTCCAGTCCCTGCGACGCATAATTGGTTTGACCAACGAGGCGACTTTTCGGAGCATCAACAAAGCTTCCGATTCCCTTGGGCGGTGTTTATCATGCTGGTATTCAAAAACCAGCGGGTCTATTTCACGCATGTTGGTGGATTTGTACGGCTGGCTTGATTAAATAGGGGACCAGGCAGCTGTTATTCGGGGCATCGAAAGAAAGAGTCTAGACCAAATATATGTATTTCACGGCAGTAGGCAGCTGTCCTTCGTGAAAGTGCCGCTCAGACTTGTTGTAGGCTAATCTCGACTCTGGAAGATTCTAAGTGAGCCTGAATAGCCCAGGCAGGCTATGGCCGCGTCATGAGTGTGGCACCAATGTTAAGAGTATTGATAATCAGGAAGATTTATGGGCGCATCACGTGATATGTTGAAGGTGCCTGAGATGTCAAGGGCAAAATATCATTCATCAGACTTATAGTAATATTGCTAGATAGTATGGAGTTTGAGGTAGTTAAGGGTAGCCATTGGAAATGATCCATACAGCACGTGGAAACTAAGTATATAATTCACTACTTCCTGCGATAAACTGGTCACGCTAAGCTACTAACTAGTATTAGCTGTACTTGTTTAACTCCACCCGGTTCGACAGGAACAAAGGAGTTGGTATCTAAGCAGCGTTCTGGATGTCAGCCAAATAGACAGATCTACACAAGAGTGTCCTATTGATCAATAGCTATTCTCCAAAGGCCATTCAGTTGGCTATTCGCAAGCCTTCTCATCCATATGGAGGCGTCAAGCAACCTTTGATGGGGCGATACCCGCTCATGTGACCTGGCTGATATGGATCGCAAACTCATCGCCTTTCACTTATCAAGTCGATATTTTTGTGAAATTTTTCTACCCAGAAACAACCCGTAAATATGACTAGTGATGACCAGTTCTTCTTTGACTATGTGAGTACTTTCATTTTGGTCCTTTATCTGGACTGGTATTAACCAGCCGTGGTATCTAGCTTGCGTCAATCCCGCATGACGTAAGGCGATATTCCCTCGAGGTTGCGGACTCAATCGACCGACAAGTCGACCTTGCCGCCAGGACGATAAGGGATACGCTGTCAAATCAGTCATGGCTACCTTCCTCGATGCGGCCGATACCCCAACCTCATCCTCGTGCGCCACCTCAGTCTCTCACTGATCGTGCACAAAATTGGATCCTCCGACACAGAGCATGGAGTGCAGCTCTCCTGGCCTTTATAGGGACTAGCTGTGTTTTATATTTTGGAAGCAAGAAGCTGAGTGGCAAACGGAGGAAAGCTAGGAGAGCTGGCAACGGTGCTCGGAAGGAGATAGTGGGTACGTTGCAGAACAACAAGCTATTACATGCAAATATTGGCTTGCTAAAATTCGAGATAGTTGTCGTCGGATCACCGCTTGAGCCGATGACTAGAGCCATAGCAACCGATCTAGAACGTCGAGGCTACATTGTGTATGTCACGGTCTCATCGTCAGAGGAAGAGCACATCGTCCAGTCGGAAAATAGAGTTGACATTCGGGTTCTCTGGCTGGATATAACAGCGGTATGTTCTCATTCTCGCGAATATGAAAATGCATGGTGTTGATTAATGAAGCTATCCTCGTCGCCGTCGGAACTTCATCCATCTCTGAACGAAATCCATTCATTGATAACCCAGCCTCAGTGGCCGGTGCCCGGCGTGCCACCACATACTTGTCAACTGAGCGGACTTGTCCTCGTTCCTTCTCCAAACTATGTGTCGGGCCCGGTAGCCACGATTCCCCCCTCTGCATGGGCAGACAGTATCAACACGCGGCTTCTATCTCCCATTTTGACGACCCAGCTTCTTTTACCCCTCCTTACCCTCCGCAACACGAATAGCACCATCGTCTTCATCTATCCCTCGATATCATCCTCATTGTCCTCCCCGTTCACAGGTCCCGAAGTTACCGTTACCCGTGCTATGTCAGGATTTGCGACTTCCCTGAGACGCGAGTTATGCTTCCTGCGGTATAATAATATTGATGTCGTGGAGTTGAAACTTGGAAACGTCGACCTCGGGCTGCAGTATCGTAGTCCGCAGGGCCATATCACAGGAACCGAGGTTCTTTCCTGGAGCGCGCAACAACGATCCCTGTACGGGTCCCAGTATCTTTCAAGCATCGAACAGCGACCGGTTGCCTCAGCTGGACCCAGCAAGATCCGCGGCTCTCCTGCCAGGACTCTTCATTACGCGGTGCTAGACGCACTTGAACCACCGTCGAAAGATTTTCTCGGGCGGAGAACGGCGAAGACGCCTGTCTTGTATGTGGGACGAGGTGCACGCACCTACAACATTATCGGCGAGTGGGTTCCCGCCAGCTTGGTCGGATGGATGCTCGGCCTTCGCAGTGGACAAGCCGCATCGGTGGAAAGTGCCAGTGGAAGTAGCAGTGAGACTGGTTGGGAACGGGTGTAGTGCGGATAGTAGATTTGGAAATAACAGGCACACAGTACGGCGCAGATCTTCCTCCATTCATTTCCCCTGGCGTTTGGATAGCATATATTCTCAGCTCTATATTTATCTATCAGGTAATGTACGGGATCGTCAGTCCACAGAATGACCACAAACTATATCTATATTTCCCCCTCCAATACATCGTCCGATCGGTATCAGGCCATACATAGCCTGACCCGGAATTATAGAATTATTAGGTACACAACACATTACAACTGTGTCCAGTATATATATTATACCCATCACCCACGCACTCAAACGCTCACCTCCTGCATCTCGACAACGTAACCGGTATCATATGTCGAGCGTTTCACCTTGCCGCCAGTAAGTCTCCTCCGCAACCAAATGGCGCCCCATGACACGGCGAAGATGACCAGGATGCCCGCGAAAATCCCAAAACTGTATCCGGCAACGAGACCGCTCTTCTCGCCGTGAGCGCCGGGGTTCAGGAACGAATATGGGTAGAACCCCTGGGTGTGGTGGGTCAGGTAGGCAAGCGAAACGTAGAGTAGCAGGATCAGAACGAGGAAGAGAAGCGTTATGAGGGGATGAGGATCAGTGGCTGGCAGGATGACTTCCAGGAGGGCGAAGAGCGAGTTCAGACCATGTTGGGATATCTATTAGAAGAATGGTTAGATTACGCGAGCCAGACAATCCAGAGGAGACGAAAGGAGAGGAGAAAGAAATGTATGCCACATACATTCGACCAACCATTAAAAGTAGCAGAATACCAGGTACCGTTGTACAGGATAGCCCAGAAGACAATAGTAACCAGAAAGGGGAAGGTGGTGACGGTGGCATAGAACAAGCAATGGAGGGCACGCAGGACACGAGACCAGCGACCCAGCAGAACCGAGCGACCGGTCAGGGCATAGCAAGTGGTATGGATACAGGCGACGAGGTAATAGAAGCCCAGACCCCAGAAGGTCAGCCAGGTGAAGTAGCTGAAGCTCTGGCCGATGGCGTCGCGATAGCCATGGGTACCGTTCCAGCCCCAGATGAAGAAATTGGTGAAGAAGATGTAGAACGCGACAAGGCCACGGAGGAAAGCGAAGGCCAGAGGAGGCAGAAGCCAGGAGGTTTCGAAGCGATGGTGTTGGTCGAGACAGGGATCGACGCCCATCAGTGTGTTGAAGGAAACCAACCCCATGTCTTTTTTTTTTTGGGTCTCCCTTCTCAATTGACTTTTCTTTTCTTCTTCTTCTTTTTTCAGGGCCAATTTCCCGGTGTGTCCTCTGGCTCTCTCGCCCTTGTTGCGTTAGAGTGCCTGGTAAGGTGGTTAATGAGGCATTACTGAAACGCGAGGAGTTTCTTAGAATCGTGCGACAGAGTGGGGAGGTCGCATGCTACAACATAGATGGGAGAAGAAATATTAAAACCTATTATATAACAGATACTCCGCAGGCAGCTAATTAGCTAGCTGGCTCTTTCTGTTTGGTCTAGCTCCTGGCACTTTCGCATCTTCATTCCTTTCCATTCTTAGGGCTTTAGACGCGGGGACTAGTCCCTTTCTGTTCACACACTCAGACATCCATCCAGGTCATGTGATGTGCATGGATGGACTCATGGAGGCGCAAATACAGGTGAAAACGACATCTACTATCTGGCTACGTCTGAGTAGAAAACATCAAAGCTCCATACAACTCAAAAACAACCACCAACGATTACACCACAGTTTGTCCCATGAGGGGGCATTCACTGATCTGACGAGACAAACGAAGTCTGCTAGGGTTCATTCCCTTACACAATGTTTTCAGGGAAGAAAGTGGCTGGACCCAGGAGTAAGAAATGGCATTGCTAAAACATAACCTAACTGTTGAGTATAGTAATTAATGATAACAGGGAAAATGTAGAAATAAAGGCATGATACAGTAGGCCAGAGGAGAAAAGGCTTCCCGATTTCCTGGAGTAAGTCTTTTCCTGACTCGAGCTCAGATTCCCAACCAGAAGATAGGCAAGAAGAAGGAGAAAAGGTCCAAAAAAGAACTTGTCCTCAATCTCTGGATATTTGCCAGTAGACAAATATTACAGTACGTTATCATTCTCACCAGCCAGCAGTCTGCATGAGAAGAATCGATGTGTTATCCACCTATCAGTGGTATAATCTGTAGTAGTCATCTACTGTAGGTATCTGCCTGGTAGGGAGCTGATGTTGTTCTCAGAGCATTCAATCTTTTGGCGGGCATGCATGCCTCGTTCAACGTCAATGTGTTGGGAAGAATGTTAGTTTACCACTCTCTGAGTTTCTGAACAGGTATATTCTGTAGATCTTCATTCCAGGCGGGGGAGCAGTGGTGTCACCCGAATATCACAATTATGCCAAGGGAAGCCACTCCGCACTGTCATCGCATCAGCTGGTGGGAGATATGCATGTACTTACTATGTAAGTAGGTACAGAATACGTATGTACTGTCAATGTATGTGCATGCCCTGCAGCTTCAGGGGAGAGAGTAAGTATTCATTAGAACACTTTCATTAATTAATACTGTACTCGGGTGGCTCAGAGGTTTTACAATAATTTTATTTGTCCCACAACCATTTTCAATAGTAGTAAAATTAATAACGACAAACAACTACGAAATTTTATAGCCGTGACAACAGCTGTGCCAATTACAGCCGACAGAGCATTGCATGTTAACCTATTGTCAGTACAGGACACAGGTCAGTTGCAAGTCCAGACACGAAAGCAGCAATGGAACCCCGAAATATGACACAGAATTCAGGTAGAGGAGATTACTTTTGATATAAGATCATCATCATCATCATCATAGATGGGAATGACTTCTGAATACTCTGTATACTCCGTATGGTCGCTGGAGTAACTGGATTGAATGGACGCAGGGATCATGCCTCCGCGGCCTTGAATCTCAGGCCCCTTAGATCCCCAGATCCCGATTTGGCAGGTCAATCCTCTCTCCTTACGGCATACGCCACCTCGCACGGTTTGCACTGTTCGGGGTGGATCTCAAGTTAAACACCCTAATGTTTCCGATTCGTATCGAGTCCATCCATGAAGAAGAAAAAGATTCTGAGAAAATTCTGCTTCCATGGGTGGATGCGCAGTCGTGTCAGATTTCCTTCGTCCATGGATGGATACGGGGTCGGGGATTTTGGCACGAACATTGTCTGTATATAAATAGAGAGTGGCTACAGTCTCCACTGCAGGCCCAGGGTGAATTACGCTAACCGTCATCGCCAAGCCTAATGGTGCTACTTTTTTCCTTTTTTTTTTCTGGTCCCTTGAATGATATTCTCTCCTGGAAGTCGGGAGGGGTTTCGAAGTGGATAAATTAATTAAAAAAAAAAAGGTCAATAAGGGTCTCCTGACCTTACGGAGTAGGTATAGGCTCTTCCAGTAATAGGAAGGAATTACAAAAAAAAAAAAGAAAAATTCCACATGAAAGAACTTCATATCCCAGCTTCAATAAATCCAGCATCTGAACATTAATGCAGAAGCCATCAAAAACCCCTGATTCGGCAGCTAGATTGGTATTGTAAGTAAACTATCAGTGTATGTAAGTGTCTTTCCCCCTGAAACGGGCCGCTCTTTGCGGGCAGCAGCCGACGTTGGGTATGGAAACTCCTCGTAATAACGGTACTGGTGGCCAGCCATACCGAGGAGATACGGCGTGGAATCCACCCAGAAGTGACTGTCAATGCAGGTGCCCCTCGTTTGTTTGGGGATCGTCAGGGCGAAAGCTGGTCACTGGTACAGGGTACCTGACGCTCCCTACCCAACTTGCGCAGTGGTCTGGTACCAGGTACTCCTAACAACGGACTGTCGACATAATAGCGGAACCATACTGTCAGTCATCCTCCATCGCTCTTCATTCATTCGTTCTGCACAATTCGCGGGCCGCGAATCGCTCTGTTTCGCCCTCTTTCTCGCCTGTTTCTTTCTCTCTCTCTTTCTTCTTCTTCCCTCCTCCTTCTTAGTCGGAATCCACGATGCTTGTTCATCGTCCCTCCTCTTGGCTGGTGATTCGATTGACTCGCTAACTTAATGGTCGCCCTGATCACCTTATTCCGGACCCTCTTCTTGATCGATTAACAGACTTAACGTCCTCGTACAAACTACCAAGTCGCTCCTTTATTCGTCTACTACTACTATTTCTTCTTTCCCTCTTTCTGTGGCTCTGCACGCCTGGTTCGCTACTAGGAGCTGTTCGCTCTTTTCTTTACAACCAATTACTTTAAGACTCACTAAGCTCAAATCGTTTGGGTATTATCCTGCCTTCTTTGACTTTACTCATTCTTGCGTGTGCTGACCGATAGCCCGATTCTCCAGAATCCCTCGGCCGCTGTTTTGCCTACTCTCTCGATACCAAAATCTCTACCGCCGCAAAAAGTTACAGAATATCTGGAATAGATGAATTGATTGACCCGTTTGTGTTTGTGTATCTACTCGTGGATATTTCAGCAAGGAAACAGTTATCTTCAAAATACCTTTGACCGCTACAATGGAGCCTCCTCGGCCGCAGATTGGCGAAAGTCGCTCCTCGTCGCATGACAGTCTTCGCGCCGGGGCACCTTCGCCGCGCATCGAACACTACGACGGGGAAGTTCCACCCGCGCTCTCCCCTCTCGATGCCTTCGCCGCCCAAGGTCGGCTTCTGGCTCGACAGCTGGAAGAGTCAGCCCGCAAAGAGCGGCGCATGAGCAGGTTACCACCTGCCACGGTGGCTCGATCGCTATCACAGCCTCGACCGGGCTACTTTCGTGCCCCGTCTTCGGGGGATTCCCCCCACGGTGGCCGAGGCCTTGCCAGATATCCGACTCAGAGAGTCCAACCCGAGGTGGAAGAGCCCATGTTTCGCCCGCAATCGGAACATCCCCGTCTTAGCTCTGTGTCACATCTTGCCTGCGAATACGACCAGTACAGTGACCATGATGCGACCCCGACGAATGAGCCAATGATACCTGAAGCACCATATTCGGAAGAGCCCATGGAGGAGCCGCCACTTCGGTCGGTACCTGAACCTCCCCGCCGGTTCTACGCAGCCGCCCCTGTTGGAGTCGCTATGGCTGGACCGCCCGGAACTTCGCCGAGTGATTCTGCGTCGCGTCTCAACGTTCCACGAAGCCTGGCACGGCCGGCGTCGCCGCTCTTGCGACCATCCAGCAGCTCTCGAGCTCCACAGCCAGAAAGTTCCGATGATGATTTAGCAGCTCTACGGCAGGGTCGATGTTCTCAAACCCGCGTAAGCTCTCTTCCAGCAGCGCCGTGTCAATGCCCCAGTCGCCTATGTCGCCCACGACCCGTTCCCATCCTCGCTCACCGTCCCTGAGCTCGGAGACCTCAAACAATGGAACCCAGCTCCCTCGTCCCTCCTACAACTTTTCGCGCCCGTTGAGTCGATCCAGCACTAGTCTCTCTGCTCCCGCTCCAACCAGCTGGTCGGAGCCAGTGCCCATAACTGGATCGAGCACGATGAGTCGTGTGAACAAGCCCGGCCCAATCTTGGTCCCGTCTCAATCTGATATGGCCAGCTACTCGGGAGAGGATCCGTCGCCCGCAGTATCTTCGTACATCTACGCGAAATACTCCCTTCCCCGGGGGCGCAATGTGTCCCGAGACTCTGTTGTGTTTTCTGGCCTGCAGACCCCTCATTTCGAATGGCAAGAGCCATTGTTCGAGAGTCCGGAGCAGGTGAAAAACGTGGAACCACCGAAGTCTGTACGAATCCCGTCGCCTCCGCCTTCACGACAGAGCTCAACTGCGTCCCAGAAAGCGCATTCGATGTACGATCGTCCAACCTCTGCGCGTCAACTGTTGACGCCGGAAGCAGCCCCACGGTCGAATTATGGTCCCCCTTCTCCTAAGACCGCGCCTCCTGAACCCGCCCCCGTGGAGCCACCAGCTCCCGAGGCACCTACGGTGGATGATAAGATGGAGACCACCTCATCAGCGGACTCCGCTTCCACTGTTCGGCCACAGACCGCCAAGTCGACAGTGACTTCGGCTGTCATCACGGCAGATGAGCATGTGACAAAGGGGATCGAATGCCACGAGAAAGGATCCCTGAAAGAATCTACATATCACCTCCGAATCGCGGCCAAGCAAAACCACCCCACGGGCATGCTCCTCTATGCCTTGGCTTGTCGACATGGCTGGGGCATGCGGCCAAATCAGCGGGAAGGCGTCCAGTGGTTGCGGAAAGCCGTGGACTCGGTTGGGGTGGAACTCATGGATGACGGCAGCGCGACCGTTCCGGTACGGACCAGAGAGTTGCAAAAAGCATACCGAGCCCAGTTTGCCCTGAGTATCTACGAGCTCGGGGTCAGCCACTTGAATGGATGGGGGATCGAACAGGACAAATCCCTGGCCTTGCGGTGTTTTGAAATCGCCGGCCAGTGGGGTGACGCCGATGCACTCGCGGAAGCAGGCTTTTGCTATGCCGAAGGCGTTGGCTGCAAAAAGGATTTGAAGAAAGCAGCCAGGCTCTACCGCAAGGCGGCTGAGAAGGGTATGAACATGGTTGGAAACAGCTGGTAGGTGGCAATGTAATCCCGGCCCGAGTGTTCAGGAAGCTAATGTGGAAATCTGTGACAGGATTTACAAGGACAAGTATATGTCCGACGATGAATCTAATGCCCAATCGCGTGGCCGGGGCCGGAGCCGGCAGGGTGCTACCCCGGAAAAGAAACAGCGCAGCAAATCTCGAACTCGCAGTCTGTTCCAGCGCAAGAAGTCGGTTGCTGCTGAAGCGTAAATTCCTGTACATTGGTTTCTCAGCACGATGTGATGGTCATCGTCCACTTCGAGGACACAAAGGCTGGATCCTATGGAGACTACTGGAACCAGATCTGCTCCTTGCTCCCTCTTCGACCTTCTACTGCTCCATCTTCTTATTCTTTTATATTCTCTTTAAAAATCAAACAGTGATGCGAACTGCTAGGTATGAGATGGAAATTCTCTCGTCAGTATTACCTTACTCGGAGAAATTGCTCCTCTTTTTTTTTTTTTTTTTTTTTTTCTTGATTTTGAGCAGGTTTTCGTGACCGACATGAAGCAACGGGACAGGCAATTTTTGTGGTCTCTTTGCTACCATTTGCTTTGCGGGCATCGGCTTCTATTCCTTGGATACCCATAATTCCTAATCACTGTGTGATATATATTCTCCCTTATCTGTTTCTTCTTTCCTTTTTTTTTTTTTTTTTTTTTTTTTTTTCCCCCTTTTTTTTTTTTTTTTTTTTTTTTTTTTTTTTTTTTTTTTTTCACCCCTTCCTGTTCATTCTCTTTCGCTTCTTGCTTTCACATGTCATTTGTTTCAACCTGAGTTTCATTTGAATCATTGTTGGTTCTTTCTTGCTAGCTGTTTGATTTGTATTTGCCAGGATCATATCTGATGATACTCATGATAACTGGGAGAATTGGGACGTTCATCTGCCTCTGGTGATGTATGTGATGGGTGGTTTGATTGATTCCCTAGATAGATTAGATAGCCATGGAAGATTAGATTGCCATGGAAAGGCAGGGATGGATGTTCGTTCCTGTGGGTGAAAATATGTACTCCTGGTTTGGTTCCACGGAACAATGTTATCTAAAGTAGGATTTGGACAAAACGTAGTGTAGAATGTGAACTCTATTTTACAGAATATATTCTCTGTCGAGGAACGGTGCAATTTAGCCGACGGCAAGTCCCCACGTGCCTGCCGGTGATGTGGCTGGCGAGAGACTTTTTTTTTTTTTGCCTCCCAACCCATATTTCCCAACGCCGCAGGGTTAGAATTGCTTGCTTCATGTCTTGAGTGTGAGTCTTCTCGCCCCTCCCAGTCTCACTTGATTCGCTCCGACGGACCGTATTGAGAATGTTCACCTGACAGTTCCCTCGAACCAGCAACCGGCGTCGATATTACCTCCGTACATGGATCCTCTCCCAAATCCCAAACTTCGGACAACGCAGAAAGTTTACCATGGACAGGGTCCAATTGGCTGCTGCTCTGATTGCACCGGAGGACTTCGCTAGGAGCAGTGAGACAGCCGGTCGCACTAATGACACCAACTAGCCACGGACTGGCAGGTGAAAACTCGTCCTAAGGGCTCGCTTGGCGCATTGGAGTACCTTAGTCTGTCTAGTCTGATTTTTGCTCCCCTCACCGGAGATCCAATGAGATGCCTCCTCCTGCCAAGAGGGGATCGCCATGGGGAAATTTGGGGAAAAAGAGGAGCGCTCCGGGGTTGCATTCCAACCAACATTCAGCTTCCCGGATGATCTATTGATGGGCTTGCCTTAGTACGCTGCATGCCGGCCAATCGTTATTTTACTGAGATTTGCACACCCTTCGGAAAGTACGGAGTAACCTCGTCTTCCGCTTGCTCAAAGTCAAAATCGGAAAAAAGAAAAAAAGAAAAGGTCCCGCCTCGGTAGGCGTCACAAACCCTCCTTCATGTGTGGCCTTTCAGCACCATGATCTCTCTCGCAGGAGCAGGTCCGTATATTTATCTATCTTGCATTCTTCAGTCCCGATTCTACTCGGGTTTGGAGCATCCTTCCGACTGAAACTCCGTCTCACAGCCCCTTTCTCTGTTCCTAGCGTGCCCTAATGAGCAGTAGTGCTATCTGCACGAGTCTGGGGGAATGGTGTGAATCCCAAACTCCACCAAAGCGAGTTCCGCGGTGCTTGATCTGGGTCACTGTGAAAATTCCCGACATGTGATGGTCCCGCCCTTCCTAAGGGCCCATCTCAGTTATATAGATATAGCGTAAAGGGTCCAACGGTCTGCTTTTCCGGACCCTCTCTTCTCCTTCTCTCTCTCTTCCTTCCTGCCTCCGACCCTCTGAGCGACTGGAGAGGCTGCAGTCTCCTTTCGTTTCGTCCTCGTCACTCTTTGCCCGGTTCCTTTCTTTGCCTTTTTTTTTGCCCTGGTTGCTTGTTCTCTCGCTTGACACCTTAGGTTTGTACCTCCTACCCAATGAGGATACTCCCCGCCTTTCCCCCTCTTCGTCACGGGGTCAATTACTCGGCTCACACATCATAGTGCAACGTCTCAAGCCCTTACAGGACCGGTGCTGCAATTTAGTCGGAGTGTCACTTCCGGTGGGTGCGCCTTCCCCCATCAATCGGGAATAATTTACCTGCATATGCTGACCCGAAGCAAGGGAACCGCCCACCCTCCCTGGCATCTCGAAACAAAAGCTTGGACGAATTCAAGGAAACGCAACTTCCACAGCAAACATGGCAGACGGAAAAGCTGAAGTAACCGAAATCGGCGCTGTCGATGTGTCGCCAGTCACCAAACCCAGTTTTAAATCCCGCGTAGCTGCCCACTTCAAGCGATTCTGGTGGGTTCATGTCATAGTTCTGATCGTGGTGGTCTTGGTGGTCACTCTTCCGGTGTAAGTTTGCTTGGTTCCTGCAGATGCTCCTGTCGCCGACGGAAATTAACCCTGCTTGCTCTCTGTGCCCAGAGTGTATGTCGGCTATCCAAACATCGCCCAACACGACATCAATGACTCCTCGTTGGAGGTTACGGAGCTGGTCATCAGCGATCCGACCCCGGAATCATTCCACTTTAAGCAGACTCAGGTGATTCATAGCGACAGCATCTTCCATCCCAAGATCTATGCCTTCGATGCGGACGTTAGTTTGGCGGGTGAGAAACCATTCGCCCGTGCCCACATCCCCGAAGTCAAAGCCAATGACGGGACGGTCGTCCATGTCGAACAGAATCTGGACCTAAGCGATGTGGATGCATTTGGTGGCTTCGCGAAGGCGGTGATGTTGAATAAGGAGATCCAAATGAATGTCTACGGCAGACCCAACTTGAAACAGGGTGGCCTGCCCAAGATCACCATCACGTACAACAAGACGGTTACTATGAATGGTGAGTGTATTTTGTGCGAGCGTCAGAGTCGTATTGGATGCTGACTTCTGAAGGACTGAATAAGTTGGAAGGATTCAAGATGCTGGAGATGCGCATGGGGAAGAAGGACTCCGATGGAAACAATGGACAGGGGAAAGTGTCGATTCCAAATCCGTCTGTGATGTCCATCACTATGGTAGGAATGGACCCAGTTTGCCTCGAGCTGCTTGCTGGGTAAGAGCTTGGCTGACCGATATACTTCCAGGGCAACGTGACTCTCAATCTTTCAGTAGAAGGCACCCACATCGGCGAGTCTTTCTTGAATGATTTGGTGCTTCGGCCCGGAAACAACACCGTTGATATGAAGGCCAAGATCAATACAGAAAGCATGATTCCATTCTTGTCCAAGTTCAAGGACAACGTCGTCCCCGTCGACATCACCGGAAACTCGAGTGTGTATAATGGAAAGGAACTGCCGTACTTCGCATCGGCCTTGGCGGCCAACAAGCTGACCGTCGACATGGACATCCTGTCGGCGTTGGCGTGAAGTGGTTGGACATGGAGATGAGGATGTGTTTTGTTGTGTATGAGTTTATTTCCAATTTTGTTTCTGGATTATGTATACCATGAACTCTATGTGCTTTTTCCACTTCTATATTTTTTTGCTATGATATAATATCAATTATTATGATGATTAGAGCTCTTTATGTGCAGTTCCTAACGGTGGAGAGGCCAGGACCAGCGCGAGGTCCGTGTTGAGCAAACACTGGCTTTACCCTTTCCCCGTTGTGTCCACCATATCGCAGAGGATTATTACCAAATATCTTAGTGTGAACCTATTGACATTATCAAGCAGTTTGGACGTGTTGATAGACAATAAGTTTTATTAACATTGACTTTGTGAGTACTGGCAAGTAATAGCAGTTACTATTCACGATTCACTATTTGCCATCTACTATCTTGTAGCATGTGTTTTGCAACTTATCATCTAATTCTATTATTAGGATTTCTTCTACGTAGATACTTCCCTCTATTAGTATCCCTGATGCTGTAAATCTATACTTACGAACATCCACCCATATTAAATGCACCTAATTTCTGTGAAGCCACTACAGCATCTGGTAAAGCTCCTGATAGCATGTATGTACTTAGTATATTTTAAAACAAACTAACCAACTAGTCTAGATCGATAATATGACCATCTTTCGACAGTTAAGAGCAGATCTAAATCCCAGAATCCCCGGGTATCTTGTTTTTCTGAAATCATCATGTCATGCTCCGTGTGTATCCCTCTTCTCTCTGTGTACGGCGTTGGCTGCAACTATCGGCCGAACTTAATTGACTAACTGAGATCAGTCCTAATATATTCACACAGGCTGACTACCTGGTGGCTTCGTGCTCTGGACATCTATCCGTTGCAATATCATGAGACTTGTTGTAAGATGATGGGCGGCGGGTGTATTACCTAGTGATTTGGTATATCCTGGATTAACTTCCCATGAGTTAAACGGGTTCATGTCTTTGGCGTGTGTATTTCCTTTGTTGCCCACGTAGTCAATGTACCACATGTAATGCATACTAATATGGGTTGGAAAAGTTGTAGGCGACGTGCACAGGTGTCCTTTACATAGGATGCTGAGCAGAATTGTTGCTTAACCATGGAATGACGATAATGGTTTTCGCAGCTGCTACCTCGGTGGTGCATCGGTGACTGTGTTCCGTTGCCGACAGCAGGAGCCTGCACTGGCCTCCTCTTTGCCGTTTAAAGAAGAAGGTTGTGTACAAAGCGAAGGATGCAAGCTACTCAATATAAGATACTCACAGCTGCATGCCTCTTACGTTTCCAGCACGTACCCACTGTTTTTTCAAATATCAATAATACCTCCCAATCTTCGGTAGAGACCTGGATCCAGTGATACAATTTCATCCACCAACAACAGCTGATTTGAACGTCCCTCCTGCCAGAAGAGCACGTGTGGTGAGATCATCATGAATCCAGGATTCAATGCGTGCTGCTGTATCACCCACTAACTTATCATAGGACATGTTTCGCGGGAGGAACATGGACTGATGACCCACCACCTCGTCCACGCCTTCCATAAGCACGGGGATCCACAGATCATCTCTCCCCTTGATGGAATCCTTGGGAAGGTAGCAGAATTTCCGTAGGGATTTTGGAATGGCAGCATTACCACCACTACGTTCATGATCAAGACCAGCTCCGTCGTCTGTGGTTTCTTGTTTTTCCAGTTCACGCAACGCTGTGTCTATTTTTTCGGCGAGAACTGATGGTCCCAAATCATCGTAGGATTTGGATTTCATTGACCCTGTACTTGTTGTGTAGTAATTCACGAATCGGATCCGGTTGTCAGTCGAGCCGGGGGAGCTCCATTCATCAATGGCCTCCAACTCGAGCAGTTTGCGATGTCTCCTAATAAGTTCAGGATACTTGTTCACACACCCTGCATGGTCATAATAGGAGAAGAAATATCGTATGAGAGACCGAGACAAGTGATCCGAGTACTTGGATATGAAATGGCGTGCGCCATTCCACCCCGTCCATTGGGCGAGATGCGTATCATTTGCGAAATCAGGATCGAATGTCTGATTCGCATCCGGGATGCCAAGTCCCTCCGTTGGAAGGGAACCATCGTACTGCGTGATTTCATCGGGTCGACGGCGAAACAAGCCTCTGATTCCGGTGGCGACAACACGGGGATGAAGACCTAGAAAGGGGACGTCGAAGTTCACAAGCCCCAGGATGCGATGTTTTATGCGATTGCCGATCGATAGCAGGGCTACTTCCGCGGCGACGATGCCGCCGAGGCTGTGACCAAGAAGGATGACATCGAGGTTGGAAGACTCATGCGGGGACAGCCTAGGAGGAGGGATATAAGTTCTATGTGTAGTTTAGAGAGAACTAATATCGATAGAAATCCACGGGTATCTATCCATATGCATTACTCGCTTACCACTGGCTAAATTGATCGCGAGCAATATGCATTGCTCCCCGCGTCTTGTAACGAGGATAGACCTTGGTGTAGACGACATGGGTCTCGCATAGTGTAATCGAGAGCAGATCATGCACGTGCTTGGGAAAATTTTGGAAGCTGGCCTCCGAGCCCATGAAACCATGGATATAGATGAGAAGCAAACTGCGCTTCCCATCGACGACTGGCGATGGATCCAAAGTCAGAGAAGTTGTGGAGCGAAAGAAATGGCTCTGTCCAAGGCCATAATAGGGGGGAGCTAGGTGTGAGGAGTCAATCTCCTCGTATGCCGGGGGAGGGACTGAATTCAAGGACATGGCGATGGGAGTCGGGAGAAAGAGAGAAAGTGACATAAATATACTCTATGCACTATAGAGTCGACGATGACGTCGCGGCTATTTTTAGGCACCAACGAAGTGTACCTCTGGACTAACCCGATCGGGAGTTCGTCTTGAAGTACGAGAATACGACGTATTCTTACAGTGGACTGAGATAGATATTGCAACAAAAAGCCATTGTTGGCACGGAGTTCTCTAGCCGTGGATGCAAAAAGCTAATGATGGAGTGTCTCGTTCGATGCTCTCGGATGCAGCAATAATCAAAAAGCCCCCCCGTTTTTGTTCCCCTCTTTTTTTGTTTCTTTTTTTTTTCTCACCCTAGAGGGTCTCGATCGATCCTTCCGAGTCAGTTACATTTCGTGAAGAGTGTTATATCCAGTTTCAATCAAACTTCGAGGTCCCTGTGCATCTCCTCCAATATGCCAGTAAAACAATCCCCCGAGTTTGGATTTAGTCACAAACCGGGCCTTCTGCTGCACTGTTCGTGGCGTGTCGTATGTCACAAACCCGCCGTCACCACCAGAACAGTATGCCGCCCCGAGCTTGTCGTCGTGGCACTCTTTTGCCCCCGGTCGAGGCAGGGCATTGTAATCGAATACCCCATCCTCTCCACCGCAGCCGGCGTAACGCTGTCCAGGCTTGCTACTATCCAGGAATGACCGACCATACGCTGGAATTCCTAGAAGAAGTTTCTTGGGGTCGACCCCTTGGGAGAGGATATATGACACCGCCGAATGGCATGAGATAGCGCCTGGGTTCCGAGAAGGACTGTAGAGTTGCGCGTGGTGGCCCGACTCGTTCGTCCAGGGACCGGAAAAGTCATACGTCATGACGTTGATTAGTTCAAGATACATCTGAGCTTTGGATAGATCAATGTTTCGGAGCGCCCATTGGCCCGCGGGGAGGCATGTTGCCAATACATATCGTGGAGCAGGTAGAAATTCCCGCAGGCGCGCCAGAAGACGCACGTAGTCAAGCCCCTGCTGGGGATTTGCTGGGTGCTCCCAATCCACTAGCGGAGTGTTAGTATCACAACATTCGAGAATCGAGGGCAAAGAGGGATCCGAGTGTACCGTCAATGCCGTCTAGACCGAACTGATCCACCAGTTGTCTGGCCGTCCGCGCAAACGTCTCCACGCCGACTTGGCTGCGTGCCACGCCAGCGAAGTTTTCGCTTCCCTTGCCCCCTCCCCCAACGGACAAGATAACTTTGATCTTGGGGTATTGAGACTTGAGCTGCGTAAATGCCCGGATACAGCCTTGAGTGCCGTCTACGGGCATTTGCGCATCCGCCCATTCGTCGCTTAACTAAACTCGGCTTTCGGTCAGCAAATCATCCTATCCGGGCAAAATGGGCCCGGAAAGAGAGAGGTGCGGGCGGGAGATCCACATAGACCGTGCCGTCTTCTTTGACCCTAAAGAGAAGAAATACGGATTGGTTAACAGCTGTCTCGAGCCAGTGAGAGCCCAGCGGAGGTCTCCCCCCCCGGCGGTTGTGGATGACTAGTACCAAGCAAACGCGTAGAACACATGCGAGACAAACCCCAGTCGGAGTGACGAAGGAGGTTGTTGGCGGTAGATCCTCCAATTTGGATAGTAGGCCGCATTCATATAGAATGGAACCTCATAGGAACTGTTGCTGGACCGCTCGGCAGCTTTGCGACGCCAGTGGGGGAATAGAGAACCGGAGAACATGACGCCGACGGACTACGACGGGGAGGAGGGTATCCGTGAGGGTAGCAGCTAAGGAGACACGAGGCCGAGGAAGACCGAAGGCAACGGAGAAAGAGAGTAGAGAAAAGAAGACGAAGAAGTCGTCGACCGGTGGACAGAGGGTGACTGCCTAATACGGACAGGTCACGTGTGCAGCCTACAGAGAGCCATTCTGGTTTCTACGAGGATTACGAGGACGCGACAAGTCACTGGCTTGATTCACAGTCAAGATGAAACTTACTTCCTTGCTGAGTCAATTCAGCAGAAGGCAACAAGGCAAGTGAGCAGCAGAATGACATAAATCCGATGCAGCACACCTGACACGCATACTCTCCGTCAATAAGGGACGAAGCCCCCCCCCGCTCCGGAGGAAGGTGTGTTGACTCTGTGGACTTCTGGTTCTCCAGTCTATCCGAGGTTGCAGGGTCCTCAATGCAGGCAGGGGAATCAATGTGAAGCCTATTGCTGATTATGCTCCGACCCGACAAGGTCTAACCGTCGTGCGGATGATGCTCACCCCGCCTTTTGATTTTTGGGTTTTAGCCCCGATGAGATCGTGACCACTCTGACCGCAGGTGGCTTCGAAGGGATGGATTGCCCTGAAAGCTTCCAGTCCGGCAGGAAGAGAGGCGTTGTATGGTGCGGACGGGCTGTCGTCGGTGAGAATCCGCGAGCGTGGGGATGATGGCTCTCCCAGCCTCATCCAAGACTAAAGTGGATCAGACCACACGACATACATATATGCAACCTGGGACTGAGATTGAGCTGGCAATAATAATACCCTAGCAAGGATGTTTACACTAACAGAATGGATGGGAACGAAAGATTTGTCTAAGCTTCTCAGGGTGAGGATATCAGAGATTGGCCTTGTTCAATTCTGTTTTCTTTTCTTTTCTTTTCTTTTTTAAAACACTCAGCTTGCTTTGTCTTCTGTTTTCCATCTTAAAGTTTTCTTTTTGCTTTTTCCTCCCTCGTTCGCCAGAGTCCTTACTGTGGGGGAAATGCAGCCACCGACTAGTGATTCCCATCCCCGCATGACGAGGTCAATGCTTGGATGTGACTGGATCTCGGGAGCTTAGGGATCAATCTCGCGTCAATCATACAAGTCATACTGACTCGGTCACTCCACAAACGTCGGCCCTGATAAACCTTTTTCCAATCCCTGGGCCCCTTTTCACCCCCAGATTCAACGCCAATACTGGCTAGGCCTCGGTCCCAACCATCCGTGGGGGATTGGAATTCCAAACCTACACACCGAGTGCCTTGACACCGTGCCGCATGCAGATCGAGCTACTCTTCTAGGCATCTTGCCGGTGCTTTTGCAGAACAGACGAGCATGTGATCCCATATGCAGGGGCAACGGCAGCTACGGCTCGATCTTCCCACCTGTCGCATCATTCCCCTAGTGCAGCTGTGCCGTGTCTTGAGAAAGACTGCATACGTGGGGTGTAGACTGTGGATGACAGATGGGCCATACGGTGTACCTCTACCTCATTCGATGGCTGAATGAAATGAATCTCGTAGTTCCTATCAGTTCTCACTAGGCTTGATCTCGCTACTTCTTGTGATGGTTTGGTTGTCTCTGCGCTAGTAGAGATAAAATCACTTGACCATATAAAAAGGTACAATACGACTGATCGAAGATCAGTCGTATCTAGCGCCCTATATAGGAGCGAAGGCCATGCCTGAGCACTACGTTGGTTTCAACCCTAGACACTTCTACTGTAGTACGACACGTTGCAGCGTATCGTATCTGACATGAGGAAGGCTTAGTTCGATTTGACTCGGGTGCATACTGATGAAACGAAATTCAAGGCTGCCTGCGTTGTACTGTGGAAGACTGGCCACTCGTGATCAACTTTATTTTTGATATACTCCTATAACCCCTATGTCAGCAGGCATTGAACACCTTTTTACAATCCAAACAAAGGGTTCGATAGTAGTATATTCCTTACGTCTAACACTCACGTCTTAGCTTGCAGAGATTGGTCACCACCAAACCCAGAAACACAACACTGCATATGTGTAACATCAGCTGCAGTGAATACCTCATGTGAACTGTTTTCTTTGGTAGAAGTGATCATTTGGTTTACTCATGGTTTCTCACAGTATACGGGGAATACTTTGGTTGTACTTTCTTGGGTATACTTGACCCGGATCTACGTGAAATGTCGTAACACAGCCATCATATAACAATGGGACGTCCATAGATTCAAGTAGTTACACCACAAAAGTCTAGGTAGTTGCAGGACACAGCATACCAGGTTGCATTGAGGTTCAGGGAATTCCATGGTTCAGTATGCAACTTTAGCTGTGCATATGGTAGCCACTTGCAGAATTCCTGAGCAAGCTGTAGGTATGTAATACGCTGCTACTAATTTTATACATGCACAATTACATAGAATGTAGGAGAATCTGAGGGTAGTTTATCCAGCACATAGAGGTCTTCTATAATAGTTATACTAGATTGAACGACGTAATCCGTGGAACATGGGTTTACTGAATCGTAGGTCAAGTTCGTTTTTAAATTTCAGTTGAATTTCGACAGTGCGAATATCAAAATTCTAGATACTATGACTGATAAAATCACGATTTAACAAACTCCAGGCCTTTACCGTCTCGATGAAATCAGGCTATATAAGTAACACGCCAATTGAATGTCATCAGGCATAGAACCGAACCAACAAGATGTCAAGCATGAAAATTTACCTTCCTCCTCCATATAAACTCAAAACGCTGTGCCCTTTAACCTCTGCAAGTAGTATAACCACAAAGAATTGTAGAAGATCGCTGCCGCCGTCGCTCATCCAAGACGTATAGACTCCGGAAATACTGTAGGCGGGGGGTCCTGGATCACTGTCTAGGACTTATCGATCTTACATCGAGACTCAGGTGCTTTGTCCATGCAGTCCACAGAATATGTCATCGCAAAGGCGTTGACCACCGCCACACTGGCAGCAGTGCTTGTGTATCCTGGCCAGGTGAGGCCTCCCCAGTCTGCGAATAGAACTCCAACCGTGGTGGTGTTTTACGCGGTGACCAGACCAGATAGGATGTTGATGAGGGTACAGTGTTTCATTTTGGTATTGGTATTGATATTGATATAGGGCAAATGGATTGTTCTTTGTCCATCAGACGTGGAGGTTATTTTTTATTGCGCATCCCTCCTCGGAAAAGTTGGCTTAAAAGCTCAACGTAGAAATAACATCTCTGCTAGGGGCGAATTGCTGGTTCAACCACAACGACCATTTATCGATTCTAATCCATGAAGCCAAGAAAACAAAGAGGTGGTTAACCCATAAGGCCTAGATATAGCATGCAACTACCCGGAGCCTTGACCCTACAAGGACTTGTCCATGAATCCATGACTCGCTATGTTCAGTAGTTAGTTCTGTGTTCGGTGAAGGTCTTAAAGGGCTGAGTAATGAAGAATGCTGGTAGATGCAGAGGGTATTCCTGTCAGGTGAGTTGCTATTTGCCTGCTTACCTGTACTAGCGAGATCCAAGTGGGCTGCCGATGAACAGGCACTAACAAGGGGTAGACCACATTGAAACTATATGGATAATCCTTGGGAGAAAACCACTGGTATCTATATCCAGTCAGTGTATTTGTTTCAGATTGGAACCAGTATCAAATACTCCACTATAGCCTCTTTTAAGCCATTTATGATTTGTATTTAATCCTAATAGTTTACATTTCTCATAGTAGGTCCATCCTGGTATGTTACTTATTCTAATTGACTCTTACTTTCTGTTTGCAAACAGCTCTGTCGTCTCATCAAGCTTATCTTGTCGAGTTCCCAGGTGGTTCATGTTCCAGTTCATGTCAGTTTGACCAGGCTATAAATATAAAGGGCGTCGGGTTCAAACGGACAATGGAATTTATCATGGTACGCTTGATCCCTGTATATCGTAAAATGTCAACTCGGAATTGAAGGTCAAAAAGTTATGATAACAGAGGGTGAGTTAGACATATATTCCCAGCCCGATTGGCATTAATGCTAACAGCGTTATTTGTCCAGGCCAAAGAATTGTGGACACCGTTTCTATCATCCAGTTCTAGTTCGTCCCTGATTGGCCGAGATGGCTAATTAAATGACTAAGCACTGATGACCAACCATTCCCACCGCTTTCCCCTTTGGAACTCATGTCCAGGCATCAAGGCAGGCGCTTTATCTCTTCAGTCCCTTCATCATTATTTCCCTTTTCTGTATTCATCGCCCCCCATTCCATTGAAGACTATACGGTCATGGCTGCAGACGTTAGTCATGCTGCAACGGAGATTTTGTCTACCGATAACACACGCGCTCCCGGTTACGACGATTTCTCCTTCCTACCCTTTTTACGTCGAAACTTCGGGTTTGGCCTCGCCAGTGATGTGCCCGTCTGCAAAGCCTACAGCGAAGGACATTGTCCTTTAGGACCCGCATGTCCAGACCGCCATCCAACCCCATCGCGAGTGACGACGTCTACAACGACCGCCTCGGGACTGGCACCGTCCACGACCCACGGGTCGCTCGTCTGCAAGCATTTTCTCAAGGGTCTCTGTAAAAAGGGCCTGAAATGCGAATACCTACACGAATATAACCTTCGACGTATGCCGGAATGCCAATCCTTCTCGCGGTCCGGCTACTGTCCCAACGGCGATGACTGCCTCTACCAGCATGTGCGCGAGCAAGCCCGATTGCCTTCCTGTGAACATTACGACCGCGGATTCTGCGAGCTGGGACCACTGTGTGCGAAGCGCCACGTCCGTCGTCGTCTTTGCCCATACTACCTGGCCGGATTTTGCCCGGAGGGTAAAGCCTGCGCGGATGCTCATCCGCGATGGACCGAGAACCTGCCACGACCATCGATACGGGTCGAAAAGAGCGAGGAGGAGCTGGAACGGGAGAGATCATTGATTCGGGAGGAACAAGAGAAGGAAAAGGAACGCGAGCGCGAGTGGAGGACCGAGAGGGGCCGTGGTGGGGGATTCATGCGCGGCCGGTATAGAGGACGAGGCCGTGGTTAAGACCGGTCCTTGCTACGTTCGTGAAGACCATTGGAAGTTGGATTTGGAAGTTTCCGTGATTATTCAAGATACCCTATTCGAGGCATTGACAGTTAGTATGATGGGGAAGAGAGTAGTGTGGACTGTGTCCCAATCAATTTTCCTTGCTGTTGTTTTTATTTCTCACTCTAGACAGCTGAGAGTTCACATTGACAATGTACTATTATTTACGAAACCATGTTATTCATATATTAGGAATACTACGGAATCCTGAGTTCGGTTGTGGGGCCGGAATGACAGTGTTTCACGTATCTACTCCATATCATACCCATAATCTTATCTACCTTCCGCATCTGTCGTAGGATTGAGTTTCTTCTTCGTGATGCGGGAGATAGATGACATCATGAGTCCTCAACTTGTATAGTAAGATGTAGAATTGTGCGAAAGAATTCAGCTTATGTTCAGCCAGGAAATGCTAGAGAGAGCCTTCAGTGACATAAGAACGGGATTAATTCTTCCGAATGCGAGATGAGTAGAACCTGAATAAGTGATCGTTCAGCAACGAGTCAACCACGATGTCTGCCGTGCGAAGGTTCTGGGCCATTTGTCAAAGATCCGTAAGAATGAGCTAACTGGGACTTGGGCGAATTGCTTGTGATGATTGGTTGCTATGGGACCCACTAGAACCACCTCCACCAATGACGAACCGCAGCAAGACTCTGTAATCCATTACATACCATTACATAGTACCTGATCAAGAGCAGAGGGGCATTTGCTGCTGGGTACCTCAAGGGAGCAGCATGGAATCCGTCTCGGGATATATAAAGCTGGTGACCCCGTGGGTCTCTTCATCAATCAATTCACTCACACTACCATCCTATACTTCGAATATAGCAACACTTCTAATATCACTCTCGTCTTTCCCTTAACAATACCATCATCATGGCCCCTAAGGTTGCTATTGTCTATGTAAGAGGTTCTATTCTTCCGTCTTCATTACCTTCCAATTAATCAATTCGCCATGGATCTAGTACTCGATGTACGGCCACATCCGGAAGTTGGCCGATGCGGAGAAGAAGGGCATCGAAGCTGCTGGTGGTACTGCCGATATCTACCAGTAAGTTGCTCTCCACCTGTTCGCATTGCGATGCAATTACTCACACTTGTGCTTAGGATTGCCGAGACTTTGTCCGACGAGGTCCTGGCTAAGATGTACGCTCCTCCCAAGGCCGATCATCCTATCGCCACTCCGGAGACTCTGCTGGAGTACGATGCCGTGCTTTTCGGTATCCCAACTCGCTATGGTAACTTCCCTGCGCAATGGAAGACCTTCTGGGACCGTACCGGCGGCATCTGGGCCAGCGGTGGCTTCTGGGGCAAGTACGCCGGCCTGTTCGTCTCCACTGGCACGCTGGGTGGTGGTCAGGAGTCCACTGCCCTCGCCTCTATGAGCACCCTCACTCATCACGGCTTCATTTACGTTCCCCTGGGCTACAAGACTGCCTTCCCCCTCCTGGCCAACTTGGAAGAGGTCCACGGTGGTAGCGCCTGGGGTGCCGGCACCTTCGCCGTAAGTTTTCGTGCACCTGTTCACTTTGGAGACTTTGGAACGGTTGATTAACGATTGTTTTCTTCTTCATAGGGTGCCGATGGTTCCCGCCAGCCCACTCCTCTCGAGTTGCAGATCGCTGAAGAACAGGGCAAGACGTTCTACAACCACGTCTCCAAGGTTTCCTTCGCTTGACTACATGGTGGCGAGGGATCCAAACCTGAGTCAACCCCTGCGGCCGAAACGCAGAAGCAGGAAGGCAAAAAGGCAACGGAATCCCGCAATCTGCAGAACCAACAGAATGGGCAGCGGTTCGGACAAGATGCTAATAATAAGGAGAGTGAGGGACCCTGTGGTCTGCCGAAAAAGTGCATCATTCTCTGATCGGATCGTTTCCGTTCCCCGGTTTTTTTTTTGTCTCATGTTTTTCTGTTCTGTTGATACGGCGTTGTAATGAGTTGGTTCATGACCTGACGAAAGTTTGGGATATATACGCAATGTACCTTGAGTATAATAACACTTAGGCATAGGAATAATAAACCAAGAAGTGTCTACCTAAGAGTCGTGATGTGATGTTGAGAAATGCAGGAAAAAGTCGATTCCAGAAAAACAAGGCGAGCAATCAGGTAGCAGAGCTGGATATCGGGATTACCAGTAATATTACAGATTTCGGGTAGTTTCTCCAGGTTTCTGGTAAAGCTCTGTAACGCCGACCGATGACGATAGAGCTCTCTGCTTGTCCCACCTTACGTACTCTCTTCCATCTCTGCCAGCTCTCTCCATCTTGCCATTTCCTCCAGCCATGGTCTCATGAGTCGAATCAAATAAACCAAATAGCTTGAAAATATATACTGTGTTCTATTCCACCCTACTTTTGCTCGGTCTCTTGCCTTCGTGAGCTTTCATTATGTCCCGGCCGATTGTCTTGAGGTTTGAGAGCCGCAACGGTCAGTTTCGGTTGACTGTCAGTCCACAGGAGCTGTTCCCATCGCTAGAACAGAAGGTAAGTCGTTACAGCATTGTAACGTATATAGAAGGCGTGAAAGGAGCTATGACTGGATGCTAAGTCCTTACCACATAGATCCTCGAACACCTCCCCAAAGACGTTGAGCCCTCCTCGCTTAGTCTGTCAAACAAGCCTATAGGGACTGGTGGAGAAGAGCGGGGGCTAAATTCTCTGCAGGGGGTCTCCATTGGGACGGTTGGTCTAAGGTTGGTCTGGAGCAGAATGGACGGTTGAATTCAGTGCTGATACCTAGGGCGTAGGCATGGTGACAAACTTTACCTTGGCTATCAAGACAAAAAGGACCTACTGGATGGGCCGACTAATGGACACACAATCGCTGCAAATGGCTCATCACGACGATTGAATGGAGCTCCAGTGCCACAGAGCGAGACAACTACGAATCATTCTCAAGCGGCAGTGACGATCAAGAACCCTTGGGATGTGGTTCAGCAGTCATCGCTGGACAACCAACTGGACAAGAAGGATGGGAAAATTCAACGCAGCCTGGATATGAAGATGTGCAAACATGGCCCCAAGGGCATGTGCGACTACTGCATGCCACTCGAACCATACGACCCGAAGTATCTCGCCGAGAAGAAAATCAAGCACCTGTCGTTCCACTCCTACCTGCGAAAACTTAATGCTGCCACCAATAAAGCCGAGCTCAAGAGCTCCTTCATGCCTCCGCTTAATGAACCTTTTTATCGAGTACGACGAGATTGTCCGTCTGGACACCCACCTTGGCCTGAGGGCATTTGCACCAAGTGTCAGCCAAGCGCAATCAGTCTGCAGCCCCAAGAATTCCGCATGGTAGACCACGTGGAATTCTCGTCCTCCGACCTGATCAACTCGTTGCTTGATTTCTGGCGAAAGTCCGGTGCTCAGCGGTTGGGTTTCCTTTACGGTACTTATGAAGAGTACACAGAGGTTCCCCTGGGCGTGAAGGCCGTGGTTCAAGCAATTTATGAGCCGCCACAGGTGGACGAAGTAGATGGCATCACGCTTAATGAATGGTCAAATGAGAAGGAGGTAGACGAAGTTGCCCGCCTATGTGGTCTGGAGAAAATTGGCGTCATCTTTACCGACCTCCTTGATGCCGGACGTGGCGATGGCTCCGTTATCTGTAAACGGCATATTGATTCATACTACCTCGCGTCTCAGGAAGTCATTTTTGCGTCCCGGTTGCAGGCGCAATACCCAAAAGCAACAAAGTGGAGCCGGACTGGCCATTTTGGTTCCAACTTTGTCACCTGCGTTCTTAGTGGCGACGAGGATGGAGCCATCACGGTCAGCTCCTACCAGGCTTCAGTAGCGGCAGTTGAAATGGTGCGGGCCGATATCATCGAGCCTTCTGCAGAACCATCTGTCATGCTGGTGCAATCGGAGGAGACCGACGAAAACATAGCACGGTATATACCTGAGGTTTTCTATCGGAAGATTAACGAGTATGGTGTCAGCGCTCAAGAAAATGCAAGACCGAGTTTTCCCGTCGAGTATCTTTTCGTCACCTTAACGCATGGCTTCCCCACAGATTCGTCACCGCTGTTCACGGATGCTACCTTCCCTCTCGAAAACCGTGAGGTTATCGGCGAGAGCCAGGAGCTTCGCCATGTGGCGAAGAAACTTGTTTCCCATGGGGATCCCGACAAGGCGATCCAGGCAGTGTCCGACTTCCATCTACTATGCTTCCTCCACTCGTTGTCAACATTTAGCAAGGTAGGATGATCAGATTTGTGTCGTGGTGTACTGCACTAACATTGCCGAACAGGACGAAGAAGCCCTCTTGTGCCGCGTGGCCACGACCCGGAATCCGGCGGATGGACTGCAATTGATAAATACTCCTGGATGGGCGACCCTGGTCACAATCCTTCAGGAAAGTGGTGAGCGGCCCCCCAAGCGCCCCTGGCTGAGCCCAGCCAAACCTCCACGCGCAGTGCCCCAACGCGGAAAGCGTTTTTTCCCATCAAGGCCTGAGTCTCCCAAATCCGAGAGTGAACAACTTGCTAAGAGGTTCAAGGGAGCTAGTCTAGAATGACTAGTCGGTTGATTTCGAAGCCCACACAGCCATTACCACTGCGAGTGGACCGTACTTCTATGCATGAACGATTAGGCACTGCCATCGAGGCTATTTCGGATCAATTTATCCTCTTCTAAGATACACAACCTCGACCTATTGTTTCTTTGTCCTTGGGGCTGGTACCATTCAATTTGACCATCACCAGTCCCTGATATCTAGCATATGTGTTTGGTGGCCATGGATAAACATCTCAGCATGTGGACTGGATTGCCTTTTGTTAGCATTGATAGAGCTTGCATCTACAGTACGGTCTAATGATATCTCATTCTCGGACTGCCCTGGAATGAAACAGCAGTAGTGAGTAGATAGTAATACTGTATCTAGACGTGCCTACGCGATTTGCATAGCGGCTGCATGATAGATCGAGTCAAATCGTTATGAAAATCAGGATTATTCGGTTTCGTTGATAAGGATCTGTAGAGACTTTTTTGTTTTTTTCTCCTCCGATCCTACTTTACTTCCTCCATTTCCTCCTTGCACTCGTTTGAATCTTGCTATACTTCTCTGTTGATTTTAGTACTCACCGGGTGATATACTGTCATTCATAATTAAAGACTAAAAAGCTCTCTTATAGTTGTAGTTATTCAGAAACAAGTAAACCAAAACTAGTATGAAACTAGTATACACCCAAAGCAGATAAGACTAGTATACATACACAAGCAGCCTATAAAGAATACCTACAGCCAAATTAAATTCCCCAAGGTTCCCAAAACACCCATTCTATCCCCACTGGGGATAGATCATCGATCCACTTTGACTAGTTGCCGTAGTCTTTTCTCCAGAATCGCCTGTCCAGCCATGGACTTCCAGACCTCATGTGGAGCGCCCTGCACGATATCCCAATCGCGCAGATTCTTCGTGACGGTGGTTAGATCCTCCTGGGCCCTGGCCCATTTCTCATCCTTGCGCACCTCCACCCCGGAGCTGACCACGACTAAAGGCGTATTTGCCATCTGAACGTGGCGAGCGGTACGGATCTCCGACGCCGTCAAGGACCTGGCCACCAGACTCTCCTGCAACTTGGCTTTGATGAACTTGCCTGTCTGGTAAGCGTTGCGGCCGAATACGCGGTCCTCGCGCGTACGGCCTCGAAATAAGGCACCGGCCAATCGATCCAGACCCAGCGGGGAAACGATGCCGCGCAACCAGAGGAGGAAGCCCCGGCCTGACGAGCCGATCTTCTCCAGGCAGTCCTCGTGCAGCGCATCGATAAACATGATACCGTTGATCTCGGGAAGGTGACGACTGGCGAAGATGCGGCTGTAGATTCCGCCTATGCCAGCGGATACGATGATCCAAGGCCCTTCCTCGCCGGAAAGCGCCAGTGCCTCTGATAGCGCGTCGGCCGCCATTCCAGCAGAGTAGGGGGAGGGGGCGTTGTCGGACCAGCCGAATCCCGGACGGTCCCAGTAGCAGTAGCGGTCGATGGTGCCGTTTTGGTAAGCGTCATCCATGAAGGGCTGTAGGGTGTGTTCAACGGGGCCCTCGCCACCTTCGACAAGGATGGTGGGCTGACGCGGTACGTCAGCGGTGTTGTTGACCGTGTTATTCCCCACGCAGGCAAGGTGGACACGGTTGGTGTCGCCATTGACGTAGTATTGTTTACCAGAAGCGGGGAGGGAGGCGTCCTGGGCACGGAGAATCAGCGTGGCAGTGAGCAGGATGCTAACGATAGCCAAGATGGCCATGATGGGGGTCTGAGCCAACACGGCTAGCCACTCTCGAAGAGAACGACGGGTCTCCTCGCGGCCGGTCAGCCGTTCTTCTTCTTTTCTCTTGCCCCAGTCGACTAAACGGTTCTGAAGAATGCCGTAGAACGAGATAAAGGCCGCCCAGACAACGGAGGCAATGCCGACCCAGCCTTCTTCGACGCGGATGTGCGATACGCCCAAGATGATGCACATGTCAGCCAGGAGGAAAACAGCCAGCACGGAGCCCCAGATGGTCATGGGCTTGGAGGGCACCGTGAAGAACAAGAGCCCAACGAGGAGATATCCCACGGAGAGGGTGGCGTAGGAGAAGCCAAAGAAGCCCGAACCGCGCGTATACATCGTCGGGAGACTGACAAAGAGAGAGACGAGGAGGAAGGTCCACCAGACGAAGCTAATGGCCAAGAAGAGCAAGGAGACGCCTCGGAAAGCGCGAATGCTCCAGAGGTTGTAGGGCGAGACCTAGTGGTATTCCGAAGTAGATCAGACATCCCATTTTTCACCTACAAGGACAGAGAGCTTACCGCAGGGTCATCGGGGCTCAGATAGGCGACATTATCGCGCGGGAGTAATCGAGTACGTTCATCGGGCTCGTGGTGCACCCTGGGCCTAAATGACTGATGATCGTCGTCTTCATGGTTGGGTGGCTCCCTGCCTTCAGGTTGGTCGTTCTTTCTGTGCCAGAATAAAACCATTATTTGAAATTGGAACCTCGGATGGACGTAAACCAGAGAAGCTAGGAATGGGGAGGCTGCGACGTGCGCAGAAAAGTATGGCGAGGGGCATTTGGTGCCAGTGACGTCATTTCAATTGCCGCAAACAGGATGGACATTGATGCTCCTGTGGCATGGGATAGCGGGCAAAGAGTCCAAATTGACGCTGAAATGGACGAAGTCGATGAAGTCGAGGATGGAAGAGGACGAGTATGGAGAAGAACAGAACGAGACGAAGTGAGGAAACGAAGCTGGGATGAGCTCATGTGATCGAGACCGTACGATTCCATCCCATTCCCGTTCACACGGAATCATATCGTCCATGCTAGACCATACCGCACGATATGATGCAGAGGTGCTTCTTCGTTGGGATTAAACCCTGGAGAGCATCGGTCCATCCATAACCACCCATCCAGAATCCATTCATCAGATTAAGAGTAGCCCCACCATCTAGCTCAGTAGCCAAGCCGATCCACGGCCCATTCATCTTCTCGTTCCTCACGACTCCATCCATCCATGAGTGACCTACACAAGTCCTTCGCCAAGGCAAAACTGGCCCAGTTACCTTCCGAGGCCCCGTTAGCATCGGGCATGGATTCTCACAACGAAGTTGACGAGGATACCTCGTCGGCCTCGTCCACAGGCACAGTGGTGCCGTCACCGACGAGGCAGTTATTCTCACGCCCAACACGAGAGTAAGTCTGACTGAATATGCATAGCACAATGCTTTAGACTGTACTAATTATCCCCAGATCCAACTCTACCACTCTTCCCTGGACCGACTTCTTCGCCCAGGAACTCTTTCTTACCCAAGAGACTCCCACCGTTCACATCATTCACCATGTCTACCTTACTCCCCCGGGTCCCTCTGGACCTTTATTCATCATGCACCATGGGGCCGGCTCCTCCGGCCTCTCCTTTGCAGCCTGCGCCACTGAGATGCGGAAGATCCTCCCAAACGCGGGGATCCTCTCCATCGACGCTCGAGACCACGGCCAAACGGCCGTGAAGGCGGCTCCTCCGACGCAGGTGGACCAAGTTGAGCTGGACCTGACGCTGTCGACGCTCAGCCAGGATCTCGTATTTGTAGTGCGCGAGACCCAGTCGCGCATGAACTGGGATAGTCTCCCGGATATAGTCCTCGTAGGGCACAGTTTAGGCGGAGCCGTGATCACCGATGTGGCCAGGACGGGAGAGCTGGGGAGTAAGGTGTTGGCGTATGCGGTCTTGGATGTAGTAGAGGGTAAGTTCTTTCTTCTCCGGGGGATATATTTGAATAAACATTCTAACTCACACATTTCAATAATCGACCACAGGCTCGGCAATAGACGCTCTCCAAAGCATGGAGAAATACCTATCGACGCGGCCTTCGCGATTTCCGTCCATGACTTCAGGCATTGAATGGCAGTACGTCCTGCTAACCTCTCTCTATCTAATATCCTCGTAGAACTAGTTGATGTGGAATGAGACACTAATACCATAAACCAGCACTCGCTCGCGCACAATCCGAAACCGAACCTCGGCCAGAGTCTCCGTGCCCTCACTACTATACGAACAGACCACCCCCGACGACTCCTCGAAACCATGGGTCTGGCGCACGAATCTCGCCCGAACGAAACCCTTCTGGGAGAACTGGTTTGTCGGACTAAGCCGGAAGTTCCTTGAGGCTCGCGGCGGCAAATTACTACTACTAGCCGGGACAGATCGATTAGACAAGGAGTTGATTATTGGGCAAATGCAAGGTATCATCTCTTCCTCTCTCCTTTCTTCCCTCCCTCCCGTAATCTATCCTATGGGCTCACAGATATAGGAAAATATCAACTTCAGGTCTTCCCTGAAGCAGGCCATTTCATCCAGGAGGACCAGCCGGTGAAAACAGCTCAGGTCCTGGTGGATTTCTACAAGCGCAATGACCGGAGTGCGCTGGTGCTTCCGCCCAAGGTGGCCGATCTACAAGCCTCAGCGGCGATGAAGAAAGGCGCTGGCGAGACTAGCCCGGGTTCATGGAAGACGTAGAATTGTATTGAATTGGATTAGATTGTACATACATCATACGTTAAGATCAACGGTTCTAATCAATGAATTGGGACTTGCCGGTTAAATCCAGGCTACAATCGAATCAAATCGCCGCCAACACCAATGTCCATCGTCAATTCAATGCCATGACGCCTGCCGAATAAACCCAGCCTTCCATCCAGCCGATTCCATACAGGGGCCTTCTTTTGGTTTCCAAGATTGAATGCATTACATGGGAAGATAGAGTCCTCCAAATCTGGTGGCAAATATGAAGGGGAAAATAAATAATATAAAATAAAGGAGCCAGTCCATGACGGAATACAAGAAAAACGGGTATCAGGCGCCACTTTGCATAGAAAGAAATCCATCCCCTCCTCCCTCTCATCTTATTTAAGGAAGATAAGCGCCCCCAGCGACAATCAGATTCATATTCGTAAATTTCACCTTGTAGACGGGGCTCTTTTTCGTGGGAAACGCGCTGATTTGGTCCGGCGTGACGACAACGTCCTTGCCTTTCTTCTTACCAATGCCTGGAGCAACGGAGCTGGACGTCTGCGCACTGGGAGCCGTGGCGCTTCCGGCATCCACCTTGGTGCCTGTTGCACCGTCTCCGACAACCCGGCCTTGGGAGGGATCCTGAGCTGGGCCCGCTACGTCCCATACGCGCACGGTTCCATCAGCACCCCCAGAGACAAGCACGGTCGACTCAACACTCCAGCTGAGAGACCATATGCCGCCCTTCCCGTGACCGCGCATGCGCTTCACCAGCCGGCCGGGGGCGAGGTCCCACAGCAGGATTGACCCATGGTCGTCAGCGGAGGCAAGTAGTCTCCCATCGCGGCTACAGGCCAGGGCTGTGATGTTACCCGTGTGTCCAGTGAACATCCGGACCGCGTTGCCCGTGGTTACAGCCCACATTCGCACCGTGTGGTCAGAGCTGCCCGTGAAAACGTAGGCGGAGTTCGGGTGGAAGCAAATGCAGTCAACGTCCTGGTCATGTCCTACGAAGATACGCTGTTGGCGGATATGGTCCGTCACCCAGAGACGCGCGGTCTTGTCGTGTCCTCCAGAAACGAAGTAATGCCCAAATGGTCCCCATTGCAGATCCCACACAGGCTGGTCGTGCCCCTTGTACACGACCATACATTGCCATAGATCCAGCGACCACAGCCGGATGGTCTTGTCGGCGGAGGACGAGAGCAGCCAACGAGCATTGGTCGGGGCCACTGCGTTCTCAGTACGGGTGATGGAGGGCGCAAAAGCCACCGCATAAACAGGTCCGGAATGCCCGATCAGACGGCGGGAGTTTGATGGTGTGGAGTCATCGACATTCTCGTACGTTGTCTGGATCCGTTTCCCATCCATGCTCCAAACACGGATATACGACTCTTGCATGCCAGCTGCAACGAGCATATTGTCATCAGAGAAATCCAGGCAGTTAATTCTGGAACACGGTCAGTTGCATGGTCACATACCATCGAAGTAGATCATCTGTGAACTCACCCGTCGTAGGTATTGTGGAAAGTAAACATGCAAACGCTGACAGCAGGACCGACACCGCCTGTGCGGCCTTCGATCCTAAACCGATCACGGTTCTCCTTTACTTTTTGCACCTCGATAGCCACGTCCCGGGCCGTGGACGGAGGATATGGTATATCAGCGCGAGTCGGGGCTTCTTCATCTTCTTCCCTTTTGATGATGTGGTCAAGCTCCTGTACTAGGGTGCCCTGTCCAGGGCCAGGTGGATTCTTTAAATCCTCATCCGCGAGCTCGCCCCTCACGTCGGCCTCTAGAGTTGGTTCCATAGGAAGCTTTCCGAGCCGAAGCCGTGGCAAGGTTCCAGCCATGGCCGGATTATCGCCTGTATACGCGGAGCCGGGATGGTGGCCTGGAATACCTTCATCTTCCGTCGGGAAAGTTTGACCGTCGCCAGCTTGGCCAAGCAAGGCAGCGAAGCTAAACCGGTCATCAACGGCCCGTTCTTTGGTGATAACAGTACAGTAACTGCTCAAGATGGCCGACATGACCGATCCACCTTCCTTTTGCTTGCTTTCCAGAAATTGCATGAGATTCGAGAAAGCCGGATTGCTCAGAACGAGACGATATTTGTTCGAGCGGTACAGCTTGGCAACCGAGTTATCCTGCACATGTTCGGGCAGGCCGATGGGCTCCAATGCACGCACATCCTCAGTGTGCTCTGGCAAGAAGAGGTTCTTGTTGATTTCAAAGAACTGCTTCGCATCTTGTGGGTAGTATGAGGTGACCATGTTCAGAAAAGAGTAGACGAAAAGCGGCCAGAGCACCCTTCGGAGCTCCGGTTTGTACAAATCCAGATTATCTTCAACCCAGACTTTCAGCAGGTCTGAACAAACATTAGTATTCTTTTATGGACTGATATGTGAGATTAAAAGCCTACCAAACCCCATTCTGTATTTGGGACGCGCATCTTCCCCTAGAGGAGGTAAAGGACGTCCATCAATCTCTTGGTTGGCGGATTCCATGCGTAGCATAGCCTCAGTACGGCTATACCCTTTCTTGGCCAAATAATCGATAACCTATAATGCGCAGTTAGTCATGAAGAAAGTGGACGGCAGATTACGAAACGAGCAGGAACATGAACACGAAATATGGGCACGACAGTCAATAGTATACACAAATTGCGACAGTCACGGCTCTCCAGTACATTTAGGAGCAAAACCTAATGAACTGCCAGAGACTACCCGCAGATCATCGCCGCACCACTCCAACGACGCCCCCAGCGGGTCAAGGAGAGATCTAAATAGCTAACATGAGAAAGAAAACACTTACAATCTGATTCAGATTCTGCTGCGACATCGCGCCACTAGGGGGCGGCGGAGGCGGACCCGGCGTCGGCGCTGGAACCGGGGGAGTAGCAGCCATCGACTGCTGAGGAGGCATGGACATTCCACCCCCAGCACCCCCAGGCCCCATACTTCCACTTCGGGGTGCAGGGCTCGGAGCCCCACCTGGCGCAGACATTTGGGTGTTGCGAGATGGATAGCGGGGACTCTCCTGCCTAGCCTGAGGGAGGAGATGGATGAAGACGACGAGCAGCTGTGCGGTGACGGCGAAGTAAATGGGGAGTTTTGCGGCGTCACGTTTCTGATATCGCGCTAGTCCTGTTGCGGATTAGTGGTGGTTTCTCAGCTTAATTAAGTCGTCAGGTGTGTGCACGTGACAACAGCTGATGCTTTCATAATCTAAAGCGTTCGTTCTTGCTCAAGACGAGATTGAATGAATCCACAAGACTGGCGAACTCTGACAGGTCATGGCGAGTAGCAAACAATCCTCCAGTCCAGACCAGGTCTTTACTTCGGCAGATCGTATCCGCCAATTAAACGAAGTCGACAAGGTAAGCAGACCAAGACAAGACATCTTGAGATGCACCTCACTCGACACCCATCGTCTAGACAACCCGTGATGTTGATAGTCGCCTGACAAGAACAATCGAGTTTTCTCTTTCACTAACTAACAGTCCCCGCGTTTTACACAGGATGTGGCACGACTGATTCATTCCGCCGGCCTGGCGATCCAGGCCCTGACAAATGCCCGATCGGGCGATTCGTCCACGGATAATTCCCTCCAATCCCATCAATCCCGATTCAAAGAAGCCACTTCCCAATACTTTGCCCTCTTATCATCCATTGACGTGCGGCTTCGTCGCCAGGTCTACGCACTGGAAGAGGCCGCCATCCTGGCACCCGAATCTGCGTCCCGCACAGGTGAGACGGCCGGTGCGGGCGGGGGGGAACAGCCACCGGTGCAGCCAACCCGTTGGATGTCAGTTGGTTGAATAGCAGGAAGGATACCGTAGGCAAGGACAAAGAGGCTGAATTGTGGGCTGCGGCGCGGGAGTTCGTGGAGCATATCAGGAATCCGGCAGCTATGGAGAGGTTGCGTGAGAAGCAGGGGAACCAGGAGAAGATGGAAGTTGATTAATTATGGCGTCTTGCTGCATGTCTGGATTGCAAGATACAGGGGGGGCAGTATGGGTGGTTTCCTGGTTTGAGGTTGAGTTCTTTGGTTGAGTTCATGAGTCAAGAGCAAAAGTGTCTCCTGACAGCGGTCAGTGATTTTTATATGATACCCAAAGCTATTCCATTGAGAAATACTACCAATTGTTCATATATGTACAATGCTACTTTCACTTCAATCAAATTAAGTCTAGGATCTCCAGGAACCGTGAACTCAAAAATTACATACAGGGAACTGGAATTGCACACTGGAGTAGACAAACAATAACACGAGCAAAGGACAGAAGTTGAAATACGAATCATGCAGCAAATTTATTCTAGACAGCCACTATCGAAGACAACAGACAACAGGAAGGTTACCTCTGCATGGACCGGATCATCTCAGCATGAGTGGCCCTTTCTTTGCTAGACTCAGACAAGGACGAGAGGCCTGCATCGCATCAGCATTTATCAAACAAGCGAATGTATTAAAAAAAAAACAAATCCAAGCATCGACTTACTCCGCAGTTCACCGACGACATCCTTCGCTTTACCAAAGTAAACCTCCTCTGCAAACACATACCTGGTCAGCACACTACCCAACCTACGCACAGCGCGACAAAATGAGAATACATACGTAGCAAGTTCCTCATCTTCAATTCCATATCTTCGACCAGACGGCCGATATTGGCCACGTGGCTGGCATCAGATTCCACATCCAGATCAAGCTCCACCTGTCGGGTCATGTTACCACTCAGACCCATCTCTCCCAGGGCCTCCGTGGAATTGGCCAAATGAAGAATCACGGTACTGGTCAGTTTGTAATGAGACATGCGAGCCCGGTCGGTAGCTTCAAACACATGGATGCTGTCCCATTCTCCCGAGCTCTTCGCCCCGGGTGTCACCCCTATCCAAGCTTAGCGTCAATTGTGTCCTCATTTCCGTTTCTAGAAGAAGCAAAGAGTGGAGGGAAAGCTCACCCTTCTTCAACAGTATCACCCCGGCAAATCCATCATCCAAATCCCAGAAGTAAACGCTGCCCACACCCCCTTCATAGTACAGCTCACGGTAGACGTCAAAGGCCTCGTTGGCCGCCACTTCGAGCTTTCTCACTCTCTCACTGGGCACGGTACCATCATCCAGTGGTGGATCGAACTCGTTACTCCAAGGGGAACGATAGCTGTCTCCATCACGGTTATAATCGCAGAGCAGGTAGTCCCGGTTGGTCTTGGAGCAGCGGCGGATCTCGAGAGGCTGATCCACAGAGGATAGCAGGTCTTCAGTAAGATCAGGCACAATGGTTGTGATCGCCTGGAGGTTTTGCTTAGTGTCTCGGGGGTTCAGGCGTCGAAGAAGATCGCTGGGAGAAGGTGTGATGGTCAGCGGTAGGCATTAGGTGGGGTCATTGGGGTGTACTCCATGGCACGATTTCAGACAGAAGAAGCAAAATAAAGGCAAGGACAATGTCTGGGCGTCAGGGCCACTTACAGCGCACTATCAAATTGAGCATCCGCCATAGTTGAGAGATCTGAAGTTGCTGGTGTTGAAGCTGTTTACTTGCAATGTTCGCGGCTTCGAGTTGGCTGGTGAAAGGTGCGCGGCGGGATGTCGGGGCCGTGGCATTAGAATATCAACAACAGCTCCTATTATCACGTACGGATGAACCTCTCTACACAGTAAAATGGATTTGAGTATTTAATTATGTTCAATTCCAAGAAATAATGGTATGTATATTCTTTTCATGTACCCAAAATAAAATAATTCAATCAGGATAACCCAAGTCCTAATAGTCATTGTCATCATCCAATACAGTCCTACTCTGCTTTCTTGACCTGCTTTCAGCACTCTGACTCAGGAGTGTAGTGAGGTCGGGTGGATCAAAATCGTCATCCAGATTCTCCCCATTACTCCTTTGTGACGAGTAAAAGGGTCTCGATTCTGGATGGGCCGTAAAGAATGACAGCAATTTTGCCGGGGAGATTAGTTGGAGATCGTCGTTGTTCGGTTCCTTCTGGTGTGCGGGTTTAGACGGCCGAAGAGTCTTGGGCTTTCTAGAATGGACTCTCGAGTTCATCAGGCCTCCATGCCGTCCGGATTGATTTACAACTACCGAGTCGTCAGCTGGCCTTCCTAACTCAAGCTCCAGCACCTTCCGGAAGCGATTCTCGCACTCTGCATCCAGCTGGTTCATTTTCTGTAGAGTGCCAATCATGCGACGCGTGAGTGCCCCATGTTTGACGGCTTTTGTCGGTCGTGGAATGAGCTGCAGTCGAGGGAATGCATCGTTCCGAGGGTGGCGGATGACCTGCGGGCTTGTGTCGCCAATATTACAATAATGGTGCTCCAGCTCTCTTTGCTGTTCGGCGGTCAGCAAAACGTCTTCAAGAGCCGGCAGGTCCACGGGCTCTGGTGTCGGTGTTCGAACTCTCTTCCTATCCGGTTTACGCGCGCTGCCACCGAACAGGCGTGACACTCGGGTGAACCCCGTCTCAACATTGTCGGGCATGTGGAACTTCTTCGGTGGTTTCTTGGGGGCCCGCCTTTTTCTTTTCGGCTCCGGCAAGTCCTGGGTCGCGTTCTCTTGTGGAATATCAACGTTCCGTTTATCTACAACGGGTCGAGCAGTCGGTGGTAGAATACGTGGAGACCGGTCATCGTGAAAGGTAAACCGGGTTCCACTGGCAATCATCTGCTGCATCTTCTCGTAGTTGTCCTTAGCCTTGAGGTAGTTTTGCTCTTCCTTTCCTTCCATTAGGAGCAACACGATATTCCCCGCCCTCTTTCTGCCCGTACGCCCCATCCGTTGGAGCATGCGAACGGGCGACGCAGAAGAGTCGTAGCAAACGATGAGATCCACTTCACCGATATCCAAACCTTCCTCGCCAATCGAAGTTGCCACAATCGTATTGTAGGTTCCCTGCTTGAACTTCTGCACAATCTGAAGCTGCGTCTTCTGATCCATGCCATCAGAGCCTTTGGCGCTGCTCTGGCCGACGAAAACGTGGGGTCGGATCATCGGTTCATATCTCCTTAATACCCGTACCACTTCTTCAGCACTGTCTCGAAAGTGGACGAAGATCATGATTCTGGTGGCCGATTGGCTATTTTTGTCACTCGCACTAGCACCTTCGCCAGCATCCATGAAATGATTCAACACGACTTGCTTGAGATACTCTAATTTCGGATGTCCGATAAACTCCGGGTTCTTCGTCCACGGCTCCAGGTGACTCATGAGCTTTTTGTAGCTTTCATCTTGTACGACCTGTCGTTGATACTTGCCACCCTTCTGGCCGTCGGTGTTGGATTGAAAATGCACAAGATGACGATAGAAGGGGGTGATTCCGTGATACTTCAGAAGATCGATGCCATGGGCTAAGCTAGCGAGGACAGTAAAGATAGAATTGACCTTGCCCTTTAGACCAAAACTCGCGTTTCGACCGGCATCCGAGCCCATCCACTGCTGTCGGGATTTTGTGAGCCCGTACGCAGTGAGCATCATGGGGTCCCTTCCCCAGTATGCATTGAGGGTCTGCAGCTGATCGACAAGCGGTTGCAGGGCCCGGGAGAAAAGATCCATACACAAAACCATCTCGTCCGAATTTTTGAAGGTCTGGATTTCAGTATTTCTGGAATGGACGTATTCTCGAATATCAAGGGATTGTTCTGTGCGGATCTCAACACGAGAGATATCCAGTCCATCGACGACGGCTTGTACAGCCTCCACATTGGAACCCGGCGTAGCCGTCAACGCCAACACACGAAAGCTTTGATTATATCGCCGAACGAATTTCACCACTTCCACGTACGCATAGCTTCCGGTGGCGCGATGGGCCTCATCGACGACGACCAGAACGATCCGCTTTGGATCGGCGATTCCAGACTTGAGGTCGTTGATCAAGGTCTGCGGCGTCATGAAAAAAACACGTTTTTCCCGCCACTCCTCCGCCCGAATCCCCGGGGCCACTCCTCCAGTAAGCATGGTGGTCTGAGACCTCGGAATCCCAGCGATCCCAAAACACGCAGATATCTGTTGAGCCACCAAGGGTTTGGTCGGTGCCACGAAAATGATTTGGGCACTCTCGGTCCATCGAAACCAGTTGAGCATGATTGTCGCCGCAATGAACGTTTTCCCCAAACCGGTGGGGAGCGCTACGAGTAGATTGTGAAACAGACCACGTTGTGCAATATTGAACTGATAGTCTCTAGTCTTACCCAGGTTCGTCGGAAAGACCCACGTTGCTATCGCCTCTTGATCTAGTCGATGCTGCGTCGGGGGTTCGTTCTTATTTGGTGGTGATAAGACCTGCTCGCCACGTAGAGGCTGGTTTGCTGGATTCCTGGCAGCCATATCAAACAACGTAGTCTGGCGGACGCCCAGTGGACGCATTGATGACTGGGTAAAAGACCCGTTTGTGGTCCGCAGCGCCGTGGGAGGGGGCGGCGACATAGAAAAGTCGGAGTCGAAAGCATCATCAGGTATATCATCAAATATGTCGACCAATGTGTCCGCCGCATTGTCTTTCTGTCCGGTAGAGGCCGCGGCTGGCTTCGGTGGCGGCTCGCTGATAATCGGCGAGAGCGCATTGCGGGATTGTTCCTCCTCGAACGATTGCAGAGATGCGGCAATGGCTTCATTTAAACCATCATCACCATCAAATTCGTCGACTTCTCCCACATGTGCTCTTTCCCGTCCATTTCCTTCACGTCCTCCGCCTTCACTTTTCTGGACTGGAGGGCTTGGTCTTGGAGGGTTCTGGTCGGGTTTTTTCCACCGTGGACCGCGAATTATCTCTGGAGGCGAAGCCGGCTGCGTTAGCTGGGTGACGAAAATGTTGTCCCGGTTGCTAGTGCGCTTCGGAACAAAGCTTTTGTACTTGGATTTTGTCTCGTTGACTTCATCCACAAAGTGACCTAATGCCTGACTGGGCGATGGACACTCATCAACGCCGTTGTCATTGTCCAGAGAGGAATCCGAGTCCGTCCCACGCCTGTGATAGCCGCCATGTCCCCGGGATGTTTCCTTGCGATTGGCGGCATCCAGACGACGCCGCTTGGCTGGTCGCGGGGCATCACACGATTGCGACGAGGAGCTAACTCCCGCCAAGTCATCGACCACAAAATTATCGATCCCATCATCGAAATAATCCTCCTGCGTAAACATGTCGAGGCGAGGTTCCCGCACGAGCTCCGTCGCGGCGACTAGACTGGACTATGCTGACAAGCTGGAGAAAGAATACCCGTGACGCGTTGTCGATATCACGTGACTATGTAGATGTGTCTGTGTTTGCATTGTCCCTAGGTTTCATTGCAGATCACCAACTGTTTCATTCTTGGTAATTCACTATTACCTATACTATAGCCGGTATAATTATACTAATTTTATTGGTTTTGATAGGAAAGTACTAACGAGGGATTGTTGCCACTCTGCCACATCAAAACAATGATTTCCAATTTAAAGGGGCAAACGACAAACAAAATCGAGTAAGAGCAAGCCACACACATGAGAATCAGATATTTTTATTCTTCAGAATTTGATGAGGGAGGAAGTATTTCCTCCTGCTGCTGCTGCTGTAGCACCTGTCGTCGTTGCAAATTTTGCCCCATTTGTCTTTGCATATTTTGGAGGATCTACTGCTCCTACTATGTTTCATGGCGCAGCAGGATTTCATCTCGCTGTTACTGATGCTACTGCCGTTGTGCGCAGCGTGCGCACTTTGGCGCTCGCACTTCCTCCGCCGCTATCAAGTCACTCAGGTCTATATAATAGACGTCATATACATATCAGCCACTTTATCCTAACAATTATTATAGTCAGGGTATAGAATATACTCACCATCCTTGCGAAGTGGATAGTGCTTACAAATGGTTGATAACCCAGACTACAATGAGCCTTATCCGTATGAGACCCCAAAAAAGGGACCTAGAAATTCTTTCTTTGAAAGAGGGCTTTGCCCTCTGACATTGCCGATAGTAGGCTGTGTATATCTTGTTGGGTAAACCCTTATTTCATGCACTGCGCTTACCCTGGAATCGTCTATTTTGATACATATCAGCTCTTCAAGTGTCGCCGGGTATGAGTCTTGCGCAAATATCAATACCTTATATTCATGAGGTTTCTGTTCTGGAAAGAAACGATAAAAGCTCCAGAGATCTGGAATATAGTGCGGAAGTCCGATTACACTTCTTACTGGGCCGGGGCGGCTGTCAATTAGTATTTTGATCAAACGGACATAATAAGCTAGAAAAAGTTGTAAGGCGATAACTTTGCTAACTCAATAAGAGATCGAAGGGTGGCTAGATCTGCTAGTTGGAGGCATGCCCAGAATGGTGCTGTAATCTCGTCTTTAATAATCTCTAAATTCAATCCACGAAATATTTATTCTTTCTAACAAGTCTTTTAATGTCTAGTGAACTACACTCAACGATTATAATCAAGTAACATGCTAACAGGTAAACAATAAGCTGTCTGCATGTAACAAGCATAAATAATACTATTTAACCATAAAAAGCACGTGGGCTCTATGTGAGCACTAATTTAATATTATCCTGACAGCATGTCATTTGCAGAGAAATAACTGGGCGACCAATTCGAGATATATGGATCATCTCGCTGCTAATCTAAATCAGCTTATTAAGGATTGTTATTGTATTCACACACTGATCAAGGATTCACTAAGCTATAGTTAGAGAAGGCACTGGCCATGTAAGTACTCAACACAGCGGTGAAATGCTAGCAAATCAAGTAATATATCAATTCACTGATGTATCTAATGTAGTATTTGCCTGGACATCAAAATCAAATACTTGATACCATGAACTTGAGGTGGAAGCAAGCTAGGACAAGCAGATACACTAAGGTAGGTATCCAGATAGTAGTGATTGTATACTATCTCAAGCCAGGATAGGCCAAAATTGAAAGGAAAGATTTGGCAGGAGCGAGTATAGTGGGACCACCTAAAGACTTTCCACTTATACACTACATACTATACATCGATTCCTGGAGTTCCTTTTAAGCCCTAATGAATACGAAAGTAGACAGTATTTATTCATCATCTATTCCACCGATTGTCTGCTTTCCACTTTCACCAAGCTTATTATTAAAGCCTATCTCCAGTACCATATGTTCCCAGGTACGAGGTCTGGATAGAAGGTGAAGACACCGACATCGCAGTAGGAAAGTCGAAGATAACATTCAGTTCAAGAATTGGAACATTTAGATCTAATTTATTTGCCCGGTGGAGTTTGTTAGTGTCGAACTAGAATATTTATGGACGCATTGGACTCTTGATTGGAGACTTTTCCCTCTTTTGTCATAATAGCTTGATTAAAGATGAATTTTGCCTAAATAATAGAGTAAAAATATTGGAGAAGAAATAATTAATTAAATAAAGTGTACAGGAAAAAAGTAAAGAGTAACTAATATTTTAAAGTTTGTATGCAGATAATCTGTGAATATTCAGAGAATTAATTCTTTGGATAAGGGGTACATACAGAGTATTAGTCCAGTGACAAGATTATTCACCAAATGTTAGATATTTAATACAACGGTTCTTCTCTAGATGTTTGAATCTAAGCCTGTCTGTCGGTGCATTGCTCATATGTCTGAGAGTCGTACCACGATGGGACACGAAAACCTAAAGTGCCCCCGGATTTTGGTTCAGTGGAGTCAACGAAAGTATGCGGAAATGGACCGAGGAGAGCAAAAATAATTGTAAAACAATAAAACAAACTAATTAATAGCATAAAGAGAGAGAAGCCATCTGACCTCTTGCTGATCTACAAAGGACGAAGTACGGAGTTAGGTGGCTGCAGCTGCAGAAGGAAGCAAGACAACACACCCGATCTCTCTTCAATGTCTCTCCAGGTTTGCGGCACTAAAGCACGAACTAGTCCCAGCGAAGAGAAGTGCCACCAGCTGATTAGCCCCCAGTGAAACCGGGCTAATGAAAGGACGCCACTGGGTTTCAATAATTGCCTGTCAGACGAAAGCCTGAAAGTCTTTCCTTGGGGTATGGCCCAAGCCAATAAATACCAATCATATTCTCCTTTCCTTTTCCTCCTCTTCTCTCTCCTCCTTTCTTCTCTTCTTCCTTCTTCCTCTCAATCGTCTCTCGTTCATCCCCCCTTGATCACTCGTTCAATTATTTAATTAATTCTTCGATTTATTTGATTTTCAGCGTCTCGTCGGTCACTTCTGATATCTATCTATCTGTCAAAATGAAGCTCAACGTTCTTGCTCTGACTACGCTGCTCGGCTTGGCGGTCGCCCAGTCGAGCACCAGCGGTCCTCCTGCGGCCTCTACCAGCCTGACTGCTCAGGAGTCCTGCGCAAAGCGCTGTACGTTCTCTCTCCGTCACTCTATCTTAATCTTTCCCCCCTTTCTCTCTTGATAGTTTCCACTTCACAGACCCATACTGACTCATTCAGGTGACGACAAGGATCTCTGCTGCAAAGCGCAGTGCTACAAGGTCCCCTGCCCCAGTGACAGTCAGGCCAACGACACTATCAGCTGTGTGGCTGCTTGTCCCCAGGGCACTGGCTCACCCAGCGATACTGAAAAGTATGCCAGCTGCCAGAGCAGCTGCTACAGCAGCCACTTCTTCCCGGCCACCCAGGTCGGCTCCGGTTCCCAAGCCACCCACGCTAGCTCCAACGATGACTCCAAGACCACGGGGACCGACAGTGGTAGCAAGAGCACTGCTACCGGCGGTATGTTCTTTTCTAGTCCGATCAAGTTTTTGTCTAGTTCTAAAAGCAAGCTAATACAGAGATAGAATCTGGCTCCAAGGCTAGCGGCTCCAGCTCGAGCACCGGTACCAGCAGTGGCTCCGAGGCGTCGGAGTCACCCAACGCGGCGGCTCTGAAGCTGGGCGTGTCGACTGCGGGTGTGGTCGGTCTGGTTCTGGGTGCTCTTGCTCTGTAATTGACTGACACCCAAGGTTGAGTGAATAGGTAATGCAAGGGAGTCTGGCTGGATTAAATGGATAGGATAGGATATGGAGATGGGTCTAATACCACATAGTTTGTCTTGTACTTTTTACCTGCATTTACTGTGATAATAATAATCACTTGATTGACTATCGACCTAACCTAACTATCTAAAACTATCATGTATGCGTAGTAGACAGCCATATAAAGTCAATTAAATGATAAACGCACCGGTCAACTGATGGGGACCGCCAGCTTAGCACAATCTACTCCGTACGTACTAACCTATTTTATACAAATCGAAGTGACAACTCCACAGCCCACTACACATTAACCTCCCACCACTACCAACCCAACCACCCAAGACCAATAGAACACACACACACACACACACACACACACACACACACACACACACACACGCAGAGAGAGAGAGAGAGAGAGAGAGATTGAAAAGAAAGAAAGAAAATGAATCTCTTCACCACCCTCACCGACTTCGTCTCAATCTGTATGCAACAGCACGACCCATCGCACAACCCAGCGCACGTGCACCGGGTGGTATCTCTGGCGCGGACCATTCTACTTGGCGAACAAAGACTCCACCACCACAGTGACACTAACATTCTCTACGACGCGAGCGTGGTGGATCTAGCGGGGTTATTGCATGATATCGGAGATCGGAAGTATCTATCTCAGGTGGAGGAGATAGTTCTTCGATTTCAAAAAGATAATTACCAGGATGAGGATCAGGATCAGGATCAGGGCCAAGATAAGAAAGAAGGAAGAAGAGTTCAACCGGACGAAATGGTCCTACAGGTGATGATCTCGCATGGAGCGGACCGACAACTAGCGGAGAAAGTACAGACCATTGTCTCGCATGTCTCGTATACCAAGGAACGCGCGGATCCGGCGGCCGTGCGATGGTTGATTGAGAATGGATATCCAGAATTGGCGATTGTGCAGGATGCGGATCGATTGGATGCGATAGGGGCTGTGGGGATTGGTCGCTGCTTTACGTTTCTCGGGGCACAGGGGAAGACGTTCGTCCCGGAGGGGGGCGAGTGGGAGATGGAGAACGCGATTGAGCATTTCCAGGAGAAGCTGGAGAAGCTGGAAGGTATGATGAAGACCCAGACGGGTAGGGAAATGGCCCGCGTGAGAACGAAGCGTCTGCTGGAGTTTCGCTCCTGGTGGGAGGACGAGATGGCAATCGCCAAATAGGTAGGAGATCTCGTACGATGTGAAAGAACTGCAAATTCCGAAATTATCCTGTCTATCGGTTTCTCAATACACGGACGGGGTATGTGCCTATGTAACAGTGGGGGATGCCAATCATCATAATAATATAGCTGCAATACAGATGCGCCAGGCAGCAGAAACAAGTGTGCAGTCACCTCACCTACTTCTTGCACTTCAACCAAGTGAGTGGACTGCATCCCAATACTCCAACTCCGGGCCCAATATAAAAGTCTAGTGTGTCGCATATTACCCAATTTCTGTTCAGCAAAAGTCCTCCGGAATAATGTATCAAACAAAAAAATAAAAAAAGAAAGAAAGCAACAATAGGAAAAAAGACGGTCATACTCGGTCTCGAGCAAAGTCCAGCACTTCACAGTCGTCTTCGAAGAATCCATCATCCCCTCCAGTACCGGTCGAAGGGAACGGGCAAGAATGTTTCTTCTTGCGACGCGTGGTAATGACGACCTCTTCGACGTGGCCCGTGCTGTTCCCAAGGCTAATGAGATTCTCCATTTCTCCCCCGAACCCCGGCTGGGTTTCATACATCACATCGTCATGGTTGCCATCATCATTGCCACCCCCGCTATAGGGACGCACATGGAGTTTGGACATCGGCATGCTGTCTCCAAAGACCCACGGGCCCGTGGGCACTGAGGTCAGCGAATCGTCCGCGTCGCCGGTCTCGTTGCCGGTCTCCGAATAGATGAACAGATTCACCCTCTGATCGGTGTGGAATGGCTGGTACGGTGCGTTGGTCTCGATCTCCGCCTGGGAGAGTGGCTGGCACTTGAGCTTGGACGCAGGAGACGGCCGTGAAGTCAATGATGGCAAAGCTAAAGATGCATGTATGGTCGGCTCGGGGTTGGGCGCGCCAACGGGCATGGCGCCGCAAACGGTCTGCATGTTCGCAGGCAGTCGAATTTCGTTTTCTTTGCCCCCGATGACCGACTGATATTGGCGGTTTTTGTTGGCTGACACTGAGCGCCGGACCCGGTACAGCCGGAAGAATCCACTGTTCACCAGGCCCAGGAATGCCTGGCCCTTGCTGGTGATCCAGGTCACACGAGAGGCCGCAGGGTCACGGGCGAGTCCCGAAAGATGTAGCCGGTTCTCACCCGCATGTCGAAGTGTAATGACCGTCCCGGTAGCTGCCCCCACGGACTTGCTGAGGCCAGCGGCCACTGCCTTCCCGCTCATGACTCCAGCGGACGACGAGAGGCCGAATCCACCCACGGCCGGAAAAGCGGCGCTCGCCGAAGGAGTACGACCTCGGACGGCCGCAAGAATGGGCTGTGTCTTGCCGCCGACGAGTTTGAATGCAGCCGAGAGAGGGTTGGCAGTGCTCGTGCGGTCCGAAATCTCGTCCGCAGGCAAATCGTTGGCAGGCGATTTGCTCGGCGGTGGTCGAGCCCGACGGAACGGAGGCCATTGAAACGCACTCCGCGGTAAATCAAAGACATGCACAGTCCCATTACGGGTGATGATTGCCAGCCGGTCTCCAGTTGGTGGGCACCAGATCACGTCAACAATGTGAGAGGTTGTCAACCTCGCGTACCGCGCAATCTGGCGCACATTTGCACATGGTGTCGTCGAATCATCAGATAAGAACGCCCCTGCTCGACAATACTTGCCTTGCATGAGATCCCAGACATATTGGACATCACCCTTTTTGCTGGCTGTGAATAACATCAACCCATTCGGCGAGAAAGAGAGGAAACTACAGCCGTTGGGAACCTGGAACGCGGCGACCGGGTTATGTGAAGTGTTCTTTATCTCACCACTGTCTTCAAGTTTCTTCAAATCTAGGACCGAAACCAGGTCCGGTTCAGTGGCCGTGCCAGACTGAGTGTCTTGGGCATGTGTGGGCGGGAATGCATTGTATCCATGTTGAGGAAAGTCCACCATGTGAGGAGAGCGTCGCAGAGCTGGACTTTGCGATTGCTCCTTGTTCCAGTAATTATTCCATGCTTGGAGTCCCTGGTCGCCCATCCAACGCGCACCCCGCACGAGTTCCTGTGTTACACCTCGGGCTACCTTATCAAGGAAGCTCTCACCCTCACCTGCATCCGTCGCACTTGTAGCTGCCGGTTTTGATGTTGGGCTGCGGGTTTCCAGTCCGAATACTTTCCCTCGGATTAAGGATGCAGGAACTGTCCCCCGAAGAGATGCCCTATACGTTGAAGACGGTGGAACCGTTGCCAACCATCTCCCCTCGAGGGCAATTATCGGATGGTCATTGTTAGCTGCCACGTGAGGGGAGTCATTCCGGGACCCATCTGGATCAGTGGAGCCGGACGATGTCGAGTAGCGCCGAGCTTCCTTCGATTGAATGCTGGTCCACGTCTTCCCCAAACATCGATATCCGCTCATGCTATAAATATATACCTCGCCACTGACACCGGATGCCAGAACAACATGGTTACCGCTGGCAAAAAGCTTTAGGTTTCCAACCGGCGATGGCGCAAACACCGGCAGCCCAGGAATGTTCTCGAAGCACGGTGTTGGTTGGGTTGCGAAAAGGGCAGTAATGTGGTCTCCACTTCGGAGTGAATACACCTCAACTCGGGTTTGATAGAGCCTAGCGTCCTCTTTGCTTGGCCGCTTCTCAGCAGGTAGTTGCCGTCCAACGGAGACAGATTGGGCTTCGTTCGTTTCCGAGCCATTAGAGGGAGTATGGGATTCCTCATCTGAGGATCCGGAGGGCCCATGGATGATGACAGCGACATGTGGTCTCGACGACGAAAACGGATCATTCAATGAACTACAAGGTAGTATCTTGGCTTCGATCACCCGGCCACTAAGACCACTCAGCTTTCCAACAAGACGAATTTTGCGAGCCTCGATGGCGAGAATCTCCAATGTGCCATCACCGCCGACAAGGAGAACGTTGCCACCCATTCTCGGCATCTTGGACGAAGGAGTAGAGATTGTGTCGAAGGCGCAGAAAGAGTAGCAATCCTCCGTCGACGATCGATTCTGGCCTGAGAAAAACGGCAGGTCGATACCCGGAGCACCATAGAAATGGGCCTGCGGCAAATGGGGTAACGGAATCTGATGGCTAAATGGACCACTGACGGAGTGACTCTTCCGCCTATCTGCCGATGGCTGTCTGGACGAATTATAGCCAGTCCCATAGCTAGGAGGCCTCGTCCCGGGAGATGCCGAGGAAGGATTGCTGAAACCACCTCTGTCGGGATGGGTTAAAAACCCTGCGGGGGAACCACTGGCGAGTTCACCGTCAATGACATCGGTTGGGGGACTCTTTCCAAAAGGGATGGCTTTGGCCCAGCTATCTGTGCGGTAGGCAATATCATTGTCTGGCGATTCTCCGAAGGCGTCAAGTGCATCTAAACCAATATTATTGTTCGCAGCCTGAGGCTCCAGTGGAGGATCTGGACAAGAGGACGGTTCGGCTGGGAGGGGTATCCTGCTATTATGCATTGCTCAGATCAGCGACCTGTCACCTTGGATTGCGAAACCTTTTTAGCAGGAGCCGGTGAATACTTACAGGTCTTCAGGAGGTAGCTTTGCAGATTGGGCGGTTTTTGTTTTCCCCTTAGAGCCGTTTTTCCCTTTCTTCTTGCTCTTTCCACCCAGTTCATTCTCTGGGTTGGTTCGATTGAGACCCTCCGGGACTGGGCTGGTGTCACTGACGCCTTGGATTTTCTGGCGGAACAAGTCGTCCGAAGCTGCCGGGGGCATTCAAATGAAGGGTTGCCTCCTCAGAGGCAAGGTAACCTCAGCAAGGATAGCCGCTCTCAAGACCCTTCGCGAGGTCTGAGAACGGGAGAACTAACAACGTTCCAACGGACAAAAGCACCCGAGGATCTCTGACGTTATCGGAGCAAGGCTGCAATCTAGCACTTCACCGTCAACATGGATCGACATGACTCATCCGGCGTGGGGGACGTACACTTGAAAGAAACGCCACTTATTTGTACTGAGGACACGAAAGGTGTGTATGCGATGCAGATGAGGGAATAGATACAGGACAGTGATGACCGCGTATCGGGAGTATACTGACTCGTTGATACGCCGAGGGCTGTAGAAAGAAGGTAGGTAGGTACCTAGTAGACAACACGGAAGCTCAGCTTATACCGGGGTTGTCTCTCTTCGATAGGCAGGAGCTGGGGCTCGGTTGAACTGTGAGGAGAGTTGTGTCAATAAATGACACGCAATAAATGATACGGTAGATAAGTAGAGTAGAAAACAGAGTCGAGAGACAGACAAGCTAGAGAAGGAGAGAGGGGGAGGGGAATTCAGGTCAGGAGCATGACATCTCCATTGGGGGGCTGACTTATCTCCTATCCTCGGAGGGGGGGGTAAGGCCTATCAATCAGGACTAGTACTTTCTGGGAACTCAGGCAATGACGACAGACTCCCCTATTGTGGGAAGTACCGTCGCCGTACCTCCCTATGGAGCGGCGCTGTAAGGTTCACCCAGGCTGCCACATGACCAGGAACCAGTGATCATTGGCTGTTCAAGAGAGCCTGAAGCATGACCTGGGAGGAATACCATCTGCCTCCACTGGATAGTCAGGCACTCCAGCAGCCTTTACTCTTCCATGGACTCCTTGGTCATTCTTTGTTCATTCATCTATCTATTCATGCATTCATCATCCATTCCCTCTCCAGATCACTCAGCGCGCCGATGGAATACGCAATCGGGGGCTCCTCCGTGCTATCAGCATGAGGGTTTGAGACAAACACTGCAAACAGCACGCGTCTCGAACATGGGTGACCTTCCACGTGATCTCCTTGGAATGGTGCAAGCCATAGATGCTGCACCACTTGGCCACGGGAAATCACGACCTGGATCTCTTACTGTATTCCATGGCTGGTCCGGGTCTAGCCGCCACTCGGGGGATGCGGGATGCTAGGATTGGAAATAGGCAGGGCGGTACACTCACAAAGGTCACGGGTCTGCACAGCCTTCAGCTGTAAGGCCCCGACCTGTCATTGGTATGCGGAGGTGCAGTGACTGAAATATGACACCGGTGGTTCGATAGATCTGTTCTCGGTCTCCCCTTGCCGGGTCAATGCAACGCTCGAGTGGCATGCTTTGCTGGCAAAGTGGCGTAATTCTACAACGGAGAAATCACCCGGAAGAAAAGGATAAAATACTGTTACAATCCATACAATAGGTATAATAGTGGCAACCACGGTTCCAATTCGGCAATCCTGCCCAACCTCTCTCCTGCACACACCTATACTCCTAGGTACTCTTTCTCCCCTAGGCACCGAGTCGATCACCCAAAGCTCAAGTCTTCTTCTTTGCGGCCGCTTTGGCCTTGGCCGCCTTCTTCTTGTTGCTGTTGATCATTACAATCCCAATAAACGTGCCAACCACGGCCGAACCCAGCAGAGTGAGGAAAACGGGTATGCGAATCGCATATACGCGAGGTGGGAACAGATTGTGGAGAGGATGACCATCGTCAACGAAGGGCTGGGAACCAAGTTAGTAAGGTCCGCTGTCGATAAGGGGGGGAAAACGTAGGGCATACCATCAAAAGAGTCCATGCCGTGTAGTACAGAAAGATGGCAGTGGCGGCCAAGAGCATGGCGGATCCCACGAGTTGTCCCAGCTGCGGTGTAGTCTTAAGTCAGAATCTCAACTGCCATCATTAGAGACTGGGGCCATCATACCATAGTGATCAGAGAAATTTTGGGATTCGCACTCGCGATGCACGACGGAGAGAAGTGCTTGTTTGCTGCATCTTATGGCATAACAGGCCGCCGTCGCAGCTTGGCTCCGCGTCACGTGCCCAGACGCTAAGACATTCCTTTCTCTTTCGGCGGCTCTTGTCTGGACTTCCAACGTAGGTCTTCGCGCCTTGTCGCTGCTGTCACATCGCAGCTACTTGCACATCCCGGGGGGAAATAGTACGTGCGGATACTCCAGAGCAATATGACAGATCCGGTTATGTTGCAGTCGGCCGTGCGAGTGCCCACCCCTCCACCAGGCACGTCGTACTCTCCCCAGCCTTCTGCGTCACGAAAACGTTCTCCTCCTTCTCGTTCCCCTTCACCAAACCGTCGCCGGTCGCCGCCCGGTGACTCCCTCAAGGAAGACGGTCATGCGCCCCGTGTCGACCCTGAGCGTGCGATGGAGAGGGAGCGCCAGCTCGCGGAGCGAGTTCGCCAATATGAGAAGCAGGAGGCGGCACGAAAACCGATGACGGAAGAGGAGAAGCAAGCTGCGGCCAAAGCCGAGTATGAGAAGCTCTCCAACATGCGATCGGGTGGTACCTATATCCCTCCAGCCCGGCTACGTGCGTTGCAGGCGCAGATCACGGACAAGACCAGCAAGGAATATCAGCGTATGGCATGGGAAGCGTTGAAGAAATCGATCAACGGCCTCATCAACAAAGTCAACGTATCTAACATAAAATTTATTGTCCCGGAGCTTTTCGGCGAGAACCTCGTTCGCGGTCGTGGTTTGTTCTGCCGGAGCATTATGAAGGCTCAGGCGGCGAGCTTGCCATTCACCTCGATCTATGCTGCCATGGCCGCCATTGTTAACACCAAATTGCCCCAAGTGGGTGAATTGCTCCTCAATCGTCTGATCGTCCAGTTTCGCAAAGCGTTCAAAAGAAACGATAAAGCGGTCTGCATATCCTCGACGACGTTTATCGCGCATCTGTGCAACCAACAGGTCGTGCACGAAATGCTGGCGGCTCAGATCCTTTTGCTATTACTCCACAAGCCTACGGATGACAGCGTAGAGATCGCGGTGGGCCTCACAAGGGAGGTTGGGCAACATTTGGAGGAGATGAGTAGCCCTATCGCCTTGGCGGTATTTGACCAGTTCCGCAATATTCTGCATGAAGCCGATATCGACAAACGAGTGCAGTACATGATTGAAGTGCTGTTCCAGGTCCGCAAGGACAAGTACAAGGACAACCCGGCGATTAAGGATGAGCTTGATCTCGTGGAGGAGGAAGACCAGATCACGCACCGTGTTGGCCTGGATGACGAGATCGAGACTCAAGACAGCCTTAATATCTTCAAATACGATGCTCAATGGGAGGAACATGAAGACATTTACAAGAAATTGAAAGCCGAGATCCTTGGTGAGGGTAGCGACGACGAGGAAGATGAAGACGACTCCGACGAGAGCTCAGATGAGGAGCCCGAGGAAGAGCAGAAGATGGATATTAAGGACCAAAGCAATACCGATCTGGTCAACCTGCGGCGAACGATCTACTTGACGATTATGTCCAGCATAGATTTCGAAGAATGCTGCCACAAACTCATGAAAATCTCACTGCCCCCTGGCCTGGAGCCAGAGCTCCCGTCCATGATCATTGAGTGTTGCTCGCAGGAACGGACATACTCGAAGTTCTACGGGTTGATTGGGGAAAGGTTTTCGAAGATCAATCGTCTCTGGTCAGACCTCTTCGAAGCGGCGTTTGCCAAATACTACGATACCATCCATCGATACGAAACCAATCGGTTGCGCAACATTGCTCGTTTTTTTGGCCACATGCTCGGCAACGATGCCATCGGCTGGCATGTTATGTCGATCATCCACCTGAACGAGGAGGAAACGACTTCGAGCAGCCGTATCTTCATTAAGATCCTCTTCCAGGATCTGGGAGAGCATCTCGGTCTACCGAAACTGCACGAGCGCATGCGAGATGAGATCCTGCGCCCGAGCTTCGAGGGTCTCTTCCCGCTGGACAATCCACGCAGCACCCGCTTCTCGATCAACTACTTCACGAGTATCGGCTTCGGTATTCTGACGGAGGACTTGCGCGAACACTTGAAGAACCTCCCGAAGCCCACAGTTCCCGCTCTCCCTGCCCGTGCTGCAAGCCCGGAATCCGACGTGGAATCCGTCAGCTCTCGTTCCTGCTCGACCTGCAGCGGTCACTCCCGCGCCCGCTCCTATTCCTACTCCCGTTCCCCCTCGCGAAGCCGTGGTCGCGGACGATCGGCCAACCGGGGACGATCCTATACCCGCTCTGCCTCCGGTTCTTCTCGCCGGAGCTATAGCTACACACCGTCATGGTCCCGATCTCCCGTGTCGAGAAGCCGTCGGCGCTCTGTGTCCTATAGTCGATCTCGCTCGCCGGTCAACCGCAGGAGGTCGTCTCGTTCCTATGATTCCCGACCTGCTCGGAGCGTGAGCCCATACCCTTCCCGCCGGTCTCCATCTCGGTCTGTTACTCCCCCTCGCAACCGGGGTCGCAGAGGTCGAAGCATTTCGCGGTCTCCTTCACGCTCCCCGTCGCCACCTCAACGCCAGCGAGTCAGACGCTACTCATCAGTATCCCGGTCGCCGACTCCACCCAGCAAGCGACGTGGGTCCGTCTCGCGTAGTCCTCCCCGGCGCTCGCCTCCAGCCCATCGTCCTCGGGGTGATCCCAAATTCCGTTCTCCTCGCCCGCCGCCTAAGCGTGAACAAAGACGGAGGGGAGATTCTCGTTCTTTTTCCCGCTCGCCTTCTAGATCCAGGACCCCGCCTCGTCGACCCCGCGCCGCGGACTTTGCTTGAATGTGGGAAGTGAAGCAGCTTGGCCAGAGGGTGGGGATAAAAGCACGTAATAGTAGTGCCATAGTTATTGATGATGAGGGCTTCTTATTTCAGTGTTTGTGGGCAATTCAAAGATTCAGGCTCGGAATTTAGGTGTATTTATACGTTACCCTTGCAATTAGGAATCATATGGATTAGGTAGAAAGAACGAGACCACAGATATATTCAACTGATCTAATAAAATCTATAGACTATATACATGCATCTATCAAAAATTCACTCCCATCCAGAAACAATACTCTATCAACATCTAAGGGTATGTGTCTATCCAACACCAAAAACACACCAGCCATCCAAGCAAAGATCTGTATCTATACAGTAGATAAACCCCACCAAGGACGATATTACTCGCCGGCCTCCCAAGCACACCTCTCACAACGACAGAGACCACCCAAAGCGCCCTTCGCCCACTCTCTCCTCTCCTTCACGTCCAACCCGATATCACAATAATGGTTCCAAATCTCTTCGTCGGCCTTGATACCCTCACAGCGCCCGGACGTTGTCTTCGTCTCCTGGATCGCCGTCCCTGACGATGTCTTCGTCTTCCTCTTCCAGATGGGCCGTTCAGACGCAGATCGCGCACGGAAGGTGATCTCCCCACCCCATTCCCAACGCACGTTCGGATCACAGGAATGGTTTGCGAGACACCAGAGCGGATGCACGGCGCAGAGCTCCGGGCCACCGTCCCACTTGGAGAGACGGCCGGAAGCCGTGCCGCGGAATTTAGCATACAGGGTATTCAGGACCCAAGTGTCGTAGAGAGGGAGGACGGTGTACGGGTCGAGTTCCATCTCCTCAAGGATGCGCATGGGTTGGAGGATGTTCAGGTGGAAGGAGAAAGGGAGCGAGGCGGAGTCATCATTTTCCCCTGAACCATGAGGGGAGGACAGGTCCAGGTCGTGAAAGTCACCCCAAATGTATTTAATTTCCGGCAGATCGAGCGGATGCACGTCCTGGGTGGCAGCCATGGCGATAGCACGACCGACGAGGAGGAGGTAGAGGTAGTCTGCCTTGTCTTTGGGGTCTGGGATGTCCTTTCCGATGGATCCGAGACTGCCCATGAGGCCGCAGACGGCGCCGTGATAAATCCGTTGCGCTTGGTCGTGGCATGTCTGGGAGCAGAAAATGATGTCGTCGGAGCAGCCACAGCAGGCCACAGGGGGGTTTTCGGAAGCGAGGTCCGGAAGGGGGGCATTACAGGCATCGCAGAGGTCATCGTGGAGTCGATTCGTGGCGGTCAGGAGGGTCGTCTCGTGAAGGAGGATCTCGCCGGGGGCGATGTCCTCTTTGGCGAAGAGGCCAAGCTGGACGGAGACCTCGTCTGGGTTGTTGCTGTAGGGACTACTGCTTTCGGCGGTGCCATGCAGCAGCGGGAGGGCTACGGCTCTCACTTCGCACTTGGGTGCCACACCCTTCAATTGTTCGTTCAACAACCGCAGGGTTTCGGGCGCTTTTCTGTCCGGCTCGTGCTCGTTCCACGGGTATAGAACTCTGCGGGCACGCCCTTGGGCATTCAGAGCACCCGGATCCACTTGGACTTTATCGGACGTCTCTGATCCCGGTCGTCGTGAGATATAGATCTTCTTGATGATGTCCATCTGCTGTTGGAGGGCCTTCCCCCAGTCACTGCTACCATTATCGCCTAGTAAAGCTTGGCCGCGCACGCAGAATTCATACGCATCGCGAAAACACCCACAACTGACCAAACTCCGAACGAGCAGCGAATAAACATCACCAATCAATGCGTCATATTCATCTTGGGCTATCAGGGCGTATGCACTATCGTCATCATCGTCGTCTTCCTGTCCGTTGGCATCAGCCGACTCTATCCTCCGTCGGGCATGAAATTCGCACCCGTCCGGATCAACAATTGACTCTAATAATGAAAGGGCACGGTATGCATCGGCTGAGGCGAGATCGGCAAACCCCAAGCGCTCATGGATTAATCCTCTTTCGTAATGGCGTTGGGGATTGTGGGGGTCGTTGTAGAGTTTGCTGGTTGTGTCAAAGCGCTCTTGGAGAAAATCTTGCATTATGAGGGATGGGATTGGTAGGAACAGGGACGAGAAGTCTGTACTCGGTTCTTATTCAATTAGGGATGGATAGAGAGAATGAGAGAGTATATAAAACTTAAAAAAAAAAATGCGGGGGACCAATGGCATCACGTGAAGATAAGATCACCTGTCTTTCTCTTTCAGAGTCAAGATTTCCGAAATAGTGACTTTGGTCGCTTCAGTCCAGTGGAATTGATTGAAATCTCTCACTCTCTAGTGCCTCCATGCAAGGAAGCTGGAAAACCTCTTCTACGACTACGAGGTGGACCATTGATCATGGATTATGGATCATCGTCAGTCATTCTCGCACTCATCATGAATAAACTGTGTGCCTTTTAGAGATCAACCATACGCCAGTCATAAACAAAGGACTGTAAGCATAGACCAGGTCAAACCAACAGTCTATTTATAGCAATAAAGAAGGGAGTCCGGAAAATTCTTCCCAACAAGTGGGAAACAACCAGGTAGCCGCACCGATTCGACAAACACCCAATTGATTGGTCTAATCACATTATCTAGGGCACGGTAAGCAAGGGGACTGATGGATTTTAAATGGACCCAGAGTGAAACCTACGACGCAGTTGTCTTGCAAAACAAAGGTAGCGTCTTCAGCTTCCCCCGCACTCTGCTGACGCCTCAAATTGACAGCGAGTCGCGCGAGCATCTCTCTCTGGTGCTCACTTCATCAGATTCTATCATACTAGGCTAGAAGGGAATTAGAAACCAGCGCACCGTGATGTATGCCTCGTCCATCCCACCTTGCCGGTCCACATCATTCTGGCTCATAATCCGATAGGCGTCGTGCATACGCCTGCGGCTCCGGAGGCCACCGATCCTAGAAGTACTAGGGCCCAACGTATTGGCGGCATTATCCGGGTCCAAAATATTGATTCCACGCCGAGCGTCCTCCTGGGCACGCCGGTCGGGGGAGAAAATCTTGATAGTATTATCAATTCCGGACGCTGCAATCGTCGGCTCGTACGGGTGCCCTGCAAAGAATCATTAACGTGACGTCCCAGGCCGTGCAAGTCAACATACCCTGCACAACATTTACAACCTCGCTGTCAGCTTCGAGAATATTGACCAATTTGGCCGTTTTCCGCTCCCAGATAAATAAATGAGCGGAATCACTGCCGCTTACAACGTATTCGTCGTTGAGCCCGAAGTAGTTCACATCTTTGACGGTCTTGACGTTGCAATGCCCCCTATACACCCTCGTGTGCGAAGAACAAGGGATATGAAGGCCAACAACCTCTCTCCTTGTCCGCCGAATGCCGTACTCTCGCAGCATACGCTCTTCCGCTTCCACGGCTTCGTCATCAGAAGAACTGACTAGCGTGGCGTCAAAATCGTCCTCATCCTCGTCTTCCCCCTCGTCATTATCATCCTCGTCACCGACGTTGCTGGAAGCGACTTCCTCACCTTCGCTATCCTGGGTTTGCCGTTCGAAGAAGCTCCTATCAATTTCTTCCGCATCACCATCGACGGAAGTTTCTCGAGTGCTCATTGCTTCGGCTTCAGAGGAGCCGAGTGTTCTTTCAGCCAATAACGGCTCACCGTTGAGTGTTAAGCGAACGCTTCGGATTGTTTCCTCTTCAGTGTTGGGGTCAATATCTTCCTGGGATCTCTCGGGTTCTGCACTATTATCCGATTCATCCTCTATCGTTGTGCGCACCCCACCAAAGGCTCGATTAACGAACTCGTAGTTCACACCATCACCAGCCTCCATTAGGATCCCTCGGCATACCTTGAAAGCCCAGAAGCTCTTAGCCGCTGGTCGACTTGTGCCCCGGGGTTCCTGAGACTCATCGTCTTCATCACTGGGGGCAGCATCATCTTCCAAGTCTGTAAGTGGCCGCGTGAGAGCCTTTCCAAACGCCTCCACTATTTGATGCTGTGACGGACTTATGAAACGGCTCCTATCATGTTCAAACCTAGAGGCATCGATATTCACCACGGGCGTTTCGCCCGCAAGCCCTTGGAGGTACGGGAGCAATACCGTTTCGATGGCACTATCGTCCGCTGATTCTGAGATCGGATATCGGGCATTGTTGCGTCGATGGGCGGAGTCACGCTTGAAACCTGCAAGCAAGGCTTCACGACCCCCTTCAACCCACAGCAAGACTGCCTTCATAAAGTCATAGCAGAACTGCGACGTACGTTCGAGGGCATTATTCTCCCCTGGTGCTGGCGTGATTTGTTGGAATCTGGCTACATCGGGTGCCTGTTCTTCGAGATCATCCCCAACTTCACCTCCCAGGACTCGTGCCAATGTTCCAGCGGCTTGGACAAATCTCCAGCTCGACTCACGATTCCGGCGGAGAGATTGCTGGAAGCCCACGACGTCCGGAGTGGGGTTGAGAGGATACCTCCAGGTTCGAATGACCTCATCCATTTGAGGTAAGTACGCTGACGCCTCCGTCAGAGCATTTGAGAAAGATTCAGCATACGGTGTCAAGTCCGGTGTGGCCAAAGGCACGCTGTCTTCGGAAAGCGGGCCTGGAGAAAAGAGGGCCTTGCGAAGCTTCACCAGACTTTTGGCAATCCGCATACTAAGCTTTTGTGCCTCGTTCAACACAGAGTACCTCGCTTGTTCCACTAGATCCGTTGGCGCGCCCGACAGGGTTTCTGATAAATTCTGCAGCGGGATATCCTCAAGTTCTCCATTCCCGTAGCGCACCCGGAAGGCCAATTCACCGCCATCATCCTCTTCCTCGAATCGACGACGAGACCGAAACCATCTGCCGCCGGAACGTGATGCCATCGACGATCCATTTTGACGCTTACGCTTTCTGTTCTTTGAATTCTGTCGTCTACGGGGGCTGGGCGTTTCGTAGATAGACTTTTGGCGCGTTGGATCTGCTTCACTTGCATCCGGGCTCCGAATCAGATCAAAACTGTATATATAATCTCCAGACCAGCTCACGACCATCTCGTTCGGGTTGGCGTCGCTGATTTTACAAGCAGTGATGTCACCAGTCCCACGGGGGCTCATCCGACGCTTGCCATTCGGTGCAAACCTCCGTACACATCTTGTCGCCTGTCCCATCGACTCGTCATCACGCTTGCTGTCAATCCTCGGTGAGGCGCCAGGATGTCCGGTTTCCGCAAGGAGGTCACGGCCTAGCATGCGTCGATCATGAAGAAAGCAATGGAGATGAGCTCCACCCAACGCGATATAGTGTGGCTGAGTTGGGGAGCATGATATGGTGTTAAGATCGATGTGGTGCCGTTTGTATGAAATCAGTGGCGGAGGTGTGTTGGAGTCATCGTGTACCACTCCCGGTCGATAGGCCATAGGGCCCTGTCCGCCTCGTGGCTTAGGGTATGCGGATGAAGGCTGGCGCAAGTCCCACTGGCGAACCTCGCCATCTTCCGAACATGTGAGGAATAAATATGGTGACGATTCAGTGACAATGCGCTTGACACGGTCGGCATGGCTACGGTAAACCCGGGTGTTTGTGTTTGCCTCGCTCAAGTACCGCGTATTGGTGAAGAAGTTGTTGAACCGTTGACTTCGGGCGGAAGAAGAGAACGCATTTGTGGCGGCAACATTCTTGTTGCTAGAGTGCTCAATGTCGAAGACGCGGACCTGATGATCGCCTGCGCAGGTTACCAATGTTCGGTCATTCGAATGAGGCATGAATTTGACGGAGAAAATATTAGCCCTATGACCGGTGAAGACGGTTGTATTCAACGAGAAAGGGGCGGTCAAAGATTCCGGCTGGTATGAATAGATGTTTAGATGGAGGTCATCAGAGCCAGATGCTAAGAGCCGGCCAGATCGTGACCAACTGCAGAGGATCAGTGTCAGAGAATCCCAGAAGGCGACCACTAGCGATCGCAACCCACGCCACGCATCAGGGGACGGTAATACGACCGACGACGACGTACCATAGCGCATTGACACAGCCCGTATGGCCCCCCAACTCATTCACAATGTCCAAGTCGTCCATCCATTCGTGCGACCCATAGAAACCACGGATGCTGGAGTAGGGCGATGTTTCTGCGGATTCCCTCCGCCAGAGGCGTTCGTACAACGTGTTTTTCATGATTGCGTCGACGGTCGGGCGACAGACGGAGAAAGATTCAGTTGATTGAATTCGGGAACATTACGCGCGATGCAGACTCTGGTCGACGCTTTCTATTAAAGTGACGTCAGTGTCACCGTCACACGACAAGACAACATACCAAATATAAGGCCACGGCACAATACATACTGGCTGGTTGGGGGTTCAGTCTAGCGAAGCAATACCAAACAGCTGCAGATATTGCATCAACCACAGCCAAGACGCACGGGGAGAAGAGACGCGTCGTATCAGAAGAGAAAATGGGGAGAAGAGAAAATGAAAGGTGAGAGAGCGATGAGGCGAGGTCGCAGCAATAGTGTTGATCTGTCTACCGAAAAAAGATGACAGGAGGATTGGATCCCCAATAGAATCTCACTTCACGAAATGATGACGGAAAAAGGTAGATTCCGATGAGATTGTTCTGAGGATGTCGTCAGAAAGGCGAATCTGACAAAAGAGGGTGGAGAGAAGAGGAGCTTCGACAGCGGTAACAGGTTGGAGAGGGTCCAGAGCGAGAGGGGGAAACGCTCCACTCGGTCCAGAACCACAGTTTTAGTAGTTTGGTTCGTCATAAACCTGGCTGGGGAAGACGGCTGGGCAAGGATCCGGTTATGATCATGGATACAAACTGCTTCACGGACATATCCTCTTCGAAAGAAACTTGTACAGTAATCACCTAAAAGTAGGGAAGTAGAGAACCGTGGTGGCGCCAGCAGGCATGCCAAGACTTGCCTAATCAGGACTGACATAACTACCTAAGTATCCACAGGGACCAAGCAGTATATAGTCTCTCACCCGTATTCCATTTCTCGATAGAGGTCCCAGGTACTTTCATCTTGCCACCCCGCCACATTACACTCGTCTTTTAGAAAAAGGTGCGACTCCAAGGGAATAACCGAATCCATAAGAAGCTCTTATAAATTGTCTGTCCCCATGTGATCCCCCCTCACGTGCTAGTTTGATATAATACTGGATTAACTAGTTAGTTAACCAACTACCACTGCAATTAGTCAACCACTGCCAGCAAACAACAGAATACAAAATCATGAATCATGGGCATTGTATTTATTCGTGGTTCATTATCTCAACATTCTCATGATACCGTACAGTCATAACCAGCGTCTAGTGCCTGCAGCACTCCGTATGTCCAGACTAACTCCACCATTCAGGAAGTTGTCAGGGCCCCGTTTCTCCAAATATTTTTGCCTTAATAGGCAGTTTCCAGCAAATACCCGGAAAATAAGGATTCGAGGCGGAATGGAGGGAAGGGGTGTGTATAAAATAAAATAAATAAAATGAAGTGTGCCCCGTAGCTCTCCCCAATATTTGCTCATCTGGGTCAAGCAAACTTGCCGAAGACACTGGCAGTATAAAGCCAGTTTGCAATAATCTAATGCTACCAGGTAGTCAAAGAGCTCCAGCCCACAGGTTTTCCCATTCTGAACTTGGAAGTGGATATGTTAGCTCGATCTGTTCCTGGATAAAGTTCCTTGGTTTGAGATAACTGGCACAGGCCTTAGTATTCTCGCTTTTGTTCAGTCTCACGTCTTCTTCCTTCTCCCTTTCTCTCATAAGCTATTTTTTTTTTTTTAATTTCGTTGTTGTTTTAGTTTCGTTGTCGGAGAGATATGAGTGATCTTCAGCCAGCTATGCGAGAGATGTCCTCCACCTCTTCTGAGTCAATCACATATGCCACGGTCATGCTATGATTTTAAGGATGCCTGTCTCCACATTCCTAGTCTCGGTGCCTTCTCTTGTGGCGGCGGCTTCGTTGCAATCAACTGCCGCGCAAGCTGACTAACCCATTGCTTCTCCGACCTCATTATGTCGGCCTCAATCTTACGAATGACACTCAGTTCGGCAACCATTAATTTGATCATCTCGTCCAATCCTTTCACCATCCGGAGGAGCGCGGAATTATTCAGTCGCTCAACCTCGCCGTAGCCCAGAATGTCGAGACTTTCTAGCCGCCTTGAACTTAGTTCCAACTTCATGGTCATGGCGTAGACTTCCTCCTTCCAGGCCGTGTCGATAGGGTCGATAAAAACCGTATGATCGGAAGGTCGTCCCTGTTGAAGTCGGAAATCCTTGATCTCCGTCGCTTGTTGGAACCATCCTTCAAATCTCTGCACAGTCGATGTATATCTCTGTCAGGCTGTCACTCAAATCCGACACCTCCTGCATCACTTGTGAGAGTACTTGGATCTGCTCCGCAAAACGCTGCTGTCCATTATGCTCACGAGAGTTCCCGAGCCAACCCTGCAATGCCTGCCCATTCAGCCGTCGTTGATACTCCTTCTCTTCAACTATCATGCGCTGGTACCTTTCTGCGACCGAGTTGTATTTAGTGCGCAGCTGTCCCTCAACCTTGGTCTTCCACTCAGCATCCTGCTGAAGGGCAGACTGATGGAGAAGGCTCAGTTGGAGAAGCTCTGTCTGCAATGCTGCAATTTCCGGCCGTGACGAAGGAATCAATGAAGGGTCTAACCCTACAGGGCTGCCAGACTGATGTGCGGCTACCGGCTTGTCCATAGTCTTCTTCGGCGAGAAGTGCTGCTGATAGGTGGTGAAATTAGCCCTTGTCAGTAGGGTCGTCGTAGACGGTGACGGAGACTCAAGTTTCCTGGACCCTTGACCCGGGACCGATGTTGTAACTTGACTGCGATGTCGCACGTGGCCCCTCAACGTCGCCGAAGAGCCTGCGCCGGTACTCGAGCTCGCCGGCTGCCTTAAGGAGGTAGATCTGACGGGCCGTAGAGGAGGCGGCATGTTCGTTTTCTTGGGTGAGGTTGAGCGGTCATTCTGCTGGGGTTCTGCATCCTGTTTAGATGGAGAGGATAGTCCCTGTGCGAGTGTAGTCCTCCTTGGAGTCGTAGACGCGACGGGAGGTGCCTTAGCCGATGATGATGTAGTAGTTCTCAGCGGACTACGTCGAATCAAGCTTTGACGACGAGCTATACCGTTCGGCTCAGGCGAACGTCCATTCTGTTGCTGGGCTTTCTGCACCGGCTTGGTCCCTCGCTCTGGAAGTCTACTTTCTTGAGGCTGTTGGAGCCGTGAAACTCCCGCGGGACGTCCATCATCACGGACAGGCAAGAGGCTTTTATTCCGGGCGGCATTGTCGGGACCATTTGTCGGGGGATTTGAAGATACGGCAGTAGTTGTTGACACGGTCTTGGTAGCGCCTGTACATCCTAGATTCGAGGGCTTCTAAAGCGAGGATGTCAGAGTCCATGAAAACATAGTATGCGAGGGATAGCACATCTTGTCGCAAGGAAAATGGCAAGGCCGCATGGGAGATAAACATTGAAAAGGCAAGGGAGCATGAATGGGTGGGTGGATACGACACTAACCGGCTTACGGGGTTCTCGGAGCGAAAGCGAACGTGTAGGTATGGGCATTGTTATCTCTGTTGCTGAATATTCGGTCCTTCATTAGACTAGTTAATCTCAGAAGTATCGTGATCAAACAAGGGTCCGTTGTCGTAGATAGATTGAGGGGTCAACTAGCGGTCACTCGAGCTGAGATCGACTCGACGCTTGGCGCACGGGCGGAAGTCAACGATCGATCGATCGATTGGGTTTCTTATGAGCGAGCAAACAATGTCAAGTTGTCCACTTTCTCCGTCTTTTTAAACCTGACAACAATTCAACAGCCAAAATATACTGCATGGATATGTGCTACGCATACATTGCAACACCATATGCCCGTAGGAGTGATCTGGAAGGTCATTACTGCTCCGTCATTAAACTAGAAGAGCTGTCTCTAATACCAGAGACATAATGATAACACAAACTTTTGACGAGCACATGGGAATAGAACCTCCGAAGAACTAAGTAATTTCATATAAGGAGATCGAATAAAACACCCAGGACAATAGACCCAGCCAATGGTCAAGACAAGCGACCCTTCCATGCTTTCCCCTTCATCAACACAGCGTATTCGTATTAGATTATTCGGAAGCTTTCAGGCAGAGCGATCGTGTCACAGTTGTCCCACCTGTTGTTTTCATCCTGACATTTTCTGATGGTGCGATCATCCACTTCGTTACAGGCTTCCTCGTCGGGGAAAAGTCACTCCATCCACAGCAGCGTGGTCAGTGAACCAGCTCGCTTTCTCCCCAGCGCCTTGGTTGACAAGAGCGGAGGGAAGGCTTCGCCCCTCTTCCGCATCAAAAATCTGTTTCATAATATCCTTCTTTCCACCACCGGTAGCGACAAAGGCGATGCTCACAGCATGCGTGACAACGGGTAAGGTGAGAGTGATACGCTTCGGAGGCGGCTTGGGTGAATCACTGATGGGAGCGACCCAGGAGTCCTTTTCACGCAACAACTCATGACCGGGGAAAAGACTGCAGGTGTGACCATCAGGGCCGCATCCCAGGAGAATAAGATCGAAGACGGGCAATTTGACGCTGTCTTTGGAGGCGAAGATGCGCATTAGCTCCTCCTGGTACAGATCTGCTAGCTCCTGGGGATCCTCGTCGTCGACATGGGCAGGGTCGATAGGGTGCACTTTCGGAGCGCCCAATTCAACCGGGATTTTGCTTAACAGTTCATCCTTCAACAGGCGGTAGTTGCTATCTTCGTGGTCGAGAGGCACCGCGCGTTCGTCAGCGAAGAAGATGTGCCATTTGGAAAACTGAGCGGTATCGTCGGGAGTTCCGTCTCCCGGAGCCAGAAGGGCTTTTGCGAGAATGGTTGGGAGAGAACCACCGGACACGGCAATTCGGAAGGTATCGTGGCGGCTCAGTGCGGCATTCTGGTTCCGAATGATGTACGGCCTCAGTTGTTTGGCCAGATCATCGGTATTTGGGAAGCTGTAGAGATTGGGTGCTGGACTAGCCATGGTGGAAATACGGTCGAGAGGGGTAAGAAGGATGGATGGGAGAATCACTTCTGCCGTTGAGAAAGACAGAGAGAATGAAGGTGGGGTGGCGGGGCAGATATTGCGCAAGAAACCGTCGCAAGCAGTCGTTTGATATACGGAAGGCAGGCACTACCGCTACCAAGTGGGTAATTAATCAATTAACTAATCAATCAGTCACTTCATCAATCGCAAGGAGTAGGGAACAAGATGCGATCAACCCGGCAGGCGTGCCTTTTCCGTTCCTGCCGAGACTCCAACCCGCAAGTAATCACAGGGGAAAGGGAGTATTACACCCACTCACACACTACTCGTAGTCGAGTTGAGTTCACGGGTTTGCGAATAAAGATAGTGAGAATGAAAGACACCTCTTATGGAGAAGTAGACGTTCTCTGGGGGGACTGGAAGCTGGTACCTTAAGACTTGACATCGCCATGACTGCGTTTGAAGCCATGAGGCCATGACGTCGTCATTGCACGGGATCGCAAAGAGACCACCACAACGTCTCTCACCCACCTCCATTGCACCTCGAAGGATTAAACAATATATATGTATATGTGTATATAAATATATATATATATAATATAATAAGACAGCGGTCTCGTCTACCTCTCACTCAATTGTAGATTTCCCTGTCTATTTTGGCCTCCCTCCTTTCCCCCCACCACTCCCAGGCTTCGTAACAATGCCCACCCATTGACATGTGAGATGATGTCAGCGCACCGTTGGCAGCGATGATGCATGAGGATTCAGTCAATTCATCATCACACCCGTGATCAGCGGCTCTGGTATCGTGATGATCCAAGGTCAACCTTTTTGTCGTTGTGCATTCCCGCCATTGAGGAGCGGGCCGTACGGTCATGTCCTATTACGACATGTTGCAGGCTGTTGAGGGGTCATTTCCCCGCACCGATCCTTATCGCCAATAAGGCAAGGCAACGAAACGAGGCAATGCGGACAAACATCTTAACAATACAATATTAAGCATAGAGTTAGGTGCTGTACGTGCTACCGTGCAATTATGTTTATGTATGTAAGTCGGCACCTGAGATAGTAATCCGCCTACTCCACGGTATCTATCTTACCCATCAGAGACCAAGATTGTCGACCCACGACCGTCTGGGCAATACAAATGCACGCAATATGAAACTCTTCCAATTCCCACGTTTCGTTTTCGTATCCAGGGTTGGTAGGGATGATGTTGAACTGTTGGTATCATCCTAGTATCTCTATGGATACCAAAATGCCTCTTAGTCGCAGTGATCTTCGTAAACTCGCTGGGTTATTTACCCTAGCTGTCAGCATAATTTCGCAGCAGTCATTAACCGACAGCGGGCCTAATAGTAAATATCGCCGAGTATGTCCATGAGAGATAACTCAGATTCAAGTGCCGCTCTGCTGAAATATATTGTATACATTTTGGATTTACATGAGACCCTCGCTGCAGACTGTGGTCGGGAGGATATACACAATCCAATATCCACTGGAAGACACGCTCTCTAAATGATGTCCATGCCGTGAATCAGGTCCATTTACAATCTCTTGGCAATTTCGGTAAATTGATCATCTTGATAGGGCTTGAATGCATGCATGCATGCAATCTTCAGACTTCTCGACAAGGAGGAGCTCGGCAGACAACCATTCTAGAGTATTGTTTCGCGATCCAAACGTCAAGAATTCCAGGCGTACATGGTCTAATCCAGTCATTCCGATATAGGATCACCCATCAACCAGACCTGTCTATCCCGATCCGAATGTGACATTTTATCAACGAATAATAGCGTTGACACCTTTAATGAACCCAGATATTATCTGTAGGATCCGACATAGCCGTGTTCGAATCCAAAGCATATACTCCGTAGTAATTGTGCGTCATTGCCGAACTGCCGAAATCTAGGCCATGTCAGATCTGGTTCCCCAACACTTCTATATACTTTCCCAGACAAAGCCAACTTGATACCAATATTTATCACTCAGTCGGGAAGCCAGCAGCTATCTCCCCACCTGTCATATGCCCCCTGAAGTGAAGTGACATCTGTGGCCTGCCCCGTGCCTTGTTTTGCAGGAAGGTTGTGCCGCGTTCAATATGTAGGTGGCCTTTTTTAGATTGCATGGGGCGTGAAACCCTTATTTTTTGTTTTTTTTTTGTTTTTTTTTTTTTTAAAAAAAAAAAAAATTAATAAATCAACAGAAAATGCCTCAGATCTCGTCGTCTTGCAGAAGCGGGGTGACGTATTCCAATGCTTGCTGGACGAAGTAGGTAGGCACGCCTGTTGATTTTGCTGCACTACCTCCAGCAGTACAGAAACGATTGTGATACCGTAGGAAGCTTCTTGACCTCCATAAAGATGAATATTGATTACCACAAAATGACAAACAATTTGCCAGAGTGGCCAAGTTTCTTGATAAATACCAGCCCAGCTTGCATGGATCACTCGGCTTTGTTGCCTTGATCCACAGTAGAACACACTCTACAGCTAGTTCGTTAGTGATGCGCAAGTCCAAGGGACAGTGTGACACTAGTCAAGGGATGGTGACAATCGAGGACGCATTTTAGTGGAGGGACAGGCCGCCCTGGATCATACCGTGCGTTAAACTGTCAGTCCAACCCGGGGTGCATAACCTGGAAGGTAAATACGGAGTAGGAACAGACAACACGGACTGCGAGGACACTTGTATATTACCTAAAACGCACAAAGCTACAGCATGGCATGGGCACAAAATAGGTAGTATGCCCGTGACAGGCAGACGTATTAGTTAAGATATTCGTTACATGGAAGTCACGGGGACGATCGGAGAATGTTGTCTCGGGGGCCAATAAAAACCCAAAATATTAAGGGAATGGTCCTTATTATCAAACAGAATAGGTTATGGAATTTTGGGTATAATACAGTCAATGAGGCCATTATCTATCCCCTTACAGAGTACAGTCTCAGGATAGAATTCCTTGAATGGGAAAGAAGAATGGACGATGGACAGGCGGCCTTCCAAGTCCGTCACAGACAGAAATTCTGAAACGGACGGGGTGGAGATGGCAACCGCCTCATGGGGAATGCAGCACAGCCGCAAATTTTTTTTCGCCCTCTCACGCATCCCACGAGGCTGAAAGGCCGTTACTGTATGGTATCGTGACGGACACGGTCAGTGTACTCCAGAGCAGGTACCTTGGGAGAGGTAGAGTGGGTGGGTAGGTACCTCCTCAGTAGGTACTATCCCTAAGATGCGACCAACAGGAGGAACAGAATAGAGTGTAAAATCTTGGGTTTCCATCGATGACTACTATAGAAACCGGGATCTGAGCTCTACTGCTGACTCCGACCAGCACCGACCCAACTGTGGACGCTCGAACCCCCGAGCCCCGAGAATGGTTCTCAGCACTTGTCAACGGGCAAATGTTGAGTTAAATGGCAGGCAGCCACTCACGGTGCCCGAGAGCCACATGCTCCGCCCCAGCTGCCAATAGTTCCAAAAATCAACCAGCGCACTAGCGAGTGGCCAAAAGCGGGTGCGACGAACCAAACTGGTGGATTGGCGGACACGAGGGATAGCAGACGGCAGAAATTGGTAGAGATAACAATTCTTATAAAACTGAGTTTTTACCTGAACCGTGGCCGCGAACTGTTCCTGAGGGAACGGTGAGAGGTGGTCGAGTCATCGAGTTGACTGGACCAGGACTATGACGACACGACCTATGCGAGCAAACGTATAGGAAGAAGAGGAGAAGACCGACGGATGGGGATTGAATGCATGGAACCAAACCTGATTGGGAACCTAGCAGAAGGCCAACCTCCATCTTTGCGATCACCACATTCAGGTGATTCTGCAGTTCGACACTCAATGGAGGAGGATATACTGTAGATACCTATGTACGGAGTACAGCGTAGCCCATGGAAAGGGGCGGTGGAGGACCGACAGGCAGATAGATACCTTAGGTCAGGTAGATGGATGGATGGATACGGCGTACTGTATGGTATGTAAGGGTTGATGTAAGGATGCCTGCCATTGTAAGAATGGCCTCTTTGCAATGCATCGCTATGATTTGATTGTCCTCAGCTTTAGAATCAACCTCCGTGGTTGACACCCTGGAGTCATTCTGAAACCACAGCCCACATTCCACTCTTTTTTCTCTTGGTTGTCGCAATCCACTCGGTTGCCCTACATCTCCAATGACTGGAGTATTGATTACTAGGGAGATTATCATTATGCTATAGTTTTTTTAATTGTTGTTACTATTGTCCTGATGGAGATGGATTGAGTATAAAAAGGAGATTTTAATTTCCCTTGTCTATCACTCGTCAATCGCCTGATCCTCTTTCTTTTTTTTTTTTTTTCAGAACACCTGGAATAATTTAGTTGCATTATCCACATAAGACTAACCAGACACGACCAGCCCAAACAGGGGAGAGAAAAAGTGGACCGATCTGACTCTTCTACGTATCCTTGGCGCCCGGGCACTCCATGGTCAGGTATCAGCCCTGCTCAACTAGATTATTATATTTATTTCATCTTCCTTGTCGCTTCTTACCTGACACTAACAACAGACACTACGATTACTCTCCCAGATTCAACTGCAACCATTCGAGGTCCCGAACATTCAATCGCCTACCATCCTCTTTGATTACTCTTATTTCCATCGATCGACCATCCATCTACCTTCTTCGCTTCTTGCCACTCTTGGTTGTCTTACAGCGGCCCACTTCCCTCCGCCCTAAGAATTGGGAACCCCAAGGCAGTCAAGTCAAAGAAAGGAAAATTCAAACACCAGAATATTCTTGCGGATCCCGCGATTCCGTTTTGGCATCGCCTTGACTCATCCTTCTGGATCGCTATATTTAGGACTCGCTTTCTCTTCCAGATCCCACACCACTGTTAAATTAATTAATTGTTCACTGTTTTGCATCCAACACATCTGGGATTGGATTAACACCTCTGGCGACGCTGGTGTCGCATCAATCAACCACCACCACCATCACTACAATATTCTGCTCTGCCGACCTGGCATCACATGGAAATGAGTTCCCCCTCCGTGCAAGTTCAACCACAACCTTCTGGCGCAAAGGGTGTCACCCACGCATCCCCTGAAACTGGCCCAAAATGCATGGGGTTCGACATCGTGCGCTGCTCGAGATGTCAACGATCCATGAGCCTCGAAAACGAGTCGTCCCCGGGAGTCGTGCGCTTCGGCATGAATTCCTATTACTGCAGCCGCTGCGCCTCCATGGTCGGCTTTATCCGTTGAAGCTGGTTTTGACCGATAGACTCCACCAATGCAACGAAGAAGAAAGTAACCGCATCGTTATGAACACACCTTCCGTCGTGTCGCCTCTAGCTACTCCTGTCTTTCATCCATGAAAAACGCAGGTCTTGACGTACTGGTTCCTTGATGTGTATTATACTGGGTTCTTCCTTATGATCACTCGCTCCGACCATTCTCCCGATTGGTGAAAGAAATATTCCACTGTGCTGGCGCAGGTTGATATGCCCCTTCTCGGGAGAGAACTCGACGACTCACTACACCGTTCCTTGGCGATAGTCGGTCAGGGTGGTTGACATCGATATCCCCTCCCGCCACTACCGGCCTTTCACCGGGTTCGCACGGCCGATCACCGGAACATACCTGCGCTCGGGCGCCTCGCGACATGGTAGTGGACTGGCAAACAGGTTATGCGAGACTTCGCCAAACTCTTTCAGGATCAAGTCAGGTTCAAATCGCTCCATGTGACATGGACATGCAGAAAAGAGCTGTCGCAAACCTTGCCTGATGACAGCCTAATACGAGTTTTGACCACAGTCTCTCGCTCTTGATATTTTATTTTTACGTGTTTCGCTTTTTTTCCATCTCTGCTCAATACCCAATCATGTTTAAAGCATCAGCGACACTGGCAGCGATAGAGTTTGGCATTGTCCATAGTTGTGTTTTGTTTTATTGATCTAAGCATACGCTGTCGACAATAGTATCCATGACATCCAAACAGAGATCGCATACATCGTATCTTAACTCCCATCGTACCTTACCTTGATTTAGTCTCGCTCCCGAGGGACACCCTGTAAGCATAGAGACCAAACCGGATTTAACACAAATACTCTCCTACCTCAGGGAAGGCTACTGCCTTTCAGGATAAGCCCAGGATCCCCCCTGATGATCGACCACATCCGCCAACATCGGTAGATAGCCACCACATGTTTGCCAGATCGGAGTAAAAGGAAGTTTAATACCGGCTCGGCATGTATTGACACTTTTTTGCCATGTGCATCATCTCACGGCAAGTGTTCCCGAGTTTACAGTACATACGTGGCTGAGAGTAGATATCCTTCTTAGGATTATTGTATTTGTAGAGAGTACCTACCTACTCCCCTCTTTCAGGCTTATTTAAATATAATTACCGTCACAGAATCGATCAGTAAACAACACCTAGTCTAATAATACTTCCTGGTAGTTAGGATGAGCCTTAAATCTGACCGCTAGCAACGCAAGCGAGGATGGACCCCCGTCCAAGCCACAACCTAGCCCAAGAACGCAAGAAAACTCCAGAAGATGATTTACATCCACCAGTTGGGCCTAGTTGACTAGTCTAAATCAGAAAATCCAGACTTCGTTAGACAACTTACAAACCAGGTTAGGATACAGAATTTCCATGTGGACAGACTTCCCGGCTCTTGTGCCACCATGCGTAACGTGCAAGAAAGAGTGTGGAGCATTGTGTATTGAAGTCCTACCCCTGAGACAAGCGGAGTATCTACAAATTACGGAGTACTATCTAGCAATACTACAGGTACGGAGTACTTTCGTAGTGTGTAAGGTGTCTGTCGATGTCAGTCTGCCTATCGGTTCCTTACAGGTATGTACAGTACATTGTATAGGCAATTGATATTCTCCGGACGCGCTCTCGCCCTCGTTCTTGAAGTATCTTGTTCTACGGAGTACTCCGTAGTCAGATACGAACGAAGAAAGCCACCTGGCGGCCACACCAGCCAGCCCCTTTATGAAGGCTGATCGGTGGGTCAGCCAGAAGTAGGTGGGTAGATTGGTATGTTTCAGTTGAGCTTGGAACTCCACATGGTTGGGCTTGGACCATACAATATTGGGTTTGAAAAACAAAGCGCGACGTTCTCGTTGATGAATATTTTTATTGCTGGTATCCTTGGCTCTGATGCGGACGAGGAGGTTGGTAGTCTAGGCTGATCTTGTTTGAACTAACACTAGAATAGTTGTGTGGATGATCTATTCGTCATCAGCGAGATAAGGAAAGACTCGCTGCACGTCCATGCCATGTCCGTCAAGGATATGATGATAGCGATCATGATCCAGACATTCTCCGACACCTACCAAGGTATAATACTGATGGCTGGATTGGTGTCTGACCAGTAGTCCCTTGTCGCTGCACGAATGCAGCCCATGAATGTAACCCGGGAAATTCTTCCGACTGGGTTGATTGTGATACAACTTCTGTCGATGGATTTATCCTGAACAATATATAAAGAATTAAAACAAAAGGAAAAAGAAAACTGCTGACAGGACTCGACGAATTTGGGTGCTTGGGATCATCCTTGGAAGAGCAAGGCCCTTAAGAGTCCTGACATCCAACTAACTAGCGGGTGATCCTCCCGGAGCCACGGGACTATCGAAGTTTTAGTTTCGCCGACATCTCTCCTCCTACATCTTCCTTCCTGACGGCTATGAGATCCGATCACATCAAGGGGTTCGTGCTGTGGATAAGAGGGAGGTCCTGCTGTGCAACTTACTCTGGCTGGATCGGCTAGTACTAGCGGTGACCCTGAGGAGCATCAGTCAATCATTTATCCATTCGTCCCTGCAGTCTCATTTGTTGACAGCTCACCTGCATGATGCCAGGATCGTCCGAAACAGGATATCGGAAGAGGTCATCTTTTTTCTTCCTTTCTTTTTCTTTCCTTTTTTTTCTTTTCTTTTTTTCCTTTTCTTCTTCTCCCCTTCCTCCAGGATGATAGTAGATTCCCTGTCCTATCTCTGATGCTGTTCCTGAAGTGCGTCCAGGGAATCCAAGGCTGAGTGGCTACTTACTTCGTACTTCTGGATTTGGTGCATCGCCTCGTCGGTCGCCTCTCTTTGCTTTGGAAAAATAAGCAAAGACCCACTGGGTCTTGCGACGTGACTGCTCGCATCTCCTCCAATCATCATCACCGCCATCAATGAGATCCATCGGAATGCAAAGATCTTGACTGAGACTAATGCCCACCATTGCCTATGTACTCCCACCTCGATGCAATGCTCTTCGGAAATGCAGCCGTGATACCACAGGAACAACGCAGGGCTGATACTCCACTCAGTATCGGAGCTGCTGCCAGCTCTTCTTCCCTCTGTCCTCTGCTGTGGCTGCCCTGAGATCTGGCGGTGTAACCCCGAATGTGCTAAGAGGTACGTACTCGAGGGCTGTGACTGTCTGTGACTGTCTGTGACTGTCTGTTTCTGTCAATTTCTGTCAATTTCTGGGGATTCTGTCCGTCTTCAGGCTGGCTGGCTGGGTCGAACCTTCATTCTGATCTGTCGTTCTCCTCGACGCCATGGCCTAAAGAATACGAAAGGAAAAAACAATAACTCCAACACACGAAAAAGAAAAGAAAAAAAAAATTTGAAAATGAAAATGAATGGTCACACTCCTGCACCATCGACTCGGCTGCGTTTTTTTATTTCTATTTTTTTTTTTTTTTTTTGTATTCTGTCCCCTTCAACTATCTCAAGTTCCCTTCCAGTATCTTGATGCATGACATATCAGGCTGTCTGTCGCGTATCTACCCTGATCACGTCCGCTAGACTGGAGGCGAATTGACACATCTTAGCATCAGAATCCTATCTAGTCGTCTCTAGTCTAGTTTGTTCTCGCTGCCTGAACTGCACCTGTGGCTGCTGTCGCTTGGCTGTTGCCCTCGTTGCACTGTTATTTACTTCTGCGACGATTCTTCTCCCAACTTCACTTCATCGGTGGGACTTGGAAGTAGACAGCAGAACACCGAAACTCGCATCGAACTTGAGTTTTATTATTTTTGTCGCTATACTAATCCCATCTTTCCCCGTCGGTGCCTTTCAAGGGGCGAGCGATTTATTATTTTCTTTCTTTTTATTCAAGTGCCCCCCTCCTCGGTGAATGTGCCATCGGGTATACCGTGGTGCATGAGACAACATTTCTCAATCTTGCGACCGTCTCGAGAGTCAAGGTGAGGCAAGACTCAATCGGTAGATGAGTGTTTGACTGGTCGACTAACTGATATGGGTTTGCTGGCCAGACGTGGGCTTACTATTTCCCTCTCTATCTATTCTAGTCTCTGATCTATTTTTTTTAATTTATCATTTGATTTATTTTCACCAGGTGTCTTTACATGAAAGTCATCGACAGTGCTCTTCTACCTCCGGTGACAACAAATCAGTCTGTAGCGGTCGTTCTCAGGCTGTGATATCTCCCCAAACCTGCACTACACAACAGTCACCCTCTTGACCTCAGCTGGCACGGGTTCTCTTTCCGTAGCTGACCGCTACGTTGAGCACCATGCCCTCCCCCCAGAAAGCAAGAGCGACGAGGCCTCGAGGGTCTGAGGAGGAATTCGTCCTCTTCCTCCAAGGGGTAAGCACTGTTTCTTTAACCCTCATCATCTCACGAGATCATGTCTTACTGAGAAAACAGATTCCAGCCCACTGTCGCTGGCAAGAGCTCAAGGACCTGGTCCGGCAGACTGCGCTTCATATCCGACAAGCTGTGGTTTATGACGACAACCGTGGATTCCCTACAGGACTGGGCCAGATCATCGTGAAGAATGAAGACGAAGCATGGCGAACCTACCGTGCGTAAATGAATACCGCGCAGAAAAATAAAAATAAAAACCCACGACTCTTCTCCAGAAGATGCGCTGACGCGGTGCGTGCTCTTTTCCAGACAGATTATCCACCCACGGCTGGGAGGGCCAGAGTCTGGTTGTCACGCTGGCTCGCACCAGTTCTCCCACACGCCCGATCGCCGGACCGACCAAGAGCCCAACCTGCATGAACTATGTGGCCGGATACTCGACTCCTCCCCGAGTCACCACGAGTCTGGCAGTACCTACCTCTCCCCTGTCTCCGGAGTAAGTCCGCCTGAGATGTATATGACATGGATGCACTCCAAATCCTAACCCAACGGCGTTTCTCTATCCAGGCCGACATATCAGGGGCCTGAGTATACCGCGCCAATGATGAGCCCGATGGCGGTTCCCCTTCAGCCCTTCCTGCCTATCTTTACCGATCCCCTTTGCCAACCCATTCCCGCCATGTCTCACTCTCCGGGTCTGCGGCCATCCTTCTGTGATCCTAATCTCGCTTTCGCATTTTTCCCAGCGTATCCCATATCCCCAATGGCGCACCCCCTCCACGACACAACTATCAACACCATGCACATGGACAGCAGCAGCAGCGCCACCACTAACAACAGTCACCCTCACCACCGACCTCGAAAATCTATCTCCAGCTACACTCGTCCGATGACGCGTCGAACGATCTTCATCCAGAACCTCAGCGCCAGCACCACGCCAACAGATCTCGAAACTTTCCTGCAGCAGTCCATCGGCACTAATGTCACCACCAGCTCCATCGAGCAAACCGAGATGCCCCTGGACGCCGAGACGGGTTGCTGCAAGGGCTTTGCGCGAGTGACGTTTCACCAGACCGAGGAGGCCAAACGCGCCGTCACCATGTGCAACAATGCTATCTTCATGGGCGCCAAGATCCGCGTGAAGATCGATCGCAGCATCCATGTGCGGTATAGTTTAGCTCAGGGGCCGACGTCGCTCCCCGAGTCCAGCCCTGGGATCGTTGCACCGGAGTCCAGCGGAGCGGAGATGAAGCTGTCCGCCGCAGGAGCGAGGCGAGAATCCGCTCCTACCCAGGTAGATCGGTGTCAACCGTTGGTGGTGAATGGGTCAGGAATAGGGAGGCGAGTAGTTGCGACTTGACCCCCTCCTCTCTCTTTCTATGTACTCTGTGGGTGAGTAAATGGAGGTATATTGATTGATCTGTTACTAAAAGCGATGTTTTTGTTTGATAATTTCCAGCTTAGCCTCTCTTACTTTATTTCTATATTTGCTTTCTTCTGGAGCAATGGATGGAAGGCGTCTAGAAAGAAGACAAACCCCAAAAATAGAGGCCGAGGCCGAGCAAAGACACTTTTTTAATACTTAGTTAAAAAAAAAAAAAAAAGACTAAGTATGAACTATACTACTATTGATAGATAGTAGATAGTAGAATAAAAGGTATTATGCATCATCATTCAATTCATCAATCATCTACCTATGAATACCCATATCCATACAATTCAATACAATATAATAGGACAGCCCAATGACTTTCCTTTCCTTTCGTTCCCTTTCTTTCCCTCCAAGTCTCATCATGTTGTTCATCAATCAATAATACAGCAAAACATGGTACATCATAAAGCCCGCCACATTAGAATAACCATCATAGATAAAAAAAAATATAAAATAATAAAAAAAGACAGAAAGAAAGGAAAGAATAGAAAAGCAGTCCTCTGCATGCATACATACATCATACATGTGAAACTTTATTTCAGTTTCGTTTGATTTGATTTAGGGAAAACAGACGAACTATTTGGCATGCTCGATTAGTTCGGCATAGACTGGTTCGGGGATCTTTCGAACGATCAGCACGGTTAAGGCGATTATCTCTTTGGCGTCCAAGGGGGGGAAGGATCGGAGGATTTTGTTCGGACTGGGAAAATATATCATTAGATAGGTCCGATTGATAGGTTTGATGTAAGACAGCCGATTGCCTGTCCTGTGCTTGGCTGTGTTGCTAGGGAGGAAATGAAATGAAAAAGTGGAGAAAAAAAGATAAGAAAAGGCTAAGATGGGGGAACATACCTAGGACTTTCGAGAAGAGTGTCCCTCATCCGAATGAGTTGGGCAACAATACAGAGGATATTCAAATGAGGCCCGTAGGCAAAGAGAAAGTCCCAGAGATGCAGTACCTCCGGTAAAGGAGGTGTACAGGCACATAAAGTCAGGACGGATGGGAAGGCGTAGAGTTCTGCCTGCAGGCCTTTGGAGAATAGATAGGCAGCGAGTTTGGGCTCGACGATCTCGAGACATCGGTCGACCAGTCGGAGACCGCGATGGACGCCGTCCATGGCCCCCCGGATATAGCCCGGACATTCGCGTGTGATGAACGAATGGAACAGGGCAAAGGCCTCGACTTCGCTGCGGGCGGCGTAGAGGAAGGGTGCGCACAGCACGTTCATCCCTTGCACGTAGATGGCGGAGTCGGTGGTGATGTAGCTGCCGGTGGTGCTGGGCGTGGACTGTCTCGGGTCGGGCTCTTCCATTATGCTTGGGGGGGTGTTGATGAGCTGCTCCATCTCTCGTCGTCGCGATGACAGCGACGGTCGGGGCTTGAGTCGGGTTCGGTTCTTCGCATCATGTAGTTTCCATGCCACTGCGTTGAGAAGTCGGATTAGACTGGCTTCGGTGACGCGCCGTTTGAAGAGCGGGTCGGTGGCCATTGTGCGGAAGGTATCGTTGCGGATCTTGGTATAGGCTGGGGAACGACCCTGATGGATGAGGGAGAGGTATTCGTCGGTCGAAACGGGAGGGATATCAAGAAGAACCAGCCACAAGTAGACTCGATACGTTGACTATAAGACATGGGTCGTTAGTTTATGGAAGTGGAAGAGGGGGAAAGAGGAAGAGAGAACATACCATGCCATCAGCATCTGCTTCGACTCTAGTTGATAAGATCAAGTACCTTAGTTCCTGCAGCCCTTCCTGGATATTCCCCTGCTGCGGGCCATCTCGCAACAACGACTCCAACACCGATCTCTTAATGCCGAATCCGGATCCGGTTTTCCTCCCTGGTCGTCGTTGGGTAGCTATGGCAGGAGGGTCTCGAGAACTGGCATCGCTGTTCGATCTGGTTCGACGATGCATCCGTAGTCGGACTGGAGAGTCAAGCTGAGCCTGGGGTTGGGACAGTTCGTCTGGACCGGCAGAGGAGCGCGCGGTCGATGGTTGAGATGGGAGCCCCGACATGGAAGGTTTCGATGAGAGGATCTGATGAGACTGGATCTTCCGGAGACTTCGTATCGTCCGCGGCGATGACGACCCCGCCAAAGCCGCGAGGTTCAGTTGAGCCTGCGTGGGTTGGTGAGGGAACGATGAGGGGGGCATGATGGCGATGATTATGAAGATGAGGATGATGAGGATGATGTCGGTCGGTCGAGATTTACACCTGCTGGAGGTCACAGATTCCAACCATCTTCTTGGTTCGATAGAATGGGTCAACAAGAACCAAGAGGGGGGTTCATTAGAATCTGAAGGAAATATTTTCTTTTTCTCTTTCTTTCTCACCCTCTCGGTAGTCGGTGTTGTTCACTTCTGTTCCGTCAGACTTTTTTTTTTTTTTTTGATTCTTTTCTCTTTTTGGTCAAACCAAGAGGAAAATGCGGGGACACGCGACGCGCTGCAGACAATGAATGCCGGGTTAATTTAATCTGGCATTAGAGACGAGAATGCTGGGAGAGAGTGCAGTTGCTATGGTTATGGCTGGGACTTCGCATTCAATAGCGCCAATGGAGGGTCCCGCCAAGCTGAAACAGAATGCACTAATATAACTCAACTATATCTACAAGTACACACTGACTACTCCGTACAGTATAGTTAACCTACTAATCATGATTCATTATTCGTCCTTACACAGTACATCCTGTGGCTTCAATCATCTCAGATCTCTCGTTTCTCCGTCCCTCCCACGATGGCGTCAACAAAGTCCGAGTATCGAAAAACCTCGCCGCGCTGTCCTCCTCCCGTCTTCTTCCCCCCAAACACTCGCCGTCCGGTGAACCCACTGAGAACGTCGTTGATCTCTCGCTCCGTCAATGGAGACTCCCCTTCTTCCGGCACCGTATGAAGTAGAGCGTCTCGTAGTTCCTCGACGTCGATCTGGCCACTGTCATCTTCGTCAAACGCCGCCAATCCGTTCATCAGTTCCTGCCGTGACGAGAGCGGGGCGAGTAGACTGGAGAGGATATTTAAGAATGTAGGAAAGTTGATGGACTGTGGACCTCCCGTGGGAAAAAATTGGGATGTCATCGAAGCATCCTGACCTAGACGAAAGGACTAGTATTAGCTACCCTCATTGTATACCGGGCCAGAAGTTTCCCCCGTACCGACGTTCACGAGCACATCCGCCACATCGTCCCTATTGACTGAGCCATCATTGTCCCGGTCCAGCACCTGGAATGCCTCTCGGATCTCCCGTAACTGCGCCGGGGTTAATTTGGCCGCCGCATCGGACGATGCGGCCATCATGTTGGTAGTCTTGGTTTCGATGAGCAGGGAAGAGTCGGTCGAGTTCGCTCCTTTGGTCGGCGACGGAGGGAGTTCTCGCGAAAACTGTGGTTGAGGAATTGGGTCTCTATTCTGGGGCGAGACATGTTCGTCTTCGACGGTATAGGATTGATGGAGTTTGCTGGGAGACTGGACAGGGGTGTATCGACCGGGTGAGCTGCCGGGGGTAGCTGGACGAGCCTGCGAGGGGGGCGAATTGGGAGTAGAAGGTCGACGAAAGGGAGAAGCTCGAGGCGAACCGAAGGATAATGGAGAGGGTCGAAACGGAGCATTACTGGGAGTGACCTAGAAGCGGTGATATGATATGGTGAGCAAGGAAATGTGGAAGGTAAGGCCACAACACGGACCATGATTGTAGAAGATGTCGAAGAAAGGATGCAGGGCGCAAGGAAGCATACGCATCAGCCAGAGTCGAAGAGGCTGATTGAATAGATGAATCTTATCCTCTGCACATATAGGATATTCAGTTCCAATTAGTATACATGTTTCCGTTCTGGGATAAGCGGGCAAACAAACAAAACTCGGCGGGAAGTCGGCCCGGAGTGCACGTGTTCATATATTGTATTCTACTTGGTAGATATTCTGGATATTCTAGATGAGATTCTAGATGAGAAGAGAAGACAGATGGACTTGAATTCAATAAGCCAGGTCTGTAAGGTAAGTCTTGTTCATGATACTCTCCATGATAATGGCTGATCTGTTCCTAGGAACACACCCACAGAGAGAGAAGAGAGAGAGAGAAGCTGAGTCAGCACACGGAGAGATTCAAGAGAAACAAACTGTACTCAAACAAACCAAGAAAAAGATCAACTGGAGTCTGTCGAAATCGGTCATTCGATCTCCAGAAACTACCGACAGACTAGTGAAGTCACAGGAGTCAAAGATGACAATGACAGGATGACTGACTTCTGGTGCTTCCGCCGATTGAATTTCCCCGCTGTGGAGATTGTCGGTGCTTCTCTCTCTCTTTCTCCAAGAGGCTTCAGTTCCATTCCCCTTTCTTTTTCCCCTGAATCGAAACCCTGTCGATCAACCATCGCCTTACCTCCCATTCATTTCCCTCCACAATGCCGTTGCTCTGACCCCGTCTCGTCCACCGGACCCTCTCTGTTGAGACATGGTCAATCCATTTTGATTGATTGATTGATTGCTGCTTCCAATCAGACTGATCCCTCGGTTACCTGCTGATTGACTATGCGGTACCGATTGTGCTCGTTCCTCTCATCATCTTGTCTCCGCCTACCACGAGCTCTCCTCCCCTAGTGAATTGCCTCGCATTCTTTTCCGATCTTTTTTTTTTTTTTTCCCCTTAACCCCTCGCTCCTCCCAAAGAGAAGATGAGCAGCCTCACCCTCCCATACCGACCTTCAGACGATACTGCTGCTATTTCGTTCTCCAAAACAAACGGCTTACCCCGATTATCCCCATCGCCGTCCTTCTCCCACGCCCGGACCCCGAGTGATTCCCGCACATCCGTGCGTCGTCCCTCCGTAGAACATGTCGCTGGCGTGCCGACGTCAAAACGGCGACGGTACAAGTCGCAGTATCCTCGCAATTCCCCCGAGCGCCATGTCGAGTATATCCTCGTCGCTTCCTTTCACATTGACCGGGGTCCGATCATGGAGCATCAGTATCCCGCGCCCATCAGTGGTGACGAGAGTATGTTAGCCGAATTGATGCTGCCGGATCAGACCCACGTTCGCAGCCAGGACTGGACAATCTTCTTCCTCCATAAAGATACCAGCGCCGATGAGGACGACGACTCCATGACCGGTAGAACAAAGAAAAAGAAGAAAAAGAAGGCAGAACGGTCGCCTGGGGATGGTGGTTCGGATACTCCCGATGAGGAGAACGACGAGCCGAGCGAGGAAGACGGGGAGAGCAGCGACGAGGAAGAAGGTGGTGAAGGACCGCCGTTAATGTACGTGCTCAACCTTGTAAATACGAAGCAAGATAATACAGTGAAACGGTATGTGTCCGACTCGCACGCATGGTGTGCTCTACGACTAAGATCCATCCAGCGGGGCGGTGGTGAAGGCCATGGCGATCTGTACTCGCCATTCGTTTCTTCATATATATAAGGTATATATACCATATCCATTGGACGAACTTCAAGGCCCAACCCAGGGAAGCTGATTATCGCCATCTGTTAACAGCCTTTACTCCTTCTGGCGCTGGAGGACTACTTCAAAAATCCTTACCCAGAAACTCTGGCGTCGCTCTACAACGCCGTGAACGACATGGACCTTTCGTTGATGCCTAAACTATCCCTGCTAGAGCGACAGATATTGCAATCGAGTAATTCCAAAGACATGTTCATTGAAAAGTTCGAGCAGATGGTGCAACAGCGGATGGCCGACGAAGGGACACCGAACGACCTCGATTCTCCGCCCTCTCCCAAGAGACCAGCACCGCCTCGGTACACGCTGCCCCGAGATACCCATGAATATGAATCCCGAGTCGTCTATAGCGACATCCCCATTCCAGTCAAGGTCCCAACCGTGATCTGGCCCGAGATCGTTGGCGATTTCTCGCTCATCAAACTCATCCAAACTTTCTCCATCCCTCATACCACGACCCCTCAGCCGTTCCCTATCCACCCACATCTCACCACCAGCGGCATTTATACCCATCCAATTATCGTTCTCGTGAACGCCATGCTGACCCAGAAACGGGTGATCTTCCTGGGTCACAACCGTCCCTCCGGGGAGGTCGCGGAGGCGGTGCTGGCCGCCTGTGCCATCGCATCGGGTGGAATCCTCCGCGGATTCACGAGGCATGCCTTTCCCTACACCGATCTGACGAAGATCGATGACCTATTGAAAGTCCCGGGGTTCATTGCGGGGGTGACGAATCCCACGTTTGCGAACCATCCCGAGTGGTGGGACCTCCTCTGCGATCTCCCCACCGGCCGGATGAAAATCAGCAGTCATATTGAACCTGCGCCGGTCACCGAAGGACTGCTGTATTTCCAGCAGCAAACTGCGGGGGGCCATCATCACCACGGGTCGAATTCACAGTCCGACCCCACGGGTGACAATCTGTTCATTGAGGACGTGCAGCGCAGTATCACCAATCGATACGGCGAAAATGCCATCCGAGCGAAATGGCGTGCGTACATCACCAAATTCGCCCGCGTCGCGGCGGCTTTCGAGGAAACAGTTTATGGAGCCTCCAATCTGTACATCATCGGACCCAATGAGGAACTGTCCCCTGAAAGCCCGAGTGGTTTGCAGGCCGATCCCCTCGATCCGACCACACTGCGCGGACACGGGTACGTATGGCCCGATGAGGGCTCCAAACAGCGGGAGTTGATGGCCTCCGTGTCGAGAATCGAAGGATGGCGGACGACGCGGTCATACTATTCGTTTATCCAGGATATTGCTGCCATGTACTACCCTGCGCGCCCAATCCAGAAACCCGACCTACACCACCACCACGATCGACTGCGGGCGCTGAAGCTCTCGCCCCAGGAGGCTGGGGCCATCTATGTCTCCTTCGCTCACGCGGTTAAGGATTATGCGGGTATCTGTCAGCTTCTCACCGTCACTCCCGAAAACCAAGCAGGACTCTTCTACCTGAGCATGGGCATGTTCCACCCCGACCATGTTGTCCGCGAAGCGACCGTCGACCTTCTCGAGCGGATTGCCGCTCACCCGGCGGGTCGACATTTCTGGTCGCAGCTCAACCGGTTCGCCAAACTCGCCTTCTTCCGTATCAAACGTGAGCGGGATGCACAAAGTCCCGTCTCGCTGCCGGAGACGGGGACGACTGGGTTCGGGGAACCTCAAAGCCTGGTCGGAGTTGCTATGGGCGGTAGCATGCCGAGAGCGATCTGATTTTGCATGGCACTGGATTAACAACGCCCGTGTCGAACCTTCTATACCCATTGCATGACATTCTCACGTCTCATCTTTGATTTAGCAAATTTCACACCAGCTATCTACTCCGTATATTACAGAATTTAAGCCGATCATGATTGTTTACGACAAAACTCATTTGGTTACAGCTCTTGCTTTTTTTTCTTTTTCTTTTTTTTTTTTTTTTTTGGACCTGTTGATTCTCTATTTGCATGTGCCAAATTGGATGGATAGGATATACCTCGATTGATTCGAAGTTTACTTACATCCCCTACCGGTTGATCATGGGTACGATACGGTACGGTAGGTCTAGATGCAAAATGAAACAAGAAAAAATGGCAGTTACATCCAGGGTTATCATTACGAATTTCTATCTGCCTAGGATACCTTATCTAGGTTAGGTACCTTTCCATGTCGATAATTACAATGCCAATACAATACACCACGCGCATTCCATGACTTGTACCTGGTTTTCTTTCGTACTTGATTGAGGCAGGACAAAGGAAATTGCATCTCAAATTTGCATATTACATTTACATTAGAAAGATAAATGAGGTTAAATATAAACATGAATGGGGAGAAATCCATAGGCAGCGTACAGCATGTATAGGTTCTGTACAGGAATGTCACGACAGACAAATATAGTAAAAGAAGAAGACATATACAGTTGCCGTCGTAACCCGTAGCTCTGACCTAGGCACCAGATCCGTTGAAATAGTAAATAAAAAAAAAAAAAAAACATTAAAGTATATTACAATAGAATAAAGGATGTAAGAAGGGAAGAAGGGAAGAAGGGAAGAAGGGAAGAAGGGAAGAAGGGAAGAAGGGAAGAATGGAAGAATGGAAGAATGGAAGAATGGAAGAGAAGAAGAGAAGAAGAGAAGAAGAGAAGAAGAGAAGAAGAGAAGAAGATGATTAAGATGCAAAAGTAGATGCAATGTAGATGCAATGTAGATGCATAGATACATAGGAAATGTTAAAGACCAAGAGGTCTATATGTCTATAAGGAAAGAGTTAGAAAAACCCCAGGTAGATCACACCCATAGTGAGGGCGATGATATATTGGAGAGATAGATCCGGTTGGACGGTGGTCCACGATGCACCTGATGAAGCGGCTTTATCCACGCCCACCGTGACATTGACGGATGCAAAGTTGGCTCCACATTGGCTGTTGATTGCCTTGGCAGACGGGAGGTAGGAGTTAACAAGGGGCTGGCCGTCTTTCTGGGCCCACTGGGCGAAGACATCCATGGAGGCTTGGAGACATGCGTTACAGGTGGGATAGGGCTTGCCGGAGATGGGGCTGCCGAAGGGGAGGAAGTAGACGTTATAGTCGGCGGAGTTGGAGGTGTTGGTCGCGGCGTCAACAAAGCAGTAATCTGAGGTGCTGGGGTTCTTGAGACACGTGGCACGGTAGATGGGCTCGTAGGCGATCATGTTGGTATAGGCCTGTTGGACAATATTGTTCCCGGCTGCGTAGTCCACGCCACAGGCGTCCTTCTTCCGGAGGCGGGTGGCTAAATCGGCCATGTACGCTGAGCATTTGTTGAAGTCGGCACCGCAGGCGAGGTCCAAGACGTGCGAGGTGGCTGTGGCGGAGCGGACGGTCTGAAAGAAAGAGTAAGAGTTGCGCATGAGCATGGATATGGCATGGCAGCTGGTGAAGGTGGAATTGGAAAGAAAGTCGTCGACAAAGCGCTCGCAGGTTTCAGAGGTGAAATTGGAGCCCGTATTAGTATCGAATGGCATGGGCGTGGGTATGGATTGGTCGGTAGATCGTCGGATTGGACTAGACGGTTGGTCCTCCTCCTCGTCTTCTAATAGGTCATTGTGGTCGGCCGATGCGATGAGGATCGGTAGCGAGGCTGCCCTGCTGTTGATACTGGGGTCGATCTCAAGAACGACATCAAGAATTTCCTGATCCTGTCGAGCACGTTTTTGCGGTGGAGAATGGGATACATCCTGGAGATCATCGCCGACGATCTCTCCACTCAGCAGGTGAGAGATCGTGTCATCCAGCTCCGATCGAGCAACCGGTGGCAAAGCCAAGGCCACGACAATAGAAGGAAGCACGAGGAGGATCGATAAGAATAATGAGAATCGGGGGGTTATAGTCGGCGTGCTGGACGGTCGGGTTGCCGACACTCGGATAGAAGGGGCCATGATGGACGGCAGGAAGGTCAAAAAGAGCGACGTTGCCACGAATGGGATCGAAACGAAGGACAAAAAAGCAAAGCAAAGGGGAATTAATTAATTAGTGAAAGGGCATGGCGGAACGCAATGCCTTGCGTAAGGACATAGATAGGAGGTTGAGAGAAGTCAACAAACTATCTCCGTAGATGTGGTGGCACAGAAAGGAAGGATCAAACATCCATGGAGTGCAGGAGACATAAAAACCCGCGAGCTGGAAGGCGAAAAGCAAGACAGGGGAGAAAAACTGAGGCTGTACCGGAAGCAGCACATGGAGGAACGAAGCCTGTCAAGACGACTCACGGACTGGTCCCATGCAAGCGACAACGGTCTGGACCGGGCCAAGCGCCAGATTTATTTTTAGCAAAGAGGCGATTGGTCTGCTGGAAAGGACTAGCAGCATGCTGCTAGTCAAGTCGAAGTAATTGGGTTTCCATTATTCAGACTGCAAGGATAACGTGCTCAGTCAGTATCAAATAAACAACTATATCTGACTGGTCAACGTTTCCAACAGGGGGCAAAATGACGTACGAGTTTTTTAGGAAGAGTGCCCTCGTCTGGATAGAACCCAAGAATTCGACATGTTTATCGGAGAGACGAATATTTGGATGGGCCGTTGCTGTCTTAGAAGATCCAGATCCCGAATTGAACCAAAAAGAACGGCGAATGGAATTTGATGGCCTTAGGAATCCACCCTCGTGCGGAGCCCCGCCGCAACCAATCAGTGCACCGAAAGTGCCCCACAGGGTCCCCATTCTGGCGCTAAACCGAGTTGGGACGAAAAAAGGCAATGCTTTTTCGTCCTCAGGCATATGCGCTCTTACCTCATCCGATTGATTCATTGCATATTGATTGATCAGTACTATTGACTGTTGCTCACCGAATCCCTAACGGTGGCTTTCTTTCAACGAAATCTGGGCATCTCCATCTGGATTGTTTGAATCACTAGTACTGTTTCTTGATACAGAATCTCTCCTCCCCTTCATCATGTCGGCCGACCTATTGGCGCCTGAGACAAGAGTCCTCGCTGTTGCGAGCCATGTAAGCCCAGCGCCACATACCCTACAATATCTGTCCATTAAATGCTTATGATAGGGATTGGGAACTGATTGTTTTTCTGCAGGTAGTTTATGGGTAAGTCACGTCGTTGATTGGGGTGCTTTGCATGGTCTATGGACATGGGGATTGTTCCCATCGCCGCCTCCATTGCCCGTCTCTGTGTTCTCCGTAGTATATCATCAAATGGCTTCCGAATTAGTTCTCAGCACCTATATACTATATCCCAGCTAATCCACCTCCCAGTCATGTCGGGAACAAAATGGCAACGCTCGTCATGCAGTCCCTTGGCTGTGATGTGGCTACTTTGAATACCGTCCAATTCAGTGAGTCAGCGAGCCTACATATCTTGTGGCCCCCATCCATCCCGCACTTCTTGTCGGGCTAATAGCCTTTCCAAATAGGTAACCATACCGGTTACAGGCAGTTCAAAGGAACCAGAGCAACAGCCGATGAGATCTCTGCCCTATATGAAGGCCTATGTCAGAGTTATCTAACCGACTTTGACGTCATGCTATCGGGGTATGCCCCTAGTGCCGCTGCCGTCGAGGCTGTAGGTGCTATCGGACAGGATCTACAGCGCAAGGCCGAAAAGAAGCCCGGTTCTTTCTTCTGGGGTATTTCCGACTGCTCTCGTTCTCACGCATTTCATACTGCTGACTGTGCTTCCAGTTTTGGATCCCGTCATGGGAGACCAGGGTCGTTTATACGTCAACGACGATGTAGTTCCGGCGTATAAGAAGACCATCCACCATGCGGATCTGATTCTTCCCAACCAATTCGAAGCTGAGTAAGTCGGATCGTTGAAGACGTGCCGTGAGCTCCTCCGCTGACATCGCATGGCAGAATCCTGTCCGGCATCAAAATCACCTCCCTCAGCACCCTTGCGGAAGCCATCACTGCCATTCACGCTACCTACAATGTTCCCCATGTAATCATCACCTCCGTTCAACTGTCCAAGCTTCCCGGATCTCCCTCAGCGGAATCGGCACCCGCTCCTAATGACCTGACCATCATTGGCTCTACTACGCGATCCGACGGTTCCCCGCGACTATTCAGAGTGGATGTCCCCGCGCTAGATTGCGTCTTTCGCGGTACGGGCGATATGTTTGCGGCTTTAACAGTCGCCCGACTCCGCGAAGCAGTCTTCGCCGCCGACTCGCAATTGCAAAAAACCAAGTCCTGGATCTCACCGGATGACGTGAAGGCCACGGACCTGCCTCTCGCACAGGCCACTGTCAAAGTCCTGGCGAGCATGCACACCGTGCTGGAGAAGACCATGGAGGGGCGCGATGCCGAATTGCGCTCCGCTGTCACCCAAGGTGACGAGCAGCTCACTGTGGAAGAGAGGCAGAAACGGGAGCATCTCCGGAAGACCAAAGCCGCGGAGGTGCGGCTGGTACGCAACGCGCGATTCCTGCGTGATCCCGTAGTCGAGTTCCGAGCACAGGAATGGAGAACAGAAAATTTTCCGCCTCAGCTTCGGTAACCGTACTCACTCACTTGTCTTGTTCTGACGATTTATGAATGCGAATAGATGATAAACCAACTCACTAGAAGAAGAACAGGATCCCGTCCACGATATATAGGACGAGTTTATTTTGTCTTTTAGATTATACAGTCATTCATCGGAGCAAAAAAATTCTAGCATGCCATAAATTCAGTCATTCTTATCCTTCCATCCAACTATGCTTCCATCATCTTATTCCTTTTTTATTGTTTCATTTTATTAGGCACCAGTGCTACCAAACCCCCCCGCACCACGAGCACTCTCCTCAAGCTCCTCGACAACCATAACCTCTGGAGTGTAGATCTATCCCAGTTCCATACGTCAGCACAAGCCATTCTGAAAGAAATAATCACAGTGACAATAAGAAGGGTACACCCACTCTCTCTAGAACAAGCTGAGCGATACGATCCCCCGCGTTGATTGTAAAATCGACATCGGAAAAATTAAACAGTAGGACCTTCACCTCACCCCGGTAATCAGCATCGATGACGCCCGCTCCGGTGTCAATGAAGTGCTTCGAGGCGAGTCCGCTACGGGGAGCGACGCGACCATCTAATATTTCCATTAGTATTACGGTTCAGTTGCCGTAAATTCCATAGACAATATACACATGGAAGAGAAAAAAGAAAGGATAACTTACACGTTCCCTCCGGAACTGCAACTGCAATCCCAGTATCCACCATGGCCTTCCCCTTCGCGGGGATGACTGTCTCCTTTGCGCTGTAGAGATCATACCCTGCGGCGAGGGCAGAGCCACGCGTCGGGGTGTAGGCAGTATCAGTGAGTTTCTTGATGAAGAGAGGAGGAAGACGCTGCGCGACGGGAGGAACAGTCATGGTGGAATCTGCGTCGGAGTTGGGTTTGGTTCGTTTGGCGAGAGGCGAAGCAGGAAGGGAGGGCGGTTGGTGGGTGGTTGTCGTTGTCGTGATTGATTCGGCCGTCGGAGGGGGCTTGGACTCCTTGGTCATGTTCTTTTGGGATGGTGGTGAGGTGAATTGGGAGAGGAAAAGAAAATGGGAGAAAGGATTGATGGGATTTAATTGCGGTGTGAATCAACCAAGTACTATGGAGGTTGCGTTGCCCTTGCTTTTTGCACGCTGGATGGACGCGTCTGGCGGTGAGGCGCGAACTGCGTTTAGTGGTGGGTCTCACCATTACTGTATACAAAGCAGGGCTATGAAGATTTACAGAGTGGTAGGGTATGGATTATTTGTCTTCTAATATTAATTAGATGGATAAAAGTCTATCTCTTGCATAAGTAGGCATTGCAATGTCTTAGCCTGAATAGAAATTTAGAAGAAGCGACTGCGTCCTCATCTTGCCCAAAATATAGTCGCAGTAGAGAATTGTTTTATTCACAGAAAGAGTCTGGAACCTCTATCAAGTTACAGATATACTGTATGACGTATGCGCTTATATTTGATTATCCCAAACTCCGGTCCTCAAGGTTATCAATGTAATAAGGACCACCTATCCATCTTATCACCAATCATCCGATTTCTTCGCACGTTATAACAGCACGAATTATATATCGCCATCCATTCAATAACCAGCCAAAACTGTATATATTCCGGATCATTCCGGCTGTCTAGCCTGCTCGTTAAAGCATGAACCCAACTGAAACTCGGGAAACATACCAGGAAAGTTTCCTCAGTGGCACCGGCTGCAAAGGACACAGGATTTGTGTCTGATGCGCAACATCCAGATTCCGATATCACTGATATCTACCTATATAATTGATGAGCAGATACTATTCAGGTATAAAGCCATACCACAATAGACACCAATCACTTAGTATATTAACTCATCAATCAATCATATCCAATCAGTCTTAGCACTACCATCAAGGTACCTGAAAGATCTACTGGGATCCAATTAAGGCCCAGGGGGATCAGCCATTCTAGTTTATAGATCGTCGCTATTTCCAGTTTCTTTTATGCCGCAGCCAGTCATACCGAGGCACTGTTGATCCAATTGTCCGGCCGGATGTTAAATAGTTTAAGGCAACTCACTGATTTTCAGGAACTACCGTGCAGATGAGAGTGGTTGGTCTGATAGTATTCATGTCTGCTTTCCGTGTTGTGTGTACTGTACTAAATATTTTGGTCAGTTTGGGGATGACTTGATGTTATAACAAGGAGATGTGCATACTAAGTCGAACGCTTCTGTGAGGACTGAAAATCAGTACCATTGGTGTCTGTGTAGGTGTGCTTCCAAAAGAATGGTCAGTATCAATTAAAGCTTTCCTAACATGCTGTCGTTTTTTGCACGTAAAGAAATATTCCAGATGGGATACTGCATGTTTCTCAGACTCTTCTGGTTCGGCTGTTGTTGTATTCGTTTGATACTAGCGGGTCACGTGATGCTCAATATCTACTGCTTATAGTCAATGCCTAGGACATATATAACGAATTCTGTGTCACCTATATCCATTATAGACATTGGCTATGGCTCTGATTCCTATACTTCCTGTTGTGACTATTATAACTGTGACATTCCACTGTGGACAGTCAACTATAGTTCTGATGACTAATGCGTATTGGACCGAGGCGCCCCCGCAAACAGCAAGAGGTTCGATGTTTAGCCTCGGTCCCGTGAGGCATCTGAACGGCATTCTTGATCACCCTGTCTTTATGACAACCACCCATTTCCAGGATGGACTGACTGGCCATCACCATCGTTGTCTTACTTACACAATAATAGATAACCAAAAACCACACAATTGACCAGATTCGTCAGCACCTCGCATCCTGACCGCCATGGCCGGAGCTGTACGCCAGCCGATCGATATTGCGTCGCTGGAACGCTATATCAACCAGAACGTACCCATTGTCCAGACCCCTTTAGATGTGAAACAGGCGAGTGCGCACGATTGATCGGGCATGATTAATGAAAAGGCTCAACTAACGGACCGCTTTATAGTTTGGTTTTGGACAATCAAATCCGACCTACCAGCTCACGGCAGCCGACGGAAAGAAGTATGTCCTACGCAAGAAGCCCCCGGGCAAGCTCCTATCGAAGACGGCACATAAAGTCGAACGGGAATACAAGATTATCCATGCGCTAGAGAATACAGATGTCCCCGTTCCAAAGGCGTATTGCCTATGCGAGGATAGCAGTGTCGTAGGGACCCCGTTTTATATCATGGAGTTTCTGGACGGACGAATGTTCGTCGACCCTTCCATACCCGAAGTTAGTGCGGAGGAAAGGAATGCACTGTACGTCAGGATAACCCCCCTCCCTCTCATACTCTCCACCGTCTCAGCTGCTAAGATCTAGCCTTACAGATGGAAAGACGCAATCCGCACCCTCGCCAAGTTTCATCGAGTCGTTCCTAAATCGGTCGGATTGGAGAAGTTTGGAAAACCATCGGGCTTCTATGATCGACAGATCGCCACGTTCACGGCGGTATCCAAGGCACAATCACAAGCAGTGGATGTCCAAACCAAGGAACCTGTCGGGGAGCTACCGCATTTCATGGACATGGTGCGCTTCTTCTCCAGTAAGGAGACGCAGCCTCAAGACCGAGGCACCTTGGTTCACGGAGACTACAAGATTGATAACCTGGTGTTTCACAAGACCGAGCCCCGGGTAATTGGAATCCTCGACTGGGAGATGGCCACTGTGGGACACCCGCTGTCGGACTTCTGCAACCTCACAAGCCCATACTTCTTGGATGGCACAGATCATAAGACCGAGCAGTTCCAACCCAATGTGATTCCAGGCCTTCCCACGCGTGAAGACTGCCTGCGGTGGTATGGCGAAGTGGCCGGTTGGGACCCGACGCCTGATATACTCTGGGGTGATGCGTTCTTTTCGTGGAGGAGCTCCGTGATCATGCAGGGTATCAAAGCTCGGTATGCACTGAGACAGGCTAGCAGCGCGCGGGCACAGGAGTACGCACAAAAGACGGTGCCATTCGCGTTGGGGGCGTGGGAGCGGGTCCGACAGGTGCAATCCGCAATTCCCCAAAAGAGCAAGCTGTAGCCACTGCAAGGCCTTTCCGCTCTTTAGGACGGAAATAATGTGGAGCAGGATTTACAGAGGATATTCCCGCGCCCTGTGGCTATCAATGTCACTGTACCGTCATCATACCTAGATACCGAGAAATAGTACTAGGTACTCCGTACATAGGAAAGAAGGTAGAGTCATACTCATAGAATGGTATTATTAGGATTGACTCGAGCTTTGGAAGTCTGGAACCGTTGGCCGCAGTGGATATTGTGTGGACCGTGAGAAACTGATCTACCATGTACGATCCTGCCGTTTGCCGTGAATCGTTTCCGGAGCAGTTCCTCTAACGGGCTCCCGCCAACATGATACATACATTCCATTCCTGATGGTCAGCATCGGGGTTCGGAAACCGTCCGAACTAGCAAATTAACGAGCGTAAGCATGCCAGCTGTTGTGATCATGACTCCTAGTAGCAACAGCAAGGGTCGACCTGCCCCAAGTAAGATAAGGACATTCTATAGTGTAGGATTCCGAAAAGGACGATCGACTCTCGTATACGTAATACGAAGGTGGGACATGCAACTGGGAAGTGCTTGGGCCAGTGAACGGTCACCAGCACAGTGTCAGCAATGAGCCGCCTGGATTCAAGACAATTGGGTGCGGCTCATATGATGCTTTTTTGCCCCTCATCCTACAGGGGGAAAAAAAAGGCAATATATGACCAAGCCCGAGTCTTTATTACAAGAACATCCTACAACCAAGAGAAATATATCGTATACAATCGTTAGGAAGAAAGGTTTCCCATCCATACAAGAACTAAGTCTACAATTCATTTATAGCCCTTGATGTCCCTGGCCCACGAATCCAGGTTTGAAAAAAAAAAAAAAAAAAAAAAAAAAAAAAAAAAAAAAGGAAAAGGTACCCCACCCCTCCAAAAAAAAGGAAAAAAGGAAAAAAAGAAAAAAAGAAACTCTCCGGCGGAAAGAACCCTGCAGCCTAGCAGTGGCTGGTTATGATGATCAACCTACATGTTACTGGAAATATCGCTAGTCCAGCGTCCAAGTGGCCAAAGCAGAGGAGGAGATAGCGTGACTGTTGGTATCAAAATCACTGACCGGAACAGTAAGATGCCTTCGGAGCGGGCCGCATGCTACCTTACCTTCTCTGGTGGGTGAAACTACAGCGCTCTTTATGAGTAGGATTTTACCATCTCAGAAAGAGGAATTTCCCTTTTATATTTTATGTTTGTCTTTATGGCATATCCGAATCTAGTCCGAGGACGAGTCGGGGATCGGATCAGAGACGTCCATAAATATATAATTAGGGCTTGGGCAATGACCGCGAAACCCAAGGAGGGGGTTACAGACCAATCGAAAATTCACAAGCGGGATGAATGCGGAATAAAAAGGGAAGAGGTTGGACAGAGGAAAGTACCCATGTTATACAGGCCGCTGGTTTAATATCCACAGTGCAGCAAGGAGGGTGAAGAAGGGCACCGTATGAGATACTCTACAGTAATAGCAATAATATATACCCATTTACTCCGTACTAGAGTTAGATCCCAACAAACAATTCCTGTAGTGGGGTCTATCAGTTAGTCGAGCTAGTATCTCCACGATAGATCTACCCTAGCTTACCGAGGAGAAATCAGTGAACTAACACAAATCCAAGATACAGACGGAGTAAGTATGAGCAGAAAAGGGAATTTACTCGAATTGACCGATGCCTTGACGGTCGCACAGAGGTGGATAAAAAGATACTGGACAGACTTTACTCTTTACTCTCTAGTTAGGAGTGGAGAGGGGAACGTGGGGCCACTGTCGATACTAACTTACTAGTCATCTTGGATTGTCTCCCGCAGAGCGTGTGTGGACTCTGGCACCTCAACTAGCATTAGCCTCTAGGCTCCGACGGAAGCAAGTACGTCGGTCCAAGACCAGACCTGGCGAGCTGCGTCCCCCCCCCTCTCCGTCCTCAGCGCATGATTATTCAAAGCATCCATTGAAGCTTACTCCAATGAAGTGCATACTTACTAATTGGTTGAACTTTAGTCCAAGACGATTCCCTCGCTGAGCCTTGGTCGCAATCACAATATGAACGGTGGCGGGAAACACAGTCCCACAAGCTGAGGAGACCGATGGAAATCTTAAAGACCGGAAATATCAACCGTTTACAGATGACAGGCTGTCCAGTCTTTAGACCCCCAGTCGAGATATTGTCGAGTGATCTCTTTTCCTTTTCCCTCTTGAGTCCATATCCAGCGTATGAACTCCGTACTCGGTTGGTTGGTTGGATGATTAGTGATAAATATCGTTTAGTATTTTTTATTTTTATTTTATTTTTATTTTATTTTTTGCCTCTCTTGACCCTCTTGTTATCCTGACGCACAATGCACAACCAATTTTAATAAGGGGTGGTTCAAAACGGCGCTGGCCTAGCTCGGAGAAGGCGGAGAAAGCGAGGGAATGTAGGGAGGAGGGGAAATCATAATTCCTGCTTTGTCTTCAACCCAACGGTGAGGCTGGCAACAAGTGCGCAATCACAATCCCCAATGATGATCATTGGAATGGGAGACAACTGCAGGCCTGCCGCCTTACAGCTGACTCATCAAGGTAGGACTCCAGCACCAGAGTAAATCAAATGGATTGACTCGGGGGAAGTAGAGAATTAAATGAGAGATCACTTCTGTACTGTTGAGATTATGCCATTAACTCCATGGGGGAAAGCAGCTTCCCCAGTAGACATAATGCCTGGGCAGGTACCTACTGAAGAGGCATTCCCAAACTTCCACGGCGTTTCGATGCAGCAGAACAATTTCAGCCTCTTCGGTTGGCCCTCTGCCAGCGACCAATCATGACGAGCCACTAGAGAGCCTCAAATGGCCGCTTACCATTTGGGCTTAGTGGGGTTCTTGCTGTGTTGGGCTCGTGGATGAGACCATAAGAGAAAGACACAGAGAGACAGACAGAATAACAATCGCAATACTACCTACGTAAGGTAGCAAGGAAAAGAAGTTGGTTTTCTCTCTCTCTTTTTTCTTTTTTTTTTTTTTTTTTGTTTCCTTCCTCCCTTCTTCCTTTTCTTCTTCATTTCCCTTCCCCTTCAACCTTTTCTACCATTTGATTTTATTTTATTTTTTTTTTTTTTTTGTCCTATCCGAATCGGATTCGTCCGTGACGGTGGTCGTCTCTTCCCGTTGAGCCTCTCTTGTCTGTTCCACCTCTTCTCCTCTCACCTTCACCTTCACCCCACTTCTGTTTGTCTGCGGTGTGGCGTCTCTAGAGGTCAGCTTCCAACCCTCCGTCTCCCTACGCGAACCTCCCCCAATTTTATCCTTTATAAATCCCCCGGGGATTTATTCACTCCACCCGGTACTCTCAGAAGGATTAGCCACCTCGAACCCCTAGAGATTCTATCACTAATTCTACCGGTTTTTTTTTTTTTTTTTTTTTTGTAAAAAAAAGTCGACGTGATCTTTTCGTGACCTACGGACACGGAATTCAAATCAAATCCATCCATGCATCCTCAATATATCCACTAGAGCTATCCATCCACCGTGACGGACGGAATCCGACTGACAGTGCTTGCTTTCTGAGATTCTCCACTCGGTCTTTCCAGCTGGGCCGGTGGTGGAGCATCTCTGGGATTCCTCCTCAATCAGAATCCTCCAGGCTAATAATCAATCCCTCATCATCCTCCATCTCCATCCCTCCCTGGGATTCTTCTCCCTCGTCTTCGGTTCTGCCATCACTACCAACCCGCCTGCTGACCGCTCCCTCCCCGTCTGACCTTAACCTTTTGCACTTGCCAAGCATCATCTCAACCCGACTAGTGAGCTTCACGACGCTGGTAACGCTGGAACTTCTTGTTCTGTTATTACCATTACACCATAGCTACCAACCTACCGACTTATTCCAGACCAGTCGTTTACTACTACCTCCACGACGACCACCAACAGCCATTATTGTTATTGTTATTGTTATTGTTATTATTATTATTATTTCTACTTTCGAATGTGCCCTCTCATAACGACCACACTGGTGACGATTACGACGACGATTCCCGATCATTAATTTGTTTCCTCTTTGGCTTGGCCTTTCGCCCTATGATTCTTGGTCTTGCCATGATTAGACGATGACTCTTCTATGACCATCCGGTATTTTTCCTCCACTTTTTTCCATCGGAACTCGACTTGCGCCTTACTTAACCCATCTTCATAACCATTATTTCGGATTTCCCAAGCTGTTATTGTTTGCCGCTGCTGCTGCCGCTGCCTCTGTAGTCGCATTCGCGCTTGTCATTCCTCACTGATCTAAATCCTCGATCCTGTTTTAATCGAATTATTTGCGTATTGGTTGGCTGGCCTCACTCTTTTGGCCGGTACCAGCTTCTTGAAGTTGACCAGGTCTCATGCGGTCGGCGCATCGGGGCTGTCTTTGATCGCGACGTGTGAATTAGCTCCAGCTGAGCCTCATTCCCCAAGTGCGGCGGCTGCCTAGATTTTGAGTTCTCTTGCGGTGTCTTCATGTCCTGCAGTAGGTGAGCTAGCTTTGCATTTATTCTTTCTTTTGACATATTATGTACTTCCTGAAAAAAACTATCTCTTCCATTTCTTTCCCCCTTCCCCTCTTTCGCAACGAGGAGGATAAAAGCAAAAATGGTATACTATTACAGTTGACTTGAGGTCAGGTGGTTTCCAAAGTGGAACAGACGCATATGGGGTTCCCTTCAGTCAGATCCACTTAATTTCCCATCCATTGTTGCTACTATTGTTGTCATATTGATAATTTTTCTTTTCCTTTTTCTTCTTTTATTACCAATTATCTTTTTTATTATAATGTACTGATGAAATGGCAGGGGATTTGGGGGCTACAATTGATTGGCACACACGACTCGTGTCTGCATCCTTAACTTCCTTGTACGAGGTTTGTATTTTGGACTGGTGTTCTAGAATATCCAAACAAAAGGAGGCAAAAAAAAAAAAAAACATCACAAGGGGTGACGCACCTAATGCGTCCGAAGCCGCTGCCTCCATGACTGAGAATCAATCCCCCAAGTTGGAGGTTTCGAAAGTTAGCTATGCTATCAAAGAACCAACCCCACCTTTTGTCAATGGCTCTGAAAACGATGCTGATAAACATGGCACCGAGGGAACATCTCCACACCGTTCCCGTAAGAGCCAGAATTCCTTCGTACCCAGCAGGACAGCGGGTAATTCGGTGCTGATCAGCCATTTAGAAAATCGGCCGGATATGTCCTTTGATAAGAGCTATGATGACCCACCACATGAAGAGCCCATTCTAGATGGCGGCTCTGGCGTGTCCCCAGCCAGGAAACATCAATTGAGAAAACGCGTGCCCGGGTCAGCCGAGCTTGGTGAAAAGGCCCAAAGTGCGCTTTCATTACTACTACTGGATCCTGATCCGACCCAATCCGGCGAGGGGAACTCATCCCCAGATGCTTCATACAGCCCTTCCAAGAAGAAGTCCCTCGAACATCCCCCGTTTGGCGACGCCGTTAAACAAGAACCGGAGTCTCCCCAAACTTCCCAAGCATTACCAAATTTCGTCTCGAAGAAATCACCTTTGACCAAGTTTATCATACCCGCTTCTGAGGCTCCAAGACAGGATTTACTGCCCGCTCTACATTCACCAGATAACCACCATACACTACCCTCTCTTCAGACGGCACTAGGTTTTCCTGGTGTGTCGAAGGATCCTGCTGGACGTCCAAATGGGTCATCCCCGTACCATCTTCCCCCTGGTACAGCCACATCACCACCAGTCCTACGGAGTGAACTGGCTTGGGACCCGCAGCGCCCAGGGCATTTTGGCCCTCAAGTTCCTCCCAGTCCGTACTCGCACTGGTCCCCTGCGAGTACAAAAGATCTATCGACTGTGTCCTCACCCGCATCGCAGAGCTCCTATTGGCGGCCTCCCAAACAGGACAAACCCTACCTTAATTCCCCCTATGACGCGCCATACTCGGTAGCCAAGAGCCCGGCGACTAATTATCCAACGCCCACGGATCAGACTCCAGCTAGCACTTGCGAGCGGGTACCACTCAATCCACCTCCGCAGCCCAATGGGGCTGTGTCGGCTGGCGCTTACAAGTGCCATTATCCGGGGTGCACTGCTCCTCCCTTTCAAACGCAATATTTGTTAAAGTGAGTCTCAGTGCTTCGACTAGAGTCCAGAGTTTCCGGAAGCTTATTCATGCTAGTTCTCATGCAAATGTCCACTCACAAGATCGGCCTCATTTCTGCCCGATCGAAGGGTGTCCCCGTGGACATGGTGGGAAAGGATTTAAGCGTAAAAACGAAATGATTCGACATGGTCTCGTCCATAACTCTCCGGGTTACGTTTGTCCTTTTTGTCCGGGTCAGGAACACAAGTATCCGCGACCTGATAATCTCCAGCGGTACGATCCTCGCATCCTGAGAAGTGCAATCATCGTCAGAGAATACTGACAGACAGGAACAGACACGTGCGCGTTCATCACGTTGATAAAAGCAAAGATGACCCAGCCCTTCGACAGGTCCTTGCTCAGAGGGCCGAAGGCAGTGTACGAGGTCGACGTCGTCGGCAAAGCGTTCAGTGATTTTATCCCATTGATCACCAATTTGGATTCGCATACTTGTGGAAGAGGATTCCCCTCAACTATGATGAGTATTACGCAGCTATCTCCCCCATGCGGGAGACAGGGAAAAACTTCCCTCTCCTTTCATTCCATCATCCTCCGATGTATACTGACTGCATCGTTGTGGCTATTTTCAGCTTGCTTTCTATTCTAATTCTTTTGATTCTTTTCAGTCCGTGATACCAGATGTCTAGAGTTGCTATTGATATCTCTTTTTTTTATGTCCTTCGTTCGATGTTTGCATATACGCCGCTAGTGTCACTATTATGGTGCAACGTGGGATTGTATAGGAGTACAGGGCTTACAAACGAGGGCGTTGAGTGTTTTCTCTTTCTTTTTCTTTTTCTTTTGCTTTTGCTTTTCCTTCTCCGTTTCTTTTTGTTTTCTCTTTCCCTTGCCAGACACATACATATAGCAAGCTGTGGCGTCTATGCACAGGATGATTACGAAGCGTTCTTTCCAAGAGATACGAGTGAGATGTTCCCCTTCAAAAAAAACAGGAAAGAAAAAGAATGGTCTAAAAATATATCAATCAGTCACGGATTTCCAAGTGTTAGCAGTCAGCATCAGTAGTGGGGTATTAGTATTCCTAGGTAGTAAGTTTTTGTCCTAATAGTACATAGTGTATTGTTCCTAATCAAGCAAAGAAGCATTCGAGTTTTTTAACTTTCCAATCCAGTTGGAAGACATTTAGTATCCGAAACACCCCGTCATTGTAGCAATAAAAAAAAGAGAGAGAGATCGAAATAAAGAAAGACATAAAAACTATTGTCTATGCATGCGTCGCACATGATCCTTCATGTTATCGACGCGACTGAACACGCGCGGACAACCCCATTCACATTTCACATCCGGGTTATGTTTCGCTTCATGTCTATCCCGGTCTTTTTTACTGGAAAACCATTTCTTGGAGCCCTCGCAATGGGGGTGCCGGCAGTTGAATGTTTTTTTATGTCGATTGTAATGTTTGCGGAGATCGCAACCGCGACGGAAGCGAGTCGATGACTTGCAGCCCTCATGTGCACACCGCCAGGTCCCGTCTCCTTCGGGGATACCGTACTGGCTGAGATCTTTTTGTTGACTCGGTTGGTTGGTTGCTATCGTGGTGGGGGAATCGTTGTCCGGTGTACTGGACGTCCTTGCGGTACTGGGTTGAGCCGGGGAGGATACCGGAAGCTGATGAAGATACGATGGAGATGAAGGGAATGCCGGAGGGAAAAGGGACTCGTCGTGTGACGTGGGTGAGTAGGATGGGGCTGCGGTAGATAAAGGAGCTTGCTGCGACTGCGGTGGAAGTTGAGAAGAAAACCACTGGCTGGTCGTCACGCAATAGTAGTAGTCGTCGGCGGCGGCGGAGTTGGGGTGCCCGCTGTGGAATGGTTCAGGGGTTTCGACGGCATGGTGAGACGTATAGTTGAGGCTGGGTTGAGAGAACGTATTGATCGGCTGGTCTGTGAAAAGAAAGTGTGACATTCCGGTGTCTGCATCTGTCGTCTGGGGGACTCGGGCCGGATGATATGCACCCATGTGTGGTAGCTCGGAGGCAGAGTAGCATGGGACAAGGTTCGACGGCGATAAAGAATAAAGTGGGTGTTCATGGGAAGTAGAGAGTGTGTGCATATAAGTTGCAGAGGAGAGTTGGACGAGGCTAGGGTTTGCAGACGATCGATCCATGGTATAGGAAGGAGCGAGTGCAGCTGCGTCAAAGGCCGGATGGCATCCTCTTTCTTCTTCACCTTGTGTTGTAGAGTCACCTCCGGACAAATAATTTGTGTCCATCGGGATTCTGGAAACAAGCATACTTAAAAGACAACGGTAGCTAGTTGGAAGTGTTGGCTTTATTGGACTTTGATCCCTACGGGAAGTTTCAGGGCATATAAGCAATTGAGGCTTCAGTTTAGAGAGACTAGAAAGTAGTTTACCCATGTCAAATGTGGCTATGCACCCTTTTCCTGAGCTGACAGTCGACAGGGTTCTCTGGCCGGACAAAGTTCTGGAAATTAGTTATCAACGACTAGCAGGTAAAATGTAGAGGTGTTTAACTGGGTGACTGGTAAGAGATTATTCTTGAACTGCAGACTTTTGATTATTTTCCCCCTTTTTTCTAATTTTTCTTTGGTTCTCTCCTGACAGGGAATCAACGTCACCGTTGAGTACGTACTTTGCAATAATGACACCGAAGGATCCTTCAGCTTTCTCATGTTTTCTGGCAGCGTGATCAGCAGCCCAGACGAGTCTCAGACGAATGAACTGCGTTTAGAACTATCTGCTAATAAATAGCTGAGACATCAGAATCGCCTGTATCGGCATTTGGGGCGACCTCAAGGCAGCTTTGTCGACACCTTATTAGACTTGGGGGGTCAGAAACCAATGACGTTCAGTATTACCAGAGCGACCCCAGGACCGGGACGGTGGCACATTGGTGTGTGTCTTAGTCTCGCACAGCCATAGTCATATGTCACTTCGTCTGGAGTTCAACGTGGTTTTGCTCGACACCAAATCCTGGTAGGGCTGAGGTGCTCCGGGAATGCCGAGGGGACAACGGACACGACGTGGTTTCTGCATGGCAAGGAGTCTCCTAATGCCCGTTATGGCCTCAACGATACCCAAGATGGATTCGAGAATGCATTCGACCGATGATGACTGGCTGAGGCTTTCATGGTTCGACAGTCGTAAGCCCGTTTGCCCACACCGTCGGGAACAGAGCCTCAGCACTAATGAGTTCTGGGTTAATAGACAGGGGCGATGGAGAACCACTAAAAAAAAAAAAAAAAAGGGCCCATGAACAATCCCTTTCTCACCGTTGAAAATAAAAACCGCACACCGACTGCACCAGGTTAGGCCCCCAACTAAAAGGGTATATTATCCTAAGAAGACAAGCGATCGACACTGTCGGCGACGGCTGATGCGTGAGATGCAGCCAGTCCGGCTGTTCCAAAGCAAGCGATTTCTAAGCCTCATATCCTATCATCATGCAGTGGATGCGTCCCCTGGGTCCACTTCGCAATGTCATTTGCTGGTTTCCCTGAGAAGCCCAGGGCAATGCAGATGGAGCATAAGCCAAGGAACGAAAAAGTAAACATCAGCCAGCCCCAGACTGCCCGCAAAACAGCGGTGTCGTTCATTCACACAGATGATAATCGGACCATGAAAGGAGGGGGGAAGGAGAGGAGTGAATGGTGCTGTCATTGATACCAGCAAGAATGTACGATTGTGAGGACAAAATTCGAGGGCCTGTCCCGATTGCAGAAGCCCGTCTGGTCCTCAGCCCAGTTGGCGCCATCCATTCAGTCTATCCGCGGCTCGTATTCCACCCCCGTTAGTATTCAGGATTACATGCTCAGATCCCAATTTCATTCCAAATGGACTTTCCGGAAATCCAAAAGCTATTCCAAATACCTAGCGGTCTACCCCTCCTCGAGCCAAAAAAAAATAAAAAATAAAAAATAAAAAAAATAAAAAAATAAAATAAAATAAAATAAAATAAAACTCCAGAAACTAGCTCTTCACAGGCGATTAGGCTCTGACAACAGAGGGCTGACAAGATTAGGATTCCGCCGTCTGTCCTTTCCTTCATCTGGATCTGCGTACAAAATGTAATGCTGAACCACGAAGACCAGGTCAAAGAGGATAGTGACATTCGACAGCAGGAATTTAACGGGGTTTCCCGTAATACCGCTCCAGTCGTTTTGGAAGCTTGAATCAAGGACCAACTGAACCAGGGACAGCACGCCGCCGAAAAGATCCAAAAGGATCTGTACAATACTCCAGCCATCGGTGGATTTGCGCTTATAGTTAACCCACGCTTGAGGCACATACTTCACAATGGTGATGATCAGTTTCACATAGGAGAGAGTGTATATCTGAGACAATTCGGGTACCGAGGTTAGTACTGGGTCTGCATTCTACCCCAAAAGACCACTGCGGGCGAGTCTGTCTACTTACTACGTCAATCCAAGCCCAAGATGATGGGTTGTAACCCTGGTCGGGACCCTTGGCAAGAACAATCGCTATTACTATTCCGACGGCGACTATCGACCCCCAAAAGAGGCCCGCAACCGGCTTGCTGACCTTCTGAAAGCGCGAGACCCTGAACCCCCATATTATCGGCCAGAACTGGGTATAGGTAAGAGCGCTAAGCACGACGGCATGCACCGCGAAGGCAAAGTCATTAAAGCGGACCGTAGGCTCTTGCGAGAGCGGATGACGAGCCGCATACTGGCCACGAATTACGGGGGAATAGAGAAAGGCCGAAGTATAAGCTGTGTAGCACACGAATCCCAGGACATTAATCGTGGGAAAGTCGATTGCAAGCCCAACGGTGGAGCGCCGCTGGAAGTTGCTGATCGGCTGGGGATAGAAGGATGCAGACCAGCAAAGCATGCTTGAACCTCCTATATTAGCCAAACCGCACAGCCGAGATGTATAGAATGGGGCGTGAGTGGGAGTTTAATGTTAAGACGTACTATATCCATCCTAGAAGTCTGCATCCAGAGCATATAGCCGGTCAGTAGGTCGCAGCCAAGAAGGGTCGGCTCACCCTCCATTTGGCGGAAGATCTCGATACATACCGCGACAGAGCTCGAATGAAGATTTCCAACTGGGAGACCATGGTCAGCGACGATGCCAGCCGGAGAGTAATGGTAATTCAGGTCAACTTGATGGCGACGTGAAGGACGAAGCTCGAGCAGCTGACTGATAAGATAGGGGCCGTGATTGGCAGGCGGTCAGCGGTCAGCCGCGCTGAGTCATCGGCTGGTTGTCCGGGATATGTACTGGCACGCTAAACCGTAAACGGTAAACCGTTGATGCCTCGCCTCGAGGGCAACAGTCGCATGCAATGAATTCACAACCCAGGATCAATCACTCCATCCATCGGTGGTCCTTGTTCCTTTGTTTCCCCATTCTAATTGACAGCATAACGCTCCTCTCCTAGCCTTCAACCTCTGCCGCCTTTGTGTCTTCCAGTCTGTGCTTCACTGCCGTCAGCCTTAGTCGCATACCGTTTTAAACAGCCGGCAATAAACAAGTTAGATTCTCGTCACATTTCGATCTCCAATCCTTCGTGTTTGACATCGACCGCTTTATTGTCCGCTGCGAGTTTCGATCTCTTTGTTCAGATCTGCGCATGGTGCATTCCACGGAGTGGGGGATCTGTTAGATCTCCTCCGACATTTCCGACATTCCAGCGTCTGAAGATCGCCATCCGAAGGGAAGAGAGATTTTGAACTGCTGTCGCGAGAAAGAAGCGAGAAGTCGCAAAAAGGATATTGGAAATCATGTCGTCCAACTCAGATCTTACAGCTCCCGGGAGCAGCACGTATGCCTCGAATACGCTACATGTTGGGGATGGGACATGGGACAGTGGACGTGATACGTTCCTTTTACCCAATCTAATGGGACTTAACTTTGACACAATGCGATACAATGGTGGGTCTCTAAATAGGCGTTGATCGCGAGGGTTTCAGGTTGTTGGTGCTCACATCAATCCTAGGAATGGGGAATCGATTTCGAGATATGCCGCAATACCGCACGCTTATCATCGCCCACGGTGTCATCGGCACAATCGTCTTTCTGGGAATTGTTCCCCTGTCCATTCTGATCATCCGATATTACTCCCGGAGGAGTCCATTCTGGGCTTTCAAGCTACACGTTTGGTGCCAGGTCCTGACGCTTTTGCTTACTACGGTTGTTTTTGTTCTTGGTTGGTTTGCGGTTGGGCCCAACAGAAGCCTCACGAATCCGCATCATGGAATTGGGCTTGCAATTTATGTGATGGTCATTTTCCAAGTCTTATGGGGCTGGCTGGTACACAAGATCGAGAGCAAAAGACACCGATATCATGTTCCCCTGAAGCTAGTTGTAAGCCCTGCCCATCATCCCAAGCCCTTCCAAGCGACTAACAGGTACTTCCAGATCCACAGATGGCTCGGTCGTGTCGTTACCATTCTGGGACTTGTCCAGATACCTCTAGGCCTCACCCTCTGGGGATCCCCAAAATCTTTGTTTATCCTGTATGCGATCGCCACGTTTGCTCTTCTCCTCGCATTATTTGTGTTATCGTACATGTATGACACAGAAGGGTACCAAATGGGGGGCGGGGCCGAATATGACAGTCGACACAGTTACGTTTCCGGGCCTCCAGCCCCCGACGATCGTCGCCATAACAGTTTTGGCCGGATGGCTGCAGCAGGAGCAGCGGGGGCTGGTTTGGCCTCCCTCTTCCGACGGCGGTCGCGGAGCAGAGGCAGAGATCAGGGATACTATGGTTCCCACGCATCGTACACGGAAGAAAAGTACTCCGACGAAGGATCTCACCGCGGTGGCGGATGGGTGAGCAAATTCCTCAAGGTCGGAGCTATCGGGGGCGGTGTTCTCCTCGCCAAAAAGCTCTTTGACTGGCGGCGCAATCGAGAGAGTGATGCGGAGTCAGGAAGATATAGACGCGCCCATACTCGCAGCGACAGCATGACGGAAGCAAGCATGAGTCGGTTGGAAGATGGGCGAAGGCCAGCACCAAGCTACCAGACTCCTCCCAACCGGCCACCCAATAGGGCACCCAGTCGACCCCCCAGCCGGCCGCAGAGCCCAGGCTCTTCCTACTATTACAATTCAACGTACCTCACCGGCAACGAGCCCAGGCCTTCTCATGGGGTCCGAAATGCGTTATTTGGTGCGGGCGCATTTGCCGCGGTCAAAAACATATTCTCGCGACGCAGGGGTGAAGACGACGAGCAGCGTCGTGTGGAAGAACTGCGCCGACGAGAGATGGAAGACGAACGTCTCCAGCGAGCAAACAGCAAGCGACGCTACACGGGTGATGGGCATTATCCGCGAAGAAGGGCGGATTCATACACTGCTACTGACATTTCATCGACTGATATGACACGCCCTCCACGTGGTCCTCCTGCTGCACATGGTCCTCCCCTGGGAGAGTCCGCTCTTACCGGAGACCCTGCGGCATCTGGCAGGTTAGATGGGGGGCACTCTGACATGCCTCCTGTTCCACCAACCCACATGACTTCCGAATTGCCTGTTCCCAATCCATCAGGGCCCAATTTCTCCGACTTTGCGGCTGGAGCAGCTGTGGGTGTCGCATCGAGTCATCACCGTCGCCGCAGTAACAGCCGACACGGAGACGACCACGTCTCGCCGCCAGTATCCGTGAAAGTTAAGATGCATGACGACGGCCGACACGTCACCCTACGCCGATTAACGGAGGAAGAAGCCGCAGCCAGCCGAGAAGCGCGACGCCGGGAACGCAGGAATTCTCGCCGCCGCGCCGGAAGCGCCAGTTCGCTATCCGGCGGCGAAGGCAGCTACGATCGATGGCGGCGGGTGGAAGAGCTTGAGCGTCAGCAACAGGACCAAATGCGACGAGAGCAAGAAGCCGCCACTGCAGCAGCCGCGCCACCGTCCGGCACCATGGCTCCCGCTTCGTACGTACCCCCATCGAATGTGAGCCATGTGCCTCCTCCGCCGGTCCCATCTAGCTTGCCCTACGGTGCAGGAAGCATCACCTCCCCAGGCACATACACGGGCACAGAAGCTAGTGGAGACTATGCGAACAACCGGAGACGACGACGAGCAGAACGAGCTCGTGCGCGACAAGAAAGACAACAACACAGTGTGGAATTCACCTGATGAAACATGAGGTTCATTCATTTGAATCACCCGATCCATCCTCCTAGTTGTTTTTCCAACGCAATGTGTACAGAGTTATTCTTGATTTCTTGTGTCTTCGATGTGATATACTTTGGTTCCATATCTCTCCCCATTTCCTTCTCTTTGCTTTGATTTCGATTCCCCTCCCTTTGTCATTTACCCCCAGCCCCTTGATATCAACACGACGGAATGGAAAGAAACGGTAAGTAATGAATGCAAGCGTTGATTGATTGATTGGTTGATCTGTCTGATCTATGAACCGAGGACTTATTCTCTTCCCTGTTCAAATGTTCAAATGTTTTTAGAAATGCTTCCAATGTTGATTATGATGAACACATATATGCACGTCCGGTCCAAGAATGTGAACCCCAAGAGAAAAAAAAGAGGGAGAAAAAGAGGATCTTCAATTCACAATGTACTTTCTCACTGGGACAAGGAATGGAAAGGAAATGGATATAGATACGGACTGGGAGGAAATGGAGGCAATGTGGTCTCTTATATGGGCGTTTATTTTTTCTTTCTTTTCCCTTTTCCTTTTCCTGGATTTAACTTGTCCTCCCCCTTTGCAGAATAAGTTTTGATCTTCTTGATGCTTAAGTTTCTTCATGTATGAATTATGTCACAGTTGGAATAACTGCATTTATGCCCTGGCTAGACATGGTCAGACGATATCTAGATCCATGGATGTTCATGAGTACATTGCCAATTATTCGTAGCCCTATTTCGTCTGCCTCTTTCGTCCTACTCATCATGCTCTGACTTTTTAGACTATGGTTATACCAATTAACAATCAAGAAATAGTAAAAGTGTTCTGATTATTAGTACTGATTAGACGAGAGCCAATTAAGACAAGCAAAATAAGTAGACAGCAGCGTTCAAAACCCCCTATCATAAGCGTTAAACAATATTCAAATCTCTGCGCCTCTTCCTGAACCATATGAATCCTCTGAAAGACAGCCATGGCCTAGCATTTCAACTTCAAAAAAAAAAATCAATGATACAGGGCAAGTCCTTGGCCTTTTCCACCTATGTGTGGTTATTTGCCAAATATATACTGCTGTTCACCCCTTATTACTTCTCCCAAGTTTTTTGAATTTTTGTTTGGTTTTAGAGAAAAACCGGGAAAACCTGTTGGGTATCCTCCCTGTATTATGCTGGGCGTTAGAAGTACAATTACCAGGGACTCCCTGAGTTATCTGTTGTGCTTGCGCTGGTGTCTGTTGAGTTTGTGTTGCCTGCTGTGTTTGCACTAGTGCCTGTTGAGTCTGCGCTGGTGATTTTTGCACATGTGCTGGGGTCTGTTGAGTTTGTGTTGCCTGTTGCGTTTGCGCCGATGTCTGTTGAGTCTGCACCAGTGTCTGTTGAGTCTGCACCGGTGTCTGTTGCACTTGTACTGGGGTCTGTTGAGTTTGTGTTGTCTCTTGGGTTTGCGCCGGTGTCAGTGGTGTTTCTGTTGTCAGCTGGGTTTCCGGTCTCTGTTGAGTTTGCGCAGTCTGTTGCGGAGTCATTCCTTGTGATCGGTGTGCCTCGGATTCTTCCTTTCCCATATGAGTGTTATTGAAACTATAAAAATCCTTTGGTACAGCCGGGCGCTGAATAGAGTACAAGCTTGGTTGCGTTGGCGAACTTGAGCCAGGTCTGGGGGCTGTACCGGCAGATTCGAATCGAGGTCCCGCTTGTGTGAATGCCTGAGAGTATAAGGAACATATTTGAGTGCCGGCCCCAGTTCTGGTAAAAAGCCATGGAGCTTGTTCTGGGTTTGGCGCTGGCGCTGGAATATATCCGCTCGACATGCTGGATAGCGCCGAACTTAGAGTCGGATAAGTTGAGGTATTCCTACCACCGCCTGATGAAGTGGGCTGGCTTCCAGAGCCAGCGCCTGTATCATAAGTTTGATCCACCCAAGTCAGATGAGGTGAGGTAGGAGTACCGCCTGGTGAAGTGGGTTGACTTTTAGACCCGGTGCTTGTACCATAAGTTTGCTCGCCGCTTGTAGCATGAACTTTCCTGTCGTAACATTTCTTGCAGTCTGATGATGTGGATTCACATCCAGAGTCAGCACCTTTATCATGAGTTATTGCACCGCCTGACGATGTGGGTTGAACTCCGGAGCCGGTGTCTGCATCATGAGTTTCCTCGCCGCCTGATGGAGTGTCTTCGCTTCCAGACCCGGCGCCTGTATCATAAGTTTGATCCACCCAAGTCAGAAGAGGTGAGGTACTCCTACCGCCGCCCGATGAAGTGGGTCGATTTCCAGACCAGGCAACTGTACCATAAGTTTGCTCGCCGCATGTAGCATGAGCTTTCCTATAGTGACATTTCTTGCGGTCTGATGTGGATTCACATCCAGAGTCAGCACCTTTATCATGAGTTTTCTCGCTGCCTGACGATGTGGGTTGAATTCCAGAGCCAGTGTTTGCATCATGAGTTTGCTCGCCCCTTGAAGATGTGGGTTGACTTCTAGGACTGGCACCTGTATCATAGGTTTGCTCCTAGTTAGGTACGACGCGCCCGAAGCGAAGGAATAAAGATCGGCACCCTTGAGTTGGAAACTTCGGCAGGAGGAAGAGTGGGGGGCGCACCTTCTTGCAGAGAGGTATCTTCCATCATCCTTCTAAGCGGCTCTATGCTGGTCTTGTCGAGTAATGATTGATATCGAAGTCGTTGAGGTGGAAGTAGTGGCCAAGATGAACAATCTAATTCTTGATCCGATGAGTCTTCGGGGATTATGCCAATGTTTCTTGTTTTCATTAGTTTGAGATCTGTTCGAGCAGTTCGCAAAGCCCAAGATGCTATATAGCGACGTATGGTTAGAGATAATGATAGAATCTCGTCAAATAATGCCGAATTAGTAGAGTTAATGAGAGTCGCTGAGAGGAGAGGAGAAGCGGGACGAAGCAAAATCCTCTCTCATTTGTTGACGAGCGGCTCATTGCCTCCACGCGAGGAAGGAGTCACCAGGCTTTCCAGGTAATTCCAGGTCAATTGAGTTAGCAACTTATGCACATAGCACTTAGTTAGGCAAGTTCATTTTAGGTACGGAAAAATAAATAAAAACAAGAACCATTCAAGAGAATTGTGGTAATTCTACACGTTCAGGGTCGGAGTTGCGAGTGGATATGTACATCAGTAATCTATTTAAGGACAGCCTGCAGGCTCTCCAACACCTGTTTAAACAATTAGTGAGTGATCCCCTATCTTGACCAGTCCCGAGCCCGACTCACCTCCAGCTCAATCTTGGCTTCAGCAATATCCTGCTCGCTGCCACTGCCGCTGGCAATCTTCTGGGCCTCAGCGATCTGAGCTCTGACATTCTGTTTGGAAGATAATTTCGATTAGTAGAGTGGAAGGTATGTAGCGACCGAAGCTTCAAACTTACGTCCGCACTGAATTCCTCCAGAGGGAACCCTTCAACGGCGTTAATGCTCAGCTGAGAGTCAGGCTGAACGACAGCGAATCCGCCAGACACTATATCACAGAAATATCCAGTGTCAGTTATACTCTCCGATATGTCGAAAGGAGCCATCTAAGCAACTTCTTTTTTGGCTTGCTGCGCGGGTATCCTCATGGGTTATAGGACGTACGGAAGAATTTCTTGCTGGCACCGCCCTCCTCAACGACCTCAACGAGACCAGGCCTGAGCTGCTCGATAGAGGGAACGTGGTTGGCGAGGACACCCATGTCTCCAGACTCGGCGGGGATGTTGACCTGGACACTGGATATGAAAGGATTGTAAGTACTGGTGGGAACTAGGGCGAGGGAAGGGCCCTCAATGTGTTGAATAAATCGGAGATCAGGAACACATACACGCCGGTCGACTTGAAGATAGTCTAAGAAGCAGATTGTCTGTCAGTAAAGAGCACAAGAGATGTGCCTAGAGGATGTTCAGTGGCTTCGGAATCGTACCTGGTGAGGGAGGGCCAGGGAAAGCTTGATCTTGTCCGACACGGCCTCGGCGTAACCTCTGCGTTGGAGAGGAACGCGGAGGGCAGAGGGACGAGCCCTGAAGGCAGAGCGAGCGAAACGGAGAGAGCTCATCTTGCAATGGATGGAAGGGAGAAGATGGTGCGTGTATCCCTCTTTGAACCTGGGTTGAGTTGCAAAGGTCGAAGTCGGATGCCGGTTGTTCCCTAGCGGCTTGAGCGGTCACGTGTAGGCGGCACGGGACTGGACCAGAAATAGCGTGGGAGTATCTGTACTCCTTAGAGATGCTTCTTCTGTGGTGCAGATACCTGGGGTTTCGCTGGGAATTTAGTTTCATTTTTATCTGGTCTCTTTGCGTGTCCTGGACAAATTGTCCAGTGGAGCCCTTAGTGAGGCATTACAGTCTTGTTTCTTGTACCTCGTACATTATGCCCTATTCTATGCATTTCAACCCTTCCAATCTGGCCCATTACAGCCAAACTCCTAGAAATTTCTGCCAGAAATATCAGTCACATGGATATTGCTATCGAGAGAAGGCATCACTAGTGCTATCCACAAAATTTGGGTGTCAACACCTCGATATTTGTCAGAATAGAGGACTTCTTTTATATCACGTGATATTAGTCATTCACTGCTTCAAATCTCTTCTCTAGGCGCCATTCCTCCAATCATCAGGAGTATATGTGAGGGTTGCCAGAATGAAGCTGGAGAGATGACTGATCCCATTCAATAGCATTACTTTACAGAGACCGTGGCTCCTGACTTGTGCAAAATAACTGTCATTATTTGACGGTCAGTTAGTTTAAATCACGTGATTAAGTACCTCAACCGTCAAACACCATTTCAAAGCACTGCACTGAAACCATTCATAGGTAACTTGTTGTAACAGTAAGTATTCCATATCGATGGCTTCTACATCTAGCGAGATCAAGCATCCTGTGATGTAGAGGACAGTTGTTTGTTCTACATAGACTTCTGAGTACTGGGTAGTATGTGGTCCGTCCGACGGACCAATGACGAGGGAGCCGACCGGTAAGCGAAATCCCACACAAAAGCGGAAGCCCTAGTCAAGTCGACCCTGGCGGACTTCGGCCTTCTGCTCAGTTCTCGGATAACCTCACCCGCCAACTCATCGTCAACCGTCTCCCAGTTGCGACAAATCCGACAAGATGGCGAGTATGTGCTTCCTCTCCTTTCTGCTCCGCTGAAATCTCGAGTCCTAAAAAATTGGACGAGGAATTTTCCTCCGACACATCCTGTATTGCAAAGTCACTGACTGATTTTCGCGTACAGAGTCCAAGAACGCGTCTCAGCACCACAACAGCCAGAAGGCTCACCGTAACGGGTGCGTACAAGCCGTTTTCCCTTTTATTGTTTAGAATGTGTACCATGGGGGAATATAAATGCAGCGTTGCGGTTAGGGTTGTGATGATGGAACCGGTGTCCGCGATATCGACTTTGTCCAACGTTGCGGCGGATTCTCTCAACACCAGTTGAATTACTCCAGGAGAACTTGTCGCTAATCCCTCGTGATTTCTCTCAACAGTATCAAGAAGCCTAAGACCTACCGTTACCCCTCCCTCAAGGGTGTTGACCCCAAATTCCGCCGCAACCACAGACACGCTCTGCACGGCACCATGAAGGCGCTGGTACGTTGATTGCATTCACCCGATCGAATCCACCGTCCCCCGCGGAATAGTCGGAGACGGTAAATAGAAGCAGGAGAGAGATGGCTAACACCTTCAACAGAAGGAGCGCAAGGAGGGCAAGCGTGAGGTCGCATAAATCAACTAATACCAAACTTAAAAAGGACTGGGAGCGATCTGAGTTGGTGATAACGTGCGATGAACCTATCACGTCATGTCGGATAGCCTGGCTGGTTCCGCGCGACGGCTGTTAAATAAAGCAATTTGATTCGATTCCACGACATGGCCTGAAGCTTTTGTCTTGTGTGTTCTTGTTCCTCCGGTCAGGTAGATTTCGCATCCTCATGACTCGGTAGACCAGCCTTCAGCTGGTCCCCTCTCCCGTTTGGTCACGTACCTCTGGCATATGTGTGTACAGCTTCGTGCCATTATTTTCCATGCGCGCTTGCTGAAGGATTTTTTTACGTGCCGAGAGCGGTTTTGCCCTCCAACTATCGATCACCCTTTCTCTCTCTTCCGTGGTGAGAGGGTGTATAGAAGGGTGGCTACATTTCGTAGATTTTGTTAGAATCAATCCATTTTTCTTGTTCTCTTTCACTTTTCTTTTTCTGAAGACCGTATCATATTAGCGGAGCATAGTCGCCATGTTCGTCCAGCCCCAGCTACTGGACGGGTCCACTCCCAAAGAGATATATACAATGCTACATTAGACCTATCTCGAAGTTATCAAACTCCTTTCCAAACAACCAGCCGTTTATCAAAGCCTCCACTGACCAACCACTCTTCCCTGACCACCTCTCCATCCCGTGGGACATCGACCCAACCATCCCAGATAGCCCGAACCTTACAGCCAGGTTCATGCCCATCCTTGAGCATGGAGACAACCTTACCAGTTTTCGTCTCGATTCCGCGGATAATGCCATCATCACCATTGACCCAGACCCCGGATCCATCAGGCCTCCATACGACCTGCGGCGTTGAGTAGGCCGTCTGCGGCGCAAACGTATTCGCCTGAATGATGATCGCTGCATCTTCGCGATTCTGGAGCGCCAAGGCCGCCAGGGCCTGCGTAGCTTGCACCTCGGGTTCCGACGACCCAGTCGTCACTGGACCTGAGGTGTCAAGATTGAAGCTCTCCGTGGGTGGGAACAGCAGTCGTACAATAATAACCTTCATATGCGGTAATGTAGAGGTCGCCACTGCAAGCAGGCCAGGATCGTGGGGACTCAGGGCCAGACAGGAGGGAGAGAATGCCACCCAGGTGTTCGAGTGCGGCGCAAAGTTCTGTTTCCCGAGAAGCCTGCACTCTTCCGGAGCACTGCTGATAGTGGTGATGGTGGTGGTGGTGATTGACTGTGGCAGCTGATAGTAGAATAGATGAGGCGAGTCGCGTCGAGAGACCAGTAAGATCGGTTCCTTGGAATCTACGTGTCGGACAAATAGCAAAGATTCTGGGTTCGATGCCAGGGTGATATGTCCTACGGGCTCACCGATGTTAAGAAGATGATGGGAGTCGGCTTCCGTGCGGAGACGGTATAAAAAGACTTTGGAATCCCAGCCAGCAGTGGCGATCCATATTGTTTTGGCGGGATCCGGATGAGGGTCGTCGTTGTCTTCGAATGCGGCCACTTTCACGACGTATTTGCTGTGGTCCCTCCTACGGTCGAGGATATCTAAGCCATGTTGGAGAAGAATTTGGCCTGACATATTGGTCAGGAGAGCGTATTCCCCATTCAAAATAGGCGTATACGATAGGATAGGGGACTCGGAATGATCGGTAAATGATTGCACGACGCCATATCCTGGCGCGGTGCTGAAAAGATGAAGCTGCTTATCCGCACCGGTGGCTACGATGTAAGAAGACAATGACGACGGTGAATTCTGAGCATCTCCATGTTTCCAGGGGTGCACAGAGCAAGCCAGAATGTTGCAAGGCGTTGGAGTTGGAATGATGGTTGGCTTGGAAGGTGCTGGGCGAGCTTGGTCAGTAACGGCTGAGTGAAGTACAACATTGTTATGCTCACCGGGAGAGCTCCAGGCATCGTTTTCCTTTTCGCTATCACCATATCGCTCGAAGTTCGCGCTCTGGTCAAAAGCTCGTTTCTCGTCCAGCACTCTCTCGATCGTCCAGTCGTCTTTTTCCCCGCTGATGTGCCCCGCGTCGGTCGGGAGTCCCGCTTCTCGAATGAATGCCTCAAGAGTCTGCGTGTAGTTATTTGTTCGCAGAAAACGAGCCACGAGGATGCTAGCTAGAGATGGACGGCGTGATTCGAGTGGCATGCTGATGGAGGCGAGGGTGGAGGTTCAGGAACCAGCTTAAGACCGCGTGATATGGAAGGCATAAAATAAGTAGAAATGATGGGACGGACTGGTATTGTCGACGGGGGTATTTACATTTGTAGATGAGACCTTCTATTATGGAACCCAATTATTGTACAGATCGTGGTAGTTTGCTACAGCGATTCCATGAAATTCAAGAACGAAGACCAAAAATAAAAAAAATAAAAAAAAATAAAAAAAAAGGGGGGGGGACCCGGTATCATAAATTGGACAGCGTCATGGAACACCCTCCCGATCCATCTTTGAATGCACCTCCAATCAATCCTGAATTATTGCAGATGGTATATATCAACCAGATACCATCTCTTCGACCAGCATCTCTCCGAGTGTTCTCAACTGAACATGTCCTCCGCTTTCCGTCGTGGTCCTCCTCGCCCCTCGATCTTATCAGAGAACAGCTCCTTTCCGACGTTGTTATGATATTTAGATGGGAAAAGCTCCCGAACAGACGCACCTCGTCCTTTGATTGACAGACCATTTGCGGTGCCTCGGATCGCCATGCCCTGATCCTGAGCAGAAGCCGCTCCACGGATGCTAACACCCCTTGGCTCCGACGACTCGGGGAAAAGCTCGACGTTGTTATTCCGTTGTGAACGCGGCTGATCATAGGACTCGTCCACTAAGGGTATAGAAATTCGTCTTGAAAAGAGATCTGCGGTCTCATCCGCGGCATCGATCGCATCAGACCGACGATGGTTGCTGACCTTATTCGGGAAAAGTTCCTTCTTGAGATAACTTGTCGCCAATTTATTGGGGAACAGTTCTCGCGCATTCGAATCGCTCTCAGCGGTACCAGAAGACCTGGCTGATGGGAAGAGCTCTTTGCCCTCATTGCGACGCTTGGATTGCGGGGATCGCTCTCGGAACCGTTTGCGGGAGTCAGATCGCTTGTAATCTGGGTAGCCGCTCTCCATCAAGGTATCCCGACCTGGAGATGCACTGCGATTCCGTAGACGGCCGGACGATCGCCCTTCATCCTCATCAAATAGGTCCCGATGCCCTCGCCGTCCTCGCCCTTCGCGACCTCGGTCCGGATCAGAATATTCTGTGCTTGGGGCTCTGGTATCGTCGTACATGTTGGCGCTGATGCCTTCATCCACATCACGGTCCCTCCGTCGACGCAATTCGCGTCCATCGAACCGTCTCCTTCTGTAATCACCGTCGCTAGTATCCCCGCCTCCCTGGCGTCTTCTCTCCGAAAGTTCCCGTCTTAGTCGTTCCCGAGGGTCATGCTCAGGATGCATCAGGTAGAATCGACTGGCCTCGTGTGCGCGGGGCCTTTTACGATCGGTCTTAACCGCCGATCTCACCTGGAGCACGGAGTCTGGGTGGCTGGACAAGACCTTAGCGGAGCGTAAACGTAGGGCTGGCAACGCAGACGCATCCTCCTCTTCGCTGACTTGTGTGAAGGCGGACAAAGCCTGGAGACCAACTTCCGATGAGGAATACACGATATTCGCCGACGTATCATCAATCCACTCAACGCGGGAAGGTTCTTCGATGGTAAAGTGATTTGACGCAAATTGTTTGATATCGTCCGTGGCCAATTCGTCGACTCCTCTGATATGCACCTTTTCGTATTGTGCTTCTGCAGTAAGGTGGTCCACCGCGCCATCTTGAGCAGTCGCTGGTTCCTAAGCAACACCGGAGACGTTAAGATCGAGAAGTTATGGGAATTAGGGTGGTTAAATGGCGGTAATAACTCACTATTTCAATCGGTTCAGCTTCAGGCAATGGACCAAGGTCCAAATCCATATCAATATCCATAGTAGCATCCATGGCGTTCGAAGATTCCGTCTGCAGAGAACGCTGTTGTATGTCGGCGACCTCCATTCCGGAGAGAGTGTTCTGCTTGAGCGGTTGGGTCGGGCGGCTGTAGTAGATGATGAGGTGAGGTAAGAAAGATATAATTATGAGGCTAAACCAGCAGTCGTTCGAGCGAAAGAAAGGCAACAAACTGATCGTGAATTGAACCTTCAAGGCGGCGATGAAGTTAAAGTGACTTAGTCAGAGAGACTTCCACAATTCACACCGCCCGCGGAAATGGTATTCTCTCTCATTGATTTCAGACACTATTACTACTCCGTACGATGGCCATTCTCCCTCGTGCTACTATCTAGAATACACTAACCTCGTGTCTCATTCCTCTCTACGGTTCCCTTGGTGGTACTCATCTTCAACACACCTGCACCGTATACGTTGACCTCGCATTGGCAAACTGCAGTCACTTTTTGATGAAGCATGACGTCAAGTTCATCATAGGCCGTATACACTGGTGGATCTAAATACTCGCAGAGTATAATTAATTCCGCAATGCCGGGCCAAAGAATGGGATTTTGTCCTTTAGATCGGCATCAGTTGGATTGACCAAGTACTGCTTTCTGATATTGGCCAACAATATTCGTGATGTTGTTGCCATTCCATGCCAAGATAACCGACTCAGCTCTCAGCTAGATGGAGAGTGTCTCAGAGATGAGGTGAAGCTGAGCTGGCTAAGTACGATGGAACACTGAACCAGACCAGACATAAAGCAAGCTGCCCGCATGTTACACTGTCGATTCAGATGTTGAGGCAATCACTCCGTTATAGTAGTAGACAAGTGAAAGAGACGATGCTGCTCATGTATAATAACGACGGTCGAATGGCCCAAGTGAGGTCCATGAAATGATAGTTTCTACGAAAGAGATGTCCCTCTAACCGCGATCTGGTATTTAGCTGGCAAATTTCATGCATGTGATCTCAATACGTCGCCGATCAGTGCCTCGAAACAATCCAAATAGCTAGATAGATATTAGCCCCGTTTTCTTCTTGAGTTCAACGGTATGCAGGAGTAAGGACAGTGTTTCCTGGCGTGATTCACGGCGTAGATTGTCAAGCTGGGAACAAAATTTGCAGGCGTCATGTAGACAGCTATTCGTGCCCACCACAATGGTGATTCCAGAGCGATAGTATGAAACAATGGGCGCGCCAGATTCATTGCAGTGCAGGAGCAATCCGATATGGCATACACTCTATCTTAAGCAAGCTATGTACAGAACCCAGGGAATGAATTAGCTGATGTCCCAGCAGAGATCACATAACATGTCACGTATCCCTGGAGATCCAGTGGCATACTTCAGATGCATATGCAGGTCACGTCGTCGCAAAGACTCCCCAGGTGAACCCGCACAGAATCTGTTCTACGACAAGCACTGGTACTGAGGAGGCAAGAAGATGATCCAGCCTGTTTTTTACCGCTATTTTCCGTCATTAGACAAGCTTTGATAGACCCTGTTACTCGATGCTTTCTGGGATCAGCATCATCGTCCTATAACAAATTACAAAGTATAGACTATTCTAGGACACCATCAACCATACCTAGATAATCTTGTACGTAAAAAAGATCAGCAGATTGCCTTAGACTGGGAAAGAGGGGGAATCGGACAGTCTGTATTGAGGATTATTCTTGATCTCGCCATTGCTTAAAAGCAGCAGGAGTACAGTGGCACTTAAAATCAGTGCCACATATTCCTAAGGCAAGTCTCATGCCAGACAGACCCACTATCGACTACAATGCAATGCAGTTTAATACCATGCCAAGGGGACTCGCCAAGAAAACTCTCAGCGTGCTACAAGCTAAGGACGAAGTTGTGAAGAAAAAGTCACCAACTCGACTTCCCCGCTTCGACTGCTTCTCCAACCACGCTGTGCTGAACTTTAGCCTATACTTGTCCATCCCAGTCCGAAATGAGCCCTTTCATCGGCTAATAGGAACAGAATCCGTGGTTTTTCTGAATACTACTCCAAATATCTAGCTCGGATGCTGGCCAATTGGCAAATGACGACCCGGATTAGGCTGTTGTCTCATCGCTGTGCAGATGGACAGTCGATTGGAAAGATAAGGGAAAGCAGTGACGCATGCGAGTCTTAAGTAGTTTAATGACCCAACGTCCCAATGATTATTTCTGCTTCTTTAGAGAACGCCAGTATCAACTTCTATGAAGTGTTGATATTTAAACAGGGTGATAGCGAGTACTTATCTCTGACGGACAACCCGCAATGCTCTATGCCGACGGCGAGGAAAATGCGTTTCATGTCAGGGCTACAAAGCTTTCATCTATGTCCGATGAAGATTGGACCCTTTCCACAAGGCGCGGTGCAGAACACATGACAATCGAGACACCGGTGGATAAGAAGGCCGAAATCTTGAATGGCAAGATTAAAGCGGTTGTTTCCAAGCGCGGCAAGATTACCATCTACAACTTCAAACGGAAAAATCTCCGGCAGGAATATGCCTGACATCGCCAGGATTTGATGGATCCAAAATGCAGTGCTCTGAGGATCGCGGCTCGAGAGCCACGGCCGATCCTAGGGGATGACTTCCACCCCACCATGGGTTTCGAGTCGCTGGATCCTAAGGAAAAGATATTTGGAAGTAGACAGTACTAACAGCCGTCTTTGAGCCTTAAGGGTGCAGAGGCTTTTGCGCTTTTCCCTCTTGGTTATGGCTTTCTATGGAACAACTCAGGTATTGACTATGCAGTTTTTGGGACCAACACCATGAACTGCGAGACTTATTCAACCAAGACGTTAGACTACAGGATGGTCGCTGGTAATAGTCCGGCGGAAATCGAGGAGGCATACAGTAGGGGCACAGAATATGCTCCTATGATGCCTGAGTATAACTTGGGATTCTGGCAATACAACCTTCGATGCTGGAACCGGGAGCAGCTGCTTGAGGTGGTGCGGGAGTACTGAGGGAGAAACGTGCCATTAGGTCTGAATGTGATCGACTTCTTCTACTGGAGGCATCAAGGGGAGTAGAGCTTTAATCCTAAGTTTTGGCCTGATAAGGTAAGCCATGTCGACGCCATAGCTACAGACACTGTCGCTAACGAAAAATTTACCTCACTTTTCCAGATGCCATGGTGAAGGAGCTCAAAGAAATGAATATCGAGCTAATGGTATCTATTTGGCCGACTGTCGAAAACCTGTCCGAGAACTATCCAGAAATGCTTGAGAGAGGGCTCCTAATCCTCCATGACCGTGGAGCACGTGTTGCCATTGCAATGCGATGGAGATATAACGCATTTCGATGCCAGTAACCTGGAAGCTCGCGAGTCTGTCTAGGGGAAGACAAAAGAACTACTATGAAAAGGGAATCAAAACGTTCTGTCTTGACGAATCAGAGCCGGAATATTCCATATATGACTTTGACATTTACCGCTACCACGCCGGAAGTAAACTTCAGATTGGGAACATTTACCCCCAGGAGTATACAAAAAGTTTCTACAAAGGTATAAGCGCAGAAGGGCAAACGAATATTTTCAATTTTCTCCGATGCGCCTAGGCCGGCAGGCAGAAGTATGGTGCTCTCGTATGGAGCGGAGAATTGCATCGTCATGGGACTTATTCCGCAACCAACTGTCCGCAGGTTTAAACGTGGCTTGGCTGGCATTCCCTGGTGGACAACTGACGTCGGTGGCTTCCATGGAGGCAATCCAGACGACCCAGAATTCAGAGAACTCTTCACCCGGTAGTTTCAACGGGGACTTTCTGTCCCATGATGCGCTTGTATGGTGATCGTGAGCTTAAGACAGAAGGCCAGCCTACTGCCACTGGATCCGACAACGAAATCTGGCTCTATGGAGAGGAAGTCTACGAAATATGTAAGAAGTATATCAGCATATGTGAGGAGCTCAGGGACTGCACGAGGGGTATAATGGAGGTTCATGAGAAAGGAAACCCCATCATCTGAACTTTATTCTATAATTCCCAGATGACAAGAAATCCTGGAACGCGGAAACAGAGTATCCGTACGGCTCCAAGTATTTTGTGGCACCGGTGCTAGAAGCAGGACGGCGAAGTATCAGCGCACACTTGCCGGTAGGGTCTTCTTGGAAGGGGGTGAAGACGAGCCGCATGGAGGTGGGAAGTATAAACTGAGGTAGCTAGTCCAGTTGACATGATGCCCGTCTTTATCGGGTTATTGGCCAATCCATTTGAGAACCGGCAGTCTAATGTGTTCGTTTACCATGATGAGGATTTAGAAGATCTCAAATGCCACTCCCAAAGACAGAGCCACATATATGCCACGGGGTTGTTGACAGAAGGTGGTCCTAATCACATTGCGTGGTATGTTGCATGCCAGCCGGTGAATGCATAAAAGATGGTCAATTCTCTTGTGTTTCTCTTCTATCTGTGCGAACTGATATGTAACAAGACCAGGCTACAGCCAATTCCACAGTATACAGCTCATGGCTGTCTCATATCCATGATCATCTGGATCAGCCACAGTTCGGGTCAGACGGCATGTAATGATAGGGCAAAAAAAGAAAAAAAGTTAGTAAGGACAATTCAGTACGTCCTACGGATGCGTATCCTCCGGAAGACTTAGCATTGGTCAGACAGAACACGCCTCGCTCTTCCACTCGGCCAGGACCAATCCAGCTCAACTCACGCGTGCATGACTTACTCCATGATCCGCACGGATATGTTTCGTCTTGATCCAGGTCGCGTGGATGGAAGGACAGGCGGAATGCCGTCAGTGCGGTGGTTATCCTGGAGTGGGGAATCAGCACCCCTTCCCGTCTCTCAATTCTCAATGTCCTGGCGCGTGAAATCTCGAAGAGGAATCTATTGGGTGAGAGAAGTCCAGAAAGGAGGAGAAAGAAGAGGGGATGGTGGGGATTTCATTTTATGGAGTCGTTCGTACTCCGATATACTCCGCTCGAGTCGATGGTATGCAGGAATCAATCGCTATTGATTCCGTCCCTGTTTCCCATCCTGCCTCTTTTCTTTGTGCCAGGAAAAAAACAAGTCCTTTGCTTATTTTTAGAAAAGAGGGCTTACATCGATCGATATCCAGTCTCCATATCGCCCTCAAGCTTTTGTTACGTAGTAGTGCGACAGCCATCTCCAATGAATTCCTCCTCGGCGGTTTCAAAGTACAACCCCGCCAAACAAGCTAGAAATAGTGCGGCAACCAAATCTAACCAATTCCGCCTGGTTCCAGAATAGATCAATCAAGTCGTGGGTGCTCTTCCGAAGAGAATGGAGCTGCGTGCCTAAGAAATTGGGTAAGCCAACACGGCCCCATAGCTAGATCCACAACCATTACCAATTTTTGCTTCTTAGAGCGGGCCGCGTTCCCCCGTTAGGAGGATGGCTTGGTTGATACGTAGACGGGAAGTCCATGTCCTTGGGACTGAAAAGAATGGGTCCCATCAGATTGAGTTTCAACCATCCGGGTACATTGGAGTTTGGCTCAAGTGCACTAGATTTGTTTTTTTAAACCTGGAGCTGCTAGATGAGGGAGCCAATAGAGGAGGATACTAGTAAGTTGCTAGCCCAAGTAGTATCTCCAAGGGAAGCCTTAGATAATGGTAATTTTGTAACGACTGTTGGAAGTGGAGCTTCCATCGCCAATGGTTGTCGTGGTTGTAATGTTGATCAGCGGAAAATGAACCCGGATTGCATTTCATACTATTGGCAAGGCGCATATACTAATAAGCGCAAGCTGTAAAAAACTTCGTCCATAACTGAGGTCTTACATGGTAGAGCAGGAAGGGGAGGGGGGAATGTTTGTGTATGCTGTCTTTTGTGCTCTTATCTTGTTTTTAGGGTCGACAAATTGAGCGAGAGAAAGCGACTACCCCGGAATCATGGAAATCTGTTAGTCTGCTTGCTTCAATACTAGGTGCAAAAGAGGACAAACACAGCTAGCATAGGTATTACCTTGCATCTCTTAGACCGAGCCCGGAATTTGGGCGATGATATCCACGGCTAATCATTTAGATAGCTTGCTGGAATGGAGACGCACGAGCTAGCCCTATTTCATCAATCTAAATTACCCGAGATATAGTGATTTGGAGGTGCTTGATACCAATATTGTTGAGGCCGGTGGTTGTGTTTTGCCAATTCCTTAAGGTAAGTATTTAGAAAGGGAATAGCCTAATGTGACTCCCTAAACCTAGGCTTTGTTCTGAGTCTAGGTAACTCCAATCTGGTGGTAAGCACAAAAACTTTTCAGGTAGAAGTATATATTATTCACTTCCACATTTTAGCAGGGTATTCATTGATATTTTAAATTCCAGACATCGATTTACTTGGAATCCTGAATGGAGGATGCCGTATCTTCTGGATGCAAAAGATGATTGTGGGATCGTAGACTTCCCTGTCGAGGATGCAAGGCGAGACAAGGTCATGTGCTGCAACGAGTACTGACCTAAGCAAGTAAAGCACAATTGATCTCTCACTTTTTCTACATGCAGCAGAAGAAATATCTGAACCTCAGTGTAGAGATTTCACTTGTATATTCCTTCCCCGTCCCCGACAAGCCCTCTCTGTCCTGTAAGTTCTCAGTTTGGCACACGCTGTTTAATCATTGACCTCGATTCTTCTGACAAATAATTTTCTTGAGGTACAAATAGTGGATTACCAAAGGAGTATCAATGACTGGCTGTTTACCTTTCCATTCGTCTACTCTGTCGCGAAGATACATATACACTTAACCAGATTTGATAATAGAGCAATCTAATTGATAGTTACATGCGATTGCTGCATAATCTATAACATCTCCTGTCAGTCTACAAATACTTTGAGTGCAACTAGCAGCTCAATTTGGTGCCGTGCCATTCACATGGCCAGACAGTGACTTGAAGTGCCAGAAATAGACTGTTTCTACCACGCATTCCCATCCTTTTCAATTTTAGGACATGATATTCAGTCGAACAACACCAATGCTGATATCTATGCCGTGCGAAGAGGTAAGGAGGCGAGACTATCTGAGCGAGCTTACTATATAATCTTATTGCCTTGTGTCACCCTAACAATCCTGACAATGACTTATTTTCCTTGTCTTGACGCTAATGTCTCCATCTATATTGACATTTTGAGCCCTTTCCCCCATTCTCTTTTCTCCCTCCCTCTCCCTTTCGGGAATCGAAGTACACCAGCAAACCTTCTATTCATTGATAGCGAGATGGTGATCGATAGTCAAAACTGGTTTGGACACCCCAGTGCCACCAACGATGCCCTCGTTTCCTCGTTGTATCACAGTAGGATGTCACGAGCTTAGCGAGGTAACCGCATGCTCACTCAATGTCCGCTTTTTATGAGAACAAGGACTTAGGAGATTGAATGGTAGTCTATTCCCAGATCCATCAGATTGTTCGATTGCTATCAATTCCTGAATCATCAAATTCGAGCTTTCGAGTCTTGACTTACCCTGGGTAGAGAATTGCATCTTGAAGTAGACAGGAACTCAAACAAGAAACTAACCCATCCAGCAACCGTAT